TAAAGTATGAGTTAGATGGTTTGAAGGGAAAAAATCTACATTTGGGAAATGCACTTGATACATGGATGGCTCAGCAAAAGTGCTTTTATTCAGAGCACTTAATTTTTTTGCTTACCCACTCTCTCTCTCTCTGTCTCTAACACACACGCACACACGCACACACACGCACTCAATAGCATGGCACCAGGCAAACCCATAACCAAACCATTTGAAGCAATTGTGGGTTCAGAGTCTGGCTGAGAGTCACTTTGTACCGTGGACGTGGGTCGCCGGGGACTTAAAAACCATCTCTGTAATTAATGGGCAAACCAGCTCTACCCCATTAGCCTGAGCCGTTCTGCACTTATTTAATAATCTCAGGTTTTAAAACTATGGACCTAGAGCTGGAAAAAGGCAGAGGGATATATAAACTGATGTTAAGCTGTGCTATTGTTAACACCATTTATCTGACTGACAAAGCCAAGTACTTCTACATCTGATAGCAAAACTAGACTGCCTCTGCACACGGGCTTCAAAACAAAAGACGCTTTTCGTCATATTAAAAAGTATGTATATTAACTAAAACTACAGGCAGATATCAGTGTTTCTCTCATCTGTGTGAGATAAATATAAAACTTCAGTCATGAGGTAGTGGGCTCAGCTTAAAGAAACAAATCACGGGATAACAGGTAACCTACTACTGTCAAAGCCACAGTCAGGACGTCTATGTGCTGTTAAAAAAAATCTATTTTTTGCATTAGTTCAACTGAAGCTAGACTTGTAAAATACACGTAAATACGTTAGTCTGACCAAAATTGTATGAGATCCAGTTTTTCATAGTTGGGCAAACATACCTGGATTTTTTCATCTATGTATGAAACTCAATCGGACTGAAACTTGTCTAAGTTTTCCATGAATGCTCCAGAGTTCGCTTGTAAGGCTTTGACCCATAAGGATGTTAAAATAGATGAAGTTGTGGTATCATATGTTAAAAAGATGCAGATCTGTAAAAGTGACCATGTTTTCACTGTTCAGTGCAAGAACAAACTTGCCAACCCTTGTTGATGTTTGGGACACAATATGATGTGGTAGGTCAACCGGGAGTTGGTCCAGCAATAACAAGTGGAAAAGGCGAATGTTCCCATTCACTGTCAATTTTGATTCTTGCCTGTTGCCTGTAAACTGGGACAAAAGCAGGAGTCCAGTTGGAACGCCTGATTGAGCCATTACCACACCCTGATTTAATTGTACGTGTTAACATGTTACAGCCAAACTCACTGCTACTTTAAGTTAACTAACTGTAAAATGAAGCCTTATCCACAACTGGCAACAGTGACAGTGCTATCCATCTCCTTATCTAAATCACAAAAGGATAAGGAGTCATGACTCTGAGCTATCACTACAGTTATGCCACATTTTCCTGTGAAATTTCTCTCCTCTACCTAAAAGGTAAGATCTCATAATTTTTGCTGTGATCTTTGCTGCACTTTAATCCTGATAGAGTTGAAAGATGTGGTTCAAATCACTTTCGCTGCGAACATCTTGAGCTATTTCATCTTAATGTAGGCTGTGCTGCATTCCTCTTCATGGTGGAACCTTTCCTTATAAATGCAGCAGACTAGAAAAAGTAAAGAGGAGCAAGCTGTGAGAAATGAGAAACCAACCTGTGGCTTGTGTCATGCTGTCTCTCCTGTCTCTCCTCAGCGGATGGTAATGAAAAATATGCCCTGCATCATAATCACCAGTGACCCTTGTGCTGAGGCCTGATTGGCTCCTCTGTGGCCCCCTGGGTGTCCTCTGAGCACAGTCCTGACCGGCCACTACAGACCTGATAAGAATATTTATAGCTGTGTATGTTTGAAAAGCTCAGAGGCTTACATTGATTTGTCTAAAATAACTCTGCTACGATGTTGGAGAAGACTAAGGTAGGTGAAATGCATCAGGAACAGGTCCATCAGGACATAAAGAGTGATAAACCCATATTATCTTCTTTTTCTTTAAGTCTGTTTACCTGTCTGTTTCCTTTTTGCATTGTTGTTCATTTTCAATCATTATACTCCTTTTTCTTTCTCAATCTCATTTTCAAAGCACCTTCACTCTGGGCAGATGGCTACCCACCTATGCAGCTGGTTCTAGTCAAGGTTTCTGCCTATCTTTAACTCTCTTCTCTCTTTTTGTTGTGCTGTTTCTCTCTTTACTATCCCACTTCAGACAGGCAGCAGTCCACCAATGAATCTGTGGCCTGTTGCACCATCTCTGCAAACAGTGTGTCTAAATTAAGGGTGCAAAGTTCACGCTGAAACTTCTGCTGAAGTGAGTTTGTTAGTTATGTTGTTGTTTCATTGCACCCAGGGCTGTTGTAATACACTTTAAAAATAAAAATGTCTTCTTTATATTTATATTCATAAATTTTTCATCAGAATTTCACTGTAAATTTTATGAGAAAGAAAACAAATCTAAGTTAAATCTGGGGAAGGCAAGATAAAGTTGAAGCTACATAGTGTTTTATAAACTTGACCAATGAGTGTTTTCTCTGTCAGCAGTCACATTACAGGACGTCTACTGAGAACAAAACTCAACATCTTCTTTAGCGTGTGATTTTCTGTTACACACTGTCCTCAAAAATTCACATTTCAGCATTTTTCCCAACTCTGCTCTTTTTTAGTTCAGTAAAATCTCTCAAACAAGCGAGTTTTAGTGAGTCTTCATCTGCCGCTATATCTTTTCGTTATCCCTACATTGAATAGTTGTGGGCGGCCGTTGTAAAAAACCCATTGCTGCCCAATTCTAACCCCGAATTTCCACCGCATCCGGAACAGCAGAGGTTTTTGCCGTGCGCCAATTCCTACAGGATCCATTTGTGAGGCGAATTTCGTGGCAGATTACGGACAGTGGTAATTGCAAGAACTCATAAGTACCCGCGGATTCACGTGCAATCGCGCAGTTGTCTCTATGAAGACAGCCACAGAGGCTAACCATACAAGCAGTAGATTGTGTCCTTCCAGAGGGGGAAATCTACTTCCAGACTTATAAAATCAGCATCCCCTCATCCATGGTGTCATCACGATGAAATGCTGTCTAACAAAACCTTTCACTTGTTCGTCCCTGCCTGTTTGCATGATGTGAAATATGATTCGCCTGAAACACAGAGTGTTTTATTTGGAAAAAAATAGAACTCATGCGATCAGCTGCAGGCTCCAGCGATCCGCAGTGGAACGGAAAGAAGCCCATGGAAATTGACACATTAACTTGTGTGGTTACAATCAGCTAAGATCGGCGGATACAGCCTTTTCGTAGACGTTTCAGATGTGGTGGAAATTGAGAGTAAGATGCAGTTAGTTACTTGGTATGAGCATGCTTGTTTTAAGCATAATATCAGTGTAATGTTGTTGTTGTTTTTTTGTCCTGCATCAATGTGGTGAGTAGATGGTTATCATCAAAACCCAAATAATGCAGTAGTAGAATGGTGACCACAAGATACTGCATTACTTAGAGATGGGCTGAAGCTTCAAACATCCCCAAAGTTTCAAAAACTTATCAGCAAGAAAGTAAGAAACTCATTAAACTACTAAACGTGTTTTATTACTTCTATACTAAATTCAGTTGTGTTAAACCTTTATCTGTTTAACCAGCTTCCACGGTAAAGCTTGTTGCTGTACAGAGATTACAGAGCAACATTTTCAATGAAGCTCTTCAACCTCCATAACCTTAATGCATTACAATACTGGTGGAATAAAAGACACTATTCTGCTGAAGTAATTTGTGTATACAGAGCCATATGGTTGTGCACACCTCCCCTCTCTGACAGCTTGTCAGTTCCCATGTGAATCCACCTCTACTCGTCTCGTAAGCTTCTGTTTTGCTTTTGTTTGGGATGGAGGGAAAATTAAAAGCTGGTTTTCTTATGATGACACCACCTGTGTGAAGGGATGGTTAATCATGTGGAGGAAAATACGCCACACTCTTATTTTAATTTACTCTGTTTGCTTTTTAATATTAATAAACAGATTGGATGCATGATGTGAACCGATGCTAGTTCTGTGTGCTAACAGCTGGAAAGTCATAAGGGTGTGCGTGTATGGTCAGTTTTTGTTAAAGATGCTCGTCATTCATCTCCCTTTTGATAAACATAATACTGAGCTATTAAGTTCAAATTTCCTATTGTTAGATACAGCATTACTGTTAGGAAATTCCCACAACTGTTTTGTACCAAGATGAATACAATATGCTGTGAATCAACATGAACGACTGCTGCTAATACGCTTCAAAATTCTGCTTCACAAACAGATGAGTGCCATCAACAATGCTAAGTCCATTTATTATACAGTCTCTGGTTTTTAAATTATGCTAGCTAACCAACAATACGGTATTAAATAACGTTTGGATGAGCATCACTTTTGCTTATGTTGTTTAAGCTCTGTTGTTTCTGCATCTCTCCTGTTGAAGATCTTTCAGGCTGTTGCAGATTGTTTGCCCTAGTCAGCCTCAATATCTAACCAATACTGAAGACATAATATCTTAATAATGTTGTAAAATAGTCTGATCAAGGTACCTTCATTAGTAGATGTCCAACATCTTTGTATACTGGACCCTTGATTCTCTGCATGCTAATACAGTTGAAATGGTGGACTCTCAAAGAGCTGAGTAATACCCTGTAAATGATAAGGACTTTTAAACCTTTCAGATGTGATGTCAAAACAGAAGGTTTGGTCAATAGTGAAACTTAATGAGTTCTTAGTCAACTTCAGCAGAGTTCAGTGGCCAAAAATTGTCACATCCTCTGATAGTTTGTATTGTGGTAATGCTGTAAATTCATTTTACTAATATCTGGTTAGCTAAAATGGTCAAAAGTATTTTTGATAGGCATGTTTTGTTGTTAATAAAGCAGTTATGTGTTTGTGGGGGCCGTAAATTAGCAAAGAAAGCTACTGTATTTTTCTGGCACACCGGGTTATACAGCGCATTAAGCATTGGCGCATTGATTGGTTTATTGTTGCCAGTGTGTACTCCGGGCCCGGGCTGCCTTTCATGAATGCACTTCTAGTTTAGACATTGCAGTCAGGCAGTCTTGTAGACTGCTCAGGGGTCCTGTTACAGGGCCGATCAGGTAGTGACACAGCGTAACGTAATGTTCGAATATCCATTGAGCGGAGCAGCTTTGTTGCTTACCAAAGTCGTACTTACATATTTTGACAGATTTTTGAGAGCATTGTACCACATAAAATCGGTCAATATGCACAACAAGTAATCATCATCATAAGGTGCGTTGGATTATAAGGCGCACTGTCAATTTTTGAGAAAATTTAAGGATTTTAAGTGTGCCTTATAGTCTGAAAAATACGGTAGACATGTGACAGTGGTACTTTATTGTTGACACTTTATCAGTAAATGTGAGTTGTTTTTCTCCTTCATTCCCTACAACTTGTAGAAATGAAGGGAAACAAAAAAAGATATGTTTCTATTCATTATGTTTCAAAGACAACCAACATCCTTACCAGGCACACATGTCGTTGCAGGTGATTGGCGTGAGGCTGACAACACTACTGTTTAACTTAGTGTGGATTTAGCATCTCCACTTCATAGTATGTTACATACAGTTGCATCAGATGTCAGCCTCGGTAATCTTGACCAAGTATGTGTCATGTAGAGTTGAAACTGACAAACAACGAGTGAAGGGAAGAAAATCAGTAGGCTGACAGTTCTCATGGTAGTTTTCTTAGATCTGTTTGAGTTTGTACTTGTGTCAAAAGCAGACACATCTTTTTATATTAGACATGATAAATGAAAACACTATAACTCCACACACCAATAACTTCCTAAAACATCTGAAGACAGACAGATTTATGATACAGCCTGTAAAGGGTTGTGATTAGAACATCATGTCAATGTTCTTGGAGGAATTAATGTGAAAGAAAAGAAAGAAAAAGGAGGGAAAAAAACATGCAACTTTTATTCTTGTGATACACAAAACCGTGGCTTTTACAGCCGTGCTTGCCAGCTATAAACAAACTCTGTTTAAATATAACACAAAACCCCAGAGGACAACTTGGATTCTCCCTAACAAGTTTGTCAAAAAAGCTGCCGGTACACAATCTCAAGGAGCTTATTTAACACAAAATGTTAGCGAAGCATTATAATTTGAATTTCCTCCTGAATCTTCATGGAAATTGTGTTTCAGATGTTTTAGAAATGGGTTGGGTGTCAGTAAGGGGTGCATGATGCTTCAGTCACTTAATTTTCTTGACGCCTCGAATGCAAATGAGAGTATTTGATCCAGTGGCTGTTGTTCAGTAGACATTGTAGAGGCAATGAGATTGGCTACTGAGGTTGATAATTAAAAAGAGGGGGGCTCCATCCTCTTTTTCCCACATTTGTGGGAACACAGAATAAATTTTCTCTCAGCCAGAAATTATCTGAGCTGGCAGACGGACAGATGAGTAATGTCTGATGTGAAAGGGTAAAATAACCATGCACTGGTTCAGTGCATGTCAGAACAAGATGGTAGCACTCAGCCAGCCTCCATTACAGGGTTTTACTAATCCAAACATGCAAAGCTGTGTCTAAAAATGACTTTTTGTGCATAATCCAACACAATTTTTATGGAATTAGGATAGGGCAAGGGGACAAGAACTGGTTGCCAATGCAGTGTATATCAGCACTGTATTTAAACGCAATGTGGCAAATAAGGACAGATATTTTATCTTTGAAGTGTGGGCACTGATTATATATCCATCCATCCATCCATCCATCCATCCATCCATCCATATTGATATACATAAACACACACACACACACACACACACACACACACACACACACACATGCATTCACACATACGGTGGTGAGAAAAAGTGTTTGCCCCCTTCCTGATTTCTTATTTTTTTTTGTATGTTTGTCACACTTTTCAGATCATCAAATAAATTTAAATATTAGTCAAAGACAACACAAGTGAACACAAAATGCAGTTTTTAAATGGTTTCTATTATTAAGGGATAAAAGAAATCCAAACCTACACAGCCCTGTGTGAAAAAGTGATTGCTCCCCTTGTTAAAACATAACTTAACTGTGGTTTATCACACCTGAGTTCAATTTCTCTTGCCACACCCAGGCCTGATTACTGCCACACCTGTTCTTAATCAAGAAATCACTTAAGGAGGACCTGCCTGACAAAATGAAGTAGACCAAAAGACCCTTAAAAGCCATACATGCTAAGATCTAAAGAAATTTAGGAACGAGTGAGAAAGAAAGTAATTGCAATCTATCAGTCTGAGAATTTTTTTTTATAAAATATGACTTTGCCCCAGAAAACTTGGAACAGCAAACACAAGTAGCACAACGTGCTCCTGAGTCTCTTTTTAGGGCAAAATCCACCCATGCATACCCTCCCACTCATCTCCAGAAGTTGACAGATATATGCAAATTATCTCCCAACTGCACCTCACACTGACTCATGACATTTAGTGTGAATGCAAACAGTGATGTGAGGTTGATACTCTGCTGAGAAAACTTAGGACATGATGGAGTGATGGATGGTAATCTAAGGTGCACTATAACAATTTGAGCCACGCCTCAAATAAACTGCTCCACTTGCCTGAACATCCCCATAAATGCTGCCTGTTGTTCCCACAGCTGCTCAAGAGACTAGATAAACATTTACTTATGAAAAATGAAAGCATGCAGCCACACAGCGTGTCGACATCATTTCTGAATTTGATTTATGAGTTTACATCAGCAGCTGGGAAGGTGATTTTACAAACATGTGCAGGTGCTTTGATGAAAACTGTAAGTCTCCACATCATGCTTCAGTTGTTGTTTGAGGATACTGCACGATGATTTCATTAATTTTTTTCAAACATTTGTGTGCAACACAAGAAAGTAAACTGAAAACAAACAAACAAAACCAGCGGGAATATTCAAAACAACAATAACAATAATCAAAGCAAAAAAAATAATAAATAACAATAATAAAAATGCGAACCCAACATGTCCGAAAAGGTGTAGGATGAAGCATTATGTTTTTTTTAAACCTACCTCTTCTCCTCTACTCAATAAACAGTCAGTCTCCAGCATATTTACATTATATTAACAAAAAATAGAACATAAATAAGCACATTTATCATTTATGAATCTGGGCGATGGTTAAAGCCCTTCTTCCTCCCTGTACCTGGTGAGAACCATGTTTTTGTACCGCTTTTTAAACTGGGTCATGCTTGGACATTGCATCTGACATTGCTCGGATGATAAACCCCAGCTCTGTTAGTGATGGTGTCAAAGACAATATAAATGTTTGTCCAACTGCAAATATCAGACAAATATAACTGTTAAATGGGAAAAAAATATTATTCAGGCATCTTTCTCTCCCAACAGAGTGGGAACATGTCACTTTTATAATTGTTTTGAACCAAACATCCAGTGTCAATGTACAGTAAACCGGAACATCCAGACTGACATAAAACTACACCAGCCTTCATCATCTTGCTATAGGGCTATAAAATAAGTGAGAAAAACTGCTTATGTGCATGCATCATTACTGAGTATAATTTCACTTGAAAAGACACTGGTTTATGTAAAGAAACAGCGAATTAATTATATATGTAAATTGATGCATAGTGGGTCCAAGATGTGATTAGTTCTGTCTTTGTTCTATAAGTCTACAGGAGTGTATGATTACTGAGAAGTGATAGAAGAGCAATTCTATTTAATTTTGCATGTAAAGAGTTTAAAATTAAGAAAAGAAAAACTTGACCGTTGCAAGGCTGTTTTGTAGTTGTCGGTTTGGATTTGAAGCATTAAGACACTCAGAACCAGCAAAATAAAAGTCTCTTCATTGAGTTATAATATTTTATTCATTAAGAGCAAAACAGTCTAGAACAAGTCAAATGCTTTAACATAAAACTTTGGAATGAAATATCTTGTCTAACAAAAATATGCATAATGCTGAGACTGACAGTTCTGTTCATTTGGATTTGGGTCATGCTCAGACAGTATAATGATCAAAGTGGAATGGTTGTCATGCACTCAAATTCAAGTTTATAAACTTTGAGAGTTTCAAATGAGATGGTTAAATTGACCACAAACTTTAGAGTAACTACAGATAATGACTTTTTATGAATTCTTGTCAAATTCAAACTGTCATATGTAACAGTGAAAACACTAAAGTCACCGAAAAAACTTTGAATTAATTGAGAATTAGACTTGTCATCTTACTTATGTGGGAGTCCATTGTCTGAAATAACATCAAAATTAAACATTTGTAAATTAATGAACAATAAAACCACATAGAATTTATTTATGTCTCTTTTCCATTCCTACAGCCACCTCACACACTCGCATTCAAGAATTAAACTCAACAGACTTTGTTTCAACGTGTCAACACTTCTCCACACTGCTTAGCAAAACAGTGCAGCTGCGATACATCAGCGGGTTAACCATGAATATGGAAAAAAATCTGTTTTTCTCCGAAAGACGTCATTCATTTGATGATAACTAGACACTACACAATGTTCAGAATATACGTTATTGTTTCATGGAACATTTACCCTCTTTTTACACTGACCAAAATGTTTATACCAAAGCTAAAGACAGATAATGGTGCACATTATGAAGAGCAGTTAGAAAATCACAACACTTACAACCCCCTTAATTATGATCAACTTACTTAAAGCCTTTAAAGACAAGACTGAAAATTGGGTTCAAGAGAAAAGAGAAAGTCTTATAATACCTGTGAATTGACAGAGGGCATAAAATTTAATTAGGGTCAAACACACAGTAACACCGAGTTAGACACCCCCTCCAGAGATGAATGTTGCCAACTGCTTGCTTCTCTCATTATACCAACTTTAGTAACGACCGCATGGTAGCAATACACAGTGATCTAAGGAACCATAAATGAACCTCAACCAAAACGCCACTTTATAGCCACAAATAATACTCAGAACAGCACCTAACTTCATCAACAGTACATATAGGGTCCCAGCCATAGTACTAGCCACCAAACATCTTGATGGCTTTGCCTGATTTCTCAAGCAAAGAGACTAAACACAACTCACCCACTCTCTTCCAGCGGCCGCTTGTTTGTAGCGAGAGCTCAGGCCAGTTCATTACAGACTTCAGTGCAGTGACGCAGCTGGAGGAAGAACATTTATGATAATTTCTTCATGGAAATGCAATCAGACATAGACGCTGAGGCAGATGAACTACCGCGTCTGCAGTGCAAAATAATTAATATGGTGATTATTACTTCAAGGAAATGATAAAGTAATGATCATAAATGTTCTTCCTTGAGCTGCGTCACCCCGCTGTAGTCCGTAATGGACTGGCCTGAGGTCTCACTACAAACAAACAGCTGCTGGAAGAGAGTGGGTGAGTTGTGTTTAGTCTCTTTGCTAAAGAAATTAGGCAAAGTTAAAAAGATGTTTGGTGGCTAGTGCTATGGCTAGGACCCTGTATGTACTGTTGATGAAGTTAGGTGCTGTTCTGAGCATTATTTGTGGCTATAGAGTGGCGTTTTGGTTGATTTTTGTTTATGGCTCCTCAGACCGCTGTATATTGCTTCATCTCTTGAGGCGCTGTCTAACTCTGTGTTAAAGTGTGTTTGACCCTAAATTAATTTTATGCCACTATCCTTTTAATTCTCTAAATGTAGCATTAGCAGAGCCTGTAAATACAGGCTTCTAGCAGGTTGACAGTGGAGCCAAAACACCCTTCACTGGTATGGAAATGTACTACCATGTAAAATAAAAAGTATTAGAAGCTGAGAATGGTTTATTCAAAAAACTGTGGTGTTTTCAGCCTGTTAAGGTAGAGTTCACAGATTGTTGTGCTCTGGAGCAGCTTTCTTCTCGTTACCTGGATTACATGACAGGTTTAAACACTGAAATATTATCCATGCTATCTAGCCTAGAAATTTAGCACAAAAACAAAAATTTACATTTTTGCTTCCGTGGCAACAACAGAGTTGAGCTGCACCGAAACTCTTTCTGTGCAGTGATGTGATGTGTAAAGTCTGCTTGTTCCTGGCACAGCTCTCACTATTCAGAACTAATTACATAATCATTGTTTGGGGTTTTTGACCAATCAGAGTCAAGCATGTCACAAAGCCTGATGATAAGAAACAAAGCTGGGTACTAAACCTCCTATATACACCAAAAAGGATGTGAGTTGACACACTGGCCTTTCATTGTGTGCATTGCTCTCTGTGTGACTCAGCGGGATCAATGGAAACGACCCTTTACTACCGATTATGCTGTAAGAATATAAGGAAGATGTGTGAGCGCACGGATTGTAGGGAGAGCAAATGCCACTGTGGTATGAACAGACCCGATGCAATATGTTGTGCAGCACACCTTGCAGAGAGCACAGCAGACAACAGTTCATTATTGCACGATTACCATATGCTTGCGAGACTGTGGGTTCAAACCTGGTTCAGATCCAGCTGGTGATTCATGTCCCATCTCATCCTATCTCCCCTCAATCCACCGTGCTCTGAGTACAGTACACAACAGAATAAACAGAGCCTCCTGCCATTAAAGAGAAGCTGATGGCCTGTGGAGCTTCCAAATTGTTTAGGATGAATGATGATGAAGAAAATGTTTCCTCTTCACTGGTCATTTTCTGGAGCAGATTCAAAGCCGGCAATGGACTCCTGCCAGGTTGTAGCAGGTGATGTCAAATCGAGTAACTCCTTTCTGCTTGAAAAGTAAAACAGGAGGCCATCTGTGCTTGTGCAGCTCTAAAAGGAACATAAATACAGTCTTACAAATCTCACTTTATGTACTGAAAATGTATGTGTGCATTTTAATGTGTGTGTGAGTGAGTGCATTACATGTATTTGCAAACTGGCAGTGATTTGCAGATAAAAGTCGACCCAGATGTGCAGCCTCTAAAAGATTAACAGCGTGTCAGTGTCATATGATTCAAATTTCCCTGCATTATGAATGTAAGGATGAGTTTAAAAATACACAAGACTGTGAATTATTTAGCCACACACACACACACACACAGACATACACTGGGAGGCTTCCTAACTGGATGCTGCAGTGAATAAAGTGGTAAATTACCCAGGAGACAGTGGGAGTTGGACATTGTATGTTGGCAAAAAGCATTTATGATGCATTCAAGTGCAGCAAAACGTTCACTACAAGTTAGCAAAAAAAAGTTTATTAGGAAAGGAGGAATAATTAGGAGAGAGAATATACCACCCATGGTGTGTGTGAATAAAGCAGTTATTCGCTTTCTGCAGCTAAACTCACTCTGGTGTATTCTGTAAATATCATGACCTAAAAAACAGCAAAAGCCTTTTTAATATGTTGATGGAGATAATTCTCAGGGATATTTCTCATTATGGTGTAAAACTAGAGTTATGCATGCATTACATTATTCTCTTAATTTTTATTTGTCAGAGTCCACCTCCTGTCAACCTGAGCTGACAAATACATTTTATGGTAAAACATCATATTCTCTGCTCATATGAATCATACATATGCATGACTCAAAAAATCTAAATCTTGACTCATTATAGGATGCTGCTGCAAATTTACAGTGGCGAATTGTGCTCTATGGGGAGTGTGTCATACTGGGTGATAAGGTAGCTCCTGCTTGGCCACACAGACCCACGCATGTACACTGCCACCCAGTGGACATGAGTAGAACTATAAGCCCTGGATGAGTCATTCTAGGCAGCCTGATGCCTTCCTTGGCCCCTTGCTGCAGAGGGACCCAGGCTGGGTAATAAATTAGTCTCTTTTAACATTCACAACTGATGGAAGGCATTCTCAAGGTCTGTGAGGATGTGGGTTGAAAGGACTGAGTCGACGGTGTGCAGAGGAGGGAGGAGGGGGAATCCGAGATTTGGGGGTTCTGAAGCAAGAGGAAGACTATAAGAAAACTGGGACAGATAGTGAGCAATTAATGGGGCAAAACTTGCATTAGTTGTCAATGGGTTGGAGAAAAGAGATGTACGTGGGTCATCATTTTGAACTTGGAAAAATCCACCAAACCACAATTCTACAGTGTTATTCCTACACCCAAAGAAAAAAAATCTCACCAACAGAAGTTTATTTTCAGTGGCTTACATGATTACTGGTTTTAGAGGGTTTATAATTAGACAGAAGCCAGAGCACTTTTATATAAAACTTGGCACTGAACATTTTCCCCAAGGACAAGCAAGCTGTATAAAGGCTGTAAAACTTTCAACATTTTTTATTTCCTCTATAACCTTGATGGGTAACATATGTTTAAAAGGGGTCATTGATAGCAGGGTGCTTTATATTTTATGGACTTTAAACTTCAATTTCAGCTATGCTAAGAGCACACAACTCTTCAGTATTCTGCTCAACATTTTGTTCACTTTGGAGTGGCAACATTGATTTACACCAAACTGCTTGAGTGCCCTCCGGCATGGCAGAATAGCTGTCTACCAAGGTGTCTGGTTTTGCCTTGGTTTCTTCCTAAATGGGATCTTTTTCTTGCCACTGGTGCCAGTTGCTTGGTCATGCTGGATTGAAATTTAGTTTTTGTATTAAAGCTAAACCTGCTTTTTCATGACATTTTATGAGATAAATTTGCTGTGACTTGGTGCATCCAAACTGGTAGTTAATTAGTGTAGTGTAAATTGTTTGTGATTAATCAAATTGTATAGAATCATATTGTACTGTCCCATATCATGAATTACCCTCAAAATCAGGTGGTAAAAACAGGTAGTGAATAGTTTCATTTCAAATTGGAAGATGAAAAAGTATCATATTGTATTGTATTGCTTGGTATTATGAGCATCTCTCAGGATTCAGTGATTAAAGGGATATTCCAATGTATAATTAATTTAGACACCCTCTTGAGAGATGAATGTTGCCGACCGCTTGCTTCTCTAGTTATACCAGATTTAGTAACGACCGCACGATAGCAATACACAGCAGTCTCAGGAGCCATAAACAAACCTCAACCAAAACGCCACTCTATAGTGACAAATAATGCTCAGAACAGCACCTAACCTCATCAACAGGACATTCAGGATCCAAGCCACAGCACTAGCCACCAAACATCTTTTTAGCTTTGCCTGATTTCTTTAGCAAAGAGACTAAACACAACTCACCTACTCTCTTCCAGCAGCCACAGTCGGGCCAGTCCATTACGGACTACAGCGGGGTGACGCAGCTCAAGGAAGAACATTTATGATCTTTTCCTTTTCATTTCCTTGAAGTAATAATCACCATTTGAATCATTTTGCACTGCAGACGTTTTGGTAGTTTTTCTGTCTTAGCGTCTCGGTCTGATTGCATTTCCATGAAGAAATTATCATAAATGTTCTTCCTTGAGCTGTGTCAATTTCCTTATTCCAAATGTAAAATAGCAGCAATTTATATTTTGTCATATTGTATCATACCATATGGAATCAGATTGTATTATATCATATCATATCATATCAAATCGTGCTATATAGTGTCATATTTTGCTGTATTAGATCATATAGGAACGTATTTTGTGTTATTACTTACTATACTATCATCAGTTACCCTCAATAAAAGTTTCCCAGAATAAAGTGCTGAAAATCCACATTTTGAATCTAATCTAAAAGAGAAAAGTGTTATGAGCCTATCCTGTAAATGAAAGTCTTTAAAAAATAACAAGACATGACACACTGAAAGCTTGCTCACAAGGGGAAGAGACTTACAATTTAGAAAGGTTAGAGAAAAAAGGAAGTGTGGAAACCTTGAACATAGTGTTGAAAGGAAATGTCACAGGTGTGTATCCATTCGTTGAACTCCTCTCTTCCATAACCAGCAGTGAAATTGCCATAAGACCTCTAAATGACTGTAGACTTTAGTCAATTTCCAGAGTCAGAGCTCCATGAAGTTGAGTAATCGTGTAGTCCAGTCCACCATGAAAAGAATTAAGACAGGCCCTCTATTCATCGCAGGATAAAGAGTCCTCCTTTGCACTTCTCAAGTTAATCTTTTAATGTGTGTCTTTTGTTAATAAATGTTGTTTGTGCCCTTCATTTAAAAATACAAGAGTAATTATGCATACAAGGCACTTTCTTTTCTGTTCAATCACTACCTAGGATGCAATATTCCATCACATAATTACCTCTTGACAGGTAATTTTAGTCAAACAAAGTCTTAATAGATTACAGAAACCTTCATAGGATTATTAAAAAAACTGCCAACATGGAATGATAAATATGTTTTAATAACGGTCATTAATTAAGTCCTTTCATGAGCTTTTATGTGCAGTGATTTATTTCACTTCGCAGCCAAGTACAGAGAGAAAATAACTACATTTCACACACTGAGTGACTTAAATAGGCCATACATTGAAATTCTCCACCTGTCCAAATCTCCAGTGTCTCTCACAGGAAATTACATCATTACACCATTTTTAACTAGGCAGCCCCAGGGCACTGAGCTACTTGATCCATCTTCATCTGTCTCCTTCTCTCAGATGACATCCTCATCATAAACTCCGGCAGTCTGTGCAAAACAAACACGCACACTGTGAAAGCCGAGGAAACACATTGTGAAGGAGCGGTGACATTGACAAAGTGAGAGGGCGGCCACAGTGCGGTGTAACAGCACGCTGCCACTTACAAAAACACCTGCTCCACACTGTCAGCAACTTAACCTTCCATCACCTAAATCCCCACCGGAGGATTACATGTGACAGATGTAGGACAGGAGGGGGTCAAAAGGGCGGGAGTGACAGGGTGAGGTGCAGGGAGGGGTGATAGAAGTGACTTCATAAGAAAGTTTTTCACCAAAGGGATCAAAGAGGGAAAACGAAACAAAGAAGATAGAGAGAGTGGGAGCCATTCAAACCCCATCCATCCTCTGAGATCAGCTGGTGAACTGAAAGCTTTGCTGGCAGATTGAGCGCCCTCTTTGACCTGATGGTTCAGTTAACCTTCGGGTTGAGTCTGCCACCAAGCAGGACAGGAACAGACAGCAACAGAATGTCAGGTCTGCAGAAAAAAAATATCCAGGCCAACCTGCCCTCCATCCAGGACTTATACTGGTCCAGGGTCAGGATAACATCACCGCAGACCCCCTGCACTTTGCCTATTGTTTGAACAAGCCAGTGGATAATGCTGCAAGCACGGGACTGCACTACATCCTGCAACACCTTGACACTGCAGAGATCTGTGCTCGCATCTCTGCTTGACTTTCAAAGATGTTATGGTAAATGCAATAAACACCTTTTCAGATAAGTACGTGAAATGCCAAATTTACATATACCCATGTAATGGAGACTCAACTCAGACTTGGACACTGGGGACCTGACCACTGCACCTGTTTAAGGTGGAGAAAAAAAATGTTACTTTTCTTTGTTATAACAAATTTTGGGGGGCTGATGAAAAACCTACTCAATATTGGGGTAGAGACAAGAGGGAAGATTCCTACATTGAAAAATGCTGCTGAATGTTAGGTATTTGTCTCTTTTTTTCCCTTTAAAAATTAAGTCATTTTCTTTTCGATACTCAATTGCTTCTCTGCAGTAACAGCCTATTGCCTATTGTCAACTCTACAGCAATATTAAGGGAGGAGTTAGGGGATTCATCAGTGTCTATTCTTTGGAGAATATAAATATTTTGGCAGTCCATTTCATGTTTAAGGATATTTCAGCCTTGATCAAAGTGGGTGGTTGACCAAACTCATCCATGGGTGCCAATTTGTGAACAAAAACAAACAAGAGTAAGATTTCACCCTAACAGAAGGGAGTTAATTCCTTGTCAGCGCTGTTGTGGCTTTTTACAGTGTATATAAAGGATGATAAATGTGCTTTTTCACAGTTGAAAGGCAGCTAATGGAGCAGGCAGACTTGTTAGACAAACGGCGCTTTAACAAGGACATGAAAGACACAAAGGACATAAGAGTGTTCCTGAATTAATTCATCCTTCACCGGATGACAGATCTCGCATGTAAACCGTGAGAGGTGTCACACTTTGTTTTTTATTTGCATGAGTTGTGTTCTTCGCAGTATGGGAATTTTCAACAGCCCATCAAGTTTGTCTTTGTGCTGGAAAAGCATTACCAGTAATATTTTATGCAGCGATAGATACACAGATGGCAGGAGGGAAGAGGAGCCACTATTTTTGATTACTTATCAGAATATTAATTTTACAGGGATTTCATCTTAGTTTGATATGATTTAGGTCGTCAGTTTTATTGGTACTTTAATTCAATTTTAAGTCAGGCTCTATTTAAAATGCTTTTCATGCTTTTAGATGAAAACTTTATATGAACTTTCTTCTTATAAAAAATCATAAGCACATTTATAAGGCCTTATAGCTGTATCTGTAAGGCTTTATGACAATCTTTATAAGCGATAATTAGCATTCATAAGAGCTTATAGCAATATTTATGGAGTATTATAAGCAGTTGGCATAATGCCTTATAAAGATATGGTTTATAATGTGTCATACATTTCATAAACAAACACAACACAATAACATAATTCTCACAGTTTTACCCAGTTATAATGGTTGAGTAAAAACTAATTCTGTATTTCATATTATTATATATTTACAATAATATAATATGTAATTTATAATTACATATTATATGTTACAAAGCCTTGTAGATGCAGTTATAAGGCTTATGATGCATCTCATCAAAGGTGGGTTTATACAGTGTGACTGATGTAACTGTTAGTTGTTTTATACGTTTTAACCATTTACATCAGCACTGTTGCATAATGTTTAACAATATCTTCCTTTGCACATAAATTGGTCCTTAATTTGTTGACTGTATAATTTTTTGCTGGCTCATTGGTGAACTTTTTTGAGCCCTACATGGGAACTTTGAAGATTTATTATAGTGTTACCCATTAGAAAATGACTTGATTGTATTTATAGCTGCAGAGTAAGAGAGTTAATAGTGAAAAACATATGAATCTTTTATTGGCATCAGAATTATTGTTCATTTTGAGAGGAGAAATGAATTACTCTTACCATGAAAAGTAAATATTATAAGCAAAAAGTTGCATCCTTAGCTGCTCTCGGGAGCTTAGATAGATGCAGCTGTAAAAGCCACCACAGTCACTCACTATAGCTTTGCTAAATCTGGTGTACCTGAGTATCTATTGTACTACCATTGACTTTAACTTTGGCATTTTGTTACTTGTGGGAAAAGTGGCTGATTGATAGAAAAGTAAAGGCCTACTCTAAAGTTACAACACAGGATTTCAGTTCTAGTTCAATGATGCCACCAGTGTTGGCAGGTGGCAAAAGGAAGTTTGCTTGTATTTTGCAGCAAACATGCTTTTCACAGCTACTCAGAGAGAAATACATATTGTATAGAGAATAAAAGCCGCTCTGTGCCTACAGCTGAAGGCTTATAAAGCTCCTGTGAGAAGTCTTGTCTTGTGTTGACACCGGCATCTCCTTTGAACATTCCTCCATTCCTCTTAACTGATCAAACCTTAAAAGTTTCAGCAATGAAAATCTTCCTGACTGTCAAACTTACTACCCACTGTTGGTAAAAACTTGAAGAGCACTTCATAACACCTCAAATGACACCTACCTAGTGGCTGGGGTGACAACAACAAAAAACACCTTAATGTATGGTTAGTCTTGTGGCTGATAGTTTTACTTTCATTTGTTGGTTACAAGATAATAGTCCTGAAGCTGCATCAAGAGTAAAGAAGGTTCATAGTTCAAATTCTTTAAGTATCTAAAAATGTCATGCATGCATTGCTTCCTGTTGCAAATGACTGTATGAATTAGATGACTGAACGATCCTGCCACTTTCAATGAAAAATAATATGAAAAGAGATCATGAGAGACTCTAAATATAGTGTATATACTCAGGGGGAGGAAAACTGTCGGCCAAAAGAGATACATATCAGAACCTTGGTTAATATTCAGTCATTTTGCATGTGACTCTGTTACCAAATAAACATGTAGCAACAAACTTTTCCAAACCTTAAGTTTAACTTCATACGTAGAGCTCATGTCTGATATCATTCAAACATTTTATTGAAGAGTGGGAGAAAAACCTTCACTCTTCTATAAAGGCAGTCAGAGAAGTAGAACGTCCCCTATATATAGGCTGCCGTCTCAGGTGTGGCAGCACCTGGTACTGTGTGTTCCCATTTTGCCTGACACTGTCTTCCTCAGCTCTTTTTGAGTACTTATGGGCTTAACCACTCAGCTCTTTCAAAGCAAGTTATGACTGTTTAATCCCATCAACAACAGGGATTGCTGTCAAAGTATCATTGAATTTTGACAAATGACAGAGGGAGCCTACAAGTGGGATTCAGCTCAGGGAGGGGAAATGCTGATTCATGACTTCTAAAAACCCCAGCAGCTCACTTTCTTAAGGCTTCATGACTTTTCCTGACCAGATTAATCCTCCATACTCTGAACCAACTTTTCCTCGAGCACAGCAACACCGGGCACCTCAGCAAGAGCTTCTCCTCTGCATCAGTTAAGAAAGCCCTTGATGAACTTATTTTGGTAGGTTTTGCTGATTTTGGGCAGCCCTCATCACTTTTTCTCTGGTTTGGACTCTTCCTTTTTAGTCTGATGATTGAGTTCTTCCTTAGTGTGTTTCACTGCAGTGAGCAGATAACACAACCCACTGTCTTAATTTATTTTACTTCCTGACACTGTCCACAAATGATTTATTACCTCCTGTCAGGGGCTCCTGATTGGGCCATTGCGGTTAAATGAAGCATCATTAGCATATAAGTTATGTGAGGACGCCGTGCTTGAGGTCGACCCCCCAGTCTACCACGCTGGTGATTAGTGGGTGTTTGAAGAAGAGGTCTCTAGGGTTTGACTCAGAGAACATTTCACATCCCCTGATGTGTGAGACAAAACTTCTCTTATGATGTATGATATGCTATGATTAAATCTGATATACAAAAGACAAATTAAGTCATTTAAACCCTTATAATGCTTTTGGTATTGAATGACTGTTATGATATAACTCTACTGTGTGTTAGACTAGTAGTCACAGGAGCAGATTAGGATTCAACATGAAAGTATGAAAAAATTCTTTATATGTGCTCATGATAAATTAATAAAAGCAATGTACATGTGTATTTTATGATGAAGGTTTACAAAACTATCTAAATCTAAATGATGTATTGATATTTACTAAATGATAACATTGTTGACTTTGAGAAAATGTTAAATACATAGCACACAAGCACACTGACTGTCACATGTATCCTTATTTTTAATCTTTTGTAAATGTTTGTGGTTATTCAACTGCTGTTAAAAAACAAACAAACGATGTTTTGACTTTAATTAAACCACCCTTCACCGGTTTCACCCCAGGCAAGTACGCTAAAGTGCATTTTTAAAAAGTTGACTTAAGTAAAAATGATCAAACTAAACAAAAACTAGCTGTTTCAGACAGAAAGAAAACACTTTCATACCGACTCAAGAAATCAATTAAAAGTGAAATTTAAACAAAAAATGGAAACAGAATAAAATCAAAACTGGAAGACAAATAAAAGCCCAGAAATTATTATATTGGAGAGAAGAAAACAGAAATCCTTGATCAAAATATGTTTGGGGGATGGTGGGTAGCAGGGGCTTTTGGCTCTTCCCGGTTGCCGTAGTGTTGTTGCTGGAACAGGAAACAGAATTAGCACATTGTTAGCTGTGCTGCTACTTCTGAAAAGAGCAATGGCAGAATACTCTCGTGTGAAATCGACCAAATTAGTTTTAAAGGGTCTCAAAACGGGGTAGGTGTGTTCTTTTACTCGGTGCCACTAACTTGAGCAATTTGTCTCGTTATTTCCCGCTAATTCATTGACATTTTATGCTATACTAACGCTAGTTCAGACTCAGACGTAACTATTCGTAAACAAACCGCTTTGCTGTCTTTCTTCTAAGTAAACTCAAAAATCACGATCACCGTGCGATTAAAAAAACTGCATTATAACTGAACTGAAACATACGAAGTGCCTGATTAATAAGAAATAATAACAACAAGGAAACACATAAGGTCATATTATCACAGACATTGATGCACATATTATCAGTCAACCTAAAAGAAAAAACACCATCCACTGTTTTGTAACAGATGTCTTGTTTTTTTGCAGGAAGAAAAGGAAGCACAAAGACAAGAAGGGAAAAGCTTCAGATGACGAGCAAAAACTTGATATTGTTGGTATGTGTGTTTCGTTTAGTTCATATTGTTGCAGTGGATAATCATTCATGAGTAAGACAAGTTACGTTCTCCTAAAGCAGAGACTTTATATTGTTTCGTATGATAAAATTGTCAGGATAGATGTGATGAATGTTTGGTTGATAGCTATTGTTTTTTCACCAAGTGATACTGAAAATTAAAGAGTAGGTCAGCTGATGGTCGAAATAGCTGTTTTAACGTTGTTGTTGATTTGCTATTTTTTTACAATCCAGTTATACTTCAAGGGATATTCGGGCGTAAAATTAATTTAGGGTCAAACTCACAGTAACACTGAGTTGCAGTAAAACAACTCACCCACTCTCTTCCAGCAGCCGCTTGTTTGCAGCGAGACCTCAGGCCAGTCTATTACAGACTACAGCGGGGTGACACAGCTCAAGGAAGAACATTTATGATCATTTCTTTATCATTTCCTTGAAGTAATAATCACCATATTAATCATGTTGCACTGCAGACACGGTAGTTCTTCTGTCTTAGTGTTCAGTCTGATTGCATTTCCACGAAGAAATGATCATAAATGTTCTTCCTTGAGCTGCATCAACCCCAGGTCTCGCTACAAACAAGCGGCTGTTGGAAGAGAGAGGGTGAGTTGTGTTAAGTCTCTTTGCTAAAGAAACCAGGCAAAGTTAAAAAGATGTTTGATGGCTAGTACTATAGCTGGGACCCTATATGTACTGTTGATGAAGTTAGGTGCTGTTCTGAGCTTTATTTGTGGCTATAGAGTGGCGTTTTGGTTGAGGTTTGTGTGTGGCTCCTCAGACCGCTGTGCATTGCTATCCTGCAGTCGTTACTCAAGTTGGTATAACTTGAGAAGCAAGCGGTCGGCAACATCCATCTCTCTCGACAGGGTGTCAAACTCATTGTTACGGTGTGTTTAACCCTAAATTAATTTTACGCAGGAATATCCCTTTAAATATTAGAAATAAATTGGTAAGCTTGAATAACCACTTTATTGAATTAATGTCCTGCTCAATTTAAATTGCCTTAGGACTTAGACTTTTATTCAGCTTCCTGTAATTGAGGAAATTAAAAAGTTCTCAGTATACCTGAGCTACAAAAAAAAAAAAGGAAGACAAAGTCATGAGTGATTCCCTTATACTGAGCATATTTGCGCAGCAATTTTGAACTAGCCGGTAACTGTTTTGATATGCCATCAAGTGGAAAAGGAAAAGCCTGTTATCGCTCTGTATTATTTAAAACCACAACAAACTTACGTAAGCGCTGCTATTTGGACTTTTGAGTATAGAATATAAAAAATATCAAAAGTTTTGACACAGAGGCAGAACCCCAGAAATTGTCATCTAAGTGTAAAACCGTACCTTAATGGCACTGTGGCCGTCAAACTCACAACTGTGCGGTCTGTTATTACACCTTTTGATATGAGTCCGTCTACTCACCAGCTGGCTGGTGGACCATCAGCAGCTTTGGGGAAATCAGTGGAACGGTTGCCATAGAGATGCAGAACAACTCGTACATCCATGCCCTGGATAGTGGCCTCTTCACGCTTGGAGCACCACACAAAGGTAAGAAGACATGTCAGGGGGACTTCAAAATTTGACTGAGTAATTTCAGAGGAGTCGAGTCATCCTGGCAGCTTCTTTTACTTTCACTCAATTTGGTCACTGTTGCTCACAGCAGCAGAGAATGTAGAGTCGAGGATATCTAACTTACAGTACTAGGGTTTTCCAACCAAAAAAGGGTATTATTTCTGTACATGAATTAACAGCTCGTAATTATGTTTACACCAAAGATTTTTAGTTTCTTCAGGTTCTGGTTTTCTTTTATATTGTCTTCAGACTTTTTTTTTTTTCCACTGTTGTGTTTGAAATAATTTTCCAGGAACTATAAGAGAAGGCTAAGGCTTGTCTGTGTCATATTTTTGAACATGAACATGATTATTGTTGTGGTACTTATATCATATTTTGATAAATACTGATATCACGGCTAACTTTTTCAATCAGAAATTGATTTTTATCATCAAGCCTCACCCACAATGATATATAATAACAGGAGGAAAAAAGTGTAGCAGTGTCATAATGCAAAACCAACACCATGTAAGTTATACTTTATTCTGCACCTCATTATATCTGGATTTTAAATGGGGATCCAAATTTTTCATCTATCCACTCATTTCACAGTTGAGGACACCCAAAGAAGTTAAAGCTTAGTTTGAGGTTGCCTTTACTGTCGACTTCAGGCATTGCGAGGATGTGGATGAAGGGGGTGTTTGCCTTCAGTCCACAGAGCAGTAAGCATTTGAAATTGTGAATCCAGACACTAGACTGAAAAGGATGAACAGAGGTTGAGTTGAGGGTAAGGACAGAGCTAACTCCTGAATTCTCCCTCACTTCTGCCTTCAGGCACTTCTAAGCGAGTGGTGCTCATAGAAACAGTCTGCCCGGAAGGAAACACTACCAACAGTTAATTCAGCCCACGTTTTCTGAGAACCAGCGGAAACAGCTCGGAGATTGAAACATCCCAATTCCCTTTGTGGGTTTTCATCCTCTGCATGCACATAAGCTCATTTCTGGGAGATGAAAGAGGACGTTAGCAAGCAGTTTAGAAATAGAGATTACAGATTTACTCCTCTTTACTGGATTTTCTGCCCCAGCACCACTCAGCGGATGATACAGCGTTTAAGAAAGCTGCAGGAAATATTCACATTCACCTGCAGGTCAAAGGAAACATACTGCTGTCACTGACTGACATTCTCCAAAGATTCCACCTTTTGAAAAAGCAGCTTGTGACACTTTTTAGCTCCATTAATAATTCTTCCACAGTGTCTCACAGGCTCTGCTTCCCCTTGACCTGAACGCTGCATGACGCACGGCAAACTGTGCAAAACTTTGATTTATTGTGAATGTTTTGAAAGTGACCTGATCACGGGCAGATCAGTTTTACGAAATTATGAGGAACTCAGGCAACATCTGTATAAAATGCAGCATTAAAATGCAACACAATAGTTCCCATCATATCTTATTCCAATTATTCCAAACATAAAAAGTGTCTCAGTGCTGCTAAACTGGACCCACATTAGCACAGAGCTACTAAGCCGGAGGCTTTGAATTATTAATTACAAGGATCCATAAGTAAAACATGAAGCAGATCTCAGGGATAAACTCATGAGAGGAAACTATGCTGATTTTAATAATGGCATACGACTCTTACAGTGTAATTTATTAAAAACGACATGACTGAGTCTGTGTGGCACAAGCTTTCTCTGTCAAAAGCCAAAAAAATAAAAATGTACAAACAACAACATACAAATCTGTTAAAAAAAAAAATCCAAGATGCTGTAGCAAGAGCTTTTCTTCTCCAGGAGGTAATCAGTGTTTCATATGTTCCAGCTGATGAAGGACCCGACCCCCCAGAACAGTTTACTGCCGTCAAACTGTCTAACACAAGGTGAGAAAACAAAACTAAACTGCACTTTGTATTTGTTCCAGACAGATTATCACTTGAATGCATCAAAACTCTCCAAATGTCTCTTCAGCTCAGTACTGATTGTTATTAAACCCTTCCTGTTATAATAAAGACTGTATGTTCCAACAAACTCCAGAAATAACAAATGTAAACTTTCATGTTTGATAAACCGTGCCTCTGCACCGTCGCTGAAGACTGATGTGAGTGTCTTTTGCTGCTGCAGGATAGCCTTGAAGTCTGGGTACGGCAAGTACCTGGGTGTCAACTCTGAGGGTGTGGTGGTGGGACGCTCTGATGCCATTGGTGCCAGGGAACAGTGGGAAGTAGTCTTTGAGGATGTAAGTGGATTTCATCTTAACTTATTTTGACCTTGGTCCGTACGTAGATTTAACCCCAGGTGAATTTGCATAAAGAAGAGAAAGAGGGACATTTTTGACAAATAAAGCTGAACATTTAACTTATTAATGACTTAGTAGATCAATGTAAAGTTAATTTACTACTATCATATTACAATAACAATTTCCTAGGTAAAATAATCCCCAAATTTTACCCATTCCAGCTTCTGAAATGCGGCTATTTAATGCCTGCATTTGTTGAATTGTAAATATTTAAAAAGCTAAATCAGGGGTAGTTAGTTGAAAGGCTGATTCACAATCAGATTGACCGGCTTGGTGCTGCAGTAAACCTGTGCAAACAAGCCAGAAAGAAATCATCTCATCCATAAAGCATGTGCATAGGGTTAAATGCACCACAGACTCTGTGCTGCAGAGCAATTAGCCTCCCTGTGTGCCGGTGCTGTTAGGATGCATTTAAATGAGCTGTTATACATTAATTCAGAGAAAAAAATGTGCCTTTTTCTGTGCATATGAGCCTCGCTGCAAAAACCACCTTATTCTCAAATTCTGTTGCTAAAAGCCAAGTGCAGTTAGAGTAAAATATTTACTGTCTGCTGAAAGCTGGTGGTATTTCATGCTTACATTTTTCAAGATTATTTTTGAGGGCTTTTAAAGTGGTTACTTAGATAGGCCAGTAGATACAAGACATTTTGTTGCTGGAGGCTGAAGAACAACAGTTTTTTGACTCTGGCCAAGCTAGAGGAACCCATTTGAAACTGCTAACTTAAATGGACATTCATCACTTTTCATTCATTTTATCAGACAATAAAAATCTGAAAATTAAAGGTTAAGTAGGAGGATTTTCAGATGAAAGATCAAGGAGTTAAGGCAGTATCACTGTGAAATACTGGATTAAAGGTCATCTTGATATGATGATAAATGTACTTATCAAAATCTTTTTATTTCCACTTACATTCACACGAACAGTAAAAATAGTGAAAGTGATTCCACTTTTTTATTTTTGCATTGGTGTCACATCATGATAAAATAGGCTCTCATATTTACCCACCATCCGCTGCCTTTCACGGCTCGCCTCATGGCTGATTGGAGTTCAGCCCCTCAGAGATAACGCTCGGCTTTGGTCCTGAACTACTAATTCATTATGCAGAATGCATCTACCTTATCACTTTAGCACACTTCTCGCCTTGATGCTTTGTTGAACCTTTAAACAACCTGCCCAGCACAACCTTGAGACTCTTTAACATCAAATATCGGGCAACCTTTCATGCCTGTCACAACAACCAATCCCACTGCAATTCTATCTAATCTACTGCCTCCTCTGCTGTGTCTCTTTCTGTTCCGCCTCAGGGCAAAATGGCTCTCCTGGCAGCAAATAGCTGTTTCATCTCCTACAGTGACAGTGGGGACATCGCGGCCAAGAGCAAGACAGCAGGGGATGGCGAGATGGTGAAGGTGATGTGTAAATTGTGTTCTTGCGCAAGGTTGCGTGTTAATCCTTTTATTTTTATGCAGGCGATCTCTGTGGGGACCTGAGACGGAAGGGGAAAATATGTGTGACCTCACTTCAGGGGGTTCAACTTATTGATATTTAATGCAAAACTCCTCTCCCTAACTATATTTTCATCCCTCAATGGTGAACAGATCAGGTCGAATGCAGAACGAGAGGTCAAGCGTAAAGACGACATCGCAGAAGAAGACAGGGGCAACGTGAAGTCCTGCGAGGTCAATTATGTGTATGTAACCTCCACTATATATATAACTTAAGTGCTGACTTAGCAAACTATTGTTAGCTTTTCTGCATCCGACTCACACATCCTTTAACTTTTAAACGCCATTGAGTGCAGTGGACATTTTTGTTTCGCTTTAATGTGTGATTGAATGAATGAATACAAAGTAAGCTTGTTTACATATATGTTAGACTGCAGTATGTGTGAAACCAAAATAGGGTATGCCGAATGATGACAGGAAAACATAAGAAATATGAGTTGAAAACAAAGTTTAAAAGTTGTTCAGCCATTAGCCCCCTGTTGTTTTTGTGTTCTTAGCTAGTACCAGAGACGATAACACACTACTTGCTAGTTTGCACGACAGCAACTTGACAGCTTTTCTTCGGATTGAATAGGCGCAATGGATTTCACCACTCAAAACTCGGCAAAGCTGCTAATAGACACAATGAAAAGTACATTTTACTGTTAATGTAAGGAGCAGTCACCTGGGGTCTCAAGTTTGGGGTTACTGAAGGTCCTCTGAGCGTCTTAGTTGTAATTCCAGCATGCTAGATGATGCTCCCAAACTGCATCTCAGAAATTCAGACTTCCCAGATCAAATGAAATGCACCGTGCCTGTTTTTTCTTTTTCTGTCAGATAACTGAAGAACTATTGAGGAAGTCTTAAAGTCCCACTCCCATTGTTTTTTTTCTTACTACTTAAAATGTTCTCAGTGGTCTTTAAACTGTGATTAGGAAGTTTTTAGCCAAAATCATGTTACTTGTGTCGTTTTCAAGGGCTTTTCTTCTGCAGAGCTCCAGTAGCTCATTAGCAATTCGCCTCTGACTTGTGGGCGGAGACAGCGCTGCTCTACACACTCCTCCTCGAGTTAGCTTGCAGCCTAACATTGCCGGTGTAGTAGAAGAAACAGGGAACATTTTAGCTATTCAACTCTCGGACACTAATGTCTTTAGGGGCATGATGAAAGTTAATATCATAATTAGCTTTCTTAGGAGCATTTCAATTTGCTAACGCACACGCTTGTTCCACGATCCCCCTCTCTATTCTCTGAGCCTGGCCTGCACAGCGGGGCTCCGGGGGCGTGGCTTGGATTGGTTAAGTAGGAAATCTCACTGTGTCTGATCCTGCTGTCTGGGTCTGCCAGAGATTCGCAACGATTTGAATGAAGAAATGCTCAGAAATGCAATTTTGCACTTCTTTTCCTCATGATATTTCCTCTAGTATCAGAAAAATGCCATATAAACATGTAAAAAAGAAAAACATGATTTTCATCGGAGTGGGACTTGAAACAAAGCAGGAGAGGGAAAAAAAAAATCCTTCTTTGTTTGCTCTAGTCGCAACCACCAGACACTTTCAAGAGCTCCCCAGCATAATAAAGGGTGACAACCATTGCAACACAGTAAAATGCTCTTCCACACTACTCCACAGCCTCACAAATAACCTGAGTGTTATCTGACAGGGTCAATACCAATTAAAAGTTTTACACACAAACACACTGTTGTCTCTTTTTGAACCTGGACTGTTTTCAAAAGGTCCAGATAGACAACAACATATATGAATACATATACAAACATATACATTATTTACATACTGAAAGATTAAAGCTGCTGTGAGGAACCTCTGGTCTGTGTTGACTTTGGCACCCCCTGTTGACAAAATAAAACCTCTTTTCTCTTGTCCTTGCAGTGAAATTTTCAGCCTTCTTGCAGATGGTCTTGTTTACTTTCTTAAAGACGCATCAGTATCAGTTTCAGTCTGTTTCTGAAACAGTTAAAAACTCCTCAGTGTCTTTAGGTCTTTTGTTGATTTGTCCGCCCCTGTTTAAGTGTTCGATAATTAGATATGAGCGTTGATTTGCAGACAAAGTATTTCTTTAAGCACTATTTTTCTTTACTCTGCTCTGAAATTTGCATCTGTGCTCGAATTTGTGTTCCGCAACAGCTTGACATTGTGCTGTTCATCTGTCAACCACCTTTAAAATTGGTGCCAAAGCACTTTGTTCTGATTGAAGAGGAAAACGATGTGATTTTCTTCCCATTATCCCCCCCTCTGTGTCAGTCCGCCATGACAAGAAGTTGACAAGAAAATCACATCTCTGGATGTAGGATCACGCTTTAAAGTTATCCCTCATCTGTCCTGCCCCTTAAAGATGCAGCTGAGGGTCTGCTGGTAGAGGAAGGGGGGTTGAGAAAACAGGCATCACCACATTTTAGCGTCCAATACTCTGATTGTTTTATATATGGCCCATCTGTGGCCTATTAAGACTCAGGCAATACATCCAGAGCTGTTGTTTGCTTGGCATGCTTTGGCTTGGCTTGTTTTCCCACTCTATTATTTGTTTTAGATGAACGCAGAGGAAACAGACTCATCATGTTGACATGTTGATAATGGCTGCCCTTGAGCCCGTGTCTTGATGTAGTGTTAAGTGTCTAAAAGGCCTTTCAAGATGGAGTGCAGCAGGGTAATCATAAAACACAAACAGAGGAAAGAGGAAGTTAGTATCAGGTTCCTTTTCTGACAAGATGGAGTGTTTGTTTAGAGCGCTCTCAGGGTGAAATCTAAATATAATGAAATGATCATTTAAAATAATAATCTAAATATCTTAAAGGCAAGTTTGGTGATGTTATTTAACAGTGTGTCTGTGTGTGTATCAAGTGGTGGGTCATTCCTTTTTTTATACTACGTTTCTATTAATAGTACCTTGTGTTGTGTGTTACAGTAAAAAGTTTCAGAGTTTTCAAGATCGGCGGCTCAGGGTGAATGAGGAAGACTCCTCCTCGCTAAAGAAAGCCAGAACGGATGGGAAGTTCCACGAAGCTTTGCTTGACAGGTCTGAAAATAAGCTCATCAAATATTTTCTCTCAAACCCTTCATTTGTATTTCTGGTGTCATCAATCCTCCTTAAGTTCATACTTTGTGGTATAAACAAAATATATATGCAGAGATATTAAAAACAGCTCAGTTTTTGCTGCACATGGAAAATATTACAGTTTAGCGCTTTCAGTTAAATACACTGCCAATAAACGACTGGAAATATGAGGGCATTAAATCTAAACGCTCACAATCCTCATTTTAATGTAAAGGAGCCGCACTGTCTGAAAATGGAAAGATTTGCTGCAACTGTATCACAGGATTCAGCAGTTGTATTATTCAAACTCGTGAAAAACTCAGTAGTTGGTTTTTCAATTAACCTTGTGCTGTTAGAAGTAGGTGTTGACACAATTACATTTGAGAATTCACTCAAGTGATATTCTCTCACCTGTACACTTAATTTATAATGATAAATGAGCATAATGACTTTATTAGGTAAATAAATGTTTCCAATGAAATTAACTTGTAATTCTTTATTTCCATCACAGGAGAAGCAAAATGAAAGCAGACCGATACTGCAAGTGAAGATGGTCCACGTCTTTGTTAAATGTCTGGATTATACAAGTCTGGCCATTTGATCAGACTTTTAATGTAATTCTTTGTTGTTTTTTAGTTTCTGAATAAAAGCACATGGTCAAAGCAGTGTTTTCTGGTTTATTTCCAAGTGGGATGAATTCCCCTGGAGAAATACATGAACACATGTTGCCCTCATGTTTGTACTGTAAATAATAAACAGTGCTTCCATGAAGCTGTAGAGGGACTGATGGTTTAACCTCGGGTTATTCAGACTTCTCTGTGTTTTGGTTGTACCTTGCAACTTGTATGAAGTAGACATAGTTGAGTCATAGTAGAGTCTTTAGCTTCATCAACAGTCTCAATAGTTTTATTTCTCTCAACAGAAATGAACAATTTCTCAATAATTCAAATAGTCATCAACTGCATTTGATGTATTGACTTATCTTTGGTTAAATTAGTGTCTGAGTAGGGGCTAAAAGCCCACAGAAATCCATAAAAGTAAGAGGTTTTTATTTGTATAGCACAGTTTCAAGTTATTCAATGTTATTTAAGGCATTTCATGCTTGTTATATTACACGTATGTATTCTATGAATTATATATATTATGTATAATATAACCCTAACCCTATAATTTGACCTGATGAAGCTTAATACAATTGTTAAATTTATATAATCCGTAATGCAATATAGATATTTAATTTGTGTGTGTGAAGTCACCTGATCATCAAATATGGCTTAATAAAATTTAGTACATAATGTTCAAAAAGCTCATCACATGTTGGGCACTTTGATCTACATCTGATCCTGATTTTAAGTCACCATGACAAGGCTGGACCTCAGATTTGTTCCTAACCCGTTGGAGTAGGGACAGAGGTTTCCCTGAAGGAATTAAATGAAAGAGGCCATGAGTGGTCATGTTGTTTATTTCGCTTCCGTGTGGAATGAGCCACCGGTCCGTCTATTTGGGGGGTGTTGGAAATCACAGCGCTGGTCATTTCGCCTACGACTACTCTTTGGTAGTAAAAAGAAGGCATATTTTGTTCGTAGTCTTTTAAATGTAATTAAAAAACGTGAAACAGTTTTAGTTTATTAGTGCATAACCTGTTTAATCTGACCTCCAAAATTTCCCGGCTCCCCTCTCTTCCTGAACGTGATGTCATCGTCACGAGATAAACATGAAGCTTCCGCAGTAAACTTCATGTTTGAATCTCCGCTCGACGACCTACACTTTCAGCCAAAACCCTCCAAAATGGGTCACTGTGCTTTCCTCATTTTAGCGGCATTATTTTCTATAGCGTCGACACAGTTTATACCACCGGTAAGAAACATTTTTGTGCTGTCTTAATGCTGTATTACACATTGTTTGGGCTGTATTTATATTTTGACTCTGAAGTCAAAGAAACCTTCGCCATGACTTTAATATGTATTTTTTTTTATTGGCAGTACACTGAGGACTGTCGGACAGAAATGTATCCACCGAAGGGTCCCACGTAAGTAACGTTGGGCTGTAGGAGTTATATTTCTATTGTTGGTTGAGTCGCTGTGTGTTGGAGTGATTTGCTTGTTTTGTAAGCATGGGGTTGTCTCACTGAAATGTGTTGCCTTCACTTGCTCCTTGTAAACCTTCATATCAAAACTCACAACCCACAGTTATCATACTGTATTTAATTATATGCAAGCTCTTAAATGATATGTATTTCCATTTTAAAAAGGTGTATTAAGGCATGGCTTCTGAATTTAATTTGACTTGATATTTGTGTCTAGGGTATATCAGACATAAACGTATATATTTATCACTTTACACAACTAAAGGTGATGGGACTCAGCCTCTGAAAAAGATGTTCAGGTTAGGAACGTGACATTCAGTCAAAGTTAACACGATATTGGTGCAAAGAAGATACTTGTATACCGCAGATTGGATCCAGCTTGTCAAACATGATTACATAGCTACCACCATTTGTCAGTTTTCCACCACTGTAGAACAAATGTGTCTGATTATTTGGCTGCAAATTGTACAGAAATGCAATTTGCCCCACAAGAAAATTCAACATTGCTTTTTTCCTCTTAATTTGTTTTCTATTAAGTAATGACTCTAAAAATGAATTGACTGATTCACATAAGCCTTGTAAAGCATTAAGACGACAAATCTGTAACATGAACCCTGAACTAGGCTCAAGGAATTTGAAGGTGTGGGTGTTTACTAAGCTGTTTGAGCTTGACTTACACTATTTAATGATTCTAGGTGTTTTGTCCGGCTGTCAAACAATTGCTAGTGCACTTTTACATAAATCATATTCACCAAATTTGCACTCTCCTAGGGGCTTGTGTTTGTAACCCAATAAAAGAGGAATCAACAAAAATATGAGACAGTTTTTTGGAAAAAAATGTGTTTTCTTTGTTTTAATTCATAAAAGTATCCAATAGTTCATCTGTTTTTTATTTTCCGTTGCATAACGTTCAACTTGACATTTCCTATAGCACAACTCAATATACACTGAAATGATAAAAATAAAACATGAGCTGCTTTTATAGCTAACTACTTCTTTATTATTTTTAGTATGGAATTATAAGTGAAATGTTAGACAATAAATAGAGTAAGTTTCAATGTAGAAATGCATTGAAAACACTTGTCTGTTTCACTGATACACGTGCTCAAGATTTTCTTTGATGTCAAACAGAGTTGAAAAATCTGCGTCTTAGAGGCTGAAGATGGAAAATATGGAGAATGTTTTATTGAAGCATAACTTGAATTTGTGGGGAAAATCAAAATGACAATAATACATATAGGTTTAAAACTTCATGTCTGGGGACTGTCATGCTCTAATTGTTGTGCGCTACAAGAATTTAACAGCCTCACCTCTCTAATCAGGTACAGAGGAGGGGTCAGTTGGTACACAGTGGACCTCGACCTGCCGCCGAGCAAGAGATGGACAGCTTTGATCTCTGACAAGAAAATAGAAGTAAGAATACTATCAAGTACTTCAACAAGTTTCCCTCAAAGCAAACATATTTTAACATGTGTTTCACTCTTTAAAGCTGGTGAGCATGATTCAGGCCATCAAAGACTTGGCTAATGCGTTTGTGCCCAGCGGCAGGCTGATAGAGCTGGTTGACATCACACTGGTGGGCATCATTTCTCTCTCTGCACCGTTTTTGAATATAGAAAAACTGTTTTTCTTCCTCACTTCCTCAAGCTTAACACCTGCAGTTTGTTTCGATTTAATCTACAGCCCTTTATGGCGAGTACATTACCAGAACCTTTTGGTGAAGAAATCAAAGGCATTGCAGAAGTTTCAGGGGTCCCTCTTGGTAAGAAAAATCAACTTTAAAAAAAAAAAAACTGATTTGAAGCTGTCCAGTTGAGCTCGACCCTTTTTTAAGCCTTTTTCCTCTCCTTATGTCTATCTAGGTGAAGTTGTGTTGTTCAACATCTTCTATGAGGTGTTCACAGTGTGCACATCAATTGTTGCAGAGGATGATAAAGGTGAGTTATAGTCCAAAATGTGAGTGATTAATCAACTTAATATGTTTTTGTACTGAAACGCTTTCCTCCCTTCTTTAAGGTAACCTGTTTCACGGCAGAAACCTGGACTTTGGATTGTTTATGGGGTAAAAATCATTGTGAAAGTCACACTCATAAGCATGCTGATCATGACTCAGGTCCTGTCAAATGTAATCATGAGACGCACTTTCCCTCCTCACAGCTGGGATGTAAAAAACAAGTCATGGATCATTAGTGAGACGCTGAAGCCTCTGGTGGTCAACCTCGACTTCAAGAGAAACAACCAGACGGTCTTCAAGTCGACTAACTTTGCTGGATATGTCGGCATGCTGACTGGCATCAAGCCTGTGAGTCATTCAGTCTTACGTAACTGAAGAGTCAGTCAGCATGAAACACTTTTAAGCATCAGAAATAGCTGTTGAGTTGAGTGGACTTCTTTCACAAGTATTTTGATGAAAGGAAGATTAAAAGGAGTTTTTTTGTTTTTGTCTCAGCACATATTCACTCTGACTATGAATGAACGCTTCAGCCTGGATGGAGGATACATCGGTGGGTGATAAATTATTTAATTACTTAGCAAAGAAATTCCCCTTTGGGACTACTTTTAGTCACTTTAATCTGTTGACCTTTATTTTAGGAATCCTGGAGTGGATATTTGGAGACAGAGATGGGATGTGGATGAGCTTCCTCACTCGCTCTGTCCTGGAAAATGCAAACAGGTATTCAATGTGTGAACAGAGATAGTCTCAAAGGGTTTTACCCACTCGTATAGCCCTAGTTTCTGCAAGCAACCACTTCTTATACTGTCTGCTTCATGCACACAAAAGCTACACAAGTATGATGACAATGTATTGTGCATTTTCCTCTAAGATGAACGCCATAAAAAAACAGTGATAAGACAATAAAATAGAGAAATATGTGAATGAATTACAACCAGGGCTTAAAGCAAACTGTAGAATGAATTAGCTGATGTTGAATAAATTACTTCTTTGATGTAATATAAAGCAGTTTCAAAATAGTGGAATTCTAGCCAGGACTTTGAAAGCAGAAGTAGAGCAAACTTGCATTTTCTGGGACTTTTGCCTCCCAACCTAGCGTGACCATCTCTGTGAACAAATGATAAGTCTTGTCATGCTGTCTGCAGCTATGAGGAAGCCAAAACCCGGCTGGCTCAGACCAAGCTGCTGGCCCCAGCCTACTTCATCCTGGGAGGAAACAGCACAGGCCAGGGCTGCATCATCACCCGGTCCAGAGTGCTCAGTCTGGATGTCTTGGAGTAAGAAATCACATTTATTCTTCATTCATCAGACAGTTTAAGGTCAACTTTCCTGTAAGTTGTCCCACCTGGAAACAAAGACTTTTGTGGTTTCATTTTCAGAGCTAAACAACTCTGTACTATCTGTCATACTGAGGCAAAACTACAATGAAATAGCAGTGATTTGTTTGTGACTGCTCTTTTCTATCATTGGACTATCCAACATAAGTCATGTTATTTGTATTGTAACAAGGTTTTTTTATGAAAGATGTCAAATCTGATATTTCTGGTGTTACTATTAAGAATATTTATGTATGGTTTTGATAAAGAAATAGGTTGGGCAGACATAAAAGTTGTCATTTTTACCAAGATAAGAAGGACAAAACAGGGTATAGAGCACAGGAACAACAACGCCAACAGAGAGCGAGATTTCTTTGTGTTCCCACAGACATCGCAGCCAATAGAATTAATCTTTCTATCAAAATATCTTGAAGAAGAAACGGGACACAAATACACAGATAAGAAAAAAATAGGTGGGAAATTAAGTCATAAATAAAAAGCAGCAGGGTGCCGATGGTGATTAAGTAGAAAAAAAGGATTGATCCAAGCAGAATCAATAAAACCACTTAACATGCTCTTTAAAGTCCAGTGTGTGAAAACAGTGCACAGCAGAGTGCCGCCGAACAAGTAAAATTTCAAGGAAAGAAAAGGGAACACTGAAAAACAGGCTAAAGCTAATGAGGAACTTGGATCTGCTTCAACGGGTTCCAAGGGGAACGCATTATTATTTGAGGTGAATAAGTCGGGTAAACACCAAAGAAAGTCTGCTTTTGCCTGAATATGAACATTTTTAATCTTGGATATGATCAACTCTTTGAATGCTGGAGAGGCCAAAATGGTTTTGATGAGTTGACAAACCTAATTCTCTTCTACGGGGCCCCTTCAGTATGGAGAGCTTGTCATGAATCTGTTATCATCATCATGTCTGAGCTTTTGTCAGTGTTTTACACAAGAAAAACACCCTAAACCAGGAACTGGTCACAGCTTTGGTTTCAGATCACCTGATTCAATATTATGACACATATCAGCTGCTCAACACAGCTGCATGTCATGTCTTCATTTTTATATGTGTATATTTTTTGAATACTTTATTGCTGTATCTCAGGATTGACTTGAAGCTGGGCCGGTGGTACGTCCTAGAGACGAATTACGATCACTGGAAGGAGCCGTTGTTCCTGGATGATCGCAGAACTCCTGCCATGAAGTGCATGAACCAGACCACACAGACGGTGAGTACTGATGACACACTTCTCTATCTGATAAGAGGATGTGAGTGTTTTCAGAAAGTTCAAACCGGCTCATGTCAGTCATGTGGTTTAAGGTCCAAAGTTGAAGTCTGACATTTTATGTTCCTGTTTTATCTTCGTCCTAAAACACTTTTGATAACTTTCTTACTCTAGAACATCACACTAAAGACCCTGTATGACGTCCTTTCAACCAAACCTGTGCTGAATAAGGTGGGTCTTTTATTAGTATTCATGTGCAGTATTCAGAATTACATGAGTTCTGTGTTGTAACTCTACTTCATTGTGTTTTGCAGTTGACTACATACACAACACTCATGCAGGTGTCAGATGGAACTCTAGAGTCATACATCCGGGACTGTCCAAACCCCTGCATGCCCTGGTAACACATCAACCCCTGAACCAGGATCAGTTTGTAAATGCTTATCTGCACACACAGGCTGTGTTGAGATGAGATTGCATTTTGTTAATGTTTGCACTGCTGCTAATCACCCGAACCAAAGTGCATCTTCACAGCCAAATTAATGGATTTAAATCAAATCAAATCAGGTCTTCCTAAAGTTTTGATAAAGTCTCAGATTTGTGTTCGAAGGGAAATTTGTAGAAAGAGAAAATCAAATTTGAGAATTTTCCCCCTCTGTGACGTTTACTGAAATCGTAAATGCATTAATTGCAGGATGACTCTCAGTGTGGGTCAGATAACCAGAGGATGCATATTAGATAATTTATGTAAATATTTCTCCATTTATGTCAAACTCTGTGAATCCACCCCACACTCACCAGTTTGTGCCTCCGAACTTTGACCCTGCTTTAGCGCATTTCTTCAAAGCTGCTGTCAACATTTATATGGAAATATTTCTGACAGATACTGTGTCCTAACATGGCTGACCACTCGCAATCTAGAACTGACTAGCAGAACTCCTACCCCTTTTTTTAATTTGTTAATAAATGTCTAATAAAAGGATTTCAAAACTTGAGGATCTTTTTGTCTTTTTTTTGATCTTGTGAGCTGGATTTATTTTGGAGTTGTTCAGAAGGCTTGAACTGATAGATCTTTACCTAATTTATACAATTTTCATGAATAAAATGTCACAAAATGGGGAGAAAACGGGTAACACTCATGAGGACGTTACGCTGCAGCATTAGCCAGGCCAACACTGTTTTATACTAAATGAGAATGTAGATGAATAAAATCTCTCAACCCAACAGAATTAAAAGGTTCAGTATTTTATTATTTAAAACTTATGACTGTAGTCAACATTTTAATTACAGCAAAAATCAATGGAGATTAAAAGAAAAAAAAAACATATAAAGATGTGTCTGAACGGATAAAAGCTAAGCCTGAGCTCTGGGATGAAGGAACAAGAAGAGGAACTATTAAGCCCAAGTCCTACTGTAATCTCAAGAACAGGAACCAAGTGCAGAAGAGAGACACGCTGAACAGCGGTAAGGCCAGGCAAAGACAAATAAAACATTTTCAAAACTCAGTCAAAGTGATCCCAGAACCAAGAACGAGGCCGAGGCAGATCTGAGGAGGAGTTTCCGAACTAAAGAGGCTTAACTGTTGGCTGTAATCAGCAGCATAAAGACAAACCCTCCCCAGGTCACCCATAAATCACATTAAACATCCAGGAATAAAAGAAACTATGTGTGTATTATGTGTAGTGTTTTATCTAGATCTCAGCTATCTTGTGGCAAACTGTGTGCGCCTTTAAAAAAGCAGATAAAGAATCAAAAATCAAACAGAACAGAACAGATTAAGGGTGTGTGGATAGAGTCTCTACGAGCAATAGATATTCATATATCTGTATAAATCTTCACACACCCTGGGCTCCAACCGTTTCTGAAAAAGACAAAGAAAAACACATTTTTACTCTCCAAGGGTCGGACTGTTTGAGCAAAGATAGCAGCTTATTCCTCCGTGGATGTAAACATGCCAACAGAAGACAGTTTTTCGGGGGCTTTTCTCAGCTGTTTGGCATCTCCACGAGCAAAACTAATTCTAACTGACAGGGATTTTAATCCATACCTGGTTTCTTTAGGGCCTGTGCGTTTCCCACCAGCCCAGTCAGTGATGCGGTGTTTCCATTGAGAATCTCCACTGACAGGTTGTTATTCTGCTGCTCCTCCACGATCCTCTTCTGTAGTTCCTCCTGATGTGAACACAGCGCAGTGGATGGTTAGAAAACACAAAGCTTTCATTTGATATTAGCTTTGATGTGACAATTTTACACACCTCACACATGACTGTAAGCTGCAGCGGCAGGTCATCCACCTTCACAAAGTCTTCTTCATCAGATTTTTGACTGGTATTCCCCGAGCCAACCTCCTGCGTAGACAATAACAGGTAGATTGAATTATCGTGCTCTTGAGCGTTCAGTAGCGCTGTTTTTGACAAAGTTCTTGGTAAACTGAAGCATCTTTGGCTTCGTACTCACATCAACATTGATCATGACGGGTGAGTCTGTATCAGGGCTGCTCGTGGTGGTGGTGGATTCCTTTGGGACATCCTGACCATCAGAGACTGCAGAGCCTGCTTCCGAGTCAGCAGCTGCTCCGGCTTTGGCCTCCTCCTTCGGACTCTGGCACTCGGCCATGTCACAGTCCTCTGCTGTGGAGCTACCGGTCCCACCTGACCTACTGATTTCTAAAAACAAAGAAAAGGAGCTTGTTGTTGAACAATAACGGCAAAACAAAGAGTGTAAAAAGATGTTTTCCGACAGACTCAGAGCCACTTTTAAACATTCTACTCTAAAGTCTCACCGTCGTCATTCTCTGAACTCTTCTGCTCGGTTTTAGAGTCCTGTGTTTCACTGGGTGTTGTCTTCTGGAACATGACAAGATTACAGACGTCAGACTAAGATTAACAAGAAAACATCTCTAAGCGTGACAGTGACACTGACCTCCTGCTCCACCTGTCCATCAATAGACGCCTGCAAAGACGTTTGGACGTCGACGGGTCCAGCTTCAAACTCCTCCATTTCCTCTTCATCGTTCTCATCTTCTCCACTGCCGTAGTTTGTCAGCGCCTGAGTCTCTGCTTTTGAAAGACCTAAAGAAGAAACAAGAATGATGGACACATTCCTGGAACATTAAACGAGTTTATACACACGGGAGTGCAAAGAAACATTTTGGTGTATATCCATCGTTCTTTTTTAATGACGGTGCATCCTATTTAGCTTGACCTTATAAAAACAAGGTCAATTTCTTCATATGGTATTCGAAAAAAGCATCACTGGCATTTCTCATGACTGCCGTATTTTCCGGACTATACTTCGCACTTTTTTTCATAGTTTGGCTGGGTTTGCATCTTATACTCAGGTGCGATTTATATATATTAAAATATATAATTTCACACGTTTGTTATTTTCACACTGACACTGACAGCGGCACTCTTGGCTGGTGTACCACTATCTGCTACCCCTGTACCACTGAAGATTTAAAAATTAACGTTAGCTCATATCGACAACTAAGAAAGACTGAGCACAAGTGCCGCCAAAAAGAAAATCATATTCTGCAGATTACAAACTGCAGATTACAATCTGTAAGAAGTGAAATATGCAGCCGAAAACGGCAATCGAGCAGCGGAGAGAGAGTTTGGAGTGAGCGAGAAACTTGTGAGGGACTGGCGAAAACTGGGGGTTACTCTCACTGCGATGAAGACAACAAAAAAAGGTAATCCTGGTCTAAAAGCTAGATGGCTAGATTATTATTATAACTTACCTTTCAAGATGAAATGTCTGTTCTTGGTCTTGGATTTTGTAAAATAAATATCCCCTCAAAAATGTGACTTATACCAGTATATATTTTTTTCTTATGCATTTTTTGGCTGGTGCAACTTCTACTCCGGTGTGACTTACATATGGCTTTTTCTTCTTCATTATGCATTTTTTGGCTGGTGCGATTTATACTCCGGAGCAAATTATAGTCCGGGAAATACGGTAGTTTCTCTTTTTATAGATTCGACATACAAATTAACTGAAAAAAAAAGCAAATACAACACATCAAAAGTTGAAACTCACGAGAAGAAAAAAAAATCTGTGCCCATGGGATGGCTGGCCTGAACATCTGGGAAGGCATCATTAATGCTGAATACATATGCTGCCAACCAGATAATGCCTTTTTAAGAAAGATCTCACATAGTTCTGCAAGACATTACCAAACCTCATCCTGCCCCACCCCAAAGTGAAACAGTCTGGGCACTAAGCTGGCCAGCCTGCAGTCCCGACTTGTCACCTGTTGAAAACATTCAGAAGTTCTCACATGCGGCCCTTTTTACTACTTTTACTTACTAATTGACAGAGGCATTCCTTGTGCATCCCCTTCATCCTCCTCTTCCTCCTCTTCCTCAGAAGCGTCACTGCTCCTGCTGTTCTTCCTCTCTGTCTGCAGGCCGTTCTCCTTTACAGTAGAATCCCCTTCCTGCTCCACCTCCTCTTGGTCCTGGAATAAAGAGAGAGAGACATCATTGTAGCACAGATGACTGCAGTGCTAATTGGTATTGACGATTACATTATCAGTACTTCAATGACTGACCTTGTCTTCATCAGTGTAGGCTGGGGAGGCTGACTTATCTCCTCCAGTGTCTGTGTTTTCCTAATTAGAGGAATACATTAACACCCAGGGTGAAATTAGTCTTATTCAAGCAAATTTCAATGAAGCAGCCTTAAACCGACCTTCCAATATTTTAGTAAAATACTCGAGTAGGTGTAGCAAACTAACCTTGAGACACTGATTTGCTTTACTAAGTTGCTCAGCCCTCTTTTTATTCTTTTGTTTGGCTGCCAAGGCTGTGCTGCTGCTGTTATCCAAGTCCTGCATGAGCATGAAGAAGGCCAGTTCATTGAAGAGTATCTCGGAGATCTCCACAAGGAGGTCCTCCCCACAGTCCTTTAGAGTACGGCCTACAAATTTACTGAGCGAGTCCTGGGGAGCGAGAGAAGAGAGTAAGAAGTCTGCTGAGTTATGTTTTTTATTTGAACTGCTAAGACTTGGCCAGGACCCGGTGTTGGCAGCGGTCGTACCTGCAGTATTCCTCCCAGCTGTCTGTGGAAAAAGCGGACGAACTCTTTGCTTTCATCGTTCTGTTGGGTGAGAGTGAGGACCATGCGCCGCACAGAAGTCAGCAGCTGGAGGGAACACACCTCATCCATGTTCTCCTGATTAAAGACAACAGGGAGCTTCTTAAATTTACAGCACAGAACCCAGATGAGATGGTTAATGACAATATTTCATGTATTTCATGCCAGAGATGATTAATTTAAACGAAGGAAGATGCTAAAACACGACTTGGACATAAACATGATGAGATCAGCAAAGAGATACATCTTTGCCTAGCGGTTGCCAGTTTAGACAAAAACCTAGAAGTCCTTAAGCAAAGGATAATGTACCAGAAACTTCCCCTAGTTCGTCATCCTACCTTAAAGAAAGGAATGACTTCTGTCATGATGGCTTTGATCTGTCGATCCAGCTGCTGGGTGTCAATCTGAGGACAGTGCACATCACCGGCTGCACCACCTGCTCAGAGACATCAAAAACACCATCAGCTGATTCAAAATCGCAATTAAAATCACAGACTGTGGTTGCGCTCTGAAAGTGTTTGCACGTGGAAAACTCTGGCAGGCTTGTTATTTGGGTACCTTCCGCTTGGTCTGCAGGGTTAGCGGAGCGGTGTTCGGCGTTTGAGGCTTCAGAGCCGCCTGCGGTGCTGCCGTCGCAGGGGTTAAACTCAGCCTTAAGCTTCATGCGCTCATACTCTCTAATCCTGGCCAGAGCCTTGTCTAAATGAATCACCGTGTTGCCTATTACAGCAGCAGAGAAAGAGGAGTGGGAGAAGAAAAGAAAGAAAAATGGCATCCAAAAAGTTTAAAAATCAATAAAGTGAGAGGGAGAGGACTGTAGTGGACATTAATGCATTTGTAAGCAAGTTTACACGACAGGATCAAACTTAGTATTCCCGCCTCACTTCCAATCATTTTTGCTAAAGATACGAAAATCGAAGTCCATTCTCTTAAAGGTGGGGTAGGCAGTTAAGGAGGCATCTTTTTTGTGGTGTATACACAAAAAAGCTTTTAATATCAGTCAATATCTATTAGTTATTGATGACATTTGGGAATATCATGATATCGCTGTGTTCTTTTATGTCTGTGTAGTCAACATTTGAACATTTTTGAGCATCCCGCTCTTTCTGACTGTAAACAAAGCCATTCTCCGCCTCTCCCAACCTGATTGGTTGTGAGGCAGACGCTGCTCCCTCGTGTTGTGAGGCACGCTCCACATCCTCGAATAACGTTCACGAGCCTAAACCAAGTTAGCGTGCAGAAACCAACCAGAAAGTACGTAATTGTCTGAATCCTGGAATCCTCCTTTGGCCACGACTGCCAACACAATCAAGAAAACAAAGTAAATACTGGAGACTGGCAGAATAACTGGCACTTAAAACAGAGGTAGACCGGACAAGAGCTAAGAAGCCGGGTCAACATCAGCATGACCGATGGGGGTCGCTTCGGGATCTTACAGACCCTGTAACCTTTCTGCTGGATGTAAACCGTTATAACAAAGTAATCCAAGTGTCTGTAACAGAAGTGTTTCTTATCAAATGGGACCTGCTGCATGTTGTAAAGCCGCTTAACTGTTTACCTCGGGTCCTGGACTATGTCACTACATCCTAGTTGTTGAAGTCCTGCAAACATTGTGTTTGCTGGTCGTCTGTTGGCATCTACAGTAGCACCAATGCTTTTTACTTTCATGTTGACTGGGCTCCATTTGTAATTATCTGAAATATTTATCTGCATTATATCTGAATTTAATTAAAATGATACGAGCGAGCAGGAGCGTCTGTTTGTGGGCGGGGCTTGCTGGAGCAGAGAGGGAGGGGAGAGGAGGAGCTGAGGGGAAAACTGGTTGGGAGGGGTAGTGTTTACATTTAAGATTTCTCCCAAAAACGGGCACTTCCTCAGGTCCTGCCTACCCCACCTTTAATGAGTAATAATCTCCCACTAAAAGGTATTCGTCTTTATTTTAGTTACACATGATCCTGAGGTGTAAACTGTTTACCAAAACAAGCTCTTAGTAGTCCTGCTGAGCAAAGAAAGAAAGCGTTCTTCATCTGATCAAGTTAAAAGCCAGTAAGCAAAGCACTTCATGTGAAAACCAGAAGGGAGAGAAGGGTTTCAGATTGGCATTTAGCTTGACGAGCTTCACCTCCTTGTTTTTCAGATACTTTGCACATGCATTCTCTATTTTACCCAGGTCATCATTGGCAAATGGTTCCAGGTTGGAGGATGTTGACATGGTGCTTTCATTGTCCACAAACTCTGCATCATCCCTCTTCTTCACTGAGTACTGTGGGAGCCTCAGGTTTTTCTCCACCACCTCCTGAAAAAGGTAGAGTTTCCTATGAGTGGAGATTTCATACGGGCAAAAAAAAGAAAAACCCTCAAACACATATGATGAAAGACAGCAATGGTGGCTCCTCCGAATGAGGAAAATTAGACATTTCATCCATCATTCTTGAACAAAGGGATTATTTAGACACAAAAAAGGACGTACTGCCAATTAGTATAACTCCAGGGACGGTAGCCCAGAACAAAGAACACATGTCTGATCTGGCAAAAAGAGTCGTGCAGAGGAGGGTCTTTTTTTTTTTTTTAAGACAGGCCTCTGAAGTCTCACTGTCAAGTTTCGTTCAAAGACAATAAAGATGGGGGCAGAGAAATTTTAAATCAGAGGATAAAGACAGACATAGAAGGATGAAGGGAGGACAAGGCAGGGAGGGATGAAAGCAGACAAGACTGAGAGGAAGAGAAAGAAATGAAAGATGTATTGAAATGGAAGCGAGTAAAAAAAAGGTATTCAAAAAAGGTTACAAGGAGGATGATGGGAAGGATTGAGAAAAAGAGTTCAAGATTGGTGAAGGTGTGAGGAAAAGTGAGAACCAATCAGATTTGTTCTCTTACTGCGTCACTGGAATCCAGACTCTGGCTGGGTGTGAGCTCAGACTGAGACCCTGCTGCCCACGACACAGCTCCGAGAGGGGGCAACTGGTCCTCAGCTGCACTCTTCTCTGTCAGGTGTCCAGTCACAATGTCCTGCCAGAAACGTGAGACCATTGTAATCATGCTTTCAAGGGAACATGGAGGCTTGGCTCAGAGAACAAGACTGGAAAATCTTAATAACTAGCTCTGCTCTCACACTGTGATAGAGGTTTCTATTTTTCTTCTAGTTTCACTCAGACAATTCTCAGCTGTTCTTTCTCTACTCCATGCTTGGTGTGACACACACACACAGGCACACACCACAAAGGTTAGGTCAACTTTTATACACTCTAACTGGCTTCAGGTGTTATTTCTACATTGCCAGCACCTGTTACTTGCCACAGGTGAGTGTAAATAAGCATCAGCATTGAAATAAAATGATTGACCCCAGGGCTCGACAGTGCGACTGTTTCACTCGCATTTGCAACTAAAAATAGATGCAAATTGTAAAATGTAAATAGGGGCACATGTGCACAAAAAAAAATCAACCGAGGCAACAAATGTTTTTTCATGTAAATACCACAGTGAAGTTAGTTTTAGGTTGGATATTTGATGGACATTTACTGATGATCTTCCAGTGTCTTCTCACTCTCCATAATGGGGCATAGCAACAGCAGCGCCGTTAAATCTACTCGGCATCCTCACACTACGGTGTTGAATAAGGGGCCGTCAATAAATTACCAGTTGATGTTCTCAAAAAAGGCTGTTTTCCTTCAATAGCTCCCATGTCATGTGACCAATTGACCTAAAATTGATTTCAAATAATAGTACTAAAGTTGAACAATAGGACACACCTCTTTATTTCCCTAATTTGTCCTCTAAAACTTTTTTGGGTTAAATTTAAAGACAAATTTTGTACATTTTCTTCAATAGCTTCCATGTCATGTGACCAGTTGACCTAAAATTTATTTCAAATAATAGTACTTATGTTCACCAATAAGACACACACTATTTGATCAACTTTTATTGTGCCCCTAAAGTTCTTTGTGTGCTCCTTACATGTGCTCATTGTGAAAAAAGTTAGTGTCAAGCCCTGGACCCATACACAGGGTGCCAACTATTTTGTCTGGCCCTTTTTTTGAGTTTGGTGTACAATTACGCCAATTCTGTTTTTGTTTTTTTCTTGTTTTTTTTGTGTGTGTGTTTTTCTAATGCACATAAATGCAACAAACATGCATACATCAAAACATTTTGGGAGGAAAGTTGTATTTTCTGTAAAAACTTTTTGGGGTGCCACTACTTACATCCATGTCTGTACATGGACGTAAACTCACCTGAAGGGAATACAGCGCCCTCTGCCGTAAGTAGTCTGTATTGAGCAGCTGCAATTCATGGAAGAGTTCAATGAGGAAATGAGGACGAGACTCATTCTGGGAAATCAAAGTAGCCACCTCAGAGTAGATGGTCTCCCTCAGTGCCTCAAAAAGTGAGAAGTCACTGCTCGCATCTGCAGGGGCAAAATTTAACAGAATTAAAGGAAATTGTTGCTTAACATACAGATTTTAAAACAAGTCTGCCCAACGACTCAGAGGTTTAGGTTCAGCCAAAAAAGAAGCATGCTTGAGATGTTTAGGGGACATAAGAGCAAAATGATGCCTGGATTGACAATGTGAGTTTACCTGGTGCTTCTGTGCATGCAATTCTGTTAGAGAGGAAGGGTGTTCTCCAAGCATAGGCTGTGAGTGGGATAAATTAAAGTGACAAGAAAGGAAATTAACCCAAATAATAAAACAAACGAGAACATGTCAAATGATTTCAATTCAATTCAAATGGTGCGCTTGAACCGAGAGGTTTCTGCAAGTCTGGTCTCTCTGTATTGTATATTATTTTTGTAATTTTTGCTAGATTTTTTTAATGTTTTTGTTTTTTTTGTTGTTGTTGGCTGTTGGTGGATACTTCTGCTGGGCGAAGAGTTTACTCAGGAGAAGAGCTCCTTTCATTGAGACAAAGTAAATCTGGACAACAACATCCAATCCCAGAGGACATCAGGAGGTGTTATTGTGGTTGCTGTGCTGGTGAAGGCAAGAAGCTGAATACAGGAATCTGATAAGAGCCTTCAGCGAATGGAGCCACAAAAACTACCTCCTACTCAACACCTCAAAGGAGATGATCATAGACTTCCGCAGATCTAAACCCCCTCTTCAGCCAGTGAACACCCGTGGAGTGGACATCGAAGTGGTGACATTACATAAATATCTAGGTGTACATCTGGTTAATAAGTTGGATTGGTCTCAAGATACAGACTTCATCTAAAGAAAGGGGCAGAGCCGCCTCTTTTGCCTGAGTAGACTGCAATCAATAGACATCTGTGTTAAGATGCTGCAGATGTTTTATCAGTCTGTGGTGGCAAGTGCTCTGTTCTACGCTGCAGTCTGCTGGGGAGGAAGCATCAAACACTGGTGAGAAAAGCTGGCTCTGGGGTTGGATTCAATTTGGACTCAGTGGAGCATGTGGTGGAGAGATGCTCACTAAGAAAGGTGGAGACTATTCTAAAGAATATGGATCACCCACTTCATAACACCTTGATGGACCAAAGAGTTAATGGTGGTGGACGGCTCCTCTCTCTTCGCCGCAAGACAGAAAGATTCAGAAGATCTTTTGTACCCACAGCCATCAGACTTTACAACTCTTCTATAAATAGTAGTTGTCTTTTGGAGATATGACAAATTAGACGAACTAAAGTTATTCTTATTCTTATGTGCAAAGAATATATCAAAAATGACAATGTGTAAAATAAGCAGAATGTAGGTGTTTAAAAGTGCAAAAGAAAAACAAAACAGAACGACACAAGAGAGGTGAAAGGGGTGTGTAACTGTCACTAAGAGTGGCATGACCCCTACCAGAGGAGAGGTCATTTCTTTTACTCCCGAGCTTAGTCTTGCTGTCAAGTTTTTCTTGGGTCAGCTTGTCCAGCAGACTCTTGTTCTGATCCTTCTGGCGAGACAGCAGTGCCCTCTCCTGGGCAAAGTCTGCAGTACTGCTAACACTGTCACTCTCATGGCCTGAGGAAACCACAAACATTTCCCACATTAGATATTACATTTGTTGAATAACACATGAGAATTAGCCTCATTTCGAGCTTCATTTTCTCACCTTCACTGTTCTTGTTCTGCCCTTTGCTCTTCCTGCGTCGACTCTTAGAATTGGGTATTTTACTCCGTGTGGCCAGGTTTGCTTGCGCGGATGCCTTGCGCCCGCTCTTAAAGGTCTTAGCGATGGTGGTGGGGTCGACGGGATCAGGCATGCTGCTGAAGCTTTCCAGTGACGCCCTGTCAAAGTCTTGAGGATGGCTGTGACGATTGGCAGAGTTGGGGGAGAAGGAGGGAGAGTCCTGCAGATCCGTTTTACACTGGCGACTATGGACGTTGTTATTGGTGTAGGAGGTTTTAAACCAGCTGGTGGTTCTAAAGGGTCAAAAAAGAAAAGACATCAGCTAGAGTCATGATATGAATTAATTTAAATGTCTCCTCTGGCCAAACATGATGGACATACCCTCTCTCTGTTGTGGTGTTAAGAGGAGAGCGCTGCAGTGGAGGAGGGAAACTCATATACTCTGTTTTGATTGAGGTGTTCGGGTCCAGCTGCTGCTTCTGATGGTCAGGGCTTGCCTGAGCTGTTGGCCCTTGAGAGAAATCACCCATTGGAGCAGGGAAGAGTGGATACAAGTTAAAGCCTGCAGAGTACCAAAAGAAAAAGATGCTCATAATTTGGGGATCGATACAAGCAAAACAATACAACTTCGGCTTCTTGTTGTGCAAAACTGAGTCATTGAAAAATCAATAACTCGCATCAAATCCAAAAGTAGAACATTCAGTTAAGATGTTGTTCAGTCAGTTTGTTTTAGAAATGATCCATGTATAATTGGTTTGTCACCAAAATGTTTTCAAATAATCCATTACAGCTTTTTGTAACTTGTCGCATTTTCAGCATCGTTTTGATTTTTTCTTTTGGCATTTGTCGCCTTAATGTTTCCTAATAGAAACATGTTTTGAGGGAGAATTAAGCTGAGAAGCTAATGAATATGTATAGCTCACTGGGAGGGAATGGGGATAAGGCAGCGGTTGACATGTTGTTGGTCGACGGTTGCAGGTTGGATGAGAAGGGGGGAAAGAAACCAGGAGAGGCAGAGGGAGCAGGGTTGGATTCCTGGGCTGAACTGTGCTTCTGTGTCTGCCAACCTGCTGCTGGAGCAGAAGTCTGCTGCTGCTGCTGCTGCTGCTGTTGTTGTCGAAGGAGGTCATTTAGGACCTGCTTCAGCCTGACAGAGGAGAAAAAGAGAGTTGAAACACTTGACATGATCGTTTGGTTCATAGCGAGTTTCTTCGCCGCTTTTTATACCTTTGTACGTTATTTTGCTGCCAAGTCAGTTGAGTGTAACACTGGTTGAGCTGGTGCATGACCAGGTGGACCTGTGGTGATGACAGATTGTTGGGTAACACGCTGTACTGCCCTGTCAGCAAGGTTTGTAACATGTAAGAGAGGGACTGTGGAAAAAAAAAGACAGAAAGGACAGGAGTGGTTATTGGTTGTTCTAATCAGGGAGACAAAAAGTGCAGTAACTAGAGAAATTTAATCCCGCTGTCAATTGATCTTCGTGTGCAATGCAAGTGTCTGTCAATTGTAGAGGTCTGTGTCTGCGTGTGCTCATGAATATGTTAAGTGCACCAACCTGCTGGTCCTGTAACAGTGTCTGGCACATGCTGGTGCTGAAGTCAAGCTGTCTCTGCAGCTGGCTGACCTGCTCCTGCCAGTGCGACGAGCCCTCTGCGAAGGAAAGCTCCGACACCCAGCGCAGGTTCTCTTGTCGCTGTGTAGCTCCATGCTGGCTCGCCGACTGGTTCAAACTCCTGCACTGCTGCTGCTGCTGCTTTGCGTTAGTCTTATTATGATAGGATGAGTTCCCACTAGCTTCACCGGAGAAGGCTGGTGGAGGCTTCAGGTTGCTAAAAGACACAGAAAATCTTGTTATAAAACCCAGGTTACAGAGATCAGAGCAGTCTGATCCTTCTGCTCTCAGTTTCTCTGACCTTCCTTGGTTCTTTCGGTTACTGTAGGAGCACTGGTTCCTGCTGGATGAGTAAATGTGGATATCGTCATCAGAGCTACTCTCCACAGATTCCTCTTGCTCCTCTTCCTCCTCTGCACACATCTCTGAGTGATAGTCAGCTTCATCGTCATCATCATCTTCGTCGTCAAGGTGGCAGGGGGTGGAGCCCCAGGTGGCCATGGTCCTGATGACACATTAAGAAAATAGATAAACTTTTAAAAGTATTCCAGATTTAACGTTTAAAGTTGTTTTCACTATATTTTCCTTCTATTTGATTCTTCAGTATTTTGAATGACTGGGAAGCGAGCACACTCCTGTTAAGGACAATGGAGCTGAACATGTTTCCTACCTTTCATCCCTGCTGACAGGTTGTGAGGGTGAGGCGAGGCCTTCTTGGTCTTCAGTCTGCCCGGGTGAGTCGTTAAGTCCACTCCGTCTCTGGTGTTCAGCCATCAGGGACTCTAAGTGCTTCCTGCGCTGTCGCAATTCCTCTCGCAAGATCTGGTGACGGCGCATTTCTGACCAAAGCTGCTGACCACAGAGAAACAGAGCCGAACTGTTGAATTTGACCTGTCCTGTTCTTTAAGTACCTATGTGAGTTTGGTTCTTGGTGACTGTTGGTGGAGTCTATTACCTCATTGTCAGTCACTAAAGAGGTGGCAGCTTCTTGAGCTGTTGGTTTAAGCATAGCGGAGTTGGTTTTGGGTCCAGAGGAAAGCTGAACAGGGGCTGGGGTGGAAACCGCAACTGGAACCTTCCGGAGTAAGCCCTGTGGACTCATAGTGCTGGACATGGACGACTAGAAAAAAGACCACAGGCAGATGAAAGATACTTTAGTCATTCATGCTGTAGATTATGATGTTCTCTACTGAGAGCTGTTTTGGGGAATTAGTCATCCTTTTAGTGTTTATGCCCCACAAAATAGAACACCCTGCCTGACACAGTTAGACATGACACATCAGTAGCCATCTTTAAAATCTTTTTTTCTACAGCAGTCTGTTGAACTGTGTGTGTGTGTGTGTGTGTGTGTGTGTGTGTGTGTGTGTGTGTGTGTGCACGTTTGCATGTGTCCATGTGTGGTTGTGTGAGTGCGTGCGCATGTATGAGTTTAAGTGTGCACACGGTGAAATTGGCATACATATGCTTGTTTACTTGCACTTGCACTCTTAAATTGATTTCTAATTGATTTTTATAGAACTGTTTTTACTGTAACTATGTTTACCTGTTGTGAAGCACATTGAGTCTGCCTTGTTCATGAAATGTGCTTTATAAATAAAGTTGAATTGAATCCCAAAACATGTTTTTGATTGATTCTCTCTCCAAAGATTATTTGGGTATGACAGGAAACCTGTGCGTTTGTGTGTGAAATACCTGGAGGTCAGGGCAAGCCCACTGCAGGTCCTGGATCTTGCCTTGGATTTCATTGAGCCTTTGGCGTTCTTCATGGAGCTGTTTCAGCTCCTGCTTCTGCTGGCGCAGCTTCTCCTCATACAGCTTCTCCCTGAATTTGGAAGAGTTTGATAGAACGCACATGCCAGACAAAGTCAGAGTACTGTTTTCTGACAGCAGCACAGACAGTCACACCATCGCTTTTATTTATGTGTTTATCTGACAGGGACAATACATGCAGGCATTGTTATTTCCAATTAAATTAAACCGATGCCGTGTATACAGGACTACTAGCCAAAGCTAACCAGCCGTCCTTGTCTCTGGTTAGACAGCTGGAAATACGGCACATAATTCACTAACTACTAAAAAACTAACATTATAACAAGTACAAACAAGCAATCAATATATTTGCATAAAAACCAACAGCAAAGCAGACATAAAACAAACATTATGTCCTCTTTAGACTTTTTAGAAGTGTACCTGGCCTTGCTGGAGAGAGTGAAATCTCTGGGATTTTGTTTGGCCCCCAGTGACCCCGCTGCAGTACCTCTGGTATTATTGGGCTGTTGGTGTAAAACTTCATCCTCGTTAGTTGTGGTGACATCTGTGTCATCACTCTGGAGACGGACAAAAATACATTTACAGCGTTCAGGTTCAGATTGGGTTCGAGCTTCACACTAAAACATGTCCAACCACCATTTCTTCAAATCAAAATCCCACCTTTATCATTCTGATCTAAAGAATGCAGGTTTTCCAAAAAGATGCAACATGCAAGAAAACCGTTAGTTCCATCATCTTTTGAAATGCACAAATAGCAGCTGTAACAGCCTGTCATTTTACCCGACTATACAGTAACAGTAACACCCAAATCCAAACTATTCAATCTCCTCTGTTGTGTCTTCTCCCTCACCTGAACCATGGCCACCAGCTCCTGAAGCTGCCGAAGTTTCTGCTTTGCTGTCTGTCGATGAACCTTCGGGGAAAATCCCACGTTGTTCCCCAGACTGCTTCTACGGCTGGACCCTGACGCCTCACTGTCTGGAGCCCCAGCCTGTGCGCCTTTATCATCATCAAGGCAGTCTTCATCCTCATCTTCATCCTTCACCCGATTATAGGGGGTATCCCTATTGTACTGGCACTCTAAATGCAAGCGAAGCAAAGTTACATTAGTGTCTGATAGATTCGTCTAAATATTGTGAGGTTGTAAAATAATGCTATAAAATTCTATCTTTGAACTTGAATCAGAATGAAGTTAATTATTATGTAGCTCATAGAGAATTGAGATTTTCTGTTAAAAGCTAAAAAGCATGTCTAAAAAGATAATGCAGTAACGTACTCCTGAGCATTATACAGCATTTCTTCAGCTTTGGCATTCAAATTCAGGAGTTACACCAAGCTGAAGACAAATACAATGCCTGTAGCCTAAAGTCTGTCAATATTGTTAAACCAACAACACCTCTACCATCATATCCCTATGTCAGCCATTTATCCCCCCCAAGACAAAAGGTTATAAGAAACTAGTAACACCTATGTGTGTACCTATGGCTGAGGGGATGTTGAGGCTGCGGAGGTTGGCTGCTGAGCGGTTGTTGATCTCGCACTCAGTGTTCAGTCTGCCATCTCTGTTGTTAGCGGCACTGCTCCTCACACTGCGCCCATTTGTCAGGCTATTCAGGTCTGTCCAGTTCCCGCTGCGCTGTGGGTTCCTGAAGAGATAAAGTGCAGCGACTGTTATGGAAACATCACAGCGTCAGTGACAGGCTTACATACACCACGGCTGTTTGCTCAAGACCATCATTCAATAACCTTCCTCTCCCTGTTTCTGTTTCACAGCTGATTCAGTTTCATTTGAACACCAACTGAGTCTATTTAAAAGCAAAGCCTACGACCAACTATTATGTTTCTTAACGTGTATCTGCATATCATTTTCTTAAGGATTGTTTGGACCATCAAGGAGTAAAATTTGGGGAAAATGCCAAATGCAATTTCCTCTGCCAAAAACATGATATCAGATGTCTTATTTGTCTGAGCACAATTTACAAAAATGCGGCTCATTCAGACAATCAGCAGATTTCAGGAGCTAAACCCTCAAGTGTTTGGTAATCTTGCTGCAAAATTGACCTGAGAGAAAAGTTGCTGAGTATTTTCCAAAGCTGCCAATTGTAGGGCCCGACCGATTCATCGGCGAGCCGATTAAATCGGCCAATTTTAGCCCGTTTGAGACTTATCGGTAATCGGCCAAAACTCGCTGATTGTCGCAGATGTTTTCAGAAATAAAATGCGGAGAATAAGATCCGGTTTCACTTTGAAAACGCTTTTCTGGTCTGAGTTTGATTCGTGACAAATACGTGGAATATTACTATACTATTGCTACTGAAAAGCGTTTGAAAGGCTCAAAAGCAGCCATTTGTTAAAAATAAGTAAATATGTTGATATGTTACTTAAATTAACAAAATTTTAAAACTTCATAAAAATTTTTCAAAATCGGCCGATTGATCGGTAATCTGATTTTTCCCTCCCTAATAATCGGTATCAGCATCGGCCCCAAAAATTCCATATCGGTCAGGCCCTAGCCAATTGTTGCAGCTCTATGAAGAGGATCCAGTGAAACTATCTTGAATACAGGATATTACCTCCTAAATTACTCATGTAATCTTTTTTTACTTCGATTATCACACCTGATGTTAGTCACAGGCTGCCGGTTCTCCTGCTCAGAGTCAAACATGGCTTCGAACATAGAACCGTCTTCTGTCTCATCTTCCTCCTCCTCTTCATCATCCTCCTCTTTTACATTCTCATTGACCGCGTCCACCATCATATCAGACCTCTGCTCGTAATACTGGACCAGCTCCCGCAGCTCGTTCAGACGCTTGTGGACCTCCTTAAGCTTCCTGTAGGGAGCAGAGAAGAATGAAATGCAAATGTGTTATTGTTCAAGGTTATGAATTATTAAAAAGGTTGCGTCAAAAGTGAGGACAATGTCTTTTCAACCTTTGCCTGAGCTCTAAGAACAGAGTCACCCACAGAAAAGCAACACTGCAAAGAACTGAGTTCATCTACAAGAGGACAATTGGAAAGTTTCGCACCTGCAAAAGGTCGTTACATCATCAACACCTGATACAATACCCTGCTGCTGATACCTGATCTGTCTATTCAACTCTCTAAATCCTTGTGCGTTTGTGTTGGTACCTGAGCTTGTCTGTGGAATTGGAGCTGTCCTGGCGTTGCGTGATGGAAGGATGAAACGCTGTGGAAGCTGACGCCCCATTAGAGCAGAGAGCGGATGGACATTCTGAAGATCCTCCCATGCTAAGGCTGCACTGCGCTGACAAACCACGACCTATGGGTGATCACACGACAACTCGTCAAGTTTACAGAGGCAGCAAAACTTTGAATAACAGCGAGAGAAGCCTTTACAAGTACTCTTACAAGAGTTATTATTGAGAGTCTGGTCTCTCAGTGAGTGCAGCTCCTGCAGGATCTTGTCCATGGTTTGCTTTTTGTCTTGGAGTTCTTGGAGCTTTGTGAGTTTGGCACTAGCAGCTGTTGCCCCTGTGTCCAGGCCAGAGTGGGGACCAGAGGCAGAGTGGAGGAGAGGCCTGTGTTGAGGAGGACCAAGAGCCTGAGGAGTCCTGGACCAGCACACCTCTCTAGACAGAGAAAGACTCTGTGCCTGATGACGGTTGTCTGGCACTGCTTTGGTCTGGAAGGAAGAGATGATAAAAAAACTTCAAGCATGTATGAGGTTCACATACCAACAATACCCAGCCCAGTTGTAGGACCTGCTGTACCTGAGAGTCACGGAGCTGGTTGTGAAACCGCTGGATCAACTCATTCAGCTCCTCATTCAGTTCAGATGTGATGCTCAGGCCTGAAACACTGCCTGTGGTTTCTGTGACAACTATTGAAAAACAGGAACGACAAAAAATATATACTTTTCAAAATTGAATCAGTCTGTGCTATTCAACTGTCATGAAAAACAAAACCTAACAAAATATCTGTTGATGCATTTCAGATTTCAAGAACAGTTAGGAAAAAGTTAGTGTCAGGCCCTGGATATGTAGAATTTCTAAGTTGAAAACGTAAGGAGGACACAAAGACCTTCACGGGCACAATGAAAATTGATGATATAATTATTGGTCGACATAAGTACTATTAATTGAAATCAATTGTAGGTCTTTTGGTCACATTTAATGGAAGCTATTGAAGAAAATGTTCAAAATTTGCCTTTAACTTTAACACAAACATTTTTAGAAGACAAATTAGGTAAATAGAGAGGAGTGTCTTATCATCTGACCTTAGCACTTTATTTTGAAATCAATTTTAGGTCAATTGGTCATGTGACATGGAAGCTATTGAAGGAAAACAGCCTTTTCTGAGAACATCAACTGGTAATTTATTAACGGTCCCAGTGAGGGCGCAGAGTAGATTTAACCGCGCTGCTGTTGCTATTCTCAGTTATGGAGAGTGAGAAGACACTAGTGGATCCACAGTGAATGTCTGTCGAATATCCAACCTAAAACTAACTTCACCACTGTATTTACATTAAAAACATTTGTGACTCGGCTGATTTTTTTTATGCGCACATGTGCCCCTCAATACATTTTACAATTCGCACGCATCTATTTTTAGTCGCAAATGTGAGTGAAGCGGTCGCTCTGTCAAGCCCTGATATCAATTTTATCTTTGATGACAACATGACTCCATCCAAATGCCCACACTGTCCCCTGTCTCCTTATTGGCCAGGCATGAAAGACAGAAAAGTTGAGTGGAATCTGCGACCCTCCCATACGCACTGAGTGGATAAGGAGTGTTGGGTCCTATTTGCTTAGAGGGCCCCTTTCTGGTTTACTAAATCCCTGTGCACTCACCAGTGTCTTCAATCACTGCCAGAGCCTGTTCAGCACTGTCTTGCATGGCCATCAGTGCTTCCTGTCTTCCTTGCAGAGCTCTGAGCTGCTCCTGCTGCTCCAGCATCTTCTTCAGCAGCTCGTGCTGCTTTCGCAAGTTCTCCAACTCCTCCTTCTGGTCCGCTCTCATCGTTTCTGGCCTACCACCCTGCAAAAATCCACACCCACGCAGCATTTTAAGCAACGCAACACATCAGTGACGCTGCAAAGCGACTCAGCAGAATAGGTCAAAGAGGCTTGTCAGGCATTGACACAGCAAATAAGATTTAGCTTTGTTAGTAATTAGACTAAAGAGAGGATAAACTGGTTTTTACTTCTTTCCTTATGTCCTAACATAAAGACAGGATACAGTTTGCTGTCCAAATATGATCGTTAGCAGAAAAAGCTGAGAGTGCTTTAAGTGGCAGGAAAACAGCACAGTAAGTACCAGTACTCACCGTTGTATTTGAGGCATCTGAAGAGTGAACCTCAACGTTAAGAGAAGTGCTCTCTACCAGTGAACCTGAACCCACAGCAGAGTCGAGAGTCCCTACATCATCCTCCTCATTCTCTCGTGTCTACGGAAATAACAGAAAAGACATCCTGCGATTTGTAGATAGCAAAATAAGCAACTGTACAGAGCAACACATTTATCTAACAATAGGATAGCATTGTTGAAGAAGTAACCTAGCAACAGAAAATAATGCATGCATAAAGATGGGGAGCACAAAAACCCCAGCAGTCCTCCGAATGGACTATGAGGTGTTGTACAAGATTTATCACATATTTTATTTTAATTTGTCATCAACTGTAAAATTACATCAAATACACACCAAACAGCCACCCTGTACATCATGTCGTACAGAATATCCTTTTTTTAGCATCACATGAGAGATGATTTGTGTTTTAAAGTGGTCTAGGTCATGAAAACAGGCAGCGACACTAAACGGGTTCCATTTCTACAATTAAGTAACTAATAGACAAGATCTACTCAGAATACCATGCTAACAATGTAATCTTTTGTCTGAGAAAATAAGAGAAATAGTTTTTTCTCAAAAGATTGAGATAACAAAACTGACAGACTGACCAGCATCTTCTGCAGAAACTGTAAGTAAGACTTCTCCTGCTCTTTGAGGTGGTCGATGAGATGGGAGAGACGCTCCACATGCACCGGAACATCGTTCCTCTCCACCAGGTCATCCCGCATGGAGCTGGCCTTGCTGATGTACTCCCGGATCTGTACGATTTTGCTCACCACCTGGCAGCGAACAAAGACAGAAGGGTGATGATGTATGAGCGTGGGTTTCAAAGCAGTAAATGAAAAGAAGAAAGTGAAAGACGTAAGGAAAGGTGAGTGAGCATCTGAAGCGACTGCTCAGACTTTGTGAAATAAGGACAGAAAAAGGGGGGGTTGGGCACAAAGCTCACCGGGCACCAAGGGTGGCATATTTATAAATTGCCCTAAATACAGCCTAGTTCAGCTGCACTAGCACTCCCTCACTTTCAACCTAGTTTTTGATTTACAGAGCAGTCTGTAGTGCAGTGATATAGACAGAGCCATGTGAGCATATGAAAATAAACTCGGTTCAGTAAAATAGGAAACTGCTGTCTACTGGGGAGTAGCACACTTAATCCTGTAAACCTTACAACCAGCTGCAAACACAGCAGCTAATGATAAAGTTTTCTACTATTATCAAAGAAAAACAGGAGAGCAACACATCTTGATTATCATATGATTAATTGCTTTGAAATATCTTTATTTATATTCACTATCTGTTTTTTTATCATGTTTTTTCTGAATTATTCTGGCAATCCATTTCTTTTCCTTTGGCACTGCAGGTTGGTGAATGATTTCTGTAAAGCACCATTACATGTAACTGTTTGTTCTGGTTTTTGAAGGCAAATCACTTAATGATCAGACACTACTAGCCAAGAAGCAGGAGTAAAGTACACAAGAACATTGACTTATGTTACTTTAACGTTTTGTGCACTAGTACTTTTCTGAGTAGCTTTTAAGAAAAAGAACTTTAACTGGATTATTTTCTGCAAAAAGTATTTTATAAAAAACATGTTCGCTTTTATTTCACAGCACAATGACCTGCTGAATAGATGATGTCTACGATGCAAAAACTCACTGACATGAGCGGTCAAATTGAAGTCTTATTAGAAGACATTTCAGACCAAATTTTTCTTAACAAGCTCCTTGAAATCAGTTTCATTTCAAGAAACATGTCCAAAATTGCCTGCCACATCTTTAGCCATGGAGTTCATTTCAGTTCATGATTAGCAAACCTCTTTGCACATCCAGCCTTCAGTGGGCAAAGTGAAATCCTGACAAAAGATGCTGCAAAAATATTCAATAACTTCAAACAGGTGCAGAGTCATACGCACTTAACAAATTAAAGCTGTTGATTTTATCACAACAATCAGTTTGGGGGGGAAAAAAACTCAATCAATTATGGAGACTCTACCAAATCCACCACTATGGGTTTAAAGTAAATACTTAGTACATTTTAGATGAGGTATTCAATGTCATGTCATCTCAGTAACTGTGCTTGTACTTGAGTGGAATATTTGAGTACCCTATCCACCCTTGGCTATAAATAACAACAAACTTGGAGTACAGGCTGACTAATAACTTCAAGACAACAAAATATTACCCGAATGCTGTCTATTCTGGTATCGTCTCTCCTGTCGTCTCCCGCGGCCCGCAGCCCTCTCTCTGTGCCAAGACGGCTGGGCCTTGGAGTGTCCTTGGAAGGAATCAAAGGGGTTAACATATCTCTAAGTCCTGGGCTCTGTTTCTTGGTTTCCTTGGTGATGGCCGGTGTGGCTGGAGCAGAAGAGGAGGGAGGGAGCAGCTCCTTGCTTTTATTAGTGTTAACGTGCAGAGGTAGGAAGTTGTAGGGCTTCTTGTTCTCTCCAGCTAACTGCCGCTGGTTGTTGGCAGCTGTGACACGACCCTGGGAGTCACTGCCAATGCTCCTCTAGTGAGGGAAAGAAAATATAAGTCAGACAAAACATCACTTCAGATCAACTTTCTTCATAAAATGCTGATTTTCTTTTTTCTACTTTGTTAGTGTCAATTTGCTGAAACCAGACTGCCACTTTTTAAATCATGGATCAGATTAATTTTTAAGTTTTTTGTAAAAGGTTTCAAGTTTGTTTTTTTTTTCAGCTGAGAACACTGAGTATACATCAAAAACACGAATGCAATTGAAAAATAACCACAGAAACATGATTAATAGGTATAATAATAAATTAATGCCTTGCAAGAAAATGCCTCTGACCTCACCTCTCTCTGCACTAATGTAAGCATGTTTTTACTCTGTAAGGTGCTATTTATGGTAAATTAACTTCATTCACAGAGAGTTTTCTGCAGTCTTTGGACCGCTTTATGGTCTTCAAATTAGAAGTCACAATCACTCGTTCACTCTACATTCATAAACTGATCCCAGAGGCTGTTATGTAAAGTGACTAATCCCATTCTCACACCAGTATTCAGGGTTGATTGTCTAGTCCAAGGAAATTTAAGCATGTGGACGTCAGGACCCAGGATTGAACCATCATCCTTGTAACCAAGAGGTTACAAACTCTACCACTGAGCCACTCACCCACAGTTACCTGTTTTTATCTGTCTATGAGATTCCTCAAAAAGTACAAGTAAAGCTTAAAGTCTTGACAGGATTAATGCCTAGAACCAGCAGAAAATGAGCATAAAGGCGCCTGTGTGCTGCTTAAGCTATACATGTGAATTCTTATACTTATCATTATGCAGACATTTAATCTGCTGGGTGATGTGCTCATAAGAATGTTGCCCTACAGGAAAGTACACTATATCTTTCAACACAAATACTGCATTCAGTCAGTGTGCTGCTATGTATCCTTGAATGAACGGCCATGACACATTTTAAATTGTGTGTTTCACGACCTCACCTCATCCAAATCAGTGAAATTGATTCTCTGACGCAGCTTGTCCAGCTCAGCCTGGTCTGGGACAGACATCTGAGTGGTGTATTTGATGTGAGGAAAGGAATGAGGAGTACGTGCTCTCCTGCGGCCAGCCCCTGGGGTGGATTCTGGTGAAATATCATTAGTTAAACGGCTCTCCACCACCGCAGCTGAAAGCTTCTTCTTGTTCTTCTCTGAAGACCTGTTGGCTTTCTTCTGCTGCACACCCCAATCCTTAGAAAACGTGAAAATGTTAATGGTTGCTCTGTTGATTACTAAGCATACTTATTTTTATGGAGACAGATGCAATATTTTGATGCCAGGAATAACATAGTATCAAAATGCAATCAGAGAATGACTATATTTGAACAGTAAAAGTTTATTTTCCATATTAAAACTAGGGGAGAGTGGGGTAAGTTGAGCAAAAGGGTAAATTCATGGAGTATGTGAAGGTTAGAAGCACATGGGTGAAAAGGTTTATTAAAAAAAAACATTTTTCACTCTTGAAAGTGAATTTAGTCTGTCATAAGTTTTATTACAATTGTGTTCAGACCAAAAAAGATCGTTTAAATTTGTTTTATACATCAATTGTGGTATCTATGAGCTACAACATGAGGTCAAAAACCTTGCATAAAAGTCCACCATTTTAGCTTAGAGGACTAAAAAAGTCATGATAGTGGTTCTGGGGTAAGTTTAGCCTGTGGCTCAACTGAGAAAGTAAAGGAGTCTGATGAGAGGATCAGAGTTTCAGTTCAGATTGTAGAAATGTGTTACTTTTTCTTTTCAAAAATACAGCTGTGAATGTTCTGAATCACTTAAAGACATTCTCATTTTAAAATGGCTTTTTACAAAACAGCTTTTTAGCAGTTATATGCAATAATAATAATAACAAGTATTATTGTACCAGTTGAATAGCAGATAGTAGATAAAAATACACATGAATGTGAAGAAGTGACTGTTATTGAGGGGGAGCGAAGGTGAGGGGGGGCTGGGGTGGAGAGTGGGGGGATAGTAGGGACACGGCTCAACTTACCCCGCTCCTATGGTCAACTTACCACATACACGGGGTAAGTTGACCATAGGAGACCACTTTTTTTTGCATGCTATATTATCAAGACAGTTATGTTTACACTCATTCTGTTGGTCTGTGGGGATGCACAACATCTTGCAATATATACAGATACACTAGTTAGAGACAAAACTATGAGTGTCTTGATGTAGTAATCCGAAATATGAAAAATGGCTCATCTTAGCCCACTCTCCCCTATGTAAAAATGATACAGTAATTTGTCCTATGGGGGTTCTCATCAGCCTTTACCATGTTGTTTAGTCTGTCATCAAGACTTCCATTAGTAACAGCCCAGTTGTGCAGGTCCTCTGCACTGTCATCGAAAGGAGTGCCTCCAGTTGCCATGTCACCCACTTACAGCCTGTTGGAATTCACAACAAAAAGCAGAATGGTTACCTCATAGAAAGACATGAACAGTAAATACAAGTCTGTATTGAAAACACAATGTATGAAAGTTTCACAGTAAGCTCTGGAGAACACAACAAAGCATATTTGAGAAGTGTGTTGAATTGAAGACAACGTTAACTAACGTTTCCTTGAGTTTTCCTCAACCTCTCAAACAGAATCGTCGGTTAGCTACTTTCAACGACGCATTCGCCCAATATGAGAGAAATGAACATAAAACTTTATCGTTTTAGTGTAACCCTGATGGCTAACAGTTTGATAAAATGAACAGTAATTAGCTAACGTTAACTTACCGACCACGACCAGCTTTAAACCATTACTACGCTGACTGTTGGTGTTTGATAAGACGGTTTGTCTTTAGACGTGAACGTTAGCAGTCGTTGTCTTGTACGTCTGTGGCCCGCTGCTGGTGCTCGAATTCCCGGGGAAAAACAATGAGACATTCCCTCCACCACGCAGCCACTTACCGCGAGCTTTCCGTCGCTGCTCGTCGCAGAGACACCGGTTAATGTTAGCTTAAGAGGCTGACAAAGCAGAGAATACTTGCTTCGTGTTTATTGTAGTAATAACAATAACTATAACAATTTACAGCGAACGTTACTGGGCTACAATCCCACAATCGCCATGGCAACACACAATGTCCCCGACCTGCTGGAGCGAAGCCGTTCCTGTACGTTTATTTTGAGTTTAACTGAACTATGTAATAGAGCTACAGTCGACCACAAAGTAATAAATAATTCAGCTAACGATTCGGGAAAGTTATCACGCTTGCTGGGGTGGCTCGCTAATGCTACCTAGCTTGATGACAGCTGCTCGAAGTGGAGCTAACTTCGGTACCTTGACCAAAGTTGCAAAGCAGCATCACGGTGGCAGGTTAACATTAGCAAAGTCATACCCCCTCTTGTTTGAGGAATAGGATCGGTGTCATAACAGGCGACACTTTGCATATTGCGGTACTATCCAAACTACTACGCACGAACCACAAGCGTATCATGTAAAATATTGCCTATTTGTGATGTTATTTTTGCGCTTGCTAAGTTAGCTTGTTATTTGAAATAATAATGTTGGCGTTACCTCTGAGAGCAGGAATTGGGAGAATGTCCTTGCCTTTCACTTCATGTATTGCTGGTGATGTTTTGTAAACGATCCCGGAGTCTGGTGAGATCCTTTAGATAAATAATATCGTCCTATCGGTCCCAAAATGTAGCAACTCATGAATCCAGGGATGTGCTCCTGGCCTGATTGAAACACTCCAGTGCAGCAGGTGGCGCTGTGGAGGAACTGTTCACCTGAGAGCGCAGGAAGCGTACGAGCAGGAAACAGTGATACCAAGTGCGATGTACGTTCGTTGAACGGAGAAGTATTGCACCCGAACGTGGGGATTTTAAATGTTTCACTTCACATAGACAAGCCAAATCGACTTATATCTTCACAAAGCTGACTTGTTGGTGATCACCATCGAGTTTCGGACGTCTTTTTGGGATCTGCACCGAGTGAGTTTTGTCTCTAGTCAGCTGCTTAGCCTTTCGAGCTAATTGGGGGCTAGTAGTTAGCGAAGGGAAATTGCAAACAGTTTTTGCTTACCGCTCATAAACAAGAAAACTTATATCGACACGCAACTTTTTTCTTATCAGGATTGTCTAACGGGAGAATGGGGTCATCTAAGAAACACAAGGAGAAGAGCCGCGACAAGGACGCTGAGGAACGGCGTCGAGAACATAAGAAACATCGCCACAAGGACCGGGAAAGGGACGGATCAGACCGGGATGGGACCAAAGAGAAGGAAAAACGAAAAAGATCCAGGTCCAGGGAGAGAAGTGGACGAGAGAGCCGGGTCAAAGGAGAAAGGAGTAGCGGAGAGCCCCGAGTGAAAAAGGAGAAAGTCGATGCTGAATATGAGGAAAGCAGTGCAGATGTGGCACCTCAATCTGCGAGCGGAGACGCATCCCTCAGCATCATTGAGACAAACAAACTCCGAGCCAAGCTGGGTCTGAAGCCTCTGGAAATGAATGAAAACAAGAAAGAGCTGGGGACCAAAGAGGAGCCGATTGTCGCTGAGACTATCAACCCTGTTATTATCCAACAACAGAAAGAATTAAAGGAGAAGCTCGCGGCTTTGAAAGAAAAGCGCATCCTGAACCAGAAACTGGGAAAAGTCAAGACCCTGGCAGACGATGACTGGCTGGATGACACTGCTGCGTGGGTTGAGAAAAGCAGAAAGATGGCGAAAGAGAAAGAAATGGCGGAGAAAAGGGCCAAACTTCTGGAGGAGATGGATGAGGAGTTTGGTGTCAGCAGTCTTGTGGAAGAGTCTTTTGCACAGAGCAAAATGGAGTCTTACACGTCAAGAGATCTTAAGGGACTTAAAGTGCAGCACAAGGTGGATTCCTTCAATGAGGGCCAGACTGTCATCCTGACTCTGCAGGACAAAGGTGTGCTTGATGAAGAGGAAGATGTTCTCGTCAATGTGGGACTGGTAGACAAAGAAAAAGCAGAGAAGAACGTGGAGTTAAAAAAGAAAAAGCCAGATTACAAGCCGTACGAAGAAGAAGAAAGTGTGGAGGATATGGTGACATTTAAGCCGCACTCTGTGCTTTCAAAGTATGATGAAGAAATTGAGGGTGAGAAGAAAAAGAGTTTCCGGTTGAATACAGGTGGCTTTGCTGATGGAGAGCGAGAGCGTGAGCTCCAGGCCATGAGAGAGGCTTTGAGGAATCAAGCCCAGTCCTTAGAAATGCCAGCTCTCACAATCGCCTCTGAGTATTACACACCTCAAGAAATGGTGGGCTTCAAAAAGACGAAGCGCCGTGTGAAAAAAATCAGGAAGAAAGAGAAGCAATCAGTCGCTGATGACCTTCGCCTTGATGACACCCGCAGCTCTGATTTTGGGTCCAGGACTCGGGGTCGAGGCCGCAAACAGGCGGAAGAAGACAACGAGGAACTAAAGGAGGCGACGGAGGAGGAGGAGAACAAATTGACACAAAACATCCCCCCATTGTCTGATGACATCAGGACAGCAGAAATGGACATAAGTGATGAGGATGATGAGGATGACTTTGCACCTCCTGAGCCAGCTGTAATCGAAGAGGATGAGGCAGAGCAGGAGCTGCAGAAGCAACTGGAGAAGCAGAGAAAGCTGAAGCAAAAGCAGCTTCTTAAAGATTCAGGAGAGAAAGTGGCAGAGCAGATTCGAGTGCACGCAAGAGGCAACATTGAAAGTGATCTTGAGAAGAAAAACAACATTGTTTTCAACGCCACCTCAGAGTTTTGCAGAGCTTTGGGTGATATTCCAACTTACGGACTGTCAGGTAACAGAGAGGACCAAGAAGACATGATGGACTTTGAACAGGAGGAGGAGAAAGATGATGCAGGAGGGTCAGACTCAGAAATGGACGAGAATGTTGGCTGGAGCACCGTAAACTTGGATGAAGAGCAGAAACAGCCTGATTTCTCCACAGCCTCTGCTACCATTCTGGATGAAGAGCCTATTGTCAACTCCGGCCTTGCTGCTGCTTTGCTGCTGTGCAAAAACAAAGGTCTGCTGGACACACAAATGCAGAAGGTAGCCCGAGTCAGAGCACCAAAAGGAGCTTTGCCCAATGACAACTACTGCATTGAAGACAAGATGGGCTTTGATGACAAATACAGCCGCCGGGAAGAATACAGAGGCTTCACTCAAGACTTCAAGGAGAAGGATGGATACAAGCCTGACGTGAAGATCGAGTATGTGGATGAATCCGGCAGGAAACTCACGCCCAAAGAAGCTTTCAGGCAGCTTTCGCATCGATTCCACGGGAAAGGGTCTGGAAAGATGAAAACAGAGAGGAGAATGAAAAAGCTCGAGGAAGAGGCACTGCTGAAGAAGATGAGCAGCAGTGATACTCCTCTGGGGACTGTGGCTTTGCTTCAGGAGAAGCAGAAATCTCAGAAAACACCCTATATTGTGCTGAGTGGGAGTGGGAAAAGTATGAATGCAAACACGATCACGAAATAAGTTTAGGGTGGAGATATTTGTTGATATAACATTTAGTGAAACATGCACAGACACATACACATTTTACACATCTGCCCACTTACACACACAAACACACCTCCATATGTTGTTTTAAGTAACTGATTTAATTTTGTGTCCAATTCAAAAGAACAAATGTAGTTAAGAATTGTTCAATAAAATGACTTCTAAAGAAAGAAATAATCTTTTCTTTGTTTCTTCTTTATTTTAAAATACTAAGGTGAATAGTAATCCTAAGGGTTAGTTTTAGGGAATTTGACTTTTTATTTGAAAACATACCTACAAATGTTGTTTACACTTAGCTTTGATTGGCATTTTGATACATGATGGGTGCAATTTGGCAGACGGGGCTCTTTCAAAGAACTAAGAAAAGTTATTTTGAGCAAGGAAATGAAGATGCAAATTGAATGTAGCTTAAAGTGTGGTTTATTAAATGAAATGAGATCAAAACTGTCAGAATAGCTTTGTGTTTTTCTGTGACTGGTAAGTATATATTTTATATCATCACAGTAACTGTGCTTGTACTTGAGTAGAATATTTTAGTAATGTATCAACCCCTGGTGATAAATTCTAATACTATAGTACAAATAAACTAGAAAAATTGCATTTCCTTGCAGAAAATGCGTGGAAGTGCTGAAAGCTGAAAACGCAATGCTAAACTGCTAATAAAAAATGGAGGAAGGTATAAATGTAAAAGCTGTTGAAGGGGTGAAAAAGAAATAAAAGTTAGATAAAATGCTTCAAGGACAAATAGTATGAACATGCTCTATAAACTGAAATTTTATTCATGCTGGAAAAATGTCTGAAATAGTACAAAGTTTGAATGAAGAAGTAAATTACCTTAAAAGGCAGGAAGGTGAGAAGTGGTATAAGTTTAAGTTGGAGTTCTTGTAGTAGTATGACAAGTAGTCATAGTAGTGATATTAGTAGTCATGTAAGCAGTAGAAGAAGTTTTAGAATAGAAGAAGTATAAGTCAAAGTAGCGGAGCTAGTGGTAGAAGTAGTAGTTATACTATAGTAAAAATAAATTACTCTTAATACATGCCATGTAGGAAGACAAAGTCTTTAGATTATAATACCGTGTAAATTATATACAGTAATGCAGCTGTTGACCTTTGCTTGATATTTGAATGCAAAAAATTCATACAATACCCTGGATTTATGGTGATACATTTCACAATTGTATAAGTTCTGAACAGGATACCTTGCTATATATAAGATCATATGATGGATGAGTGGTCAGTTAATATATGTCCTTTCTTTGATTGAAAATTCTTAAAATTAATCAAAATACAGTAACTAAACTGAAGGATTAGTTGTTGATCTCTTCATTAAGATCATTAATATTTTCTTTATATCAAGCAATCACATGTTTACAAGGCACAATTGAAAACAGAAATTAAAATAGAAGTAAAACTGAACAAAACATAAGTTTACAAGAAAATACAAATGTTACATAACATTAAAAAAAAAGATGGCATGAAGTGAAAAGAGACATTTATTGATTTATTCTTTCTTGTCCCAATATTTAATGGGACGCTGTATTTCTTTCTCTGCTTTAGTCTGACCTTTAGAAAAGAAAGAAAGAGAGGTTCTCCAGAATCGTTCCTGACTCAGTGTTATAAATAATTAAGTCTCTCGTCGGTTCAGCTCAAAGGCCTTCAGTAGCACGGAACTTTCCAAAACAAACAAACAAAAAAATGCAACAAAATTTTAAGAAATGTATAAAAAAATTAAGACATTAAGGAGGGAGAGTATATTCAACGCTATGCAGAACGGTTAAGGTCCCTAAAGATTTAAGTTTAAAGATAGAAATAAAAAACAGCTCTCTTTAGTGTATTTACAGATGGCTTTTCTCTGTCTATATCCACAGGCGTAATCGGTGGAGAGGTAAACAGGTGTGTTTAGTTTACTGTACTATAAGCTAGTTGGACCACCATAGAGGAATTTCGCATATTTTCGCTGACCACAGAGTCGCTGTCCTGACACAAACTGTAAATATAATTTTAAGCTCGAATTTTTATCCATGGCACAACCTGTTTTTAATGTGGTGCCGTTTACCCACATCGCCGTCTCTTGGCGGAACTATATATTTTCTAGAGTCTCCACGGACCTTTCCACTGTTGCACAACCTGTAGCAAAGTAGTCGCTTTCTAATACATCTAGGAAAGTAGTTAGCAAAGCTAACATTAGCGAAAAACACTCCGCCTCATCCGACACGGGATGCACACAATTAACAGCTGAAGACCAACACGGTAAAGGTAAGCCTAGCGAACAAATAAGAGTGTCCCAGTGTTACTTCAAATGTCGTCAAAAGAAACGCAGAGGCGGTTTGTGAGTCGAAATTGAGTGTTAGCATAGTTCACGACGTGTCAGCTGGTCTGGCAGCTTCCTGTTGTTTAGCTAGCTGCAAGCTTAGTGACTGACACTATTAAGTAGCTTTAATGTTTGGATTCGACTCCTCTTGTTCCTGGAAGCACCACACAGTGTGTACACCGTGTTTGTGTAACACTTGCGAGTTATTGTTGCTGACAAACTTGAGTTTGTTTGACTGTTAACGAGGATGAATTGCGTTGTATCAACAGGATAACCTGCCCGGTAACATTACAGAAATAATGACAGAGTGTTGCTCTGTTAATCATCAGTGTTTCATCGTGTGTTGTTACTTTGCAGATTTTTTTCTGTAACTCGTAATGATGTGAGCTATCAAAACGAGATTACTGCAACACATGCTAATCCCCTATTCTTGTTGATTTTAATCTGCTCACATCATCAACCACATTATCGCAACATCACCACCAAAAAAACAGCAACATCCCACTCTTGTTCATGGAAATGCAACGAAAGCCGGAGTTGAAGGTTGATGCCCCCACCCCCCCAAACACACACACACACACACACATACACACACACACACACACACACACATTTGATGGAATTGAGTTTATGCATTTTATGAGTCTCCAACATACCGATGCAAGTGTCGATGGCACACATCAGACAACTGTGTGATGTTTTTAAAACAGGAAAAAAAACTGTAGGATGTCAACAATCAACTAACTAGACGCTTGCTTTCTTTTTGTCTTTATTCAGGCTCAAACTTCACCCAGTGAAACCACAGGCTGTCGTGATGACGGAGCCTAAGCCCCCGACTCCAACTCCTGGAGACAATTACAAGGGTTGGCTTTTCAAATGGACCAACTACATTAAGGGTTATCAGAGACGCTGGTTTGTCCTGAGCAATGGACTACTGTCTTACTACAGGTAAGCTGCAAAGATTTATCTATGATCTATCTATTCTCTTGCTTAGTGAAAAATGGAAATGGTATTTATTAGTGCTGTCAATCGACAATCTTTTTTAATCGCGATTAATCGCATGAATGCCATAGTTAATTCGCAAATTAATTGCACATCCAAAATGTCCCTTGAATTCTCAATTAAATACTCACAAGTTCTGTTTACAAAATACATGCAGAGGAAAAGAAAAGTTAAGAAACAGTAAAAAATGAGAAAACTATAAGGAGAGAGTGAAAAGAAAGAAAAGTTTCAATCAGAGTTTGATAAAGTAGGCAAAATCTTGCCCACCCTATTCAAGCTTGAAGGTCATTCCAAAGTTTTGTCATTTCAAATGGAGGGGCCCAAGCCTACCATTTGAGGACCAACTCAATAAGATCATGAAGGTTTATACCTGCTCTGCAACTGGATGGCATGTGTCTTGAGATGTCATACAGATCCATTGTGTTAATTTTAGAACCAGTATTAAAAAGATTTAAAAAAAAAATCTTACACTCAAAGTCATTTTACAGATTTGCTGACTCCACACTTACTATTTTAAACATATACCTTGTCTTTTGAGGGGGAATGGTAGGGCTGAATTTCATGGTTGTTATTTTCACTGGAAAATAGTTAAACTTCTTCTCAAGTTCTGTAAAATAAGTCTGCAGGCCTAATGTGGCCTCTGCCACCTTCTACTTGTGATACAATTTCAATCAAAGTTAATTTGGTCAGTTAATCCATTAATTATGGCAACAAGGAAATAAGAATTACAACATGAGAAATCTCCATATGACTGACCATCACTCTGTGTCTTCAGGTCCCAGGCAGAGATGGGTCATACGTGTCGAGGCACCATCAATTTGGCAACAGCCAATATTGCAGTCGAAGACTCGTGCAATTTTGTTATTTCAAACGGAGGAGCACAAACCTACCACCTGAAGGCCAACTCAGAAATTGAGCGGCAGAGATGGATCACTGCTCTGGAGCTTGCAAAGGCAAAGGCTGTCGGGATGCAGCCTGACTCAGGTGAGATGGCGGAAATGAATGATTCGTAAGGTTGTAGAAAAGCTTTAGCATACAGTAACAAAAATAAGTGTTTTTCTCTGCATGTTGAGCATTTTTCTACAAACGTTTGTCTTTTTGTTGTCTTATCTCTGCTTTTCTCTCAGATGATTCAGGTGATGATTGTCCAGCAGTTCCCCCAACATCAGGACAGGGTGGAGGCCGTAACTCAGAAGTCCAATCCACACTGCGCACACTCAACAGCAAAGTGGAGGACCTCACCACCTGTAATGATCTTATTGTAAAGCATGGGTCTGCACTTCAAAGGTATCAGTTATCAGAACAGGCCCCTTGATTTCCTCAGATATCCCCCAAATAAGCATTTTAAATGTTTATTTTATACCAATCTGCCTTTTTGTTTGTCCATTAATTCTTTTATCTCAAAAATGCAGGTCTTTGTCAGAGCTGGAGGCGATTCGTGGGGGAGGAGACTTTGGTGAAAAAATAAGACAAGTTACAGAAAGAGCCACGCTGTTTAGAATCACCTCTAATGCCATGATAAATGTAAGACATCCAAGGGTACATTGCTGAAGAACTGACATTTATGGAGCTTCTCTTTTTGAAAAACTGCTTTCGGCTTTTTCCTTTCTTCCCAAGGCGTGTCGAGATTTCCTCTCTCTGGCCCAAAGCCATAGCAAGCGTTGGCAGAAGGCCTTACAGGTTGAAAGAGACCAGAGAATACGGTTAGAGGAGACTCTGGAGCAGCTGGCAAAACAACACAACCACTTGGAAAGAGCCTTTAGAGGAGCCACTGTTCTCCCTTCATCATTCAGCAATTCCGCCTTAGGTAACAAAGGTGAGGCTGTCATTCTAATCCCAACTTCTGCCTTTGGACTGTCGATATGTCTAGGAGCTAGCCGCTTAATTGTGCCACACACATCTTACCAAACCATCTGCCTGCACTCTAGGTGGTTCAGGAAAAGATGACGCCAGTGATGAGGAAGATGATAATGAATTCTTTGATGCGATGGAGGACCCGGCAGAGTTCATCACTGTCCCTGCTGATCCCAAATATCACAGGTTGTTATGCCTGTCTTTTCCAAGATCAGTGTTGTAAATTTAAACCACGTTCTTTGTTTTGATTTGATCTCTTCTTGTGTATTACTTTGATCTGAAACTATGTTTTTTGTTTGTCTCTCTTACAGGAGATCTGGCAGTAACGTCAGTGGGCTCAGCAGTGAGACTGGAATGGATGATCAGTCTGCAAATGTGTGTTAACTTTATTTTCTGTAGCAAGTTCTGATATGTATTAACTTGTCTTCCATCCTCCATCGTGCAAAAGACACCCGACCCTTAAGGCTCTTTTCCTTCTTTTCCAGTTTGATGAGCTGTCTTTGGCATCCAATCCAGAGTCTCCACAGCCCTTGGAGCTAGAGCCAGTCAGGCAAAGGAGAACTCGTATCCCTGACAAGCCCAATTATTACCTCAATCTGTGGAGCATCATGAAGAACTGCATTGGAAAGGAGCTCTCAAAGATACCAATGCCTGTGAGAAGATTTGTAACTCCTGTTGCTGTTAAAACCACATATCCTTGTGAAAATAGTCAAAAGTAATCAGACTGTCTCTCTGTAGGTGAATTTTAATGAGCCCCTCTCAATGCTGCAACGTCTGTCTGAAGACCTGGAGTACTACGAGCTGCTGGATAAGGCTTCCAAATGCCAAAGCTCCCTGGAACAGATGTGTTACGTTGCCGCTTTCACCGTCTCATCTTACTCCACCACAGTCCATCGTACAGGAAAACCTTTCAATCCTCTGCTGGGAGAAACATTTGAGCTTGATCGGCTAAAAGAATGCGGCTACCGCTCCCTCTGTGAACAGGCATGTCTGAAAAAAACACTGGCAGCTCACTGAATTAAAACCAACAGTAGAGAGACAGCTTTAACTACACAATCACACAGTTTTACCGGATGAATTAATTTCTTCTTCTTTTTTTTTTCCAGGTGAGCCACCACCCACCTGCTGCCGCTCATCATGCTTTCTCTGAAAAGGGTTGGAGCTTGAGACAAGAAATAACTTTGGCCAGCAAATTCAGAGGAAAATATCTCTCTGTCATGCCTTTAGGTGAGTTTGCAGTCCAAATATCAAAGCTGAAGTGAACACTCGGTGCAAAGACATGTGCTTGTTTGAATTCGGGAAGGTAAAATAGCAGGTGAATTAAATTGTACTTCAATTTCATGCATCCCAGGTTAACAGGAATAACATACTGTAAAATGTATGACCTTCAACCACATACAACATTTTTGTAATACCAGGGATGTCACCCGATGGTTTCACCTCACCACATAATTGAAATTCTGACTGAACCTAACCCACTCCTAGCTAACAGCTGCTATGTATAACAAAGATATGAATAATGATGTTTTGATACACCAGAGTGAGAAACATACGGGTATGTAAAGCTATTAAGGAGGTATCAGAAAGGAAGTATAGAGTCTGAAAAAAAAGCATTTGTGCAGCTGAGAGAATACATTTACTCAAGAATGTACACAACAACCGAGTTTAGTTTTTTGGTTACGATTGTCCTACATGAAGTCGCTTGTTTCTTAAACTCCAGAAATCCACAGCCTGCCTATTCATGTCATATGATGATCGATGTGTGCAAGATGACGTTTATATTTAGGGTGAGCTAGTTCAACTCGACCAAGTCTTGCGCTAACATCATTCCCTCTCTGTCTGCAGGTTCTATTCAGTGTATTTTTGAAAAGAGCAACAATCACTACTCTTGGAAGAAAGTGACGACAACAATACACAACATTATAGTTGGTAAACTATGGATTGACCAGGTACATTTAAAAACCTTACAAGTCATTTTTAATATCTACATATGTTATATTATTATCTATATCTTATCATTCAGTTATGCTTATATTAAAGTTTTCCAAAATTGCTGTTTCTTTTTCTGCATCCAGTCAGGAGAGATAGACGTGGTGAACCACAGGACAGGAGATCACTGCCACTTAAAGTTCACTCCTTACAGTTACTTTTCCAGAGATGTTCCAAGAAAGGTCAGTGGTTCTCATGCAGTTTTCTTTTTTAATGTGTTTCAGATCAAGATGCGCCTAAGAATTGCTTAAATATGAGTCCCGGTTCTGCCAACCCAAGGTTACAGTACAGAAACATTAACTGGAAGCTGTGTTTGTCTATCAGGTTACTGGAGTTGTCACGGACAAGGATGGGAAGGCCCATTACGTGCTGTCAGGAACCTGGGACGAGAAGATGGAGTTTTCCAGAGTAATGCAGAGCAGCAAAGGCGAGAACGGCACCGAAGGGAAACAGAGGACTGTGTATCAGACCCTTAAAGCCAAAGAAATCTGGACGAAGAATCCTTTACCGTAAGTTTCTGTTTTTAAGAAGGTTTGTTAGTGATAGCAAACCAGCCTGTCAAAACTGTGCTGTGACATGATGTCTTTCATCTTTTATGAATCTTGCTTTATAGAGAGGGAGCAGAGAACATGTACTTCTTCTCTTCACTTGCCTTGACGCTCAATGAATCTGAAGAGGGAGTAGCGCCGACAGACAGTCGCAGACGCCCTGACCAGCGGTTAATGGAGGACGGCCGCTGGGATGAGGCCAACGCAGAGAAACAGAGGCTGGAGGAGAAACAGCGCAGCACTCGACGGGAGAGAGAGAGGGAGGCGGTCAAAGCAGCCAGCTCGCCTGAGGAAGGTAAAAAATCAGGAAGGGAGTGAGATCTGTCTTTGTGTTGATCAGTCTGTTCTGTCTTCCCTTCTTATCTGTCTTGTTCATTCATTTTTTTGTCTACTTCGTCTGTCTCGGAAAACACTTGTCTGCTTGTCTCTGTCTCATCCTTAAGCTGTCACTGAGGATTCAATCAATGATTCACCTTTGAAAAGCAAGTACTCCTCTTCCTAGTCCTTTTAAACCTCTGCTCTACAAATGATCTCCCTTATAGAGACAAAAACACACAAACATGATCTTCATCTGTATTAGAAGAAGGTTTTAATTGTCTTCAACAACACCATGCAAACCCCTCATCCTCATTTTATCGTCCTGCTTATCATCCATTTCTGTTCCATTTAGCTGATGCAGTGGAGACTGCCACAGAAGCTAGTGAGGTCTCAGATGAAAGCAAGTATCATTTAGAGCTTTACAAAGAGTGCACTTTTAAAGATGCTTTGTGCAACATTTTTACAGAAGAGCAAGAAAAACTGAACCCTCTACATTAACTTAGAAATAAGGGGAAGTGAAAAGATGCTTCTGAATAATGTCCGCCTTACAGTCTCTCAGATAAGTGCCGATATGCGAGAGGAAACAGCTCACATTTCCGTACATTACATGACAAAACTCATAAGGTTCCCTTATTCCAACTTCTCTTTTATGCTGTTGACAGAGCTACAATTCAAAGGTTTACATTTTTAATTTAGGACTCAAAACAAACATGACATGTCTTTATACCATAAGCTGTTCAATTAAATCAACTTCAGTAACAGGTGAGCAGCGCTGACCAGATTTTAAAAGCCCCTGCAGTACCTATTAACTTGTGTTGCTGCACAGTTTAAAAAAGCTGATTTATTACATAAAAGATAGAAAAGGCCAATAATTTTTTTTGACAGGAAGCACTGTATGAGTTTGACTAAAAATTACCATTGACTTTTGTTTACCAGATCAATATTTGACTGTCCCATTTCTGACGTGCTCATTTCGCCTAAAATGCTGCACACAGCCCCTTTTAAAATGAGCATAAACAAGATATTTGTGTGGTTTTTTTTTTTGGATACTGTTTGAGAGTTGTGGATTCACATCTTTTTCTTCCATGCTGTCAAGCTGACACAGAGGACTCTCCCCCTCTCACACCTGTTGCATGCAAGTAGCCCCTTACATTTCACTCTCTGCTCCTCCTTGTTTCCGTCATCTTCAGGATTTTTATGTCTTATCCTTCAAAAATTCATCCGTCACTGTTTTATTTCCAGCCCCCTATGGACCATCTGCTCCCCCTTACTCAAGCAAGTATTCTGATGGTGATCTGTCATATATGGTCCAGTTATTTCACAAATTTAAATTAGTTTAACCCAGGTTGAAAACCCTTTTTTTTCTTCCTCTTTTATTTCCTCCTTTACACTCTTCACACTTTGGTCTCTCTTAGTGGAAGGCAAGGAGGGTCCTTATGGAGCTCATGTCAAAAGCAAGTAACATAAGTGTGCCCCCCTGTCCTCCCCTGTTTTAGTTAGATTTGTTTTGTTGTGAGAAGGGAACCTCACAGAAGAATACCCGATGGTAGAATTGTCTAAGCTAGTTTAGAGTTCATTGATCAGTATCCTCTGATTAATTGTGATCTGATAAATCCATTCTCTCTGTCAACCACATAAGAGCGTACCCACTCCATTTGAGCTCGATATGTTCGAAGGCTCAGCAGCTTCAAAATCCTCCCCTCAGGTGCCTCTGAAGCCTCTTCTACCTCTGAAGTTTGTTTCTTTTCCTTTTAGGCGTCCATCAAGACAACCACCAAGCACTGTGGTTTGAGAGGATTGATGACCCCATATCAGGAGAGCCCCTGCATGTCTACAAGGGTGGTTACTGGGAGGCGAAGGACGGAGGAGACTGGAACATGTGCCCTGACATATTCTGATCCCAGCCGAGTCAGCATGTGGTGCAAAAACGAGAGGGTGGACAGAGGTGACACAAATTACTTCAGCTGAAGTTGGAGGATCAGATATTTTTCTATCTTCAGTGTCCACAGCTTCAACCAATCTTCCTCCTAAACTTTCCTTTTCAGCTGTGAGTTGCTCAGGATCAAGGGTTTCTGGACTTTGTAGCGTTGTTGTAACACTGCAGCTGCACAGACTTTTCTGTCACTGCCTCTCAAACATTCGTGTTTATCTCTGTGTGTGTTCACTGCTCTTACTTAGTTCAGGTCCAACTTTTTTGGATTTTTTGGACGGCACAACGCGATGATGCATTTTTGTCAAATGCAAAATTCCTCCAGAAAATTCCAGTATGTATCGTACTTCATGTGATTTCTTGTTATTTGCATTCCTGTGTCTGACTGTAAGTGCTCCCTCAGCATAGCATCCCGGTAAGTCGGTTTATTGCAGTCCAGTTTTTTAATACTTCAAGCTGTTAATAGTCATGGTTCCAGCACTAAACCAAATCATATGAAGAAATGCATTTAGGCTTCAATGGCTCTAACAAAAATGAGTAAATACATCCTCTAACAAGGAAAAACTTTCGATATTTCACCTCATCCTTCTGTATCAACACAAGACATCTCGTCTTAAAGTAAAAATGACACTCCATTATGCAGCACAGTACGCATACAAAAGGATGCTTTTGACCTGAAAACATTTCAGCCTGCTGTTAAGATTCAGATGTAATTATTCAAATCAGGGTCTACAGCTCAAGAGCTGCAGCAGGTGAGGGTTAGGTTGCAGCTGCTTTTCTGTAGTGAATCATAGAACATGCCGGCAAAACTACTTTAGCGAGAGAGTCCAAGCCTTTTTGGTCAGTGTACGGCACAACAGATAATAAACTGCTTTATTCAGCAGTGCTAATTGATTCTAAACTGTGATAGCAGTATCCTTTTTTTTTTTCAGTTTTTCATTTAAAAAAAATCGATATTTCTATTTTCTTAATGAGGTAAAGGACATGTATTTGCGCAGCTTGCTTTATTCAATATAATACCATAACAATAGTGTTTCAAACAGTGGTAACATGAAGATATGTACTTATAATATATATGCATATATAAGTACCAATGAAAGTATGAAGTACCAATAGCACTAGTACAGCACTGTAGGAAAAACTCACAGAAGTCTGTGATTTTATTTATCTGTCTGTCTTGTTGTTTTTTCCCCTCTGGAAATTAATTCAAAACTGTAACTTGAAAGTGAGTCCACTTCTGTTCTTCATTATATTTTATTCAAGCTGAACTAGTAAAATCTAGGATAATGGGGCAGAATAATGTTCAAGCTAAAACAGGCTCTTACTCTCAAGGGTGGTAAAGGCCTGTTAAAATCATTATCAAAAATTAAACGAGTATAAGCTCAATTTATTTAGTTGAAAATGAAGCATTTCAAGAGGCCATTGATTTCCATTCTTCATACTGTGCACAAATTCAGGTTCATATTTTCATACTTAAGGTTTTTGGCATTTCTCATTCCTGGACGGGCCATTTCAGTTCAAAATCAAAGTAGAAATATGGAAAGACTCTGTGTGAACAGTTTACTTCCTTTCAGAATCGTCACTGAGCTGTGCATTGACTCCTACTAGCTCGATGGTTGCAAAAATGAAGGGAAATGTGAGGCAGGGAAGTGTCTTTGTCTTCCTCCTTTCCTTCAAACTTCTTGATCATAGCTTTAATCTTAATTTCAATATTTATACAGCAATAAGAGTGCCTCAGTGTGTACACATGTGGCACAAGTGAGTTGTGAGGGCAATGAGAAGAGAGAGCACTAAAACTGCAAAAACTCAGTGTTGTGATTCTGTTTGTCTTTAGTTTGTCATATGATTGAAAGGACTGTGTGCTCAATGGAAATGTACATTTCATTCAATATTCAAGTGTACTTAAAGGAGAACACTGAAAATGAAGATCACAAAACACAATGTTGCAAATATTCTGTGTGGATATATATAAAATAGTAAATTAACTGTGATATTAACTTGTTATATTGATAGAGAATTTAATGGCAGTGATGCACTTTTGATTTTATTTTCTGTTGTCTCTGTACTGATGCATTTTCATTGTGTGAACCGAGTGTACCGTATCACCAAGAGTTCACCTCTATGAGCTAGAGTAGATTTATTTCAAAGAATATGAATTATTTTTGGTGTGAACCATTCCTTAATGTGATTAACTGTTGCTTCATCTGTCTTTTCAAGAGTTGATGAAGAGTGTGTTTGTGTGATGAATGTACAGTTTGATGCACATTACATCTATCCAAGAGTTTACAGCTTTCTAACTTTGTCCTTTTTTTTTAACGTACTCTCAGTTCCTGTTAGCTCCTTTTCTACTAAGTCATGAACCAATCCTTGTGGTTGTTTTTCTCAGCTTCCTACATTTTTCATTCATTGTTTCCTTTGTTTGTGCTGATTATGGCAGCACACATCCTCACAGCTCCCCACAGTTCCTAGAGATTGAATGAAGATGGTTTTGCACTTTTGCATACATCTATTATTTATCACGCCCTGTGTGATATGACTGATAAAGTCCACTTCTGTGTTGGATATTGAAGAGTTTGGCCTTTCAGGAATTTGTTTCATAAACTTTTCTTTATCCATGTGCAGTAGTTGTAGACATTTCCATTAGTTGAAGTGCAAATAAGAATTGAGTCATTGTTCTGAGCGCACCTTTTCACCTGCTCTGTCCATCAATGCCGTTTTCTTTAGCAGGATTGTGTTAGAGGGTAACAATATTAAACTTTGAATGGAGTGAAATAATTTTTCTTGTGTAGTTTTCTGTTTTCATGGATGCAGCGTCACATACTGTTTCACATGAGAAGGTGGTATTAAAAGATTCTAATTTAAACCTGCTTACACTTTTGTATAAACAGAGATAATCTGATTAATATAGTTGTATCTAATCTAATTATGAGTTGTGAGACAGCTGAAGCAAGGATGACAGTCGTACCACATTTGTCTTTCAAAATAATCATACACTTAAACCTTAGAGGTGGACTGGTTTAAAGAAGATAGCATAACTGTACCACCAAATAAGAAAAGCATTGTTCAAAAATATTTATCTTTAGTGGCTCATAAACATGACATTCTTGAAAACATTCTGTTGCTGTTGTCCATGTTTGATATCCCTCTGGACTTATCTAGTGCCTTTGATACAGTCAACCGTGATACTCCGCTAGAGTGGCTCCACCTCGCCATTGGACTCACTGACACTGCCCTCAGCTGGTTCCAGTCATACCTCACAAACGGGACAGAATACATCTCCCTTGGTCACTTCTATTCACACTCACATACAGTCACCTGTGGGGTCCCTCAGGGGTCAGTTCTTGGCCCCCTACTGATCATCCTCTACCTAATCCCCCTTGGTCAGGTCATCAGCCGTCATGGACTCTCATTTCACTGTTACGCAGACGATACACAGCTCTATGTAAATGCCCCAGCTGCACCCTATCATCTCCATCCTCCAATCACTCCACTGGCTTCCCGTTTCCACCAGGATTGAGTACAAGGTTTCCCTCCTCACACACCAATGCACCCATGGACATGCCCCCACCTCAAAGAACTTCTACACCCACAAAAAACAACACAGTCTCACTCTCAACATAGATTCTTCAAAAAAAAAAAAAAAACTGTTTATCTTGCTTTCACTCTTTTAATAAGATGGGGGTTTTTTTTGTTTGTTTGTTTGTTTGTTTTTATATTCCTTTACTGTGAAGTTCCTTGGCTTCTTGGCTTTTAAGATGTAGCCCTTTAAGGTTGCTTGATGTAAAGGGCACTACAAATAAAATGTATTATTATTATTATATGGTCTACTGTACTAACATTTAATGCCACCCAAAAATATTTCAGTAAAGTAATATTTTATGAAACAAATATTGAAATGCACAATAATCTCATAAAAACGAGAAAAAAAAAACGTAGTATAATTGATTAGGGTTCAAATAAAAAATAAATAAATATTGAATAAAAAAGTATTTTAAATGAAATAAAAATCCTCAAAAAAGACCCTACAATTTCATGAAATACAAAAACAATCCACAAACATTTTAGAAAACAAAAATATCTAAAAAATAAAATAAAATAAAAAAGTTTTTTAAAATGTCAGATTTTCACCACACCAAAAATGCTTCCCCCTTTTTTTTTTGACAATGACAGCAGAGTTGGAGTGTGCTTTGGAGAAGAGTAGATCGGTTTAAACATAGGTGAAATAAGAAATAAACGCCAATAATACAATAAAAGAGAAGCAAAGAGGGTTTGTAGAAAGGAAAGTATTGGTTGTCTGACATTGATGTGTCTGCTTGCGTCGGAAGCAGTTTCCGCCCATAAGAGAGACGTGGGTGTTTAAAACGAGTGCATCCCCGCATGACATCAGCGTCTTTGTGTACAGGCGTCGGCGGCACTACTAACAACAAACCCTTTAGCTGTTGGTGTATTTTCTCTGCTGAGTGTGCTGCACTCCAAGTTGGGCGTGTAGTATCGTTGTATTGTATTTATTTCTTATCAGTGACATGTCGGCTAACGGGCAGGACTCCACGGACGCAAGAAGAGGCGATGGGCAAGAGTGAGTCGATGAATGTAACGTTAGCGAGTTAGCTTTCGTTATCTTTGGTTACAGCAGCAGCAGCACAGTGTTGTTCATGTACAGAGACAAGGAAGCTGCTCTTCCCTGTTAGTTAGAAAGATACAGCCGATCTTTGACGAACATCTTACCATTATCCGTTATCTCTCTTCAACAGGGCACCATATGTGAATATTTGAACTGTTTTCGCTTTGGGTTTTTCATGTTATTTGAACACATTTAACAATAAATATTCAGGCCTTCTTCTCACAAATCAAATGTCTCTCAATTGTCGTAGTTTTCTCTTTTGTACTTAAGTTTTTATCTTAAACATTTAACTTAAAATGCAGACTGTTGTGCTTTGTTGTTCCTCAGGTCAGCACCCTCATCCTCTGTACCTGGCCCAGTGGAAGTGGATGCCCAGCCCGGATCCCACAGTTTCAGATACAGCCTGAAGTATCCCTGCATCGGCCAGTGCATCATCATCAACAACAAGAACTTTGACAGAAGAACAGGTCAGCATTTTGTGCTTTTTGATCCAGACTTTGAACATTATTATTTCAATCTGAACATGTTGAAAGCCCAAGTATTAGTCAGCAATGCTGTGAGAAAATGATGAGCATGCTGTGGGAACATTTACTCAAAAGAGAATATTGATGAGTCTTTCTTTGCTCTTTATTAGAGTGATTTAAATACCAAATACCCCTGAGGATTGTTCTTAAACAACAAGAGACTGTTTGTTTCTCATAATAGACACTTGTCACCTCAAAAACCTTTGTACACATTTACATCTAAAGGTTATTTATGATAAACGTTATCAAGTAATGAATTTAATTGATTTTGCTTTAAATTGTCTATAATTTCTTCAGTCCTGAGACAGCCACACTTGAACTTTCAAGTATCCTGTTTGAAATCTATAGCATTATAAATTAAACCAAGAAGTGAGCCAAAGCTTTATGGGTCAGTTGGCTCAAACTACACTGTTTAAACTTTTAGTAGGAGCAAGAGATTTGCTTGCTGCAAAGGTGTATGTGTTGTCTCTGTATTAGAGCTTCTGGTTGGTTCCTTACTAATACTTAAGGGGATATTCTGGCGTAAAATTAATTTAGCGTCAAACACACTGTAACACCGAGTTAGACACCCCCTCGAGAGATGAATGTTGCCGACTGCTTGCTTCTCTAGTTATACCAACTTTAGTAACGACCGCATGATAGCAATAAACAGCGGTCTGAGGAGCCAGCTCAAACCTCAACCAAAACGCCACTCTATAGCCACAAGTAATAATAATAACTTGGCCTGATTTGTTTAGCAAAGAGACTAAACACAACTCACCCTCTCTCTTCCAGCAGCCGCTTGTTTGTAGCGAGACCACGGGCCAGTCCATTACGGACTGCTGCGGGGTGACGCAGCTCAAGGAAGAACATTTATGATCATTACTTTATCATCTCCTTCAAGTAATAATCACCATATTAATCATTTTGCACTGCAGACATGGTAGTTCTTCTGTCTTAGCGTCTCTGTCTGATTGCATTTCAATGAAGAAATGATCATAAATGTTCTTCCTTGAGCTGCGTCACCCCGCTGTTGTCTGTAATGAACTGGCCTGAGGTTTCTAACTTGGTGTTGTGGTGTGTTTGATCCTAACTTTATTTATGCCGGAATATCCCTTTAAGCTTATACAGTTGGGCATTCAGTAATGAACTATTGTTTTGTGCACAAAAAAATTCCCTTGTCCCAGTTTAAAGATGAAAACCCCCTCTTTCTGGCATCACACCTCTTTGCAGGTGTTTGATCACTCTGAACCTAATGACCTTAACGCTAGCTTTTTTCACTCAGGGACTTAATGTACACCTGATGGATACCAACAAGCTGCTTTTACAGTCAGCTAATCAGATGTTTAACAAAGCTCTGTGAGAGAGTCTTTATGTGAGCTGTTGAGAAATGAAGATCAACCTGGCATTTGGTGTAATCCTGCTGTTTGTTTGCATTTTAAGGACATCTCTCCCAGCACAGCACACTGTCAGCAGCTCTTCTTAATCTTTAGTCAGCCTCATGACTTGCATTATGTTTTAGTGTGCATCACATGTTATCAGTTCCTCATCAGACTTGATAGTGACTGGTGGTGAATGAAGTGCTTGGGGATGTTTCTTCTGTGTATTTGTTCAATAGCTGAGCCACTTGGATATCCATGTAGCTGCTGAAGGATGATCAAATTGAGACAGAGAGCCAATACTGCTGCTGTCATGTGTCCTTTGGGTGTTCATAATCTTTTGTCCGCCTCCTGAGGATCTATAGGGGAATGTTCATCCAGCACTGGCCTTTCTGTGGAGAGAAGAGCCTGAAGTCTACAATAGCTGTATAGCTGATACTGTATGAAACCTTGATTCAGCTTTTGTTCTGGTTTTCCACGGGGACTTTGTGCAACAGAAGCTTGAACTGTGGAGGAGAAGTGTCTGGTGTTTTTGAAAGATCTCCTGGTTTCAGGCTGATGAACTTCATTTGAATGCTTCAGTCAGCTGTCACAGAGCATCAGAGTTACTTGATGATGGTCTCGGTCTGCTGTCAGACTCATGTTTGACAAACCTGTCTAGCTGGACCAACTGAACACACATGCAAACAGCTTAATGTACCTCAGGCTAGTTCGTCATGTGTGTAAATACCGGCAGCTGTTAAGACTGCTTGTAAATCCATCACTTTTGTTTCCACCTTATCAGCCAAGAAAAATTTGTTCCTGACCTAGCTTGGATAACGCTCCAGGAAATGTCAGCATTTTGTGCTAGAGTGCAAGATGCTGTATATAAACGTACAGGCTAGTAGTTATTCAGATCCCCCTCTAACAAACAAAATTGGTCAACCAGAGTTACTGCTGCTAAAAAAAGTTCTTGAACAATCACAGGGCTGACAGATGGAAATGGAGATTGACAGCTCACGATAAAGTTGTGCCTAATGGGGATGTGCATGTTTTATTAACTGTATGATAAACCGTTATCCCCCTCTCTAAGTAGTGCCAGATTTACCAGCCATTTAAGCTAATTATCAAATATTTTCTTTATCATTGAAGGCCCAAAATGCTGGTCTGGCAGTATTTAAAGGGATATTCCGATGTAAAATTAATTTAGGGTCAAACACACCACAACACCGAGTTAGACACCCCCGTCGAGAGATGAATGTTGCTGACGGCTTGCTTCTCTAGTTATACCAACTTTAGTAACAAGTGCACGATAGCAATACACAGCGGTCTGAAGAGCCAAGGGAGGGACCCTATATGTACTGTTGATGAAGTTAGGTGCTGTTCTGAGCATTATTTGTGGCTATAAAAGAGTGGCATTTTGGTTGAGGTTTGAGCTGGCTCCTGAGACCTCTGTGTATTTATATCATGCGGTCATTAATACAGTTGGTATGATTAGAGAAGCAAGCAGTCGGCAACATTCATCTCTTGAGGGGGTGTCTTACTCGGTGTTACGGTGTGTTTGATCCTAAATTGATTTTACGCCGGAATATCCCTTTAAAGTGGTATGTAGGCTGTGTCTGGTTAAACTAGCACCACCACTTCTTTTTATTTCTTTCACTTGTTGCATTGATAGGTTTGCATTTTCAGTTTGTTTTAGCACTTTCAAAAGGTGCTCTACACATAGAGTTCTTGTCATCATCATCATCCTTATAAAAATGTGGTTTTGTTTCATTTTGCATTTCAATTAACAAGAAAAAAATCTGTGCTTTATTCACAAAGGTATGAATCAACGAAATGGGACGGACGTAGATGCAGCCAACGCCATGCAAGTGTTTTCAAAGTTGGGCTACAAAGCCAAGGTTTACAACGACCTGTCAGTGGAGAACTTGAAGCAGGTTTTAGTTTCTGGTAAGTTCAGTGCAGAATGTGTTCAAAAGTACTCCGAAATGTGCACATGTGTATGTACACCTATTATGACGCTGTCTTTTAGATCATGTATAAATTTGTTAAATGCTTTACATTTTCTTCACTCAAGCGTCAAAGGAAGATCACAGCTGCTATGCCTCATTTGTCTGTGTCCTGCTGAGTCATGGGGACGAGGGTGTCTTTTTCGGCACTGATGGCTCCGTGGAGCTTAAGTACTTGACATCACTTTTTCGAGGGGATCGCTGCAAATCACTAGTGGGAAAACCCAAACTCTTCTTCATCCAGGTATTTAACAGTTCAGGCATTTACTTTATGACGTTTACTTCAGATTATTGCCTGAACCAGGACTTGTTTTGTTTGTGTGCACGCTGATTAGGCTTGCAGAGGAACTGATCTGGATGCAGGGATTGAAGCAGACAGTGGAGAGGATACCACAAAGATCCCCGTGGAGGCTGACTTCCTCTATGCCTTTTCCACAGCGCCAGGTTAACAGCCAAACACACTTTCCCTTGTTAGTTTTTAGACACCTTGTGCATAATTAAGCTGCCGGATAGGTACCTCTGAATGTGACATGGTCTTAGTTCCTGCCATCATTTTATACTGTGAAACACTTTTATGAAACTATGAGCCCTTAATATGATTTAATTGTTATTCTTTGAATCTGTTTTTGTACTAGAATTTTTTAATCAGGTCAAAGAATTTTTGTTTTGGTTTTACTTAAATAAAAATTCTTTCCTCTGTCTTTAGGATACTACTCATGGAGGAACACTATGACTGGTTCGTGGTTCATGCAGTCGCTTTGTGAAATGATCAGTAAATATGGCAGACAGCTGGAGATCCTGCACATCATGACTCGAGTAAACCACAAGGTGGCGGTAGAGTTTGAGTCTGTCTCCAATTCCCCGGGCTTTGATGCAAAGAAGCAGATTCCCTGCATTGTGTCAATGCTGACCAAAGAGTTTTATTTTACTCATTAATGGGGGGGGGAACAGCTATTACCTTCATTCTCTGCTAGAGAATGACTTAAGGATGCTTTGGTGTGGTGTTTGCTAATTGCTTTTACATTTTGTGACTAAAAACCTCTAGAAACGTCTGCTTACATTCTTCTCCTTTGTGGAGAACAGATGTGATGCAGGTCAACTGAGAGATAAAGGCATTGTATCCGTTTTTTTTCTATGGTCTCTTCAACAAAAATCATGTTTATAAAACATAAAATTAAGTTGACTCTGTTTTTCCACAGTCACAGTTTGCCACCAGCAGATGCCTCTTAGATGTTTACACTTTACATTTCAGGGAATAATATCAGGAGCCAGTTCAATAGGATTTGACTTTTTATATTTCAGTAATCATGCACTCCATCGTCCTCACTTTTATGAATTGGGAGTCAACTTTAACTGTATGGTTTGTTTGGAAGGGATCATGTATGAAATTTGTGTTCCTGTCTTTGTTTTTCAACTCTTGTTCTCTGTTTGCACCACTGAGTCAGTGTGATGACACCCTAATGGAGGTTTCACAAACAAAAATAATTGTTTTCAGAGTGATGACCATGTGAGTTGGGTGAAGCTTAAATGAATGCATTTGCATTCTGCAGGTACATAATGTGGTTTTATGTAGCATGTAAAGGGGAAACCAGTAAGCTTTCTTTTTGTTTATTTTTTAAGTACTTCATTTTCTAAATATGTTTTTTCTAGAATAAGAACCATGCATGGTGCGACTTTATAATAAAGCTATACTTGACTACTCGGCATTTCTTAATCATTGGTATCAAGTAGGGATTTTAGAAACAGCTTTAACTATTGGAGGCCTCCCCACTTAAAATCGAGTGGCAGTTCATAGATTTTCTGTTTAAAAATGTTACAACTGTGAGTGGAAGTTTGGAGGCAACCAACAACTTGGTGAAATTTATAAAGCACATTTTGATTATGCAGTAATCAAAGTCTTGTGTAGAAATATTAACATCAGACCAGCTCAATTGACATGCTGCACAAGTTCTATATGACAGTTGTGTGACAAACTGATTTTTTTAAGTCATAAATTACACAAGATTTGCTATGAGCAGGATATTTTTTAGCCCTTCTTGTATAACCACTGTTGTGTTAGCAGCTATGTTGTGATGTGTCCCCATGAAAATAAAGACCACTCCTCATTTTTCTGTGCTGAAACAAAGAGTCCATGGTTTTCTTACAGTCTTAAAGTGAAGAGCTTCAGATTTAGCTGCCTAGAAGTTAATGGAGATGGGGCTTCAGATCCTGGGGCCTTGTGAAAAATGAAACCAGACCACAGTTACATATAATAGCTCATTCAAACAACAGGCATTTTTTTTAAAGACAAGAGGAGGCAGTTGTCATTCTACTTAACATCTTATTACTCAAAAGAGATGTGGTTAAACAGGTGGCTGGGGTTTGCATATAAGGCCATATGATGTTGCAGCTTTGGTTGTTTATAGCACAGCATTTACTGAGGCTGATGTGTCACAATGGGGGCAGCTGCTGTGTGAGTACTGACCTGAACTGAACCAGACTCCTTTGACTCACACAGTCGCTCTCACTCGTTGGCATAACTGATATAGTAATCTGGTTTGGTCAATCAGTTAAGAACTGTATTCCATTTGTCTGAAGATAAGATATACAGTGTAAGGGAGATTTATTTTTAACTCTGTCCCACAGACACACAAAGAATAGGAATCACATTCCATAGAAAGCAGCAGTATGAATTAACATGTAACATTAATTATTTGTCTGATCAGTTAATATATCGATTGGTCAGTAGAATTTGGTTGTTAATGCTCACCACAATCTCCAAGAGCCCCTCTTGTTTTCATTGGGTGCCTTCATTTTGCTGACAAACAGTACAAAACTTCAACATTTTCAGTGTATTTAAATGTCAGACTGAAAAAAGAAGCCATGTCCAACAATCTAATTACTCCAACTTTGTAAAAAAAAAAAAAAGAAGAAAAGAAAGAAAGATAAAATGGGACCGACACCAATCATTTTATTATTTTTTAGATAATTATCAAAGCATCTGATCAAATAAACAATAAATATTTGCATAGGTGTAGTCAAATATCTAGTAGTGGGTAAATTAACGTGCTCAAAGATTGAACATGAATCTCTGTCGTACCTTTTTTCAAAGTGCTTGTCTTGTCCTACAGGTCTTAAAACTTCAATGTAGAGCATGTATGATAATTTTCTTCGTGTCATTATCAATTTCAGCTTTATTTATATAGCCTGTTTAAAAACAGCCAGTGGCCTACCAAAGTGCTTTACAATAAAATAGCCAGAGAAAATAAACACAATAGAAAATATAAAAACAATAAAAGTATAAAACATATAAAAACATAAAACAACAATATAGTTAAACATAGCAAATAAATAAACACCCAATAAAAGTAGCTAAACTTCCCCAAAAGCTAAAGTGTACAGGTGCATCTTCACAAGTGTTTTAAAAGTGGAAAGGCTGTTTGCAGTGCGCATTTTCAGGGGTGAAGCATTCCACAAAGTGGGAGCCATGACAGAAAATGCTCGATCTCCCATAGATTTTAAAAAGGATCGAGGAATGTCTAAAGCCACCTGATTAGCTGACCTCAGGGCTTGGACAGTTTAACAAGGTCAGACAGATATTCCAGGACCAGCCCATTCAGAGACTTAAAAACAAATAAAAGAATCTAAAAATCAATCCTATACCTAACAGGGAGCCAGTGAAGAGAGGCAAGTATTGGAGTTATGTGCTCCCGTTTCTTAGTCCCAGTTAGGAGACGAGCTGCAGCATTCTGCAGCATTGAATGAGCTCCAAGCAGTTTATCATATCCTTGAAGTAATAATACCATTTTAATCACCATATTAATCATTTTGCACTGCAGACGCGGTAGTTCTTCTGCCTTAGCGTCTCGGTCTGATTGCATTTCCATGAAGAAATGATCATAAATGTTCTTTCTTGAGCTGCGTCACCCCATTGTTGTCTGTAATGGACTCACCCGTGGTCTCGCTACAAACAAGCGGCTGCTGGAAGAGAGTAGGTGGGTTGTGTTTAGTCTCTTTGCTAAAGACATCAGGCAAAGTTAGAAAGATGTTTGGTGGCTAGTGCTATGGCTGGGACCCTATATGTACTGATGATGAAGTTAGGTGCTGTTCTGAGCATTATTTGTGGCTATAGGGTGGCATTTTGGTTGATGTTTGTTTATAGCTCCTCAGACCGCTGTGTATTGCTATCCTGCGGTCGTTACTAAAGTTGGTATAACTAGAGAAGCAAGCAGTCGGCAACATTCATCTCTCGAGGGGTGTCTAACTCTGTGTTACAGTCTGTTTAACCCTAAATTATTTTAATGCCGGAATATCCCTTTAACCTGAGTTGAATTTGCACCGAAATCAGCAAGTGCTATCCTTTTTGCTCATTTTTTGTCATTAATATTTAAGTGTGTTGAGCCATTTTTATGCTCAATTTACTTTTTTTTTTTTACTGATCTTTTAATTTCATCCTATCTTATTGTAAAATAAAATAAAGTAAAATAGAAACCAAACAAAAACTTTTAGTGGTTCTCCAAAGTTGTAATTTGGAGTTAACGAGCCGCTCCTAAACGCAGCACGAGCCCTCGCCTGTTTTGTGGCTGTAAACAGGCCCTCACTCTGTTTGACAGTTGAATTGATTTGGCAGCAGCGCGCGCCCTGTCAGGTTGCTAGTTCCCGTGATTTCTCATGGAGCACCTGTGATTTTTACCCACTAAACACTGCTCTGCGTGTTTTCTACTCACTTCTACCTCATGTTTAAAGGAGTAAAATGCACTTTTGTGGCACGAAAGCCACGTGCAAGAACCAAACAATGCTGTAGTCGTATTTGCCCGGACTCTCGTGTGGCCCTCCGTTAACTTCCAGTGAAGCAGGAATGGAGAAAACGCTTCAGATATCGCCTCACTCCCTCGCGTTGGTGCTCACGGATAAAGAGGACTCCTCATCATCGTCTTCTTCTTCAACAGCCGTACTTTCCGTAAAGTTGCAGCATCGCATCGGATACGAGGTGTTCGCCAGTTTTAAAGCCGTAAACATGCAGCATTTCTGGAACAAGGCGCTGACACACGCTCTCTCGGAGATCTTCTTCCTCGGATGGATAGATGAACATGTCCTGCTGATCCAGGGCAGAGAGGTTAATCTCCAAGTCCTGAGGAATGGATGGACCAGGCGGACCCTGAAACCACCACAGGGGTTTGACATCAAGTGCATCGGTGGGTACATGTCATATTGTCGAAAAAGTCTAAATGCATGCGAATTTCATTTTCCCACCCAAGTGACTTGAGAAGCACTATTTTCCTCTTCTTTGCACTTTTTGTTTTGCTTGTAGCATGAGCAACCGATCACAACAAAGCAGACTCAATCACGTTTTCATTCTTTAAAGATCCTTTAGGGCCAGAATGATTCAAGTGTTGACAGGAGAGTTGAGAATTAGGTGCAGTTGCAAAAACATGTAATTAAATCTGGCACATCCATCCAGTCTGCCAACCCGAGTCAAAGTAAGATTATGATCTAGTCAAGTATTTGAACTCATGTGGACTGTTTTAACTTCTTTGAGTGTTTCCATTCAAGTTTGATAGCTTTTTTTTGACTGGATGGCCTAAACATACAACTTTTATGCAGCTAAAAATCCTAGAGTATGCCTTGTGAAGCTGCACACCTTTAATAATGTTCAATGAGAAAACTGATTCAAGGTTTTTGCACCTTATTGTGAGTAATTGAACTGATGAAAGTCCAAGTTAGCGTTGGTTTTTGAACTTTAACCATTTTTGATGTATATTTCATGTGTCTTTCATTGCCCTTTATCATTCTGCCTCCCTGAAAACTCATCCCACAAACATTCAGAGGTCTTTCTTTGGGTGATTGAGGTACACTCTTCAACCAGTAAATACAAATATGTGACTCAACTTTTGTTTAACACAGTTAATCTGTATCCTTCTCAACTTTTGGACCCGATTAACTTTTTACTTCAACTTCCATAGAGATGTTTTTTATTCTGCTGCTTGGTTTCAACTTTTTAGTATCCGAGAAGTTGTTCTGAGACTCTTGCCTTTGGTCTTTCTCTTATTCCTGCTTCCCAAATGCTGGCATTGAAGCTAGCTGCCATTCAACCACCCTCATCTGGAATGACAAGTTAAAACCCTTTTGATATGATACCTATCTTCTCTCCTACCCCTTACTGATAAAAGACAGGTCGAATTAAAACAAGTCAATGCTAGTCTGATGGGAGGTCTTAAGGCGACATCTCACCTTCTAACCTCATCAGCGCCATATCATATCGACTAACTCATTCAGTTAAAAGAGTCATGGGACTCTGGCCCAGTTCGACATTCCCACACTCACTCATCTACTCCTGACATCGCTCTAACTTATGTATGTGCTGGGACAGGTTTGAATGACTACAGGTATTGTCAGCGAGTCAACCGCTGCACCCATCAACTGCCCTCACAAGCTTTATTGGAGCATGTGTTTGTCTGAGTGTGTGCATGTGCAAATGAGAGGGTTATGCAGCTTGTGGTAGATCACCTTGTTTTATGCTTTTTTGGCAACACAGCTTCAGTTAGGATCATCGGTTTCATTGTTGTTAGGCATACAGAGGAGAAACTGACTCACGTTTTTAAAACCATTGAATTTTCAAATCTTGTTTTATTGACAGATCAATACTCATACTCTGATTCACAAAATAAAACCTTGCTCCCCAAAACACAGAGTAAAATGTTGATATCAGCTTCCAGAGAGGCTGAGTCTCAGAAGCAAAACTGGGAAGAAGTTCACAAACTCTGAGAGCAAAAAGTCAAACAATATCCATATCATGTTCCTCTGTAAAATTGGAAAGAACTTTGATTCTGCAGAGGTGCCCATTTAAGATGGAGTGTGGTCTGATGAATCCAAATTCGACATTTAATTTTGAAATCATAGACGCCTTGTCCTCCACTCTGAAAGGGAGAGGGGCCATCTGACTTGTAATCAGTGCACAATTCAAAAGCCAGCATCCAAGATGGTATGAGAATGCATAAGTGCTCATAGCATGAGTAGGTAACATATTAACAGGTTTTGGAGCAACATTTGCTGCCATCCAGTTTGCCTTTTTCAGGGAAACCTTGCACATTTCAACAGGATGATACCAAACCACATATTGCATTACAACTGCATGACACTGAAGTAGAAGAGTCCTGGTGTCAAATTTGCCTGCTCTCATAGCCCTAATGTGTCAACCATTAAAAACATTTGGTGCATCATGAAATGAAAAATACTACAAAGGAGACCTCAAGTGTTCCGCAGCCAGAGTCTTATACAAGGCACGAATGGACCAAAATTTCAAAACTCCAGAAATTGGTCTCCTTTAGAATAAAAGAAGTGGTGCAACTGGCAAACATTAAGCCAGACTTTCTTCAAGTCTGTTTTGGTTTGCGATCGCTTCATCTGACACATATACAACGACTGCAGTCTCAGCATCCAAAACAATCAACCAGAAATAACATCCATTACCGATTATGGTCTTATCTGCTTTTGTGGCTAATACAGAGGTACCATTGTAATGTCATCCTGTTTCAAAACCAGCTGAGAACCTCTCACAGGAGCTTTATCTTTTATTATGAAAACAATGGATTTTGTAGTGAGTGGTGACTGAAGGAGAATTATCGCCCTATTCTAGCACCAACTCTAACAATCCTTTAAGCTGATTATTTTGGTCAGGAAAGTTTAGGTCAACTTTACTGAATTTGTCGCTATTTTTTATCAGTTTTATTTCCAGAACTCTACCATTATTTTCTTTTTAAAGGGATGACTAAATGCAGCATCTGACTAGACTTCCCATGGTACAGACTGTAAAAACGGAAGCATTGACTGCTTATACAGCTCCATCATGTTATCAGATTCCCATGCCTGGCAGCTTAACATCGACTTTCTTGGAAATCAATAAAAAAAAGTTTAAGGATCTTGAGGTTTGTTTCAGTGCAAACTTGTATCCTAAAATAGATTCTGTTTTTGTGTCATAGTTTTTTTTTCTCACACTGACTCACTGAAGAAGGAGAGACGAGCTGCACAGTGAAGCAAACACCGATAACTGAGGAATGTTTGCCCACTAGCTAATAACTCACAAGGCTATTTAATGCTAAAACCAACTGAGCGTGTATGCTGCTGGTTTGGATGCAGATAAGATACAGATATATTTTTGGTGTGATATGAAAAAATAAACCCAAAATCTGGGATAGACAGCTAAACTCACCCCAAATCAGAGGGGACTAATTAGACGATGAATTTGTTATGCCTACCTGTAAAATCAAGAAGCATAATCCATCTTTAGTTAAATAGCAAGCTAGTGTGAATTCCACAGGGTGTTAAATATTAACCATGTTACCTGTAAGGACCTCTCAACCAGTGATCACTCATCACCCAGTTTGGGAGGATTAAGTTCTCAGTTGGTTAAGGTGTTTCTATGGAAAATGTCATTGACCAAAACCTTAAGTACACATGTAAAAACCGCCACAGTATTTTTTAAAATTATTACTATTAGTTTTTTTGGTACAAGCTGCAAGTTTCTTTGTCTTCACTGAAGTTACAAGATTGAAGTTTTTCAGACAAAAACAACAGAAAACTACTTTGAAATGAAGTTCCACCAAAGGCTGCCAGTTATATATGTGTTCAGATCAGTAATTGTCATTGTGTGTTTTGCTAAATTATGGCATCATTGTGTTTTATTTTGAGGTTTTGAGCAAACAAATGCATCTTTTACTAGCAGTGACTACCTCAGACAAGGCTATAAGGACACAGGATTAGTTAAAAGTCTCCATTACCAAAAAAAATCACTGGTTGAAGCGTTATCTACAAGTGTTAGATTGAAGTCATGTTTCTGTGAAATGAATTTAAGTCACTTCTCTGTTTGCACACTACAGATTATCCCTCAAACTGCCTGAGAATGTGTGACCAGGGCTGAGAGCCAAAATGTAGCCAGATTAATACAATTAGGCTCAAGTAGTGGATTTTCAGTTGTGTGAAAACAAGGTGTTTCTTAAAAACTGACTATTCAATCTGATTAACTGTGGGACTTTGTATCCGTTAGCCGGCTATAAACAATAGACTGGGAGGAGTGTGAGCTCAGGAGGAAGGAAAAGTGGAGCATTTGTTCAGGAAAACAGTGCTGCTCTGCTCTGCCTGCTGCAGCTCAGGTCTCCACTGAAAGGAAAAGGAGGGTCCCAGCAGAGAATTGGGGGAAATGTTTAACGCAGCAGACCGATTTGTTGCCATATATCTTAATGTCAGATCAGGATGTGTCAAGTAGGATGTTGTGGGGGAAAAAAAACTCTTTTGTTCTTGTTATAAGCTCATACAGCTAACTTTAGGAAGACGTGTTGTCTTAAATGATCCACTAGAGGGCAAACCACCAGCACAAACAGTGATGTTGGATGAAGTTCATTAAAGGCCACATATTGTCTTATTTCAAACAGTGTAATATCTGCACTCTTTGATTGGTATTGTATAACACAGTCCCACATCAGAATCTGTTATTTGTAAGAGCTACCCTGGCTGCAGAGCTTATTTAATTGTATTTTACTAGTTATAAAAAAACAAGTAAGATAAGTGACCAAATCTCAGCCTTTTTAGCCATTTCTAACACAGCTGCTGCATTCACTGTATACCGATCGCCTCCATCTCCCCCTGTAGTGGGATGTTAGGCCAAAATGCTGCCTTGATGGGGGCTAAGCATAGACTGTCTAGAGCAGTGGTTCTCAAGTCCAGTCCTCGAGGCCCCACTGTCCTGCATGTTTTGGATGTTTCCCTGCTCCAACACACCTGATTCAAATGATTAGCTCGTGACAAAGCCATTACAGAGCTTGATAACGAGCTAATCATTTGAATCAGGTGTGTTGGTGCAGGGAAACATCCAAAACATGCAGGACAGTGGGCCTCAAGGACTGGACTTGAGAACCACTGGTCTAGAGAATGGACAGCGTCTGCCTCCTTGCTGGGTGAAGCCACTCCGAGAACAGCACACTCTGGTGACGGGCTGCAGTATAGGTCATAAATCCCGCCTCGTCCAGCAAAGTTTAGGGAGCTGTGCACAAACTTTAGAAATTAATTACACAGAATATAAGATTTTTCCCCCCTGGTTGCGATGTTGACATGTAGTTACTGTAAGACTGGTTTGTGCTCAAGTCCTCTTCTTTCTGTACAGCTCCAGTTTTAAAAGTTATTAGGGGGTTCATGTTTTCTATGATTGACACTTGATACAGCCTATGGGCGTATGAAGATTGCGTAGCTCACTCAGGGAATATGCTGTTTGAGCCAAGTGTCATCACACCGACTCCCGGCAACTCTTCTGTCGAATGCGCACAATGCTACAGCGCAAGTGGTGAAGTGCGTACAATGCTACTGCGCAATGTGGTTTCTGGAAATGGAGAAAAATCACGGAAATACCGAGAGCTTTTCAGCTTTAAATCCGTATACTGGCGGAAGGCGGAACTAAGTTGTCCATAGTATATACAGTCTATGGTGCTGAGTGGAGCCAAGGCGAGCACAGAAGCAATCTGGCTGGTAGAGCTTTAGAACCGATGTCTGTGAACCAAAAAGCATGTTTAACTTGATAAAACTGCAAAGCCTCCTCAGGTCAGTGCAGTGCATGACTGAACCAATTGTTGTGTCAAAGAGGACACTCACAGCTGTAGGAAGTTCAGTGACTATTGCAGTGGTGATCATCTTGTCTTGTCATTGCTTCTCTATGCTTCTGTCATGGTAAAGACTTCTGCAGGATGTGAACAGATAGCGGCATGTTCAGAAAATACACAACCTTTCTTACCAATGGAGGTCGTTTGTTCTTGTTGTCATGAAAATGTGTCATCCAGTTGGTTTAAACACAAGATTCAACACACCTTCCAGTCGGTGAAGCTGCCATCTTGGTTGTTTACAAACATGCTGAAGCAGTGCTCCTGTGTCGTCATCTTAAATGAAGGATTGGGATTGGGTTGGTATATCTGACACCAAGGGACAATTTTAAAAATGGCAGCAGTTTCAGACCCACATGCCAGCAGAAACTGAGTATGAGCCGGCTGATTGGTCTGGTAACACAAGTCTAACTCTCACCTTTTACAAATCACAAAATTAAGAAATTGACAGATAGAAATAAGCATCGTAACATACCGAATTCTTGATGATGACACGGCACTTTGACACTAAGCACTGACAACCTACTGCAGAATCTCCTAAAGCTTTAGGAAGCTGCTAGCATAGCTGTGTAGTCTTTATTTTTTTAAAGATAAACAGTGTGTTTCCAAAGTGCCACTTTTTTATTGTATTTTAAAAACTCAGGCATTATTTTCATTGTTCACTAGCATAAGTAATATTATAGCACCCACTGCCCAAAGTGATCCTTTCAGATTAACTTTGTTTACTTATCTGACAGTCACCAAAAAAACAAAACAAAACTATATTTTCAGTCTACTGTTCCCAGAAAAGTATAGAATCACCAGGTAGATAGAACCAGTGACTTTAGGCTTTAATTAGGATTTAGCAAGATTAGCTAAGGGATATATTGCAATAAAAAACACTACCAGTACTCCATTACTGAGTATTTTGTTTTCCAGAAAGTAGGCTCTCTCTCCACTTTTACCCCACCCTGCTGTTTTCCCCCCCAGTTAGCATTAATGTGCTTTATTTTGAACAATCGCCACAGTGCTGAAGGCTGTCAGTTCCTCGGCTGAGATGCAGGAGTGTTTTCTTTCAGTGTAACAGACAGTCAGTGCTGGTCTGTCTGCCTCTATCTGGAGTTTGCTGCCTCTTTACGAGGAAACAGCACTCAAAGGTAACAGCTATGAGCTCATCGGCTTGTGTCGTCATGGCAACAAAGGCTGTTGCAGCACTACTGAGAAATAAAATGGCTGGCGTGGTGTCACTCTCTCTCTCTCTCTCTCTCTCTCTCCCTCCTCCTCCTCTTTCTCCTCCTCACCCCTTCTTCCCTCCTCTCCTCTTTCTCTTCGGTATCAGTGAACTGGAGCAGATTGGTTGTGACACTGTCCACCCCGTCCACCCCCCTCTCCTCTCCACCTCCTCCTCCTCCTTCTCCACCCATCCTGTGGCCTGTCCTGCCCTCTCACTTTTGCTCCTTATTCTTGCTCCTCCAATCTTCCATTCACACTCCACACATGTGAGTCAGCAGGAGTGTGCAGATAAGGAAGAGCTGCCACTTTGGGCAATGATTGAGGTGGTGTTTTCAGTTGTGTTGTTCGCCGGCAGCTCCACAGAATCAACCTGTGGAGAGCGCCGCCGACGAGGATGATGTGAATAAACATCTTTAATATGAGTCCCCTTTTTGCTCAAAGCTGGTTTAAGTGTTTAGATTTTAGTCAAAAAGAGGAAGGATGCTGGTTTAAGAGTGGAGGAAGCAAGAGATGAAGGAAAGGAAAGTGAGGATGCAAATTTAGCCAAAGATTCAGAGCTGGAGCAATTCCCTGGACATCATCTGAGGCCTGAATATTTTCCTTTTTTTTCTTCTTCTTCTGCATGTGTGTGGAGCTGTTGATATTTGCTCTCCTCTCTGCCTTATGTATGTCCTCCATCTCTCTCCCTCTCTCTCTCTCTCTCTCTCTCTCTCTCTTGCATCCTCTCCTCTCCTACCCTCCCCACAGCCTCAATCACCCAGACACAGACGCATGCATGCTCACGCAGAATCGCGCGCAGCAGGCGGATGCGCGCATACACACTTTCTCCCTCTCTCACACACACTCACACACACACACATACACACGCACACACACATACTCACACACCCTTCCTGGAGGTGCTGGGAGCAGCTGCAGCATTAGCGTTGAAAGAGATCTGCCGTTGACTGGAGTTTGCATCCCCCCCCCTCCTGTTAATGAATGGATGCTACGGCGGTAGGCTCGGGAGCTTCATCTTCATCATCTTCTCCTTCTTCTTCTCCTTCTTCCGCTGGATTGCGGGAAACGGTGGATATCTACTCTTGAAATTAATTAATTTTTATGCTCTCCATTTTTTTCTCCCCACCCTCTCCTGGTGTGCTGTTGTCGAAAGGACGATGGGGTCTTGTGCTTGATCGGATAAAGATGGAGGTGAACGTGGCGTCTCCGGTGCTTGGCATACTACCGAGGTTTCACAGCCCGTTGGGGTGAATGGAGCTTTTATTTCTCTTTTTTTCTAAACTGGGCTCTTTTGTTTTCCGGGGGATCGATCGAGCACTCCTGTGGTGAATTGAGCTATTGTCGAAGACTGGGCCTCTCTTAAGCTTTCAATCTTTTTTGCCTGATCCATCCATCCATCCCCTCCCTTCCTTTCCTACCTTTTACCCCCCTGTTACCTTCCCCTCAAAAGAAGCGAGCGGATCCTAAAAACCCTCCCGTGAAACCTCTCCTCCTCACCGTCCTCCTCGCTTCCAATGCCCCATTTCCCTCATCTCTACCCCTGCCCCCCCACCTCTCTCCCGCTCCCTCCTCCCACATCAGAGCGGCTACGTAATGTGCCTCCCTACGCATGCAAATGGGGATGCTACAAATGGTGGCTGGGACTGATGCCGATGAAAGGGTGATGCCTCGCGCAATCACCTGCACCTGCACCTCCGCCGCCGCCGCCGCCGCTGCCATCGCTCCAGATCAGCCCGGTAGAGCCCAGCAGCCGATGACAACCACCCACAGTGCGAACACGGTCGTTTGTAGCTTGCTCGTGGATGTAAATGAGACGCGCGTGTGTGTGTGAAGGTGCACACTGGTTCCTGCCATGTCTGGTGTGTGATCGCTGTAGCGGGACGTTCTTACTGATGCGGGGGAGGCACTGAGCCTGAGGTTGGTCGACCTCCCCCTGCACGTCCCCTCCCCCTTTCCCCACCTCCCCTCTTTCCTTCCCTTTTTGTACCACCCCTCCACCACCTTATCCTAGCTCCCTTCCCTCCCTCCATCCCCTCCATCCCCTCCTTCTCCGGGTGTGAAGGCCACCTGGACAAGGGGTCACGATGAAGAAGAACCGCAGCAGCAATCTGCGGCGGGCCTGGCCCAGCTCGGAGCTCAGCGAGCGCCCGCTGGAGCACAATCTCTCCCGTAGTGAGAAAGACATCCGTGTGCAGAGCAAGCAGCATCTTCCTCCCCCTCCTCCTCCTCATTTCTCTCCGTCCCCGCCAAGTTATCGTGCGCCAGGTGAGTAGACGCTCCCACCGAAAGAAGCTCCGCCCACTCTCCACGCAGAAATGCTCAGGGTTTGCACAGATGTAGTTTGATGTGGGGTAAAGGGCAAAGTTCAAAGTAGGGATATTTTTTTTAGGAGTCATCTCATTCAGACTGTATCAGACTCTCTTTTGGTTCGTGGTTAAAATACTCAAATTGAATCTCCCTTGGTCGAGAATTTAGGCACTTTCTGACTTTCTCACATCACATCGTGCAAACACTGAAAATATACACAACTGGTAATTTGTGAGATCAAAATGTTCATTTTTGAAGTTGACTCATATGATGCACCATTGCATCATCTTTGCGCCACAATTTGCGACACATTTTGTGTTTATTGCGATGACAAAAGCGCTCTCTTGCATTACCAAAGAAAACTGATCCTTTTCATTTATTTTGTAAGGCAATGATTTGCTTTTTTCCCTCTACTGTCTTATAAGATTAGAACTATAACCTCATCCCTACAGCCTGTGGAGATTTGCTCTGTGTACGCTATTTTGAAAAACAGGTAAAATATTTCCAAAAAAAAGGACAGCAGGGTGTTTTTGTCCTCTATTTTGTGGACCAATTCCCTTGCAGATCCAGCTGTCCTCGTGTTTACTAAAAACCCCGTAAAGCCATGCAAAGCCACACAGAGCTTAAGGGGCTGTGATACGGAGCAGAGATAACGTCACCATGTTGCTTAACCGACCATTCAGCTGAGTGTGCTGAGGAGGCCGGGCCCTGCACACATTTCAGCTCAGGTGGGGGAAATGTGTTGCAGAATATGACTTAAAAACAATGATGAATGTAGTAAAACCAATTCATGCTGGTCATCTGCGGTCATCAGACTAGGTCAGGAATCAATATATGGAGGTGTAAGTTACACTTTTTTGATCGATGGTCAAATTTAGGTCAGAGGCTGCAGCCTTAGCTCCACTGTGATGCCTTCCTACCTTTCAGCTGGGCAGATGTTTGCCCTCAGAGAGGCTTGAAGCTGGGCCGTCTGCTTGTAGGATGATCTCACCACTCACTACCGCTGACAGAAAAGCCAGCTTAATGCAACAAAAGCACGAGTATTTCTGTGTGTAAGCTCTCAATGTGCTGCTTAAGTCGGTAATGATTTGTTACATTTTAAATACGTGGGTTTAACATCCTGAAGGATTGTGTAAGCTTCATTTTCTGATTGTGAATTGAATCACGAGGTGGCAGAGACTCAGGTGATCTCACACTGAGGATGTGTTTGCTGCAGCGGCTTCCTCGGTATGCTAACCTACAAGAAACAGGGGATATGAGAGGCTAAAGGAGGAGGAGAGTAGAGGAGGAGCTGTTTCAGGCAGCATGCAAACTGCTGCCTTTTGACCATTACATCATAGCTTCACACGCTGCGCCTGCTGTTCATTCATAATCTCACTGTAGTGCCTTTGCCTCCCCCTCCCCCACCTCTTCTTCTGCAGGTGACGTGTCTCCGATCAGTATGTCACCTATCAGCCAGTCACAGTTCATCCCGCTGGGAGAGATCTTGTGCCTGGCAATCTCTGCTATGAACTCTGCCCACAAGCCAGTCAACCAGGAGGCTCTGGTGGAGCACCTCACTGCCAGCTTCCCAGGTATGCTCCTCAGATCTTTTTTCAGCAGCGGGACTGCACAAAAGTATCGAGAAACCCACAGTTGAAACCATTATGTAGCACATGTGATAGGACAAGTAGCTGCAATAATGATAATTCACTTTCAGTACAGTTAATACATTTCTTGTCTTCAAATTTGTGATAGAGTAGCTATTATCCTCTGATTATATTTCCAAGTAGAAAAATGTACCAATATGAAGTATTAACTTATTCACATCAAACACACAAGTCAGCCTGGAAAAAGTCTTACTCTAAATGACTATTTACCCCATTTCTAACACACATACATGGTAGTAGGGAATTGCTATCTGTCTAGTAAAAATTAAGAAAGAGAGATACAGTCTTCATATTGATTGGATCTGCAACATTCAGTCTGATGGTTGTTGTCGATTCTTATTTATTTCATCATTATGAAAGTTGTCTTCAACTGTATTTTTCAGATAAGTTTTCAAAGCTGTTTTTTTTTTTTTTAGAAACTGTACAATGCTCAAATAGTGCTAGCTTCTTTCATCTAAGATTTACTTCTTTACCAATTATAAATACATCTGTAATTTGGACTATTTTTGAAGCAATTCAGATATCCCAAGACGTCATGTTGGTCTTTTAGGGGAAAAAAAAGTGTTTTTCTCTCCCTTATCTGAAAAAACTGTATTTTTATACCCAAACTGTGGGCAAAAATGTACTTAAATGAGCTCCCTAGTCTATCTTTGTCTTATTTTTTCACTCACTCAATACAAGTAACTAAACTCATGTGCAAATGTGGCATTGTCTTTCATTACAAAATCATGTTTCACTAATAACAGTCTGTCCTAAGATGATCAATGGGACCTCAACTAGTCTTTTGTATCTCAAAAACACTTGAACAACTGATAACGTTCAAGTCTTAGTTTAGCCACAAAGCGCAAAAAAAGAAAATTGTTTTATATGATCTGATGTCGTAGTTATTTCTCCTAAAGGACCAGTGATCATAAACTGTGGAAGGAAGGTTCCTCAAGTAAATTTGTATAACTTAATCCGCCTAAGTGTCTCTGAATTGTTGTGATGGTCTAATAAAATGCTTAGAATGGTCCTTTTTAGTGCTTCAGCTACATAACTCCATCATACATTAATTTCTTTTTGAGTACATTAAATTCAGATTTACTTTTACTGTTTAAGATCAATAGTCACGCCTAAATTGTGTTTGAAATGAGTGTTTCACATTTAAGGTAATAAATTAAATTCAATGGGAAACATGTTCCTCAAATGCCTCCTCACTTCTGTACAATGCCAGAGATGAAAAGAGTTGAACTCTTTGATTGAATCACTTAAATCTGGAAAAATAACAGGGGGTGATGTAATGTCAGGCAACACAAGCCCTTACTAGACAAAGGTTATGATGGCGATGTTCATAACCAACTACCTTTTAAAGTATAATCAGTATTTTGTCTAAGATTAGCAAGATTAGTTGATTTTAAAATTGGAAGGTTAAGATAATTTAATGCAAAAGTTTTTACACAGAAGTTGAATCATTTCTAGTTTTTATATCTTCTAATGCTCAAATGAAAAATAAATGAAATGGTCTTTTAAAATGATATAACACTCACTGAAAACAATTGAATAAGAAGCTGTAATTCAAAAATACAGCATTTCAAATTCTGATCTATCTGCAATTGCTTCACTATGTATAAACCCAGGCATAAATTTACCCAACATGAGTTCATCTTAAGTTTTAGCAGCTTTGGATAACTATGTTAAGGTAATTTTGAAATTATCAAAGTAAAACATTGCACAAAACAACAAGAATGCCTTTATTTGATATAAATTTATCTCATTGTGTTGTAGCTTGATAAATATGTTGGAATACAAAAATGCAGAATATATGTAGAATGTACCTCTTACTCAGGGGTCAACATCTTTCTTGAAATGTGAAAGGAAATTAAACAGCAAAAAAAAGCACTTATTTAGTCATTAAATTTTCCTCCAGCTTTTCTCAAAAGCTATTTATGAGTTTTCACTCCTCATTAGAATTTAATCTCTTTATGTTCATTTTTGTTTTAAAATTCATGTTTCAAAAAAAAGAAAGAAAGAAGTCTTGAGTTTCATTGTAAACTTTAGTGTCTCTCCATTGTGGTTGATTTACAATCTTTAATGTAGGTCCATGCCCCAACAAAATGTACTGAAATCTTCTCTATTTATAAAAAATAAATAAACAAATGAAACATTATTTATAAAAATATGAACTTTGCAACATTTTTGTTCAACCTTTTCTTGCAGGCGTGCCTACACCCAGCTCAGAAGTTCTGCGACACACCCTGAACATGTTGGTACGGGAGAGGAAGATCTACCCAACTCCAGAAGGCTACTTCATCGTCACCCCCCAGACCTACTTTATCACTCCATCCCTCATCAGAACCAACAACAAATGGTATCATTTGGACGATCGGCTGACAGAGCGCCAACCACAACAGTCACAGCAGCAGCAACAGCAACCTCAACAATGCACCCCCCCACAATCTGGTAACGTCACTCCATCCACACCTGGCTGCTTGAGAGAGAGGCCTCCACGCAAGAATCACAACGACTCATACAATTCGTATCGTGAAGAATCGTCCAGACTTCACACCTCTGCTCTACAAAGTAAGTCACCGAAAGAACACAGGGAAGATTCGCATCAAAGTAAGCCTCCCAAGGAACACAAAACTGGGGAACCTCCACCAAGTACATCTGCCAAGGAGCATCGAGGTGAACCGCCTTCATACCCCCACCCCCCTCTACCCACCCCACCTCCTGTCCAGCAGTCACCGCCTCAAGAATCTGCTGAAAAGAGCAAAAACATCACTTCTTTCCCTTATAAAACTGACACTCTGACCAAAAAGAAAGAAGGAAGTGGTGGTAGTGGAAATGGCGAGAAGCAATCCAAAAGGTTTGGACTCAGGCTCTTCCGGCTGAGTTTCAAAAAGGACAAAATGAGGCAACTGGCCACTTTTTCAGCCCAGTTCCCCCCAGAAGAGTGGCCTCTCCGGGACGAGGAGGTGCCCACCACGCCCATTCCCCGTGAAGTAGAGATGGAGATTATTCGCAGAATCAACCCTGACCTTACAGTGGAGAACGTGGCGAGGCATACAGCTGTGATGAAAAGGTTGGAGGAAGAGCGTACACAGAAGAACAAGGTGGGGTCTTCGGCTCAACACAGTTCAAGAAGCAGAAGGGGGAGGGGCCACAGGAGGGCCCCACATGGTAAGTCCCGATCACACAGCAAGCCTCGAACATCCAGAGGAGACCCATCTGAGGGTTCAAACTGGGACCTTTTGTTCATGGAAAGGGATTACCGCTTCTTCAGCCACTCATTGGTACGCTCACCACGGGAGGCCATGTACACCTTGGAGCGCAGACGAAGTGGTGGCGCGACATACCTGGTCCATAGCAACCCAAACATTACCGAATCGTACTGCCCTGTTACCCCCGAGTGGGACGTTTCTGGGGAGCTAGCCAAGAGACGGACAGAGATGCCCTTCCCTGAGCCATCACGTGGGACGTGCCAGTCCAGAGTGCAAAGAAGTCACAGTCACAATCAGGACAGGAAGTCGCGCCATGACAGGTCAGATCAAGCGAAGGAGCGCTCTCGGTCCATGGACAACTCCCTTAAAGGCCCATCACTTGGGGCACCTGAAGACTTTGAACCAAGTCTTGAGGAACGTAGTCATTACTACACAGATGACGGCACCTTGCGTGCCACGCAGAAGTCCTCCCACTACTCAAGGATCATGTTCTCTGCTGCTAAGTTCCACTCTGATTTTAATGTGCCTGATTTGGGGAAAGGAAGTTTGGACGAGTCGAGGATTCGTAGTACGATGGAGAGGAACAAAAGCAGAGACAGCTTGCCAACGTACAATGAGCTAATGGGACTTTCTCCTAAGCCCTCAACAGATGAGTACTTCCAGTGCAATACGTCAAATGAAACAATCCTAACTGCCCCTTCGCCTCAGGCAAAATCAGAATATGACACATTAACCTCATCAGGGGGACTCCGAAAGGGCTCTCCTGCTGACCGCCAAACGCCTCACCTCACCTCTCCTCACACGATGGAGTACAAAGAGGACTTGTCGGCAGTAAAGGGACAGAATGGCTCGGTGCGACTGACACCAAGCCAGACGCCAGAGCCAGCGCAAAATGCCCGTTTGACGCCACACCAACACAATGTAGATCCTGGAGGGGGAGGAGGCGGTATGTCGATCAAGAGGAAAGAGATCTTCAGCAAGGACACTTTGTTCAAACCTCCACACAATGCCTTGTCCACAGGCTACGTGGACAGCAGCTACACCAAGTCCGGCACATTGCGGAAAGCCTCACAAGCCAAATCAACCGAGGCCCTTGACAATCCTGAGCCCCAGCAGCCTTCCAATTTAGCCACTTCGTCAGCATCACCTGCAGTTTTACAGGGCTGCTTAGAGCCAACAGTCCCCTCTGCCTCCTTTGATTATTATAATGTATCAGATGACGAGGAAGAGGAGGAAGCAGAGGAGGACTCGCACAAAGAGTTGGCAAAGGCAGAGGACAACAAAGACCATGGGGAAGGAGGTGGTAATGGCGGAGGCAGTGGTGGTGGTGGAGAGGGAACCATGCAGTGGCTACTGGAGCGGGAGAAGGACCACGATCTGCAGCGGAAACTGGAGACCAATCTGACCTTACTCAGCCCCAAGGAGACGGAGAACAGCAGCAGCCAGAAGTCGGCCCACTCTGCCCGGTTGGACAGCATGGATAGCAGCAGTGTCACAGTGGACAGTGGATTCAACTCCCCCAGGTATGAAGCGTCGTGGATTGAATGCCTATTTTATTGTGACATTCATTGGATATTGTAAATTCTCAAACCAAAAGTGCTGGTTAGGTTTGGGAGTATAATTGGTAAGAGGATCCTCAAACAGGCCTCAAAAAGTTAAAGTGAAAACTACTAAGTTTAGAAATCATGTGATAACCCTGTTTTTATTAGTGTAAACTATGAACATGCAACCACAGCGATTAACTTGAAAAGAATATCACTGGTAGGTCTGAGAGCTAAATGCATTTTTCCTCGAATTCCGAATTAAGTCTTGACCTTGCATCAGCTACACCAACAGTCAAACAACATTTTTTAAAGCCAAGTCCTGAAGTCCTGAAAGTCCTGAGGCACACAAATGATGATTTATATAAGAGTCTGGTTGGTGTTTAAAGGTAAAACCCTAAACTTGGACGTTGGGTTGGCTGGTCAGCTAGTAAAGTAAATCACTTTCAGGGTTAAATGATTAAAAATTAGTTCTTTTGTTTGAAATTAAGTGAGTTAAAAAGTTTTTAAAACATTTTGCCAGTGTATAGGGCTCCGGTATACAGCTGTGACACTGCTGTGTCCCCGTTGTACTTCATTGATCTTGATGAAAACAAATGTCAAACTTTAAAGGTGACTGATAAACCAACAGATTGTTTTTTATTTCTGCATTGGATGAAAAACTTATTTTAAGTACTTAATATGCACACAAACTGAAGCAACTGATTCTATGAATCTTTAACAGTCTTTGTGTTTATTAGATTAAAAATAGAAGATTCATCTGCTTGTTTTGCTAAATGTTAAACATTTGTTCCTTGAATGCAATGTGAAAATAGTGCAGTAGTTTAACATTACTGAATTGCTTGTAAATGATTGAGGCATGATTTACCAGATATTAACCACCAGTTTAATGCTAAAGGACGGACAGACCAATTTAAAAATTTCATGACTTGGCTCTGGTTTTGCTCAGTTGTGGAGCAGGTGCCCCAAATGCAGAAGCTATAGTCCTCATTATGCTGGTTAAGGGTTTGACTAATTCTGTCACTATTTGGTGCGTGTCATCACCTATTCCCTCCCCATATATTCTCTATGTTCAGCTGTCCTTTCAAATGAAAGAAAAGGCCAAAAAAAAAAATCATAAAAAAGAGAATATCAAAGTTTCAAAAATCCAAGCAGCAGAAATCTGGATATCCTGATTTATCTGCTGTTTGGTGTAAATAACACTCACTGCAACCTGCACTTGTCAACATTTATAAGTCTTAGTTCTTGGACCCCCCTGACAAAAGCAGCATCCTTAATCAGTTGTGCTGGTTTTCTGCCCAAATTTTATAATTGTCAGTGTTCAAGAATAATTCCAACACAAAATAGCTTTTGTGGCATTACCAAGGTTATTTTTTCTTTGTCATTTGTAGAAGACTTTTGTTTTCTTCATAGCAGTAAAAGACCTGTACGACTCTAAACAAGCTGAGCTTCAAATATAAAACTCAAGTCGCATCTTTGAAACAAGAAATCTGCTTGCAAAGGCTGTTGTGAACATGGCTTTGCGAACATGTACAGTGCCCAGCATAAGTCAGTACACCCCCTATTAAAAGTAATATATTACTCAATATCTAGATGACCAAAAGTACAATTTCTAATGTTTTGACAAAGCTGAGTTTAGGATAACATTTTATTTACCATAAGATGAAAATAAGGCTGATATGGTAACTAAAATTTAGCTTTACTTTTTTTGTTTGCAACTTAAAAAATCTTGTTTACAACCAATGGCCTACATTTGGTGGAGTATTTTGTTGTATAGTCTGACATAGAACATGTTGATTTTGAAAGGAAACACAAGGGTAAAGGGGTGTACTCATTAATGCTGAGCACTGTATATGCTTTAGGACCAAACAAGTAAATGCATCAGAAATTATTTGCATTTATAAAACTAGTGCAAAGTTTTACAAAGTTACATTAAATAAGTTATTTCCTGAAATATTTACATTTCAGTCTCATAGTAACTCTGATTGACATATTTTGTGTGATTAGCAGGACAGGCGTTCTCCTTATTTGTACCTAACTTTTTTTATGCTAGAATTACCTAAAACAGCTCTTTTTATCTGTTGCATCTGGTTTCAATCAAAAGCTGTTTTTGTACTTGTAAAATGAAAACTACCTAAGGAATTTTCCCATATTCAGTGGTATTTTGAAGAAGACTTTAGTTTAGGATATCACCTGCTGGTCCAATAACAACTATGTATTTGCACTTTTGGTGTTTCCATCTTGTTTTTTGGGCCAATGGTGACTGCACTGAAACAAACTTTTAAGTGTTTACTCAAGTTGTAAACCAAGTAGAATGCACGGTCAGTTGTAGCGTAAATATACATATAGTTTTTCTCTTGCAATTAGAGGAGTTACCCCACGGCTGGCAACAAGAACAAAAGTCAGAAAGTTTAATGGTTTCTCCTTCAGTCTTTGTGGCTTTGTTCATTTATTTATGTAATCTTTTGTACTGGTCTGGCCCCTAACAGCTTGTGTTTTACGCAGTACATTTTCTTTTACCTTTGGTCTTTTGTAACACGACTCTGATTTATCTCTTGTGTAGGACGCGTGAAAGCCTTGCATCCAATACATCCAGCATAGTGGAAAGCAATAGACGGCAGAATCCAGCGCTGAGCCCCGGCCACATAGGCACCAGTGGTATCGGACTGCCATTCAGCTTTCGCGCCATCCCAGAACCCCCCGCCACGCAGCCTGAGAAAATCCAGAAGTCATCGAACTGCCTAGCCTCCATCACCAGCGTCTGACAGACTGAGACCCTGATGGTGGTGGAGAGAAGAGGAAGTGAGGGGCTCCACCATTTTAGACCCCCACTGTCCTCAACCAATACACTCACATTCACATAAACACACTCACATATCTTCAGACTCCTCTAAGAATCCATTTACTGAGACTGTTACAAAACAGGCATGGCTTCAAGAGACTGTTCCCACAGCTTCAAGAACTTTACTGCAAGAAAGAGAAGAAAAACTACAGAATATCAAGACCACTGTAGGTGAAGGAACCTACCTGAACTACTTTGATTTTGGTGACATGGACTCTAGTTTGGCTTATATCAAGATTCTTGATTATTGGTATTGGAAAGTAGTAGACTATAGGATTCAAGTTACATTTGGAAATATGGAAAACTTTTTATATTACTTAACAATACATGTCCAATTAAATGTTCTCCTTCCTGAAATAGCGTCAAGTTCTTCAGGACGATTCAATGTATCAGCACAATGTCGAGACAATAAAAGTTGATCCTGAGAACTACAAATGAAAGATATAAAAACATAAATCAGCTCAGATTTGTGTACCGCAATGCAAATGATGTATGTATACTCGATACTTTTGATATCCTAATTATTATAATGGTGGTATTAAAGATGCTATGTGACCAAAAATGATGTTTGGGCAGAATGAGATGCACTTCACTCGAGCATATACATGACAGAACATCACAGATGTGACTACAGATACATGTTTTATCACAGGCTTAGATCTTATCACAATACCCTCTCTAGGAGACTAAGTTTGCTGGGAATTTTATGTGTCAATTTAGTTTCTCAGGTCTTTCAGTGGAGGTATTGTACTGATATAAGCTCCAAACTACAGGTTAAGGACATTTTTGGCCTTGGCAGCAACTGAAAAACTCAAACCACAAGACCAAGTAAATGAAGCCCACTAAGAATTGGAAATGCAAAGTTTTGAATAGAAAAAGACTTGTGGTGATGCAAGCCTGCATTTGGGCGATGCTCATCTTTGCCCCAAAACAGATGACAAACAATTTACAACATCATCTTACAGCTGATCTCCATTGGATAGATCTGCCAAGAAAGCATACATGGCTTTGCAATCCAGTCTTATCAAAATTACCATGGCCTGATGTACTGCAAGGTACCGCTCATATCACACAACGCTGGATCATAGAGTTTGAATTTTGACGTCTTTGAAGGCTTTTTGCACTAATGCTAGTTTACATGCTGAGACTGAAGACACCCTTGGCTTTGGAAACAATGCTTGGCAAAATGGTTTTATCCCAAGATCAGTTCTAAGTTTTTCAAAGGCTGTTTCATATTTATTGAGCTTGAGTGAATGGAGTTTAGCGATAGCCATACAGCTCTTGAGCCCCTTTCTCAGGATCTTTAGTGTTCATCTTTGGATAAACAGGTATTTTTTTTTAGAATCTGACATTACCTTCATACAGCCTCTGTTAACAGCTTTTTTAAAAAAGTTTTCACATTCTCAATACTCCAAATATATACGTTTATCTACCTTTTTTGTGCTAACATCAGCTCAGAAACTAAGAACAAAAATTGATTTTAACATCAGTCAAACCATTACCAGATCCACGTGTAGATAAATCAGATTTCTGAGGCCTGGACTCATGAAACACAATATTTTATAGTGAGTCTAGCTCATCATGAATTTAAGCTGTTTATATATACAATTGTTGAGAGTTGCCTTTTTTTTTTTAACTAATTCGTCTATACTTAGGAAAAAGCAACTGACCAACGAAAATGTCTTTTTGAAGCTTTCTCTGACATCGAATGATCCGTGATGAATTGATATGGATATAAGCTGTTCAAAAGGTCGGGTTAATATTCGCTTTTTTTTTCTGAACTATTTGAGACCAGCTTTGCCAAGACTCGTCCACTAGTCCTTTTTTATTCAAGTTAGCTCAAAACATGAGATAAAAAAATATTCTTGGCTTTGGCGATTAAAGCTTACTCAATAATTTTACAAAGCAAATCAATATGTAGCTTTATGGATACTTTGAGCTATAATGCTCAACCCTCTGGAGGATGAAGATGGAGAACAGCAGAGGTGTAGTTTTTTTACTTTCATGATGCTATGGTTAGCTTAAACGTTGAGCACAAAATTTAATCTCTGCCCATAAAAAACAGCAGTGAAACTCTTTTGTGGTTTTACCTCAGGGTTCAGTAGATTTGACTATTTTAGCTCTTTTTTTGAAAAGTTGATCTTGCCATGCATTACTTTTCAAAGGACTTTTGCTGTGTGCTAAGCTAATGTTAGCTTAAAGAAGCTAACCTCTCAGTCTAACAACAAGGTCCTTTTGTGACTGCTCTTGAAATTTACATTTTTTAAACTTTATTCATGGTTGCTGAAAAATGTAAAGACGGAGGTGGGCCTACAACTGTTGGCAAACTCTAACCTCAAGGTCAATTTGTATATAGTCTGGAAGTTTTTGTCATATCACATCTTCCTCTCGAGATTAAGTTTGAAGACATATGAATGTTCACATTTATTTCTATGTTCAGATTCAAAGTGGGTCATTTCAACCTACTCTACCTTAATTTATTTTTGACAGTTATTCTTAAAGAGGAGTGTATCCTGGTGTCCGTGGCCACCAAAGAGGAATATTGGAATCAATAAATAAATTAATGAAAGATGTAACCTCTGGATAAGGAAAAATATGATCCCAACAGTTAAGAAACAAATTGTTTAATATTTATGATAAACACACTGCATAACTATCAATGAACAAAAATAATAATTTGTTGCAGCTTTTTTTTACATTTTTAAAATGTATTAGTTTAAGTTCATACAAAAAAAGACAGGTTTTAATGGGACATCTTTGCGTTTTGCGTGGCTTTGTTAGGGTTTTTGAAGAAAAAGAACTAACCTTAAGACAGAGACCCTCTATCTATTCAAGTAGCAAATATGTCATATGGAAACCATTTTTAAAGAGAATATTTTGAGTTTATGTCTGTGTGGGATATTACTTCAGGTCTGTGGATGAACTGTAGATGGAGCCAAAGTTAAGCTCCTGAAGCTGATCACCATGCTGCAGGTTTGGAGGGTCATACCAATATCTGTGTGAAACTCAAGGCATGACCCAACCTAATGTCACGGGGCCACACCAACATCATATAAGATATTCTAAGACATATACACATGCTGCATCAGCGTCATCAGCTCAAAGAAAAACACCAGGAAATGAAACCTGTCACCTGCTTAATGCAAGGTAACTGTTTGGCGATGGCAGGCAGAATTTTGGGTTGCTACCAGATATCTTAACATTGATTATCAAAAACATTTTTAGAATTTAAAATTGGCAGATTTTTCCCTATTTATACCCCCAGACTTACTAGAGTTCACCACTTGCTGATCAAGTTCAAAGGGTTTTGTTACTAATGAGTGGTAGTCTAATGGTAGTCAAAAACCTTTTTAATTTCGGAGGGAAAACAGGAAGAATAACAGGGCAGTGACCTTTAAAAACCCAAGACTACTGCGCATTCTAGTGGTCAAATATACATATAACAACATGCATATTTTTTCAGTCCCTCTTTACTCCACTGCACTCCTTATCATTGCACTACTGTCTTGTATAAGTTAAATGTCCAGTTCAAACTTGTACATACTTTGTAATTTTTCTTTGTAAAAGGGCAAAGTTTACTGAAGTCGAATTTCTTTTATGTGTTCACATACTTGGCCAAAAAAGCTGATTTTAATTCTGATTCTGAAGAACAAGAGGGCGGTGACCTTTAAAAACCAAAGACTAGCACGCCCTCTAGTGGTCACCCATTTGTCTTGCGTCGGCAGCTAACAGCTGGAGGTGTTGTGTGACAGCTGAAGCTGGTCAAACTGATCCTATAAAGGTAAGTGGCTTTTCCTGAGATATCACCAAGCTGTCGTATCTAAAATGGGTCAAAAGTCAAGCAGATTTTTGAAGAGCAACACTGTGGATGTTTGTAGTCTGTTTGTAGTCTTTCAGCTGATTTTTTTAAACCAAACTTCATATTGATTCATTGTTATTAACCTTAGTATTTCTGTCATTATTATTATTATTATTATTATTATTATTATTATATAATCTGGAAACTATATCTATAATTTGGAGACTGAGATGGCACCGTTTGATTTGCAGATTATTATTTGGCACTGCACATGTTTTATGTTTAATCATATTAAGTAAAGCCTAAAAAGTGTCAAAAATCCACAAGACACAAAAAAACACATTTTTAACCTGTGTGTATTTTAATGACTGATGCAGAGGACGTCTTGTCAGTGTCTCTTGAGCTACAGACACTGAGGTGGAATGATAAAACAAAAGCTACAGTGGATCAGGGTCACCTGGAGATTGGCACGTACAGTAATGAAAGATTCAACTTAAAAAACATCCAGTTCACAGCCACACATACATTGTTTCTCTATAATCCCCTAAAACACACATGTACATGTTTGCATTGAACACAGAAATGATGCATCCTGCATGCACCTCGTTTGACCATCATTTGACAGCATCTTTCTTTACTCCTTTCTCCAAAAAACATAGAGAGATCGAAGTGCATGTTCAAGGTAAAATGAACACAAATGAGGTGTGTTTCTGTGGATGTTTAAGCATGTATGCCTTAATGCATCTCTGAGAGCAGCTACGAAAATGACACACAAACACGCATGCACCATTGACACTCTATCTCACACACAGACTACATTTCCCATGTTTTTTTTTTCACAATAAGACCATTCAAGAATCCAAATAAATTGAAACACGCCGCCAGATAAACCTCGAAAAACAACCTCTAATAGCATACATTTTGGTTCTAAGGCAATATTGTATTTCCACAGGACTAGTGCTGTTGATGCACTGTGGTGTTTGCACGCCGACTGCGTCTCCAATTCAAAGTCTTTCCTTCCATCGGCAGTCGTCTCAGTCAGTGTAGTTTTTATTTTTAGCACCATGGGAATCTCTCCTTCAATCAGAATCGTGTCACTCTGAGAGACAGCTGTGAAAATATTCCCTTTCTGATATCCACTCGGAAAAAAAAAGAACAAAAGTCTGGGTGTCGAGAGGTTCAGGTGAGAGCTGGAAACATCCATAAAAAGTTGCTTCATTTGGTAGAAGATGGTCTTCATACTCAAAAAACACACAGAATGCAAGGCTTAACATTAGCATCACAGATCATTTGTACATTTTTTTTCATTTTCCATACATGATGGTCATCAGTATAAGCTTTGAGCAAAAAAGAGCAACAGGACGGCCCTCAGCCTTTAGTTTTTTGTTCTCTTCTCTGTACACAGTCACACAAACAAACAGTAAACACTTTTTTTTTTTTTACATAAGACATGAAATAATATCATCTGCAGCCGTTCTGAGCTGGGTTGAACAGACCAGTTCCCAGGAATCAAAGGCAATAAAAAAGTCTGTAGTTTCTGTAGGTATGAGCAGCCATCCGGTCACAGTAAGTCGCACAGGTCAAGAATCAAGGAGCCAGAGAGACTCCCATTTTCTGGAGGCATTTTCTTTTATTTTGAAGCCTTAGTTCCTCAAACATCCACTGTTTATAACCATGAATATCACTTAAGTTTATTTATGTGGATGTTCGTGCTCTTTGCATTTCTGATCCGTTAGTATCACAATTTACCGATTTGCATGTTCTTTAACCCTCCTTCTGTAACACTGAGGGTATCTTGATATCCTGTAATCAATCTTCTGCGCTCATTCCTCGGCGAATTTCCCCTCATCTGTCCAAGCTCTTATTTTAAAATATTGTTGTTTTTCCTCTTCCATCTCACAGTGAGACACAGAGCCACAGAAAGAGATAAATGTTCAAGTTTCAAGTGTCGTCTTCCTCTCAAAGCTGGCCAGCATCCACATCTGCCTGCAGAGTCCAAAGAAGAGGGAACAGGCTGTACTTTCCTCATCGCAATGGTGAAGGTCAGGGTAACAGTGGGCGGGGCTGCGCAGAGGTCAGAGGTCATCTGAGGTCATTTCCGTGTGTGAAGGCTCTCCTGGAACTTAGTGCTTATGTAGCGGATGTGGAAGCCCTTCTTGCTGATGGTGTCATCGCTGTGAAAACGGATCAGCATGGCTCCTCCGGGTGAGTAGATCCCCTCTCTGGGCTGAAGAAGAGAAGACAGGGGACATGAGGAGATTATTTTCAGACAAGTTTCTATCACTGCATAATTTAGCTTTTTGAACAAAAAGACTACACATGTTATATAACAGTGAATGTTTTGTTTCTCCTACTTATTGCCATCAAGTAATGAACTTTTGTGATTTTGTGGACTTTAGATAACTGTTATTAAATATTTTTAATCGGTTTACTGCTGTACAACAATTTACCTAGAGTTGAATAAAAATGTATCTTGTCCTATCTTACAACCAGGTATACAAGTTTATAAAGAATCTAAACTTAAAACATTATTGGTAAGGACATAATCACACTTTTTCATTTGTTTAACACTCGGGCGTGACTTTTGTTTTAATGCCCCTGTGTGTGTGTTTTTTCAATTTGCTGGTTATGAAATTATTGAAGTTAATACTGATGCCTTTAAATGTCTGATGATGCTTCAGTGTGTGCAGTCCTGACAGGGATCACTGACAAGGGAACGCCAACTGAGGAAGCAGGAGGTCCATTTCACTGCTCAGCCTCTTCCTCCACGCTGCACTTTGTTGAGTCTCTATGTCTTGGAAAGTTGCTCATGAGAGCTCTTTTGGTTGTGAAGGAATGATGAAGAAGATACCAGAAAACAGGGAAGTTTTCACTGATTACCCCTTTGTCAACAAAGGTCGGAGTTGCATCTCAACTGTTACTGATATCTGGGGATGTTCACCAATAAAGACCCTCCATGGAAGCTTAAAACTGTGCCTAAACTGACATGACGAAAGGTGAAAATTAGAATATTAGGTCTTTATTACTGCTTAAAACTGCTGGAGGACAGAGTAGTCAGAGCATGCCAATCTTTACCTCCGCCAAGGAGGTTATGTTTTCGGTAGCGTTGGTTTGTTTGTTTATCGGTTAGCAACTTTACAGAGAAAGTAACAGACGGATTGACCTGAAATTTTTACCAGAGGTGTGTCTCTGGATCTGGTGGTAATCCGGACAAAATTCTGGATACTGTGATCCAGAACACACAAAAATAAGGGTGTCGTTGGAATTTTCAATGCTGAAAGATAACAAATGGGCGGCACAGTGGTGTAGATAGGCAGCACAGTCACTGTCGCCTCACAACCAGAAGGTTGTGGGTTTGAGTCCCAGTCAGGGCATTTCTTGTTTAAGGGGGGACATGAGCTGCTTGGCGGAGGTCTGCGCTCTCCAAGTGCTTTTCTAGTATTCTTTGTAGGAGGAAGATTCACAATGTATCTAAATATTTCCTCTAATACTTATCCTTTGCAGTTATACGTAAGATAAGGCAATGTGAGGCAGATTGTTCCTATCAATCCAACTTTAATAGTATTAAAATTAGGGATGAGTTTTTATGGCAGTTTAATCAAACAACTTGCAATGAAGGACTGAGGGGAAAACCATAGTTTTAAGGTGGTAAAAAGTCTATTTTTATTACAAAAAAGAAAAACCCACAAAGGGATTTAAAACGATATGAAAGTAGCTGCCCTGAAAATAACTAAAACCCACATGACAGAAGTCTTACCCCTGAACCGCAGAAGCGACCGAGCCGATGTGAGTTGGCGTCGTACCCGTTGTACAGCTCAATGTAGTCATACCCACAGTCAGCCTCTTCCTCTACTTCAAAGGTGATGAAGCTCAGCTCGATGCCGTAGCCCTGCTCAGCCGTCAGCAGCCACTCACAGTCAGTGTGACCTGGGTAGTTGTTGTCACCAAACTGAGCGTGAGAGTAGAGGTTCTTCTGACGAGCTTCTGCTTTCAGACGACCTCCACACTCTGCAGCAAGGAAGGAAGAGGAGAGAGTGACTTTTTATCCGGGAAACACTTAAAGTGTGTTTGAGTTTATTTTGTCCTAAATAGTCAACAAAGTCGAGTCAGATGAGTTTTATCCTGTATGTGCTGTTGTGACCCACTAGAGGGAGATGTTGCTCTTGAAAATCCACTTAAACCTTGATCAATATGAGCTGCTGACTTTGAAGGAAGCTTTTAAACTCAAAAACCCACTCAGTGTTGCACAAAAACAGTACAGGTATGAGAACATTAATTTCTGTCATAAACTGACAGAAGTAAGACCTGCAACTTTACACCTCCTAAAAGTTGTGCACACATCTGTAGGAACTTGTAAACAACACACACCTGTGGAGTGTGTAGCTTGGAAGCCTTTCCTCTGCACAGAGGCATCAGATATGAAGCGCAGGTACATCTTGTTACCAGTGGAGACAAGTTGCTCTGGGATTTTAGAGCCACACAATCGACCCAGGATGGCTGCTGTGTCACTGTCCCCGTCAAAGGCCTCCAGATGGTCGTAGGCACACTCCTGATGCTGCTCGATCTCAAACTCATTGAATGTCTGGAAATGTAAAAAGAAAAAGTCAGATTGCTGAAAGAGAGTTGATGTGATGTTGTTAAAGGGATATTCTGGCATAATATTAATTTAGGGTCAAACACACCGTAACACCTAGTTAGACACCCCCTTGAGAGATGAATGTTGCCGGCCGCTTGCTTCTCTAGTTATACCAACTTTAATAACGACCGCATCATAGCAATACACAGCAGTCTAAGGAGCCATAAACAAACATCAACCAAAAAGCCACTCTATAGCCACAAATAATGCTCAGAACAGCACCTAACTTCATCAACAGTACATATAGGGTCCCAGACATAGTACTAACCACCAAACATCTTTTTAGTTTTGCCTAATTTCTTCAGCATAGAGACTAAACACAACTTACCTTCTCTCTTCCAGCAGCCGCTTGTTTATACGGAGACCTCAGGCAAGTCCATTACCGCAGCGCGGTGACACAGCTCAAGGATGAACATTTATGATCTTTACTTTATCATTTCCTTGAATTAATAATCATCATATTCATCATTTTGCACTGCAGACACAGTAGTTCTTCTGCCTTAGCGTCTCAGTCTGATTGCATTTCCATGAGGAAATTATCATAAATGTTCTTCCTTGAGCTGTGTCACCCCGCAGCTGTCCGTAATGGACTGGCCCAAGGTCTCGCTACAAACAAGCGGCTGCTGGAAGAGAGAGGGTGAGTTGTGTTTAGTCTCTTTGCTAAAGAAATTAGGCAAAGTTAAAAAGAGGTTTGGCATTATTTGTGGCTATATGTACTGTTGATGAAGTTAGGTGCTGTTCTGAGCATTATTTGTGGCTATAGAGTGGTGTTTTGGTTGAGCATGTGACTCTCTGTATTCCTGCGTTCATAACTAAACTTGGTATAACTAGAGAAGCAAGCGATCGGCAACATTCATCTCTCGAGGGGATGTCTAACTCGGTGTTATGGTGTGACTGACCCTAAATTAATTTAACACCGGAATATCCCTTTAACCTGTCATAAATTAGATCTGGACATTTTTGTCAATGGTGGGAAAACGTATCTTTTTTGGGCTCATATTGCTTTGGTGAGCCACAGCAAGTTCACTGTGTAACTGTTACTACTGCTAAACTGAGACCAACTTACAAAAGATAATTGGGCATCACTCCAAGGGATATAGACCAAGAGTGAAGGAGCTTACGCAACAGACATAAACAGTGCATGGAAAAGGAAGTTTTGGCTGGAAGTGGAACACTCAATGCTGGTAATACTGAAACACTGGCGTCTGTCTCCAGAGGCATGTACTGCAGAGTATTTTCTCCAGATGATGATAAGAAATGATTGTTGATGGGTTCTGAGATTGGTACAGGACAAAATCATCAAAGATATAAGAGGTACTGCTTTGTTCACCAGAAGACCAAAAACCAACACGAATCAAAAGTCCAAAAATGAAACTCTGTTTAACCCGATTCATGGCATAACTTCCAAGCAATTAAGAGATAACTATGACAAACAAAAGTCCAGATTTGTGGGTTGTTAAAAAAATTAATTCTGACTCATTAACTGGTCTCAGGGTTAGAAAACACAAAGAAAATAGTTGACATTGAGCACAGTTTATTAACATGACAGAAATTGTAAAACAGGGCTGCTGAGAGTGTCTAACATCGGCAGAGCTAGCACCACCATCCTCTTTGCAGGTTAATGTCTACGTGCCTGAGCTTGTTATATGTAATGTGGACTGTGCTGAAGTTAACTCGACATGGCTTAAACACAACTTTGGTCAAAATACCTCCAAACTGTGCTGCCACACATGATACCACCTGTCATCTGTGCTTGTTTACATCCTGAGAGTAGAGCATTATAAACAACATTAACCACTGACAACTTGGTTAGTGGTTGGTGGCTGTGTTACATCTCTGGCTACATGTAACCAGCATGTTGGGCCTACAGTGATAAAAATATAAATAACTTTTCAACCAATTGGTAATCTTAGTGCTGACAAGTGGAGGTGACCCACATGGATAGATACTTTAATATTAAACAGGATTGTGAAGGAGTGAAAGAAACTTTTGAACGTTGATAATCTTGTTAAAAAAATTTTTTTTGGCCGACACATAAACAAGTTTGAGCTGTTTGTTGATCTTCAAAACTCCTCAGCTATCTGGCTGTGGGGTTTGTCGTTAATGCCATCTTTAAGAAATGACAAAGCGCTTCAGTTTTTCATGTTGAAACATCCGCTAGCCATTGGCAGAAACAACACAATGACGGCAGTGAAACTAATGATCAAACTAACGTTAGACTGATGCAAATGCAACAAAATCACCCTCATGTTGATGGTTAAAGGATTATTGCAATATTAGTAGGTTTTCTGAGTGTTTTACATCATTTTTAGGTTTTTCTGTGGATATTAAATTAATTAAAACACTCCCAACATAAAATGAACAAATCAACATATTCTGCAACACTACAGAGCATAACCCCTGCCTTCCCCTGTGTGCCTGTAAGACAAGTATGTCTGAGCTGTCACGATTCATAATCTAATCAAGTCACCGTGAGCTGAGTCATAACACCTTGCAGGCCTCTCCCACACACAGTCACACACCTCTCTCACGCCACTGCAAACACCACACCACCTTTCATTTTTACCAAAGGGACCCAAAAAGACAGAGACAGAAACCGAAAGACCATAAAGGTAAACCGATGTGAGGATGTCGTTACCCAGAGAGGTTTTCGATTGTGGACGTGTGATAGGGTCCAGATGTTTCTGCCTGCAGCTTGGGAGAGACATTACTCTGTGGAGACGTTTACTCCTCCAGTGAGAGTTAAGTGTGTGGCTGTGTGTGTGAGTGTGTTAGTTCATTTGTGAGTCTGAGTGAGAAAGACAAAGAAGAAGCAATGACGGAGTGACCTCTACGTCCATGCTCAGATTTCTGGTCATAAATTTATCCCACTCTGGTGTCATTACTGTGGGTATAGAGAGTGATCCAGCAAATCACACACACACACACACACCAACATATTGACACATGTTGGTGTGTGGGTTTTTGCATTTTACTCACATTTAAAAACAGGTGCAAAAACCACTGAACAGGTTTGTCATCATGATAACTAATGATATAATGTATATTCCTGTTACGTTCATTAAAACTAATGACAGCTAATGATTCTTATACATGCAGCGAGCCCAGGATGAGGCTGCTGTGAGGAAGCAAGACAAGAGGCCAAACTTCAATAGTTTGTTTGTATGCTATACAGAGTCCTCTGTGTGTGTTTGTGTGTGCACATATAAAGAAATCATACAGTGCGCATTTGATTCGGTAAGTAGACCAGAAATGTTTGCATCTTTGTGTGTGTGTGTGTGTGTGTGTGTGTGTGTGTGTGTGTGTGTGTGTGTGTGTGTGTGTGTGTGTGTGTGTGTGTGTGTGTGTGTGTGCAGGACACTGTTTAAATGGTTCCTTTTTAAAACTGCATGAAACAGTGAACAGAACAGCTGCTATCTCAGATGAGGCTAGACCTTTCATAAACTCCCTCCAATAACTGTCAGCAGTAAGTAATATCTTGAAGTCCCACTCCGATCATTTTTTTTACTTCTTAAAGTGTTCTCAGTGGTCTTTGAATTGTGACTATGAAGTTTTTACCAAAAATCATGTTGCCTGTGTCATTTTCAAGGGCTTTTTCTTCTGCAGAGCTCCAGTAGGTCATTAACAAATCGAGTCGTGGGCGGAGACAGCGCTGCTCTGCACACTCGTCTTCACATTAGCTTGCAGCCGAACATTGCCAGTTTAGTAGAAGTGGCAGGTAACGTAGGAGCTATTCAGCTCTTCTTTAATGGGTGTAATTGTTCTGATTTATGTGCAAGTTTTCATTTTCAAAGTTTGGTTTAAATTAGTTATAGAGAGTAAAAAGGTGAGTGATTTACAGCTCTGATGACAAATGCAGTGCTCTTTCTCGTATAAGCAGAAAAAAGGAGAGACAGAAAAAAAAAGCACTAACCACCAAACATCTTTTTTACTTTGCCCAAATTCTTTAGCAAAGAGACCAAACACAACTCACCTACTCTCTTCCAGCAGCCGCATGTTTGTAGCATGAAGAACATTTATGATAATTTCTTTATCATTTCCTTTAAGTAATAATCATCACATTAATCATTTTGCACTGCAGACACGGTAGTTCTGCTGCCTTAGCGTCTCGGTCTGATTGCATTAACATGAGATAATGATCATAAATGTTCTTCCTTGAGCTGTGTCACCCCCTCTGCAGTTGGTAATGGACTGGCCTGAGATCTCGCTACAAACAAGCAGCTGTTGGAAGAGAGTAGGTGAGTTGTGTTTAGTCTCTTTGCTAAAGAAATTAGGCAAAGTTAAAAAGAGGTTTGGTGGCTAGTGCTATGGCTGGGACCCTATATGTACTGTTGATGAAGTTAGGTGCTGTTCTGAGCATTATTTGTGGCTATAGAGTGGTGTTTTGGTTGAGGTTTGTGTGTGGTCCCATAGCCTACTGTGTATTGCTATCTGCGGTCGTTACTAAAGTTGGTAACTAGAGAAGCAAGCGGTCAGCAACATTCATCTCTCGAGGGAATGTCTAACTCTGTGTTATGGTGTGTTTGACCCTAAATTAATTTTACGCTGGAATATCCCTTTAAGAGTAACATTCCACTGTCAACAACAGATGGACCTCATCCTCACTCTGTTATTTGTAAATGTTGCCTGTTATCCTCCAGGTACAAAACTTGCAGGCAAATAGGCTCAAAATGCAGCTTGTCTTGTATTTTTGACGTCTGTGGTGCAAATGTATGGAATAAGTCGGCTTTAGAGTTTACATGCAGTGCTAATTATCCTCTGTAAAGGCTGCTGGATGTGCATCAAAGCTACAAACAGCACCTTAACACCATCTGTCTGAGCAACAACCTGTCATAAATTGAGAGGATCTCCTTTCTAACAAGTACCTCTGTAAGTAAGACCTGCAACTTTAGACCTCCTAAAAGTTGTGCACACATCTGTAGGAACTTGTAAAAATATTGAGACAAGTATCCACTGTGACACATAAATGCTTCCGTGCTCAAAATGCATGAGTGTGTGTGCACATGCAGGCTGAGCACATGCATGCAGAAAGACACAGGGACACAGATGGCCACTGCCCAAGGCCTCTTTCAAACGGATGAGCACACGCTCGCAGTTAGCCCGAATATACAAACGAGCAACCCCCCTTCTATACACATTTGGGTTTCATAAATGGAACATGAGAAAAAGAGATCATCGAGGAAAAAAGGGGGAGGGAGGGAGGAACGCCTCAGGCCTTTACATACGATTTGACCCCACAGATAGAATAATGCATCACTTTGAAGAGAGTGGAAGCCAACTATGCTAAAGCACAGAAAAATCCTCCACAAGCCCAGAGAGCCGCTCGCTTTTTTCATACTTACTATCTTGACTCGGTGTCCTGGCGTGGCTGTGATGTCCCAGGTGCACTCCTTGCGGCTTGGATACTTGTCAGGCCAGTTGGGGCTGCTCAAGGTCCCACTGGGGCTGTGGATCTTATGCTCACACTCAGCTGGACACACACACACGCACACACACACACAAGCAAGCAAGTGCACACATTGAGAGGAAGTTAAAATCATGGCTGCACAGGAAAAGGTCAGAGGAAATGGAAAAGGAACAGGAAGGAGAGAAACGAGAGAACTAAAAGAGAAGGAAAAGATTTCAAAGAAACACATCCTGGTGACGAATTCAGAATAAATTTTACATGAAAACATGCAAGCATGCTTTAGACAAACACCGCAGCCATAAACCATCTGTATTTTACATTAATCGAGCAAAGCATCTCTCAGTGTAAGTCGTAGGAGGACGTGTCATCTTTTCACCATGGTTTTATCAATCTGGAAGTCATTTTGAACCTTGAAAGTGATCTGTATGTAGGCGGTTATCCAAACTCCATCAAATGACTCTTAAAAAAGTATGTATTTGTGTTCTTTAAAGTTATATATTTTTACCCATTTCTGCAAAACAAGGTAACTGATAGCAGCTAAGATGTAACCCCTGAAAAATGAGTGGATGATATGATATACTGTAAACATAAAAAATATGAGCCAGACTTGAGGATCCACCCTGGAGGAGTGCAGAATTATTGGTAAATCAAAGAAAAAAACCTACAATAAATCAGTGCAAGCTTGAATGCTTTCTAACATTGCATGTGGGGCCTCTGGGTAATTCTATGAGTATAAGAAAGATGTGACATGACCGCCTTTAAAACCATATTTCAATGCATTTCATCTCTTCATCTCTGATTTGTTCCTGGCTTCTTCAAAGCTACAAAGTATAAATAATATCTCTGTGACCTGCAGGTTTGATCACATTGTTTCTTCATGTTTCACAGAAACACTTACTGGGGAGTCAGTGTTACTTTTTAGCCTGTTTAAAACACAGTACAAAGTCACTCCCAGATTTTGCAATCCCGAGCATTAGGACTATGAGGAGAGGCCACTTGAAATGATTTAATTTTGGGATTCAACATGTGCTATCAGACTAAATATGAAAGTAAAACCAGGAGTGTTGTGGGCTAATACAACAACAGGCTACCAACAGTGTAGAAACCTCAGGTTAATGTCCAAACAAACATCATATACATGTGTCTTTATGAGTTTTATGGAAGTCATGGATTGATGGAGGTGATGGGAGGCAGGAGGCATGCACAAGACAACAAGATGTTTTCCTCACCAACAGCTTTTATTTAGAGTCAGACAACACCGAGTCCAGATGTACAGAACCAGATGGATAGACTTACAAGAACAATGTATGAATGCAAGAGACTTCTCCAACACACAGTATATTAAATACAGACTTCATCTTCCACATCGACTACTGTAACAGTGTTTCCTGTACTGTCACAACTTCTGTGGTTAAAAAGTATAACTACCCACATGCTGACAAATGTGAAATCTGACATAGCAGCAAAAACATATTCTCACGTTGTAAAGTAAGAATGAAATCAACAGTTATTAAATAACCCAAAGTGTTGAGATTTGTAGTTTCATCTGTATATTAACAACGGTTTAACTGAAATCTTTATTTTTCTTTGCTGTCTTTTCTTACAATGCCAGACTATTACAGTGTTGCACACCCCTGGCAGGTAAAACCATCTATAAGAAGTCAGCTTTATAATGGAGGACCACTGTGTAGGATGAACTTTCATCTACTGATATGATAATATATTTGAAAATCCTGTGAGAGCAATAAAAACCATGTGTTTAGGTGCCAGCTTTTGGTTTGTCCCACATGGAAAACATGGTGGGTCCAGGGTGGGAGGTAGCAAAAGCATTCAGGTGGTTACACAACTTTGGCATGACAATATTGTATTACTTTAAATATCTTATTTCATCCATGTTTCAAGATCCCTTTCATCCTACACCCTGGTTCTTAAATTTTAACATGTTAACAAAAAGTGTCACTCCATCCAAAGGTCCATCTCTGATTCACTCTGCATGTACGTGGATAACCAAACAAAGACACATTGTATGATGGAAATTTGGATTTACATGACTCTGCAAGGTTAGTGGGTCATGCTAGTCTTACACACACTCACGCACGCACACACGCACACACCAGAAGATCGTGCTACATGCAAAGCTTTCATGCTCCCAGATGTTTGAAACACGAGTGTTTTTATGAGCAGCACAGGGAACCCTTTAGTGAGGTGTGTATGGGTGTATTTATGTGGTGTGTGTGTTCAGGTTCAAGAGTTTAACTTCAAAGAGTTTAACATGTCGATTCAACATTTGTGTGTATGTTTGTGTGTGTGTGAGCTAATAGCTTTGAATAAATTATGTCAAAGTAAAACCTCTCCTCCTGTCTGCATGTCTGTTTCTCACGCACAAACACCGACACACTTTAAAGTGAACAAAGATTTGCAGGCAGAGCTGTTTAAAGTCTTCTGAGACAAGTTCAAGCTGAGTCACGAGTCGACAGACTTTCTCAGCCCCTAGACCAGGTCCAGCATTGTGTCGTTAAAAAAACGTTGTAGTATCAAAACATTATATTATCATCATAGAGTCTTTTGCTCACATTGTTTATGTCTGCCTTCACGACCTCATACTTGGTGCGGTTCATTTATGCTGCTTGATGTAAGAAAAAATAAGGCAGGAAGGCCTTTCAAAATAAAATTTGAGTTCACAATAAAGGAATCCTTCAGACTAGTGTAAGACGAGTCTTTGAGGAGAATAAAAGCAGGTTTAAAGGTTAAAATCGGGCCTTGAAATGGCAATATGTAAGCACCTTCTGTTAGGTGTCAAGTCCTATGAGCAACTATCGAGTCAATTTAAGGAAAGCTTTGACTCCTGTGGAGCTTGTTAGTTTTTTTTTAATATTTTCTCAAGTCCATAAGGAAAAAACAAGTTGTACAAGTCATTTAAGAGAAGCCTAGACTTCGATCTTTAATGACCAGGGGCAGGTTGAAGTTTAAAGATGATGAAACCTGCACTTTGTCTGCAAGGAGTGTTAAACATACACAATCCAAAAGTTTTGCACAGGAGCTTTAAAGTAAAGTCTTCCAAGGTGACTCTCAAATTCTTTAAGTCTAAATCAAGTTTCCAGTCTTTCAGTATAACGCTAAACTCCTCTAAGGAACTCCAACTTGAGTTTTAAAGGTGCGGAAGGCAGGATTCTGTTGAAGAAGAATCTTTTTTGTTTTGTTTTAAGTCTCAGCCTTTATAACCTCAGTTGAGGGTCTACAGCTCTGCCTGCAGGCTTTAAATAACATCCATGTATGAAAACAAGCCCTCTTCAAATGGAAAGGACCAGTCTGTTTTCATGTGGACTCTGATGTGGATAAACATAGTAAGGGCTGTATGATGAACGGTGGTTATTCTTGTGAATGAGTGCATGCTTGTGTGAATGGGGCAGCACGTGCATGTGCGCTCCAAAGTTTTTATGCCAGTGTGTGTGCTGATGTGAATGTGAGTGGAACCCACCTTCCTTACAGTCATGTTTGTTCTCATGCAGTACAAAGCCGTGGCGACACTGACAAACGTAAGAGCCCACTGTGTTGATGCACTCGTGCTGGCAGCCTCCGTTGTCCTTGCTGCACTCATCTTTGTCTGTGAGAGACACACATGCAACACATCACTAATGTGGATACACCAAAGAGACGGGAGTGGAGGGGAGCAAGGCAGGGGAAAAAAAGGACAGAGTGAAATCTGCTGGTACATCAGTGATAAAAGGAGAGGACCAGGTGGAAGTCAAACTAGGCACAGAAAGTCAACTAAAATGAGTACAGTACAGAGAAATCAGATGAGAAAAGGCAAACAAGGAGAAAGGTGAAGACAAACATAGAGAAAATATGCCAGGCGAACATGGTGGCCCTCGAAAAGAAACGAGTATGACAGAACCAAGAGATACAGCCAAGCAAGAGGGTCAATTAACAACATGCTAAACCCCATCCCAAAACAGCACTAGGTCAGTCATAGCTTAGCAACTGCTACTTAACAAGCTTTGGATTCCTACAGACATTTCCTCAGTATATATATTCTGACCCCACCCACAAAAAAAAAACAAGAGAAACAGTGTAATTATACAATATGAAACTGTACTGTCTACTCTGTCTTTAAGGTAACATCGCTCCCTTGCTCACCACTCATTTAAGTGCCAGCAGCCTTCAAGGACAAAAAAAAAACACAATAAGCACCAAGTTTCTACCTTCAAAAATGTCAATTCATACAACTCCTTTGTTTCTCCACTCTCCCCTTTGTTGTCTTCCACAACGCATTTCATGCAATACAATACAAATTAAATACAAATTGTTTCTTGTAGAAACATGGATGTGCGAGATGGTATCCTCTGAAGCTCATTCTTAATTAGTTAAGTAAAGATGTTTTTAATACTCGGGTGATTATACACTCAGTTAAACATATCTTTGAATGTTATATCAATTTCTACAAGGTCTGTTCTGCTAAATGCTGCTAAATACGACACACTTCACCTTAAAAAAATGATGCTTTACCTCTGTTTCCTTATTATGTACGAAGCCTGTAAGGATGCTAACTTTCTGCCCTGCAGCCTCAGTCTTCCAGCACTACAGCATGCTGTTAATTATCATATACTATACACAGGAGGTCCTTTTTTAATGTGGGGCTTTCACCTCGGAAACAGATTGAGTTTCTAATTAAGGCACTTTCAGTGGATGATTAAAACTTTTAGTCAACTTTTGATTGAAAAGAAATGTCTACACCAAAAACATTTTGAACATTCACGGTTAAACATAAAAGGTAATGGGGAAGGAAAGTAAATGTAGAGTTAGTACTGAGACAGAAGAGAGACACAGACCATGGGTTCAGTCGCTAAGCGTGTTTGAAGTCTGTGTGGGGGTCCGTCTTGGTCCTCCTCTCTCTTGGTTCATGGTCGTGGTTACTCTGCGGTCTAACTCAGACCTTGGCTCTGAAACTTGTCTGACCATAACAGCTGCTTGCAGATCAGCCGTGCTCTATGGCAGACAACCACAGCTAAATCTGACTGATGTGTTCACCCAGCCAACAGGAGAAGAACTGAGAAATGTGGTTCTGTTCTTGCTTTTGTATCTTCATGTTAAATTGTATAAAATAAATGGAATGATGCTCAGGACCCCCGTATGTGGGACTATTGTTAAAGTATATACTTCCACACTACACTGTCAACTACATAAAAACATGTTGAGCCACATCTCTGATCAAATAAAGGCTCCTGCATTGTTCTGAGCTAATAGACAACTTTTTACACGATTGGTCAAAACTTTTACACAATGTCAAATTTAAAGGCATGGTTGACGATTGGAGAGATTGGTATTCATTATGAACCTCGTTTATACAGCGATCATGGGCCTATAGTGCGATCTCCACAAAGTGAAGAGAAAGAAGAATGGAAAAAAAACATTCACCTTAGCAGGTGCAGGGCTTCAAAAACACTGACCAAAGGGAGCCATCCATCCCGGACAGCTCCTATTGGTCAATCTCCAGCTCCGCCTCTCCATCCAATAACCTCGCTGTATTCAACACTCCCCTCTCCTGTAGTTCTGACTTGTCCTCTCCCACTCTCCCTGCTCTCCTTGAAGCTCTGAGCGGCTAAAAGTAGCGTAGCAGCTTAGCTACAGGAGCTGTGACGGAGAAGGACAGAAAAATAAAAAAAAACACTTCTGCTTGCCCCACCGCCAAAAGGGCTAAGAAAACGCAAGCGGTGGAGAAAGCTCTGCCAAGATTTGGGCCTGAAAACAGACGCCGAGACAGCAGAGTTTTTGGTGAACAGGTAATTTTTGCCTTTTATCGTGGCAAATGTTACATAAATAACTCTTATTAGTCTCTGCAATGTCAACATGAAAGCTGTTAAGGCAGCTGCAGACGATGCTCACTAGCAGAGCTGGCGTTTACTGCCGCTAGTCTCCAGCAATCCTACATTGTGACTCCTATTTGAAGCTAGCGTAGGATCTTCTGCCGGCCTCTGCCACAGGGGGTCTGTCGTGGGGAGAGTTGTCATGGAGCACAGAGGGGAGAGGTTTGTGTGTGGGGGGTAGGACGCTTTTTTCAAATCCGCCTTAACGACTCCATTTTTTTTCAACTACTTCTCTCATCATCAACCATGCCTTTAAGTCTGTTATGTATCGTTGGAAACGTAATCATCTCTACAAAATACTTGAAATAAACTTTGTTGAAAACTTGAACAATGTTTGGCTGCACTCAGTAAGTTTTTAAAGACTGGCTCTTTGGCAGGCAGCAGCTAGTTAAGAGGTCACTGCATTCAAGTATCTGCAGACGAAAACAGCAAATGAGGCGTCTTCTCGCTCATTTTTCCTCCCTCATCCTTTAATTTGTGGCTACACCTAAACACATGGCTTCTCTTCGGTGAGGCAGGGTGATAACAAAAGCCTTTCTTACTGAAACTGAACACTGGAGGAAAACAAAGGTTCTCAGGGTGGATGCTGAGGGAGCCACGGAGGGAGACTTGACACAGAGGGGGCTACCATGTTGGGAACAGTGATGGTGTGAGGGTTTAAATGAGGTTTAAATGATCAAGTGGTTTTTTTTTAAAAGGAGATAGAGAGAGACGAAGATGGCTGGAGTGTCTTGCTTGAATCCCACTTCTGCTCCAGAGCTGCTGAATTAAACCAGATCTGCTTTTAATGAAACTACTAAATCCTCTTCTGTGTGTCTCTCTCTCGCTTTGTGTCTGAGTGCAAGTCTGTGTCTGAGGTGGTATTATGATGCTATTGTGGGCTCAGTCTTGTCCTATCACTGGCTAAGAAGCTTTGCAGTCAATGCTACACAGTGTTCATTGTAGCTTTCCTCAGGTCAAGCAACACAATGTCCACATGCACACACACACACACATACACACACATACACATTGGATGGATTAGCGTGTGTTTGGGAGGCCGGAGGGACCTCCCCAAAGCTGCTGGATTTCTGCCATCCAAAAGCTATCACTGGAAGCTTCTGACAGAACCAGAGACACTTACACAGCAATTTTTATCACACACACACACACACACTAGCACGCACTTTTTTCTTGTCTGGTTAAATCATTCGACTTTTCTAGGTGTCTTTATAGCTGAATATCGACAGATCTACTTAACCTGAAGGTGTCTTTAAGGTCATGTTCTCCATTTCTCTTTCAGTAAGTGTCCACAAAAAGAAAGAGGAGAAATTCTTCTTTTTTTCTACGGAATAACTTCGGCGAGTTGTTAATATCCAGTGTTAAATCCAACAAATTCATCCCTGCGGAAAGGCAGGCGGGGGAAATTTGTTGTGCTTTTAGTGGGAATACGGCTGCTTTGTCTCAATTCCATAGAAATACTTATTTATTTTATCTTGTGGTTTTTCAAATGGAAACATAAAAAAAAATTATAATAATGTGCAGCTGTGACTTTTTTGGAAACACATCAAATAAAAGCATTTTCATTTGGGTGATTTCCAAACCAAAAATGATTAATTATCAAAATTTCTAGGAGCGAATAAATAAATACAGATGGAAATAAATTCAACTCAATCAATCCACTGTGCTCCATTTTTTTAGTCAAGAACCAACCATCGGAATTCTTTCTTTGAACTCTTTAAATAGATAATGCATGAGTTATATTCAGGCTATACAAAGCTCTTTAAATAAAAATATCTTTATTTTACTGGAAACCGATAAGAGATTAACTTTTATTCCTCTCCGTCCCTAGTGAACACTCGGTGACATGGAATTGGGACAAAGCACATGTTTCCCCTGAAGGAGAATGGATTAAACAATGATCCACGTTGTTAAAACAGGATCTATCCATTCCCTGTCACATGGTACACCAGAGCCAATCAGAGACGCCGACTGTGAGGCCATGTTACCTCTGACCTTTGATGAGGTTGCCGGCTTGTTGTTGACATGGCCACGAGTGGGAGAGCGGCCGCGCTTTATGTCCCGGCATGACTCAAACACAATCATACGCTCCTGACACAGAGTCAGCCTGTCTGAGGGAGAGAGGAGGGCAGAGTGCAAGATGGATGCAGTGGGGCTCAGGACACAGCGGGACAGACACATGTACAATGGCAGGACAAAAAAAAGGGTACACACACAAAAATGGATGATTTCACAAACACCTTACAATACAAGCAGACAGACACACAAGCAGCAACTAAAACCACAATGCTTTCACGTTATTCAAAATTTAAAACAAGATAAGAGAAAATTGATGTCCGACTGGAACTTCAAGAAAGCAGCAAACAGGGATTTGTATTTCTACTTCTGATACATAAAGTTTCATGTACTATTTTAAATTTTAGCTGTCGTAGTTACATTAATGGTGTCCAGTCTGCAGGTGCTCGCTGCTTTAAAGCTACTGCCACTGTTTGACATGATCCTTACAATCACTCAGAGATAAAATATAGGAAAACGTTACAAAAACTTTCAAAGGCAGCCCAAGACTTTCCAGGATATTTTGCTTTTCCTCTCCCTTCCATGACTAGTGTCTTGGTCAACTGTTTCCAGGTTTTCTATGGGAACCCTGACATTAACACGTAACTAGAAATCAGGTTACCCGACTTTAAATGTACCTGGTTTCAAAGCCAAAGACGGGGCGCTGATGGCCCAGCACCCCACATTTAGAGGCCAAAGTCTACAATGCAGTTGTTTCTGGTTCGATTCTCTGACTTAGACACTTTGCTGCGTATCTCCTATCCCTCTTCAGCTGTCCTATTCAAGATGAGAAAAAAATCCCAGAAATTATATTTTTTAAAAATTCTGGGGAAAAACACAAAGCCATGCCTGAAGGCATTCATGAGACTCAATAGTCTTACGACAAAGCAGGATTTGTTGGCAACATGGAAAACATTTCAATATATTTTGTGAGAATTTTATAAGATGTGCGACTAGCCATGTAGCACGGAAAGAAGGTTCGTCTTAGATTGTCCTAGTGTCCTATAAAACCCCCTTTTGGTCAGTAAAGCACATCGAGGGATGGTTTTAAAGGGATATTCCGGCGTAAAATTAAGTCAGGGTCAAACACACCGTAACACCTAGTTAGACATCCCGTCGAGATGAGAGAACGTTGCTGACTGCTCGCTTCTCTAGTTATATCAACTTCAGTAACGACCGCACGATAGCAATACACAGCGGTCCAAGGAGCCACACGCTCAACCAAAAAGCCACTATTTTGCCACAAATAATGCTGATAATAAATGCTGATGTTCTTCTTTGAGCTGCGTCACCCTGCAGCAGTCGATGGACTCGCCCGAAGGTCTTGCTACAAATGGCGGCTGCTGCAGGAGAGTGAGTAAGTTGTGTTTAGTCTCTTCTTCTAAAGAAATCAGGCAAAGTTAAAAAGATGTTTGGTGGCTAGTACTATGACTGGGAACCTACACTCACCGGCCACTTTATTAGGTACACCATGCTAGTAACGGGTTGGACCCCCTTTTGCCTTCAGAACTGCCTCAATTCTTCGTGGCATAGATTCAACAAGGTGCTGGAAGCATTCCTCAGAGAGCTTGGTCCATATTGACATGATGGCATCACACAGTTGCCGCAGATTTGTCGGCTGCACATCCATGATGCGAATCTCCCGTTCCACCACATCCCAAAGATGCTCTATTGGATTGAGATCTGGTGACTGTGGAGGCCATTTGAGTACAGTGAACTCATTGTCATGTTCAAGAAACCAGTCTGAGATGATTCCAGCTTTATGACATGGCGCATTATCCTGCTGAAAGTGGCCATCAGAAGTTGGGTACATTGTGGTCATAAAGGGATGGACATGGTCAGCAACAATACTCAGGTAGGCTGTGGCGTTGCAACGATGCTCAATTGGTACCAAGGGGCCCAAAGAGTGCCAAGAAAATATTCCCCACACCATGACACCACCACCACCAGCCTGAACCGTTGATACAAGGCAGGATGGATCCATGCTTTCATGTTGTTGACGCCAAATTCTGACCCTACCATCCGAATGTCGCAGCAGAAATCGAGACTCATCAGACCAGGCAACGTTTTTCCAATCTTCTATTGTCCAATTTCGATGAGCTTGTGCAAATTGTAGCCTCAGTTTCCTGTTCTTAGCTGAAAGGAGTGGCACCTGGTGTGGTCTTCTGCTGCTGTAGCCCATCTGCCTCAAAGTTCAACGTACTGTGCGTTCAGAGATGCTCTTCTGCCTACCTTGGTTGTAACGGGTGGTTATTTGAGTCACTGTTGCCTTTCTTTCAGCTCGAACCAGTCTGGCCATTCTCCTCTGACCTCTGGCATCAACAAGGCATTTCCGCCCACAGAACTGCCGCTCACTGGATATTTTTTCTTTTTCGGACCATTCTCTGTAAACCCTAGAGATGGTTGTGCGTGAAAATCCCAGTAGATCAGCAGTTTCTGAGATACTCAGACCAGCCCTTCTGGCACCAACAACCATGCCACGTTCAAAGTCACTCAAATCACCTTTCTTCCCCATACTGATGCTCGGTTTGAACTGCAGGAGATTGTCTTGACCATGTCTACATGCCTAAATGCACTAAGTTGCCGCCATGTGATTGGCTGATTAGAAATTAAGTGTTAACGAGCAGTTGGACAGGTGTACCTAATAAAGTGGCCGGTGAGTGTATATGTACTGTTGATGTAGTTAGGTGCTGTTCTGGTAATTATTTGTGGCTATAGAGTGGCTTTTTGGTTGAGCACGTGGCTATCTGTGATCGTTACTAAAGTTGGTATAACTAGAGAAACAAGCAGTCAGCAACATCATCTCTCAATGGGGTGTTTGACCCTAACTTAATTTTATGGCGTAATATCCCTTTAACAAAAACTCTCCAGTTACATAAAGATAAGGGATACTTGTTTTTTAAATGACTCACTTTCAGCGCAACAAAACCAAATGATGTCACCTGGTAATTCCTTCAAACCTCAGAGCCACATTGAAGTGCCCTGCTTCCAGCTGTTTCTCTAAATGACAATTTTGTGGAGCAGAAACAGGTAGGTCAGACTCATTGAGTCATAGTCAGTCGGTGTTGAATCACACAAATGTTCTTTACTTGTCTTGCTTCAAACAAAATGGGCTGCCCTGCTCACCCTTGACAAACCCACACTAACACAAACACACAAAGACGTAACAAACGTGTCTTACCTGAGAAGAAATGAGCCTTGAAGCCTTTCTTTGACACAGTGTTGTCAGACTTGAACTCTATCCTCATGTTGTTGTACTGAGAGGTGATGACTTCAGGGACTTCGGTTCCACAGTATTTTCCATGCAACTTGGAGTCCGATGAGAGGCCGCTGCGCACTTCCACATAGTCATATTTACACACCTAAACACACAAATGAGACTTGAGTTACACTTGTTTATGTCGTTGCTACTTTAGTCAGCATCCTCCTTCCTCCCTGTCATTAACACACAGCTCACCAGCACGTACACACACACACACACACATAAACACACTCACCTCATTTCCTTCCAGCTCGAAGGCCTCAAATTGCATGGAGATGCGGTACTGAGAGGGAGCAACTACCTGCCACACACAGTTTTTGTTGGGCGGATACTCTTTGGGCCAACCGGGTGTGCTGATGGTTCCGTTCAGCTTTGAGAGGAGGCCACCACATGCAGCTAGCAACACACAAACAGGCCGTTATGAACGTGACAGAATATACTGAGGTGGGAAACCAAGATACTCTTTGAACATAGCAAACTGTCCATAAAATGAGGATGATGAATCAGTGCAATGTGTCCTTTTTTTAATGAGCTTTCACATGATAAGATACCCGATAGAAAAGAGCTGTCATGTTTTCAGTGTTATATGAATCTTTATCTTCTACTATTTGAAAATCAAAGCTGTTTACTGCATCTATTTCTTTGTCAGGAGGATTATTTTCCTGATACGGCTTAGTTATGGATGGAATGTGGAGGACAAACAGGTCCGTCATCATCTGCAGCCTCTGTTTCAACTGATGATGACGCCGAGGGGAATATTTGTCGTAGAGGAACCAGACGTAGCTCAAAGGAAAAGTGAAATGTGAATGGGAAGTCGTCACTACCTGTTTGTTAATTTCAAGGCGGTAACGTCACATAAACAGCTCCAAAATATCTGTTCAGTCGACCAGGGGTTTTTTCTGCATTTACTGTTGTTTTACTTGACCTTCTCCCCACAAATGAGTCACAAAGTCACTGTAATTTCACACACCATCGAAAAATCCCCTTTTCTACATCTTTTTCCCACGCTTGAGTTTATTGGAATTTCCAAAAATCTTATGATCTTCCAAAGAAACCCAGGAAACCACAATTTGGATGTGTCTGCAGAGGAGTTTTTCTCTCTCTCAGCCTCAGAAGCAGTCTGTTAAGTTGCTTTAGTGTGTCGGTCATTAATTTATTTTGTGGAATTAAAAGGACCTTCACTGCATTTGTGCGGTTGGAGCAGCCAAGCATGTGGCTTTGTGTCAGAGGGATGTTTTTTTCCTGTTGATTGAGGCTGTTGGGATGTTTTTTTTTCTTCTTCTGGTGAGTAAGAGTCATATCCGACAGAAACACGCAGCTGGGTACAAAAAAAAAAAAAAACAAGCTAGATCTCAGTGCACACTTACCTTCACAGCTCTTCTTGTCAGGAGCGAGTTCATAGCCCGGGTCACAGGCGCACTTGAAGCTGCCGAGAGTGTTTACACACCTCTGTTCGCAACCACCATTGTCTGGCTTGGCACACTCATCCTCCTCTGGAAAACCCACGTCAGAGCACATACGCACCAACATGAAAACATGTTTGGTTCAACATGTGTGAGGAATTAAAGTTGAATGTCACTCGCATACCTTTGAAAAAATTTGCAGCAAATCCGGCCTTGTTGACTGTCCCGTCTGAGACGAACTTCATCCACAGTGTGTGTGAGGTGGAGCGCACATCCTCTGGCTTGTCGTAGCCACAGAATCGACCAATCAGGGGGCTTGTCTCCAGAGGGCCATCTCTGACTTCAAGGTAGTCGTAAGCACAGCTGTCATGTCTCTCGATCTCGAAAAGATGAAGATAAATAACACTACAATAAATATCCCCATCCATCAGAAAGTTATCTTACAGAGCAACACGCAACAACATTTCGGTCCTCACACCAATAATAAGTTTCTGTGTTGGGCTGCTTGGAGTCAACTCTAGAAGATATTTTCATTTACATTGATCTCAAACTGACAGTTGTATAAAAAAATATGAAAAAAGGGATTGCCAAAACTTTAAAAGGAATTCTGTCATCTTTTACTAATACCAGTGGACCTGTGGCTGCTTAAATCAGCTCTAACAGAAATGCTGCAGACTAAGGAGTTCTCCAGGAGATGTCAACTAAATATGTACAAACCACAAACAGTGCTGCAAAGAAATCCTCACACTACCTCCGTGCTTAATCAATCACAAGAAACAATTAAATCCCCTAGAAAACTCAGTTTACAGATCTGCTGGGAATGAAAAGTGTGTTGGCAAGTGAGACATTTTTGGCATCATTTATGTTCTGGTTTGTAGTCTAAATAGTATCGCCCTCTCAAGTTTTTGTGGGAGTATGCGGGAAAGCAATCCACATGGAAAGCAAAAACCCCACATTGGGCCTCCATTTGCCAAAATATTGTCTATAATCAATCAACAATTAGGTTTTCATTAAATTCTAAAATAGTGCAGGCAAAAACTAAATCTGTAATTTCAAAATAGGGCTGTCAGGTTATCAGATTTTCACCTCACAATAATAAAATGATGTAATAATGATATTCAATAGTTATGGAAAACTTGGAAATGAAACAACAAAATGAGTCGAGAAGGGGAATGACAAATGCAAGGGTTTAAAAATGTGAGGAGGGCGCACACTTAACGAAAATCACCATTTAATTCTCATGACATTCACTCTGTGACTTAAACTTCCTTGAGTAGGACATTGCCTTATTGAATGACGGTCATACTTTCATTTTAAGATATTTTTTCCGATATTGTTTTCTGTTTTGTGACGTGACGCTCATATCGAATCACTCAGCACTGTGGAAAAACATCAGGCTGGTCTTTAAAGTTGTGAAATGGAGATAGTTAGCAGACAATAGATCTGAGAGCAGCCTGTGGGGCTACTAAGTTCCAGCCATCAATGACGGGGAAAGTGGAGCGACATCCTGTCTTGCAATCCAGGCAATAGCAGAAGTGAATACGTCTGAGTTCCTGAGTCCCATCCTATTCGCCTTCCATTAAGTTTGAACCGGGAATTTAAACGCACTTTATTTTTCAAAGATAATTATTTCTTTACAAAATACCATCTTACAATAAGTTCCACAGACAAGTAGTAGAATAAATATTGGAGCAGAAGGGACACAGTGTGTGGACTTAAGTGATTTTAAATGGGGTTGATCTTGGCTCCTGTGAGAAGGTGAACTCTGACCTTACTTGTGTGAAGTGAGTTTAGGACAGATTGAGTCTGTTAGCACACTGACATTTTTACCGAATTCACAGCACTGCTCAACAGCCCTGCATCTCTGCACACCCACACACACATACCGACACACACACACACACACACAACACCACAGTTATTAGCTTCCTAGAAGCTATAAGAGCGTGAAATTTGACCCAGACATTCCTGAGCAAACACACATGGACAGAGGGGGTGAAGGAGAGAGAAACACACACAAACATGAGCGTACAAACACACACACACAGTGAGTCACCTCGAAAGCCTGGAAGCTGAGCCCAACGTTGTATCCCTCGGACACGGTGATCCTCCATACACACTCTTTGGAGGGTCTGTAGTCATCAGGGTAGTTTGGAGACTGAATCTGCCCCGAGTCTTTGTTGATTTCTCCTCCACAGATTGCTGCACAGAATTAAAAGATAGAGACAGTATTCTTATTACTGTTCTTTTTCTACTGTTAGATGTTTGTTGGATTTTCAGGCAGAGGAGTTACCTTCATAAATGGCCGCGAAGCCTTTTCCCACCCAGTTACTGCTGCTGCGGAACTCAATCCACATCCTGCTGTCGGTGGAGATCAACACGTCAGGGACTTTATCGCCGCAAAACCTGCCTGTTCAAAACACACGGAATAAAAAAAAACCCTGTGATGTGGTGGTGTGGTTTTAAAAACTGGAGGAAACACAACTTTAATCTTTTGGATAAAAGCATCCACAACCTCCTCAAACATCTCAGTTCAATCCCAGATGACGTACTGCTACTGTCAGACTGTACATGGTGATACATCTTTGTTTCAGTCCATCAGTTGTTCTGTCAATGTCGCAACCAGGATCCAAAATCACACAAGAACTCCACAAGATCATGTGAGAGTACTGAGATAACACAAAAACAGCAGTATCTACAGATAATGATACACTAACAGTGGGTTATTATGCCTGTTTGGGGTTGACTTAGGGTAAATTTGGATTTTATTCAGCAGTAGATGTGCTTCTACCATGGGTGAGTATGCCACAGAATCAAATGGTTCCTTTTTTCAGTGTGTTTAATGTTTGGTGGAGCCATTTTCTAGTTCACCTGTGTGGCGCTGTGGAGAACATGTCAGCAAGCTAATTAAAAAACCTGTATCTGTATAAAAGAACATCTGATCGTAATTTATCAAAAAAAAACAAAAACAAATGAATCTAATCCAAGAAAGGGAAGGCACCAAGCTTATGCTGGATCTCGAGGTTGGGAAAACAGATCTTAAATGCTGTACATTTGACAAAGAAACAAAGAAAACCAGAAGGATAGATGAGTTGGCCAGATCCAACACTTCATTTCACAAGCTGTCATCTTTGAGAGCAAGAATTTAATGGGACATTATGAATCAATTTTAATCTAATGTCCACTGAGGGAGACATTAAAGACTCTAGTCAGCAAAAGAAAAAACTTCTTGGCACAGGAAAAATTACTTTCTGTGTATTTTGAAGCCATACTGTATTATACACAAGTATTTAATAAACTGCATACAACTATAACTAAGACTGAGTTGCTGCAGTTAGTGTTTCTATCGTTCATTGAAACGCTCTGCTGGTGATGTCAAGGTTGTGGTGTTGAATTCGAGTGATTCAGAAAACAGTTGAAGTTCGATAAAGTAATCATTTGTGGTGTTGATAGCACTATCATCATTTTGTGTCAGATGACCCCACGATTTCAGCACAAATAAAAAGATAATAAAGAAGTAAGAAAATAATAACAAAGGGAAAAATTTCCCTTGGGTTTGCACTAAGTGACAAGTCCCCCAGTTCTGGCCCTTCTTCAGCTCACCCCTGGCTGACCGGCCTTTGTTCTTACCGAGCAGTGGAGCTTTCCTCCAGTATCCGTCCCTAACCTCAATGTAGTCGTACCAGCACAGACTGCTTTTGTACAGATCCATGGTGGTGAAGTTCAGGACAATCTAGACAAGAGGAAGTAAATTTTCAGTTCATGTAGATGCAGATGTTTTTACTTCAGAGAGCACATGAGGTAAAGAAAGAAAGAAAGAAAGAAAGAAAGAAAGAAAGAAAGAAAGAAAGAAAGAAAGAAAGAAAGAGGAGAGTGTTAGAATATAATTCATGTGCAGCCTTTGTGTCAGCAGTTTCCTATTGTTATTGCATACATTTTAACAGCACTACAGGGATGCTCTGTTCGTGTGAGTGTGTGTCTGTGTGCACCTTTTCTCCAGGTGTAACAGATATTCTCCAAACACAGTGTGTATACGAAGGGTATCCGTTGGGATAACCGGGGGATGAAAAGTTGCCGGTCGACTCTTGTAGCGTCTCTCCACATGCTGCAAAATACACAAGGAGTTAAATTTCTGTGGTTAGTCCTGCTGTTGTGCATGACGCTGCAAGCATTTTAAAGATTCATACAATCGACACATTATCAAAAAACACATGGCTCTCATGTCGATCTTTATTCTGAATCTCCCACTGCTGATTTCCTGACATAAATATAAAACTAAGCTCTTCAAAACAACAGCTTTATACACTGTCTGCCAGGCCGTTTATGTATATAACACTAAATCTATCCATATGGAAACTGTTAAGGACTGTATTTATGATTCAGACAGCCATAAAGAAATAGAAGAAACTCCCCAAAACAACTTGTATTCTTGTATTGCATTTGGCTTGTTTCGGATGTGCATGTTGGAAGCAGCAGTCTGCATGTTTCTAACCCTGTGTGTGTCACTATACATGATGGGTCCAACCGCAATCCTTAAACCTGTCATAATTAAGCAGAATATTCAGATTCCTTTGCAGGAGGAGAGTTATTTACTGTCACATTGACAGGTTTTAATTCCATTCAAAGAAATAATCTGTTGCAGCTGTGTGTGGATTAGTGGAAAAATGTTCACACAAATTGCTCTATATTCTTCATTCTGAGTTTTACGTCGTCGCCCTCGCAAAAAAAGGAGGTTAGCCAAATGTGCCCCTCCTATTCTGTCATGCATGCTGTTTTCCCCCCACAATGCCCAGGGGCTCTGTTCATCTGTCAGTGAATATGGTATCACTCAAATGTGACCTTATAGGGTTGAAGTTGTCTCTATTTCCAGCTGGGCCGTGCAAACACAGTCTCCTTCTTGCTCCAGTATCCAAATGAAATTACAATTAAATAACAGAAAAAAATGATCAGATTAGGAGATTTTAATGTTATCAAATTAAATAACTGCTACACTATCTGATAAAAGTATTTTCACTGGATTAGATAAGTCTAAAAAATTAAACCCACAAACACAAACAGAGACTTGGGTGATTGTAAGCAGAGAACAGTGGTGACAAATATAATTGGATCTGTTTTTCTCACAAAAATACGCACATGGTGACCTAAGGGGTGAACTTGTCTTAGAGTTGTGAGTGTGCACGTGTGCCAAAAAGGGGTGGTAGCATTTGTAGCCTTAAACCTTTTGTAACATCACAGTGTGATCCAGATCACGTCAGAACCATACAACAGGGACCCGAGTGACACCCAGAGCAGCAGGGGTGTGTGCAAGTGTGCAAGAACTGATAGAAAGAGTGTGTGTTTTATGTTTGTGAGACATGAAAACAGAGAGGGAGGCATCGGGTGGAAAAACATATTACTCAATTTCACCCCTGAGCCTCGGAGAGTAGAGCACTAAGTACTAATTTTACGACGGGTGAATCATGTTTGACTTCAACAACATCTGCACACATAAATACACACTGTGCTCTCAAAGTAAATATATCAGTACCTGGACATCTATACAGCTTTCTTGCCTGCGCAATGTCTCCTTTACTGAGCCTGGTGCGCTGGCCAATAGCAGGCCGGACCCCGTTTTCATCTCTTGATGGAAGGATGGTGTCGAGGAACATCCCCCTTTAGGGAGGAGAAGAGACAGTTGAAGCACATCTTTGCTTGGGGAAAAGGGGATTTCAACATATAATACATACATCTATCTATCCTTAAAACAGCTTGTTGAAAGTCACATCCTGAGAGTAGTATGATGTAATGGCCCCACAAATGTTGCGCTTTTGGTTTTTTTACTTGACTGTAAATTGCGTCTGAGTTAAGAATAGATGGGAAGCATGCAAAGTAAACCAGTGATCACTCTAACAAACAAAAAGGTAATACAAGAGAAGTCTAACTCGTGGATAATGATTGTATACTGATCAAAAGTTTGTTTTATTGCAGTGGTGGGTCATTTATTTCAGTTTTTCCCAAAATAAATATATCAAAGTTATAATTTAACAGGGAAATTTGAAAAAAAGAATATACTAATGCACATGTGTAGTTGTGATATAAAGTTTTGTAAAAACACAACAAGCCTTTACTTGATCTTGGTGTTTACTTATTGCTGTAACTTTAAGCTCATCAACTAAATAAAAACAATGGCATAAAGAAACATTCAAAAGACAATCAAGGTCGCCGTTTCACAACATTACAGAGCAGACTTTTGAAAGAAGAAATCTCTTTTGGCAGATCGTGCGACTGATCTGTTTTGTAAATTCAATATATGGCGAGGGACGAGGCTGTGCTGCTGCTGGTTACCGTGAGAAGGTGTTCCTGGCGTAGTGCATGATGCTGTCAAAATCATACGGCTCCCCGAGAGAGTTGACCTCCCCCGGCTCCATCTTGAGAAAGTTATACTCCTGGCCTGGAAAACACAGATATGCAGATACAAACACACCCACATTTAAACACAGGCAAGGATAGCAGCGTTAGGTGGTTACATTTTACCTATGACTGAAACTCACCTGTATTTACTGTAAATCATTTGAATAATAAAAGCAGCAGAGATGAGGTATTCAAAAGACATGTCTTCAGTTTGTTTTTGTGCAGTGGACTTCTCTTTCCAGGTGATGTTTTATTCAATTAAACACCTGACAAATTGTGGTGTTTTGCAAAGAGTATGTGAAGGTCATAAAGAAAGTCTGAGGTTATAGGTGATTCACAGTCATTAAAACCTTCATTCACACTCGGAAAGTTCCTAAATTTGAAGATAAAACACTCGAGTTGTACTTTGACCTTTGTTCCCTTGACAGAATACACAACCCTTAAAGATCCCAACATGGCTCCAGATTAAAAATAAGTACTACATTTCACCTGGCTGGATGTTATCCCGGATGATGGTCACATGATCGTCACGGTCAGGTCGCGTGTGCTCGTGCCAAAAGCCAATGACGTGACCCAATTCGTGCACCACGATGCCAAACTTGTCACAGTTCTTGCCTATGGAGATGGCCTGGGGCCCGTTGCCACGACGACCCACATAGGAACAACACCTAATAAGGATTAGTAGGAAGTTGACAGCAGAGAGATAGGAGGACAATTTTTTTAACTGCACATTTGGCAATGGAAAAAGCATCAGCAGTGTTGTATAAACACACACACACACACACACACACACACACACACACACACACACACACACACACACACACACACACACACACACACACACTCTTTTCAGGATTTCCTGTCCTGTACTACATCCACCAGAGGAAAAGCAGCAGGATTTATTTACATACAACTCTCCCGATAACGCTGCAGTTTCGTAACCTAATGTGAATAAGCTGTGAGAATTCAAATATCACAAACACACACACACACACGCATAAAACACACACTCAGCCCTTTTTTCTGTTTAGCCGAGACATCCGTGCCAGGCTAACAAATCTGATTAAAGTTATCCAGCGAGCTGATTGCAGGGTGAGGATCAGGAGTCACTGGAGTAGATAGAGTCTTTTTTTCCTTCTTCTATTATTTGCAGCTCCAGTGTACGCACCATTATTCCACTCACAGCAGACGCTATTCATAAAATGTAGTTCTCGTCTTAAAAAATGACTTCTTTTTCTGTTTTTATCTGTCCTTTTCCTCCTCAGGCCTGCGGGCTGCACATCCAAGCTGCAGGGTATTTATACATCAGATTAAAGTGTCTAATCTCTGATGCAGCCAGCCTATGACAGGACACGAGACAACTGCTATCAGTGATCCACACGCAGGCCTCTCACTTATTGCTTTTGAAAACAAATCATCATTTTTCAGCTTCTAAATGTAAACGTTTTCTACATATCAAAAGGATAAGTAAACGCAATAAAAGAAAGTATTCAACAGGTATTTCTCCATTTTTAAAATAAATAGTTAACAACACTTAATTGTTGTTGTTTATATTTAAGAATTTAATCTTAATAACGCTCTTCGTATGGACAACAAATGCGGCATGACAGTCAAAGCCAGCTTTTGGCAAGTTTATCATGAGGTCCTGTTAACTTCTATTCAAGATCTAAAGTCCCCAAAGATCCAAAGTATGTCATGCTGAACTATAGAGAGTGACAATGCAACCACTGACTGAAGCTGCAATGAATACACATAAAAGTGTGACAGAGCTGATGCAAGAAGATAGTGAATTTTTGTCAAATGCCAAAAAGATTGAAAACAATCAATGAATTTAAACATATTTGCTTGAATAAGTAAACAAATTAAGGTGGCGAAGTCGTAGATTTTAGGCTGATTGACCTACATAGTATGTGCGGTTCCTGATACACCTGATGTTTTTTATTATCATCAAAGTAACATGCACTGACACAAACAGCTAATCCCTGGATCATATTTAATTCGCTAGGCTCAGCAGATGCCTGTTTGTCCAGATAAGATACAAAAAAACACAATGGTCTGGTCCATCTTCTTCTTGTATAACAATCAGTTTATCTCACTCATCATTACAGCACATAAGTTTTCAGTATTTCTAGATCATGATACTCCTTCAACTAACTGTCTGAGCAGATTTGACATACTTGGAGCAATAGATTGCAGCTTCCTGGCCAACCATTACCACTTAGAAAGTTAGTGAGTGAAGTTTCACCACTGTAAAAACACACTCTAACCCCACTGTGCTGCTAACCCACAGAACAATGCACTTCTGCAGAGTATGAACAAAAAAACTGCACCAACATACAAAAACTTAGACTTTGCAGCGTGATTTGGGGGGGACCGAGGAACAGGAGCAGGACAGGAAGGAAAGTGGAGCCATTGTTGAGTGACCGTATCGTCTCTCGCTGTGACAAGGTCACCACTGCACTCTAGGTACACACACACACACACACACACACACACACACACACACATAGAGATTCACCAAACTCACCCGCAGGGTCTGTAGGTGAACACAATGTAGCTTTCCTCATCTGTCTTCTCAATAAAGGTTACACACGTCTGTTTCTCCCAGTGACGCATGGCCTGCTTGAACATGGCCCTCTGGCTACCTGGAATACACACATTTGACTTCCTACTTTCACACACTCACACGTCAGAGTGGGTTTTATTTTTTAGAAGTGTCTAGCAGAGCTGCTTACCAGTGAAGTTTCCTCCGATGACGTAAGGAATGACTCCTCCTGGCCATATCCTCTCAGCTCGGGATGTGGCTGCTCGGGGAATTCGGCTTTTCGCAACATTCCCAGTCTTCCCACCTTTCCCGGTTTGGCTCTTGGGACCTACAGATCCCTTGCTGGAGTTCTTTGGTAGATAGTCTAAGGAACAAGGAGAAAGGAGTTGGACCTGGGTGAAACATAAGGTTCTGTTTATGATATTGTACTTAGAATAAACTGGGGCTCACATTAACGGGATTTGGTTTAGAAACCTGAGAGTTACCGGTCTGAGTCTCAGTACAGACCAAAGTATAGCAACTCCGCTAAAAGCTGGTCACTTTTTGGGTATTACTGTGGTGTGTTTCAGCAAAATTCCTAACTCCAACAGCTGTGGGTGCTCATACATATTCTGACACATTGGTATCAGCGTATGAGCATCAGATCCGTCTGTGCATGTATGTGTATTTCCAGCCTGTATGTGTTGCATGTTCAATAACAAAAGTCAGATTGTTCTGTCCCCTTTAGGACTGATAAAGTCTGACTTCTTCCTCTTCTAAGTTCTGGTGTATTATCAGGCCTACTGGCTCATAACTGAGCTCTGAGATTCTTGTTATAGGCGACCTTTCTGAGTGAGATCTCAGATCAGGAGGTGAAGGAACAGTAATACATTGTAGAGTTCTGGGTCTGGTTGTTCCCCAGTAGAGGGTGTGTTTTGGTTCAATCCACAGTGCACTACAAGAGTTACTTTAAGCTTTTAAGAAAGGTTAATAATGGTCTCAAAGCATTTCAGCCTGTAGTTTTAATCAGGAGAAGTGTCTGATAAACTCAGCACAACAAAAACTGTCAACACAGTGAAAAGGACAGTCTCTATCAAATAAAGCCTAAAAGGATTGGTGGGTTGCATGATTTCAGCTGCTTTAACATCCATGTGTTTTTCAGTGCAGGGGGATGGTTGAGTCGGGGTTTCCAAAAGTGACCAAAACTCTGTTTTCCTCAGGCTTTTTACAAAGTGTTATAATGAGGCAAAAACACCTCTCACACAAACCAGCAGACTACAATTGGTATGTTTTTCCAAGCTTGGATTATGGTCACCAAAGAGACTCTGTAACAAACAAGATAGCTCCATTATTATTCACCCATAAAATGTTGAATTTCCTTCCAAGTTTGGTCTTAAAATTCAGTTTAAAAAGAAAAATCCGAAACAGCTTGAGGGTTTAATTTGCTCTTTATGAACACCCCATACTCAATATTTGATAGCAGCTGACGAAGCAAAATAGAAAACTTTTGGGCGATATAGGTGTGAACATTCAGTTTAATAGTTATCTGTTAGACATGAACTTGACTGAAACTTCCTTTTGACTCATTTATCACAGAGAAACATATCATAAATTTTGACCAAAAATCTGCTAAGTTACAGCAATAAACAATAATCAAAACTTGACCCACGGTGATCACTCAGCTGGGTTTTGAGGGTTGAATCAAAAGCTTCATGTCACCACTTAAAAGCTCTTTCTATACTGAATGGTTCTAAATGTAAATCAGTATATTCATGTTAGATGTCTGTATCTGGGATGGTCTTAACTCACATCTGCAATAAAGTTCAGCAAGATGGATTTGTAGTTTATTGGCCAAATCCTCAACGTCCACTTTCATAATAATTCATGGTGACCTTTGAAGGTCCTTACCGAAGCCAAACTTGCGTATTCTCTCCAGCAGCAGATATAACGATCCTCTCTTCTTTGCAATTTCATGTTCCTCCAAGCCACCTGACACACACCAGAGCCAAGAATCAAAACACAAACAATACAAAATAAATGCTGATATCCTCATGTGGCCCCTTCTACTTCCTTCCTAGTCAAGCTGCTTATGAGAGAGTTTTTGAGGAAACGTGACAAAGAGCGCAACATGATGGTTACTGAGTGAGAGTGAGACACGGGGTCCACTTACCAGATGTGTGGCCCTGTCTGGAGTGTGTGCGCATGTGTGTGTGCTGTGTGAGGTCTATCGTCCTGTCGATCTGGAACATGCGCAGGTCCTCCTCGTCTAAAGCAATGTCGCCCCAGAACACAGCTGTAAAACAAGAGAAAAACATGTTATCTTCCTAAGCAGGTGAAACAGTTACATTATAACAATATGCCATGTTGGATGTTCTTTCTTTAACACATTTTCAATTATCCAAGAAAAAGGCAAAGAGGTAGAGCTGATTTATGCCTCAATCCACTTTGCAATCTGCCACAATGTACAAGAAAAGGTGTGTGTTGTTTTAAAATCCACTTTCAGACAGATGTCATAAATGGAGGGAAAGCTTTTGAGACATAAAACACTGAAAACATGTTTTCTTTTGTTGTAGAGTTGGCTGTTTTAACATGGGAATGCTTCCTTGGCAGCAACCCTCGAGTGGACACACTCAAGCACTTGCAGTTCTTTGTGCTGGCTTCATTTTTTCACGATCAGAGGTTGCCACTTACCAAGGTGTCAAGTTCGTTGACTTAACTGAGCTGGGGCAGTGAGGCAAAAAGCTGGCAGCAGCATCCTGCTTCCACAGCAGCTTCACCTTTGCTTACGCATCAATTCAAACCTCAGTATGAGTCAGTGTGTGGACAGGGCAGGGGCTTATCAACAATGAACAGTAGTAATAAAAAAGTACGAATCGATCCAAAAACAGATTATCTAAAAATGATTTGCAGACTGAGAAGTTGTGGTGTTGCATCAATAGGGTAAACAATATCGCACAGGGGACTGTTTGACCTGCAGAGAGGTCCACTGCAGAGTTCTGATTTGGTTAAAGGAAAATTCCAGTGTAAAATAAGTTAGGGTCGAACACACCATAACACCAAGTTAGACACCCCGTTGAGAGATGAATGTTGCCGACCGCTCGCTTCTGTAGTTATACCAACTTTAGTAATGACCAAATGATAGCAATACACAGCGGTCTCAGGAGCCATAAACAACCTCAACCAAAACGCCACTCTATAGCCACAAATAATGCTCAGAACAGCACCTAACTTCATCAACAGTACATATAGGGTCTCAACCACATCACTAGCCACCAAATATCTTTTTAACTTTGCCTGATTTCTTTAGCAAAGAGACTAAACACAACACACCTACTCTCTTCCAGCAGCCACTTGTTTGTATGGAGACCTCCAGGTGAGTCCATCTACTGCAGAGCAGGGACGCAGCTCAAGGAAGAACATTTATGATCGTTACTTCATGGAAATGCATTCAGACCAAGACGCTAAGGCAGACGAACTACCGCGTCTGCAGTACAAAATGATTAATATGATGATTATTACTTCAAGGAAATGATAAAGTAATGATCATAAATGTTCTTCCTTGAGCTGTGTCACCCCACAGCAGTCTGCAATAAATTGGCCCGAGGTCTCCATACAAACAAGCAGCTGCTGGAAGAGAGTAGGTGAGTTGTGTTTAGTCTCTTTGCTAAAGAAATTAGGCAAAGTGAAAAAGGTGTTTGGTGGCTAGTGCTGTGGCTGGGACCCTATATGTACTGTTGATGAAGTTAAGTGCTGTTCTGAGCATTATTTGTGGCTAAACAGTGGCGTTTTGGTTGAGCACAAAGTCGTTACTAAAGGTGGTACAACTAGAGAAGTAAGTGGTTGGCAACATTCATCTTTCGAGGGGGTGTCTAACTCTGTATTACGTTGTGTTTGACCCTAACTTAATTTTACACCGGAATATCCCTTTAAATCTTTATTTGTAGCCGTGAAGTCATCAGCACATAACCTGAATCCTCTGCTCACTGTCTCCGTGAGTTATTGCAACACACTGCTCACTTACTCCAGGTACAGACCACAACAGAACACCCACAAATTTAGTTTTGCTCCCAGCCCGAGGAGCTTAGTGCAGCTTCACCCCCCACCCCCCTATTTCCTCTTCTCTGTGCCTTTCTCTCATATTCAAACACACTTTAACACACACAGTCACCCGCCCTTGGTGGTCTTACAGTGGTCTGGGATCAGGCCATGTATAAGCCTTTTGGCAAGTGACACTCCCATCGCTGTCTACTTTACTACTTGTTCCCCCTCCTCTCTGCCCACTCAGACCACTCCAGTGTACCCTTCTGTTTCCTTATCCGCACATCCTCCTTTCCTTCCTCATTTCCACATTATTCTCTGAAACTTTCTTGAATGCAGTAATTGGTTTAGGCCAGCAACATTTGGAGCAGCAAAATCCACAACACACAAACCACATTAAAAACATCAATTCACATTTCCCCTCAGAACCTCACCGCCCTGGTCACAAATCAGTGAATTTTCCCAGTTCATCAAAACATCATTAAAACCTGCTGAATCTGTATAAAAAAGGTCTATTACGTCAAAACTGAGCAAACTTGCCGCAGAATTATCTACCAAGCTGTTACATTTATTTGTTTCCACTTCTGCCCAGTGAGAGAAAACTTACTCACAAAACTTGGTTGGACTGAGACTTTATGACACTCTATATAAACTTCAGCCAAACTCAGAGTAAAGTTCAGAACAAGTTTGGTAGCTAATGTTTTTTCAGTGTTTCTCACTAAAGAGCACGGACAACTGCTTGAGGATAAACTCGAAATAGTGTTCTCTGTTGTGAGTGTATTTCTATGCACTTGAGCTCCAGTTTGTACTGTACAAACTACAGCTTACATAATGTTCATCATTCAGCATCATCATTGATTATTCTCTCAAATCTGAACCCTATGTATGACCTCTGAACTGTCACCTATTTAGAAGCAGACTATCTCTGTTTACAGAGTTTTTGAAGGAGTACAGTAGTACAGAATTTGTAAGCAGATGACTCTTTTCTCTGGGTGCCCAGAGCATTCTTGTTGATGTCTCTTTGTATGAGTATTCTTCGGTGTGTGTGTTCTTGTGTTATATGCTGTAAAACTATCAGTTTAGGACGAGGCGGACCGCACTGGCTTTAATGCAAGTGTCTCCCTGCAGTTACCTGATGATTGGCTTGTGCTCACCTCAAGTAAGTGCAGCTGGACATCTTCTCTTACACTTCGTCACTTAATTTTAACTTCGTTCTATTGTTCGGTTTGCGAGTAAGGCTCCCATTTCACTGGAAAGGAACACTGAATCTTACACACTTCATTGCTCAATGCTGCCTGTAACACAAGCCCTGAAAAGTCGTCTGTTTCTCCCAGAGGCTGTGCTGTCAAGAGCTGATATGTTCTCTGATAAACAGATTAAACTATGATTTAAAAGCTCCCGTTTGGTTAGATTTTTGTGCAAATCTGTCAAAATCTTGCAATGACATAATTAAGAAAATCTTAAGCATACTTCAATGCCTTTTTCTTCTTCTCCTTTTTTCATCAAACTCAAAACAAGTTTATTCTCCTTTTGTTCTCCTTTGTTGTTTCAATCCAACTTTTCTTACTGTCACTTAGAAATTTGATAGGTAATACTACGTATCTGTACTTCCATCACGTACCTCTCAGCACCAGACAAAGCACACTTTAGATCCCTTGTCCCCCTCCTCGCATATCTCCTAGCCTCTAACAATGACCATCTGAATGATAACCATCACTAAATGATTAGCTGAGCGCAGATACTGCCCTCCGAGGGGCTTTAAGACACTAATACATGAACAAAGGCATGGGAGAAGCTTGTCACTTAGCTAATCAGGATTGCCACTAAAGGAAACAGGGGGTCAGGGTGCCATTGTGCTCGACTATGAGCTATTGTTGAACTGAGGAGCAAAAAAACCACAATGACCACAGATGGTTTACAAATCACAATATCAGATAGAAGCTGAAAGTGTGCAAAGCTTAACTGTGACATATGATGCATTGGTAGTAAAGGAGATCATGTTTGAGCTGACAGGAAAAACTAATGTATTACTGGTGTTAAAGATGCCTGAACCAAGAAACGTGATAAATAATCAATTCTTCAAAGTTTTTACACTAAATACAATGAGCACATCTGACCAATCTGACATAAACGAAACCTTGTTCCTTCTATTTCTCTCCTGATTGTGTTTTTCAATTATTTTGTCCATACACAACAACCAGTCATATCAGCTCTTTTGTTTTTTTTAATCTATAAAATGTCCAACAAACATTGTAACTCATAGCTACAGCTGGAGAACATTTTAAAGTGAGTCACTGGTTGAAAAGTAGCGCAGTCTTAATTTGCTGTATATAACCGGGTTTTATTTGGTTCTTAGGAGGTTGATGTCAGTGTGCCTTTTCCATTTACTGCTACCAAAATAACACAATTACGTTCACCATTGTTTTAATATGTGGTCTGAACAGCTGCTGGTATAAATGGTTTGGTTCGAAACTGCAGTATGGGAGATGCAATTTCACACCAATCTACTGGAAACTCTAGTTAAGTGAAGCAACAAAACTATTTCACTTTACTGTCTGCTGAGGGAAACCCATAAAATCTTAACAGACTCAGACTATCGCGCTGCACTTTGTAAAAGTAACATTTACCTAACAAATTCAGAAATAATCTTATTTAGTTGAACTTGTATCAAGTAAAAAATATTTCCCATGTTTCTTGGGTCAAGACTTATTCTTATTGTAAAGTCAATGGAAGTTAAGTCAGGACCACTTGTGACAGTGTTAAAGCCTGTACACTGCCTATCACTACATCAAAGCTAATAATGTACATGCAGTGACTTATGTTTGGCTGTATTGTTGTTCTTAATAGCTCTCTGCCCTTCCACATGTGTATCTAGGATGCCAAAGCCAGAAGCAGTCAGAGCCCACACCCCTGATGTTTCATGTGAAAACATAAAAAGCCAAGGCAGGTAGAGAAGCAGCAAAGACCCCTTCGTATGCTACGGTTAGAAAAGGCTTAAAAGTGGGGAATGGGGAAAAGGCAGACAAGAGCAGTTTGAACAACATAATGCCTGAGTTTTCAGCTAATATCAGTCAGTCAATCTTTATCTACATCAGCTATCTACAGAGACAACAAATGTTGTCTCAAGATAACTGATCTAGATCATACTCTTCTTTATGTTTACAAAGAACCAACACGAAGGTAGGATACGATTAAGTTCCAATCCCAATTGTACCCCTTAGCCCTTGTCTTACCCCTTAGCCCTCGATTTGTGCATTCTTGTCAAGCAAAGGGGTTCAAGTCTCTGTAAGAATAAGGGGAGGGGCTAAGGCCAAGGGGTACACAGCTCTTAAAACAACCTCACTTGAAAGCAAGGGGTAAGATTTTGATATGATTTTCATAGTAATGATACTTATGTTTTTATTGGATATTCAATCCTTTGCTACTCCACGTAAATAATAGCCATGTTTTTAATCGTTAGCGTTTTATGTTTGGTTATGACGAGCTAGCTAATGAAGCTATAGCTAATGAAAGCTACACTAATGTCAGACTCGGGTAACAAATTCACAGCAAGCAGACTTTACTACAATGTACTGCATTTCATGAATAATTTGACAGAATGATTGGACAGCTAAGCTTCATTCAGTAGCGACGTTGGGAGCTTCTATGTATGCTCTTGTATGAGTAAAATACTGTGTTATCCATTGTATTCAACTGTTATTGCCAGCAACAGCTAACAATGGCTAAATGTTACAACAGTAGGCGTTGTTTTCTGACTTGTTTACCGGTATTGTCACATCAGTCTACAACACAGCCAGCTAACGACAAGGCATTATGATGTAGCGGGAATCGAGAGACGTCTCGTTTCTTAAGTGTGTATTTTCACCCCTTCCCCTTTGCCTAAATGGGTAAGACAAAGGGGAGGGGAAAGAGTGACAATTGGGATTGGCTCTAAATCCAATTTTGTAAAATCAGACTCCCTCTTATCTCATCATAATCCACCATAAGCAAAACACTTTGTAGCTTTAAGCAAGTTACAGTAGCAAGGAAAAACTTGGACTGGCATTAGAATAAGCTGGTGTTATGTAGGATAGGCTTAACTTTGTGGCCTGCCCGGACTGACACTATGCTCAATCCATATTACTGTAAGTGTGAGAGATTTTTTGACTAGACTCTTGCTAGGATTTAGTTTTTACAGTGTTACTCTCCAGCAAAAGGTCATGTTTTTTTACACTGATTTTCATTTAAATGCCAACTGTAACATATTACACCCGCCTTTGATTTTAAATTCCCTTGACGTTTGTTTCTATTTTTGGTAAAGGGTGAGTTTCACTTCACACAGGTAGTGATTTCAGATATCTCAGGATAAGAAAAGCTACAGGGACTGAAAGTTTCCCAGAGAAAAATGAGCTGACACATGCAGAGACTCAGAGCAAGAGGACAGTTATAGTAAGTTGGGCCCATTGATTGTTGGGGTCTTGTTAATCCATAGAGATGCCATAAATAGCACAAAGTCAAGCCAGTGGGTGAGAGCAGGGTGAGGACAGTGAGACAGGGAGATGCAGGAGGAGAAGTATTGATCCAAAAACCTCAGGATGCCCCAGGAGACCTACATCATGCTGACCAGGGCCTTACTGTTCGCCCTTCAGCAGGGGCACTGCAGCAAACCAACCAAACAAACCACACACACTAGCATATGGGCAGACACACACAAACACACACAAAGGGATATTGCACCAAACACAAACTCTGAGGCAGAGTTCATTCACATGCATCCAGGAGCTCCCACTGTGCGTCTGTTTGAGAGCGAGCAGAGCAGCTTGTGTTTTATTGATCAACTTTTAAAAAGTTGATTTTGCAGCTGGGGAACAAATGTCAAATATAGCTGTGCTATTGTAGCCTCTATTTGTGTTTTTGTTGGAGGCTCATCATGAATGTTTCAGCTCATTGTCATGCAGCAATGTTGGCTGAAACCTTATCCGCACAACACAACACAGTGCATACCTATATCTATTAGAGTCATGTTGTTGCAGGATACAGTGAGGGGTGTTACACGTGTAGAAAAAGTTTTGCAGGATTGAAGATGAAGTTTCATGATTTTTCTGACACTCATGGAATGAAACCAAGAAATCTTCTTCTGTAAAAGGTGCAACTTTTCCACCCTGGACATTGCAGGAATTTTAGAAAGAAAAAACAGTCAGCCTATTAAAGGTGGGTAGGCAGGATTCCGTTAAAGAAGCATCTTTTTTGTGGTGTTTATACAAAAAAGCTTTTAATATCAGTCAATAGCTATTAGTCATTGATGACATTTGGGAATATCACAATGTCGTTGTGTTCTATTACGTCTGTGTGGTCAACATTAAAAATTTTTGAGCGGCCCGCTCTTCTTGACTGTAAATAAAGCCATTCTCTGCCTCCCCCAACCTGATTGGTTGTGAGGCAGACGCTGCTTCTTCATGTTGTGAGGCACGCTCCACATCCTTGAATAATGTTCACGAGCCCAAACAAAGTTAGCGTGCTACAATATCGGCCTGTAGAAACCAACCAGAAAGTACAGAAAATTGTCTGAATCCTCCTTTGGCCATGACTGCCAACACAAGCAAGAAAATGAAGTAAATACCGAAGACTCTGGCGGAATAAGTAGCACTTAAAAAGGAAGTAGACCAGTCAAGAGCTAAAAACCTGGTCAACATTAAAAAGGCATAAACGATGGGGGATGCTTCGGGATCTTACGGACCCTGTAACCTCTGCTGGACGGGTAAACCACTTTAACAAAGTAAGCCAACTGTAACAGAAGTGTTTCTTGTCAAACAGGACCTGCTGCAAGTTGTAGTGCCGCTAAACTGTTTATCTCAGGTCCTGGACTATGTCACTACATCCTAGTTGTAGAAGTCCTGCAAACATTGTGTTTGCTGGTAGTCTCTTGGCATCTACAGTAGCACTGATGCTTTTTACTTTCACCTTGACTGGGCCCCGTTTGTAATTATCTGAAATATTTATCTGCATTATATCTAATTTAAATGAAATGATATGTTTGTAGGCGGGGCTTGCTGGAGCAGAAAGGGAGGGGAGAGAAGGAGCTGAGGGGAAAACTGTTTGGGAGGGGTAGTGTTTACATTCAAGATTTCTCCCAAAAACTGACACTTCCTCAGATCCTACCTACCCCACCTTTAAGGTGACAAAAACAGAAAAGTATTAAGCATAAGGATGAGAGAGCCTTATCCATGATCAGACACGACTCAGACAGTGAGCTGATTTTGAGGTTTTGTTTTGGAAAGAAAGCACTCTGTGAATTTACTACAGAGCTCTCCTCTCAACAACAGACAGAAATGTAGAGCTGTCCCTGCCCTGCAGGTGCTGATGGCTCTCAGGTTTTATGCAAATGAGGCTGTCAGCTCTGAGCCGTCACTGCGCTTCAGTTCCATGGGGGAATTCTCTCCAAATATGCAAGTATGCCAATGATAATGCCACTGCATAATGATGCTTTTGACTATGGACCTCCTCTTTCTCCCTAGAATAACAAATACGCAATCAAAGCAGAGTTAATGGGCTCTGATTTGAACAGTATTCATCAACATTCACTTATAAGATTCTGATTTCAAAGTGGTAAAGTAAGGGAATTTCTGTCCATTAGACATTTTACAAACAATACAGTGGTACAATTCAAGAGAGATTTATGCGCTGCTGAGTAATGCACTCATGCTGTACTCACTGGGGTGTAGGGTTACACAAACACACACACAAACACACTCATACATCTCACTTAAGCTCCTCATTAAGCAAATATAAGGTCACACAGTAGGTGGTTTAAGATGGGCAAGTGTGTGCATGTGTACGAACATGTGCATGTATGAGTCCTTCCTCTTTCGTGGTATTATTAAACAGTATGTAGCTGTGACTGTGAACATGCTGCAATATTAAAAAGAGATTATCTCTGCCCTGTTTGAGGATTTTCTCCAAAAGTAATCATTGTGCAAGCTGCTTGATCCAAATTAACCCTTTGTGAGCGATAACAGGTGCTGCAACATGAACTCCCTGTATACTGACAGTGTTGTCATGAAGTAAGGTCACAAAAATGTACGCCCAAAAACTGGACAACACAAGCATAAATACCTCATTCTACCCAGATCACTCAGACATTAAGTGATAATACTCCACCCACAATTTTCATAATCCCACAGTTAGCTGGCTCTCAGGAGTTTGTAGTCAAAAAGCCGACTTTGAAGCTGCACAGACTTCCAGATTCCTGTGGTAACAAAATTACATATGGAAACTTCTATAATCTTTTTTTTTTTTGTGGTATTTATTTGACACACCGTGTCAACCATGTCGCTCTTTCTGACATCAAACTGGAACACGAGTCGATATGTCCGTTGCAAATCAACTTATGAGCAATATTTTTGTCGCTCAATTTCAAGCCCTGGTCGCAGCCTCTAAATCTCAAATATTAAGGGTTTTCCTTGCCAAGTTTAATAGAAAATTTTAAAGTTTTCAATTTGGGGCGGAACAATTCATCACACTTCAATATTTTGTTTTCTCATGGATGCATAAGGAGTAGTGGTCGACTAATATCAGTTTTCAAGTGGCCGATGCTGATTCACATAATGACAGAGAGCAGGTTGGCCAATAGTCAATACATAATGCCGATATCATACTGTTGGTGGTTTTTTATAAATATGATAATACTGACAAATGAGAAAAACAAATTGCTGCCCTTAAATTTTATTAAATAAACACAGAAGGCAATTATTATCATGCATAACTCTAAGAATAATAACAGAATGTATATTAAACACCAGCCAGTGACTGTCTTTGATTTGATATGCTGTCAAATGCATTTATTTGGCGGATCAATTAATCAGTCTCTCTAAAAGGACAATCACTTAGCTTGAAGAGAAGAGAAAATATGATACTTTACACATTGAAAAGTAAAAGAGCCCAAAGTCTGGTACATCGACCAAACTATTTAATGCATCAACATCTATTGTCAGTAACTGATATACACTTAAAGGTGTGTAGACCAGCTAAACACAGACTCCAACGTTTTTTTTTTTTTTTTTAGAAAACTACAAGGTATCACTTCAGCTTTTGATCCAGAGAGCTGAAGATGGAAAAAACAACGTGTTACACGGCTTTGTAAGGTGTTGCAATGTGAAAAGATGCTGGAGTCAGAAATGTCATGAGTCAAAAATTTGCTTTTTAAGGAGAAAAAAAAATGTAGACGCGCAGTCCAAGTTCAGAAACATTCACATCCACACCCTCCTGCAAGTATGTGTGTCACAGAAAGAGAGGAGGGGGAGACAAGAAAGAGAGGGAAAGATAATCTGTTCCTCTGTGACATAAGATGAAATAATCATAAATAAAATAGCTCTATGTTTATATGACAGAAGAAGAAAATTACATTGAAATCATGATCATTTAGAAGTTTTCAATCTGCCAGTTACACAGACAAGCTGAGCCGTTGCCTTTTTTTCTTAAACAGATGTTCATGTGCATCTGCAGGGTCAAGGGTAATGTATCCATGATGTCATAGTTCAAAAACACTTTGAAACACACATCCACAAATCATCTGTTTTCACACGCTTCAACACAGCCCAAGTCTCTGACCACAAACCATTTACACACCTCTACTCTGACACATCACAGTGTTTACTTCCAGCACAGTTAGAGTGTGAATATTTGCCCACGGATAAGGATAGTTACAGTTTCCTCATGCATGAACACAGCTTAAAACAGATGGCAGAGCGGTGAAGCGAACAACTGGACATCTGAAGTGACCCGAGAATAAAGTCCAAACTGATCATAAACTAATCCAATTAACAGAGACACGCTGTCGCGCTGCCTTCAGTTCCCAAGGTAAAGGGTTTATCTTCTGATTTTCAGCACGCCACAACACAAATTCAGCTGAACGTGGTGTGCCAGTTCCATGATTGGAAACATCGGATGAAATTATCATTTTCCAGTCAGAATCAATTTTAAATAATAATCCAATTATTCGAAGGTTATCAGGTTACTTCACAAAAACAATTCCTCTCATGTCACACTGTGCACGGGTTTTAAACTCAAAATAAATAAAATACCTAAGGTGAAATAAAAGGAACAGCTGCTTCCCCTAAAAGCAAAGTCGAGGTCAATGTCAAAGTTTATTTATAAAGCACTTTTAAAAAGACAGCAGTCAAACAAAGTGCTGTACATGGGATAAATTACAGAAGTAAATAAATAGATAACAATAAAACAATAAAATTTAAAACAGTGGAATAAAATACAGACAGTAAAAGAAAAAAAGCTACAGTGCCTATGATTTGTGTGTGCTCATTTATTAAATGTAAGGAAGAAAAGGTGGGTCTTTAAGGATGATTTAAAACACTCTAAGGTCTGTGAGGCTCTAATATGGCCGGGTAAACTGGTCCACAGTCTCTCACACAATTAAGAGCATTCTGACGCTTTTTCTGAAAAAGATGAAATGCAAAAAAGTCTAGTATGATGAAAAAAGTAACTTAATATCTTATGACACACACTCGCATTCACACAGTCATACTCAACTGGTCTAAAGTACTAATCCCATTACTATGACAGTCAGATTTCCCTCCTGCGGGTCATGGGTAGGGCCAGACTCTGTGACAGGAAACAATGAGGACTCACTGTGTGTCCTGGGTGTGTGCTCACATGAACTACAATCAAATTAAATAAAAATCCCTTTAAAATCTTCCAGCTTTTCAATTTACATGTAACTGCATTTCTTCTCTCATTGGAAGGCCTATTTGATTGGTTTTATTGTAATCACACAGGGTTCAAAGTTTCATAGTAGGATTTATATGATTAAGTCAAATTAAGCTATGCCTGCCATGGAAACAAAACTTTGAAAATCTGTATCTTGCAAGTCGCTTTTTAAAAAAACTGAAACTGGATTCCTCTTGATATATGTTTCCCTCTACCTTTGGTAGGAATTTACATGATGACATGCAAACAACAGGGCAGAGACAAAAGCTGACTTAGTCACAGGCTGCACTCTTGTATGCAAAGGGTTTATGCGATTCATGCTGTAATATTAGCTGACACCAAGCTTGGAGGCAGCAAGACAGATATTTTCTATTTACTATGAATATAAAATATGCCATGACACAATCCAATGCAATAAAACAATAAAGACAAAACGGAACTAAATGATACCACATACAATAAAATCAACAGGATGCGTAATAATTCGATGGGATATAACACAATGATTAAACAGAACATGGTATGATAGGACACAATACATAATGTGTCACAACATGATACAAACCACTACAGTACAAATGATACAGTATGAGAGTATATGTCTTAGTAAGACATGGTAGAGTACAATATGATAGGACACAATGACATATGATACGATAGAAGACAAGACAAGAAAATATAATGATATGACATGATAGCATGTAATATAGATATAGAGTCCCTAGAGCTAGATTAAATAGACTGAGGAACTCTTTAATCCCTCAGTCTATTAAAATGTTGAACTGGTTGGTTTCGTCAGGACACTGCATAGCTGTAAGTGTATAGGGACTTGGAGGCACTGCAACCACTTTGATGTTACATATACAGTATAGCATGTTATATGTCTGGTTTTTGTCTCGTGTCATATTTTGTTATATGTTATGATGTTTCTGTTTTTAGTTAAGGAACATGCGGCTTGAGTGCCAGAAAATTTTCAGAGGAGATTCTCCCAGTAAAGTACTAATATATTACAGTATTTTCTAAAACAAAATTGTACAATATAAAAGAATACGACACAATCGAGAACAATACATGATACAGCCTAATACAATATGATATGACATAGATTTAACAATACTTTACAAAAGTATACTTTTCATTGTCTCCATTATAACACTTAGCTTGAACTAAAGTGCGACACACACTAAACTGTCTCAATATCAGTAACAAAACAAAGTCCATATTCAAACAAAAATAAATGTACCAATGAAAAACCATGAAAAATACTAACTAGTTATTAGCTGCTTGTTTGTCAAAGCTAGTACTGGACCCATTCACACAAAAAAACCCATCAAACTACTGTATCATTCTTGAGCTTCTAAGTATTAATCCATCAATAGTTTTCTTCTTCCGATTACATGCTCTTTTTTTAGGTATTGGCAGTTTCAAAGACAAGAAAAACTGACTCGAGACAACTTAAACTGTATTCTTTTACCACTTTAAAGTAAACAATCATCATATGAGTTAAATTAGTGAAACTACAAAAATCACAAGGTTTTATTCAAACTTTGAAGAAGTGCCTTCATCTATAAAATTGCTTAAAATGTGGCGTCAAGCACACTTTCAAGGACTAATATACGTCGTGGTGGGTAGAAATTGTTGCCATCTGTGCAAGTGCCTTTTAGTTAACTTATGGAAAAAGAGGTATCAATGTCAAAGGAAAAAAATGTACAGATTACCAGTAACCTTGTGAGATTCTTGGAACTTTGCCATTAAGATCAAACCAATGCTCAGACGGGCTCATATCAGGGGGTTTTGATACGTAAAACTACAAGAGAAACAGCTACAAGATGAAGATGGCACATGGGGAACTGGTCTCTATGATTAACTCCACCATTTGTGGGAATGTTCTGTTTTTATGTGAGTAATACCTGAACTTCAACCAAGCCTTTTGGATGAGGTGAAAAACCCAGCTGTCCAGGATGTAACACAAGGATACTGACACTATGACAAGCAAAATGTTTAAAAACCATACAAACAAAAGGAACCTAGCGGACCTAGCTAAGAGCTCTGCGTCATATGCTGCAAAATGAATGCATTTCTGGGTTCAAATAATACAAGGGCAGCTTAGAAAATAACAGCAGTTTGACTGTAGGAGAAAGTGGTTTTGTACAGGAATGATTTTTGTTGCTAAAAATACCATCAGGAAATGCTAGGTGACATAAAAGCGGGCAAACATTTAATAATTGAGCAATGCGTGGCAGGTGGGCGAAGTGACGGCGGTGCTGACTCATGGCTTTCTGCAGCTCCGGAACAATGACGCTCCAAAACAAACAGTGGGCTCTCAGTGTGGCCGCACAGTTTGTGCTGAGGCGGGAATCCTGAAGAAGACTTCGGAAGCTCAGTGGCAGGAGCACTCTGCTCGGGAAAATCCTGTTTAATATAATATGAGTGAGACCGCTTGTCCGCTTACTCATACACACACACAAAATGCAGCCACGGTGTCAAACACACATGCATACACACATTGCTCCAGTTTCCTTCCTACTGAGAAATGGGGGAAGGGGGTGAACAGTAGCTGCAGCTCACTGTCACGACATGGTGGGCTTCACTTTTTGAGTGAAACACTCAGAAGCACTCATGAAGTGTCCCTTCGGTGTATAAAGATACATCTGGTCTAACTGTTACTTAAAAGCTGTATGACGTAGCTGCTGGAATGCCCTTTACATCTTGGTTGTATTTTTTACAAGTTGCAGAAGTATATATAAGAGCTGGCATATTTCTGTTCAATAACAACGGCTATATTAAAGGGATATTCTGGCGTAAAATTAATTGAGGGTCAGACATACCATGAAGGGTCAAACACCTGATTTCTTTAGCAAAGAGACTAAACACAATTTACTCTCTCTTCCAGCAGCTGCTTGTTTGTAGCAGACCTCGGGCCAGTGGGGTGACGCAGCTCAAGGAAGAACATTTATGATCATTTCTTTATCATTTCCTTGAAGTAATAATCATCATATTAATCATTTTGCACTGCAGACAGGGTAGTTCTTCTGCCTTAGCATCTCCATCTGATTTCATTTCCATAAATGTTATTTCTTGAGCTGCGAAACCCTGTTGTAGTCCGTAATGGACTCACCCGTGGTCTCGCTACAAACAAGCAGCTGCTGGAAGAGAGTAGGTGGGTTGTGTTTAGTCTTTTTGCTAAAGAAATTAGGCAAAGCTAAAAAGATGTTTGGTGGCTAGTACTATGGCTAGGACCCTATATGTACTGTTGATGAAGTTAGGTGCTGTTCTGAGCATTATTTGTGGCTATAGAGTGGTGTTTTGTTTGAGGTTTGTTTATGGCTCCTCAGACCACTGTGTATTGCTATCGTGTGGTCATTACTAAAGTTGGTGAAACTAGAGAAGCAAGTGGTCGGCAACATTCATCTCTGGAGGGGGTGTCTAACTGTGTGTCACCCTGTGTTTGACCCTAAACTAATTTAACACTGTAATATCCCTTTAATATAATGTTATGATTCAGTTTTCCTCTGCAGAATATAACGTCTACAGATCCCTATCCTAAAATTTTACAGTGATGGGCAAAGCATCTGCCTTATCAGATATTGATACTGTTATTCAGCTGTAAGCCCTGGAGATCACTGCAGAGGCCAAAACAAGCATGGTCTTAGTTCAGGCAGGTCACAAGGTCAAGCTTAGCCCACTGTATATCAGCTGATCCAAACTCTAGCCCATGTCAGCTGACAGCTCAGCCGATTATTTGACAAAGTGGAATCAAAGTTGAATCTCAATCAGTTCTGCTTATATGTTGCACCGAAAACCTTTTATTGTGTTTTGACGCAAAGAAGAGACTGTAAACTATAAAGTAGAAACAATTAAAGTCCAGCTGTTGCCCTCTCATTGGTCTCTATTTTGGTCTGTTTGGGCTAAATGCTTTTCACAGCAGTATTCCATGTACCAGCACATCTGTTGGATTTTCAAGGGTCTGTTTTGTATTACTAAGACTTTCACAAGTCCCAAACACAACGTCAATGCATATGTTGCTTGTGAGCAAACAACTTCAGTTTATGTATGTACAGCTAATGTAATGACTGTTTATAGTGAATGCAGACAGATCCCACAGTAAAACGTAATTTTACAAGTTCTTTAAGGGCGTCTACTAGAGCCTACAAAAGACTGTAACTGTAATGAAACCGCTAGACTAATGTTTAAATACTATTTAGTCACAAATCTGTGAGTTAAATCTGTCTTCCATGAACCTACAAAAAAAGGCAACATTATGAGTGGTATTATGTACAGCATCAGCACTGGACCTTTAATCAATCCTGAAAGATTTATCTAACATAAGAGTAAGCCTCATCCAAAGTGGACTTTTTAATGAAGACAGAAGGGTGGAGATCGTCCCTCAAGTGAAAGGTCCTGGTTCATGGAAACTGTGATGTAACTTTTTCATGTTACTTTAGTACTCATGAACTCAACACTAAATCACTGTTAACACTTCTGTATGACTCTCTGCGGACGAAGAAACGAATTCAGTCCAGGGTTTGCAGAAGATAAATTACTCAAGAAGCAACATTTGTGTTTGCCAATATGTCTGGTTCTGACTTGAAGAAAAAGAAGACATCACTGTCCTTTGTTGAGGTAGTTTGTGAAGCAATTCACATGTATTAATTGCAATGCATTGCCGATGTATGAATGGAATGTGCCTCCAAAGTGCAAGCTCTCTACATGTATGACACCCTATAGTCTGGTTTCAAGGATTTAAGGGAATTTTTCCTGGAAAGTCCTAAAGATGTGATGTTTACATGCACTGCTGTGAGGTTATATACATGCAGTAAATTATAGTATCTTAAAAAGGAGTTTAGGAGTCACGTCAGCACCTGGCAACAACCACAATACTGTCATCCACACATGCACCACATAAGTGCACAAAAACAACAGTGAAGCTTAAAATATTTCTCTTTTAATTGAAAATAAAATGCAGTGCTTTAACTAGAGGTCCCTGTAGGTATGACTCAATAAGTTGCTCATTCATGACACCGCGCTGCAGTTAGGTTTAATGACATGAACAAGGGGGATGTCAACATAAGTCAATTGGTCAAACGAGCTGACAGTTGAAGGGGGATAATGTCTGTCAGAGGTGAAAGAAGTGAGGAGAGGCACTAACTAATCCACATCTTAATGCCGAGAGAGGAAAGGTGGATAAACCCAAGTCTGCAGAGAGAGTTGTGAGGGTGGATTTCATATGCCACATATTACTATTGTTCATTTTATTGACATTCAAATGTGCTTGTTTTATAGTTAAGACTGATTTTGCCTGTCAAGCGCTCAAATAAGTTTATGTTCGAATATGCCTTTCCTGTGAAATGTGTCATTTTTACACTCAGTTTTCAGAGGCACGCCCCGTGTACTAAGTCCTCAAAGCAAGCAGTTCAGGTTTGATTCCAACCTGCCGCCCTTGGCCGCGACATCCCTCACTCTCTTCCAGTTTCCTATTTTATCCACTGTCCTGTCCTGTCAATAAAGGCCTTAAAAGTTCAGAGAATGGACTTAAAATAACGTTTATCTGAGCAAAACCAAACCAAATGGCAGCGATTGAATACATGAATCCTGCATTTTGCCATTTTAGGATCATCAGTAAATCAGATATCATGATGTATCATTAAATGTCTGTCCCATGAGACTCTTACTTATCGTATGGGGCATTATTGCATTGCACTATATTCCTAATACACACTTCATTCAAGAGTGTGTTCAGTCTTATGTAGGCTGCACTTATCTGCCACTTATTGATGCTGAGGATGCTAGCTTCCATCTTTAAAGTGTGATCTTGTGAACAAATGTGTGTTGACTGTAACTCACTTAAAGGCCCCCCATCAACAAGCCAGTGTGTCGTTTCTAACCCCTGAAAAAAGTCCACATTGTACCTTGTACTTTCCTTGAAATCGTAAGGGAAATTTTTGATGTCATTATTTCCACCCTTGTTGCAGCATTTACAATAGAACCCTGCAACTATAGGAACTCTTGTTCTGCAATATCAAGAGTACGCCCATCAGAGATTGAACATAATGTATTGTACTATACAGTAACACACTCTTATGATACGCCACTATTGTGTTTAGAGAAGGGAACAGGCTGCAGATCTCCAGGGTCACTCCTGAAGGTATGACCCACAGCTTCACTCCGACACTGAGGTTTGTTTAGCTTTCACTCCGTTTGTGTGAGCATTTTATGAGAACAGTGATTTGGAAGGAAGCATGAATGACTCTTGAGTAAGCGTAAGAGCTTGTGCACGTCCACGTAAGTGTGTGCATGTGTGTGTGTCATCTCCAGCTGAGTAGCAGGATGCAGACAACCAGGAAGAGATAAGCGCGGGTGAATGGAGGGAGCACTGCGTGTGTGTGTATCGAGTGTGAGCGCCTCTGTGCATGTGTGTGTTCGCGTGGGGAAATCACTTCACAAAGGCCTGGAAGTGTGTGTTCTCCTGTCTACCAGTGTGGTACTCAGAGGAGATAAGCAGACAGCCAAATATTCCCCTTGTGTTTTCCCAGCAAAAACAGGAGGCGGAATACCAACCACTCAGACCGATGCCACAGGGTCAGGCCTGGAATGAGCCGCGCTTCCACTCCTTACAAGCTGCACACACATGCGTGCACTCAGAAAGACACGAAGCCACCAGTTCTCCACACAGTGACAACAGAAATCATCCAAGCTATGCATGCAATGAACAAATATCTTTATTATACACTATTTTGCTTTGATCTGGCTTTTCTTATCCCGTCCCCTCTGGCAGTGTCTACCTGCTCTTGCTGGTACCTTAATAGAAAACCCCTACACTTTTGAATGGCGCATTTTGCTTTAAAAATGGTCGATGGCAAAGCTGACAAGTCAAAAATAGTCTGCACTTTCTGTCAAACGGAAGGGAAGTATCACTTAAAGGTGTGGTAGGCAGGATTCCGTTAAAGAAGCATCTTTCTTGTGGTGTATACACAAAAAAACCTTTAATATCAGTCATTAGCGATTAATTAATTGGAATGGTACGAGCGAAAACAAGCATCTGTTTGTGGACGGGTTTTGCTGGAGCAGAGAGGGAGAGGAGAGAGGGAGCTGAGGAGAAAACTGGTTGGGAGGGGTAGTGTTTACATTCAAGATTTCTCCAAAAACTGACACTTCCTCAGATCCTGCCTACCCCACCTTTAAGTACTTCAAATATGAGCGACCATCTACAAGCTAAGCATACAGGTGCAGCTGATGAGACTGAGCATTTAGAGGTGCTGTGAGGACCTTGTGCTCTGTATTGGCTTTGGCGCCCCCCATGGTCAAAGCTATCATTCTTGTCTCTTTTCAGATAAAACCTTCATCCTATTGTCTTTAAACAAATAAGTGTTTCACTTACTGTGAATATTTTCTGTGTAAAATGTATAAAGAGCTGTTTCTAAAGACTGCTGTCAATCATCTGGTCTGACAAGTCCATCCTCACTACTGTTCCAGGTAGGACTGGGCGATACGGGAAAAAGTTTATCACAATTTAGTCAATATCAGTCGATATCGATATCACAATATAAAAAAATTACTTCTCAATCTTAAGTGTTCCCTGTTACTCTTACAATTTAACAGTGCTTATTGGTAGCATGCCTTTTACAATACGATAAGCTACTGCATCTTGCAAGGTCTTTTGTCATTTATTCACTTCATTCATTCATGTTCATTGGCTATTCGTATAGTCTACCAAAACATGGCAGAATGCCGACTATCGAAAAGCATATTGACGATGTTTTGTATTGATATCGAGGAAAATTAATCTACGATATATATCGTTTCCGTTTTATCGCCCAGCCCTAGTTCCAAATATCAAAAATTACAATGTAAAAATTATCAGCATTATTGCTGATGGTGTTGTTTGTTTTTGGAGGCAATAAAGAGGCATCAATATCAGTTTCAGTCCACTTCTCAAAAACTCCTTACAGAACCTTTAACTTTGTGATCAAGAAAATAAGTTCACCAAAAGATGTTTCAATTTCTCATCTTCATCTTCTGCAAAAACTGGATCAACCAAGATGTTTTGGTCACCTGTTTAGTTCTTTGGCAGCCACCTACCAGAAATAGCTCAACAGATGTAAAGAAATGACCACTTGTTTAATCTTCATACAATATTAGAGGCTACCATATCTGGAAAAAACAGATTTAGATGAGTAAAGGCCTAAATAATACTGCTTAAGCATCAGACTGAACACAAATTACAAATCAGTACAATAGGATGCTCCTGATCGTGAAGCAGTGCCAGCAATGTCTGCATGTAACAGGACGTAAAAGGCTGCACAATCAGTCTAACATCGACTCTGACTCTGGCCCTAGCAACATTGACAAAACATGACTGATGGTGATTTTGACAGTAGAAATGTGTGCTACCTCGGCTGATAAAGTTTAATGCATATCAAATCAAGTGCTCTTAAACTAGCAGTGACTTCTGTAGAGGGCAATCAAGAAGTATCACTCTCACTTTTAGGGAAGCTGTCATGAACATCTACCCCACTGCAAGAGTTTTTAGTGGAAGAATAAACAACAGACACCGCTTGGGCACATTAAAAGAGCTGAAGGTCTTTTGGGGTGGGAATCTTTATCATTATTTTTATTTTATTTTGCTTCCTGAAGATGCACCAGATTTAGAGTGAACCTCGCACTAGGTTTTAGTTTTAGTTTGATCCAAAACAAAACTGAAAGTATTAAGATATTCTGTTGCTCCTGCTAAGACACACCAGAATCAGTGCGAAAACCTGCAGTTTTTCCAGCTTTATTCCTGACTTAAATAGACAAGGAAAAGATTTAAAATCTGCAAATAATCCCTCCACCACAGGGAAGCAGACAAATGTTGACTGAATTGATTGTAGCGGGTGTCACCAGTCAAGAGGATTATGAGCTTGATTTAAAAATGTATGATCTTAACTGATATAAAGGGCAGTGCCGAGGCGAATGACTCCATCATGAACAGCTAAAGCTAGAGCAGCAAAAAAAAACAAGGGAGAGTTAGACGTTTTTCAATCTGACACACATACATGTTCAAGCTGTCTGGATGCTCCTAAAAATGTCCTTGGTTGTTTGCTTGATTGTTTGAAACTAGGTCTGCACTCCAGCAGTTGAGCTAAAAATGAATAAAGCCAGACCGACATTTTATTTGCATTTAATCTGAACACAACATGCATAATATGTAAATGTGATGTTCTAGTTTAAGTCCTCAGACTTTGCCGCATTTTCTTTGCCTGCCTAGTTGCTCTACTGTCAGCTATCTCGGAAAGCCAAAGTGGCCCTTAAAAATATCATGATGAAATAAAAGGTTTGATAAAACACACACATGTTTGCTCATGTTTATATACGCAGCTCTAAAAACGTGAGTCTTTGCATGTGGATTTACTCTGAGAGATCTAAGAGAGTGCATATGAAGGCACGCTTTATGTTCGGAGATGTTTGCAGAAAATAAAAACGATGCCCGTGTTTTCTCACTCAGTTATTTCAACCTTCGAGAGTCACCAAGTTACTCAAACACATGCAGACTGACTGTCTCCCTGTTACCTGCCAGGCTTCAGTCCAAACACACACAAACACTTGGTAAGGTCTCAGCATAACTAAAAACCACAGAGTCATGGGATTGCTGTATCAACATAAAATCAACTACACAGAGATCAGTGTAACAAGCACATGAAAAACACACACACACACAAAACACACACACACGCACACACATGCTGGCCAGTGTCCAGGCAGGGTTGTCAGGTTTGTGTATTTGGTATGAGAGGAATGTGTGTCAGTCAGCGTGTGGACGCTCAGCATTCTGGGCAGAGCTCTTATCAGTCCATCGTGTCATCATAGACAACATTAAGGCTGCAAAGTGCCATTTAAGACAAACTAGTGACATAGGTGTTCCTGTATTTTAGTGCGTGGCCATGAATAAGTACATAAAGAGGTTATGTGCACAAGAACCTGTACCAACAGGCTGTCACGACCTCAGATTTTCACCACACAATTATCATGGCTATTAAATATCACATTAACAATATCATTACATTATTAATGTAAAATTTGACAGCAAAATCGGACAAATTGAGGAAATGTGAGCCAGGGGAAGGGCAACAAGTTTACTACATAGATTTAACAGACAAATAAACACAATTGACTTACATGTCATTGTCCACTTTGATTTATATTCATATTTTGATTTATCATCAGCCCTATGACCCAAAGCAGTCTGATACTTCGTCGTCTGTCCACTGTTTCATGACATGTGGCAACCACCGTAAAGAGCAGACCTGGGCATTCCACGGCCCGAGGGGCCACATCCGGCGCTTTGGATGTCCCTGCCCGGCTGTTTGTGAGGTCTGTCAATCAAATTATCAACATGCTATACAAGTGTGTTGCTTTTATTTGGAAAACCTAGCCGTTGTTTTATTTCCGTTTGGACGCACGTGCGTACATCCTAGTTCTGCATCAGAGACAAGTTTAAAAATCGGCAAAATATACGTAGACGCCTTATAGTTGCCAAGTCCGCTTATTATAAACAACTTTAGGCTTGTTTTTCTCAGAAGTCGCTTGAAAAACTCATGAGTCGCGGGTGCGTTTCTTTTGGGTTTGTTTTTAACTCGTAGTTGCTTATTAGGGCTTGCTTTTCTGTATGTGTGAACCCCCCTGATTTGAAGTTGAAGTTATTATTTGTTCGGCCCTCCAACACACTTCAGGTTTCTCATGTAGCCCCATGTAAATATTAAATGCCCACCCCTGGTAAAGAGCCACTACTCTGAAGTTAGGGGTATTGTCGAATGCTTATTTTTAGCATGATGTCCATGTTTTATTCCCTTTGTTACAGAAGTTATTGTCAATACCGTTGTCTTGCCACAGCCTTCTTCTGCATCTACTTGGCACACATAGTCAGTAATCATAATAACAATTACAAAAACCTTGATAGAGGAAATGCACATAAGATATACAACTCAGCAACATCTTTCTTACACAAACACAAGAGGAAGGGCTGATTCCTCCACCTGCTCTGCAGGAATGATGCTGATGTACTGTGAAAGGTTAACACACGGCAATAATCCTCACTGCTGGTTGAGCTTCGCTACATGGTGTGCCTGGAGAGTGGTGATTGTTAAAAGTGTCCTTTTTGACTGACACACTTAAACATAAGAATGTGAAAGTGAAAGATGACAATAGACCTGGTTCTGGTGATTGAACTCAGCCTGCCTCACCGTGTTGGTAGCACTACATGGGTATAACACTGGAACCCGGTAAAACGACTACCCATCCGACCAAGACAACAATAACTACGTGAACTACCCAAACAGACGCTTGTCATATAGGTCATATAAAAACTCAAGAAGTATCAGGCAAAATGGAAAACGTATTCCAATGCTGCATTAAATTTGAAGTGAATCCCCAGAAACATGAGTTCATTCGGGTGGAGCACACAGACATAGCAAACATGACACACACAGACCTCAAATTTACAGATGAAAAAACAAACAGAATTTTTATAGACTGTAGTTCAAATAAGTGATAACAATATGTTGACACTGATTTTACAAGCCGGTGGGGTAAATGTTCCCTGTTTCTCTGTGCGCACATCTGTTTGTCTTAAGAGACCAAACTGGGTTACAAAGTTGTTCCACAGCAGCCCACAGCCTGTCATTAAATGTCCAACAAAATTTTTATCACTCTGTCCGCCTGTGCGTGTGTATGTGTGTGCTGGAGACAGTGTGCATAAGCCCGTGTTAAAGTACACTCGAGTCCAGCTGTTTCTCATCTTGACGCTTGACTTAACATCTGGGCATGTACATAGAGGCGCGCGCGCACTCAAACTGTTTATGTTGATATTTCTGCAAGAAGCAAGAACCACAACTGTGCCCACAGGTGATGCATGCGCAGAAGAGGAGAGCGTGCACCTCAAACGGGCACGGGCTTAAGCAGGACCGTCACTGGGTTGCACGTGGCATCCGACAGCGGAATCACCACCGGTGCTGACTTATCGGTTGTGATGGGTGGGGGAAACAGGGGCATCTGGTTGATTGTGTTCACATGCACACACACAGACAAACACACACTCGCTGTCATCTCTTTCACACGTGCCAACTCAAAGTCAGTGCGCAAGAGGAAAGAGCCACACGCGCAAAAATACTTATTTTGACTTTGATTTTTCTAATGTAAAAACTAGAAGAGAGTAAAAGCGGGACTCACCAGCTTTGCACGGGTCTTTGTAGTCAATGGTCTCCGCTTTATCCTCCTCGTAGTAATCATAGTCTGACTCCTCGTAGTCGAAACAGTTAGAAATAGTCACTTTGCCCCAGAAAGTCAAGCCGGCAAGCACCAGCGTGATCCAGCGCATCTTAGCGGCCAGTGCCGAGGGCACACGGTCCATCTGAGGACTCAAATAAACGAGTAAAAGGCCTCTCTGCTCGTCTCCTCTGGCGTTAGGAGACGGTCAATCCACTCTCCAAAGAAAGCATCGGCGGCAGGAATTTAACGGCTCATTGTGAACACCGCTCTCCTCTCTTGACAGCCAGGTCTGGGTACTGTAAAAGCTGCGGTCAAGTTACTCTGCCCGGCTCTCCTCCATGGTGAAAGTACACAGAGGTGTCTCTCAGTCTGTCAGTCGGCAAAGTGTCCGCTGTCCTCCGCTGTGGCTTCGCAGGTGACGCTGCTGTGTGTGGAGGGGAAAAGAAGAAACAAACACAGAAAGCGGGAGAATGCGTGAAGGAGGGATCAGGAGTGGATGATCTCTGGACGTAAAGACGCAGAGCGGAGAGCCTGAGTGCTGCTCACACAGGAAACATCCGCCGAGTATCCTCGAGTATCTCCAACCTACACTGTTGTCCCTCACTCTCTCTCTCTCTCTCTCCTCTCGCGAAGTGCACCCCCACACCCCTTCCCCACCCCCCTCTTGTGTCCGGTAGTGTTACTGTCTCTTCCAACCCGAGTCAGTGCAGCGCCTACACACACACACACACACACACACACACACACACACACACACACACACAGCCAAATACCTGCACTGTTCTGTCCAAGTGATGCAGAACCAAAACTTTCTTTGGCCTCTTTTGTTTCTCTTCATGGAGCAGTCGCTGCCAATTTCATGTGCATCAACTCTCTCACTCACAAACAACTACAAACAAGAAGTGCATAGATTTTAGCCAACCCTCTGTAATTAATAGACCTAATGAGCTGCTTCTCTCTCCCCTCTGCGCGCACTGATCTCACACGGATCTGCAAAATACGAGCAGTAAACTTAAGAGTGACAACCGGCAGTGGTAAAAGTAACACAACGGATACAAATTAGCCTGTGGGTTTTAGCCTCCATCAGCCCCTTTTAAACGGTGCATAATGGGTGTTATCTGGCTATTTAGGAGCAGGTGCCAAGTAGGTGACAACCAAACCATAAACGCTCAGAGTTGGTGGCTCTACGTTGCGTTTAAGATCATGACAAGTCTTTCCTGGAAGGAGCTACACGGAAAAAAGATCCAAGGGTAGATTATTTGCAACTCACAGCAATTAGGCTTAGTTAGGCCTTGTGCGTAAAAAGAAAAGAGGCACAACAGTCATTACAGGGGCTCTGGTGTTTTGGAGCGTGGATACAGTTATGCGTAAAAATCTATTTTAACCAGTTTTTAGTTTTATTTCTGTTCGTCTCTTGTGGTTTTGTTCTGTCTTGAAGTCGGATAAAAACTCTCAAAGCATTTAATTAATGGAGGAGAGTTAACGCTCATAAATCGGGCAGTCATTCAGCTATGATGTCTCCGATAATCTGTCATTAACTCTAACCTTGCCCCTGTAGTAGGTCGGTCAACAACAGATGAAAGAGTTCATGTGGGTTCCTCGTCCTTCCAAGCATCAATGGTGATACCCACGCATGTAACCTTCGCTTTTACTGATTATGTGCGTGAAATCTAAAGCTCTCTTGCAAAAGCGAGAGCATAAAACATAATGTCAGTCGAAGTAAGCGTCATTTTTCCTGCAATTTCAGGGACTGCAAAGTTGTCAACAACCATAATCTCCAAGGTGCAACCTTCACGCACACACAAGCAGACACGAGCAGTAAAAATAAAACAGCAGCAGTTGTTGACAGACAAGCGGTGCAGCCTGCGAACACCTTGTCAAGGTAAATCCTCCTGAGACGAGTTCGCCCTGCGTCTTCACAGCTTACCTGCTGCGTGTACCTGCCCGGTGTGCGTGGGTTTGCTGCGGCGTCACGTGGCGACCCATCTTGCCCCAAATGCAGGAATCCTTGTCAGGGGTCTCAGGGGGGCCTCTGGTATCACTCGATGCCGGCGGATCCGAACGTGCCCGCCTCCCCCCATTTATTACCGGGAGATTACCGGAGCGCTGTCTCTGCTGCTCCCGACTAATCCTGCCCTCGGGGAGAGGTAGCGGCGCGCTGACGTCACTCTATCAATCCAGCCGCAAGCTGTCCACTACACTCGGCTGGGGCATGGAAACAAATCCCCTGGAGACGACACACACACACACACACACACACACACACACACACACACACACACACACACACACACACACACACACACACACACACACATTGACAAAGACACAAAGGAGTGTAGGTGAACACACACTCCGGATTGCCATCCCAAAATAGCGAACCACCTTAACATCCAGAAGAGAGAAGGGCAGGAATATTCTTTTTAAAAACTTGGAGGTTTAATAAGTTGCTAATAAAAAATAAACAATATTTCTATTTCTATTAAATATATTATATTACAAATTAAACCAAGACTTTGCTTGTTTGAAAGGTCCCTCTAAAACGTATTTCTTACTGGTATCAAGATGATGATACTGATTACTGAATCAGTACACTAATATTTTCTTGAGTCTAAGTCTCCAGTGTGAAGTCCATAGACTGTATACACTATGGACAACTTGGTTCCGCAGATTTGAAGCCAAACAGCTCTCTGTAATTCCATGTTTTCTCTCCACTTACTGAAACCAACATGGCGCAGTAGAATTATGCGCATTTGGCGGGAGGGTTGCTGAGAGTCGCTGTGATGACGCTCTATCCCCCCTGGTGGTGATTTTTTTTTTTTTTTTTTTTTTTAGGACGGTAGGGAAAAGTCCCACCTCCTTCGCCTCTGACTGGCTAGGAAAGGTGGCAACGTCATCACACGCTCAAGCAAATGCGGGCTGTCGGCTCTGTACATTGGACAGAACATTACAGAACATTATCGCACTTCTGAATCTCCTAACCCTCACCCTAACCCTAACCCTAACCCAACAGACGATGAGTTTTACAGCCATTAGGAATAATCAATTAGAGCCCAGCACTTCCAGCGAATCAGAGGCGCAAGAGGCAGGACTTTCCCCTACTATCCTACAAAAGAAATTTCGCCCCCAGGTGAGCTATGCAATCTTCGTACGCCCATAGGCTGTATCAAGTGTCACCCATAGAAAACATGAACCCCCTAATAACTTTTAAAAATGGAATAGCAAAGAAAAAAGAGGACTTGAGCACAAACCAGTCTTACAGTAACTACGTCAACATCGCAAGCAGGGGTGAGAAAAATTTATGTTCTGAGTAATAAATTTCTAAAGTTTTTATTAACAGCCCTATAAGGATAGCTGGCGGAGGCGGGATTTATGACTTTTACTGCAGCCTGTCACCAGGGTGTGGTCTTCTCCGAGTGGTTTTACCCAGCAAGGAGACAGATGCTGTCCGTTCTATATACGGTCTATGTGTGTGAAGTCCAAGTTACCTAAGACGAATCTAAGCTGAGTCCCCATTCATTACCTGATGATCTGTTGGCAAGCAAGACAGCTTGTGAATGTGAATGCTGGTAAGCACACATGCCAGACTATTACAGTGTAACAGTAATTTTTGATAGATTAGTCAATGTCTTCCTCTTCATCCTCAGAATACAAACTTCAACACTGGATAGTTTGGTGTTTATGGGTTTCCTATGATGTGTTGTGCTCGTCACATTTTAAGGTTTATTTTTATATCTATAGAACTGTTTATTGGCCAAGCATGTCCTCAGATTGACTTTTTAATGGCTGATCATCTGAACTGAAAACTTGCAAGATGAATATTTAATGGGACAAGTTTTAAAGTTGTGTCTTGTTGTGGCAGCTCGCCTGCTCTATTTGTCATGATGTTTGGTTGACCAGACTAGTTTGCGTCCTAGAGATAAGTTAAATTATGTAAAACAAAATAAATCTAACCATAGGGGGTTGTGTGTTTCTGTGTGTGTGTTTGTGGTCTTGACTGCCCTCCTTAGCAATTCTAATGAACACAGGGGAAGGCAGTGAGTGGCGTTTGGGCCTCTCAAACCACTTACAGAACACCTCTGTGTGGTTCCTATCCAGCCAATCTATTCAGCAAAATGCTTCCTTCTTAAATAGGATCCAGCTATTGAGATTAATGCTGTGTTCAGGTATTTGTGTCCCTATTTGAGGCATTTATCGATCAGTGCATCTCTGAAACTCTCTGAAAGTACCTCGCAAGCATTCTTAACCAGAACAGTGACCACCATCGCTCACCTCTGCTGCCACCACCCCTCCCTGAAACTGCACACACACACTCGCGCACATCCACACCAGGAGGACCCTCAATCTGAGAAGCAGCCCCTGGAGACACCCCCAAGTGCTGAGGTCTGCAGGTATTGGAGCTCTATTATTAGCTTTGTTTTCCTCAAACACACCTTCCAATCAATTCTATACACAGTGGCTCGACTTCACAGAGTTCCTGTTCGACTTCAGAGCTACAGCATATACTTTTCCTAAAATCTTTCCAACTTACAAAGGCAAAGTTGCACAGGACCATCACCTCAGTGCAGTCCCTCTAACATCTACAAAGAGTTACAGCACCTTTAGCTCACTATTTTGGTACATAGGCTAGATTATTGTTTCTTCTTGCTGAGTTCAAAGAGTCCAAACAACAAGTAACCACACCTTTTCGACCCCTGGTATTGCGGTTTTCCTAGTACCTTTGAAAAAGTCGCTTGAGGCAGAGGATAGGTCCTGTATATTTGTGTGACACGCTGCTAGTGTTCCAAAGAAGCCCCCCTACAGTTCATCCAAGTTTTGTAGCTTTAATAACTCAGAAAACGCTTCGACAATGGCCAATGATTACACGTGCAAATCAGATGTAAAATGTGCACACTTTGTGACGTGTATCATTGCAAAACAAAGAACATAAAGCGTGGTCAACAAACATTACGGCAACCTAGGCTCACTTCTCCACCCCAGTGCAGGTGAGACCACCCCTTATATAACTTACCGGCTTTAAAACACTGTGCCCACATGACCCAAACCCAATGAAACCAATGGCAACCAGACAAAAGCATGTGCACACAGAATAACCAATCAGTAAAGCAACATTACGGCTCCTACACCCGTGTGTGCAGTAAACCTATTCAATAATCTGTCCATCAATAACCCAAGGCAGCGTTTGGCAAAACAGCAACCAATTTGACCAAATTTCTTTTCTATGTAGCTTCTTTAAAAAAAACAATACAATATTCAAGTCATCCAACCATGTTTTTGTTGATGCTCTTTGCTTGATTGGTGGTCTCTGTACTTGTCTTGTGTTGTTTCTTATTCTGTATTACAAAACTAAAGACACTACTCAACGGAGTAAAAAAAATTCAAAATGAACCTCTTCTATAATGTAGGCTTAAAAGCTGATACAAGGAGGGCAGAGATTATTAGAATACCACAAGAACTGCTGATTCTTACACAGTATTAAGGGAGCAAAGTGGTGGCCAGAGAAATCCATCACCTTTTTGGCTCAAAATGCTGCAGGAAGGCAGTCTGCTGACAACACAGAAGAAGATAATGGTTGGATATTGTTTTGTTGATCCAAAAATGTCTAGGCAGTTATTTTTTGTCTCATTTCATTGATGTTTTCTTGATTTGTAACAAGAAAACAAACTATAAACTTTGATGTAACACATTTTTACTACACCAGACACACTCCCTGTATGGGCTCCAGTACATGCTGGTTAAAGAGCTCTCTCCTTGTATAAACAGAGAACGAGCGGAGGGAAGACAAGGTACAGTAAGGAAATCCTCTGCTTAAATGCCAAGCTGTGCGTGCCATTCTCCCCCTCTTACTCTTATTTCCTCTTTCTTCACCTCTCAGAGCACAAATTCTCCCCCTTCACCTCTCTTTTACTACCTCAGCTTGTGTGTGTGCGCGTGTGGGCGTGACTGTGTGGGTGTGCACGTGCCAGTTAGTGGCACACATTCATGATCTCTGACATACGATTGGAAAAACGACACAGACTGCTTTTGTTTCTGTGCCATCCCAATTAACCGACGGCAGCAGAGAGGAACAAACTCAGGATGTACGCTCGAGTAAGAAAAGAAAAGTCTGACTCTGCAACTGGTGGGGGGTAAAGACGAGAAACAGAGGAATAAAAGAAAACAATAAAGTGGAATGATCATAGTTTATCATTTTCTGCCAAGCTAAATACACTCTGAATTAACAGATACAAGTAGATGTTGGAGTCAGTGACTTGTGACAGCCACAGTTTTACACATATTTCTTTAGAATTTCAAAAATTATGTCTCCGTTTTTACAAAAATTTTGACAACATTTGTCATTTTCATAAGTAAAATGACAAGAATGACCAATCTAATGGTGTTTTGGTTCTGGGCACGATTTGTTTAGTTTTAGTGGACTAAACAATGAAGCGCCATCACCATTAATACTTAGCACCAGAATTACCAATTAGTTAATCAATCTATTGATATTTTTATAGTCTTTGCCTACAATATTGGTCATTAAGCAAGTCTACTGCCATAAAACACTTTAATATGCCACAATACTCCACTATCCAGATGTAAACACAGTAAGATGGCAGATTGCATCCTGTTGTGTGCTTCTAATCCAGAAAATTGCGCCTTGGTATCAGGTTAAAATTGCAAAGTGGTGTAAAGGCTGTGTCTCGATAGATCCTCTGCCAGGACCGGACTGACTATGTAACCAGCACAGGTATGTTGATGTTAATCTGCAAGGAAGACCGAAGTCTGATGGTGCTACCACAGTTCAACAAATCCCTCTGACATGGTTCACTCAATTTCTCAGTGTCCCTGTATTGGGCTGTGGTAAATAAATCATGCTCTATCTCTGTGTTTCCTCTCCTTTAGACTAGCTGGTTAGTCAATATTGAAATATTGACTAAGAGATTAGTTGTTAGAGAACATCCCTACCTCGTATAAACCCAGGGGGACTCAGCATGGCACCAAAAATAAAAACAAAACTCAAAAATCTGAGCCTTACTTACCAACATATGTTCTCTTGATTGTTTATTCTACAACAAGAGCCAGTTATGAGTGTAAGCAGCCAGTTGAGCAGATTTGTTCACATCCGGGTTTGGCGCACTCCGTAAAGTTTGAAACGGTAAATAGTGACGTCACACGCCAGTTTTACCCATCGACTGTATGTAGAATCCCGCCGAACGCGCGCAATGCTACTGCGCAAGTAGCGGAGAGCGTACAACGCTACTGCGCAATGTCGGTTTCAGCAAATGGAGAGGAAAAACGCGGAAATTTTCGGCTTCAAATCCGTATACAGGCGGAAGGCGGAACCAAGTTGTCCATAGTCTATGGTTTGCCACACGAAAATGGACACGAATGAGCAGGCTGTTGTTAAGAGAGGAAGTAAGTGTAATTAAACAAAGGAAAGTTAAACTAAAGTCTTCCGGCTGTCTATGACGAACAATAAGCCCGGCTTCTATGTGTTTTTGATACTTTGTTTTATCATTGGGTGTAGGTGTTCTGAGGACGAGTACGTCGCGGCTGTTTACATCCGGTTTGCACCCTTGGTGGGCGGAAAGAGGTAAGTGGCATGAAATTATCTTATTGGCGTGTTATTGTTTGTATTGTAAGTTTACTTGGGTGGTATGTATAATGTCAGGGGAAATCATTCTGTTTAAATGTAATGAATTTAAAATAATTGTAATCGTTTTAATAGTAAAGTTGTGTCTAAAATGCTAATATTTAAATACTGTTGTGTATGAATTTTTTATGTTAAGAAATGATTTGTATTTTTTGCTAAGTGTTTTCGTTTCACGGTACTCGAGCAAGGATTAAAGGTTGTACCAGTCGAACGCAAACTGCGGTCAAACCAGCAGACACTAAAATTCGCGTACACGCGTATTCTAACCTTTACGGTAAACGAATTCAAACTATCCCGAACGAGCGAGCAGGCACCATTACTACTACTGTTTTTCAAAATAAGATATTACCGATTCCGAACAAGCGAGCAGGCACCAGATTAGGACATACGGTTTTCAAAATAAGATGCTAGAAACAGTAAATGTAGAATTTCTGATATAAAGTTGTCATGACTTTACACGTGATTGACTGGTAATATGAAATTGTTACATTTCTCATTTTTAGACAATGTAAAAGCAAATTGCTCCATAATTTCTAACAATGCTTGACGTTTCTGAGTATAAGACATATCTGACAACTGTAAGACTGAGAATTATTCATTTTAACTTTATAATTTTAGAGAAATTTCACATTAAAGGTCCTACATTTGTACTTTTGAAATGGTTACATTTCTCATATTTCTGACACTGTAGATGCAACCACAGAAAAGCGAACGTCCGCTGGCTTGACCTCAGTAAACGCAACGCTGGTTTATTGATACCAAGGGCTGTAACAATGAGGGACTAGCTCTTGACAAAGAATATCAAACCCTCATCACTTTATTACAGTAATGCCGGCTATTAATACATTGAGTATGTTGGTTTAGATGTAGGGCAAAATGACACAATACTTGGCAACCTCAGTGAGACAGCATGACTCCCCAGAGCTGTGCATATTCACTATGTTTAGCTGATGTTCTCAAACAAAACAGCCACATCATATAGCTCCTCATTGAAGTTTTGTGTTGTTGGTGTTTTTCATCTTGAAGTTGAGCTTTAGTATCGCCTTCAAAAGGTTTGGGGGTTCATTTAAAAAAAAAAGTTTTAATGATCTGCATAGTTTTAAAAATCTAATTGAGAATCAATAAAAAAAAATTACATATTTTTTAAAGGAGTTAAAATGGTCTAAATTTAATTCAAAACTCTATCCCTTAACTTAGTTACTTGTAAACGAACTGAACAGGAGACATGAAACTTTATCTATCTATTCTGTATCAAAATGATAAGTAAATCTTGTTCAAACTAAGCTGTAATACACTCATCTGATGTGTTCAAATGTGTGCTCTGGATAGAGAGGACAGCTGAAAGACACAGGAAATGTGTGAAGTAGAGAGTGGGAGGTGACAAAGGGTTGAGGCCAGGAGTTGAATCTGCAACTGCTGTGACAAGGACTGTGGGCCCTGCATATGGGGTGCCATTTTGTTAACATTGAGTCAAACCAGCTACCATAGGATGCCTTTGGTATTAATGTAGCAATACAAGATATCTAGTGCTTTGTCTTGAACATGTCTCTGTGTAAGGATCTAGATGACGAATTTCAGTGCAATGGGGCCAGTGCCAATAGAGGTTCATGGTAGAGTGATTTAATAAATTCCTCTATAAATCCTTAAACATCTTAACAGCAATCAGTCGCAACAGTATAGAAAAAAGACTGCAGCACAAACAACGTAAATTCACAGTTTTTAATTCTGTGTTCAGACTATAGTGCTATTGTGATTTTTATTCAGAGCAAAAGAAGTGCTCTGTAAGTAAAAGCCTTTTTATCTGTGAAAAGTCTTTATACCAAAGATATTGGCTGACAAAGACCTTCTTAACTATGATGGTAGATCAGAGCAATGACACTGAAACACCATCATGAGTTAGAATCATGACATATGAGGACTAAGTGAGCTCCATAATCAGACACACTCGTCTTTTGTCACCCTCTTTCTGTACTGAAGCAAAAGATGCTCAATGTGTGTGAGTTTGTGTGAGTAAGTGTGGGTGTAAATGTAAACAGTAGTCGTTTGCTGACACAGCACTCCTTCAGGAACTTGGAAGTTTGTGTGTGTGTGTGTGTGTGTGTGTGTGTGTGTGTGTGTGTGTGTGTGTGTGTGTGTGTGTGTGTGTGTGTGTGTGTGTGTGTGTGAGAGAGAGCCTTGGGTCTCTGCTCCCTGCAGATATGCTTCCTTTCAGAGAGACTGAAGAAATAAGCAGCAAAGACCTTAAGCCGTGTGTGTGTGTGTGTGTGTGTGTGTGTGTGTGTGTGTGTGTGTGTGTGTGTGTGTGTGTGTGTGTGTGTGTGTGTGTGTGTGAAAAACACCTCTAAGCTCCAACAAGCAGCTTTGCCATATTGTAAAAACTGATGTCTTTATCACAAACTCACTCTGTCATGTTTGTTAGATTTGCCATTTGAGAGGTGAGAAGGGTTGATCCACACCTGTCACCCAGCACCACCTGCAGGATCAGATGGCATCGTTAGAGACTGTTTGGTTATTATTGTTCAGTGCAAATAAGTGTTTTAACACATGCTTCGTTTTTGGATTCTGATGAGAATAAAATAACAGTTTACACTTTAAAACCAAAATGCAATTTATGCTAGTTTTCAGAGAAGCTAACTGTAATGATAATGCTGACATATTTTAAAGGTGGGATAGGAAGGATTACGTTAAAGAAGCATCTTTTTTTGTGGTGTAAATACAAAAAAGCCTTTAATATCAGTCAATAGCTATTAGTCATTGATGACATTTGGTAATATAAAGAAATCGCTGTGTTTTGTTATGTCTGTGTAGTCAACATTTAAAATTTTTGTGCGGCCCGCTCTTTCTGACTCTGAACAAAGCTGTTCTCTGCCTCCCTCAACTTGATTGGTTGTGAGGCGAACACTGCTCCCTCGTGTTGTGAGGCACGCTCCATGTCCTCCAATAACGTACAAGAGCCCAAACAAAGTTAGCGTGCTACAACATTGGACAGTAAAAACCAACTAGAAAGTACAGAAAACACAAGCAAGAAAACGAAGTAAATACCGGAGAGTCTGACGGAGTAACGGGTGCATAAAACAGAGGTAGACCAGACAAGAGCTAAAAGGCCGGGTCAACATCAGCATAAATGATGGGTGAAACGTCAGTTTTAGACATCAAGTATTTTGGAATAAAGCCCTGGCATATTTAAGTGTAAGAAAAGTAAAGTGAAATTTTCCTCAGATACAGTAAGTGCACATGTAGTTCACAGACCTCACCAGACCACAACACAACTTTTCGTCTTCTGCCTTTGTATTCACTGATGCATCATTCTCCAGTTCACTGGCAGCCAGCTCCATTGGTCCTTGGGCCTGGACAGATTAGAAAGTAAAATAACCACAGACCCACTCAGAGTCAAACACGAGGCACAGATGAGAGGAGAGGATGAACAGTGCTGTTTGTGTTCTTCACGGTTGTTAACCCTCACAACAACCCTTGCCTTTTGCACCACCTCTTTTATACCAGATAAAGAAGATTACATGCATGTTTTTGCACAAATAAGAGCAGTTTTTCCAGTGTTGAAAAGACGGCCTTCAGCCACTTTGAACTTCGGGGAGTCATTGGGCTCAGAAGGGAAGCCACTCTGCAATGAGGAACATTTACCACAGCAAACCACAGACACTTCCTGTGAGGCAAGATCCTCAATACACATACAAATTATGATCTGTAAACAGACGCTGGAACTTTACAAAGGGCCAGCAGAGACTGATTATTGTTGAGACCAGACTGATATTAACTTAAACAACAGGCTGCTGGCTGTGATTGTCAGGTCATCAGCACACTACTGTCATCTGCAGGAGTAAAGGAGTAATGACAGGAGCTGTCACCTAAGGCGCTTATATACCAAACAAAATCACAGGACCAAGTCTGGGAAAAACCAACTGTAACTAGAGAAACCAGCTTTTGTAAATGGAAACCATGAATCCACAGTTTTGTTTGTAGGATTTATCAAAAAAAAACAACTGTTAAGAAAAATGTTAATCCTTTCTTTTACATACTAATTAAGGTTCATTAACTAAAAGATCTCAATCAACCCATGGTAAAAATCCAAAATAGTTTAAATATGTCTGATACCATGGTGAAAAACGTATTCTTGTTTAACATCAAAACATCTGATCAGATCAACAACTTACTTCCTCTCCTTCTTTCTCTCACTTTGTCCCTTTCTGTCCCAGAGCTGAAGCAGCTTGATCAATGGTATCGATGAAAAGATGCTAATAGCAGATGCTAATAGGGCAGGTATGACTAATAGACCCAGGCCGCCATTGATCTGCACAGTTAGCATCTAATGCTAAAACAGCTGACTCAACTGCAGAGTTGGACTAAAAGTGCCACCCTTGCTCTGTGTGTGTGTGTGTGTGTGTGTGTGTGTGTGTGTGTGTGTGTGTGTGTGTGTGTGTGTGTGTAGTGTGTGTGGTACTAGCCACAAGGTACTGAGACTCAGGGATACACCAAACTACTCAGAAAAAAATTAAGCCCTATGAAGAACTCACACTCACTTTCAGTTATGAGAAGCCATGATGTGATGCTGGAGCTGCCTTACCTCAATCGCGACATATTATTCCACTCAATACAAATCCATCCATGCAGCTTTTTACAACATTTTGAGGTAACATCCTGCATAAAATCCTGCATTTGCAGAATCTTAGTGGCTGCAAACACAACTTTTAAGATTCAGGAGAGGTGTAAGATGAGATGCAAATGTCCTTTTAATAATTCCTGACAATGTGGTGCAACATACATTACACTAAATTCAACAGTCAACATGTTGTCCTGGAAACTTTTGTATTAAAACATGAAAGTGTGAAAGAGTGAGGACTGAGTTTAACAAGGGCAGAACCGGTCACATGACTGGGTCAGAGCACGTCTAAAACTGCAACTCTTGTGGAGTGTTCCCAGTCTGCTGTGGTCAGTAGTACCAGACAAGTGGCCAAGACTCACTTATGCAGTGAGTAGTGAGTAGTAAAAGCTGGCCTACGTGGTTTGATCTAGGTGTAAGGGGCTGGTCTGGCTTGGAGACCAGTTAGGGTTCCCCTGCCGGCCCTGTAAAGTGCTTACAATGGACACATGACCATTAGAACTGGACCAAACACCAACTGAAGATGGTGGCCTAGGGAACATCCCTCAGATTTTAGATCAATCACTTGTCAGTGGGGTGTGATCAGACAACCTGACCTATTGAGGTCCCACTTTAAAACCCCCCTGGACATGAAGGATCTGCTGCCAGCTTCCTGGCACCACCCCCAAATAACAAGGCACACTTTCAGAGATATGGTGAGGTCCATGTGTCATCTGGTCTAGGCCGACCTGATAAGAAAGGGGCCCACACAATTTAGCCACAAATTCTGATGACACAAAGTGAACCTTTTATTTCTTAACTATGTAGCACCGATCAATTTTGTCATTTGAAATTACCAGCTAGTGTTGAATGTTTAACAAGTTTGCTATCATAACTATCTAAATATGTACCACAAAAGATACAGGCAGGCAAAAGATATTCAAAATAATACCAGTTTTAACAGCATTGAGATAATGTACTGACATATACAACTGTGATCGAACTAGCTGTAATACAGTATGTTGGTTCTTTCCAACAGTAAAAATAGAGTAGGCCATAATCAATAATCAGCCTGTTATTCCTAAACACTGAACCAAACAAAGTTTCCGTGGAGGGTAAACGCTTTAATGCTCCACACCCGCAAACAGACAGGGTCACCGCAATCGCAGATCGCCATCTTTACTTGAACATTACTACTCAAACAGAAAAAAATAAGTTTATTATCATTAACACAAATATTATAAATGAGTCTTTACAATCTACATAAAAGTTACATTTATTAAATAAATTTTCTCTGACGTGAACTCTCCCAAAAGAAACCCCGTTACCAAACCTACACAACACTGCTTACCACTTGTTTGTTTTTATATTTTCAAAGCTAATATCTTATTGCTTCCAAGTTTACATTTGCATGCAACTTACTGATTATTTTGAACTCCACTGTCCTTAAGCTGCTGCAGCACTGAAATTTGCTCAGGAAACGTATCTTTTTTTTGACATGACTTTTTGAAAGGAACATGTTCAAGTGAGTAAATAGTCCCAGATTTCACCAGTGAGACCTATAAATACCATAACCTTGCTGATAGAAGGGTTATAAATATCTGCATTAACGGAGCCAGTCAGAACACAAGGGAGCACTAACTGTGCATTTCTGCATTGAGTTTTATTTAAGTTCAGCTATGAAAACTAGTGAGGAAAGAGGTGTTTAAATCGTAAATACCCTGAATAAAAATTAATAGACTATGTCATCCAGTTGTTAGAAAGCACGGTGTCCTTGTTTGAGGCGTTTCCCTCTCTCAGGTTAAAACAGAGGCAACAAGATAGCACTTATACAACATAGAGGGGAGTTTTATTGATCAGTTTATTCTTTACATTTGCAATTGTTTCTGTAGCTATACATTCAATAAATTATTTTTGTGTTGTTTAAAACCAAATACACTTCATCCGCACAGTCCACTCTTAAAGATTGGTATTTCCTGTGTAGTGCACATACAAAGGGATGGCTTTAGGTAGATATATTAGGTGCCATAGTCTTGTTGTCTTTCTTATTTTTGTAGGTACAAAAACCACACATTTCTTGCTATACTTGTTTCATAAATACAGTATATATATATTATAACCATTCATCTTGTGCTAAACTCAAAGCTGTGCTGCAGTCAGTTTAAAAAAAAATCAATATACATGAAAATGAGCTTGTTTTTATAGCTTGTTTACAGTGATTTTTACAGTATCTTTAATGTCCCTGATAATGTCAAAACTATCAAGTGTGTGTGCATTTATTGAGAATTTTAAGAGTGTGTTATTTGTGTACGCTATATCATTTGTGGTTTCATTTGCACTAAGCTCGGAGAAACAGACACTGAAACAGGAAAAAAGACATTTTTAAGGAACAAAGCCACGTGGAAATGGTGTAAAAAGCTTTTTTACATACACAGTACTCAGTCACTCGTCGGTTATATAGGTGGGTGCCATGGTTACCAAATCACGTGTACAATAAAGAACACAATACCACAGAACTACTTGCAGATTTCCCCTGTGTCTGTCAGCATATGTAGAACGATCTACAGGAGCATGAGGCAAACCATTACATTAACAAACAGTATGATCAATTTAAATAATGAGTAAAAGAGAACAAAACAAATAAAGACGATATATTCTTCTTTTTTTCTTTTATAACAGACAGGCAGACTCAATGTTGAATATATTACACAGATGAGTAGAAGGACCCTGTCATGAGCCGGACAAACGCTTATTTAGAAGTTCAGTGTCTCAGACATCATCTTCCACCAGTCCATCAGCTCCTCCCGCTCCTCCTCCTTCCTCTCTATCAGTGACTCCAGCTCAAAGTCCATCTGGGGCACAGACAGAGCAGCACAGAGACAGATTAGAGATCAGAAATGAAAGATACAGAGGCTTTTTTTCTGTGTCAAATTTAGTTCGCAGTTGTTCAAACATAACCTTTTTCTCTGACTTCTGAATTGACGAGAATATACCTTTTCATCTCTATAGTCTTTCTTTTAATGCTCCTTAACTTTGTAAAACTCTTTTTTTATAATATATGAAGGCTTCACCTGAGATCCAACTTTTTCCTAACATATTAACCAAGTCAAAAGTACGCAGTTTAAGTTTCTCATTAATTTCATTTATAAAAAAAAGGCTTAATCACTCAAACCGGGACAAATCACTGCATTTCTGGGATCTATTTCCATAATAATAGGAATAATACATTGTTTTCTTGACTGAGCATTTCTGGCAGCAGCAGGGGAAGGAAAATAAAACCTTTTGAAGTCCTCGGTGCAACGAGGACACTGTGTGACTCACTAATGTGCTTTTAATGGGTTTGGACAACAGTCAAGTCTAGTAATAAGTTACAGAACATTTTGGCTATTTATGTGGTACTTGATAATAAAATCAATGTACCCATTGTTAGTTTAGGCTTTTTAGAGGTTATGTTGACTTCCCAGTATCATAAAATGTAATATCTTTTTAATAGGCATTACTTTTGATCTTTAGTGTGCCAATAAAATCTTTTTATGACATTTTTTTAAGGGACGTTTCAGCGCTCCATGTTTGAATAATTTACCGTTTTAACAGCATATCAGTCAAATACAGTGTACTGTCTTCTAGAAATGCTAGAATAAAGTGATCCGGTCATAGTGAAGTGTAAAGATTAAAATCTTTCCAAAAAATTCCTAAATTTTTTTTAAAAAATTACAATCTTTTTATTTGCTTTTTCAGGCTATGGTGCATATGTATTCAGTTGTTACAAACAGGATGTATTGTGTAAGAGACAGGTGTCAAAATTAAGCATATCAACTCAGGGTGAGAAGTAATCTTGAAAAAGGAAAACAAAACAAATTTAGTTTATAAAACCAAAATAATCCTCAGACGCCACCAGTGAGCTTACAGATATCAGCATCAGCCTCTTCGTAAATTTTTTAACTGAATTTCACTCACAAGCTGTAACAGAAATAAATTAGAAAAGACTTATTTTTATAAGACTCATTCCCGGTGTTCAGGTGCTTTGTGGACACGATAAGGCAGGTTTATTTGATAAACATGACATGATCATGACTTGATCTATATATAGCACTTAAATGTTTCCTTATCTGTGTCTGCAAACTTCTATTTGAATTACAAGTATTAGTTCACATTTCTATGAATCTTACCCTTGTTGCAGGGGAATGGGGAACAGCCACCTTCTTGATGACAGTCAGGTAACCTGGAGCAGAGGCTGCAATTTTGTAGTTTCCTGGGGCCAAAAGGCGCCAATAGTCTCCATCTTTGGCTACAAGATACAGATTTTCATCATAAATGCATTCACAGAGGTTGATTATCTGTTACTGTCATTGCAATAGAGTGAGTCAGCTGCTGTGGAGGATGAACAATACCAAATCTGTCCACACGATGGCACCATAACATCTCACATTTAAAAATTTATTGTGTGGACTCAACACTGTTAAAATGAGTTGTGCGAGTTTACCTGTGGTGATGTCATGGTCGATTCCCTCCACCGCAATGGTGGCATTGGAGAGAGGGTTGCCTTGCATGTCACGCACAAAGCCCTTCACGCCACGGTGGACCTACAAGAACAAATACAACACGCAGGAGAAGTTAAGATTTAGATTAAGCTAAGAGAGGAAGTATGTCTGAGAATGTTGGCATGGTGCTCTGCTTGCATGGGAATTGCATGCGTCCTAAACTTTTAAATACAAAATCCAAAACACTGGAGATAAAAATACACACCAACTGTCCTCACTTAAAAATATCAGCTCTGACTATCTTGTCAACAGACCTCTTGTGACCACGAATAAAATGAAGAGCCTCTGGGAGGAATTATGTGGAACCACTGCAGTTTATTAAAGTCCACAAAAATAAAAAAACAGTAAGATCCGGGAGGGTCGTTGACCTGACACTGTAAGGCAGATGTTTGTGTCTAGTTGCTAATTTATGGGCAGTGCTTGCAGACTCAACTGTACCATGACCATGCAAATGCTGTACCAGTTAAATAGGTCAGTTGTTTTCATAACAATATTTATCTTTTGCATTCCCAAACCACTTGTTTTTTTATTTACTCAAGTGTTTTATGGCCATATATTAGCATTTAATAAAACTCTATGTGACTATTTTCTTTTGGGGGGGGTATTAAAATCAGTATCATTGATGTGGAGTGTCCTTATCAGGCCTACTTTAACACAGGACTATTTAAGACTCTAACACAAAACCGAACCCCACTCATAAATGACAGCAAGTAAAGCTCAAGGATGTATTTATGATGTTGACTGCGCACCTGCTCGATGTAGTTGACCAGTGAGTCGCGGTTCTGCTCCCAGAAGCTCCTCAGTGTGTCCTCACTGGGGAACTTGTCACAGCTGAGCTCCAGAGTGATCTCAAAACAGTTGCTGCTGAGGTAGTTGAAATCCTGCATTCCTGTGAAGGGACAGAATCAGAGAGAAAATAAGAGAGGTGCCATTATTTTTACAAAAAAAGATGAAAAGCGTTTGGATGAAGTTAAAGTTCAGTACATTTAATTCTGGAGATTTTTAGTTAGGAGTCTTAATTGGACAAAAAAAATGTATATTTATATTTTACTAAGTTTTATATGAAGCTGTTGTGTCAACACCATTTTTAAAAGAGCTAAATTCATCAGCAAAACCAGTCTAAAAGGGCCCACACACACATACAGATATACAACAGTGCTGGATGATAACAATGATGACATAAGTGCAACTAGAAAAGCAAGCAGTCAGCAACATATATCTCTTGACGGGGTGTCTAACTCTGTGTTAGGGTGTGTTTGACCCTAAATTAATTTTATGCCAGAATATCCCTTTAATATTGAGAGGCCTTTTCTGCTACAGATCCTGAGGTCACTATACATTGTATCATAAAAAGTAAGAAGATGAAGATGCAGCATCATGCTTAAGAAGTACTTGAACAGATTCAGACTCAAGGATGTGATGATGACATGGTCAGGATCTTAAAAACCCTTGACAACAAACTGTCCCACATTATGCAAACAGTTGTATCTGATTTGTTAATCTAATAAGAATTAGCACATCAGTGTTGGTTGAACTTGACCACACTCTTCGCTGTCTCTTACCCCCTGGCACGCTGTACCAGGCCCCTCCATTAGTGATGCCATCCTTAAAGCTTGAGTCATCATCATTCTTCCGGCAGGGGGGTCGATGAGGGTTGGACATGACGGGGTTGTAAATGGAGTAGGCCTTCGCCAGAGACTTGAAAATTGCGTCATCTGGACTGGCACTGTACTCATGGGTGGAGCCTTAAGAGGAAGAGTCAGATTGAAGGGAACAAACAAGTGTACAGTGTTTGGACAGCTGCTGTGATAAAATATTAATTGCATACATGTTTCTGCAAAAGCACATTTTTATAACTGGTAAATAACTTAGGAAGCTGTAGAAGGCAACATTTTATATCTTATACAAGTTATTGCTACAACATTCAGTAAAAAAATGAAGCTAATAAAATGTTTGTTCTTTCAGTTATGGAACAAATATGGCCTCGTTAAACACGTGCAAACACTCTTGCATGGAGCAGTGAAACATTTTATGTACAATTTAACAACCTAAACTGGAAAAACAGAGTCTGGAGACCTTTGCTGTTTGAGATTGTGTGTTCACATATGAGTGTACGTACCAGTGCGGGTTTCATCGTAGGGGTAGTTGGCCACCACATCCCCCCCATGTAGGTTGGCTGAGAGGACAAAAGGAATGTCCATGATCCAGTGGATCACTGCTTTGGTCTCTGGAGCCAGCTACAGACACAAAAATCACAATCAAAACTTAAAGACGCTGACTGAAGCGACAAATATGTCAAAAATTGCAGTAGTTTGTAACTCCCAACCTACTCACACCAGAGCTCAAAATATTGAGATTAGTGATATTTAATTTTTTCTCCGCACTGCAGAGCTCTGTTGTTGCCCAAATCTATTCAAACATTTTAAACTGTTGCATATTACGTCATTTACAACTTAAATTGAGCCCAGAAGGAAATATTTTGGGTGTTACAACCAATCAGAGCAGGCTATGAAGCTAGTATCAACATTTAATGGAGTCAAGGTTAATACAAACTACCATCTAGTTTGATTGATAAAACTGATGCAATAGCAGATCCAGAAAATTCTGCATCAGCAGTGCTCACTTTATTGGTTTACAACATATTTCAATTGTGCTTGAACCCATTTCATGTTCGACAAACTGTTTAATTTAGCCAAACCGAAATCAGACCAAACTAAATCTGTCTGAATGGGAGTTGTGCTACACAAATATTCATAAGCTCTATGCTTTATCTTAATCATTATACACTTTTTTTGCAACATGGGGTCAGCTGGAACATGGCAGAAGTGAAAAATCACCTTTTCTGTTGATATGATATTTTTAAGCAAGTTTACAGCAGTTGCTCATTCAGGGAGAAACATTATCACTCACTGTAAACCATGTGTCTATCCCCCTGTTTAATAGGACTCCTTTATTTGTTGTCTTTCGCTTGGATATATTTCAGATGTTAGTTCTCACCAATCCCCATATTATTTTCTAATTAGGAATACTGACTACAGCATCTTTAAATCAATGAAGTGTTTAGTATCTTGCTGTTGTTGATAATTTTAAGCCAGTGCCTTGGAGTAATCTTTAGCAGACAGAGTTTTACTTCCTTTTTTCATGGCATTTATTACAACGTTTGGTCTTAAGTAAGCGCTGCCTGGTATATTGTTAGTAGGCCTATTCATGGGTTCATTGACAATAGAAGTACAAAGCCAGTCCATTTGCACACCTTGGCGTTGTCATCCACAGCATTCTTCATGTTTTGCAGCAAGTGGTTGTTGGCGCCGCCCTGTCGCTCATTGATGTAAATGATGCGGTCCAGATCAGGAAAGTTGCGGTTCAGATCCGTTCCCTGGGCGTTACTGCGACCCACAAACCAATCCTTGATCTCTCCAGGCTGCGCAAAGGACACAGGATTAATGTTTGCATGTTGTAAGGACTAATTGGATGTTTGTTGTCTTGAAAAGCTTAATCTATCAGGTGGCAAATCCTTTGATCGGGCTGGTGTGTATTTTTGTCATGCTGCACATTCGTCACCTGTGAGGCAGCCTTTTCAAAGCCATCAGGGTTCATGGATGGCATGAGGTGGATGCGGGTGTTGTGGATGAGGTCAATGATGGTCTCGTTGCCCTGCTGGTATTGGTTGCACAGGTACTCAGCCAGGTAGATGAGCAGCTCTCTGCCCACCGCCTCATTGCCGTGCATGTTGGCGATGTATTTAAACTCAGGCTCACCTGCACAAAGAAGGAGAAGCTCATTAAAAACATGCATAAGACGGAAAAGGAGTAAAGATTGTATGATTCCTAACCTCTGTGTTATATTTAGAGTCACACTCTTGCTCAATCATCTGGCAGTGCATGACAAAAAGTGATCAACGTGACAGTTGATTCAAAGCCAACTTACGTAGGTAAAACAGTTACATTTATTTGATCAAGTTAATTATCCATGTCGACAAATATGACAGCGAAGGAGGATATGCAGCTAGCATGCATAGAGCGGTAATTCTATAGTGTTTAATCACCAGTCATCTTCAGATGAAGAGGCTGAGCCCCAAAAATAACTCATCTCAGGAGGAAATGTCACAGTGTTTGTGATAAGAAGCTGTTTTTGTCAGGGACCATTGGAAAGTCACTGATAAATCATTGTCATTAGCTACGGTGGTTACCCCTGGCACACACACACACACACACACACACACACACACACACACACACACACACACACACACACACACACCTTAGGAAAATAACACTCCTTCTTCACACTCCAACAGCGACAAACACATTTACTCAACAGCTAAAGGTTGAACAGAATTGAACAGTGCAGTCACTGACTCAATTTTGACAATAATGGGTGATTTAGTGACACTGCCACAGATGGTTCTGCCTGAATCTGCCTGCTAGGGTGACAGGTCTGAGACTAGATTAGGATTGGAGTTTTACACCGAGACAAAAAAAAGGATTAGTGGAAAATGAAATCTAGGGACGTTAACAAACAAATGACTTCCTATTTTTTTGAAACTGAAATTGTTTTGCCAAGTATGGCTAACATTAGCACCATCAACCTTCAGTCCTTCTTAGAGGTTAATGTCTGAATGCTATGGTCAAATTGTAATATGCAAGTCGTTAGCACAAAAAGCAGGATATCAATGCCTCAAATAGATTTTAGCACCTATTAGGAGGATATTTTGGCCTCACTTTTGTATGACAGGAGGAGGAGACATGTCATCCATCTTTTGTGAAGTCATAAGTAGTATGAGCAGATAAAAACTGCATCTCGTTCCCTTGCTTTGTCATAAAAGTAAAAGAATTAGGTTTTCTCTCTGAAATCTATTAATAATATCTTTGAAGCTGTACTTTTATGGTCAAGGCTCTAGCCATCTGTTTAACACTCTAATTAGCCATTCTTCAGAAGACATGTGGCGTTGCTGACAAGAAGCAGTGTAAGCCTTAGGAAAAAACAACAAAGGAGGACCGAGGAGCTAGATGACAAGTTTTTGTGTCAGTTTTTGTGACAGTAAGGCAGAGATTTCTGCCTTACTGTGGCTGTACAGCACTGAACGTATTCCTTTGAGTACTGAGAAATAAAAATGTCTTTTCTTTGATTGTAAGCTGTTAAATGCAGCTCGAGCTTGGCAGATGGCGAGGCGAGAGCGAGCCTGTTTGTGTGTGGGTTTGGAGCCAAGCTGCAGCAGGGGTTCCTCTTTTATTGGGGGGCTTTTTGTTCATGTTTCTGCAGTTTTTATGATACCTCTGTTGATTGATTCAACCATTTTCAGGGACTTTTCTCCCGTTTTTGCACCTTCTTCTTTTATTGTTTAAATTAGCTGCTGCTCTGTGTAAGAAATAATGGTTCAAAGATGCGAGTCTGTGTGTTTTTATATATCTGTGGACTTCTTAAAGTGTGTGGTCTATCCATGAAGTAATCCTAGTAGCTCAACGAGAGAGTAAAACACACACATTCTCTCTCTTTCCCTCTCACACACACTTCACCGTCCTGCGCACATCTGGTAGTCAGGTTATTTTTAAACGCTCAAATCTGGCCTCTCTCTCAGAGTAGCTACTAATGATTTCAAGTCTACAATTAACTCCTTCTGTCCTTATGTCGGTGAACGGTTTTTACAGGCTTCAGAGGCCTGACAGAGCTGTCAAACACATGCACTTACACACACGAGCAGACTTTGAAGTTGCAATCCATCTAAATGAGTTAGTATGATTCAAGCTATAACACAGATGCTCAGTATCTGGAGACCTTTGCTGTCTGCCGCACAGGCCATTATGGAGGAATTTAAGATGCTTTTGGGGAGTTTTGAGAAACATGCAAAAGCATAATAATTCACTGTCATTAATGTTAACAACTTTTTATCATTTCTTTGAAAACTTTTTGTTAAATGACAACTCTGTGTACTTATTTTACACGCATTGTTTAACAGAGGATCCTTTTTATTCAAAGGGGAGCATCATGCATCACTTTGTTGGTTGAACAAACCAAATGTTCTCCTTTGTCCTGAGCCATCTGTGTCACTGTCTCTTATTGTCAACATTTCACCTACTGCACCTCTCTGCTTTTATTTCCTTAGGGACACATGTTATTGTGTAGTAATGGCTTTAAGTGTCGTTGGAGGGATGGAAAAAATCTCCAAATGTGTTGAAAAAAGTCCAAAAACAAGATGAAATCATTAACTGTGGATACATTATGTATGCAGTAAATGCACCAAAGTAGATGTGTTAGAAGATTAACAGCAATCTCACATCCTAGATTTTGCATTTAAGTGCCCAGTCTGTTTAATTTTGGTATTTAAAATGTTCCTGTACAAGTTGTACTGTCGACTAATCTTTCAGCAAGTGTTGCCCTATTTATGAAAGCAGTCTGTGAGGAGAGAAGAAGAGACGGAGCAGAAAACCAGATTGTATTGGCAGTCATTTTGAAACAATATTAGCTTAATTATTATGCATAATTACTATTATGAACTTTATTGACAATAAAAAGATCTCTTTATAATTGAGCTCACTATACACTCTCACGGGGCTGGGATCACCTGGGGGTGATTTGTGATCTACTCTTTGATGTCACTGTTTGGTGTCACACTGACATATCTTAATGAAAACACTGTGGTGCTTATAAGTAGAATGAGCATGAAAATCTTAAGGACAGTAAGCAGGCATTATTGCCTCAATATACACATACCTATTATACATGTTATACAAAGGCAACGAACCTTTGGAAGAGACGGGAAAAGGTTCCTTACTGTATACTGCAAAGTCTATCATCCATCTAGACTGTCTTACATATCTGGATCTTCGGTCCAAGTCCAAAGTCCAACTCAGGCTTCATTATTTCAGACCTGTTCTGATAGTCAAAGTCTACTTAGGCTCAAGTGTGATCAAAAATACTGGGTGGTGTATGTGTCTGTGAATGGTGGTTGGAGCTGTCATTATGCAAGAAGCAACTCCTCTGTTTGTCCAGATCTATTGTCTTAACTTGATCTTTTTCAGTTAATATCGCAAATTACACACAAAAAACAACCTTATAAAACTGGCAACCAATTATATAAATGAGGGGAAAGCAGCCAATCTTAAGCAGAAGCAGAGTTCAGAATGGATTAATAAAAGAAAAGTTAATAAATGTGTAATCATTCATAAAAAACAGTCAATCAGGGGACCTACTGAACTGAAGTTGAATTATCAAACCTTTGAGAGCTTTTTATTCATTCCGCACAGGAAAACTTCTATCATCGGTAAAGGATCTCAAATATCCCCAATTCCTGAAGGGCTTCTGATTGTTTGTGAAATCTGATGTGGTGCATTTTTTCCTTTAACTCAAGGTGGAAAAAAAGCGTCAAAGGCTGACAAAACTGACCCCATCATCCCACGCTTTGTCAGGAATTACAAAATCTCCCTGTCAGCTGATCAATACTGTATCCCAGGTAACCACAAGTAATGAATGCTGCTGCAACGTCATTAAGTGAAGCGCCACATCAGAGAGCTCTCAGTTGTCGTGACAACCGTGACACGAGCAGGTGCTCAGGGAGACAAATGAAGTCAGAGATAGAGTAAACACACTCACTCTGTCTGTTTGCCTGTCTCGAGCTAGTACACACACACACGCACATAGGCTCATATTCAAGCAGTTTGTTAGCTCTGAGGCTTGTCAGCTCCGTGTTCTGATAACACACACACACACAAAAGAGAGTAAGCAATAAAGCAAAGAGACATGCTCAAATGCCAGTTAATATGAACAGATAAAAGCTTTGTGGTGAAAATAAGGTCCCAAATCTTTTTTCCAGCTTTTGCAACTTTATAAGATTTGTCCTTCTGTTTTTGTATTACATAATCAAGCTCTTATTTGAGTACAGAGACTTCGTTTCCACAGGGGCAGCAGAATGAGTCAATGTCAACATGATTACAATGAGAGTATTTGCAACAACATGTTGAAATTTGTAACAATGAGCAAGGATTAGTACCATAGACTGTAAATAGAATGGACGTCATCTGCCTCCTTGCTAGATGAGAACAGCACCCCCTGGTGACTGGTTGCAGTAGGTCATAAACCCCGCCTCCTCCAGCGAAATAAATATATAACGAATATAAATGAATATAATTTTTACCCCTCCCTGTCATATTATCATAACATTCTGATGCCAGATAAAGTTTTGTCTTTGTGTTTCCTATCTTTGCATTATGATTTTAGGCTTACAGATTTCATCAGTAACTTATTATTTGGTGCATAAAATCACTGATGGCCTTGAATAACAAAAGGCCTGTGTCCACTAATGGCATCATTTAAGCTAGCAACACTAATTTTCTATTCAAACCAAAAATAACTAAGGTTTTTCAGAGCACAGCATCCACAGTACAAAAAGTGTCTTCTGCTTACTCAGAACTTCTGGTAGAAAATAATTCACTTTTTGGAAAACTGCACTCGAACATGTCACTTCTTCTTCACTGATCAATCACAATCAAGATGGGTCAGGACTTAAAATATCAAAAAAAATGAGTAAAAATGCCTAAGGGTTATACAAAAGAAGAAACTAACCACACTCATTTAAGGCAGAAATTTCAGGCCTGGAGCTAAAGCTAATGCTTAGGCTCTAGCAAGGATTTCTATCAATACTTTCTTTGTCTTTATTATAGATTTTAACAGAGCAGCAGAAAATATGAAGCATACAGAGCATTCTAAAAGCAAGAGAAGATCACTGCTTAGGGGATTAAAATGGTGGACATTTAGTGGACACAAGCCCTAATACAATAAAATCAAACAACATAAAAACCAAAGATCTTTGGTTATTCACTGTAAGCCCTTACTTATCAAAGTCATTTTTGAAAACCACTTCGTGTATTCATGACTTCCCTATGTAAGCTCCAATATGATCAAGTAAGATGTTGATGTTCTGCAGAAGTCTGCATTAACAAAATAGATGTCCTTTCATTTTAGCAATTTCCATGAAAAAAAATGGCATTTCACGACTGGAACAGCACCAAAGTCCTATTGAGCCTGAAGTGTCTGACTGCCAACATCGGAATCAAAGATCAAAGATGGCGAAAACTCCTCTATGTCTCTAAATGCAAAATTTAAGAATACATTTGAAAAGAAATTTTCAGTTTTTTCGTGGAGGAAAATGAGAGGCAGAAAACAAACAGAAGCCAGAAGACCAGAGGCTGTAACAAAAGGTTGGGGCTTAGGCTTTGCATTGCATGGATGACCTATACACAGCATTACATGAGGTTACGTAATACAGTCAAAGAAAACCATCCAAGATTAAACCAAAATCCAGAAGAAATTCAATGAAAGGGTGGAGCAAAAAGCGAAAAACCCAAAGGAGACTTTGGCACCAACAGCAGCAGAAGCTAAACAACAATAAGAAGAGGTAGACAGAGATCAGTGAGAGCAGAAAAGAGGAAGCAGAGGAGGAGGAGGCTGCATGCGGTTGTTTGATGTATAATAAATGACCTCTGGCTGATGCCTTGGCCTTTCTCTCATCCTCCTTCCGTTTCTGTCTCTCCCTTATCCCCTCTACGTTTATCTGCCCACCCCCCCTTTTCTACTCCGTCACCTCGTGTCTTCTGTTACACCTGCCGTTTTCTCAATCATCATTCCTTCCTTTCTTGTTTTCCAATAACTCCCCCTCCTTCTTATCTCTGGAGCCGTCTCACAGTAAAAATTTCCAAAGAATGCACTTAGTTCATACTTTTCTCTCATCTGTTTCTTCTCCCCAATAACATGTACTATAAAACCATGTCTTCCTGTATTACACTCCATATTCAATATGCCTTATGTAACCTGATAGGTTCATACCTAGCAGTGTTTTTAGTAGCCTTACCCTTTGACAGGTCATCTGTGTGCGTGCTCACCGGGGATTACACACTTCCTCTCTCATCTGATAAAACAGTCCAGCTCCTCCATCCCCTGTGAGATGGTCTACTGGATGAAGTATTGGCCCGGCTGTGCCTCATACTGACAAGGCATTTTTTTAAAACTTCAGACAAAAGCCAAACCCATTACAAGGTAGAGTTTCTCTTCACACTTAAAGCCCTGTAAATACTTCCAGACATGAGAGTTAAAAAAAAAAAAAAAGAGTCTAGCCAGAGCCTGTTCCCCGAAGAAACTCCTCTTACAGTTAAATACAAGCCATGGGTGCACACCTTTAAATGAAGCATGCTACAAGTGTTAAGTAGTGGAGGAAGTATTTAGATACTTTACTAAGGCAGAACTAGCAACACAACATTACTCTTTTCAAAGTAAAACTCATGTGCATATAGCATTGTACATGGTGCTATTTATAGCATAGAGTGATTGGTTATGTTGGTCATGGTTAAGTTATGTTATTGTACCATATATTCCAGTTAATTATAGATCTGTTAACTACTGTTAGGTGGTTATATGTGAAATCCATCTTTTAAAATAAGTATTATGTTGAAGTACTAGACTTTTCAAAAGTTGGCTTAAGCCATTTATCCATTTTCACATAAAAGGATCATCTAGTAAGACTGACCAAATGTAGCCAACTTTATTCACTTGTTTATACAAAGACCAGGATAAAACAAAAAGAGCATATAAAGGAATGCAACAGCCAGGCAACAAAAACACTGATCATAAACTCTAAAAAAAGACCAAACGTGTACCTTAAGTTCAATTTATATTTAGATACTTTTCCTTTGCTTCCTGCAGTTGCCACTGAAGTAGCATAGTACTTTGCTTAAACTGCAGTTTTTGTAAAAGTGAGGATAACAAGTTCTGATGAAAAAGATCCCTATCATAGATGTTGGTCAGGCTAGCTGAGCTCACTCATTTCCTGTGTTTTTTTTTTCAAGCGAAACAGGCTGCAACTTAATTTGTTGTGGTCCGAAAACAATTCCACATTAAATCTCTTCAAATGAGAAATATCAAGCTGATTCACAGAACTAAAGGAACAGGCTTTTGCATGTTACTGTATTTGTCACATTAAGACAACAAGCAAATTGACACACAGCTTACTCTCTGTTTACATGAATTAAACAAATATTTTTATTTTAAATTAAAATTGTTAAGTGTGTTCATTTTTTTATGTCAAATGCCAAAAAGGAAACGACCAAATTCAGACTTTTTTTGAAGATGAGATGAAACATCTCTCTCTCTCCTTTTTTTTATCTACTCCTGAGTCCACACATGAAACTGCTGCATCATAACTACTTTTGCTAGACCCATTCTTTATCTAGGGAGTTACTCCACTTCTAGCTAATTAATCTATTGTTAAAAGAATGGGTTTAAAGTTTACATCTACAGTAAAATGACGGCTTCTTATTTTAACACTTCCAAGCATTTGTGTGCTAAATGTTAGTATATTTTTGAGTGCACTTGAGCATGAGTTTGTTCAAAACAGTGGTTACAGAGCTTGTGAAGAGACAGTGAAGTAAACTCTACACTTAAGACCGAAACAAACTGTTAAACTGAACTTATGAAACAGCTTACAAAACTATAAGGCACAAAAAAACAGGCTAACACTAGCTGCATCTGTTAGCATGTTTTGCGTTAACTGTTAGCATCTTTGCCACATGTCATTAAATTTGACTCTACAGATTTACTTCTTAACAAACAGCTCGTCAATAACGACAGCGGGTGACATTGAGCAACGTATACATTTATCTAGAGTCTATTTCAGGCTCCCTGATGAATGATGTTAAATATTGACTCTTTTAGCGCTGTATTTGTATCCGCCCAATCCTCAGACTTTTAAGTTTCTGAGTGTTCCTCCTTGAACATTAGCTAGTAGTGAAGTTAATTTGCTTTTTAATTTCAGCTTGAGTTTTATTGCTTCAAACTCTGAGTGGACCTAAACAGTGAGTTTTTATTGATTTATTGATTTTTCTAAGACCCTGAAGCACTGAAGAGCTGAGGACAACTGTGTCTTCGGCACGTCTCTACTAGCAACCCCTTTTCACATAAGGGTGCTCTAATCCATTGCTATTGAAAAGCAGGCAGCATTTGGAATAGTGTGTTACGTTACCCTACATGACCACCTGATTTCTTACACTGCACACACGGTGTATTGATATGTCCCCCTTTTTTTTACACTCTCGGCTTGAGGTACTTCCTGTGTTGCATTGCATGACAGATGGCGTCTTACTGACAGACGCATTAGCTCAGGACCATCATCTAACACAGTCAGCCAACCAGGATCTGCCAGTCAGGCAGCTCAGTGCGCTAAGCCGATCTGTTTCCCTGGTAACTGCTATTTCGGCTCCACCTTGGGGTTGCTACACATTGCAGGGTCAGATAAAATATTGGTAGGGCACCTTAAAAGGAAGCTTCAATTGTTTCCTGTCCTTTCACAGCTACACACATATTCGTTTTCCTCCTCTATTCTCATTCTCCCTGTGAGTCTCTGGGGCTTCTCTCCCTGTTTCATCCCCCTCCCTGTGTTGGATGTTTTGCTCAGCAGAGATGGGGAGTGAGGGGGAGGAGGTGGGGAGGTGCTGCCCCCGTTGGTTAAGCAGCATGCAGCTTGGAAACTCATCTGGTAGTAATAAGGTCTCCACAACGCTACTGTGACTCATGCCGGCGTACGCCCACCAGTCTATTACAGGCTTATTTCAAACATACATACGGTCATTAGACTCTGTGACCATGTGAGCAGTAACCTGTGGTGCACCGTTTAGACCACACAATTACAGGCGGAGAAAAAAAATACACCTTGGCAATAATCCTACACAAAATATATAGTTTAATGCAATTAACTGGACAGTAGACGCTACATGTGGTAATTACAGGCAGATATTTTTCACTGTTTGGAGGCCTGTGTTTAGGATTACGTGGATGAAATTAATCACTTCCTGCAGACACAGTCTAAGAGACCTGGACAGGCATTACTGACCTGTTCCGAGACTCAATCCTTTAACTCTGCATTATACCTCTAAGTGCCACAATTGTGTTGTGTCACACACAAGGATAAAAAAAAAAGGTGTCCTAAAGGAAATATATTAAAAATATTGCAGTTTGAGGGATTAAAGTTATCATTAGTTAGCTTGTTTTTGTCTTGTTTCTTTGTCAAGAACAAAAGAAATTTGTAATGACCATCACAGTCCTTGTGTTAGTCCGATCCTGATGGAGACATGTATTTAAGTTATGAAGCTTAACCTTGTGAGCATACACACGCCTGCTGATGTTTATGAATTATATATAGTCCCATTATATACCTCTAAAAGCTATAAAACTAAGTGTTTTACTGGAACTATAACAAGCATAAAATTGAGAGGCCAATATTTAAAACCAAAATAGTCTGTGGATGATGCTGCATTTGTAGACTGAGCTATAAATCATAATACATAAAAAGAAAGAGTGGTGGTGCATTGATATAAACCCTTATACTTTACGACTAGGCCTACATCTGTGTATGATAAAACATGCAGGCCTGTGAATTTGATCAAAGTCATACTGTTGGCTGGATTTGTTATATCAGTATATTTTCTTACCCTGTTTGGCACTGAGTGATCATCATGATCTAGTGATTTTCAGATACACTCCTGATAGCATGTGTGTTTTTTTCTTCTTCTCTTCATACCTCCCTTTAGAAGATACACGAAGGTGCACTGTATCTGCAACCATCAGTGGTGGTTACCTTTTATTTGCAGTTCTTCTGACTGATGTGTAAACCCCCCCTGAAACCAAAAAGTCTCATCTACCCTCGCATCACTTTTGCTCTCTGCCCAGCCTGGCTGCAGTCCAGTCCTGACAGCATAAGGGAGTGTGAACATCATATCAGATCAGCCCTGCCAGGATTTCAGTCACAGCTTCATCTTTTTAACTTTATATTCACAAATCTGCTTTGGACTGCAAGAGATTTTGATTTCAGAGAGATAAAAATGGGAGAAGTGGCATGATCCTCTGAATTTGGGGTGTTTTTGCCGGAATCACGACCCAGGATAATCACGAAGAGATCCTTATCAACCAGCAAAATGGCGGCTTTGCGTAGCTGATCGCACAATCTATCATCTAGATTCCCCTGAATTGATGCAGCAGCAGCAGCAGCAGGGCCCTGCACTCTCAGATACACGCACGTACCCGACACACCTGCGCTCCCACTCATGCTGTTCCTTCATTTCACCATCATCCACATCATCATAGGTCACCTCTGTAACAGCCTCATTTATATCAAGATTACAAGAATGCTGTTATGCGCAATAGGTCGTGATGTGTTTTCGTGTGATCTCAGCATGTGGTGGTGGGTTCCTACCGTAATAAGAAAAGTGGGGACAAAGGATGGGGGGCAACATTCACCGCATTATGAAGCACATTCATGCGTGCGTAAAAACTGACCGGGCTCGTGCTTCCCGGGGTCGTCGGTGATCTCCAGCACCAGCAGCTCGCGGCCCTCGAAGCTCTCCCCGATGGTGTAGATGCGGGTGATGGTCGGGCACTGCAGCCACACCGACACCAGCGCCTTCCGCAGTTCTTCATATCGGTGGTACTCGAAGGAGATCTCCGCCTCAGTACCGGCTGAGCTGACCAGGGCGACCGCCGCAGCCCCGAATAAAACTACAGAAAGAAACAGTTTCATTTTGTCGTGTCCTCTTTTCCCTAAGCCGTCTATGTCTGCGTCCCTGCCTGCGGCTTGGTCCCAAGCCTTATCTCCGTGCTGCAGCCTCGCTTCAGGCTATAAATATCTCTCTCTCTCTCTCTCTCTCTCCGTGCTGCGCTCCCTCTCCCTCTCTGCGAGTGTGATGCGCCGCTCCACCTGAGCGCAACAGTCCCTCCAGTGGAAAGCTAGACGTACTAATGGCACATCCGGTATTATTTTCAAAATAAAGTGTTTTTCTCTGTCTGTGTCTGTTTAATTTAACAGGGGAGACCGGGGCTTGTTGTAACACTTTTTACACTCTTTTATATTCCTTGGAATCAACACATCATATATAATCAAAATGTGGACCACACAGAAGACCAAAGTCTCAGGTACATATTTTGTATTCATGTCATTTTCATATCTTGCGTCAGTTCAGAGTTATAAGCAATTAAACAGAGAGTGTGAACATTTGACATGTTGCCCCACCATCAGGTAAGTTGTCTCACTATATGGGATAAGATGTCACAGTGGATTTTGCAGCAAATAAAACAAGGACAAGATCGAAGTCAGGCACAGAAAATGTTTATCATTGAGCTAGAAAAAGTCATTGAACAAACGTTAACATAAAATATTCTGCAACATGCTCTGGAGTTTGGAGCGCTCTCTGACTAAAGTCCTTCATTGTACTCCAGATTGATTTATTAGCTAGGATCACCAGCCTGACTGCCCTCAGCATCATGTCAGGTACTGCACTGCCATGTTCTGTTTTTCTTTTGTAATTCCTGACCATGTCTTCTCGCTTTCTCCTCTCCTTTAAATCACTCTTTTTTTCTGTAAAGTCAAAATCTCATTACGACAACTGCTGATAAGCAGACTCTCTATGTTAATTTTAGTCCCTTTTAAACAAAATGACTGAGACATGTTGCCCCAAAGTTAGTTAGATAAGTTAGTTTAAAACAGAACAATGACTGAGGTATGACAGGATGCCTTAATCTCTCCTCTAACAAGTCCACATATATCACTGCTGAGATTTTTATCAGGAAGAAGTGCGTTTATTGGCGCTCATCTTAGCTCACAATGTCTTCTTCTCTTCTCAGACAGTACATGACCCCTGACCATGTAAAGGAAGAAAACTAGTATTCCACTTTTTAGTTGCACCCTGTGGTGGCAAAAATACTTGCAATGTGACAACTTACCCGGTCTCCCCTATATTAATCGTAACAATCAAGCTTTGGCAAATTGTCAGCTTCCAAGACAGAGGGCATTTAACGGAAAAATAGCTTGGACTAAGTTAAGGTGACTTGTAGTATCACATTATTGTCATCAAAAGCAGCAAAAAAACTCAATTTCTTTAGATCATGAAGTGAAAAAATTGTAGCTTTGTTCACATGGTTATGTAACACAACTGTGTCATGAATTTATTAGGATTTATTAAGTTATTGACACAACACTATTGGCCACATTTTCCATTGCGCAATTTTCCATTCATGATGAGATATTTGCTTCAGATGAAGGTTCAGGATAGCAGGGGGGATTTCCAAACCTTTCCCTCAAGAGAAAGGCTGTTAAAGGGATGTGTTTATGCCTAACTGATAGTACTGATAGTGTGTGAATATGGCGTGTAGCCTATGGGTGACTGTGACATATAATGTAAAAGCACTTTGAGTGGTCAGAAGACTTGGAAAAAGTGCCACACAAAGTCCATTTGACCACATAAGACTGCAACTTCACTCTCCTTGCCATGACTCATATTAATCAGCAGCAGTAATCAATTCACGGGTCAATTAATGTCAAACATGAGTCAGCTTCAGCATGGCCAAATTTTTCAGCTATTTTCAGCTTAATTGAGCTCCTTAGATTTACTGATTTCTTGTCTTTTATATAAGAATACATACACTCATACAATCTGAAAAAAATGTTTAAATCTGGACTCACCAGGTGAAAACCAAAGCCTACGATGACTACAAAAAAGCGCTGTGAATTTCATTTATGATATAAGCCGATTATTTAATATATGAATTTATTTCAGGAAGAGTGTGATTCTTAAAGCGATATATTTATTTCTTTGTGAATTTTTTTTTTTTTTTTTTTGGTCCACAGTCTCAAACGTCCTCACTTCCTGTTTGGTGCCTGTTGTTACTGGCTGCCTTGACTCTGCTGTTTGTACAGAAAGAGGTAGCAGGGGTGTGTCTACAGTGCAGCAGAGGGGAGATGGAGAGAACATTCAGTATATACTTACAAAATCACCCGCTATCCCACCAATAAATATTCAACAGTGTCTACAGGACAAGGACATTCACTGAGAACATTCAGATGAGACAGAAATATTAAAGCCTGAACCCACAGTGGGTTTTTACCTGCAGACTTCCTGCTTTATGTAACAAAACTCCTGTTAAATGTGTTCACTGGTCTTGATTCAAATCTGACAAAAATTAAAAACACAACAAATATGAAATTCCAGGGTTTTTATGTAGGATGAAAACATTTATTGATTCATACAATCTTAAAAAAAAGTGCCATATGAGCCAGTCCCTCTCCCAGCACACACGCCTGACTCAAAGTTAGCGCTGAGTTTCAACCATTTCCACAAAACTGCAGTTACAACACAAAGTCATGGTGACTTATCTCTATGAAAGAGGAAGTGCTAAAGTGCTTAGACATTCAGAGGTACAAGGAAGCCTTTCACAAGACGGTCTTGGTCTTACTGTTCAATTTTTTCATTCATTTTGTCCCAAAAGCAACGCAACAAATCAAATTGAAGGTGTTGATGGATTTTATTCAGTCTGCTGCTGATGACAGAAGAAGACAACAACGCTTCTATTCGCAGGAAGGCACCAAAGACAGATTGACGTCTGATTCAGATTCAAAACACTGTCAGTCTGATTAATCCCAGTAAACCTGAAGTGTGTGTGTATGTTTGTGTGTAAAATATACCTCGTGGAGCAGCATAGTGTTTGTGTGCTCATTGTATGTATGTATGTATGTGTGTGTGTGTGTGTGTGTGTGTGTGTGTGTGTGTGTGTGTGTGTGTGTGTGTGTGTGTGTGTGTGTGTGTGTGTATTCAACTGCTTTCCTCCATGCAGTCCAGGTGTTTTTGTGTAAAGAGAAGCATTCAGGGCTTTACTGCTCCTTCTTGCCCCCCTGTTTCTGCATATACTTGTTGTACTGGTTGTCCGTCCCCAGCAGCTTGTCCCACCAGGTGAAGGTGGAAGCATAGTTCCCGACAAAGTTCATGTGGTGGAAGTCGTGAAAACGGGTGCCAGCATAGAACGGGATCAGGTGAAGCGGGTTCAGAGGTATGTCATAACCGCTGAGAGGGTGAAAAGAAAAAACATTATTTAAATTCTGTCAGCTGTTTAATATCAAATGATTCACAAATATCTGTTTTTATGATCCAAAAATAAATAAAATAGAGAGAGTAGGATAGAGTTGATTAATTTGATGATTAATGATTCTGTCCCCATATTGCTGCCCAGTGGATGGGTAAACTCCGAACCCTCCAGATGTATCTTTTCAACAACCTACTTGTTAAATCATTTGAATTTTAGTAACATTTCAGAGCTATATAAGTTGTATACTCATTGATCATAAATGTGACAATTGACAAAAAACTTGTTTTATTTTGAAACTGAGTTATAATTTTGTATAATCACGCACACACACACACACACACATATATATGTATGTGTGTGTATTATTCATTGCATTGTCATCTTTTTGATCAGCATATGCCCATAAGACCTGTTTGATTTGAGCTGAAATACGGGGTCATATTGAGTAAGATAATGAATGAAATATTATTTTCTTCACAAAGGTTTTCAAGCAACATCCAAAGTTTGCTGCTGAAACACACACATATAGACAAGAAATGCACTGATGAAAAAAAGGTTTAGCAGTTGTTTGTTTCCTACCACTGGAGTCACAAAATCTTTAGAATACATTAATCTAGTTTATAAGAGTAAACTATTAATGCATCAAAATTATAAACATATATTGGAAGAAATGAACGTTATCACCTGGAAGCATGACGTGTTGCAAACATCTGGTGTTTTCTGAGGCCCTCTAGTGGTTGACCTTAGTAGTTACTGACTGGTAACAAGAAACTGGCAGCTCAACTAGCCTCTCACTATTATTTATAATCAACGAAGTACCTGCTGCACTGTTTGCTTGGTTTATTTTCTCTAAAGATTTAAAGTAAAAATCTAATGAGGCTTTGTGTTTGGAATTTTTGCAGAGGGGATGTCAGTAAAAAAAAAAAGGTTTTCTCCCCCACCTGTGGACATCAATGGTCTCCAGCAGGCGGAAAGATACCCAGGCCCACAGGAAGAACACGTGGTTACAGAAGATCATGATGCCAATGAAAAAACCAGCTCCCAAGATGAGGGTCTCTGCGGGATGAGCGTATTCCGCCTGCATTCCAAACGGGGCCTGAGGAGCATTAAAGAGAGTGTAAGGACGAACACTGTAAGTGGACACAGGCCTTTGTCTGTATTACAGCCCAACCTGCAACACTGCAGCAAACAGCTTCAGTGGACACAGGCACATATGCATGGGTATATGTCGGTTTGTTTTTTATGTGAGAGTAGAAAGGAAAAAATTAATCCATAGTGAAGTGCTTTAAGAGCGTGTTTTGAGAAAAAAAGACTTGTGGCCCCTGTCGTGTTTGACTCACAGTGAACTCATGATGGACTTTGTGGATGAACTTGTAGATCTTGCGGTGATGCAGCAGGCGATGTAGGAAGTAGTGCCAGGTATCTTCAACAACAGCACAGCCGAAGCATTGAGCCAGCACATACGGCCTGCAGGAGAACAGAGAGAGAGAGAGAGAGAGACACTGAGTGACCAGGTGACTTTAGATAACATTTCAACAAGGACACACATATGGGTTGTGCTGTTGACCTCTTGGCCAGGTCCTCTTGTGAAATACATCTTAATCTCAACGGGTTTTACCTGGTTAAATAAAGGCCAAATAAAATTATGACGATTAAATTTTACTTGGTACAACACCAATGACAAGAAAAAAACACGATTATGCTACACTCAATCCTTGTTAATAACAGTGGCAAATGAGTCCGTCGTAGAACTTCTAACTCTTCAGCCTGGTTACTGTGAATACATGTTTCAGTGTGTTTTACTGCACTTCCGCTCACCAGCGTGGCATGGAGTCCCAGTCATAGGGGATGTTAAAGTATTCAGTGAAGTAGTAAGTCCCGCAGATTAAAGGCAGCTGGATACAGAAGTGATTAAACAGCAGCATCTTGAAACATCTCCACTGTTTCTCCCACGTCTCTGGTTTGTCCTGCGCACAATAAATACACACACATGCTAAGACATGAACAGACAGAAGGGAAGTGGACAGGATATTCTTCAAAGTTTTGAGGAATTGATTCAAAACAACAAGTCCACACAAACCTGTTGGATCTTGTATTTCTGCATAAAGGGCATGAACTGGAAGAGGAAACCAGGGAGACAGAACAGGAAGTAGATGAACTCATGAACGATGAGCGACCCCCAGGTGGCAATCTGGAACTTGGTGTAGTTGTCCAGCATGTAACCCCAGGCGTGCTTTAGGGAGGGCTGGAAGGGGTTTTCAGGCAGCGCCGCATCGACGTACTCCACCGCCAGATAAGCTGAGCTCAAGATGTCTGCTGAGCCATTCACCGCCATGATGGAAGATGTGAGGAGACTGCAGGTCTGAGGAGATGACTGAAAAAGAAAAAGGGACAAAAACAGTTACATCTGCCACTCTGAACCGATTTAAAGTACAGTTAGATAGAAAATACTGTCAGTTGTATTACTCTATTTTATGTGTAGGGGAGAGAGGGGTAAGATGAGCCATTTTTCATATTTCAGATCACAACATCAAGGCAATCATAGTTTTGTCTCTAACTGGTGTATCTGCATACATTTCAAGATGCTGTGTATCCCTGCAAACCAACAGAATGAGTGTGAACATAACTGTCTTGATAATATAGCATGCCAAAAAAAGTGGTCTCCTATGGTCAACTTACCCCGTGTATGTGGTGAGTTAACCATAGGAGCGGGGTAAGTTGAGCCGTATCCATACTACCCCCACTCTCTACCCCAGCCCTCCCTCACCTTCGCTCTTGTCTAAATAACAGTCACTTCTTTACAGGTACAATAATTCTTTTGTTTCATATAACTGCAAATAAGCTGTTTTGTAAAAAGCCATTTTAACATGAGAATGTCTTTAAGTGATTCAGAACATTCACAGCTGTATTTTTGAAAAGAAAAAGTAATAGATTTAAACAATCTGAACTGAAACTCTGATCCTCTCATCAGACTCCTTTACTTTCTCAGTTGAGCCACTGGCTCAACTTACCTAAGAACTACTATCATGACTTTATTAGTCCTCTAAGCCAAGATGGTGGACTTTTATGCAAGGTTTTTGACCTCATGTTGTAGCTCATAGATACCACAATTGATGTATAAAACAAATTTACAATGATCTTCTTTGGTCTGAACACAATTCTAATAAAACTTATGACAGACTAAATTCACTTTCAAGAGTGAAAAATGTTTTTTTTTTTTGTAAATAAATGTCTAACCTCTTCACCCATGTGCTTTCAACCTTCACATAATCCATTAATTGATGCCCATCTCCTAAATATTTGGTCACATGATCAATTTCTTTTACCATTTCCAAGCAACAGAGGGTGGCTCAACTTACCCCACTCTCCCCTATCCCCAAAAAGTCAAATGTGAAGAACAAAAATTAGAATAAAACTCATTTTTGATAATTATGGCCACAACAAATCATACTATGAAACAACTAATACATGCAACAGAGACACAAAGTATTTCACTCCATGGAACATGTAATTATTTTAAATCAATGAAATGGCAGCTATATATATTTTATTCAGAGGTTCATGTTTGGTGCTGAACAGTTCTTCACTGTGTCATTAAAGTCAATTAATACCATCATTAAAATTTTAGCTTCAATGGTACAGACTACTGGTCAGCTACTACCTAAATACTACAAGTAAACTTCCTGCATTACAAAGCACTTATATGACTGGTTGTATCTTCATTAAACTTCCAGTAGCTTACGGATATAAATGTTAAGTTCTGAGGAGTTTCCCTCGGTTTGCTGCTCGACATTACTTGCAGACTTGCAGCTGCCGAACATGACGCTAGATTTTGACAGAAGAACCCCTTTTTAACTCAAATACACAACTATCTCTCTATGAGTTCCTACATCAGTGTTTAGCGTTTGAATTATCACTAGATATTAACGGACATCTACACTATTACACGATTATTAATTCATTACAGCTGCGTGTTCACAAACCTCTGTATTTACCTCAACATTTCACCGCTTTAGGTCAAACATAGGCGTCTTTTTTGAACTTACATGGCAACAACAACAAATCACCTCGAGTAAAAGCCGCAAACAATTTCAACAGAATAACATATTAGCAGCAAACAATGATAGGTTGACTCTCACCTTTCGCGGTTTGTCCCGTCTACCTGAGCAAGAGGCGGTCGGGCCTGGTGAAGTACACTAATATCAAGGAATATGATTGGCTGAGAAGAGAGGCGACTGACGTTGCGGGGCCGAGCGGTGTCGCTGATTGGTTAGCGTGATGGAGCGATGATAGTGAGACTGAAGGTTTCTACAGCAACGGCCAATCAGAGGCGAGCTAGGCTTTCATAACGTCCGCAGAGTTGAACGGACTGTATGAGGGAAGAGATGGGGTGGTTTGGGTGACTTCAGTTATGTGTGTGTTTGTTTTTTGCTTTGGATTAGATTATTACTTCATGAGATTGTTATATAGGGAAATAAACAGAGCTTAAAAATATTTCAAAGGAAAAAAGAACCAAAACTTTGTTTTATAGGTAAAATAAACGGAGCTTAAAAATAGTTTTAAGTTTAAAAAAAAAAAACTTTTATTTTTGCTCTCTTCCTTAAAAAAATATCTATAAGTATCTAATATTTTTTCCCCTTAAATGTATAAACATAAGGTGTCCCTACAAACAACTCTTATTGTACTGTTTATGACTAAAAAGTCCTTTACCTTTGATACTACTTTTTATGTTATAGTTATGTTACTTCTGTACATCATCCAGTGTTTATTGTATCCTAAATTTACAATAAACACTGGATGGTGTACAGAAGTAACATAACTATGACATGACATGAGATTGTTCCTCTATGGGGAAATAAACAGTGCTTAAAAGTAGTTTTAAGTCAAAATACTTTTATTTTTGCTCCCTCCCTTAATAGAATATCTGTAGGTATCTATTATTTTTTCCCTTAAATGTAAGTGTTACTACGAACAACTCTTATTGTACTAAAAAATCCTTTACCTTTGGTAGTACTTTTATGTCATAGTTATGTAACTTCTGTACATCAACCAGTGCTTATTGTATCCTACATTTTGGAAACACAATCTCTTATCTTTTCTGCCAATAAAACACCACTAATACGGGCTAAAGTTAATATTTTTTTCAAAAAATAAGTAAAATTCTTTTTAAGAATTACTTCTTGCAACAATTTTTCACAGACACACAAAAAAAGGCACCAGTTTAGGTAAAGATAAAAGATAAATTTCATTCTAAAATAATGGCAAATGCACACAGTGGCTGAAGATGTAAGACAGTTTTCAAAAAGGTGATAAAAAATGAATAAATAATACATAAAAAAACATCTAGTGGCTTTTCTGATTGGTCCAAATTTACTTTTTTGCCTCAGAAGCGTTTGACCTCATTTTTGTAAGTGTATGAAATGATCAGAATAAACTTAATGAGAGCAAACTGTAAATGTATCTACCTGTTTAGTAACAAGGTGCTGTGATATCAATTTTTTTTTTTTTAATGAGGGGCCCTATCTTTTGATTGAAGTTGAAGTTTGTTATCCTGTCAATGTTTTTTTCATACTTCTATGTATTTGAGTGGGTAAGCTCATTAAAAGAAATAAAAAAACAGAATCAACAGCACCTAGGTATAAGAAGCATGAATATTCAACACACAACACTAATGGTTTTTCATAGAATTATAATAAATGAATCTCTGTAATTAGTCACACAAAGTGTTTTTCCATTTCAATGTTTTACTGATTTGGCAAAGTTTTAAAAACAGATTATATCATTTCACAGCTTTAAATACAAGAAGCATATTTATTAATGATAATATAAAACAAGTAATGAATCATTTGCAAAGTCATTAGCCTACATGACATTCCTCAATACACTGACAAGAAATAGCGATACCATTTAATATTATAGAAGACCTTTTTTTTTTCTTTTAAATATAAGAGGAGAGGAAAGAGAAAGAGGCTGAAGAAAAAGAAATACGAGAACAGGTTTGGTCACTTCCCAGAAAAAGAGAGAAAGAGAGAACAGATTAGTAAAGTAGTAAAGAAGAGAGACAGAAATAAAGAGACATATTAAAATTGGCACATTCATAGTACGTCAGGGTGTGCAGTAGATAACAGGGTTGCTACACCAAAACAGGAGAGGAGGAAATCAGGGACCATGCAGTGAGTTCAGGCTGTCGTTAGTGGTTACAACCACAGCAAAGATGGCTGCCAGGTGACAGTAAAGCACTGAGACATCCGACTGTTTTCATCTCAAACAGCTTTTCTCTCCGTCTGTCACTGTTTTTGGCAACATGGATGATTCCTCTCCTGTACCAGAGGGATTTTATTCCAGTGAAAGCAGCTTCTTTTATTTTATTTTTTCAAGAAATGTACATTTTCTGTAACTGCTCCTCTCATAACTGGCTAATGCAACCAGCACACCATGAGGCAAAGTGCTCAAACGGATTCCTTTCCTCCAAGAACATGGTCCAGCTGTGCTCTGTCTGGTAACAGTACTTGAGGCGTTACACAGGAGAAGGAAGAGGGAAGGCAGGGGTGTAATGTGACATTCAGGCACACTGCAACACTGTAAAAAGGTCAGAGGTCAGACAGAGTGCATTCATGCGGCGTTGATTCACCACAGAAGAACTCAGATGCACACAGACACACATGCTCACATGTGCAAGCAAAGGAGCACCTTTAAATGCAAGCGCACACACGTACATACACACACACTCATCTGAGACACTTTCAGGAGGATAAAAACAAAGGAGAAACAAAGATTTATAGTCCCAGGGGTCTTTCTCTGCCTTCCTCTCCTCGCTGGTTCATGTTAGCGATACTAAAGTCAAGGTAACTTTGCAGTTATAGTAGCTTCATATCAGTAGTGTTTCAATGACACTGCAGTGGTGCAGTTGCTGTGGCAGTCCTGCCAGGTGGGCATTAAAACACGGGCTCTACACCCCCTCCGTTTGTTACACCCTCCTTTCGTGCAGGTTAAGTGCAAAAATCTTTATCCTCTTCCTCATAAACAACAACAATCTTGTCACTTTTCTTCATCTTCCCCAGAGCCTGTGCTAATGCTGCCCAACATCGAAGCGCTGGCATCACAGACAGATCCAAGATCAGTTTTCACCAGGAGAATATGCTCTGCTCAGAGTCAGCAGCAGGAGTGAAGAGCAGTCATAAAGGCTTGTCGACTGTAGTCACACCTGAAGAAAAGAAAAAAGAGAAGAAAAATGAAGTGATTTTACAAAAGGTCAACAAAAATCCTAATCGTGAGCTTTGGCTGAGGTTCATCTCTTTTTTGACAATAGTTTAGGCGGACAATGACGGTTTAGTAAGAAAGTGTCCATCATGTTTTCTCACGTGTCGCCTACAAACCTGCATAACTGCGTCCTGTGCTCATGCAGGTTGGCAGTAGCGTCCACTTGTCCGAGTTTGGATTGTAGAACTCCACGGAGGCCAAATTGCAGCTGCCATCATCTCCTCCCACCACATAGAGTACATTATTTACAGCACACACACCTACAAACAAACACACACGCAAACACAGGATGAATATTTGTGAATGTGTTGCACAAAACAGCTCGAGAACTCTCTGTCAGAAAGTCTGCTTTACCTGCGTTACGTCGACACATGTTCATGTCAGCTACTTGCCGCCAGCTGTTCGAAGCTGGATCATAAACTTCACAGCTCTTTCTCACCAGTGGACCATCGTGACCCCCCACGGCATACAGTAAACCTTTTAACACGCCTACACCTGAGGACAACAATTGACACAAAGCAGAAAGAGTGTTGAACAAGATCTTAGAGCATGGCAAAATTCTGCGAGGATGACTGGAATCTGTTATTTTTCCGGATCTGAAAACACACTGACCCGCTCCGCTGCGTCTCGTGCCCATCTCTGCGATGTAGCTCCAGGTGTTGCTTTTAGGGTTATACGCTTCTACTGTGCTCAGACATTGCCTGGTTGCACCATCATAACCTCCTACTGCATACATGATCCCTGAAAAACACAGGAGAAATGCTTCCATTTCATCGCTCCCAACAGGCGCAATAGAGACCAATAAAAGCGGTATTTTTAGCCTTCTGAAGCCACCTTAGTGCTACAAATGGAAAAATAATCATTGTTAGGCCAGAAAATTACAACCCAGTTTATGTCTCTGCAAACTGTTGCATTAAAATTTATAAATGCACTTAGGAAAAATTGTACCTCCCACTTTTTTTGTAATTATATCTTCGCTTTGATCCATTTCTAAATACTGATGGTAAACCTGAAGTGGAAATTTAACTCACCATTTACGACACCCACTCCCACACTGCTGCGTCTGGTACTCATTGGTGACACATGGAACCACTCATCTGTTTTTGCGTTGTATGCTTCAACTGTGGACAGACCTGCATACACACACAGAACATGCAACAAAAACATTAAAAACATAAACAGGATTTTTTTGGTCATTTTAACATTCTGTAAGAATAAAATTGTTTTTAATTTATGTCTTAAAAACATTACTGCACCTGTGCTGCCGTCAAAGCCACCCACAGCATACAGCAGCCCGTTGAGCACAGCTGCCCCTAATGTTGATCTGCGGTCCTGCATGCTGCTCACACTCGTCCAGCGATCCATCATCGGGTCGTAGCAGTCGACCGTCCGCACACGGAGAGAACCATTGAAACCACCCACAGCGTAAACACAACCGCCGACGTACACCACACCTAAAAGACAACATAAGAAAAACAGATTAATGACCCAAATAAGACTTAACCTTTAAAACTGCTCATTAAAAACCAACAGAGGGAACATGACTGGAGCATACACAACAATGCTTCAGGATTTGTTCTGTGTAATATATTTCTAAAGTTTGTCCACAGCCCCATAAGCTTTGCTGGTAGAGGCAGTATTTATGACCTATGCTGCAGCCCGTCATCAGAGGGCGCTGTTCTCTGAGTGGCTTCACCCAGTGAGGAGGCAGATGCTGTCCATTCTATGGGCAAACTTTGATTACAGATTTTCTGGGCGCCCAATTTTCTAGCTGTTCTAGCTCTAGGACATATTTAAATTCCAACCAGCCATCTCATCTGGAAGGGTAAGAAAATACTGAAATAAACAGTCAAAATTGTATCTTCTTTAATTAAATACAACTTAACACCAAATCACAGAGTCTGCAGGCAAAAGCTGTCAATTTAGTTTACTGAGTGTTGCCAACCTTAGCACAGCGGGCACTAGGGTTAGGCTTCAGTCCTACTTACAGGTTAATGTCCACATATGTGTACTGATTATACACTGATCCAACTGGGTGGATATATTCCTGTTTCACTAGACAGAGCTTTATAACATAACCTTATCTCTGTTTCCAAGATCAAAATACTGCCAACCCTTGCCATGCTTTGAGATGTCATCTATCCTCTGTGCTTGTTTACATCTAGGAAGCTACAGCTCTTCCTAGTGGCAGGTGACTATGGCTTCAGCTTAGACATAATATTTGAGCATCACCACATCCCCAACTTCAATAGCTCATAGAATCTGAAAACACAACTTCATATGAGATGTTTGAGTCATGCTTGATCATAAGTCTCAGGAAAAAACTGAGAAAGGCCTCTGGATGCTCCAGAAGTAGGCATAGATGCTAGTGTTAGCTTCCCCAGCAAATTTGATATATAATCTGTCACAGATTTACTGCATGACATTAAATATTCTCCCAGCATACTCTTCACTCATTTCAAGAACGATAGAATAAGACTAGTTCATCAGTGGAAACACTTTGTCTGCTGTTGACCTGCTGATAAACTTAATTTTTACAAGCACGCCATTGGTGGAGACGTCTCTCAGGTTTTGGAAAGATCCAAGCGTCTTAATTTGGATGCATTTTGGGTTTCCTACCTGCTCTGCACCTCCTGGTTGGCAGCTCAGCCACCTGGTACCATCTCTGTTCTTCAAAGTCATAACACTCCACGCTGCGGATCGCCTTGGGAGCCTGTCCTCCAACCACAACCATCACCTGAGCAGAAGCCAGTCAGAATGAATTTAGATTTTTGTTTTCATCGTGCATACTGAGCGTAATCGCTGCAAAAGCTTGTACTCGTGAAGAATACCTTGGGACAGCAAGCTGGCGTCCTCATGCGTGTGCGTGCAGTTTTCATCAGAGCTCTTTGGTCAGCAGGCAGTAGGTGATACTTCATGGCCTCGATCAGGTAGTCTTTACACCCACTGCTGTTCTTTATTAGAGATTCCTCCTCTACCCTCTAATGCAACACAACAGTGAGAGTCAGCAGACAGAACTGACAAAGAGCTTCAGTACATTCTGTTGTGATTGTGCGACTAAAACCATCAAATAAATGGAAAGTACTACTTGCTTTGTAAATGTTGGACAGCCTTATCCTCTTATATTCAGGAACATTTTCTCTTTACTTCACCGTAACAACTTTTTGTACTCATTTTATCATGCCAACAGATATTTCTATGTTTTAAATGATATTTTTCATACTTTTTGTTTTTAATATCATTTTCTTTGTAGATGTTTCCTGCAGGCTCTCATACCTGCACCAGGTATTCTCTGGAGAGAAGCGGTAGGCGAACATGTTCCATCAGGTGAGCCAAGTGTTCCTGTCGGACATCTTTATCATGGTTAACCCAGGCTATCACTGCCTCAAAAACCTACATAATAAGAGGGACAAACTTTAAGCACAACTGGCAAGACAACTCTCCCTATCTCAGTGCACTAAACAGGGTGAGTGTGTGAAAGTGTGTGTGTACCTTCTCCTCAGTGGGGATGGTTAGCTTGTCACTGGCGATCAGGCTGGACACCTGCTCCATTCCCAGGTTGAGGAACTCTTCACTCCCAACCACCTCAGTGAAATGTTGCTCTAACATGAGAAAGAAAAACATACTTACACAGTTTTCCTCCTTTTTTTCTGATTCCTCTTTGTCAAGTTTCTTTAGAACTCCACCTAATTCCCCATCCCATGTCTTCCAGGATTTACACTCACAGCTAAACCCCTTTCAGCAGAGCGACACACACACAAACCTGCATAGCTGTTGGCCTGGGTGAGGAGCTGAGAGCAGGCGTGCAGGTCGGCGAATGCTCGTATTCCCAGACAGTTGGACGGATGAAGCTGAGAGCTCAGAAACTCACAACAAGCTTTTTTCACCTCATTCAGCTGGAGCAGGCCCGCCGCGGGAAGCAATGCCTATCAAACGAACACACACAAATAAAACATCCTCAATTTAGTTGTTTAAAATGCAGATGAATCCATTTAAAGCAATGAAAGGTTGGCCTGGCATAGAGAAACCACCATTATGACAGGATTAGCCTCCAAAAACAACTTGTTTTCCACAGCAACAGTTTCGACAACTGAGAAACTAAACTGCTCTTGCTGAAGCTGCTGCTGTAGAAAGAAAGGCTTATCTAATAAAATGCATTTGAGTGGATTATAAAACAAGATCTGTGTTTCTGAAACTATAAATACTGACGAGAAGAATCTTATAGTTCTCCTTAGATTAGTCTTGCTGTTCCCTGCAGACAAGGCAGCAATTTAAAATCATGCCGGAGAGTTGTGAACATGTGACTGATATTTATCAAGTGAGTTTCACACTTACTCAACAAACTTTAACTTCACTTATTTTCTTCATGTTTAACTATGTTGGGTTTGTGCTCTAGTATTTGAATAACAGATGATTCTTTGCCTTGTCTGTTCTGCACAAACAGCTTTTATTGCATGTCTGTCAGTCCAAGAAAAATTGTCTGTCTCCTTCATTCTGGGATTTCTACCCTATTTAGATTAGTAAAGTTGCCCTATTAAAAAAAAAAATTAAAGATGTAAAAACAATGGAGTATACTGTATGGATTTAAAAGTTCAATTAAGTAAAGTTATCTCATATTACTCTAACCTGAGCAGCAATCTGATGTCAAACAGTATGATTATTGTGATTAAGCATACCGCTTTTAGGTCCAAATTATTAGAACACATACAGGAATATTACGCAATGGGTTACAACTGTATCGAACTACCTTTCTTTGTGGTTCATGTGCTAGCTGTAGCTTGCAGATGACTCTTGCACTGGCCATACTTAGCACAGGTAGGGGTGCACAGATAGGGGGTAAACCATACAATTATATCATTTCAGCTGAACAGTATAATTAGATGATTATAGGCCGCAAATAGCCAATGACTTTCATTTTTTTCTTTTTATTTCTGAGGGTCCTCAACTAACCAAATGTGGTCACGATGTAGAGAGAACTTCAACAAACATAACAGGAATATGGCAAAAGTAAAAAAAAAAAAACTTAAGTGTGGTAGAGTTATAGATAATAAAACTACTGTCATGTTGTGAATTGGGTGCAAGTGAAGTGCTACTAAGTTTCCTAGATGTCCAGATGAAAATTAAAATCCTGACTAACCTGACTGACTGATGTAAGTTTTAAAGTTTTATGCTCTCAAATACAGATGAAAAAAGAAAAGTTAGTCTTGAAAACATCCAAGATAAATAAAAATATTGTTAGTATTTGTTAATAGAGTAATATTTCTGGTGCAAACTAGCAATGTTCTAATTATTTGGTTGACCAAATGTGCACCTTTCTTGTGTTAAGTCTGACTTGGTTGCAGCCATTACAAAATGAAATGTTACCTGAGGGCACAAGCTATTCATACTTGTTATTTGCAGTTGTTTTTGTTTTCTAAAGAACTGCTTTTAAGGGGTTGACAGGGAGCTGGGTTAAGCTGGATAACATACCAATCTGCTACACAAATGAAAACATTATCCAATTTAATCCCCAAACCCCCTGACTCAAAATTCTATGTCAGTGTGTGCTTAAAAACACCATAGACAGTAAAGACTCTTTATGTAGCCAGATTAACACCAGTTTATCAGACTATGTTATTAAAGTAAACAGTTACACAGAAGCTGTTAAGCCCTTAAAGACCCACTCTGATGCAAATCATGTTTTTCTTGTTTATTATATGTTCATATCAACTAAATACGAAATTGCTTTTCTGAGTATTTCTTCATTCAAATCGCTGTGAATCTCTGGCAGACCCAAACAGCAGGTTCAGAAACAGTGAGATGACATACGTAACAAATCCAAGCTCTGCCCCAGAGCCCTGCTATGTAGGCCACAATCTGTATATATAGAGGAGAAATACAAAGGGCGATCATGGAACAAGCGTGTGTGTTAGCGGATTGAAATGCTCGTAAGAAAGCTAATTATGATATTATGATATAGCTCCTATGTTACCTGCCACTTCTACCACACCGGCAATGTTAGGCTGCAAGCTAACATGAAGACGAGCACGCAGAGCAGCGCTGTCTCTGCCCCCCCCCCCTCAGAGGCGACTTGCTAATGAGCTACTAGAGCTCTGCAGAAGAAAAGCTCTTGAAAATGACACAGGTAACATGATTTTGGTAAAAACAATTTAAAGACCACTGAGAACACTTTAAGTAGTAAAAAACAAACAAACAAACAAACAAACGGAGTGGGACTTTAAAATTGTGGCACTCACAATAATAAAGTAAAAAAAGAAGGTAAAATGCAGTGTGGGATGTATGGATGTCATATCACACATTTATGATTTAAGCTCACCTGCACATTCTCCTCTGTAACCTGGATCTCTGCTGTGTAAATGTAATCCACCAGAAGACCCAGAGTCCAGCCGTCCACCTCCTTTATCCTCACTCGCTTTGCCCTGCTCTCTGCCATCTCACCTGTTTGTAACATGCACATATTTCACATCCAATACATCACAGGACAAATCAACTCAGCAAGAAAATAATAAAGCATGTGCAGAGGAGGCTCCTCACCTGTGAACATAGCATGAAAGTAAGGGCTCCCTGCAGCCAGCACCACCCTGTGAGCAGAGATCTCTACATCCTCTGCAACTATGGTCACGTCACACAATAAGCTCTGGCTGCAAAGGCAATTAAGAGGTTGAAAAAAAGCAGATTAGATTTTTAAATCAGCGGAAGGGCGATCAGAAGATTTGGGAAGCTGAAATGTACGTCACCTGCGCAGCTCGTTCATGACTTTGAACGCCTTCCTCATGTGCCGAGGGTTGAGCGTGACGGGACCCTGCCTCTCCACTCCATCTTCTTTGTCCAGAGTGTGTGGACAGAGTCTGGTACACCTGAACAAAACAGACACGTGCATATGTATTTTTTTTAACAGTGTTACAGAACAGAAGAGAAAGAGTTATCTTTCATAAAAGAAAAACACTTAAAACAAGTAGAACAAGAGCTTCTGCTCAAATCATCTATTTTAGGAGATTGTTTGTCATCTGTTCAAATCCTGGACAGATGGGTCTGTTTCCAAAAGTAGAGTTGTTTTGACTGTTGGCAATTAGCATATGCTGTTACTATTTATGTCCTCGGTTTGATTCCCTTTGTGCATGGACTCAAAGGATAGTATTGTGGTTAAAAGAAAAGTACGAGGGTTTTTTGTTTTTTAGTGAGGTGCTGGTCAGCTTGTTAAGAAATAGGCACAGAATCTAGGCTATTAACTGCCATAGATGAGGTCAACTCTACCTCAAAATGTAGCTGTTTTTAAATACTAATGTTGGTGTAAGTGAAACCACTATATGGAAAAATTTCAGGCTTTTTTTTGCCCTCAGAAAGTCCATTTGTTTACTATTCCAAACATGACCCATATGCCTTCTTCTGCCTGCAGCATACTGATCGTCTGCAGGTTTTGAAAGAGACAAAAAATACAACCAAACTAATTAATGAGTTACTCTAACAGTGACAATAATTACCTTATGAGCTAGGGGTAAAGTGGAGTAGGTGTGTAAATCCTTAAAATGTCAAACTGAACAAATGAACACTGTTGTTAGGCATTAAAAATAAGGATACAAAAAAAAAATCTTCAATCCTGTAGCTGATAGTCTTGTTTGCTTTTGGATATTATAAAAAGGCATCAATACAAATTTTAGTGTATTTCGGAAACATCCAAAAACTCCTCACAGGAGCTTTAAATGTCACTTTTATAAAAACTGAATGAGCCATAAGAGTGTCTGCCACATGTGCTGCGGTGACAGTCCTTAATGCAGCGATCTCAGGTTCGACTCTGAACTTTGGTCTTTTGCCACATACTGTGTCATCACCCAACCCCTCCTCCTGACTCCTCTCAGTTTTCCCATGAACAAAGGCAGAAAAAAAAACCCTCACACAAAATAAGTGGAAAAAATCATCAAAATAAATTTAAATTTAAAACAGAGGAACATTGTGTTTTATTCCAAATAAAGTAGTTACACTGCTTGAATCCTGAAATATCATTCACTGCTGAAGGGTCACTTCACCCGCAGTTGACAAAGTGAGAGCCTTTTGTATGTACCTTTTCACGTTTCTAGCCTTGAGCTTTTGGCATCATGATCCAACATTTGCAGACAAAGCCATGCTTCCATCACAATAAAAGACTTTGTACAAAACAGTCCCCATGACAACTATTGACAGCGTATGGTGTGAACTATTCAGGGCATTGTGGTCATTGATTGTAGTGAGAGTCACCGCTTTTCAATGCTGCAGGCACGCATGAAACAATCCCATTTATGTTTGACGTTTTTAACTGTGGAACTAATTTCTCAATACAGGTCAAAAGAGTTTAACAGCACCACAAACTACAATTTCCAAGTAGCTCAAACTGAATAAACACCTAAACAGGCTGTTTAATCAGGCTGCACAAGTTCAAGCTGGTTCTTTCTATATTTTCATTTCATTTAGCTATATTCAGAAAATGAGCTCAACAGTATATGTTTCAATTAGGTTGTTATGAAAAGACTGTTGACAGACAGACCATCTACAAAACAAAGCCACAAACTCTGCTAATAATCCCGATCTCGCAGTTTATTTTGTACATTAGCAACGATTCAAACAAGTAGTTACTCAATTGCCTGGACCAGCTGACACACAACGGACCTTGAGAATTTGGGACCCCTGAGGACCAGGATAATAAATTGGCCTTGACTTCATTAAGTGACTGCTGAGTCAGGCTGGACAAATAATGAGATTTTATTCTTTGTTTCTTTTTGACTCCTAAAACTTTGGCAGAATAGGTCTATTTGAGAAAAAAATGACCACATGTTGCTCAAATTTTTCCTGTGATTGAAAATCTGATTTTAAAAACTGTTGGAAATGCTGTGTCATATGTTACTAGAACAAGAATGTCATGGTTTGCAAGTAATTTTACACCCCAAAAAAGGGCAAAGATCGTCTAAAAAACATAAAGACATTTCGTTGTTTAAAAATAATTATAAGCTCATTTAAAATTTGATGGCAGCGACATGTTCTTAACAAGTTGGGACAAGGGCATGTTTGCCATTGTGTTGCATCAGCTCTTCCTCTTTTGACAACACTCTGTGCATGTTTGAGATATGAGATTAAAATTGTTAGCAGCTCCGGGTCTCCCATGTCCTATTTTTCATTTTATGGTTCACCAACTGTTTCCATTGGCTGTCAGGTGACGACTGCAGGCAAGCCAGTTCATACCTCTTCTACTACAGACCCATGCTGTTGTAAATGTGATTTTGCATTGTCTTGCTTTATAATGCAAAGTCGTCTTCATAAAAAACGTTGTCTGGATGAGAGCGTATGTTGCTCCTAAATCTGCATTTGCTGTTCAACATTAATGGTGCCTCCCAGATGTGTAGGATACCCATGCCATCGTGAATCCAGGCTTTTGAGCTCTGTGCCTAGAATAAGTCCCTCTACTCTGAAGAACAGAGAATGTGCATCCATGATATCCAGAAGAATGTCAAACTTTAATTTGTCAGCAAACAGGGAAGTTTTCCACTCTACAGTTTTACATTTGAGATGAGCTTGGGCCAAGGGAAATCACCATTGTTTATGGATCATGTTTATAAATGGTTTCCTCTTTACATAGTAGAGTTGAACCCGGATGCAGCAACAAACTGAGTTCACAGACAGTGAACATATTTCTCCCAGAGGACAGTTTTGGGAGAAATATTGAGCCCATGTCATGACTTCTACTACAGAGCCATGTCTGTTTCCTCTCTGTTCTGTGAATCTTTTGAGGATATTATGTTCTGTAAATTATCAAAATGCTAAATAAACTCTTTACACCTTCTTGCTGAGAAACATTTTACTGGATCTGCTGACTTATTTGAACATGAAGTCTCTCACAGTGGGCGAACCTCTTCCCATCTTTACTTTTTGGAGACTCAGCCCTTCTGGTATTGCCTTTTTGATACACAGTCTTGTTACTACACTGTTGAAAATAAACCTAACTAGTTGAGAGGTTCCTCCAGTTTAGCATAATACAACTTTGTCAGTTTTGTTGCGCTTGTCAGAACTTTTATTAAAATGTGTTGCTGGTACTGAATTTAAAATGAGCACGTGTTTGTGTTTCAACCATGGTGCTACTTCCATTTTGCAAACAATAAAAAATCTTCGTTTTTGTCAGCTTTTACTCAGCAGGGGTAGGACCTTTGTCCTTTAAGGTTGGCATTTTTGACCCAAAGTCACTCTAAGCCTGGCAGTGGCATGTTTAACTAAACCAGAGTGATAGGTAATTTGTACTGACAACTGGAGTCAACTGGAACAAATTGTGATTTCCGTATCAACCAAATCAAATGATGCAAAAAAAAAGCCTTGGGAATTACTATATAGGGAAAGAAATTATCGAAAAATGCTCGTAAAAAGGAGCTTCTACAAGAGGAGCAGTCAGTGGAGACCCGCAAAACGCAGGACAGCTTTTGGACAGTCTTCCTTCTCAGTCAAAGGTCCACAGATTTGGAATATATTACTATCAGAAATAAAAACACTAAAGAAGCCCAAAGCAAATATCAAAACAAAACTATGGCTGAAACAAAGACAAATCTGTGAACATTAACTTACATATAACTGGACTATGTAGAGTTGCCTGATTTTGGAGTCTTCAAGAAAACCATGACCTGGATGAATGAGAATCTACATGGACAACTTACATATATGTATATTATGGCATGTATGTGTGTCTATATGTATCTATGTGTGTGCATGTGTATGTATGTATGTGTATATGTAAGTCCCTGGATTTTTGTGTGCAGAAGAAACTGCTTGTTATGTTTGCTTTCTTGTTGTTTTTATGCAAACATATGATTACCTGTCTATTTCGTGGTTTATGTACTATGTGCTGTATTTTCCACTGTCTAACCAGGGACAAGGACTTCAAATTAGCCACGGCTAGAAGTCCTGCATACACAGCATCGGTTGTTTTTTAATTGGTGCAACAATGCCTGATGTACTGTCCCTGTCAAATAAACGAATTAAAAAAAGATCATCTCATGCATAACTATTTAGTATTTAGTTTAAAAATCTCAATGAGGAACTAAAATTACATGTTCAATTTTTGGCTAATTTTTGGGGTAGTTGAGTAAGACTGGAATAGTTCAAGAGGTTGGAAACTGCATGTATAGACCGTTCAGTCAACTGTTGGAATCACACTTTTAGGCTTTATTGGGTTTTGTATATGAAGTACCTCATCTAGACATTGAGTCAGAGCTGTAATATAAGTGCAGTAGAATAACAGATAGATAATCATACTTTGTTCGAAAGGGTGTAGCATGAAGTTGATCAAACTTACCTAGTCCTACCCCTTTATTGTTGTGTTACTATGTGTAGGAATAACAGCACGGAAGAAAGAAAATATATCAGAAAAAAAGGCAAGTTGCCCATTGATATAAATTCATGTTTCTGTTTCTCTCTCTCTATTTGCTCACGCAGTTGTTCACAAAGCGGTGAACCTCGCCCCATCCTTGCTTGTGAATGAATGAGAATTTTTGGGGAAGCTGCTTTTATACCCAAACACGGCACCCACCTGTTCCCAATGAGCCAATGAAATAGGTGTTTGATGAGCATTCCTCAAATTTCTCAGTATTTTTTGCCACCTTTCCCAACTTCTTTGGCACATGTTGCTGCCATCAAATTCTAAAGTTAATGATTATTTGCAAAAGAACAATAAAGTTTATCAGTTTGAACATTAAATATCTTGTCTTTGTAGTGTATTCAATTGAATATAGGTTGAAAAGAATTTGCAAATCATTGTATTCTGTTTTTATTTTACGTTCATGACAATTTCCCAACTTCAATGGAATTGGGTTTTGTATATTGTTTCCGTGTTTGTTTTGTATGTGTTCCCCCACACGTCCACACAACAGGTGATGTAAAGGAGAATGTATGAACAGTAGGCTACAAGGTGTATAGCGATGACTGGTTTAGAAGATACTTGACTTTATGTAGTATCGCAATTGACTTAGCTATTTCGCTGTAATGAACTGTATTTGTGACTTCCAAGCTTGAGTACAAATTAGCAGAAAATCTGAATGAATAAAAAAGCATAAAAAGCTTAAAAACCTAGAGTGTCTCACAGTGTTTTTAGTAGTTATGCACAAACAAATGGCCTCTTCCTTGCATGTTTAAACCTCTAACGCTTTGGTATAATTATGCTGCCCATAGCATCACATGGCCCTTGTTTTCTGTCACAAACACACCCACACACACATGGCCAATATAGCACTTTACACATACAGAACAGCAGATATCCCCTCTGCCATCAACACAACACACCCCCGTTATCCAAACGACAACATTCAAGGCTACAACAACCGGGTTCAGATCCTCCTGCAGCGGCGGCGGGTAGGCTCGGTGTCTGTCCCCGGGTATGAGAGCGCGGATCCCCGGTCAGTGAACAGCCACACCGGCTGGCCGCTGTCTCTGTCAATGCGGCACCATCAGTCAAAGCAGCCACTGGGAAACGTCAACACACACATACACAGACAGAGAGAGCGATACACACACACTTACAGCGGATGACTGTCCATGATTCCGGTGTTTTTCAGAGGCTGAAAACTTGGCCCAGCGGCATGCACCATTCCATATCCACAAAGTCGTCTTCAGGGGATTAAATTCAGGCGGCGATCATCTGTCCAGAGGCGGGGAGACGGGCTGACGGCAGCCCCATTAAATCAGACTGCCTCATAGAAAACACAGTCAGACTGCGGTGACACTTAACAAACACGTTGCGATTCAGCCCGGCTGTTTCTACCCCTGCGCACTGCTGCCTACCCCGCAAAATAACGCGCAGGGTTTGAGCCAAACGGGGCGTCAAAGGGGGCTTCTGTTGATTTTCTTTCTCCCCTCGTCCCTACTGGGTGTATCTGGGTGCGAGAGGCGGACGAATAAGAATACCTGTTATTTTCCAATCGCTGATTAAAACGCACAAACAAGGACGTGTCGGTAAAGACGGTTCCCCGATCAGCCAAGGAGGCCGACAAGAAAGCGCTGACTCCCTCTAGCTGTGGAAGACTAACCGCTCATAATCACAAACATCGATACCACTCATAAATACTCATTTTACAGAAACCCATTTGGTTCATTGGACGTCAACGGTATTTCATACACAAATTTAAAAAAAATACTTCACCGTGAGAACACATTTATAGCTCAAAATTTGGTGAACAACTCGGACATTCGTTCAATTTAAGCTTTGACCTACTTTTATATATATATAGGTTGACCCAAAATTATCTTCTAACATTTTAATTCCGCCCTAAATTATACAATATAATTATTTATTTTAGGATTAGGATTTTATTTTATTAAAACAGGTACAATACATGTTAATGAACATAAACATGTAAATATGCAAGATTATAGCCAAAGGCAAACTTCCATCTTTAGTCCCTTTGGCAGGTAGAAGTCATCAACAAAGGTAAGAAAATCAATAAAACAACAGTAACAAAAAGTATCCAGGGAGGAGTAATTACAGGGAGAGAAAAACATGTTCCATAACACTCATAATTACTCATTATAAAGAAACCCTTTTGGTTCATTGGACATCAACGGTAATTAATACAGAAATGTTAAAAAATACTTCACCGTGAGAACACATTATAGATCAAAAAATGGTGAACAACTTGGACATTTGTTTAATTTAAGCTTTGACCTACTTCTGTATATATATTAGGGTTGAATCAAATTGATCTTCTGACATTTTAATTCTGCCCTAAATTATACAATATAATTATTTATTTTGGGATAAGGATTTTATTTTATTAAAAACAGGGACAATGCATATTAATGAACATAAACATGTAAATATGCAAGATTTTAGCCAAAGGCAAACTTCCATCTTTAGTCCCTTTGGCAGGTAGAAGTCATCAACAGAGGTAAGGAAATCAATAATCAATCAGTCTTTATTTATATATCACTTTTCATACACAACCATGCCGCACAAAGTGCTTTACACAGAAAAAGGAATAAAAGAAACAAAGAATACCCAAATCTACCCCAGCCCAACCCCTCATTCCCACCCTGTGATCTAAATGCATCAGAAACAGGAATAAAATGCATAGACTTCAAAAGGGCTTGATTTCGTGGAAACAGGAGTGTGTGCACTGAGGAAATGTCATTTTAAAACTCAAGAAAAGAAAACACTGGAGGTTTAGGTTAAAATCTAAAAACAAAGTAGCAAAGAATGAAATTTAAGACATAATACATAAAATGAAATAAAAACAACATTACAAGATACTCAACTAAGAGCACCAAAATAGCTCAATAAAAGTTGATCCTATCATTAAAACTAGAACAAGATAAATGCTAAAACACTTACACAGAGTTAATGATATAAAATTTAGTTAAAAGCAAGACTAAAAAGGTATGTTTTCTGTTTGCTTTTAAAATCGTTGAGATTAGGTGCAGTCCTCAGGTCTCCAGGTAAGCTGTTCCATAGACGGGGGCCATAGTAATAAAAAGATGCCTCACCATATGTCTTGGTTTTAACTTTGGGTAATGTTACAGAGAACTTCCTGAAGACCTGAGGACTCTACCTGGCTCATAAGGTAAAAGCAGATATTGAGAGAAATTTTACACCCTTATAACTCAAGCAGAAGCTCATGAAACCTTAAATTTTGCTCAATGAAATCCAGTCTCACATCTCTTTTGACTTACTTTCCTGTATCAGTATTTTATTTTGAAAAATGCATTACTTTTTATGACCTTATGGAAGTGAATCACTTCAGAGTCCTTCTTGTAATATAGTAAACTCTAGAAAAATTCAGTTTATTTGGGTCGCATCCAAGCCTTAGTTTCAGGCTGAAATAAGCCTCTATGAGGTGAAGATTCACTTGGATGGAGCATCAAGATGCATGTTGTCACAAAAACACAGCTAATGAGGTTTAGTTGACACAAGGACAAGCTCAGCAAGAGAACTTCTAAAAACGAGAAAACAAGAGCCCATTTGGAGTTCTGCAACTATAAAAATAAACCCAAAGTTTCCCCTTTTCCCATGCCAAGACCACAGACTCCTGCTCCACAAAAAGCTTTGTCCCCTGAGTCCATCTGTGAAGATCTGAGTCTGGCTATACAGTCAGTGGACAGCCAGTAGCTGTGAAGCCGGGGAGAACAAGTCTGTTCTGGTGTTAGCACAGTGAATGTACTAATGACAACAGAGTGCAGGAGGCTCAGTCAGCTCAAGTCATGTCTCAGTCATGACAGATAGCAACAAAACTGTCAAGACCTTTTTCTACCCATTATATCAAGGGGCCACTTTTTAAATAAAATAAATAGATATAGATAAATAAATAAGTGTGTGTGTGTGTGTGTGTGTTTGTGATCTTTTTTGTGACGTCAGTTTTTAAACTCTGCATTTACCAAAAATTCTGAAACAAAAATGGGATTTTTAAGAGAACAAATTGTGTAAAAACAAATTAGTTTGAGACTCATCACTGTCTCGGCAACAAGCTGAAGAGTATCTGGCAACACAAATGTTTCCTCTCTCACCAGATCTGGCAGCTGATTTCATTTGATCTAGATGCTGAACCCCACAGTAGAGCAGATGTGGCTTTCCTGCTAGATAAACAGCAACCACAGAGACCCACCACATGAAGACCAATCACTAAATGAAAACTTATTTTTCCTTTTTTAATATGTGCTTAAGCTGACCATTACTGAGAGTCTCAATCCAACTGTCCCCATGATGCTACTTGATAACATTCCTTAGGAAGATCCTCTCTTTCAGTGGTAACACATAGCTAATTACGCATGTCTCCTAAAGGAAATGCTCCCCAGCTTTAATCTTTCCAAAGAAAATAAAAATACTGTACTCTCTAGTGGTCAAAATGGCATCAACCCCCTTGTATAGATGATTTCTCAACCTGAATTGCACTCACAAAACTGGTGGAATATCCCTTTAAATTCTTCAAGGGGCTGGACACTATTGACAACTACAAAACTATCAGAATATATGATCATGCACAATAAATTAAAGCTTCAGAATGGATTCAAAATACTTTTAAATTTTGTTTTATTTTTACAGTAGAAAAGTCCAAAAAACAGAAATATTTACATAATTCAAAAAACACTGAAATTAAGTTAACATAAGACTAACAATGCCGTGGTTTTTCCACAGTCATGCAGGAACTACTCTTCATCTTTTCCCAGAGGTCTATGAGATATACTCCAGTGGGAATGGAAAGTCACATTCTACCTCTGTGCAGAAAATACCGCACCCTTCACAGATCTTACTGACATTCCAGAGGTGCAGTTTAATAAAACTAGATCGGCACGACAGTACCAATAGTGTGTTTTAGTTCGGTTTTAAAGGGGCGGGGGGTAGATTTGCAGAGGCCTGCTCCAAAAAGGCCAGTGGTCCTGGAGGAGGAAGGTCTGTGGGTTTGCGATGCTGAACGCTCACATCCTCTAGAACTTGTTGCCAATGGTGTAGTTTGGTCAAGTGTTTCTGAACCAGCATTTCTTTTCTCTGTAGCTCGTTACGCAACTCTGACACATCCTGAAGTGAGAGAGCACAAATGTACATGAGAGGAGAAAAGGTGAATCGACAGACAGAAACCAATAATATGTAAACAAGCCAACTGTAGCAACTCAAGATCAAAGAATGGTTAAATGTTTACCTCCTTTACCACCTGCTCTGGTTTCTGCACTGATAACTGGAGCCGTTTCTGTAGGAAGAAGCACTCTGTCTGTCGCGCCACGTCAAGGAATTTCTGTATGCACTGATCAACACCTGCAACCAACACAAACACATTGATCAGTCCATTGCACTATGACATTGACCAAAACTGCCTTAAATTAACAGAGGCTTTACCAACCTGTTCTAATCTCCTCCTGGTCTGTACCATTAACGTAGTCTTGGCTTACCAAAGAAGCAAAACATGCCTGGAAAGAAATAAGACAGAACAAAATCACTTTATCAAAGTCTGTTTTGACAACTGCAAGTATTGGTTCAAGCTGTTCAGCCAAATCAACTAGGAAGATAAACATCCTATACGGAATCCTTCATTATTTTGTGAGTTTTCATTCAGTAGCTGGTAAGTGAAACTTAATCAACCACATTTAAGAGACGGATTCAGGAGAATAGTTTCAGTGGTTCTCCCTTACGAAACTGCAACTATTCAGCAATAAAGACTTCATTAGAAACGTTGCAAATAATTAGCAACTTCATAGTGATTTGGCTTCCTTCAGCGGTTTGAGCTGATACAAATCAACAGAGTTCTTGCCTTACAGGGAACACACACTTAACCCTAGAACACTATCGCCGGGCGATTTTCACCCGATCAAACATGTTTACGCAATTTTCATTATGTTGCGTTTGTCTGATTATCATGGGTCCCTGGGTAGTCTCAGCATTGCCTTTGACATCTTTGAAAGCTCATTGTTTCCCTGATCCAAAACCCACTTTTTCCTGTTCCTGTGATTTTCACCTGGTAATAGTGGTAGAGGGTAAGTATGTTTGGATGGATTTGATAGCTGCATGTGGGGAATAAGGTTAGTAAGAGTGGTCCTGGAATTTGCATGCTATCTTTAATTAGCGCAGTGGTTATGAATAACTATCACAAAGAAGTGTTTTTTTTAAGGGAATTCATATGATGATAAGAAATATTACCAATCCGATTACCAATTAATTGGCCGATTTTTAAAGTTTCTTATGAAGTTATATTGCAGATATACTGTAGGCTACTGCTCTTCACGCCGGGAAGACCAACCAATTGTTCAAACTCAGAACAGAAAAGCGTTTTCAACTACCTTAACTCCAGAATGGAACATTTATAAAGTGAAACCAAATCTTATTCTCCGCATTTTATTTCTGATAATATCGGCGAAAATCGGCTAGTTTTGGCCGATTCCCGATTAGTCTCAAACGGGCTACAATTGGCCGATTTAATCGGCTCGCCGATAAATCGGTCGAGTCCTAATTATAAGGGCTCTGTGATTGCAAGTACAGCTCTTCTACTACAGACAAATAATACGACTTTCTGACATTTTTAATTTTGCGTGCACACATAAGGTTCATGCCTTTGGAGCTGGGTAACCTAAAAAGTCTCATCAGTAGCTTAAAAGTGACTTACTAAGAGTTGCAGATCAGAGGACATGGATCCCGGGGTGTAAGCTAACAAACACTTGCAGCGTTTCCTTGCATTGCTTCGCGTAATGCATTTAAGCTCTGGACCTCAATTCTGAATGCACATTCACTTACTCGTGCTTGTTTGAGAGAGTTAAGGTTCCCACTGCTGAAAAACAATAGTGTTTCAGCAACACCAGACAATGGACTGTTGATCCTCACCAGACATTGCTAGCTACTTACAGTTAGCACACTCGACAAACAGTAGCTAGTCTACAAGTCTCACACCTCAAAAGAAGCTTCCAGCTCATCCACCAGTGTGTTGTTTCCCTGGGCCCTGGTTGCGGAACCAGGGTAGCCCGGCTGGCTCGGTCCACCTGGACCCCCGACTGGATGCCCACTGGGCTGCTGTTGACCTGAAAACATTCCACTCATGGAAGACGCCATAAAAATCTCAGGCCTTCTGCTACTTCTTCTTCTTCTTCTTTGTATTGTCGGTTGGCAACCAGTTTAAGGAACATTACCGCCACCTACTGGATTGGAGTGTGGCACAGGAAATTAAGCAGGAAAAAAAAAAAAACACAAATGCCTAAACATATATACTCACTAAGCTCCAAAGTTAAACTCTATCCCATAAGCCAGTCTCCCTTAAATACTTCATTAATGCCTTGAATACTTTTTCAGATGGTGATTCTAACAGATTTTCAACAGTGAGATCCAGATTTTCTTCCTAAAGTTGGTGACTAACCTGTTGTTGCCTTTTCTGTGTGTTTAACACAATCATTGAGTACATCGTTTACTGTTTCCGCTGTCTTACAGTTATTACACAGTCCTGTTAAGTGTTCTTTTTTTTTAATCAAATAAAGGCTCTGATTGTATAGCCTGTACTGTCTCCTCCTTTGTGCTTCTGCCCTGTGTAGCTATTCTGCCAACATGTTTTTGGATATTGTACAGATGTCGCCCTGCGTCAGCAATACTCCACTATTCTTGCCATATTTTGAAAGTGTGATTCTTTATAATAGATTTTACTTCTGTTTAGTGTTAAGATCTCAGGCCGTTTTCAAATTCACCTACTATACTAGCAGTACATACTGATTTGCCCAAAATTCAGTTTGCAGTATGTAGCAATTATATATTATTATATATAGCAATTATATAACATATATAACAATTTTTTAAGTTATCAAACTTTTCTCCTGCTGTTTTTCCCAAAACACTGAAATCCCCCAAAAGCCGATCTTTCATTTTAAGTTGTTAAAAAGGAAAAGGCCTTAAAGATGGTTCATAAACAAGACATTTTCTCTTTAGGTTTTGATGTGTGATAAACACATTTATGTCAAGTCTTTTAGCCTAGTGCCAGTATTCAAGCTCAGTTATATTTTTAGGTGAATAGAAGAAAATCCCTCCAGGCAGGTTCCAAAATTTGGACGTTAATCCTCTCAGAGAAATACTGGCTGTTCAAGTAGTGTTATTAAGGTTTTGGAATGAGGTGTTCTTAATCTCAAGAGGAATTATTGTCTGCATGTGTCAGCAAAAGAGCCACAGAGGAAAACAAAAGTGCCACATGCATAGTTAAATATTAGAGAATTTATTAAAACAAGATATGAAATATGTAGTAATAGTGAACAACAAAAACAAAAACACTTGTATTTCTTTTATTTAAACGTTGTTGACCATCTTGCTTGTCTTCCAAATCCAGCTCTGAATCAATCCCAACTTTTTCAGAGCTTTTTCATGATACATTTGTTTTTGGTGCTGACACTTATCTACATGACCATTATTGAGGGTGCACTGCCAGAGAAGCTATCAGTCAGAGACTCTAGTGTATAATCACATTTTGTGTCAGTCTCTTATTCACTGTGGGTCAGTCCAGCAGCAAACTCTACCAATGTGCGCGTTGGTCTTCCAGACATACCCTTCCTCAGGTAGGGGACTTCATCTTTGTTACTCATCACACCAGCGATATCCAGATGAGCCCAGTGAGGTGCTGTTACAAACTCTCTCAGGAAAGCAGCTGCTGTGCATGCACCACCAGAGCTGCAGGAAGGAAACCGCCAGACTCAACAGTTAGGTGCAGTATAAATACAGCGGTACAAATAAATCAATGACACTACACCTGGGTGCTGCCTTTTAGATATGGCTCAGTTTCAAGCTAACACCCTCTTATCAGGCTAAAATAATTCTGTTATCATTTAGCAAATCTGAATCCCTGAAAGTGATTAATGGACTGATTTCTTCTAGATTTAAGATTTCAGTTATGTCAAGTAATAAGATATTTCTCAACTTTCATCATCTTTGAAACAACAAATGATCACAAAATACTCTGCAAATGAATCAAATAGCATATTATTCATAATTATAGTTTGACTGTAAGCAATGTTGGTACAAATCTGCCGTGGGTTCTCAACAGAGGTGGCAGGGATTTAACGGTTTGAGGCAGCTATGAAAAAAAAACAAACTATATAGCTTTAATAAACTGTGCATGCAAATATTTTATCATTATTCTAAATTGGATTTTTATGGAACCTTCTAAAATCAAGAGGGAAAAAGTAGAAAAAAAAAACAAAATACATGAACTCAGATGGCGGTATCATAAACAAAATGGCCACAAAACCTTTTGATCATTATTGAGAGAAAAAAAAAAATCACTCCAAAGTGCTACTTTTCAGGTTTGGGTTCAAGTACTTGTTGCTATATCTGCGACAACAGCCCCTGATTCATGATGCATCAGCTCTCGGGCTCTAGCACCTGAATCAGGAGCTTCAGACACTCAGGGTGCAGAGGGATACATACCGGCTGTACTTGCCGATGTTGTTGAGGTCAGCCAGCTGGCTGTCAGTCACCTGTCGGGTGTAATGCTGGAAGAGAGGCATCCTCCACACTCTGTCACCTGTCACAACACTGGCCTACTCACAGAAAGATACATACCATTAGTCACAACACAACACAAGAGCTGACAGACAAAGATGCTGAACCTGTTTTTATTACACACACATACACCCACACACTGTACCTTATGTAGCTGCCCCCAGAGCCAGTCAGAGTTTGTAAATACTCCAGTTGCTGCTGAGCCAAGAGCCACGTCCATCGCACCTTTGAGGAAGAAGAAAACACCACTTGTAATGTCTACAGATTGAATTAGTACATTTCCTTTCTGACCATAAAAGAGTTTTGACCAGTCAGTGTAACATCATACATTTGTATGTCAGTTGGTCCATAACATTACATGTACATATTTAAAGTCAGTTCAAAAATCCAACCTGTTAATGTAGCAACATTGACGATAGCTCTGGGGTTGAAAGTGTGTCCGTAACACAAAGCGTCAGCAAGGATGAGTCGGCCCTCTGCATCTGTATTATCAACCTGTGCACAAGTATGACGACAAAAGCTGTTTATCTGTATACACACAGGTCAGTGATATTTAATCAAATAAGAAATCACACTGGAAACGTTCACATTTGATCACACAAGCGCTGACCTGTATTGTTTTTCCATTTTTGGCTTTGACAACATCCCCTGGTTTAGTTGCTTTTCCACTGGGCATGTTCTCACACAGCGGGGCCAGACCTGGGACATTAGAACAGGAGAGGAGGAGAATTATGAGTTTAATTCAACATTAAAGCAGGTGTCCATCTACTATCTAGTCACAGTATACAACAACAATGGGTTTACTCATGGAGTCTGTATATTCATTGAAGAACTTTTATTCATACTATATGACATTAACACTCACCAATAATGTTGACTGGCAGTTTCAGAGCCGCTGCTGTGACGATGGATGCACACACAGTGGCAGCTCCACCCATATCAGCTCTCATCGCATCCATGGAAGCAGACGGCTTCAGAGAAATACCACCACTGTTAATTTACAAAGATTGGGGGAGAGGTAAAACAGACAATGACAAAAGAAAATAAAAAGATAAAACATTTCAGTGGTTTATTTCCTCCAACAAAATTAAAAGACTGTGAGCTGGAATGTGTTTAATTACCTGTCAAAGGTGATGCCTTTTCCCACTAACAGCAGTGGAGCCTGCTTGCTGTTGGGAGAACCATTGTAATGCAGCTCCAGGAAGACAGGGGGCTCCTCTGAGCCTCTAGACACACTGAGGAATGCTCCCATCTGTTGCTCCTCCATCCAACTCTGTGATCTACAGTCATGGAAAAAATTATTAGACCACCTGTGTTTTCTTCAATTTCGTGTTCATTTTAAAGCCTGATACCACTGAAGGTATATTACCTGAAGAAAGTAATAAACATAACTAAAAATGCAGCTGATTCCATAATACATTATGTCCCATTTGACACGCTTAAGCTTCATTGTATTCCCAGGGTTTATATGAGGCCTTTTTGCCAGCTCAATGCATGGTTCGACAAGCCCAAAAACAAAGCAGATTTGATAGAAATTTTGCAAAAGGAATGGGCTGCTGTGAGAGCAAAAAAGTGTCAGAATCTGGTGGAGAGCATGCCAAGTCACCAAAAACAATGGTTATCCAATCAAGTTCTAACTCCTGTGTGTATCACATGACCAACAAACAGAAAAGAAAACATGGAATGCCTAAAAGCTTTGTTTTTGGCAGAGCAATAGCATCGCTATTGATGTAAGAACTCAAGTGATTTTGGTTATTATCAAGAAAACCATAGAAAATGGCTAGATATCAGCTCTTAAATTAAACTCTTATGAGCTATTTTGTTGTTATCATTATATTTGTTTGAACAAATGCACCTGTAGTTGTACCAGGCATTAGAATGAACAAGAAATTGAAGAAAAAAAAGGTAGGTCTAATATTTTTTTCCATGACTGTACATTAACACATCTATAATTAGACTTAAACTTTCTTCCTTCCTCCATCTACTCTCCTGAATGCAAAGGATCAAACTTCACACAGAGCAACACAGTGGATGCAAATTGCTGCAAAAAGAGTGACTGCAAGAATGAGTCGCCTTTGTTGAAATTATTTCTCTTTTGAGGGCCACAGCAAAATCATTGAGGTTATTGACCACAAAACTGTGAATCCATGAGCATGTTGCGACAAACTATCATTTCCATATATAATCCAAAAATATTTTTTCTCTTATTAGATCCATCTTTTGGTCAAATTTTGTCCTCAACAGATATTAAAAACATACACAGAGTTCTCTTCTCTAATGAATACATGATAGATCAATTACAAAGTTTGCACAGAAACCACACTGTGCTCTTTGTAAATAAGGACAGAGATGATAAATAAAGCACACACCTTTTGTTTACTGACACTCGTTCAGCATAAGGTGCAAGTTTCTCTTCGATAGTGTTGGCAAAAGTAGTAGGAGTGACATGATTGGCTGGAGCTTCCATGAGCAGCCGTGCCAGGTTCTGCCCTTCTGCATACATGACCCCTTTCTCCCAACCAGCAGAGTCAGCACTAAGAGCAAACACACACAGACAGACTTATAAACACCAGCATATTTTGGAATGATCAAGGGGTTACATCAAGATTCAGCAGTTTTCTTTAAGCCCACTTTTTGTTCTACCTTCCATAAAGCTGTGTGGTCACTTTGGTCTTCTTCTTTGATTTGAGCTGGTCATAGTGAAATAACCCCAAAGCTGCGCCTTCTGCTGCCGACTGGGCATCACTACAGCTGTCCACCTCCACATGGTTCACCTCCAGGTCCTGGAGTAACCGGCATCCAGCTTAACACACACACAGAAACACACACATGAAGTCATCTCCAGAGGATCCACTAGTGTGTGGAAAACAAAGAGCGGAGTCATGTGACTCACCCGACACTGCCTGTCTGATGTTCTCCTTGCTTGTGTCCCAGTTCTCTGCCCCACACACACCTTCATCGTGCTTACCCAGCCCGACTACTGCCACACAGGGGAAGTCCTGAAGAAGACACATAAGATTAAATCACTCTGATGCCTAAAGGTTTTTTTCCTCAGTCAAATGTTCATGCTCTTGTTACCTTGTGGATCCCATAAAATACTCTGCTTTTGCCTTTCTTTAACGCTGGTCCAGATCTGGAGAGAACCAAACTAAATCAGTAAATTCAGCAAGTATGCAACAAGTTAAACACACATACATAAGGCATCGCTGTAGTCCCAAAATTAAACACCACACTTTTCAGATTTTTATTTGCTTAAATTTTTGAAAACCATGTATCATTTACATTCCACTTCACAATGATGTGCTACTTTGTGTTGATCTATGACAAAAAATCTCAATAACACACTTTCAAGTTTGTGGTTGTAGAGTGACAGAATGTGAAAAAGTTCATGGGGTATGAATACTTTTTCAAGCCACTGTAGATTGATATATCATGGTATCTGATTAACTTAAGGTGTGTCCTAAATCCCATACTTCCATACTAAATGGAGTATACTAAGTATATGCACAGTGCGTGAGTTTCAAGGGTGCAGTGCTGTCCCAAAACGCATACTATGCACTTAATCGCGCAGTGCGTTAGTTTCAAGGGTGCAGTGCTGTCCCCAACGAATGCTGCAAAACCCGGCGGCTACTTGCTAACTAGCATTAGCATTGGCAATACTGTTCACGGTAAATGACAAAAAACAGGTTACACCACAAATGTACTCAAAACAATAAACGCTGGCGGTGCTTGGTGGAAAGAACGTGTATAAGGCAACTTATTCTTACCGATGAAATGAGTGCGGGTGAGTGTCCACAGTCGGATACTCTAAATCTTGACTGATTTGAGTACGTCATCCAGGTACTTTTGCATACTCAATTGTTGCGTACTATCCATACTTTTTTCCATTTTGAGTTGAGTATACTTAAAATTTTAAGTATTTAGTATGGAAGTCTGTGATTTGGGACACACCATTAGACACACAAAAATGCCCCTGAAATGTTAAGTGCATCTGTTGAATTTCTGTATTATATTAAAATCAAAACATCAATAATTTGAAACTTATTAAAGAACAACTCCTGTTGACTGTTTGTGCTGCTCAAGCAAGGGGTCACTATCTGAAAACTAAGCTGTAACTCTTGTTCTTGTAATTTCTCAAATGCACAAAATAACAGTTCATAGAAATCGCAAGCTCACATTTTCAGTAGATCAGAGAGTTTCCCAGACAGACACTGGTCAAAACCAGCCGCTGCCTCTGTCAGATGAAGACCACCCTCCTCTCCCTCCTTCTCAAACACTCCCAGCACCAGACCCTGCACATATACACAAGGAGTCAAATAAAACAGAGCTCAGACTCTACTGTGAAAAAACACCTGAAACAGACACATTTAGCTTTAAAGGTCCTTGTAAACACACTATGCAAAGTGTCTCTGATGTAACTCTCTGTCAGTTCAGCTTATGTTTGGCTGACTTACTTTCCTCTCGCTCAGGTGAGTCTGGGAGACACAGAACGACCTGCAGTGGTTCGTCCGCACCGCCGTCTGTACTGCTCTCCTCAGAAGAAGCATTGTCATCTATCCTGCATATATCAGTCCCAAACACACTTCAGATTTACAGGTTTAGAGGTCGCATGTGAGTGCGAGTGGGAAAAGAGAGCCTGACAGCGTCGCGTTTATCATACGTCACAAACAAACAACAAAGGTAGGCCTTTGTCGCCACCTAGTGGTGAGAGCGGTAAGCTGCAGGACGATTCGGATCAACAGGCTGTGAAACATTTACTCATTTATAACAACCGTTTTTAGGAATCTACACTTTTTTAATTAGGTCAGTGGCCAAAATTTTAGCTTAGGGTTTGTCACGGGTGACTTTCGTCCAAAATCTGCCCTGGTTATGTTGCTTCAATATGACAAATAAACAAGAAACAGGAAAAACTACCTCAGACTTTAGTTAGCGTTCATTTTAAAAAACGTTTGTCACCATTTTAGAACCATCCAGCTTGTTTATCTCCCTTTCCAAAAGAAGAAAATCTTCATTGGTATCAGTGATGATATGATTATGAATATCTAAAGTCATGCTAACGGCTGTATTCTTCAAGAAAGCCTGAACAACATACCAGAATAACACTACTTTACACATTATACGAAGCCTTTTATTGATGGCTTAAGTTACCTTTTTTCCATGTGTAAAGAATTTGGATCTCCAGAGTAGAAAAACCTTTTCAGATGAGAGATTTGTGTTTTTAAACCTAAAGTGGATGAAAAGTTAAGGAAAATCATCAAGTTCTATCTGTTTATTGATATAATATACATTGATTAAACAGGCCCTCAAATTCTATCAAAAAAAAGCCTGATTTATCCAGACTTTCCTGTCAGGTATTACAGATAGTTCTAGTAAAAAAAAAGACAAGTTTAAAGCCTTAATGAAGGTTTTTATCCTATCAGCCATCTTCAAGAAAAGGAAATGACCTTAATCTGCTGTCCATAATGTGTCTGAAAAAAGGTGTATGGATAATATAGTGTAATACTATGAAACATGAGACACATATTGCAGCTTTAGAAAGAATATACACAGTACATACAATGTGTAGCATTCAAACATATCTCATTATTAATATCTCAGTTAGCTACTAATACTAAAAATAAATCAACATTTTTGAGGCTACATGAAGGCTGTTATGAGCCGGGAAGTCACTTAAATGAAGGAGCTCTGGCACAGCGATGGTCCTCTCTGGTTGCAATTTTGAGATTTTATCCAGTCAGTATTCTGAAGTTTAAAACATGCAAATAAAGCTCCTGTGTGCATCCTTCAGTACAGAAGGTCCAGAGAGGAAATAGTTGGTTCTTCTGGTTTTTTGATCTCTGGTTTGGGAAGTTTGATGCGACTCATGGCAACAACTCCACAGACAGCAAAGTGAGTTGCGATGCTACCCACACCGAGCCAGAAGGACCAGTCCAGGCTGTCATCCAGGACCACCAGCACGAAGAGGTTCTCACGGTAATTAGCCACCCGCTCGGTCAGACTGTGGTGCCTCACGGCTGCCAGGAAACAAAGCAGGGCCAAGGCACCAAAAAGAGCTGAAAACAGATGGTGAAAAATCAGGAGAGGAAGTAAGAGAGGAGTGGTAAACCAAGGGCAAAAAGAGAGTAAGGAAGGAGAAAACTGTGTAAGTTACATACAAGCAATGAAGTTCCACAGGTAGAGTCCTTTATGGCCTTTGATGCTCTGGTAGGGGACTTTGCGTGCGTTGTAGATGCAGAAGGACAGACTGACAATGGCAAAGCCCACGGCCACCAGCAAGAAGAGGATCACCATCATGTGAAGACCGCCATTCAGTGTCCGCACCAGCTTAGGGAAAACTGGACACAGAACAGAAATAAATGACTAAACTCAAGTTATCAAAATAACAACTCTTTGACCAAATATATTCGTCTTGTCTCTGGCAGATTATGACTACTTCCCACAAGATACTTAATATACTTTAATTGCCAATAGGCCTCGAAACCATGTAGAGTCAATCTAACCCAACGTTCTGACCCAATTATTGGGTTACACTCAGAAAAATAACCCATAATTATTAACCCATTAAAAAAACCCTCAAACTGGGATACAATAGAATCCATATGACCCAAGAAATGGGGATGGACCTGAAAAATAACCCAGAATTTAACTCAACACGTAAAACCCAGGAATTGGGTTGAAGAAATAACCCAAGTGTTTTTAGAGTAAACCATCACATATAATGTGTTTGGTTAACTTTTTGGTTCTACTCTAAGTGGTTTCTTTATTTGTTATAACTTTTTTGTGTTAGTCTACAGAGTCTTATCATAACTTCAAGCTGTAGAGGTGTGCTACTGTATATCTTACTGTATATTTTGGATCTCCTCCTGCCCAGCCCACACTTCTTGCTCTTCCCTCCCTGGAACAATCCGTAGTAAATATTCCCGATGAACTGCTCCAGCTCGGGGTGTGAGGCGTTCACGATCTCCGCCCCGGTCTTACACAAGATCCGTCCTGTCACCCACCGCTCCGTAGACAGGGCCACGACCAACAGAACTACGGAGCCGACGCAGAGCACCGAGGCCACCGAGAAGGTTATCCGTTTCCACAGAGAAGGCATCTTACGAGCCCATGCTGCCCCGAGAAAGGTAACACGACGCCGGGCAGCGAGCGCAACGGACACCCGGAGATCACCATCAGTTTATCCCCTGAATGTTAAAAGAAAATGAATCATAATCATGGGGAAAATATTCTTCTCGAGAAAAAAAATCAAGTTAAAATGCAGCATGAATGATGGGTGAGTCACAGTGGAGGAGAAACCGAATCTATTGTGGTCACAGAGATCTCCTACCGGGAGAAACTCTATCCCTGCCCTGTACACCTGTCTCTCTCTCTCTCTCTCTCTGTTTCTCTCTCTCTCTGTAATTTAGAGGGTAAATTAACCTCTGCGTCCTGACCTTTTAAAGCAGGAAATTCATCATGTTGATGACCCCAGAATAAACATTAAAGTGCACCACTGGCAGACTTAATGGTGTCAGAATTAAAGATGTGGCTTATTACAGATCCTCAAAGGTCAAGCGGGAAAATTAACTGAAGGATTTACAGACCTGTATCACTTGTTTGTCACATGCAAAGCTGATGTATCTATTTCTCTCTACATGTTAGTGGCTTAACGTATCTGAGTAATTTACTGTACCACATTAGATATATTTTGCAAAAAGACATCTGAAATCTCCCAAACGCATGTGGGAAAATGTCCTATGGTCTGAAGAAACATAAGTTGAACTTTTTGGGCATCATTGCAAAGGGTATATTTGGCGCAAAATCAACACTGCTCATCACCAGAAGAACACCATACCTACAGTGAAGCATGGTCGTGGCAGCATCATGCTTTGGGGCTGTTTTTCTTCAGCTGGAACTGGTGCCTTAGTCAGAGTGGAGGGAATTATGAACAGTTCCAAATACCAGTCAGTGTTGGCACCATATTTATACATTTGAGACCTGTTAGAGACCAAATAAAAATATAAAATTTTCAGTGACGACTGCATGTGTAGATTTGGTCTAATGCTTTGGCTTGACTTTAAATTTGATAATTGCATATGAGCCTTTTTTGTTTTTGCAGAATGGCTACTTTAAAGCTCCAATGAGGAGTTTTTTTTATGTAATAGACTGAAATTAATTTTGATTCCCTTTCATAGAATCCAAAAGCTAACAAGCACATCAGGGACAAGACTGACAAATGTGTCATTTTTAATGTCTGTAGCAAGTGCAAGGGGCAGGTGCCAGTCGAGCACTTGCAGAAACAGCCTGATTTCTACAATGAATAATAATGCATTTTATTTGCATGGTAGTTTTCATGGCACTTAAAGACAATTTACATGGAAGAAAACACAACAGTAAACAGATATGTCCACAATAAATGACACACTTGATCAGTAAAAGAAAAAGACAAAAGTCATTTTTCATCAGACACTGGAGGTCAAGATAAGGACAGACTGTTTTGTCCACAGGGGGCACCAAATCTGACACAAACAGAACATTCCTCACAGTAGCTGACAGTGACTTAAGCTTAAGCATGCAAACTCATCGGTGTGTCTACTTACCAAGTAGTCCTTTCCATGCAATGTTAGGATCACTTATGTTCTGCTTCTAGCTTTGGAAATAATGACAGTTAAATATTGAAACTATAAAATAAAATTGAGGCTATTTGACTGTCATGTTCTTTTGTGCTGTAATGTCAGTTTTTGGACTGGCATATTAGTGCTGACGTATGGCAATGTTTCACCTCCTCAAGAGGCAGAGGGTCTCACCAATCTCTAGCACACTTCTTTTGGGAGTGAAAAGTTTGGGAACCCCTGATGTAAACCTGCTTGGCTTTAAACCCAGTTATGATTCAGGGATTGCAGTATAAGATGTGAATATCAGTCTCAAATTGTACAAAAATTGCTTCAGCTCTGTCATAATGCATAAATAAACAATGAATAAAAAAGCTCAGGAAGTCCCATGTCAAGTTTTTGATAGCTGGTTTACTGTACTTCAATGAACTGTTGCATGCATGATTAAAATGTATTCCTGACATGATTGGGACCTGTATCTCTGTGTCAAATATAGTCAAATAAGCTTTATGGTGCTTCTGATACTTAGTATTAATTTGTTTGTAGTAGCTACTGAATAAATAATGAACAGAATTATAAGAGGGATCTGTCCAAAGATGATTAATGCAGACTTATCTGCACATTTTCACTACAGTCCTTGAAGCAGGGAAAGCAGCAGAGCCTCAGGGCAAAAATGAGCTGGGGGCTGCTGTTGAAACCCATTCCTCCCCCCTCTCTGCGCGCAGTGTACAGTATGTCCTGTACCTTGACGCATGTCTCATAAAGTGTATTCCACATGAGAAATACATGTTATTTTCTTAGTATACAGCTTAAAATCTTTTTTTTTTAAGTCTTAACATTACACTAACTTAACATTAGAGAAAATTTAATTTTTGGATGAAATCCTCAAACTTACTTTTGAATGGACTTTTTCAGTGGGTGAAACTGAACATAAGAAGAGTTGGTAAAGTTTCATTAGAATAGAGCATAGACTGTATCGCTGGGTTTAAAAGTTATTGGGGGTTTATGTTTTCTATGATTGACACCTGATACAGCCTATGGGTGTACAAGGATTGCGTAGGATTGCAATATACTGGCGGAAGGCGGAACCAAGTTGTCCATAGTATTTACAGTCTATGGAATAGACAAAATTAACAAAGCTGTAGCATAAAGAATAGTGGTGTAATTGGACTGAATTTTTGCCACACCACAATTGCAGTATGATTTATTACACACTAAAACTCCTCCACAAAGGAGCACTAAGCAAAGCTGTAAGCGTCAGTTAAATTATGTTATTATGTTTATTATTTATTGCTGCTGTAGTAGTGATGCAGAAAAAAGTGACTTACTGCAAAAATAAAAGGACGCAAAAAAAAAAAAGAAAAAAGCTTTGTGTGCTTTTCAATGTGGTTAGGCCATGTTGCGCCTGAGTCGATATGAAATTGAACTGGAGGATCCCGGTGTAGTGTTAGATTCAGTTCAACTTCATATTGACTCAGGCGCTACATGGCCTGACCAAATGACACATTGAAAGGCACACAAAGTGAAATCAAACAATAACCTTTCCACTAACTTCTTTGTTTGTTTTCTCACCAACGTCTTCAGTGCCTTGAATGTTTAAACATGGGTGCATGATCATTATCTGTCCCTGGCAGCTCACTTCCGTTGTGGCCTTTTTAATTTGCATCCTTTTTATTTTTGCAGAAGGTATTTTCTCCCCTTTTTCATTCTCTTTCTTAAATACGTTACTTTGTCTGGTTGCTCTACGTTACCTTTCAAGTGGCCATTTGGCGACCTCTGCCGGTGAGCGAATGACACTACTGGGCGTACGTGATGACGTCAGAGCATATGACGCGGTTTGTCAGTCTCCCAGGCAGCAGATGAGACCGTTTGGCGAAGATGGCGGACTCGCTGTCGTCAGGTCTGGGAGAGGAGAAAGAGAAGGAGAAGGAGGACAGGGAGTGGAACAGAAAGACGGCCAAAACGGAGAGAAACAAGGAGAAAGACGGACTCACGGAGACGCTGAGTACAAACGATAAAAATGGCGGTAGCATGGGCAAGAAACGCAACCTGTCAGGTGAGAGCTAGCAACAGAGCCAGTTTGAGTGTGAGCTGGCTGCCTGTGTGAGTGTTTGTTTGTTAAGCTTCTGGTAAACATGTATTTAGTTGAATTACAGTGGTAGTGCAATGCGAGTCTATTTACGTGTAACAGCGAAGTTGCATCAACACGCGGTTTGGGTGAAGTATTTGCAGCTTTGGTCGCTGCTCCGAGTTTTCACTGAATGTTAACTCAGCTACTGCTTTTTGAAGATAGAGCCGAAGTTCAATGCATTTATGTTTCTACCGGTAGACTGTGCAAAGGTTTAATGTCCAGATTTAGAAGTCACGACTGTCAGCAAAATAGCACTGCAGCCAGTTATCATACCGGAGTGTAAATAGGCCACTTCTCTGGCAGTAGTAGTAAGACGTGCAGTTCAATGCGCATGCGCACTAGCCCAGCTTGTGAGCGGGTACATACTGTTTTTGGCCAGAACTCTTGGGGCACCTGTATGCAGTTACTCTTATGAGCCCTTCATCGTCGGATTTATGTTGTCAGGGGCGGATCCAGAGTCGTAGCATGGGTTGCTTGGCCACCCTTGAAAACAGGTTTGCCACCCTGGGTCCCACCCAAAAGTCCCAAACTTTGACTATTGCAACTGGCCAAACAACTTTCCTTTTATTGAAAATGTGGCACATTTCCTTTTGTTAGAACTTCGTATTATGTTGTCAGTGTCTTAACCAAGGTAAGAGATTAGGGGATTCAACTTTGTTATGTTTTCTTTGAGTACAGTCAATACATAAACTCTGCAATGAAACGTTTTCTGATCTAAGTAGAGATTATAATAATATAATAACTTCTTTATATAGCTCTTTTAAAAACAGAAGTTTGCTTTGACAACAGTTGCAAAGTACAGAAGAACATCAGCACATAAAAATAAAAACAAAAGCTCAGTTAAAAACAAGGCCTCCGGATTGAAGGCCAATTAAATTTTTTTATAAGAAACCCAAGGCAATACAAGAACCCTACAGCATAAAATGAGACCATGAAGAAGACATTTTCTTTCCCCTCCAAGACAAGGTTTTGGGCATTTCATTCTGGGAAAGGACAACGTGCAGCAAAGGGTCATGGCCTGGAGTGAAACCAACAACTGCTGCATCAGAGGACTGCAGCTTTAATATACAGGGCATGAAGAAATGAAACATATGTGGGTCCAGAGTCAGACTTGAATTTTGACTGACAAGGTCTAAATGGTCCAAATGGGGCAGTGAAATACAAAGGTGGCATAAAGTATGAATGCACTTTAGATATTTAGATTGATCACAACAGGAAAAGCTCAGATTTTACATACAGAGGCAACAGAAAGGCTCTATTTTTTTCAACTGGTCCAGTCAGCCAACTTCTGCTGTGATAGTTTTGATATTTACAACTTTGCTTCACTCCATTTGATGCTACAAAGCCAGCGATATTGTAACTTTTTTCTACTTTATGAGTCAATTTTGAACCATAAACCTTGCACTTCAGTTTGAGAAGCCTTGACAAATCCTTTCAGGGTGACTCCTGTGGCCAGGTAAACTTCCATTCAAACCCCACTGTCCCATTTAAGGATACAGTGGATATAAAAACTCTACACACCCCTGTTCAACTGCCAGGTTTTCGTGATGTAAGAAAATGACAGCAAGATAAATATTTCCACAACTTTTTCTACCTTTAATGAGACCTATAACCTGTACAACGCAATTGAAAAACAAACTGAAACCTTTAAGGGGAAAAATAAAAAATAGAAAAGTTAAAATGACCTGGTTGCATAAATATGCACACCCTTAAACTAATACTTTGTTGCAGCACCTTTTGGCTTTTATTACAACACTCAGTCTTTTTGGGCAGGAGGCTATTAGCGTGGCACATCTTGATGTGGCAATATTTGCCCACTCTTCTTTGCAAAACCGCTCCGAATCTAACAGATTGAGATGGCATGGCCAAAGTCTCAATCTGATACCAGTGAAGCCATTCTTTTGTTGATTTAGATTTGTGCTTTGGGTCATTGTCGTGCTGAAAGATGAAGTTCCTCTTCATCTTCAGCTTTCTAGCAGAAGGCCGAAGGTTTTGTGCCAACACTGACTGGTATTTGGAACTGTTCATAATTCCCTCCACTCTGACTAAGGCACCAGTTCCAAAAACAGCCCCAGAACATGATGCCGCCACAACCATGCTTCACTGTAGGTATGGTGTTCTTTTGGCGATGAGCAGTGTTGATTTTGTGCCAAATATACTTTTTGCAATAATGCCCAAAAAGTTCAACTTTGGTTTCATCAGACCATAAGACAAGATATGCCCGAGAGTAGAAAACAATGCAAAAACTGACATTTTTGCACTGTTATGTAATAGTTTTCACAGCCTGAGAAGTATTCCACAGCCTAATCAACAAACTATGATAGTGTGGTTAGCCCTTCCTTTTGAACCTTAATGGCAAAAGATACAATAAAACCTCAGGGAGTCATGTGCTTTAAACTCTGTGGCAACAGTTTCAGCCCAGCCCTTTTATGCATCAACTTTTAAAAGCCCCTGTGCATGAAGTTAAGTTCATAAAGTCATGCTTTTTTCAAGATAAGGCTAGAAGAGCCGTATCGACCTGCACAAAGCCGTGACCTCAACGCATTCCTTCCCCTTTGGGATTTCAACTCTAACTGTAAGCTCGGCTTTATCAGGCAGCATCAGTGACCGGTCTCACTAATGTCCTTTGCTCTGTATGAGAACAAATCCCGACCGCCAGGCTCCAAAATCACTCAGACAACTTTCTCAGAAATGTAAAGACCACTGTCGTTTAGCTGCTGATTAATATTCTCTGTATGGAATGTTACATAATAAAATGCAGATGGATGACAAACTAAAGGATGGAGAAACAAAATTTGGTGCCTTTGTAAGTTGCTTGGCTTTCATGTACTGCCAGAATTAGCTTCAGTGTACTTTGGCAGTAATTCTGCTCACGCTTTTTGATACAGATATCCTGCAATATATCAAAAAGAAGATCTGCCATTGTAACACAATATAAGTGAACTACTAATTTGGGACTACCTCTGCTGGAGACCAAGTTTAAACAACATCTGCCATTCTGTCTTTCTAGTTATATGCAAATCAGAGCATCAGGGTAACGTTTTCCCTCAAACACCATTCTCTAAAGTGTGCTACCTTGTTCTTCTGTAGATAACTTAAGGTGTCAGGAGTTCAGGCTGCTTCTTTAATTTGTTCATCAATGTGTGCTTTTCATTTGTGCACAGGTAATCGACCCTACAGTGAAGGTATTATATCAATGCAAATTTAAAATCCAAATGCATGCTTTATTATTAACTGAGGAGTCCCCTGAGTTTGCAGTGAAATGCAGAGTAAAGACGCCATCAAAGCTTCGAGGCTGAGGTTATTTTTATCTCTAAGGTGTGTGTCTATTTGAGACAGGAAGGATCTTCATCATCCCCTGAATTCTCTGTAGATTATCTGGACAGTTGCTCTCAGCTTGAATAAAAGCCGGCTGATCTTGTTCATAAAGAATGAGAGAAGACTGTGGAGCATAAAGTTCTCTATGTCCTTCTTTTCTGAATCTAGACCTTTCCCTGGTCCGATTCATAACCACTGAGCTGACCAGAGGCTACTTCCTGGAACACAATGAGGCCAAATATACAGAGCGCAGAGAGAGGGTCTACACCTGCCTCCGCATCCCTAAGGAGCTTGAGAAGGTAAAACACTCGAGTAAAACACTTTGGTGAAACTTTGTCATAAGTCATGGTTAAATTGAACCCCTCTCATTTTCCCTCTTCAGTTGATGACCTTCGGCTTCTTCCTCTGTCTGGATGCTTTTCTCTACGTGTTCACCCTGCTGCCCCTCAGGGTGATTCTGGCCCTTTTACGGCTCCTTACGTTGCCTTGCTGTGGTCTCGGGTAAAGTATGGTCTTCTTATTCTGGATAGAAATTGAAATAAATCCCCGATCTTTTAGCTCATGAATGAAAAATATTAAAATAATAATGTAAACCATCTATTGTCTGTTAAATATCCAAATCAGAACACGTCTGCTACAATATGATTGAAAACACATTTTAATTTCAACAAGTGTTATTTGTTGTAAAGCTCTTGTGCTGTGTAGGGATGTTGTCAATATGTAAATTCCTGAAAAGTAATTCATTTTCAGCGTTTCAGACTCTTTTTTCGTTAAATAATTGAGCTGTAAAATAGGAGTAAGGGCATTATAAGGATACCAGGATCTAATTCGAGTTTATGCCTAGGCAGCACCAATTTCTTACATATAAGAAATAGGAACCATCAGATGAAAAAACATGTTCAATGATGTGAGAGACTTTTCTGAGATCACAGATGATTTTCTTTAGTTCGGTGTGACCGGCTGAATGTTTTCTCTCTAAATAGAAATGTTCCCGTCCTCTGCTCTTATAGCAGTCAGACTTTTTTCTGTTTCATTTTTTAGACCAACAGTTTGACCATTTGTTCTCAAATATTCTAATATTGGGCAGAATAGTTTTTATAGACTAACTTATATATATAAAGGTTTGACAAACACCTCCTCATGTTCAATTTTGCATTCTTGACAGCTGTCATTAGCGCAGTACTGTTCTTAACCACTAGAGAGCAGTACAGCCTTCTCTGACTTTCAGGCTTAACCCTGTACTCTAACCTCCTTCTGTTGCTATGTTCTTCTCAGCCTTAAGAAGATCTCCAGTTTTCATTTCCTCTTGTTTCATATGTTGTATCTTTATAGTGGCTCCCGACTCCTACAGCCAGCCCAGGTGTGTGACGTGCTGAAAGGCTTCATCATGGTGCTGTGTTACTCCATGATGAGCTATGTGGATTATTCCATGATGTACCACCTGATAAGAGGGCAGTCTGTCATCAAACTATACATCATATACAACATGTTAGAGGTAAAGCAAGATGACGCTTTCCTAACGTTTATAACTCTGACCGTTCTGTACATTTTTCTAACCACTCACTGGCTCTCGTGTCTTCTGTCTGGCTGTCAGGTGGCAGACCGCCTGTTCTCGTCATTCGGCCAGGACATACTGGACGCTCTGTACTGGACAGCCACCGAACCAAAGGAGAAGAAGAGAGCGCACATAGGCGTGATCCCACACTTCCTTATGGCTGTGCTCTACGTCTGTATCCTTGGTCTTTGATGCTGTGAGATTAGAGAAAAAGCAAACCTTGAAATGGGAAAGGAACATGGCAAAAAAATTAATGTTAATCAGCAGCTTTTTTGATCATCTATACAAATTTGAGGTATTATCAGGTGTCATATACAGCTGGATTTCACATATTAAATGGGGTATAAAACAGCAGATAACACAAAAAAGCAAACGAATAGAATAACAAAAACAGTTCTCGGGAGTATATGGTAAGTATTTTTTGTGTATCAAACAAGTGAAAGTAGGTAAACTACATTTTCAGTCTCCATTTTTGTGCTGGTTGTGTTCTTGTGAGATAAGTCATGAGGTTAAAATCTCTTCAATCCAGTTATGATGAGTAGGTTGAATTGTGAGGTACTTTTCGGCAAAGATAGTGATTCTGCTTCTCTATTAAATTGTACATGTTGACTTGTCTACATTTGTTTTTAGCATTTATTTTGTTTGTAAAAGAAAATGACAAGTCAATACAAAGTTGCAGATCAATCTCATATCAAATATTCATGTGTTCCCACCTCATACAGTTTTATTTCAGATCAATACAGCATGCTTATTTTTGGGCAATTTAGTAAGGAACCAACAGCTTTGCGTTATTCATTTGTCTTTAGTGTCATTTTTTCCTCAACATGCTGGTATCTAGTTCTCCATGCTATTCTCATCATGGTTCAGGCCACCACCCTCAATGTAGCCTTCAACTCGCACAACAAGTCCCTGCTCACTATCATGATGTCAAACAACGTGAGTATAACGCACACAGACACATTTAACTGTTTGAATACAGCATGAAGCACCGGTTCAGACGGATTTACGTTTCATTCTTTTACAGTTTGTGGAAATCAAAGGAAGTGTGTTCAAGAAGTTTGAAAAGAACAACCTCTTCCAGATGTCAAACAGCGGTAAGTACTGCATGAAGCACCAAAATCAGCCATTTGTGTGAACATTTTGTAATTGAGGTTTTAAACTTGATGATTTTTCGTGGAAGGTAAAATTTATGGAAATGAGCTCAGCTGCAGTGAGGACAAAGTAGGTTAATCCAGGATTGATTTGTTTGTTTCCCACAGACATTAAAGAGAGGTTCACCAACTACATCCTCCTGCTCATTGTCTGTCTGAGAAACATGGAGCAGTTCTCCTGGAATCCCGGTAACTCATACAGCGCTGCACTCAGAGCAGAAGCATTACATAAACTTACACAGCTGGTTAATCTATAGAGCAGTTCAAAGTTACATCACGCTCTTTACTGGAACAGCCTCATGTGTTCTCTCAGTTCACCGTCACAGACCCCTGCAGCTAACATACAGGATGTTGTCTCTGATAAGTGCTCTGTTGTGTTTGTTTGTAGACCACCTGTGGGTGCTGTTTCCTGATGTAGTCATGGTGATAGCTTCAGAGGTGGCCGTGGACGTTGTCAAACATGCCTTCATCACAAAGTTCAACGACATCAGTGCTGATGTGAGTCCTCTCTCCACTGCTTTTAAACCACATCCTCAGTTAGCATCTGCCCTTTTATTCCTCAATTGTTCTCTTTTTTAAGTTCCTTTTACAAGCTAAAAGCAGCACCATTAATATCATAACTACATAAAGTTATGACATTCGTCTTCATTTAGAATTTTACTCTAAATATTGAAAGGTGAAACAGTTAAGTATCAGAAAGTTGTTAATAATGGATGATAGTAGTCAAAATAATAGTTAATGCCATGAGTCATGTTAGCAGTGAATTGTCAGTCCAGCCAAATAAAATGTCCTCCCACTGTGTTGATTATGTTAGCCGTTAGCAAGCAAACCAGCTAAGATTAGCCAGATATGAAACCTGTGCAATATGGAACCAGTGTAGGTTACTTTGTAATGTTAGCATGTGAAGTAAATTACTAAGCACAGGCTAGCCATCATTTCAACAAGAGAGATTAGAGAGAGAGCCATTTCGGCCTGATTCCTGAATTAACTGATGCTATCCACTCAAGACAGCTCCGTTAGTTGGTTAGCAATTGGTTTTGTTAAGTTGTTACTAAAGTAAATAAAGTTTTTACATTGAAAAAATACAAATGATTCTGAGTAAGGTACTAAAATATTTGGCTTCAGTTCTGATGATGCTCTTAGAGATATAAATGAATAGGAAGTACAGCGTTTGAGCCCCGTGTTCATATTTACCAGTATTTATTCTGGCAAATTGACACCATTCAAAGTGTTCTGAATGAGCTCATTGGTTTCTGTTTGGTGTGACTTATTGATAATAACTCTCCCTGGCAAAAAAAAAGAAGAAAACTGGATTGTTCTTAACCAAAAAAAATGTTAGTGTACAACAACCCCTCTGTCTTATGTCTCTCCATTCTGATCAGATCAATAAATCTATATCCCTTTGGAGTTCATTCAGTTGCTCTGAACATATTTCTGTCCCTCCGCTATGGCCATGAAAAGCCTCAAATATTTTTCTCCACCTTTTCAAATGCCTTTCATATTGTGTAGGATTTGTAAACACATGTGTAATCCATTGCAGATTTGAAGAAGCACTTGTTGCTGAAACCATGAACTCTTCCTATTTTGAACATGATTGTGGTCCAAGCGTCAAAAGACTGGTGGTATTGTCTTGGCTGCTAAAACCAGAATTTATAAAATGAATGAGTACATGGGCAAAAATTAAGTCAGTTTTGAGTAATTTTTGATTTAATGCCAAGCCCCAACCAATACTAATAGGTTTTGATTGTTTTTTGGTTGTTGCACCTTCCATAAAGTGATGAAGACAGGTAGAAGTAGTCAAAGGCCCGGGTAAAAATGAGCAAGAAACTCATTTGTAGCTTGTAGTGATTGAATATTCAAGCTGAGCACATTTGATTGCATCTCTTTTTGGTCCTTCTAGTTTCACATACGTCTCTCTTCCTTGCCGTCTCACTTATCCACACTTACACCAGCCCAATGTCAGTCAGGCCATTGTCTTTTATTTCATCATGACTTTGTCTGCTCCGCCCCTCACCCCCACCCCACCCCAATCCCACCTCCCCGGATCGTCTCTTTCTCTTTGATTTCGTTCAACAAGTTGAGGGTTATGCAACACAAACCAGATTTCCCACAGGAAAGGATTAACCCCTTTATCTCCAAACTGTCACATGTAATCACACAAACCTCATTTGCAGGTAGTGAAGGTTCAAGCACTTGTGTAGTCATGCTTGCCTACATTTAATCCTCTTTGATTAAAATTTATTACAATACTGTGCCTGTACTGTACATTAACACACCTCAATAAATAGGAAAAATGAATGTTATGCAGTGAAAAGGCTAAAAGGCCCAGTGCCAGCTTTAGTTTGGCAGAGGAAATCAGTTAACTTTTTTGCAGATACCCTTCACTTCAGTCAATCTGTGTCAAATTTGATGAATGTTTTTCTGTTTGGTGAATCAATGTTGTTCAATCAATGTTACTCTGGGTGACTTTTCCAGGTTTATGGAGAATACAGAGCCAGCCTGGCATTTGACCTTGTCAGCAGTCGTCAGAAAAATGTGAGTAAAACATTTTTAAACATGAGACCAGAGTTGTCAGCGGGGTTTCCTCAAGCTGTCCACTGCCAGATTCAATTTGTAGTCATAGTGATTTTTATAAAATGTAGACTTGAAACAATGAGATCTATCGAGAGGTAAGATGGGGTTGCCAAGATCACATCACTCTGTTGTTGAGAGCTGTTTTTGAGAAACAGCCTTTATTTTTCTCCGTCCTTGAAAGCTATGGCTTGTTTAACACTGTGATGTACTACCATGCACTGAATATGTCTATCATGTGTCTGTAGGCTTACACAGACTACAGTGACTCTGTATCCAGAAGAATGGGCTTCATACCACTTCCTTTAGCCCTGCTGGTGTGTAACTTTTTATGAAGTTGTGTGTTGTTATCAAAGTTGTAAATACTCTTATTCTGACTTTACAAATGTTACATTTCAAGACAACTATTTGTTTCTTTTTTCAGTTGATAAGAGTGGTGACCAGCTCAGTGAAGATCCAGGGCTCTCTTTCCTTTATGTGTGTGCTCCTGTTCTACCTGGGGTAAATATACAGACGTGTTTTCTGATATTTTAATGCACCTTGGCAGGTAAACTTTTCTGTGTATCTTGTTGTTTACATGCTCCTTTTTAATGTATGTTTTCATTGTATGTGTGTTTTCTGAGCAGGATGATCACCTTGAAGGTGCTCAACAGTATTGTCCTGCTGGGGAGGTCTTGTGTTTTTGTCAAAGAGGCCAACATGGAAGAAAAACTCTTTGACCCTCCGCCCTCAGCTGTCTCCAGCCGTGTCAACTCCAGAGCTCATCGCACCAAACACGTCCACATTGTTCCACAGCAAGGTAGAAATTACTTTATGAACCTGCCTGTCTGCCTGCTCCAAATACGCTTCTTAAAGCCTGAAAATAAATCTTTTGAGAAACATAATATTAAAGTTACAATGTAAGATATTTTCTATTAAATTTTGAAAAAGAAATGTCCACTGAGGAGGTTTTCAACACCACAAGGGGGAGGTGTTTGCTCTAATTCCTTTAGTTCTAATGTGGTAGGCAGCATGTACTGTATAATCTCTATGCTCCTCTGTTTGTTATAACACACTCTGTCTCTTTCCCAAAAATAGAACAAACAGCAGATAAAGGAGGAATATCACTGGCATCACACTTAACTCAGACTGCCAACACGGCAGAGAGCACCGCCCCCACGCTCCCCAAGAGCGACTCTGACACGTTCCTGACCACGCCAGACGACGAGGATGATGACAAAATCATCAACGTAGACACTGGACTGGAAGGAGGACTTGAACACAGAACGCAAAAGAAAGATTTACTAGAAATAGACCGCTTCACCATCTGTGGCAACCGGATAGACTGAAAGCCATATAAATAAAGCAGTCAGGGTCCTGTCTAAACAGTGAGGTTTAGGGTTCAGACACGGGTCATGGAGCGTGCTCAGACCAGATGGATTTTTGTGTGCCCGACTCCTGGAGTATTTATTTATTTATTACTGACAGAACCAGCCAAGGCATTAAGCTGTTACTACAAGCCTCAGAGGTCGCTTCAGATGTCTCCATCTGTTCAAGTCAGTGCCCAGTAACCAGGTAGACTCCAGAGGATGGGATTTGGGTGTCATGGCCACCTGCAAACTCGGTGAGGCTGAAGATGGGGGACAACTGGTACGCACTGCTAGAGGAAAGCACGAACTGAGAGATGTGAAAGTTGTACTTGTAGGTGGCTGTGTGATCAAAGGAACATGACAGCTGGACTGTGAGAGTGTGTGTTCAAAGCACAATCATATCTACAGCGCAGAGTTGTTTTTAGAGAGAACAATACTTGTCAACTTTTGTACTTTTTTATTTTAAAACCCTAAAAAAAAATTCTTATATTTTAAATAATGTTTTTATGAAAAATTTGGGATTTTTTTCCAGACTGAGTTCAGCTGCAGGTCTAAGACTCAAAATCATGTCAATACATAATGGAAATCTCATAATCTTTCAGCAGACAAACACCATAACATACCGGAAAAGCTCTGTTCAAATCGAGTTGATGTGAAGAGCCCAGGGTTTCAAAACTTTTACAGGTGGCAGCAGTTACACCAAGAACAGCTTGAGTACAATGTTACCAGATGATCTGCTCAGTGATCTGCAACAATGACGTTATCTTTTTTTAGGCAAATGTAACAGGATGGAAATTTGAATATTGTGCTGTTTGTGTTGATATTGTTACTTTAAAGCACTGAGGTAAATGGTGTTTATGCTTTGAAAGCACCCCTATTTATTTTGAGGTAGACTCTAAGCCAGACAAGTTTTGGAGGATATTTCATTACTATTGATCTTTTTTTTTTTCTTAACTTTGATATACTTCATTTGTACTGCCGTACAAGCATGTAGCCCACAGGTTACCATGATGACACCACTGCATTCATGGTCTTAGAAATTTGGTCCATGAGATTTGCAATTACATGACATAGTGACATTAATTATTAAGAGTCACATAAAACTGATCAAGTTTACACGTATGTAGCTGCCTATTCACAAAAAAGCAGAAAAACAGCTGTTAGCAGGAAACAAGATGGAGAGTCATAACAGCACTATGACCTCATGCCAGCAGCAGGAACAGCTGTCTTTTGGTGGAAATTGGAAAATCATATTTGATCCCATAAGATTTCAGGCAGTATTTGGTGTGATCAGCTGTAGGCTTCGATTGTCAGCGCCTTTTAAAATGCTTCTGTACCAAACAGCCTGAAGATGCTGTGAAATCTGCTTGACAAATGAGGTGGATCATTTGTTATTACTCTGGTTTGAGGTGCCAGGAATTATGCATCCTGTGCAAAAGCTTGGAAGGGGGCTGCATCTTACCATATTTTTATCATCCAATATTGTTAAGTATGTTTTAATAGTGTTTTTTTTGTTTGTTTTCCAGAAGGCAAAGTGAACCCTGCAGTAGTTCTTTTGTCCACCCAACAGCCCAAACCACTAAACACTCTTCATTTATCATAACAAATGACACAAAGAGCTGCCGATCTTTACGCTTAAGAAGCTGCAACCTATGTGAGCTTGAAAAATGTAACAAATAGAGTATTCTTGGAATATTTGGCAAATACTTAATTCTGATTTCTCAGAGGACTGAATAACGTGACTGTATTAAATTAGCTCCAATTTTGCCCGAACATGCATTTGAAATATCTTTCAGCTACAGAATGATAGTTCAACCAGTTTCCCAAGTTTAGATTATTTTTTGCCCTCAATTCTGACAAGTTGAGTAGCCCACGATAACATGCTATGAACAAAAATGGAGGATTTAGTGGTCTGCTTTTTGTCCATGTAACTGATTTGAATTTTTATACAGAAATAAGTTTACTATTTAACGAGCAAGGAGAGAACTCAGTTAAAGTTACCTGGAAAAATGAGTTGCAACTTCAGAGGAAAACAAGTAAAAAGAAACAGTGAGAGCTACATAGGATCAAAACTGAGCAGATACCCCTCCACCCTGCACACTCACTTTCTAAAGGTGCAGAGTATGGCAGGCACAGTGAGGAGTTGAGTCAAACTTCCTGTTGGATAGACAAGTAAAAGAATAACTGCAGCCTTGTGATGGGAGGCATAAGATTATGGATGCAACAAGTGTTTGTGGAAGTGTGTTAGAGAGATAATTTGCACTGCATGGATGAATCTCACTTCCAAAACACATACTTCATGTATGATCTTATATACCCTTGTTTTTATTTTTCATGTGCAACCCATCTCTATGTACTACATCTCCTACATGGCAGAGGGAGAATAAAACAAGGTATTTGTTTTGTAATCCTTCCTGGTGTGATGTGACTGTTCGACACAGCTTGCATGTGGTTTTCTGTGTGTATGTGTGTGCGTTTGCAGAGAGGCGGGTGTTTCACTGAAAGGAGTCACTGCAGCCTCTGTTCACAAGGGCAAACACTGCAGACCACTGTTCCTCTTGAATGGGCATTTGAACTGGGTGTCTGTCATCACACACACACACAGAGGGGGACTTTTTCAGGATCCAACACTGAAAAATTATCTCCTTCTGGATACATGATTTCTGTTTTCTCCAATGGCATAGTTCACATTCACAGGTAACCAGTTGCAGTGTCATGTGTTGTGTGTCATTTAAAGTGACTGTATACCACATGAGAGAGGATGAAAGAGAGCTTGGAAAGACTTCAAAGGTTGTTTCAAACACTTGCACGACTCCACCAGGCTGTAACTCGACTTTGGGTTTTCCCTCTTTTGAACTTGAACCTCCTTTGCTTGCTAACATTTCACTGTAGCTCTGACACTTCCCCTTCCCCCCATCTGATCAACTTTGTGAGCTGAAGGTCAGCTGCTCCCTGATCTCAGATGAAAATCTAATTTCAGTTTGCGTTGCTTTTTAGGAGGTCACGCGGACAGTGGAATGTAGGATTTATCTTTTTGCCTTCATGATCAACCATAAAGGATCATAGTAGATTTAAGTAAGGAAGTACAAGAGGTATTCAAAGTAAATCTTACTGATGAAAATGGACGCTCAGCTGCAAAAAAATTGAATTATTGACATGAACGTGTCCTCCTCCCCAAAAATAGGGTGCAATATGGGAACTGAGAACTCCAATCGGAGTTCTCAAACTCTGATTATAGTTGAACTAAGGTGTTTACATGCACGTCCGTTGTCCGGTCTTAATTGGAGTAGGGCAATAATTCGGTTTTCTCGAGTGTCATGTAAACGTACTGAGTATCTTATCCTTTGTGATAGTGACAGATTCTCTCTGTGCTCCTCAGAATTGGAACCATAGACTGTATATACTATGGGCAACTTGGTTCTGCCTTCCGCCAGTATACGGATTTGAAGCTGAAAAGCGGTAATTTTGCGTTTTTCTCCACTTCCTGAAACCAACATTACGCAGTAGCATTGTACGCATTTGGCGGGAGAGTCGCAGAGAGTTGCTGTGATGATGCTCAGCTCAAACAGCTTATCTCCAGTCCCGGGTGAGCAACGCAATCTCATAGAAAACATGAACCCCCAAATAACTTTAAAAAATGAAGCTGTACAGAAAAAAGAGGACTTGAACACAAACCGGTCTTACACTAACTACATGTCAACATTGCAAGCAGGAGGGAAAATTATGATCTGTGTAATAAATTTCTAAAGTTTGTCCACAGCTCCATAAAGATGGCGGGATTTATGACTTATACTGCAGCCTGTCACCAGAGGGTGCTGTTCTCGGAGTGGCTTCACCTAGTGAGGAGGCAGACGCTGTCCATTCTATATACAGTCTATGGCTTTATACAGTGTATAAAGCACTATTCATACAATGATGCAATGCCAAGTGCTGTACATAATTGGTAAGTAACATTGCAGTGTGTGCCTCCACATGTTTTCACCATCTGTGTGTAATGCGTCAAACACACGGAAAACCTGCTTCGCTATAACTCACCTATATCTGACTTTAACCACCTTAGTGACAGCAAAACAGTAAACAGACATTTGTGCTACATAAAACTTTGATTAAAACTCCAATTCAGAGCCAGGATAAATCATCAGAGAGTTTGTGTGAGACAAATTTTATTCATTTGACATCCAAGTTGAGCACCAATTCAAAGAGCAGGAATAAAAGATTATTTAAATGACATGATCTTCCTGTCAAACACGTTAAACACCTTTTAACAAATTTCCTGTTCATAGTTTGTTTTTAGTTCCCAAGTCAAGTTTTTGAAATGTAAAATCTTTGCATCAAATAGCTGTCAAATCAAAGTCTGAAGTTTTGGGACTTTAAACTACTATATTGAAGATTTTCAGTCAAATAAATGATAGGGAATCAATATTGATGCACAAATGTTTAGCACGACAGCAGCTGGTCCTACAGCCTGCTAAAAAAAACATTTGCATTTCAAGTGTTCTTTGGTGTAAGAAATGTATTTTAAGCCAACATTTGCAAAAATAATCACAAGGGTGTTTGAGAAATAGTTGATGAATTGATTTCAAAGATGAACCTGAGTTAAAGATTTCATAAATCAAAGATTCAGAAAAAGACCTAAAAAACATCAGAGAGAAATCTTGCACAAATGACGTTTAGGGTCATGGAAGCACGAAAGATCTTTTATATCACATATTGAGCGAAAGAGATAGAAACCTGCAACTGTAATCAGCTGCTTTCACTTGCCTCCTCCCTGTTGATTTCAGTGTTTATTATTTATCATGCAAATCAGAGCTGGCCCGCATTTATGATCATTACTTTATCATTTCCTTGAAGTAATAATCATCATATGAATCATTTTTGCATTTTGCATGCATTTTGCACGCATTTTGCACGCGGTAGTTCTTCTGCCTTAGCGTCTCGGTCTGATTGCATTTCCACAAGGAAATGATCATAAATGTTCTTCCTTGAGCTGCGTCACCCCACTGTAGACTGTAATGGACTGGCCTGAGGTCATTTTGACATTAATTCCCTCGTGGTGATTTCAGATTACAGAAATACTAGACTGCAAGGTTAAATTTAGCCCCTTTGATATTCAGCCAAAACGTCTCACAGTAGGCTCAGACTTGTTCAAAACGTAACTTATTAATGTCTAAGTTAAAAATGCCTGTGCTGGATATAACTACAAGGACTTGGTGGCCGAGAACCGCCACTGCTGCAAATAAAAAAAGAATGCAAAAAAAAAAGTCACAATGGAAGTTATCAATGCAACAAAACAAGAAATAGCAGTCCACTGCAAATAAAAAAGAAACAGTGCAGATAAAAAAAGCCACAACAGAAATTAACGTTGCAAAAAAAAGTCGTGATGCAAAAACAAAACAAAACAAAAAAAGTTACTTTCTACCAAAATAAAAGGATGTAAAAAAAAAAAAAAGCAACAACGGAAGTGAGCTGGTGTGGACCAATAAAAAGCGAGGGGTCTGCGTACTTCTGTCTATGAGTAAAGCAACCAAACCGTCACGTTACCAAACTCGATTCTCCTGTCGTGGGTGGTCTTTCGGGCCATAGTGGGTTTCCCGTGTTAGCCAAAGCTAACACTACACCGGCATCCTCCAGTTAAACTTTATATCGACTCAGGCACAACATGGCCCGACCAAATGACACATTGAAAAGTTCACGAAGCGAAATTAAACAATTACCTTTCCACTTTTTTGCTCGTCTTCTTGCTGCTGTCTTCTGTGGCTAGATCGTAAAACACCGGTGTGTCATCATTACTGGTCCCCGGCAGCTCACTTCTGTTGTGGCTTTTTAATTTTCGCAGCCAGTAACTTTTTTTTTTTTTTTTTTTGTGTCATTAACTCCTGTTGTGGCTTTCTTTCTTTTTTTTTTTCAAATCTGCACCGCTTTTATTTTTATTTGCAACGGACTTCAGTTTCGGGTTTTTTTGCATCGGTAACTTCTGCTGTGGCTTCTTTTTTTTTTTTTTTTTTTTTATTCATTTATTTATTTTTTTCAGCAGTGTCGGTTTTCGGCCACCGTATACTTGGCTGGAAGAGGAAAAATGAAAGAGATCTGATTGAGCCGAGCCGTCGCGCGCCACAAAAGCGCTCGACGGTCACGAGCGCTCGTGCACGGGAGATTAGAGCAGACGACCGGTGAGAGTGAGTGAGGACACCGAGATAACGGGCACATCCTCGGCCGTTGCTCCTGCTGTTCCTCGGGAAGATGTTATTAAGGAGTCCACACCGAGAATCGAGGAAGTAGAGGCTGTTAGAAACCCTGACCGTGTAAAAAGTTATCTCTGTCGGACCGTTGTTCCGGTGCTGCTGCCTGCGGGGATTAAAGCACCGCGAAGGAGGGACAGGTGTCTCGACTCCCTCTCCATCCTCCCCGTAGACTACAGTGTGACCGGGGCTTGGAGTCTGCTTTACTTGTTGTTGTTGTTGACTTCTTATTCACAGAACGACACTGGACTTTTCTAAACTATGTTGTGGACAAGGTGGCTCGTCCTGCTGCTCTGCTGGGGGGCCACAAGCAGCGAGCAGCAAGCGGAACAGCGGGACGGGACCCCAGCTGTAGCCCAGCCGGACCCCCGCAGACAGCGGTCCCCTCCACCTGTGGAGCCGTTGGATTTTGGGTTTGTGCCAGCGGCGGTTTATGATACCCATGCTTACCACGAACCAGGACCAGTGGGCATCCTCTTCCACATGGTCCATGCTTTTCTCTACGTCGTTCAGCCGAACTCCTTTCCTAAAGGTGAGAAGATTATGGCCCACACCCCCTCCTCCACATTTCTTAATCTCCCCTCTGCTTCTCTTACACCGAAAAAAAGAGGAATTCACTTTTTGCTTTGGATAAAAGTCATTCTTGATTAACAAATATTCTTCATATAACCTCATAGACAATGTCAAGTATGTGCAGAACTGAACAGGTGTTGCACTTAATGCTGTTACCATCAGGATTCAGTGACCTTATTAAGAATTGCAGCTTTACTGTCACTGCAGATGTGTCCTTATAGTCACATTCGTGCTGGGATGATGAGTGTTTAATATGATGTTTGACTTAAAAAAAAAGGTCACATCTCAATTTATCCTGCATGAAATGTTTTAATCCTAAACTTAGTATGGCCTAAAATCAAAGGAGTGAAAATAAATTCACTGAAATTCTCCCCAGGGATAAATTAAGAGTGTTACTGTTTGTGATTTAAGAGTCCCAAATACTTCACATTTTGGTGCATGAATGATCATTTTCTAAATTACTCTTAAAATATATTGAAGAGGGGTTTATGTAAAGGAAATCATATTCCTACTAAGAAAAAAAATGCTAGTTTTAAAGGTACATGTATCTCAAAGTTGCTCTTTTCTCAGTCCTAAAAATGAAGACTCTTCATTTACGATAACATATGATCAAGTAAATCAGGAAAAACTGATATTTAGGAACTTGCATTTATCTGTCACGAAAAAAACTATTGGATTGATTGATTTTTATTGACTTGTTGATGAATTATATGAATCCAATCTTCTATAATTGTCGAAAATTAAGCATAGAAAGTCTTGGTGAGGGGCCTGTCACACTGCACACAGTTGCAATTTAAAAAGCATTTAGAAGTTATGTGATTTTTATGGTAATAGATAAATGATATTCTTATGAGTGTAACATACCAATTCTTGTAAAAGTTTTATTTGTCTGAGTCTGAAATACATGTACACATGGCATTTGGTTACACCCTCATTGATTTGACTTGAGTTGAAGCCAAAGGTTTTCCCTTCGGACTGGGAGTCCCAAGATAAATCTGAAAGGGTTAGACAATAAAAAATCGTATTCCCTTGTATTTTACCAATCTTTCTGTTTGAGTTTCGCTTTTCTCGTTAATGAATTACACCATCAGGTCTCAGAAAAATATTGCTCTCAGCTCATGTCAACACTGAACCCTGGAAACCATGCTGGAGGGTCACGAATTGCCTTTATTGTTTTTGAAAAGCAGACAGTCATAGGGTTGGAAACGATTGCCCAAACTTTTGCTTTGAAGCTTCCCAGATACTGGCTGACCTTTAGTGCGCCACAAACTAAACAGCAAAGTCCAAAAAACACTGAAAACCCAGAGATCTCTGTGCTTAAGGTTATGTGCATATTTTTGATGTATATTTGGTCTCTGTCTGACCGGCTGACTTGAGTAGCTGCCCCCCAGGTTGAAGTGCAACTGGATCAGAAGGGCAAATGAACAGAGTGGAGGGCTTGCATGCATATGCAGTGTGCTTGTTGAGCCCATAAACCAATGTTAAGAGCAGATTAATGGGATCAATACCTGTCATAGCTCATAAGTGATCCTCTCAGGGCCTGTGCTTAAACAATATCGTGTTGGTTAAACAGATATCAGCTCTGGCAGGTGATACACAGGTGATGTTGTTTTCTGCTCCCCTCTGGTGTTGTGTAGTAACTCAGTGACAGTTGTGTTGTCCTACAACTAACTCTGAGTGGTTTGTTTTTGCGCTGTGTGTATAACTATGAGTGGTCACGTTGGAGGATGACACAGTGCAATAGGATTGAAGGTTTTAAGTTGCTGCCATTTTGGTTTCCAGGGTTAGGGCTGCTGGCTGGCTAATCAATTAGCAGATCAGCGATTAGAGGAGGCTTTCTCAGTCACCTGCATCACCACATAATACCTTAATCCACTGGACCATATGCTACTGCTGCAAGGGACTTTCCAGTATGATTCACACTGTCACACTCACGCAGGTAGAGACCACCTGGATGTCAAGTCTCGCATTCCCAAATCACATATCAGGTTTACACAAAACCTACATGTAACGTATCAAACCGTGTTTATCATGATAAATACAAATATAAATTGAATATTTAGCATCTTTTAAACTAATTTTAAATTATGTTTTATGGTCCAAATATGAAGAAAAGATTAAGTCCAGGGACTCCAGAGTCACATTTGACAAGAACAGAAAAAAGTAACTGAAAACCAAAAGATACCCCACTGATACACCACAAAATGCAGAATCAGTATGAGCAAATGCATCTATTCTTGTAGCGCTCCATATTAGAAGATGTATTTACTCATTCATTTTTTACAAGAACTCAAAGCCTGATCACATAATTCCTCAAACAATAAATGTATGATTAAATATGGGACTAGCAGAGAAGGAAACATAGGTGAGTGTTACCAAGATGTCAATAACTTGGATTTATTGCTTGAAATGCTCATGATATGTAAGGCTTCTTTTTTTGTTTTTGGTCTTTTTTGGCCTTTGCTGACAGAGGAAAGGACAGAGGAGAGAGCAGGAAACAGGGGAGAGAGCAGGAAAGGAACCACATGATGGAATTGAACCCGGGAAATTAAAATAGGGAAATTGAGTGTGCAGCCACATGCCAGGAAGTTAACCCAGAGTTTAGAAAACAAGATGCAGGACATTGACACTCAGCCTGAGGTTAATCACAGTTCACTCCAGAGCCTGAGGTTTTGCAAGTTCAGGTTACCATGATGCTACCTAAACCGCCAGGTCCTCTGAGTCATGATCAAAGTATAATCACTTTACGCTCGCAGCATTAGGGTCAATCAAAGACTTTGAGCATGTGTCTGTGCAGGTCAGTGCCATGTCTGTTGAGGGACACAAACCAATTTGAAAAGTGCATGTGATGATATTAAATTTTAAGATGTGTTCAGGTACCTGGTGATGCTCTGTGTCACTGCAAATGCAAATTACCTTTCATTTTGTACTTCTTGCAATACATTTTTTTGGGCTCTTGTCATCACTCTCTTTCCCCTTATATCCTGCCTTTATTTGATAGAACAGATTTTAAAAAAAAAAGGCAGGATATGTAGGGAGAGGTTGTGGGATGACATGCACCAAATCGTAGTGGAGTTAGTAGTGTTATCTGGCCTATAGCCTCTGTGTAAGAGACTCAAGCTCCTCCAACTGAGCATTACCAGCGTACCAGGAATATTGTCAATTTTGACATAAATTAATGCAATAGATCATTTTGGCTGTGTTTTTTCCTTCTTCAAAAGACATTTAACTCAATCTCCCAGACCAGGCCATACAAGATAACATTTTTGTCTTTGCAGAACATCATTTAGTAGTGATTCTGTTTATTTCTTGGATGCATAGTGGCACTCTAAAAGTGAGCAGAAACCTTAAAAAGCACTGTGCCAATTTAGACACAAAGGGAGGTGAAGTGTAACTCTTGTGTTGGCTCAGCCAGCCCTCCTTGGCAGCCACTGCAGGGTGAGTTTCTGTGCCCCACTAGAGAATGTGAGCATGACACAACAACCCAATGTTTGGTGTTGAAGGGCTTTAATTGGTGCCATCGGCTAAAAAGTATGTATTATGAATTAATGAAATAAAACTTGTGAGGCTAATTCTTTTAGATGACTAATTTAAACTTTACGCTAAATCTAGGAAAGGACTTCAAAGCGAGCATAAAATTGGAACATAGCAGAAAAGTTATTATTTACTTATCAAATAAATGTTACGCCCACTATGCTTTTACTAAAAAAGCCAGTTTGTCTGCCTAATCTTGTCACATAGATGCATTGTGCGTACAGTAAGTGTGCAGTAAACGCCCACTTACACACAATGCATGGCTGCTTTGGTGTTGCCTGAGGATGAATGAAGTTGAGGTTGGGGGCTTGGTGAAGTTATAATAAGCTGGAGCAGAGGTGATTCTGGTCAGGGCAAAGGCTGGGTTCACCTTAAGGTGGACAGACATATATTGAAGGATCAAGAACAGAAGTCACTTGATTGATCTGATGGGATCAGGTGGATTACTCGAGTCTTTATTCTCACAATAATTAAACTTTTATTAATATGGCACAAAGTGAAAATGGGCAAATATGAATTTATGTAGTTATCATTTTTTTAAGTTATCAAGTGTGTCTCAAAGGATTGTAGATATAATCACAGTAACAAACGGCCCTTGCAAATCAATGCATGTTGTACAATAAGTAAATCCAATACTTAAGATGAATAAACAAAGGGAAGATAATAACACAACAGCAATGAGTTCATCTTTGGTTCACGAGCGTGTCTGCTGACTCTTCCTGCCTTTTAGTCGCTCATCCATCTTAAATCTGTGTGACGGTTCCTTTAACGATGCATTTTGGATTCTTTCACTGAGTAAGGAGGCAGTGTCTTATCCCTCCTCCAGTACACACAGGGTAGATTAGAGGATTAGCATCCACGGCTAATGCTAACACTGCAAAGCTACAACTGCTACAGATGGCATTGTGTCACACACACACACACACACACACACACACACACACACACACACACACACACACACACACACACACATATGTAAGCACATTCAGGCATGCACACACACTACCATGAACTGAAAGTGGGTCATAGTCCTGGTTTTGTCTGTCCTCTTAATTACTGTGATTGGTAGTAGGCAAGTTGTTTATCTGTAAACACACATTTTAAATAAGATCACGCTCAAGAGGGCGGATAAGTAAGATGTCTGATGTGGATATTTAAGACCAGGGAGGAATTACTACGTCCCAGAAGTCTTTTTTTGTGTACTGATGCTTTAAATCCGTCAACACAAATAGAGGGGAAACCACAGAAGAGCGATAAGCTCCTGTTTAACACATTTAAACAGTCGTCTGCTGCTGCTGCAATCCTCGCACTCTAAAATGAATTTGGAGAAATACCGTTTTTAGGTTGTTTTTTGTTGACCGGATAGTGTCGACTTTTATTAGTCTTTGGAAAGACATGACAACATGAATGAATCAACCGAAAGAAAATTGATTCATTCATCTTTCCATGGATTAATTGTTACATTTTATTGAGTGAAAAAGACAGAAAAACTTCAGCATCCTGCCTCTCTTACATTTTCTGATGTTTTTGGTCGTATATAATTTACCTGAACGTCTACGTGACTTTTTCCCAATATTAAAAAAAACCATCTCTTGAGTAAGGGAAATAATTATCAGGTTGATCGATGAACGTGAATCTTTGAAATATTATGTAAAGTGTAATGGAGTGTCTATTGCCAATAGGTGAAGAGGACATTCCCCATAATCCTCTTAGTTGTTAGGCTCCCCCTCACAGTGGGCTTACTTTCTTTAGCCCCTGGTGCCATTCATAGGTAAACTGCAGAGAGTTACGTAGTTAAACATACTGTTAAACAGCACCCCGCAGCATCACTTCATAACAGTATTGTGGCCACAAGATCAACACCATTTAAATTAAATTAAAGATTTTAATGATTGTTGCATCGATAAACGTCTACATGCTGTATCATAATAACTGAAAAAAATATCTTAACGCCCCTAACAGGTGCCACAGGTAAAAACATAGTGTCTGGTACAGTGTGCGTAAAACATTTAAGTTTTTGTCATTTTTTCTCTGACATTAAAGAAAGCTCTATCTCTACAGGTCCCCGAAACACTTGGAAATTTCTTTCTCCTTCTAAAGAGTTCAAATCAGATCTGTCCAAGAAGCTTGACACATGGTGTTATGATGGGTTTGAAAAAAATAGTCATTTTGGATTTCTTCTTTTAGGGCAAATTTGCTTTATGGAGTGAAGTTTTGTATCTAAAACAAGTAAATGATAAGAGTATAATAGTGTAAATTTACAGCATCCACCACTGAATCACCTATTGGTAAAAAAATCCTCCATTGTCACCGTTATCATCCTATTTACTTCATACTTGACTTCTCTCCTCTCCTAAAAAGCATCCAAAGGAGTAACGTGGTGACTCCACAGCTGATCAGTTCATTTTGAACTTGATTAATCAACAAGTTCAAAGTTCACAGCGGTGGTGAACAAGCCGGCCAATACACTGGTCTGTAATGTTTTGTGTATGTCCTGTAAGAGGGGACACTGAATATACAAAGTGTAGATGACTGTTGGGTTGCGTAAGGTAATGATCACACCGCCTCGTAATCTCTCAGAGCAGGCCAGCATATAGGATTGTGTCAGCCTATATTTACACATCACAGTAAGAGGGTTGTACGTTCTGTCTTAAACATCTTAACGGCGAACTATCAGCAGTGCTTGATGACATTTTGCTCAACCTGATGTTTAATTCTCTATTTTCAACTCTGATGGCTCAAACGGGGGTCTCTTTGAGGGCATTTGAAAGTGAAACAGCTGTGAAAGTCTCTGAGAAAGTCGCTCATCAAAGGTGTCTCTTCCCATTAGACAGTAAAAATACTACAATTTCCTTGCAGACACGAGTCCAGGTTTAATCACCCTTTCAGGCCTCATTCTGGTGGTTGTTTATCTATCTCTTTTCCTTTCGTTTGCAGCCGCAAACTCTTGTACTGGGTCACTGAACTAAGCTGTCTAAGCTTAACTGCCCACAGTGGCTAATGCTAACTAAGTAGCTGAGCAACAGCAGGTGGCATCTACACAACATAGATGTGCTCATACGCTGCATCTATAGAGTAAACAAATATGTCTTCACCCCACCTGACAGTCAAGGATCTCCGTGAGGTAAACAAGTTTCAAAAAACAGGAGACAGCTGTGAAAAAGAAAGGCAGCAGACCCTCAGCAGGGGGTAAGATAGTGTTGAGAGGATTATCCGTATGGTCGCAAAGGATATCCTCAGTCTCCTTTTACTGGGAAGGAGGAAAATTTTACTTTCACAAATGGAAATTTCCAATTTTAATGTCAAATTATGCTCCTGTTTACTCCGTTTTATGGATATATTATATTAGATAGAACTTTATTAATCCCTCTGTGCAGGTTCCCTCAGGGAAAATAAAAGAGGAGGACTTCAGGAGGAGTGCTGAACATTGTCTAATTTTGGCGTCACAAAAATTAATATTCGCTGCTTGTCTTTGTCGTATACCACAGCAAACCGAGTCCTGAATCAGTTTGTAGACGCTGCAATGGTTCTATGAGGAAGTGTATTGGATTTTTTTGTTACTTTTCCCGTACACTGACATATTGAAATTCAAAGATTAATCAGGGAAAAGTGACAGAAATTAAAATGATCAAGAAATAGAATAATAGAGTAAGTGTAGGTGTAGGTAGTAATAAAAGTGATATACTCATGATATATGACATAGTATACTGAATTCCTAGAATGAACAAATCTGATTAAGCCTCTTTGCTTTAAACATGATCAATCTGCTCCCTGCTGACATAAGGCAGGATAGACCAGTATGTTTCAGTGTGTGTGTGAGTATGTGTGTGGCATGCAGGGGTGTTGAACGGGGTGGAAAACCAGTGTGTGCTTGTGCATGCCTGTGACTTTTTTTATGTCAGTGGTGTCACCATCTGCTATGCCATGGCACTTTCTGCACGTTACTAAGAGGACTTGCTTTGATGTCTGAATTTTTTAAAGAGATGAGACATGCAGCAATTTTTCCCATCATCACAGCTGTAACATTTTGGTTGAGTTTGAGAAATCTGACAGCTAAGAGCAGAGCCGGCCCAAGCCTCAATGGGACCCTAAGCAAAATTTGATTCTGGGGCCCTGTATTCCTGCCAATAATATTGATTGTAGATCATTCACACACTTACAACAGGATAAATTTAATGTGCCTGACATTTCTTTACACATTTAAGGGGGTGGCCTAGGTAATAACATAAATAATACCAATGAATGACTGATGAATTATGTATTTTTTAACTACACACATCAGTATGGTTGTGGCAGAGGTGAAAGAGGCGCTCAGATGTTGTAGTTGTGTAAAAGTAGTCATGCCATAGTGTACTGATACACAGTTACAAGTAAAAGTCCCAATTTAAGTGTTATTCACAGTGAAACCAAACAAACCAAAGAGAAGAGATACTCTTCAAGCAGAATTACCAATTATACCAAATAAATATGCAGTATTCATGATGCTATGATAACAACTTACAGAATCAATTTGATCACCTCAGCTCAAGCTAAAAAATGTGAACCTATTTCTAACTACTCTATATCCTGACAGGAAGCTCTGTCTTTAATACTCTGTGAGTTATTAGTTGATCGTATAGCTGTATTGGTAGCTGTCCAACATGAGTCTGGTCCTGCTCAAGGTTTCTGCCTGTTAAATGAAGTTTTTCCTTGCCAAGTGCTTCACTCATGTTGGTCAAATCTTTCCCATCTCAAGGTTGGGTCTTTGTAACACATCAAACAATGAGTTAGGTCTAGATCCTGGTCCTGCTCTTTTGGAAAGCATCTTAATAGGATAATGACTGTTGTTATTTGGCGCTGTATGAATAAACATTGATTGATTGATTGGTTTGATGTGTTATATTAAAAACTAAAAAAAAAAAAAATCAACAAATTTGTCTTTGTATCAAAACTACATTTCTCACTAAAATGTCATCAAATAGATTAACTACACCATTGGTTAGGGTAAACATGCTTCTTTGTTTCTTTAAGTTGTAGAATTATACATGTTTACCTTTTTATAAAATGATTAATTTTTGCTGTATATGTTGCCAAACACGCATATTGATGAAGCATGCACTGGTTTGTGTTCTTGGCATATGTCCAAGTGCTGTCTGCATAGAGAAACTTTTGTTTACCTGCTTAGGAAGTTAACTGTGGCTCCCCAACCGAGTAGGCTTAGAGTCGGCTGACCCATATAAACACAGACAGCTGGACTGAGTGGTGTCCTCACCGGCAAACTACTCAGTTTAAACTGTTTGTGCAAAACACACAGCTGCTCGACCAAAAAAAGAAATACATTTATTATAATGCTCTCCTCGGAAATTAAAAAATCAGCACACATAATCTATTTGTGTGCCGCTGAAATGGATAAGCGGGTTTTTGTGTTCCATTGTAGCAGCTTGTCTAGCATTATGCAGAGAGCTCATTTGATCATGTATGAAATTGGCAGATGAATCCCTCACAAGCTGTACACTGCATGTAAAACACAGCTGTAAGAAGGATTACAACTGTACTGGACTTTATTTTGCAAACTGAAAAAACCGATGACTGTGTGTCTGTTGCTTTTTTTTTCCTTTTCAGACCTGATTGTAAAAATCATTCAACAAAACATGGGAGGAATTAAAATAGAAGAATGGAGAAAGGTGCGTTTTCAATTAGCATAAATTAAAGTGTATTTGACTTTTAACCTGCTGATTTTGAGAATTTCATATCATGTCTTTATCTTATTTAGGGAAACATATAAGAGTCCTTTTTGGTAACACTTTATAACACATTAATCATATATTTATGATGCGTTATGGATATAAGCGTGAAATAATCACGTTTTAGCATTGCATAACTATAGTTATAAACACTCATAAATGATCATAATGCTTTATAACAATAATCATAACACATTATAAGACATTTCATCATGACTTATAAACTCAGGTATTATAATGTGTTATAACTGTTAACAACTCACTGACAATGCCCACATAGATAATACAATGCAACTGTTGTTAACAGTTATAACACATTATTATACCTGACCGTGTAAGTCATGATGTGTTATGATTATTGTTATAAAGCATTATGATCATTTATTAGTGTTTATAACTATATTTATATAGTTATACAGTGCTATAACATGATAATAATGCATTATAAATATATATGTATATATATATATATGTATATATGTGTAGTCAAATAAAGTGTTACCTAGTATTTCCCTATTTTCCCTTTTTCCCTGTGCCTGTGTATTCTATGTTTTTATGTTTATTGTGTACTGTTGTGCTGATGCCTACTGTAAACCAAATTTCCCACGGGATGATAATTATGAAGTTAAGTTGAGTTGAGTAGTTAAAATACAGTTTGATTCATCATTGAGTGATATTTAATATTTATTTTCTACTGTAGTGTGGAGAATGTGGTTGTGTGATGATGTTTTTTGTGTCTGTTTTCTCCTTGTTTCTACTTTGTCTGCATGTGCACTTGTTTTTTCCTCGCCCTCCGATGGCTTTAACAGCCAGACAACGTGGTCCTATTACTGCAGGTAAACTTTCTATCACAGCATGATTACACAATGTCTAAAAATGTCCTATGTGAAGGTAAATGATGATTGTCTGATCGTGTGTGAATCCTGTCCTCCTGCAGTGGATCTACTACGAGTCTGGATTCATCATCTGTGGGACCATTGGTATTCTGTTTGTGGTGCTCACTCCCATCATCGGCATGTGTTTCTGTGTGTGTCGGTGCTGTGAGAACTGTGGAGGGGAAATGCACCAGAGACAAAGAAAGAACGCTGACTGTCAGAGAGGTTTCTACACCGCATCCCTGATCGCCAGCACCATCTTCATTATGTAAGGCATCATTTTCTCTTCAGTCTTCGGCTTTATTTATTGACTCACTTGTCCGTTTTTTGTTAATTTACTTGAGAAATGAAAATATGATCAGCAGGACTCTATCTTCAATCTGGATATCCTTCTTTTGGAGAGCTGCAATAGTCGTACTGCTGCAAAGCAACACATGATCAAATCTATTCAAAACTTTTAACCTAGCCCAACCTGCTCATATTGATTTATTAAAGAATTATTATTATATAGTACAGCTAAAATATAACCCAAAGAGAGGTTGGGGAGTAAACTAAGGTCTCTTGAACTTGTACAACATGCAGTTTACCTTCTTTGGGGGAAACAGGTGCACTGTTGGAGAAATACAATCCAAACAGTGCAGGACAGTTAAGTGTTACTGATACCACTTGGCTGACTCTGAGAGGCCTGAGGTTTGAATGAGTGCTTTCACAGCACACATGCTTGCTCATTCACACACACACACATATATTTGTACTCTGTAGCCATTTGAAGAAGTGTAGATAAAAAATCAATATGGCTTGTTATCAAAATTCTTTATGAAATTTCACAAAGTAGGTTTTTATTTTCCTTTTTTTCTTGGCTTTAGGTCATTTCTTTGCCTGAGAGGATTGTAGAGTCAGATAAAACCTCAAAATAGTCTAAAACTACATGATAATTTGATTTTTTTTTTTAATCCAAGAAAAAACATAACCAGCAGGTGATTGGGTGCTCAACTTTAGATTCTTATACTGTTTTTTTCAACATGTACGATGAAGCAAAGGGTTCTGCTTTTACTTGACAAACCTTTTCTATTTATCTTTTTTATTCTTACTTGTTACCAAGAAGAGAAATGATAGATTTCCCCAAAAGATGCTCAAATCTTGTGAGCTCTTGTTGTCTCTGCTTCATGCTGAATCTTTTCAACTCTTTGCTGAATAGACAAGAAAAATTACAACCAAGTGTTTGCACAGAAACCAAAGAATCTACCTTTGACCTTTCATTGATTCCAACAAAGAAAACTAAATATTTTTTCATACAACTACACACAACATTTGGATAAAATCTGTGCTGTTTGTTTCCCCTCTACCTTGAAGAGGGTTAGATTAGGTTTTTAGGGAGAAGAGGAGAGACAGAAACAGAGTGAAAGCTGCTGCTTTGCTACAGTTTGGGACCGGTCTTTGGTGTAATCCTCATTTAAGGATTGAGTTAGAAATACTAAGTTGCTTAACCTGACTCCTCCTAATGAATGAGCAAAGGGACTTTACGTACCAATCTGGCTCTCAATGAATCATCCCCAAGATACTCCAGCAGCCCATTCAGCAGAAATGCAGCTTAATATAGCAATACTGCCCTCTGCTGGTAATCACTGCTCATTGTATTTCTTACTTTCTCTTTCTGTGTGTTCCAGTCTGGGAGTACTTATCGCCTATGCTGCAAACCATAATGTCAGCACCAAGATCAAGAGCACTCGGCGGTTCATCAACACAAACATGAGAGACTTGAGGACGTTTGCTAACAACACTCCTGCAGTAAGCCCTCTCAATCCCCATTAAGAAAACACCCACATTAAAGTTTATGTAGTCATTTTTTGTAAATACATGACCAGCAATTTTGGTTGTCCTCTTACAGCAAATTGAATATCTGACAGCCCAGTACACCACAGCAAAACACAAAGTCCTGTCAGACCTTGACAGTAAGCATGCTCATAGCTTTTGTTTAATGTTTCCTAGTTCCATAAGTCTTTGGATTTCTGTGTTTGTTTGTAAAAGTTTATCTGTAGTTTTGAAATTTTTTGTTTTTTTGCTGACAGACATTGGGCCTTTGTTGGGCGGGAGGATCCACAGTCAGCTAGAGAAAGAGGTGGTTCCCTCACTGGACACCGCGCTGCGTATGGCAGGAGGTACTACACAACACTCTGGATTCACCCTCCAGCTCGGGTCAAACAGCTGAGTCAGAGTATCAAAAACACTGATGCTGCTGAGCTGGAATAAATTAAATTTTTTTTCTGTTAATTTATAGGCGATCTATGAACATTACAGCCTTCATATCTCGGTTTTTAACTTTCCCTCTTGCTTTGTGTTTACCTCACATTTCTTTTTGACTCAAGCGAAAGTTGAAAATGCCATTAAAGGTAATTGAAGCGGATCTGGAGTCAGTTTTGCTGTCTCCATGACTTGGTGTCCGTGCATCTTGTGTGTTATAAACCCTGTAGATCTGATCCTAAACCTTCGTTGTGCCCTGAAAAATGTTTATACTGCGTTTCCCTTGTGTGCTGTTGGTGTGGTCAATCATTGTGTGTTATTGTTATCCTTTGTGGTGATTTTGTGAAATGTGATTGTAAATGACACTTAAGTCTCATGAAGCCGCCCGTTCTTTACTCATGTGATTCATTTGGTTTATTCTTGGTTGAGTTTTACTTTTCTATGTCTTGTAGCCATGCGGGAGACTAAAGAGGCCCTAGAGAGTGTCAGCTCCTCTCTGGAGGTTCTTCAGGAGGGTACGGGAAAACTTCGGAACAGTCTGTCGGGGGAGCGGGCATCTCTCTCTAACACCCTGTCAGACCCTGCCTGCACCAATGGAGCAGTTTCTCACACGTGTAACACCATCCGCTCCACACTGTCCCAGCTGGGGATCAGTGCAGATTTCTCCAAGGTACTGAGAAATAAAGACACCTTTTATCATAAATATCGAATGAGAATCTCGAAATTGTCTTAATGGGTAATTTGACAACTTCATACTTATACAGACTTCTTTTTTTATCAGCTTGCAGATGTCAATCATGCCTTGGCTAATGTCAATGTAATCCTTAAAACAGACCTCAGCAACATAGTACAGAAGGTGAGTCTCTTTGTGCAAATTGATGTTCTCCTCCTCCTGCTGCTGCTGATCATCTCAGATGTTCATTTTCACTTATTTTCTTATAAAACACACTGGATCAAACTACCTTCCTCAATCCTTTTTATCCTCACTTTCCATCTCCAGGGCTACTCGTCCTTCAATGATACACCAAAACTGGTTAAAGAACAAACTAAAAACATTGTCGCAGGTACACAATTATGTGCTTTTGTGTGTTTATATACTGTGTGTTAGTGCATTATTTTGCTTAACAAGTTTAGTTGTTTCCACCTTTGCTTTACAAACACTGTTAAAATAAGTTGGGATAGTTTCTCTCCTTAATCTTTGCTTCTCTTACTCTCACCTGCACACTTTCAAACGATGAAACCACAGCTCTACCTCGTAAGTCTCTTTCCTCCCTCTCCAAGACTAGACCTCTACTTCTTTTCTTTGATTTGTTTTCTCTGAATTGACGGGTATGAGTTTATGTTTCCTCCTGATTTTTTTGTTGTTGTTGTCATATTTGTAGGTGTAAAAAACATGCTGGATAAGATTGGCACAGAGATTAACAGCTTCGCTAAGATGTTTCCAGTCGAAGCATCTCTGGCCAATTTCACCATTTTCCTCAACGATGGACAGAAAAAAATTGAGTCCTACTACCCACAGATTGACCAAATGGATTTCTACAGGTTTGTCTTTTTAATATCAAATTGATGCACCTTAACCTTCCACATTGTAGGAGCTAATGTCTCAAATGAGAGTGAATAATAGTGGGAGTAAGACCTGGTTTCAGCTGCCAAAGAAAAGGAAAAGAAGCGATTGCTCTTAGATAATTATGAACTAATTCTGCTGCTCCTTCTGACTTCACATAACAATCTCCAGCTCATTGTTAAATCCTTAAGTTGCTCACCTATTTTTGTTTACTCTCACAGTTAGTTTTGCACAGCAGTAAGCCTTATTGAAGTCAGAACGGGGTCTCTGTAAATGTATCTGTCTATGCCACAGGTGGATTGGCTGTGTGGCAGTGCTCTGTACGGTCATCCTGGTCGTTGCGTTCAACATCCTTGGCCTGCTTTGCGGCACCTGTGGCTACGACAAGCAAGCTACGCCGACAACACGAGGCTGCCTATCAAACACCGGCGGCAACCTGCTAATGGCGTATGTAACCAAGACCAAAGTCTAATTTTACAGAGTGAGGGAAGACTGTTTTGACCTTTAGATTAGCTGTAACTCTTAACCGCTGTAATCCATTGAAGTGTTATAATATTATGTATGCCTTCTTAACTCTACATCCTCTCTGGTACACCTGAGTGAAAGTCTGAAATGACTCCAAGGCCGACTTAGAGTTGGGAAACAGATTAGCAGTTATGTCAGCAGAGGGACAACCCTGAAACAAAGAAATTTACCAAGGCTTTGTGATGCATGATGGGAAGTAGGAACTAAAGCTACTATAAGGTGATAGATTTCTGTGTTACAATGATTTCTACCCTCTGTCTCTTGCTCTTCCAGAGGGGTGGGCTTCACTTTTATCTTTGCCTGGGTGCTGATGGGCATCGTGACCACCCTGTTTGTTGTCAGCGGTAACGTGGAGAAGTTGATATGTGAACCGCTTGCAAACCGACAGCTATTCCAGGTACTGAATACACACTCCCCTCCCTCCTGAATCAGAGTTTTATCTGAGCGGGATAGTGTTACATAAGAGCAACACTGTGGCCTTATACTGATGTCTATACATGTCTGTGTGTGTGTGTTTGGGCAGATCATAGACACACCGTACCTGGTCCATCCTGCAAAAAAGAACTTTCTTCCAGGGATGCTGTTTCAGAATCCGAACATTGACTTGACTTTGGGAAGCATGTACAGGTAACAGGCCAACAGTTGACACTGTACGTATGTATTTACTCACAAGCATTTATTATTTTCATGCACACTCAGTTGAGGATTGCTAATGTGAAATACCCTTTGAGTTTAAAGTTTCATGGATTTAATAGTAATAACTTTATTTTTATAGCACTTTTAAAAACAGATGTTTACAAAGTGCTTTGACATGTAGTCGTAGAGCACATGGAAAAAGACAGATAAAAAAAAAAAAGCTCACTTAAAACAGAATTGAAGGCCATTTTCATGTCATAAGGAACCCAGACAATACAAGAACCATGCAACATAAAATGGGACCATGAGGACCAAAATAAAAACATAAAATGGTTCAGAAAAAAGAAAATGCAATTAAAAAGGGGGTCGAAAGCGAAAATAGGATAGTAAATATAAAAGGCAATATTAACAATGATAATAAAATAATAACAGGTAATACTGATAATGATAGTAATGATAAAATAGAGCAACAGAAATGAACAAGAGATAAAACAATAAAAGGCCTAAAAGGTTAATTAAGAAAAGAGTACAAGTATAACAAAAGCTGAAAAGACAGTAAAGCTGAAATAAGATAGAGGTAAAGAGGTGACAGATAAAAGATAAAACCTACACATTGAGTAGTACATAAACAAATGTTTACTCTCAGGAGTTTCCCTCAGTGACATGTTTATTTGTTTCACAGGGAGTGCTATGAGAACAACGGGCTGTACCACGCTCTGCAACTGGAGACCATGTTCAACATCAACTCCTTCCTCAACAGAACTGTGGTAGGTTTCTGTTTCAGCACTGATGCACTGATGGAGAAAATGATAACATCCTGGTAACCTGTGAGTTAACATGCATGTTTCACAACAGTACAACAAGGATCTGGCCAATGTGTTTGAAAGTGTTCAGATTGACCTGCGTGACATCACACTTCTGGAGCAAGCTGGAAGGGATAACCTCTTGAACTTTGCCAACTCTGGGATTGGACAGATTGACTATGATGCCTACCTGGCTGAGGTAATCTGTGGCTGTAATCCATCCTTTCTGGCCGATGTTTTAAATGTGTGACATTGCTGTAAATGTTAAAATAAAATAAAGTTTGAATTCTTATTTTCGAAGACAGCTCAAGAATCTCGATCAAGAAAAAAATATGCAAAAACAACTATTAAATGTCTATTTTCAGCCCTACTTTTTGTTGAAAATGGGATTAAGAACATAAATTCTGTGCAAAGAAAATTTGGTCAAATATTTGATATACTAAAGAGGTTCATTTGGCCTGTTATTGATAAACGTATAAAATGGTTTCCTCTGTAAAGGCCAGAGGAACCTCTGAACCGTTTCATGTACAAATATTTGATAATCATTGATTATTACCAAAATTGACCAATACAAATGAGACGGAAAAAATGACAAAAAAATTTGCTTATTTGTAGAAATTCAGTTAATAAAATCTAGATAAATAAGTCAGTAAACTCATGATTCTGCACCTTCACTGAAGATCTCTGTTTTGATGCTTTAGGTAAATAAGGGAGTCACTTTGGTGGATCTTTTATCCTTCTCTACCAACCTGGAGGCCCAGGCGGACCAGTTGGTGAGTCTCATAACTGTAGGACCAAATCGTTAAAAGCAACAAGATGATTGGTTTTATTTAATCAAATCACAAAATCTTGAAGACCTGTTTGAGTCAAAGCTGTAGTAAAAGCGTAAGTCTTATAGACTTACTTGACATAGATAAGAAATGAGTACAATGAATTGACTTCCAGGTAGTCTAACAAATCCAGTCATTTGTTTTGCAAGATTTTTGTTGTTATCTCAGACTGTAAATGTCTGTCCAAAATTTCAACATCGATTAGTCTCTGTTTATTTTGTTAATGAAGATTTACAACTTGTACACTATTTGGAAAACATAAAATCATTCCCTTACCAACACATCCAAATGTACAGTGGAGCAGCCTCTCTGAATTTTCTGACTTCATGCCCAGTGATCAGCCTGAACAAGCTGCCCATTCACCCTGAACACACACTGACACATTTATGGCACATGCATCGTGTAAATACAGGTATGTACAGGAACTGTGCCATTTAAAGCACATGGGAAATGACACAGAGAGATTACTGTGTGTGAATATCTAAGGAGGGAAAGAACGATTTATTAAGTTAATAAGCTTTGACAATCTATATAAGTCTTCAAAGTGCATAATATGTGTAACTGTACCCAATGGTTGTATTATTTGTTTGCATGTGTTTGTTCACAGCCACGTGGTGCTCTGGAAAATGCACTGAAAGGACATGCCAGTAGTATCAGACAGATTCACAGAGAACAAGTGGTTCCCATGGAGCAAGCAATGGTAATCAACACTCCAACAACACAACACCACTAAATTAAGACTCTTTTCACAAACATAACCAAACACAGCCTTTTACACTGGTCAACACCCCTACAGAGCATGCATATTATTTTAAGAGACTCAACAATCGATCTGCTTGGTAAAGTTGTATGAAGTATCCAGGTGCAAACATCACTCATATAGATACCTGCAAAGAATATCCCTAATTTATGGCAAACTGCATTTAAGTCTGCAAAATGTAAATATATATGTCTCACAGGTACGCAGAATTTACCAACTACATCTCAACTTTTCAAACTTTGTGTCATGTCTATAGCTCAACATTATGGACTTCAGCAAGCAGTAATAGGAAGAGTTAATCTTCGTTAGCTGATCCCAACTTTCCTCTTTTTCTCCTCTTCTTTCATTAACTTGTGACAGAAATATGTCAGAGCGCGGGTAAGCCGCTGTTGATACACAGTGTTCATTGTGCGTTTTTGTCAAAGCAGTGGTGTAAATGTTGTGTCAGTGATGTGATTGGGTGTTTGTAATCGCCATCTAGACGTGCAACTGCAGATTGTTTGGTAACAGATTTTTTTCTTCTCTTTGCGCAGAGTGCTATGAGCCAGAGTATCAAGCAGCTGCAAAGGACATCTAACGACCTACCGGTGAGGAAACACTTTAGTGCATTGCGCTCCAAATCAATAACAGCAATGTAAGATTTGCATAATGCTAGATGTGATGCACTAATCTTGGAGTTTATCATTAGATGGTTTGACAAAATAGGCAAATGACGTCAGGTGCTTTTGGGCTCTAACTTGACATTTTTAGGCTTGGGTTCCCGTAGAGCGCCTAAAAATACAGGTTTACGCTTTGGGCATCTAAACCCCGAGGAACACCAGATGCACAAACAGGGCTTCATGAAAATAAAGAAAACCAACATTTCTCTCTCTCTCTTTTAGGCTAAAGTCACAAACATCCTGAGTGCCATCGATGCAGTGGAGTACCTCATTACTCATAATGCCTCCCATGTGGTAAAACAGGTATTTAAAAAAAAACTGTGTAACGTGCATTTCATGACATTTGTGAACATGAGCATACACAAATAGCTTTTCCTTCTGGTTTCATACTGATCGACTAGATAATATTAGATGAGACATTCATCAAAACAAGATTGACAAGTCTTGCAGCTCAGTCAAAGCTCTACTTCCTTTGAATAAAACAGGAAAATAAAATCACTAAACAGCAGTCCAAACTTGTCCAAACTCAGCAGAAACAGCATCATAAAGCAGTTTGATATATCATTTTAAAAATTTGTCATGCACAGTGTCATATAGTGTGTTAGATTCACCTCACATAAGGACAGACAAAGCTTAAGAAACCATCGTTTGGTAAGATAAGAATACAAGCATCAAGAACTACAACATCTGTTAAGATAAATAGGAGGGTCTATGCTCTTTTCCCACACTCATCACCTATCTGCTAACATGTTTCCTCTGTCGATGTCTAGGAGACAAAGGCTTACACAGAAAGCTTAGTGGGATACTTCAAACAGTACACAGCATGGGTCAAAAACTCGGTGAGTATACCTCCGTTTCTGTATTATTTGAATAATACTGAGGTGTCCTCTTAAAGAGAAGGGGTTAACTATTTACAGTAAAGACATTATCAACAGGAAGTTTCTAACGGGGGTTTAGGCCGTATAAAGGCTTGTGCAACAGTTATTCAGAATCCCCCGGGGACATTTTTGTAAGACCACCGTGTCTGATTCTGTTTATGTTGTCTAGATTAGAAGTCTGTGATAATAAAACACTGAGGAGAGATTAGCCAGAGGGAACTAAAATGGCCATAAGTGCAGTCTTTCTGGATAAACACACCCCAAGAAAGTTGTGGTTTTACTGTTGACGTCATCCATATATCTCTGTAATCTAAACTCCGAGGTTGTTTTTGCTGCATACTGTACTTCATGTGTGTATTTTTCCCTGTAGTTGACTGCAGAGGTGGCCCAGTGCAAACCCATCAGTAACATTGTGGACAGTATGGAGATAGTAGGATGCAGTTTCATAGTCGATTCAGTGGTAAGGCACCAAGAGAACTATGTGGTTATCTGTGTGAGTCTGCGTATATGTGTGTGTATGTGTGTATGTGTGTGTGAGGTGCTCTTATTCATTTTGCAGCTGTATGTACCGAACATGTTCCCCACATGTATTTGGATTCCAACTGGAAATATAAACGGCTCTTTGACTGTTTGAGGGAGCGATGAAGGCTGTGGAGTCATTGGGCCACACGTATGAGAACAGTATGTTCTTCAGCCTTCAACACACAGACTCGCACATACTGAGATGAGATACAGTCTGTTTTGAGTCACGGAGGGGAGTTACGTACACACAGATTATTCACTGTTTGCACTCTGACCCCAGAGGAGATGAAAAGCTTCATATTTACATATTAGCTATATATCATGCATGTGAGTTTGTGAGAGTTTAATGAGAGCTCATTCAAGCCACAGACTGTGGTTAACATAAACACAGGTTTTATATATCCAGCAGTGAGCCTGCAGCCACAGCTGCATGTGTGTGTGTGTGTGTGTGTTTGTTCATGTGCACATGTGTTTGTATTTACATGTTCTGCTCTGACTGTGCTTCTTCATGTGAGTATTTCTCGTCGTTCTTGTATTTCAGTCTTTAAAAGGTGAGAAACTTTGGAAAAATGCCAAGTACAGTCAATACTTTTTGTGATGTACAGACTAAATACAAAAGGTAATGAAATTTTAACATTAAAAAAACACTGAGTCCTGATTTGTGCAGGGAAATTGACTTACAAAAAATGGACAAATGGATAAATACTCGAACTATTGAAGTTTAAAGTAGATAAGACAAACCTATCGCTATTCATTTTCTAATTAAAAGGGATTTGACAAACACTTGCAGTTATGTCTGATTAGATACATTTGAGAAGTTACTGTGCACTGAAGAATTTGCAGTGACAAATGAAGAATCCTAATTATCACAGGAGCTTCTTTTCCCTGTATACCATTTCATGTCACTGAAGGAAAGGTGAGCAGTGATGACTTTAATCTAGAGTCTCACTGCTAAACATCACAAACTGTTCCCATTATAAACACTCTGCCTTTAAATCAATCTACTAGTGTTGTCAGAGGGATCAGTGTTTCATGTTTTATGCTTTAAAAATAAGGAAACTGACCTGCAAATGTGCTTTTCAGAACACGTTCTGGTTTGGTCTGGGAGGCTGCTGCATACTTCTTATTCCCAGTATCATCTTCTCTATCAAACTGGCCAAGTACTACAGAAGAATGGACACAGAGGACGTCTTTGAAGAGTGAGTTCAAACACAGCCATATTTTTTTCATCCAGCTGCAAAGAAAAAAATTCAGAGATTTGCTCTTTTTTTTCTGAATCCTCCCTGTAGATCAAAATTGAATTAATCAGTCCCTTTCTTTTCTCTTCTCTGTTCTTCGATCCCCTTCATATTTTCTCCTCATTTTGTCTGTGAATCTCTCTCCAGCACTTCTTACCCGTGGCTTGTTGCTCTCTAATGTTTGTTATCCACACTTCCTTTCATCCTTTTCACTCCTTTGTTTCATATGGATTTCACTTGAGCTCTGGACCTCTGCACGTCTTTTATACTTAATCAGAAATCAAAAGCTCTACTTTTCCTCTCCACACGGATCTACATTTCATCATCTTGTCCTGCATCTTCTACCTTCATTTTTTACCACTTTTTTCTATCTTGAGAGATGCTTTCTAAGGATCGCTCCATCCTTGTTGCTTTCAGAGGAGTCCTTTCATTCTCCCTCTCACCTGTCCACCCTCACTTCTGTGTTGTAGTATGGGTAATACAGGTAATCGTGGTGAACAAGTGTGTGAAATCCACGGAGACCACAGTGTGCTCAGGTACGAGCAGAGCCTCTGTTGCTTGCATGCTGCGATATTAATTGGTGGAGGGATAATTTTCAGTCTGGATGGTTGAAAGTCAATGAACAGAGTGACATGTCTCACTATTCTCCACGGATGTTACATTTGCTATATGTGTGTACCTGTATGTGTGTCTGTGCGTGTACATGTAGCTCGCCCTATCTCGACACTCTGACCCGGTTCCCTCGGGCATCTGCTCCCCCGAGCTATATGGACTGGTGACCAAAAGGAACTTGTTGATGAGGTACCGCTGATCAGTCATGACTTTTCACTAACCCTTACCTAAAAAACTGCATCTATGAACCATCAGCCATTTAATCCTCATCCATCCGACTTCATCTTGGTAGAGGTGAAACACTGAAATAACTTAGAAACATGACAACAAGTTTGATGTTTAAACCATCAGTTTGTGATTTCTGCTGAAAGGGGAGCTGCAGTTTAAACAGTAATTACCAAGGACATGGTTGGATGACATTGGGATGTAGTGTGGGAGTTGTTGCCAGATGGCTGGTTACTTGCAGATGGGGTTAAGCTAAATGCAGCGTCACTTTGGAGGAATCATACATCTCCCTTGGTTTGAACATTTTTTGAAACATTTGAGAGAAATATAAGAACTTAAAGGGATATTCCGGCATAAAATTAATTTAGGGTCAAACACATCGTAACACCGAGTTAGACACCCTCTCGAGAGATGAATGTTGCCGACCGCTTGCTTCACTAGTCATACCAACTTTAGTAACGACCGCACGATAGCAATACACAGTGGTCTGAGGAGACATAAACAAACCTCAACCAAAACGCCATTTCTTCATGAAAATGCTATCAGACTGAGACGCTAAGGCAGAAGAACTACCGTGTCTGCAGTGAAAAATGATTAATATGGTGATTATTACTTCAAGGAAATGATAAAGTAATGATCATAAATGTTCTTCCTTGAGCTGCGTCACCCCGCTGTAGTCCATAATGGACTGGCCTGAGGTCTCACTACAAACAAGCAGCTGCTGGAAGAGAGTAGGTGAGTTGTGTTTAGTCTCTTTGCTAAAGAAATCAGGCAAAGTTGAAAAGATGTTTGGTGGCTAGGACCCTATATGTACTGTTGATGAAGTTAGGTGCTGTTCTGAGTATTATTTGTGGCTATAGAGTGGCGTTTTGGTTGAGGTTCGTTTATGGCTCCTCAGACCGCTGTGTATTGCTATCGTGCGGTTGTTACTAAAGTTGGTATAACTAGAGAAGCAAGTGGTCGGCAAGATTCATCTCTAGAGGGGGTGCCTAACTTGGTGTTGCGTTGTGTCTGACCCTAAATTAATTTATGCTGGAATGTCCCTTTAACTTAGCAAAAATTTTTACCACCAGTCAGTTGTTATCAGACAATTTTAGGTGGAATTATTGCTTTTAACACTGAGAAGTTTTTCACTCTTGTGGTAAATTCTCAAGGACTGTTATAACTTTACTCTTCCGCTGCAACTTTTCTACCTCGTCCAAAGTCCAACTGCAATATTTTGAGGATTTTTGTCAATTTTTTACATTCATCTTCGTTTTTCCAATATGGAGATAAAAAATTTCATAAAGCACAAAGTTGACAGATACTCACCTCTCGTCTCTTCCATCACTGTCTTCATCCCTCATCCTTCATCATTGTCTCTTTTCACCACCAATGTGCTTCAAGCTCTGGGTCAGAATGTTTCTCAGGATGGAGATGAAGCTGATTTCTGCTCATTCACCAGCGCTGTCATGAAGATTTCATTCTGCCACTTTTGCGCTACATTGACTGTTTTCTGCCAGTGCTCATGGAAATGCATGTGGATGATACCAAAACCAGAACACTCCCAAAATCTGGTCTCACTGATAACCAACAGGAATGTTTGTTGCTCTTGTCTTTTTTTTCCTGACAATCACTTGAAAACTGATTTCATTTTTTTTCCCCAACAGTGGACAAGACTCCTGGAACTGATATTTCCCTCTTGGTGAGTCCTCATGTGTCTATTGCCTGTAAATAGAGTAATTCACTGTTTAAAAAGCACTTTTAAAGGTTATTTACAACATTTACTACTTTTTATTTTTTTAGAACCACTGGACTTTCCAGCCTTCCTTTTCAGGGGAGATCAGCAACAATCAGGAACTGTGTGGTGAGGGCGTCCCACCCTCAGTGACCCTTCAAGCCATTTGACAAGGACCTCCAATGCCAGCCAATTGTAATATATGATGTGTTCTCTCTACCCACCATTACTCAACCCAGCATTACCACAGCAGTCCTTTTAGTGCGCTCCTCCTGCTGTATAATATCATTTATCAGAGCAACGTACCTGTATAGCTAGATTTTACTGTAGATAATACATTTGTTTCTACCTATAATGTGAGTTTTAACACGGTGACACAAGTGTACATTTTTTTACAGCTTTCAAAACATTTGAAAGTTTTATATATTTTTGTTAATGTTTGTTTTTTAACATGTAAGTAGTATTTTTGTAGAATTAGCTCTTCTTTTCTTTATGAATATTTGTAATTTAGATCAAATCATTTTGGCTCGACAGGTTCAGGGAATTCAGGGATTGCTCAGCAGTTTGGGAAATACTTTGATTTGCTTTCTTGCTGAGAGTTAAATGAGAGACTAGATTTGATGTGAGTTGCAAGTTGTGTGGGACAAGTAAGAGTGCAGCTTAATCGTGTTATTTTACCCAAAGTTGCCAACCCACAGCTTCAAAATTTCAAGATATTCTTTCAAGGTGCTGTATCTCCATGTTTTTGCCTTTAGACAGGGCTAGGCTTATTGTTTTCCATTTTCAGTCTTTGGCTGCTTGCATACAAATATAAGAGCACAATCCATCTTCTCTACTAACTTTCAGCACAATCCCATAAAAGTATTTCCCAAAGTGTGGCATTTTTACCGGAGAAGGAAACACAGCAGCTCAATTTGGCCTCTTCTTGACTAAGTTATTTGAAACGCTGAGACATAAAGAGAGCAGCTCAACATGCACAGAAGTGACGCACACATATCTTCACAAGGTTTACAGACAGCTAACAATCAAAATATCGTGTCTTAGGCAGCTCTCGTCAGGACATTAGTGACGAGCTTGCTGCTTATGTTGTCAGAGGTTGTTTTTTTTTGTTTGTTTGTCTTTGCCAGTCTGTGGTTTAAGAAATTAAACTCCCAGGAGCCTCTATGGTGTCAGGGGCTTGTTTGAGGACCTAAAGGTGACTAAACTGCTGGAGTTTGTGGTAAGGGAGCTAATCTGTGAATAAAATCTTCAAACAACTTAGTGTCTACTTCTCATTTCTCTGCAAACACACAAGCATGAACTGGATTTGACACATCCTCTTCTCTGACTCATTATGTGACAGCCAAAGCACATAACCCCAGAGGAAACTGATAGCATTTTTGTTCTTTTATGGTCATAAATCATCCAGACTATTTTGAAAGTGTACCTTCATGCTTTCTTGAGAGTTTTCAGTGGCTCAGATTCATCAGATAGGAATGAAAACGAGTACATTCAATGATATAAGTGAAGCATAAGAAAAACTTCCCATGTCTTGCCAAAGTCAACAGGAACGCAGGGAACATTCATGTAGCATGCAGAGCTGAATACATGCTCACACAGCAGCTGAAAGGGTTCAGGTCTGTTTCTGGGGGATGACAGGTTTGCAGGAAGCAGCGGAAGGAGGGGGCTTGGCGGAGTCGAGGTGGCGTGATGCTGTTGCATCCTATCAGAAGAGGACTACACTAACTTAATTTGGGAAAACATCTGTTCCAAACAACTTGCATAGACACACACACTCCTACACACACGCACACACACGCACTTTGAATGTTTACTTTACATTCCCGGTGTCTCTTACTGGGGGAACTTTTTTTCTCCTCTCCACCGGATTGATGGCTATAAAAACAAAACTTCCTGCAAGCACTGAGGGCATACATGCATTTTGTGCACACACATACAGTATGTGGCTTTGTACACAGCAGCAGGCTATACATACACTCTCCTCTTCCGCTCTGTGTCCAGGCTAGCTGGTTCATATGGAATATTTAAAAGGTAGCTCTGTTTTCCTGTTTAGATTTATATGTTAAAAATGCAGAAGTAGGGCTGTCTTTGAACTCACAACCTGCATACCACTCTGACCAGTGGAATGATACTTGGCAAAGCTATCATTCAGTATTTATTCAGAGTGTATTTAGAGGTGTTTTGATCAGTGTCTCAGATTTTTGTTTACATTTTTATCTAATGTAACCATCACTAACCTTCTGAAAGTTAGCATATTTGTCTCTTTTCCTTGTATATGAAGCCATTACTTAGTGTCACGTAAAGATTAAAGTGAAGGTAAAGCTCTGTCTAAAGGTATTTACATCAGCCAACCAGTATTTGGTTAACACTCTTTATCTTATTTGTTCAATCTGTGCAAAAACAGGGATGTTAAAACAAAATGTTAAGCTATGGGCCTGAAAGTCACTTCACCATGTAACTCCACTTGAAACCACTTGGTAGAGATTAAACAAGCAAGATATAATCTGCTGTGAGTTGCAGCTTTTTAGCTTTCTTTCTTTTTTTTTTTTCCAAAACTTTTTTGTGCCCTTTTTTTTTTTTTTAACCAGGTTGGCTTATCCCAGTCTGTGTGGCAAGCAAGGATAAATATCCAGTGGTTCATTTCAGTGAATAGATCAAATTACAGGGGTGCCCATCTAACTGATGGTAGAAAAGAAGAATTTCATATTTACTATAAAATGTCAAACTGTTCCTTTAAGATATCAACGCTCTGACTAAGCATCTTTTGCACAACCATTGCAACCCAGTGTTAGCATGACCATATCCTGACTTCCCAAAGAGACGACACGGCTATGCAGGGATGGAGTCACGGAGTCGCACGAAGTTAATTTTGAGAGTTTTTCGGGTCAGATTGAATGTCTTTTACATGCTTCAAGCTCAGTAAGTCCACATAACACAAACTCGAAACTTTCGTACAAAATTGTGGACATTTGAAGGATTTTATAAACTTCCCTGAACAAACCCGGACAGCCCCCAAAAAAGAGGACATGTCTGCGTAAAAGAGGACATATGGTCACCCTACCCAGTGTGGAATAAAACTTGAAACATGGAGTTACCCCCTAAAATTGTAGTTTAAAGCCATTGTAAGGAACTTTTAGTCCATGTCTATTATGGCGCCCCCCTGTGGACAGAATGATACTCCTTATCTCTAGTCCTCAGCAGCTGTCAATCAACTTGTCTGACACCTAATTCTTAAAAACTCCTCACAGTGACTTTAAAGTCTGTCAGGTTTTTTGCATTATAAAGTTGAATAAATAACGTATGCTTGATGGGATAGCTAGCAGCATGGCAAGCTCAAATAAGTGACACTTGTCAAACAAGCCAAAAAATCTGCATCTTACACCTCACATGATGTTGCCTAGCATTAGGTAACTTGCTGGCTATCTAGCTAACTTAACTTAAATCCCTTTACAGGCAGAAAAGCATGTATTTGTATGTAGTGCTATTATCTATAGCGGCCAAGAACAGCTACTGCTGCAAATAAAAAAAGAAACGGTGCAGATTTTAAAAAAAAAGCCACTACAGAAGTTAATGACGCAAAAAAAGTGCCTATGGAAAAAAAAGATACTTACTGCGAAAATAAAAGGATGCAAATGAAAAAAGTTAAACAATTACTTGAACCAAAATTAAACAAAAACCTTTCCACTTCCACGTCTTTGCTTGTCTTCTTGCTATCGTCCTCTGCGCCTATATCGTAAAACACCGGTGCATCATCATTATTGGTCCCTGGCAGCTCACTTCTGTTGCGGCTTTTGTTATTTGCATCTTTTTATTTTCGCAGTACGTAACTTTTTTCTTTGCATCACCACTTTTTTTGTTCTGCACGGTTTCTTTTTTTATTTGCAACGGGCTTTTTTTTTTTTGTTTTTTGTTTTTTTGCATCAGTAACTTCCGTTGTGTGTTTTTTTTTTTTCGTTTTTTTTTCTTTTTTTGCAGCCGTGGCAGTTCTCAGCCACTGTAGAAAATATTTATATGTAGTGCAAAGATAATGGGGCCTTCTTATGGCAGTAAGAAAAATAGTGCAAAATTTCTCTGTGGGGCACCAACTTAAACCGAGATAAATGATTTGGTCATGGTCTCTTGAAACTAGTTTAATAACTTGAGAGACGACTCCATTTGCAGAGAACCTTGTCTCTGCAAATTCTCATTTAAGGGACAGAAATTACCTGCATCCACCGAGGCTACTACATTAACTCTTGACCTGTAACTAATACAACCGCACTTCAAAAAGTATTGAAATATCCTTTTAATAAAAGACAAAATCAATCCAAAAATTATCTTTAATCTCTGAAAACTGTATCATTTTGTTCATAAATGGTCATTTGTAATGATTCAGTTTTGCATTAAACAATCATCTTACTGTGCACTTTATGACCTCTCTGAAACAGAAATATTCTTGTGCATCAGTTTAGGCCGCAAATAATGAGTTTGTTCAGATGACATAACTATCTGTTTATGTTTGCTGTTCTGAAGTGCGGCTAAGAAATCACCGCGTCTTCAGGTAAACACCAGGAGTTCTTTTATTGTTCAAGGGATCGACTTTAAATCGTCAGCAAATAACTCCAGGCTGTAATTTAGCCGTTGACGCTCAGCGGTCTTCCCCTCATCAATAGTCAAAGAGCCTCCTATGTAAGATTATATAATGCCTCGCAACTCTCTTGCAGTGTTTGGCTTCGTGTGTGCAGGCTCTGTCAGCCCCCACAGACCCACTGACCACTAGCCCCTCACCCCTCTTCCTTCTCGATTAGTTTATGTTCTCCCCCTCCTCCCATCACTTCATCACTTTTTTGAGTCTTGAACATACCACACACGCCTTATGTGGTCTAGGTGTGTATGTGTGTGCATGTATGTGTAATGTGGGGGTCTCTCAGTGCTGGGGGAGGAGTCTTTCAGCTCACCTGAATAATACCTTCTTTGTGAGCTGAAGCCTTATATACCCACATTCTGGTGCTTTCTACCCTTGCACACCTTAACCCTCTGTGCAGACACACATTTCCACATCGTCCCGTGCCCTAATCCATCCATCACTAACAAATCCGACGCCGCCATGAGAGCCAGGATGAGGATGTTGCTGCTTTGTTTGGCAGCAACTCTTTGTGTGTCAAACGCTCAGACCAACACTAACGAAAACAGGCAGCAGCAGCAGCAGCAGCAACAGCAACAGCAGCAGCAGCAGCAGCAGCAGCAGCAACGCAGCATCTGGGATGAACCTATCAAATTCAGCACCAAGACTAAAGACTCCTGCACCATGGTGGTTTCTGGAGTCGGGGACTATACTCGCTTGCGTGTGTCTTGCAAAGGTCAAAGCCAGGGCCAGACCGCCGGGCGCTCCTACTACTGCGACTTCCAGGGCAAACCCAACCTGTGCCGTGCCTACAACCTCAACCCTCGCCACTACTTCACCCAGATGATGTGGGACATGAGGAAGCTCAGCCACGCCTGCCAGGGACCCAAAATCTACCGTCCACAGATGTGCAAGAAATACCCCGATGACGCCCAGATGACCTTCCTGGCCGCCTGGCCCAAGACCACCACCCCCAGGCCCTCCAAGCCCGTCCAGGAGCCACGTAAACCAGTGGTCCCTGCCCAGTCTAGGCCTGCTACAACTCCCAAAGCTGCCAAGCCTCAGCCTGTCAAACCCCAACCAGGCAAGGGCCCACAGACCAAGAAGACCACCCCTAAACCTGGAAAGACCACTACTCGTCCCACAGAGCAATCTGAATCCAAAGCAGCCCGCATCGCCTCTGAGTACTGCTGGAAGAGCTTCCATGGAGTCTGCACCTACTTCATCAGCTGGTTCCAAAACTGAGGCGAGACTTAAGACACAGGTGAGTGAAAAACAAAGCAGAAAAGTAAGAGTTAAAAAGTTTAAGATAAAAGTGATAGTTAAAAACAGTTTAAAATGAATCTGACTATGATGCCAGAGAAGATCATGAGATGTAGAAGCCAGTCAAATCATGTTTATCAAACTATACCCAAGCTGTCAATCCACAACATGAAACTAGCATGATCTTAAAAATCCTCACTGAATCTTTCATTTTCAATCTTTTCAGGTCGTAAACAGCAGCGATGAACCCGGTCAGAACTCTTCTCCTCTATCTTTGACCTCTCCAGGATCTGTGCAGGAGCCTCTGGAGTCACTTCTTCTCCTTGTGAGGTCTGACTCCCCACTCTGCAGCATCTTACCGGCTGATCCAACAACACTCCACCTACACCTGTGTACGGTTAGCAGATGACTGCTTGTGCTGTCATGTAGTGTACATGTTTTTTTTTTTTAATCTGTAAAACACAGCAAGGCAAGGGGAAAATATGGCAGGCATGTGATTCTGTTTGTATATGATGTAAAATTCCCTTCTTGTGTCACATTAATGTGAAGGTAAAGAGAATAAAGTCAAAGTGGTGACCTCTACATCCTCTCCTGTGTCGCTCTGTTACATCTAAACAACCAGCAGTAGACGTTTTCACACTCTGTCCTTCAAAGAAGTCCTTGTTTCATTTCATCGCCGGCTGTAACAACATTTGGGCAGAGGAAGTAGTTACGGCGCAGACACAGTCAGAGTGAAGCCAGACTTCAGTAAAGATAATACATCTCAGTCACAGGAGCTGTCTGAGCTGAGCTAAACACCTCTTTGTATGAGCTGATGAATTGAGTCTTAAGAGCTGCTGTGCAGGAACAGAGGAGGTCTGTGTGAGAGGAAACCAATGTGGCCGCAGCACGGGTGCAGCCACATGCACGCATGTGGTGCAGGATGCTGCAAATCACTTTTAGTCTGTGGACACTACTTTAACTAACCAAACATAAACAAACAGTGAAGAAGTCATTATAAACCCATCCTGTGCAGCCCAATATTGTAAACTAATCTTTTTTGGGATCCAAAGTTGAGCTGAATATGGAGAAATGTTGTGTCGATTATGTACAAGGCAGTGAAAATACTTGACAAGGATCATAAGTAATGCGCAGTCTTGGTTTTGAATATTTCACCCTGCTGATTCTTCACAAATCAAACTTCATCTGGAGTCTTAAAACAAACTTTTGAGAGGAAAAATGGTAGAAAGCTCACTTTTCAATGAGCTAACCTCTCACACTTAAATACTCAAATTCAAATCGTTTACATATTTCGTGCAAGATATGTTCATAATTCTTGTCACTGAAATGCATAAAAAATTCATGGCTGTAATGAAAGAGGTCTTAGCTCAGTAGAAAAGGAAACAAAAGGCATTAAAAGCTTTAAAGACAAAATATGTGCTCATAAATGAAATTAAGGGTGGCAATAAAAACAAAATATCCTTTGTTTCCAAACCCACAGGCCACTTCATTAAGGCTCATGTAAGATTTTTTTGCAGGCAATAAAACAGACTAAAATTAATGATGGCGCCTCAGTCGTTGTTATTGTCATTATATTAATGATAACCTCTGAGAGAAAACAAGATCGTCTGTATAAAGAGGATCTATTTCTTTATACCGTAAATCCAGAATTAGCTACATCATCATATAAGACTGTGTCTGTTTTCAAGGGCTGCATTACAGAAAAAAGAGTCACACAATGTCCCTGCAGTGTTTTATTCCTTATTTATTTGAGGGACCATGTATGATATCAAACATAACTGTAATCATTTGATGTGCAGTTTCCACGACAGGAAGAGTCAGTCATCCTTAATATGAAAGTTAAGTTTTGATCCCACTGCTGAGGTGTCCCAGGACAAGGCACAGAGCCCATCTGGTGGCAACACAGTCACATTCACTCTTATGGCAGTTGTTTGCTCCTCTAAGCATGATCTTCTGTGTGAAATAACATAACACAATATAATACTTCTGTATTTTACACAGGAATACTGGCTTTACCAGGGCAGAGTAAAATAAAGGTGCATCTTAGACGCTGAATTTCACAGCACTGAAACTGTTGGTGGGGGTTAAAGCACAGTTGAAGTGATTACCTGCATGCTACCCTAAGCATTGTAACATCTCTCTTTGCAGTATATGAATGAAACAGAAAAATGAGGCAGATCTGTATTTAAAACCGTGTTGAGATCATACTGAGAAAGCCTTACTTTTTTGGCTGAGTTGTTGCACGATGTGTGTACTTTTACACACCTCCACTGGTCTTCCTTTTTTTCCAGCTGAATCTGTTCAACCACCAGATGGTGCCATGTTGACCTGTAACTCAAATTCACACTCACACACACCCACAGTCACAAAAACTACTACTTAATTACAGGATATACACGACTACTATTTCCCATCATGGAGGGACTGTAACTTTATGGTAGCTTATTGGACGCAAGATGTATTATTTTTGTTCTCCTTTTTGTTCCACAGCGTCTTTAGTTCTTCTCTGCTGTCACTGCATCATTATAGGATGAAATATGATAACAGGGTGTGGTGAATTCATGCTCTCACCCTTAAGTAAAGTCTGCAGCATGTTATATATGATATACATGTCAAATTCCAAGCACCAATGAATCTGAAATACAACATTTAAAAAGATAAATGTGTAAATATGCAGTTTTTGCTATTCTACGAATTAAACTTTTTGCAATATTTTTATTTAAGTGACTGAGGCCACATTATTTCTCTGTTTAGACCACTGACCATACTTAGATTTTAAAATGTAACCTTACATGTCAAAATTGGACACACCTAAATACAAGCATATAAATCCCAGCATATTCTGATCCCATCCTTCTAGATGTCAGTAGGATATTCTATATACACTGGCTATATATTGTATCTTACAGCTCCTATGAGGAGTTTTTGACATTCATGAAATAGTCTGAAGCTCACACAGGTGCCTTTTCATGGTATCCAAAAGCAAACAAAACCATAAGCAACAAGACTGACTAGATTGTATATCTATATTTTTAATCCTTAAAACAAGAGTAAGAGAATCAGTAACGGTTAATGTAAAAGAAACTTTCAATGATTATAAAGTAACTTAAATTAGGCTGAACCTGCCAACTGAGATGAGTTAACTGAGACTGCTAACTGAGTTCCTTAAGCTTCCCTCATGAGTCATTGAGTTAATGTTAGGATACCAAAGGAGGAACGATTTAGGGGGTTAATGTGTTACTCTTGGATAGATAAGTGCTTTAAACAGAACAAATACAGTTGGATTTAACAATCTGCTCTTTTAACACTGTCTACATTGTCTCGGCCACTTTGAAAAACTATGCCACCATTAGGGATGTGGCCTCCTATTATCGTTGTTGTGGCTGGAAGGATTTTGTACCACACTGGCATGGCATAGTATTTTTAAACCACATGTGTTATCTTGTAATTCTTAGGGACTAGGGACTACTGTCTTGTATCATTGATTATGTCCTATTTGACCCCTGATGTAACACTGACTCCAGTGGAAAGGGGGGAAAAGCTAAGATACCAAAAGCCCCTGCACCTGCCCCTTATTAGTCTGTTTCGGGTCTGTTAAACCCCTAATTTAGGTGAACTATCGATCAAGTAGGTTGTAGTCAGTGAACTATTTACCCCACTAACCCACTCCCCCCTTCAATGGTTGCCTCAAGGCCAAATAGGTAGCTGGTAGGCAGATTTCCAGTGCCTGTGTAAAGAGGCCTCTTCCTCTCTTATTCCTTTCTTTTGTGGTATTCCCCAGGGGTCAACTCTGGGCCCCTTTCTATTTACTGTGTTCCTGCTACCCCTTTGGTCAACGGGTCATTTTTTCACACAATGGTTTCACTTGGTCTAGTCCTGTTGTAATGTAGCCACTTCACCATCATTTATCAACCTTTTTCCTCAAACGTTTTTAGGAAAGTGAAGCTACAAAGTCCTTGTAAGAGGATGGATAAAGTGGATTGGTCAAGCACAAGATTTGAGAGATTTAAGTGTGTGAAACCACAAGTAAACACTGATTGAATATTTCAACCCAATCAATAACCTTTTTTAGGGTCAAGTGAAATTCTTGTTCACACTTGAATCTTTGTTGATCTTGTCTTTTTGAAATTCACAAATAAATTGATAATTTAATCAACATCAAAAATTCATGGCTAAATAAGCTGATAACATGTTTTATATAGATTTTTAAAAATCAATTTAAAAGGATATTCTGGCGTTAAATTAATATAAGGTCAAACATACCATAACACCAAGTTAGACACCCCCTCGAGAGATGAATGTTGCTGACTGCTTGCTTCTTTAGTTATACCAACTTTAGTAACGACCTCATGATAGCAATACACAGCTATATGATCATTTCTTTATCATTTCCTTGAAGTAATAATAATCACTATAGTAATCCTTTTGCACTGCAGACACGGTAGTTATTCGGCCATAATGTCTCTGTTTTTTTGCATTTCCATGAAGAAATGATCATAAATGTTCTTCCTTGAGCTGCGTCACCCCGCTGTAGTCCGTAATGGACTGGTCTCGCTACAAACAAGCGGCTGCTGGAAGAGAGTAGGTGAGTTGTGTTTAGTCTCTGCTAAAGAAATCAGGCAAAGTTAAAAAGATGTTTGGTGACTAGTTCTATGGCTGGGACCCTAAATGTACTGTTGATGAAGTTAGGTGCTGTTCTGAGCATTATTTGTGGCTATAGAGTGGAGTTTTGGTTGTTTATGGCTCCTCAGACCACTGTGTATTGCTATTGTGTGGTTGTTACTAAAGTTGGTATAACTAGAGAAGCAAGCGGTCGGCAACATTCATCTCTAGAGGGGGTGTCTAACTTGGTGTTACAGTGTGTTTGACCCTTAATTAATTTTAGGCCAGAATATCCCTTTAACAATATGTGATGCCAGTTACTAAACAATGCCATTATTCTGTAAATTTCTAATGAGGACAGGGCTAAAGAGCACCCTCTGATAGAACAGTATTAAGCCCAAAAGCTGGAAAGTTGTTTTTTGTAATAATGTCTTAGCACTTTTACATTACTCACCCATTCCAACAACATTCACACACTGATGGCAGACGCAGCTATCATGGGCCCATTAGTTTTAACTTACTCCATTCACATAGCATTGGGTGCTGCCAGCAGGGGCGGTCCGGATCAAGTGTCCTGCCAATACCATTGTCGCCCCATTTCAAGCTACTGCTCATGCAGACTTGGCCACATCAAACTTGAGATGGAGCTATCAAGCAGAAAACACAATTTTTTACGCATCTCACCAGAAGCTATCAACGCAAACATATAGGAGTGGAAGAGGTTTGAAAAAGAGACGACAGAAGTGCTCCAAAATCTGGTTTAATTTGACCCAAATCAACGCTCATGGCCAGAAGAGCTGAAGTCTGTGACTGTGTGATTTCCAGTAAGGGTGGAAATACATGCTTAACTCTCTGGTGACTGTGGGAGTTCGTTTTAGACATGTCAGGTCATGCCAGAACAAAACACATTCCGGTCTGCTCGGAGAAACCACAGCCAAGATTTTTTTTCTCAATGGAGATGCGTGGGCTTTACGTAGTGTGTGTACGCATGTGTTGTTGGGCGGAAAAAGTGGGCGTGCCGCAGCATCTCTGTATGAAAGCCATGTGCGGCACCACAGAGAGCCAGAAGAAGGTGCTTTACGCACAGAGACGCTTATTGTTTGGGTAAGTTGGACTTCTTATCTTACTTTCTGGTGTGGACTTTGTGCACATTTAAGTGAAATACTGTTATATATCAATTTCTGCCACACAGGGTCGAGAATCTGAATTACTGTACCAATCATGAGAACGTTTCTTTTTCAGTTTTACAGACTCCTCTCTCCTCTGTTCAGGTGATAATCTGGTAAAGAAGATGCAGCTGCTGAGGACCTTCGCACCCTGGTTGCTGTTGGCCTTCCTCGGACAGCAGGTCTCTCTGTCCTCCAGTGTGCGTAACAAGAACCGTAGAACAGACAGGACCGCGACCCAAGCCCCCGGTGGAGCGCAGAGGAGCGAGTCCAAGTCGGCAGCCACTGGCAGGGGCAAGTTCCTCATCAAAACCAAGAAGATGCAGTGCACGTGGGGGGCTGAGGACGTGGGGGACAGGGTTAGGCTGAACATCAAATGCGAAAACCCCGAGGCGCGCGTGAAAGGCGGGACGACTGATCTGGAGTGCCAATACAACGGCAAACCTGAGCGCTGCCCGGGGTATCAGTCCGACCCCAACGGCTTCTGGAAACAGGTGGCACGCACGTTCAAACGGCTGCAAGCCAAAGTGTGCATCGATGAGCGCGCTTTGGTGAGGGCTGGCATGTGTAAGCGCGCGCCCCGAGATGCGCACTTCAAGCTGGATATCAGGAGCTCGGTGGCCGCCGGTCAGTCAGGAGGGGAATCCGAGGGTTACCAGCCGCCCCCACCCCGACCCACCAGCTCTGCTCCCGCCGGGCCTACAGCCTGCAGGGGGCGCGAGCAGCAGAAGAAAAAGGCGGAGGAGAACTGCGGCAGGTGGGCCAGTGTGTGCACCTTCTTCTTCTCCATGCTGCAGAGTGAAGACTGTTGAAGCTCCTGAGTGGACGAGGACATGATCAGAGACGAGATTTGGTGACACTTTACAATAACCATAACTTATAAATGGTTAACAGTTAGTTTATTAATGTTTTATTATCATTTATAAATAGCATATAGACCAATAATACATTTTAAATTTTACTATTTTAAAAACCTAACCCTTACCCTTACTTTACAATAACCATCTAAGTAATGTTTATGGGTGGTTTATAAACCACTTATGAATCATTTACAAAGTATTACAAACATCAGTTGCAACTTTACAATAACCATCTAAGTAATGTTTATAGATGGTTTAAAAACCAAATATTAACCATTTACAAAGTGCTACTGACATGCATTTTAATCTAGATGTTTTACAACCAATATTTAAACCTTATATAAACCTTTAATAAATAGTCCATTAATAATTCATGAAAATTATTCATCATAATTTCATTGCTTGTTTATGTTAAAGTCACTATTTACTTACATTAATGAACTATCTATTTGCCATTTATAATTGGTCTAAATGCTGTTTTTAAATGATGATTAGACATTAATAAACTATCTATTTACCATTTATAGATTATGGTTATTGTAAAGTGTTACCCAAGATTTACTTTAGGACTTTTTTTTGTGTTTTGTTTTGTTATAGTGGTGACACAACTACATCTGTTGACAAATCCGTCACTTTAATACTGGACAGATTTTATCACCTTAATGTGCTTTTTGACCAAGTGAACGAACTGATTTCAGTTTTCGCACTTATATCTGTCAGAACTCGTGCAGATTTTGACGTTTTCAGGTAGTATTTTGGTACCTTTCACCAGAAAATACGATTATTGTTCCGTTATGTGCAGTTATTTATCATCAGCAGTTGAAATACTTTTGTTTGTACATTTTTAGGGCACTTATACATAAAAAAAAAAGATAATTTCACCTTCATGTATGTTTTGCCTTTAATATAGCACTTGGTACTTTTCAGACAGCCCTCCAAAACGTGAGATTATGAAATGTTATCATCTTAATTTATGTATTTAAAATACATAAAATAGTATATCAAGTACAATTAAAATGCTATTCACTCATCATTACTTTTTGGATAGTAACTCAGTAATTTGTTATGAAGACACAACACCTTTGAAGTCATTATTTGTCATAGTGAGTACTATTATTACTTGAGGTACATAAACTCCAGTCATTCAGGTGTATGTGTGTTTTTGCTATTTAGGATACTGCCTGATTTAGACCAGTTTCTCCCTGAAATAGATTTTTTTTTACTGTGTATTGTTCATGACAGAAAACTGCAGTATGATTTCTTCTACCTCTGGCTAACTTTATCCAAACACTAGGCTACTGTATTTATGCACCACAAATAAATATTTTCTATTTACCCAATGTGTCCTGTATCTGTGAATATGCTGCAAAAATTACACATTCTATTGAATCCTAAACATAGTTTTTGTGCCATGCAAACCCACAAAGTAAAAACTGTCTTTGACATATATTATTGTCTCAGTGCAAGATATCTCCAACTGTGCAGTTATATATTTTTATCACCTTGCAGCATTTAAAGTAACTCAAGTAATAAGTTTCAAACCAAGAATGTGTGTTCTGATGCAGCTTACATTTTTGTGATCAAATGAATGTTTTAAGAGAGGGGTTCGACAGTATGGCAATACCTATAGAGATAGCAACCCTTTCACAATATGATGGGAAAAAAAGTCAGTTCTTGAAGTCCCTGAGTGGTTAAATACAAATCTAATCTGCTCGATAAATTTGAGGTTTTCACTATTTATGACTCTGTGCCAGGATAAACCTTTGCTGGCCAATTACAATCTTGTCTTAGCCTTCCTGTCCTCTGACATGCTCCCAGGTTCAAGCACACCCACAATGAAAGACTCTTTTTTCATACACACAAGTGGAGTGATTGTGCATGGCATCCCAGGATAGGGCTTGTTCCTCCTATTTCCTGCAGCAGTCTCTAATTACTTTCTCAGTGACAGCAGCCAGCTGCATTAGCAGCCATTTATAAATAGTTAAGGCTGCCATGATCCAGCTGTGCGTGCACGTGTGCTTGTGTGTGTGATCCTTGAACAAGTGCAAGCACAGATGTGTTTTTTATGCTTTCCTGTCTGCTCTCGACCCCCTTAACCTCTGACCTGCTGATCTTTGTCCCCTCAGACAGACATGTTAAAAAAGACAACTGGAGAGAGATTTCTACCTTTTAACGGAAGTGCGCTCTCTTTGAACACACAAATGGGGAATTTTGTGGGCATATTGTTTTACCAACTTCTTCTCCAGAGCTCAAGGACACATTCCAGGGAAGAGGAAGTAGTTAGGGGTTAAAGGTGGAGAGTGAGAGAGGAAATGAGGATACCATCCGATAGTCAGTGTTGTAAGCTTCAGCTGCCACCTCATCATCTGGGTTGACTTCTTTTATCTTCTGGCACATTCAAGCTTTGATCAAATGAAAGATCCACCAGCAGGATTATGTTCTCCAGGATCAGTTTAGACTAGGAGGTGGTGCTATAAATCAGACTGTGGGTGGGCCTCTTAACCTCGTTCCTCTTGAAAAGTGGAGTTTTTTGCATGGGGCTGTTAGGAAGTGAGATACCCAAATGATTATTCCTAATTATACTGACTTTACAATCACAAATCCCTGGCGCCATCTGTGCTTCGAGCAGAAATGATGATAACTGCCTGTTTTCTTGCAAGCAATCAGAGAAAGCCCCTCAACACTCTTTGGTTTGTAGTGGGAATTTATATTACAGGAAAGTAAAAGACGGATGACTTGATCCTCTAGCTTGGAGGTTCAGTCCTTTGAACAGTAGAAACCACTTTTACTAAAAAGTTGGGATGCTGTAGAAAATGTTGCACGATGCAAAAAAAAAGGCATCTTTGAACTAGTTAGCTTAATTTGCAACAGGTAAGTAAGTGGCATCACTAGGTGTGAGAGACTGTGTGAATAGCTCAACACATACAGAGTAAATGAGTATATGCAGAAATCTCTGTAGTAAAAGCACACGTACTGCCCCCAGGTGGCACTGTACTCTTCACACATAACTTACATTTGATACAGTTAAACATCCAGATCAGAAGACTGATTGAGTCACACAGAAATTGTTCAGTAATAAATGTCAGCATCGGTTACATGTTTCATCGTCAAATCAGGGTGTGTGTGATTCTTGCCTCAATCATGAGTGGGTGTTTTCAGTGGAATTCACCTTTAGGCAGCGGGTCGTCACTCAAACTACTAAGCCAGTTCAACTGTTCAGCAAATTTTCCCTCACAGGTGACACAGAGGTAGTACTTCAGTAATTTATGAACAAAAGCATGAATAGTAGGGGAGACCGGGGCTTGTTGTCACATGGGTAAGTTGTCACACTGCAATTATCTTTGCCACCAGAGGGCGCAACTATAAAGTGGAATGCTAGTTTTATTCCTTTATATGATCAGGGGTCATGTCCTGTCTGAGAAGAGAAGAGCACATTGTGAGCTGAGATGATTATCAATTAACCATTTCGCACAACCCAGAGTAAAAAAAATGACTTTATACATTTTAAAATAAGCTTCTTCCAGATAAAAATCCTAGGAGTGATACATGTGGACTTGTTAGAGGAGAAATTAAGGCATCCTGTCATACCTCAGTCATTGTTCTGTTAGAGCGAGAATTAGCAAACATGGTAGTTTGGGGCAACATGTCTCAGTCATTTTGGGGTTAATTGTCACATGTTTAAAAGGGATTAAAATTAACATAGAGAGTCTGTTTATCAGCAGAAAAGAGTGGTTTAGGGAGAGAAGAAAGTGAGAAGACATGGTCAGGAATTACAAAAGAAAAACAGAACATGGCAGAGCAGTAGCTGACATGATGCTGAGGGCAGTCAGACAGGTGATCCTAGCTAATAAATCAATCTGGAGGACAATAAAGGACTTTGATGTCAACTACCATACCTTGGCTCGGTACTGCAAAACATTCACCTCAGCCGAAATACAGAGTCAGACAGCTCTCCAAACTCCAGTGCATGCTGCATAATACTTTATGTAAACGTTTGTTCAATGGCTATGTTCATTTTTTCTAGCTCATTGACAAACATTTTCGGTATTAAGTATCAGGCTATATTGACCCATCCCCAGGCCAACCTATACATCATTTGAATGAAAAACTGCTCATTTATAGTCGTCTTTCATTAGCTGACTTTCACTGCCATAACAGCACCCTGATGTCTGTGACAAATGACTTTGATGTGTAAAATTACTGGAACACCCCTTTAATTTCACACTGTACAGTCTGGGATGTTGTCCTGTCAAGACCCTCAAACTGACACTAAAGCCTGTAATACCATAATAAGAGGAAGAGATTCCTAAAAGAAAACACATTTTAGTCAATAATCATCATCTCATCTGAGTCATTTTCAGGTATGTATGTCCCCTCCAGAGAGACTGCACGCCTCATCTTGTTTCCTATTCTCCGCTGGGAGGAAGCGTTTATGCTTCACAAACTAAACAAACACCTGTAAAAACAACAGTCTTTGACTCATCCATTCAGAGTATTAGAACAACTTCCTCTAAAGCCTTTTGAGGTTTCAGGCCTTTATGGGAAGGCATAATCCCACTAACAGCAGATAACCCTCTGACAACATGATCCTGTGTTATCCTGATAAATGGAACAGGTGCAAACTCATTATGGAGGCTTTAGACTTTACGCAAGGTTAGTTTGCCTTTCAGTTCATGTCAACAGACGTACAGTTCATGCGGATGAAAGTAGACCACTTTCAGGTGAAAGAGCATTTATACTCATGGCCTAATCCCTGAAAAAAGTTCGTATATGGCACTGCAAGATTTTCTACAATCAAGATGACAGAACGGTTTAGTAGGCACAAAAGCCTTGGCTGTCTGGGTAAATCCTGTTGTTCAGATTTTCATTATAGAGAGATCTTTTCTGTACTGTTTGGATTGTTTCATAGCTTGTGTTTCATGTGTTTTTTTTTGGTTTTCATTTTTAACTTTTTTTTCCTCTTTTTTATGCTTTTGCTAGCTAAATCCTAAATAAGCTAATTAAACAAAGTTATCATTATAAAAGATATCATTAGGGTCTGAGCTTGTTGCAAGACACTGTACAGGTACTACAGAAGTTATTTTTTTCTATGTTAACTGCTCACATGCCTAAGCAGCCAGTCTTAGTTTTTAGTATTATTAGTTCAAACAAGAAAAATTTGCTTCTGAATTCAAGATAATAATTTTGGAGTCTGCAGGTCCAAATTTTACATCTCAACTTGTTGGTGTTTAGTGAAAATTTCAGATTTAAAATCACTTGGTGATGTTTAAAGTTGGCAGAAAGTTTTAAATTAAGCAACTTTTTTATTTTTTTTTACAAAATTTACTATAAGTTTGGCACAGGAGCTTTTACATTTCTTCTGTTCAAACAGGAGCCAGTGCTTCATTTGAGCCAGTGCTACATTTGTTTTATACCAATACACGATTAATTATTTAAACAACATAATCCTCCAGCTATTCTCGATCCTCTTGTCCCTACTGAACCTGACACTCCCTCCTGCCCTGCTTCTGAAGAAACTCCTGTTCCCATCACTCTATATCACCTGACTTCTCCAGCCAACCCGTGCTCCACACCTATGCATTTTTCTCAATAGCCCTGCAGTATGAGCAGCGGCCGACTTTCATCCTGCCTCTGCCTGATGATCTTTTGTGCAGTCTGCTCCTTGGCTTCTGTTCCTGATACTCATTCCTGAGAAAACTTAAACCTTTACTTTGATCTAGCCGCTCACTGAGTCATGCTTTTGGCTTCAGACCATCAACCACAGAACACTACACCTATCTCGCTTTTCTTTTCTGTTGCGAGGGACTTTATATTTTCTCATGGAAGCTGGGAGGTAGAAACGATGTGGGTTCAATATGATTAAAAACACTGATCGTTAGACTGATTCTGGGAAATGGAGAGCTCATGAATGCAGGAACCCGTCTTCAGTAACTTGAGCTCCTTAAACGTGAGAAACCTTGGACCAGATTAGTCTTGATCCTGCAAAGTTCATGTTTGACTAACGTGTCAAGATCTGGTGACCGGGCGACAAAACATGGCATTAAAAAATGATCAAATTCATTATCTTATCTTTTCAAAGCATCTTTTTCTGAAGTTAAAGTTTAATTATTAACATCAATTTTGTTTGTAGTAGCAAAAGTTGTGATTTTGATTTGTTTTCACAGAGCCAAGATGAAAAATGCTTGAGCCAAACGTAACAACTGCTCTGTCTGCAAACCCAGATTCTATAAAAGCCCTTTGTATTATAATTTTTTAGATGCCAACCACTTCACTCAGGACTGTCTTTACAACCAGCACTGAAAGAAAAAATAGTAGTAATAGTAGGAATAAAACATACCATAACACTCAAAGACATACTGATGTGACCATGGCAACAACACTTCAACAGTCGACTCCTCCTGTTGCAGGTTAGATTGTGGATTTTATGTTTAGTGTACTCTCTCATGTTCTCCTGGAGCACTCACCATGTTAGTATTGGTGTTTTTCCACCTCTTCATTAGTCTGCGCTTTTCCATCTGACATTTGCAGCAGTCAGTCAGCCCAGCGCCTTGTTATCATAGCTTCCCCTGAGCAGAATAGAGAGCTAGGTAGCAGAGAGCTAGGTAGCAAATCTGAGCCTATAATGTGAAATCTCTCCGCAAAGCCATCAAGGTAACAGATAATTTGTTTTGATCCTGTTTGGACATCAAGTAAAGAGATAAGGACGTTGATTTTATTACTTAAATCTAAGGTTGTTAGTTGTATTTGGTATTATCAGTCAAAATCATCAAATGACCCAATCTTATAAGTTATAAGATCAATGAAGAGGAGAGGAAAATGACACATTTTACTTCATAAATGCATAGAAAAGAAAAAACTGACTTGCAGAGAACAAAAATCCTTTGGCATAGTCAAAATACAATTGGAAAAAAATCCTTATATAGACAGATTCTTTTCTGGCATCATTGCTTGAATGAATTTTTCAAAATTTTATGATCTGTCTTGAATACAGTTACTTATTTGTTGTCTGGTGCTATTTTCCCTGAATGCAAATTCCAACTTTAAGAGACCAAACGATGATTAACTGAGTCAAAACTAGGAATGCAAACCCTGTTTGATTCTGTTGTTACACCTGAAAGTGAAATTTAAACCCCTGGAGATTTCTATAGTAACTCTATTCGAAAACAAACCTCTCAGTCAACTTGAACTTGATTTTGAAGCACTGTGATTTTCAGTCAGAGTGATGATGAAGAAGAAGTGGAGGGGCCGAATATCAAGAGAGGAAAAAAACATCAAACACAACTCAACGCTTCACTAAGTACTTCAGATGTGACCCACAAAGCCAAGCGGACACATGCCCACCCACAGACACCCAAAAACACGCGAGGCAGCACAGTGGGAGGAGCTGGAGGTATTGTTCTTCCTGTGGCTCGAGGTGGCCTGACCCCCACACCCTGCTGATCGGACCGTGTTATTGGCTGCCCGTTTCTGTGGCAACAATCAACGGCAACTGCTCCTGTGAAAACAATAAGAGAAAGTAACAGGAACCTGGGATGACCCCTCTTTCAGCCCAGCACACACACACACACACACACACACACACACACACACACACACACACACACACACACACACACACACACACACACACACACAGAATAAAACAGATTGTTTTAAAGCAGATTAGCACTCATTGATTTTGTTGGAAAAGAGGAATCAAACAGGGAAATTCCACAAAATCCAAATAGATTAGTGATATTTTGGGATTATTTAAAGCATTAAAGCATAGTTTTGTGAACAGCAATCTCCACACAAACATAAAAAAATATCTACTTCGGATCATAACTTTTCACCCCTGTCCTGTTTATATTTGTTCATGACTCTAGATCAGATCTTATACAACACTGTGGCAACACTCTAATTTATACTCAAGCTTATAGTCTTATTTATAACCTTTTATCATCTCAAGTGTTAATGGGCTCATGTGCTTTCTTTTATGCTATCTGTGTTTGTGTATTGTACATTTTATATATACAGAGACTTTAACAGGAACCCTTTTTACATCTTAACTTACCAGTTATCTCTGACAGGCAATATTACAAAATACCGTCCATAACAGATATGATGCTTTACCTTTATCAGTTAAAGTTAAACTTGTTGATTCTGAGGAATAATAGTCACAGCAGAATTTAACTTTGTAAAATCACTATCTGCATTACTGAGGTATTGTTCAGCAAATACATAAGTGTATTAAGTATATCAAGCCTCTCTGCTCAATACATCAAATCATCTCCTGTGCCTTCAGCATGGTAAATGTTAGAGTGAAGGACCGCTCATCAATAAAGTCTATCTATCTATCTATCTATCTATCTATCTATCTATCTATCTATCTATCTATCTATCTATCTATCATGTTGCAGATTTAATTTGTTGAACACAATGGTAACACAACAGATCAGAGACAAACAGATTTAAAGACAGATTCCTCCCCAGACCCCCACTGAACTCTAAACCCCCACCCCAGTGACTGCCACACAAACAGACATAGCACTGTCCAGTAAGTGTATTATCCCCCTGCTCTGTTCCCTCCTTGTTATTGTGTTAGTAGTTTATTTCCACAAGTGCAATTTACAGTATTTTCTGTTTCTGTCACATAGTTTTTCTAGTTTTTGAGCGAACTGTAAACACTGGCGCCTTAATGTCATGCACTTACATGTGATGCATTTTTAAAACTGTTCAGCTATGTAATCATTCTCTATTACGATATATTTTACCTTCTCTACATGAAGTATATTTGATACTTTGAACCCAGGACTTTCTGTTCATGTGCTACTCCTACGATTCAATTTCAGATTGACTAAATTTGATTTATTATCACAACCTTCCACATCTGCTTACAAAAATGACTCCCACTTTGATGTAAAGAATCAATCAAGCAAATTCAGGACCCTGGAACTGATTTCTCGGAGCTACTCTATCCCCCTCTAGTGGCACTAAGTGAGTGCTGCATGTTAAATACTGATTGGTTGTTGTTAAGGTTTCCTGCTGGACAGGCGAAGAGCTGAGACAATTAAGACATGAGAAATTGGTACTTCGGCATCTGAATGTTTATTTATGCATGTTTAATTTCTGCCATGCAAAGTGCAAACAAAAAAAATGTGGTCTGAATTGGTCCTTTAGCGATGAACATGACTGATATCCTTAGAGTCATATTGCAGAGATTAGTCAGCCAAAAGCTGCAAAAAGGTGAACATAAAAAAAGTTAGCTACCTTCCAAAGACATTATCCAGAGTTAAAGTTAAAAAGGGCCTGATGAGACTGTCTCTGTCAAACAACAGTTATATAGAGGAGACACTTCAGGTGTGGTTCCTATTGAATTGCTTGCCACCACGGTTACGCATCATCTCCTCCACAGAGCAACAGTAACGCCTTTTCGTAGTTTCCGCTGGTATCTCCCTGAAACATAAAACAGGATTCAGGAAAAAGAAGAACAAGATTCAGAGGTTAAGGGATCCTAAAACAGGTCCTGATAATGATTATGCGTGTACAGTGCAGTGGATTGTGTGTGTTTGTGTGTGTGTGTACCTTGATCATGGAATGCAGAGAGCCGGCAAACAGCCTCCTGTACTCCTTCCTGATGTCCAACAAGTCCACCTCACAGCGAGACACCATCACTCTGATCAGAGTGTTGTCATCAGTTCCTAAACCCTGTTAAGTAAGGCACAAACATAATGACTGTGAACCGATACACAGGTCACGTTAGAATAATCTATCATGTAGCTAGAAATTAGGCTTCTCCAGAGGCTCCACAATCCTGTGAATATCTTGAAACAATGCAGATTGATCATCAGTCAATTGAATATGCACAGGGATAAATAATATTTATTGGTTTTGCAACTAAGAGGCAGTTTCCAAAGCTTTAAATAAAGACTGAAATCATAATACCTTTAAGTGTGACATTGCTCATGAATACATTCAGCAGTATTTTAGCGTTTTTATTTGTAAAACCTGGAAACCTTCAACCTTCTCCTTAGATTTGCAGTTCATATCATGGCCACTAGAGGTCATTTTTCAGAGTTCATCAACACCTGCATCTCCACATAGTGTAAATCTAAACTGCAGAAAAAACAAGTTACAGGTCAATGAAAAAAGGGCTTCAGTCATTTTATTTCCTCATTCATGGAAACTTTAGAGGGGACGAGTTTTATACAAGCAGCATTGTTTTCAGATCTAAAATTTTCATTATTTAGGGCTCAGCTACTTTAAAGTCGGCTCAGCAGATTCAAGTTACTAAAACTTTATCTCTTTTTATCTTACTTTATCTGATCTCCACTACATGTTGGCCAAATGTAGTTACTATTACTTTCAAAAAGGACAGGATTGCAAAGGTCACAAGGTCAAATTTCATGGGGAAAAAAGTGTATACATTGACTATTTTTTGATGATTTGGGCAGCCAAACTGAAGATTATTTTTCATTTAAGGAATTAACTTGATTCACAAAAAAGCCAACGTATCCTCTATAGGAATAACCTGAGCACATGGATATATATGATGCAGGGCATTCAACACAACCATGTAGGTGTACTTAACGGAGAAACAACTTTTAAAACTAAAAGATGAGGCCAGACCTGACAGGTTTAAATGTCCATTATCCGAGGTCTCAATAGTGATTCAAGATAGGCTGTTTTTGTCACTGGGATGTTGCATTTTGCAGGCATCATCATGCTTTACTAAAAAAAGTTAAACAATGAAATGGCACCAAAGTTTCTCAGGATTTTAGCCGTCTTTGTTGTCTTACCTTCATTGAGTAGTAAAGAGTCTCTGCAAAATAGGCTGGAACGTTCCTGGCACACTTCACTTTGAAAGACAGGCAAATAATTGTAAAAGTGTTATTTATAAACCTTTGAAATAAAAAAAAACTTAAAAAAAAAAAAGCTGATAACAGAAAGAGTCGAGAGAAATCCCATACCAACAGCGAGGAGGAGATCTCTCAGGGCTCCGGAAGTTTCCCTTTTAATGCTCTCCTCCATCTCGTACCCGGTCATCTTCATGTAAGCATCGAAAACTAAAACACACATGTTCAGGATGAGTCTGATCATCTCGTAAAAGCTGCAAAAAAACTTTGTGCAGATCTCTTATTCTTAAGACAAACCTTTCCTGAGATGTTCTGCACTTCGGTTTCCAAGGATGGTGACGAATGCCTGTTCATCGGTGCCGAACTTCTGCTCGCCGGCCTTGAAGAGGACCTATGATCACAGAGGCACACTTAATTACATCACTAATGGAAAACTGACTGGATTATAAAGCGAGATAATCGAAGATTCAAAGTGAGTTCCTTAGAAGTAAATTAATCTATTTTGGAGCACTTTCAATGTCCTTGCATTTTCTTTTAGTGAACATATTTTAATCTCGTTGCTTTTTTGCAACAAGATTGTATCAACTATTCAAACCCTGGTATCGCTAAAATGGATGACATTACTATGTTTGTGATGTACTAAATTATCAGTAATCCTAGCACTTTGCCTTTTTTTTCAATCTTGCCAAGACATTTTAGGGAAAGTGTTGCCTACTCCCTCCACTAGATGGCGGTATAACACCATGACAAATATTCATGGTATCTCCTAACCACACAAACAGACCTCAGGGGCCAGAACTTCAGTCCTCTCTATAAAAACATGTGATAGTCACACATTTCGAGCAGAGACACAAAGACACCATTGTTGATTCAGTGCAGGAACATTAACTGCTGATGAGATGACTCACCTTAGCATCACTCTCAATCTTGTCCGTCTGGATCCCTACCTCCCTGTTGGCCTGAGGACAGAGAAGAAATCTCTTTTAAGAAGAAAAGAGGAGAAGAAACCGGGACAGAAAACAGGCTTAAGGAAGAGGGAGAGGAAGAAACAGAGAATGAGAGAGGATAGGATAGAGGAGAGAAGAGGAGCTTTACCTGCAGCAGAATAACAAGAAGCCTCTTAAAGTGGCCTGAAGTGTCGCCTGTAATGTCCTCCTCCAGACTGTCGTTATACTCTACACAACAGAAAATGAAATCTCTTTTGATCCTGTTTCAACATCAGGTAAAGGGATTTTTATCAAATGTTTTTTTTACCCCCTTTTATATGAGTATATAATATTTGACCACTAGCCCAAACAAGAAATATTTTGGGGGTTTTATTCAAGCACTTGTGTCCCTGAGGATGAATTAAACCACATGAATAATGGAAGTTCAGTTCTTTTATTATAACATTTACATGCAGAAATGTTTTTGTCTCCTCTGTACGTGTTCTGTCATTGTGTTTGCGTGTTTACCCTCTCTATAGGCAGAGACGATGTCCTTCACCTGCTGAGTTGTTCTGGAAGCAAGGATCTCCACCAAAACCTTCTCATCTGTTCCTGCCCCCTACAGGTCAAAGAGGGTATCATCTGATGAAACATCATTTGCGCTCCAGCTTCTCTGGCTGTTAAAAATTCTGAGTTTATATTAACTCTCTATCTGTAATATATCAGATCTTGTATAGAAAATTACAGCTCCTACCTTGATGGCTTTGCGGAGCAATGTCACATCGTAGGCCAGGGGTGTGGACATCAGAGCCACGATCAAGGTCTCAAATTTGCCGCTGAGCTCTCCCTTCAGGTCGTTGACCAGATCCTGTGATAAAGAACATGATGTACTCAGTGAAAACTCTGCATACTTGGCGGTGAAGGATTTTATGGTTTTAACAAGTGTCAGGATTTCTTGAAATTGTATATGTCATGGCTTGTCATGTCACATCTTTGGATTTTCTGTTGATGATCTGCTCTATGTATGGTTGCAGCTTTGATTCTGAAACTGTTGCATGAGGTTGAAAGCTTCTGCATGCCTGTGCAATGGTTGGTAAATATGAAGTAGGCATGATCTGATGTTCTATCAGGAACTCTCGAACTTTTTATAGAGATAATTTTCCCAAAAAATGATCCATGGATCTCCTTCTGACACCATAAATGCCCTTAAAGATCTAGAGGGCATTGCTGACTTGACTAAAAAGGTCATCTTCATGTCTTTGCCTTTCGCTGGGCTGATCAAAAGTAAGGTCAGTGTTTCCATTATGGAAACCGCAGACATTGGGCTGAAAAACTGCTGCAGAGACCAAAGAGTGACATCACTTAGACTCCATCCATGTTCATGGTTAGAGCAGATACATTTTTTTTTCCTATGAGGATGCTACAACCAATTTGTATCAATGCCTGTTAGCGTACATTCTGCCTCACCTTACTCTCATAAACAAAACCAATTCTTTTACTAAAAATCAACAGAATTCTTGGAAAAAGCAGTGGTGTGGAACCAGGGGGAGACTGTTGAGGTCTGTCTTTCATTGCCAGCTCGGACAGGTGTAAGTACGCTGAGGCTTTCATGTACAGTATGTCAAGGTTCTTGTTGTATGTGTGATCATGTGTCCAACAGCTGTGAATGTAATCCAACCTTTCCAAACAGAGTTTTGTAGACAGTCTGGATCTCCTGCCTCTGGGCGTTGCTGCGAGCAGTCAACAGCTGCAAGATGACAGTCTTATCAGCTCCTATAGCAACAAGCACTATGGTTACTCAACCAAGCAGGAAGTGTTTGTTTAGCGTACTCTGTTGATGGTATATTTTTTAACCTTATAATTACAGGCTACAGTTGTGGTCAGAAGATGTGTCTGCCCACAGTGATTCAAGTTCTATCATTCCTTGTGGCCTCATGACTCACTGCTGTCTAGGTGGAGCTCCACATGGACAACACGAGTTACTACTTTAAGTGCTCACAGAGGAACTCATGGTTTAAAGCACTCTCATTGGTACACCATCAACGTATCACATTACACAATGCTAAAAGGTGATGTACATTCAACTGAGCATCTTACCGAACTTGTCCATGGCCTCTTTCAAAGCCTCAGCATCTGCTTTGGCGTTGAAGTTGGCAATGGGTTTCACGGTTCCTCTGCTGGCCTGCAATAAGGAAGAGAAAGAGAGAGGAGGGTTATCTTGATGTACATATACCCAACATATATCTTTTATCTCTATAAATTTAAAAATATGATGCAGACCACACAATACGAAACACAGATGTAACTAATGATCATAAACACACTGAAGTGTTCCCTGGTTTTCACTGTCTTGTTTTGTTTTTGATTGACCATTTTCAACGTACACCTGCTTTGTTACCTATGACTTTTCATCAGATATAACTTTACAAATCACATTTAATCAGTTTGAAGTTTGGAGAAAATAAATTAATGTATGATTTCAAATTTAAGATATGCATAACCGTGAAACTTTGCCCCTTCAGATCCGGACAGAATAAACTCAATCAATGTGCAAAATCATGCTAAACAAATCAGCGTGTTACACATTCCTTCTGTGCATACAGGACTTATGAAATTACACAGTAGAACTTAAGTTCAGTCTTACTGGCAGACAGAACACCATATCAAGGCTGTTTTATGTGCATGAACACTTTGAATACTTTAATATTCTCTGAACTTTATGACTTGCAGCTGCATGGAGCAGATGTGCACACAAGCTCTCACATTAAAACTACCTTGTTCATACAATTTTGTTTTATATCTTGCATAATTTTTCAGCCTTTTTACCCTCTGTTCATGTCTTCTTTTTGTAAATCTGTTTATACATGAAAAATGATAAAGTGTAGTTGTGAGACCATAAAGAAGTTGAAAAACAGCACACTGGGGCTAAAGACTGGACTGAAGGAATGCATGAGCTGGAAAAACAAACACTTTAAGATTTATTTTAGTAGCTCCTCCAGTTTCAGATGCTCCTCTAAACTGTGACACGTTACTAATGAAATTGCAAAGCTGCTGCTGCAAGTTTCAGGGAGCGAGATGTCTAAAGTGGAAAACTACGGAAAAGTCTCTGGAATCCTGACCATTGAAAATCCAGAGGGAAAAAAAGTGGGCTGTCGGAAAACAAGTTGCCCTTGACAACCAGGATTCTGTTTCTCTCTGCAGGACGGGATGCCAAAATGTCCACAAGTGTTTTATAAACACACTCAAGCTACCACAAGCTAAACAAAATCTAATCAGAGTGCATTGTCGTTAACTCGAACAAGGTATTTAGACAACAACACTTAACAATGCAGATCACGTCAGCTGGAATGTTAGAAGCAGGTTTTGTGATAAGTTTGGAGCGAGTTCAGACATGACCTGAGGCGGGGGGCTTCTGATGGAGGTATGTTGACCCACCATATGTAAACAGAGGCTGTCATAGCTGCTATCTCTGCTTTAGAGCACAGACAGCAGCATCGCCGGGTCTTATCGCTGCGTTTATGACTACGGAGACACCATGCTATAAAAAGAAGTTCCCTCGCATTCTGTAAGAAGGAGTTTTATGACTAAGTGACCCTTTATTTATGATATATCACAGCTTTAATGAGACATGCCACTCTCACAGTTTGAGGAATAAGGTACGCTCTATTTAATAGTTTTTTTTTTTTCATATCAGCAACCACTTACAAAAAAAGACAAATAATGTGTAGCTTCGCATCTCATTCTGCTAACTTTCTTGTAAATATTATGCCAATCAAGCTGAGATAAGAGTTTCTTTTGAGGACCCAATGGCCACGCCCGCTGTATTCATGAATTGAAACAGCTCATAAAAATGTTGAAAATTTTTTGGAAACTGATCTCCAGACTCAATTTTCTTTGGAGGATTTCTTCAAAAAGCAAAAACACAAACTCATGGATAACAGAAAAATCTGTGTGTGTATGGCCTTTAGAAATTAATGCTAAGATTATACATTTATTTATCCCTAAATGAGGAACAGTAACAGTCTAAAAGAGTTGTTATATAACTTTAAACATATCTGAAAAAAGCACAGTCCACCATTTGGGGAAACATAACAAAAAAGATGGATATCAGAGACATAGCACTCTTACTATAGCAGAGAGATGGAAATTACAATGTGCCTTTAAACTAAGTGGCCTGCATGAAAACAGAACAGTTACTACTGAAGCCCAAATCATGATGAAGGAGACGACAGATGAAAGCAGGGTACTCTAATTCAACCCATAACATTTAGGAATTGGTATCAATTGCAGTGTTTGGGTGTCAGTTGTGTAAACTATTAGGCCAACTAGTAAAGTTTATGATGCAACATGTTATCCCACCCCATGACTGAGAGCATGGCGCTTTTTGATTTACGTTAAATTCTGCCGTGATACTGTTATGGCAAATTTTTCAACTGTGAAAGTCTGATATTGTAACAGCCAAACATTTGGGCATACAGTACACCTGATTTTGACTTACTACTGATTTTCAAATTACTACAAGATATTACAAAATCCTGGCTCTCTTAAAACCCTCATGGTACAGCAGTGCTGCTTGGACATTTGACATCCATACTTCAAAAAAATTATGGCCACAGCACTCACTGAACTCTATTATATAAAACTGAATCTTTAAACCTCTGTATATGTTGTAGTACATGATAGTGCTATCATTGAAAGGTGTCGCTTGGTTTTTGTCTGCAATGGTTTAAAAAAAATAGGAAAAACAGATATATTGCAAACTTTTGTGACCAATTTCTGCCATCAATGAATACAAATGCATATTTTAATAGTGTGATGGACTGACTTAGGAAAGCACAGCTCCTATCATTACTGGGGTGTGGCTTCTTGGCTTCATGTGTGTTTTAAATATTTCTTTTGGACTGTTAATAACAGAGGAATCTGCTCTATCAGACAAACTGAAGTAGTTGTTGGCACAAGTCAACTTTATTCTTGTTTTCATCTCCTAACTGCTTAATCAAAAATAAGGGAAATGAAGCACCAGTGACTCTCATGTACGTCCCGTATCTGTACAAGACCCATTTAAGCGGTTACACCAGGAAGAAGTTCAGCTTATAGACCCATAACAAAGTAACAACCATGAATCTGACCAGATTTTTAATGGCTCCACCCTGACAAAGAGAAAGAGAAATGATTCCCCTTTAAAAGAGGGAGGGACGCTTTAAACTGTGGGCTAGACGTGGAAAAGAGTGTGCACAAAACACAGACACACACACATGGAGGAGAGACAGGGAGACCCGCCCAAGCGGACCAGAGCCCATATGAGTCATACACCAAACTTCCCTTAACTTCCCTTGACATTTTGTACACTTGCACAAGCACACACAAGCACACACACACATCTGTGCAAACTAGAAAAAATGTAACTTTAATAGCATTAATTTATGAGTACATTGGACTGTTTCTATCTTAACATTTATGTTACAATCAGGACAAGATTCTCATTGAACTGTTTGTTCAAAGCTGCTGAGCAAACAGTCTTCTTTATCCAGAACAGATGTTCTGCTACATCTGCAGAAAACACCTATTACAGCCCAAGACATCCAGACAAACTCAAGAGTCTGAACGACAGGAAGTATAAGGTTTGAGCTGCGTTAACTCCAGTTCACTTTTAGTTTACATTTAAAGTTATGTAATGGTAAAATGTGGGCGTTGTCTTTGAGGTCAGAGAGTATGGAGAGTCACACATTTGCATAAATAACGGACTTCATTGACAATACATTTTTTTAAAGCCATCCGTTTGATATAAAGTTTTGTTAACGTGTTCATTTGGGTTGGCAGCAACGGGAAGAGAAAAAGTGAAATCAAAATGACTCACCATCTTGACAGTCCCGGAGGTTTTTCAGCGGTTGTAAAAAAAAAAAGTCTGTTGAAGAGAGAAAAGAAAGTTAAACAACATACATTTACTTCAGGCGTGTGTCTTAAACTTGCTCTGTCTAGTTTTCATCCTGTATCTCACTTTGTGTACCCTCCGGCTCAGCCTAAGCAGTCGCTGTCAAACTTCACCTGAGCAGACGTGTCTCCTTTCTGTCCTCAAAGGGACCCCGTCTGTCCTCTCTCACCTGGTTGACGCTTTTTAACTTTATACCTGAAACTTTACTGAACTACACTTACCTTTGGAGAGGCAGCTGGAAGAGGAAGCTCTGTGAGCAGACCCTGCAGGGAGAGATGAGAAGAAGAAAAGGAGGACGAGCGAACGAAAACCCACTCGGAAATACTCTCCGGTGAGCGCGTGAGCGTACGGTCGCGCGTGAGTGGGCCACACCCCGGTGCGCACGGACTTGAGCTGGCGCAGCCCTGTTCCTGCAGAACTCTGGGAAATGTTGTTTCACAATATCTGAAGCCGCTTTGGTTGTAAAATTTCAAACATGGCGTTAGCAAGAAGGAAGAGTTTACTCAAGACCCAGAAGATTTGAGGTTTTAGCATCATCACAGGGTAAAACAAAAGACTTGGATACTCTAACAGGTGAGAGACGTCTGACAACTAACATGTTGTACAGACTAAGTGCTTTAACAAAAATATTGGTTAATTTTTCAGTTCCTCAAGTGAAAGTGTGAAACTTATACTACTTCCCATGTTGTCAACCCCAACAATCTCCAGACTTTCCGTTTTACTTCCATAATTCAATGAATTCACTGAGGTTGGGATTCGAAGATAATAGTTTGGTTCACCTTAGCAGGTCATGCAACACGACGGACGAACATTGTCGACAAGATTAGCTTTCTCTGGGTAACAAGGAGTTTGAAGAGTGCAACAGTTCAGTTGATCATTTCCTTATAATTTCCTTGAAAAAACAATCACCATATTAATCATTTTGAACTGCAGATGCAGTAGTTTTCCTGCCTTAGCGTCTCGGTCTGATTGCATTTCCATGAGGAAATGATCATAAGTGTTTTTCCTTGAGCTGCATCACCCCGCTGTAGTCCATAACGGACTGGCTTGAGGCCTTGCTACAAACAAGTGGCTGCTGGAAGAGAGTAGGTGAGTTGTGTTTAGTCTCTCTGCCAAAGAGATTAGGCAAAGTTAAAAAGATGTTTGGTGGCTAGTTCTGTGGCTAGGACCCTATATGTACTGTTGATGAAGTTAGGTGCTGTTCTGAGCATTATTTGTGGCTATAGAGTGGCTTTTTGGTTGAGGTTTGTTTATGGCTCCTCAGACCGCTGTGTATTGCTCTCGTGCGGTCGGTAGTAAAGTTGGTAGAAGCAACTAGAGAGGCAAGAGGTCAGCAACATTGATCTCTCGAGGGGGTGTCTGACTCAGTGTTAAGGTGACCCTAAATTAATCTTATGCCAGAATATCCCTTTAACCAATATTTGCCTGTTAATCGTAGCTTTTTCCACATTAACAAGTACAAGCCTGAGTAAATGCAATGATACTTTTGCTTGTGATAATTTTATAGCTCAAAAATAAAATAAAAATAATATTTGCCATTTCTGCTTATAACTACAATACATCCTAACACAGATACAAATACATCTAACACAGTAATAAAATGAAAGCATGATAATGGACATTCAAACAAGAGGCTTGTTTAGTGCAAGAATAGACATATATAAAGCATATAAAAGCTATAAAAGCTGATGACCAGGTGTGGTAAAAACTTGTGAACGGCTCACATCTATATATTGTAACTTTTAGTTAAAATGACAAGATTCTAAAACATCCTGTAGAAAAAGGGGAAATAAGAATTAAACTCTCTATCTGTAGTGTTGTGAATCCTTGGACTCAACACATTGTCATTAAGTCTCCTGTTAATGTTGAAGTATTGATTAGTGCAGCTCTAAGGTCAAGCAAACAATGAGCTGACAGACAGGAGTTAAGTTAAAGACATTATACATGGATTGTGCCCAAAATGGGGAGCTAATCCTGTGTTATCTCACAGGGAAAATATCACATGAAGTTCCACAGGCCACAGCATGTGATTGATTGTTTAAAGAATAAGTGAAGGTTAATCATTTATATTGTATACACTGGGAGATATCCAGCTGATGAAGTGCTGGCTGTATATCATTTGTCTTTTCAAAGAGTAACCATTGTTATCAGACACAGTTCATTTAACACAATATTTTCAAGTTTTACTACTGTTTTATTCTTTAAAGCTCAATCAAGAAGTTTTTGGTTTGTAGTGGGTTTGAGAGCTCTACCTTTGTATCACTCAGTGAGTAACATGTTTGGCAAATACATCTCATTCTGCTGCCTTTATATAAACATATGTCACTCATTGAGAATCTTTACAGAACAAAAAAGGCTTTAAGCACTGTGACATGAATGAAAATTTTGTAATTTCATATAATGTTGCTGACAATGGTTTTGTTTGCTTTTGCTAACAGAAGAATCAAGATGAATTTCAGCATGTTTCATAACAACAGAAAACTCCTTACAGCGGCTTTAAATAACAAATATTAGGTTCCAAATTACGAGCTCTTAAACATGTAGTTTATTTTAAGTTTCAAACTAAATCATGAGGTTTACAACTACTCGTTTGTTTGATAATTCAAGTAACCAGCAGTGTCAGTATTAAATCAACAATTGACAATATGATCAGCAGTACAAAATGGATGTGTTAGGTAGGGCTGAAACGATTACTCGAGTAACTCGAGTAACTCGATTAATAAAATTCCTCGAGGCAAATTATATGCCTCGAGGAATCGTTTAAATCCGGAACCATGTGCAGCGCACGGTGTTTGACACGGACGGTTATTTCTGTTGCGCAGAAGCGTGCTCTTTCCGCTCCTTCCGCTGCCGCGCGTTTGGTTCAATCATGGAGGGAAACGAGGACAGACAGAAGCTGTGTCCGAAATGGCATACTGCCTGCTATCTACTTACCTACTCAAGCAGTAGCTACTGCCTACTGACTACTCAAAGATGATTTGAGTATGCCGCGGCTGCCCGAGCGTTTACACACATACATACTAAATACCCCAGAATGCATTTCGTGCCGGCCGGACGCAGCGCCGGGAAAATTTAAATAGTCCTACCACAAGCTACATAGAACGACTGCATACCGGACAAATTATATAAATTCATTCAATAATAATATTTTTTCTAGCGAGAAAGTAAGTGTTTACATCACGATTATGAGCCCAGTTGTTTGAAATAGTGGCTGTTTGTAAATTTGTCTCGGCGTTTTCGGAGACCGAAGCGTCCACTTGGTCGGTGTTTGCGTCTATTTACCGTAAACACCGGGCAGCAGCAGCTCCCCCTTCACGTTTCCAAATTATTGCGAAGTGTTTTCATAATCAACATCTACACGACACAAACCGGGCGGCAGTGGATGAAAAAAATCACACAAACATCCGTGTATCCATGGTGATAATGCTATACACCACCTGCTAGGCGTGTGATGAGCAGCAGAGGGCTGCAAAATGACCAACACACAACAACATGTAAATAAAAATTTAACACTTTTATATATTGAATAAAAGTACATTTGCTTGTCAAATTATGTTGGTATCCAAGAATTATATTATTTCAGCCTATTAATTAAACAAGTAAAATTAGATCCAAAGCCTGGAAATAGTTGTGACTGGTTTAGTGAAAACTGCAAAGATCATTACCATAGCAATTAAAAGACCATCTGCAGACCTTGCCTTCAGTAGTTTCATGTGAACTACATGGTAAAATGTAAAACTTTTGGTTCCTGATTTATGCAGTAAAAATATTCATTTGAAAGACCTGGCCTATTTCAGTTTTGTGTGTTACTGATGGTTTTTAATGAGGCAAACGTGATTCAATGCAAAGTATTACAGTGAGAGCAAAACATTTCTTATCCGATTACTCGATTAATCGACAGATTAATCGATAGAGTACTCGATTACTAAAATAATCGATAGCTGCAGCCCTAGTGTTAGGATAATATTGCAGCATACAAACAATGTAATGTTTGATTGCACTGCAACATTAACTGATACGTTAGTAAATGACTACTGTGGAATAATAAGTACATTTTTAATTTTTAATTCTGTATAGTTAATATCATACTTTTTATTTTTAAACCTTGAGTCAATTAAAGTTATAATTCATATTTATATTAAAAATTTAAACTTGTACTTTTAATAATCTTTAATCTTCACTGTTGTCCAGTTTCAATAGCCTCAATACATAACAATGGTAAAAGAGATAATGATGATAATGAAATAGTTTTGCTAGAAAAAAAATGTAGAAACTCTTAACAGACCAGAATTAAGGTCAGGTGGAGACTGACACTGAAACTGATTTAGTGAAACAATGGTGAAACTGAATGAAGAACTTCTTCTTAGAAATTGGATTTGATGAGTATTGGGACTGCTATTGTGCCATTCAGTCCGTCTCTATTGGCATGTATGGCATCTTCATCCCATGTTAATATATCACCAAGTTATCGCCTTTTCAAATCCATGGATCAATTTTTACATAGAGGCTCTATAAAGAGAGAGATAAGAAGAGAGACAGACTACTTTTATGATTTTTTGGCTATATTGTTACAGAATACATATTGTACGTATTTATGTGTGTTTTAAACTGAGGAAGTGTTTTTTTTTTTGTTTGTTTTTTGAAAGACAAAAACCAAGTTTTGGCTTCTCAGGGTCCCAGTAACTGCACTTTTCCAGTAGACAGCAGCGCTTTGTCTCACATTGTCATGTATGTTCACACCTCCCCTCAAACAGGTGAAAAAGCTATATCTGATCATATCTGCACTTTAGTTCCTTAAAAAAGTTCTCACACTGTTGACTATCCATCACAGCCCCATTTCTCTCAGCTTATGGCGAAAATTGCCCCTCATAAACAGAGCATTCAATCAAGTATGGCCTTCATATACTCTCTATAGTATATAATTGTTATATATGGATCCGTGCAAAGCTTACCTTAACAGCTAAACCATCTCCATGACAACCCTACAAACGCCATCTGGTGGAAAAACTTGGAAAATACAGGTAAAAACTCTTAATACATACAATTTAATCATTTTTCAGCCTCCATGTGGGTTTGTTCCAAGATGAAAGGGATTGAGTATTTTGCTTACAAAGGTAATTTAAGTGAGAAAATCAACCACAGACTTCTAAGAGTACATTTTCAACCAAACAAATAGATATGAATTATAACACTAATAAAAACAGTGAAAACATACATTTGTTACCTGAATTAATGGAATTTCAGCATAGCTTATTGTATTTGCGAACCAAAATTTTTGCAAACCAACAGCTTTCCTCCCAGAATAGTTTATGCTTAATATTTATCTTTTATATAAATGACATATTTTAATCCTCTATTGCTCTAAGTATATCTACTCTGCGTATTTCTGTAATGCTGCACTGTTGATTGTCTAACCTATTGTTGTTAAACCACAATTTTCTGTTTTGGAATTGCTAAAGTACATCAATCTGTCTATTAAAAAAACTCAAATATAAACCAGATGCCACATCAGAAGACTTCATTTGTTCAAAATGGTGTCAAGAGTCCATTTGAAATGATCATACACAGACCAGTTCTTCTTTTACAGCTCTTTTTTACAGAGATAAAGCATTTCACACATCATACAAAAATGAAATGTTTCAAATATTACAGACTTCACAAAAAATGCACATTAACAGAGATCACGCACACCATCATTCACAATCTGGTAGCCATTGTATAGCAGCTGTTCTGTCAACTTCTGTATCTGTAGCGGTGTGACTGTTGAAGCAGGAACCGCAGAAACAGAGTTAACAGAATGCTGAGTGACAAAAAAAGACAGAGGTACACCACAGTGCTCCATCCCCATCCTGCTGGTAATGGAGGTACACTTTTCACCTCCTCAAACTGTGTGGGAATTGGCATGCTGGTGGGTGCAAGAGGCAGGGGTCAAAGACCAGAATCAGCTTCCAGTAGTTCCTCTACTAAGTTAGCTTTGCTCAGTTGTCCACAGGTTAATGTTTATTCTCCTGTATGGAAAAAAATGTGGTGATCACGATCAAGTTTCTTCTGTCAGGGAGATCCAAGTGATAAGATCTTGATCAGATGTCTTTCTGATGATACTCTGTATCTCCAGGGTGCAGCTAAGTGTCCGCTGATCTGTCAAGCATCTGAAGTAGTCCACGTTTTTTATTTTTGTTGTTACATCTGCAGTATACTGAAAGAAAAAAGAAATTCCTCTCTTTCACAGAATCCTCTACTGACCACTGCTCTGTTTTAGCCACCCTTTTTAACTACTCAAAAACCATTAATAAAACATACAGACGGACAGATGTAGAGACGTAATCATCAATAAAGTCACCACCTATCCATTTCACACTAACCCATAACCCATCAATCCACAACTTCTCTTTCTCTTTAGCACTCAACCTCGTCACACACATGCACCCACACACACACATACTACCACTGATTTAACCCTGCAGGTATATATTACCATCACCCTTTGAGAGCTCTTTTCTTCACTTCTTACTACAATGCATCTCTTTAATTGACTCTGGGTGAATAATGCATGCCTGTGATAGATAAATGCAGTACCATTTTGTCTGCAGCTATCTCTAGAAAAGCTACAGTATAACATTTTTTGCGAGTGGTAACAGGCATTTCTGCAAAACGGACACCATGTTTTTTGTAAAATATGTTTTAGCATACAAAAAAAATGTTTGTTTACCAAGAGGTATTTTGGTCTGTTATTTTGCACACATAAACAGAATGTGAAAGCAAATAATTTCTCTGTTTCTTAGACCACCTAGCATGCAAAGTACCCAGTTTTAAAAGTGCACCATAGTTAATGTAATGTAAACTGAAATGAGGTATTCTTTAAATACCACTTGGCATGTATCTTACTACTGAAGTGCAGAAGAGTAACAGTGACCCTATGAGGAAGTACAGGGGATAAGCAAATGGACAGGGGATCATACAGAGATTTAATTCTTATTGGCTTATTCTCACAGACCAAGACAAGTACCAACATGAGCAATTAGGTGCTTCTGCAAAAGTGTCAATACTATTAAGAACATGAACAAACAAGTAAAGAAAAACTGGGGAAACAGGAAATATGCAAATAATTTCCCACAGGCAGAAATCATACTTGATGCAAACTAACCAGTCTGTAACTGTGGGCTGTTAAGATTTGCTCAGATTCATGTGAACTGTGTAAATCCGTGTCAGAGTCAGTGGAAATGCATGAAATTTGCAACTGTACTAAATTGATAATTCTAGAGAGCACAGTATGTCCCTTTTCACTGGCACAAGAGTGACACACTGCACTTCTGCACTATAATCACATCTTATAACTACTCTTTGTTAGGTAACCTCATTTTGAGATCATGTTAGGTTGAACGACTTTTGCAATGTTACAAAAACATTTTGACATCTTGATTGAAAAAAAAAGAAATGTCAACAATCAAGATGTTGCAATTTCGTGCCTGTTTCAGCCATTGGCTCATTGTTTAAAACAAGCACAAAGGCCTTATTTTTTTAAAGAGACAACTCCACAAGATATGTCTTGTTTCCTAATCTCCAGGAAACACTGACCTAGATTTTTAAAAATGTATTGTGCGTAAAACAGTGAGTCAATTACATGGCATTGTGCTTGAAATCTTAATTTATAAAATTGGACTTAGTACTTAAAGACAAAGATGACAAAGATTCAGTTAAGTGAATCACATCTTTTTTTGTGGTTGCTTTTGCTGACTCCTCCTCTCACATAATGAACCTGCTTTTCTGCATGAGTGAGGAGGAGTAATGTTTTAAATAAATATGAGAAAAAAGGTGCAGGACATGGCATTGGTTGCACAGTTGCAGGACCGTGCAACCAATGCATATTCAATGGGGATATCAGTCTAAATATCGACCCAATATTCACATTTTCTCAAGACTATGGGCAATGAACACATAAAATAAGAAGAACTTTAAGATAAGAACGTTATTTATCCCTGAAGGGAAATTCAATGAAATTCACATGAGGGCATGGGAACAACTGAAAAGGCAAGATTTTTATTTTTTTTGTGTGTGTGTGTGAAAAGTTTCTCTTTTGCTGTCATTCATAGAGGGCATTTTTTCGTGTGTAAAAAGAAAGGTATATTCACCAATTTAGTCTCTCATATGGAGAGAAAAAAAAAAACAAAAAAAATGTGTTGTTTGTGTATTTAAACTCTGTTAAAGTCCACATATTAAACTCATGGACTCACTACGTCATATCAGTCTTTCTAGAAAGTACGTTGTTTGGTCATGGCGCTCTAGCAGTGAGCGGTAGGATTCAGCTGAATTATTACTATGTTTGTTGAAGCTCGGTGACTTAATAAGGCATCACAAAATATATTGAGGTGAATGAACGAAAGGTTGGTGTTTGAATCACTTACATTTCAGCCAGATGGCAGACTGAATGTGTACAACTCCGGTTATCACATTGTCATCCACCCCCCTGTCTGCCGGTAAGTGGTATGACCGGGGGTATAAAGTGCGAGTGCGCTCCTAAAAACAGGCGACAGCAGCAGAAACCAAGTGAGGTAAAATTACACTGAACTTGTTCACAGAAGACACACCGTCACGTTGCCAAAATGGAGTGGACCCCAATGGAGATCAACCCCGAGGTGGGTAAACTAGTATATTTTTCTTTACTCTTAAATATTGTCATATTTTGAGGATAACAAAATCACTTTTGGTGCATGTTTATGTCGTTTCAGATGCTGAACAAGGTGAGTAGAGAGGAGAAATGGCGACATGTTGCTAACTGATTCAACTGTCTGGTAAGTTTGTCAGTTAGCAAGCTAGTTCAGCCGTGACTATGACCACTGTTATCTACATCAACATGACATAAATATGGCGTCGACATAAATGTTAGAGTGAACTGTTGTATTAAATAATATTAAATGAAATTTAAAGAGGGGGGAATTTAAATAAGATGAGCCTTTGTGGGATTTCACGAGGCGTCAGCATCCTCCCTAACGCTGCGCCCAGTGTCTAGGCTAAAGGGTGTGGTCGGGCTGGACCAACACAACGCAGCATCTTTGAACACCCTCAACAAGAGTACTATGAACATTACATACACGTAGCATCTATTACCAAAAACTATAAGACCTTCATTTATTTTTTCTTCCATTGGTTGTATGTTACAGCTAATGAGCTCTCTCGGCGTGGGCGAAGGCTGGCGCTTTGTGGATGTAGTGGGGCTGGAGGGTGAGCAACTCTCCGATGTCCCGCGACCATGCTGTGCCTTGATGCTGCTCTTTCCACTGACACAACAGGTAACAACAAGGGAGGTGGCGGTGGAGTCTACTTCCTGGAGGGATGATACAGACTCTCAGGGGTGGGGTGACTCTGAGGTGCAGGGAGGGCATGTGATTGGAAGAACAGGGTGATCTTGTGATGGTGGCAAGGAGATGAATCAGCAGATGTTTGAATTGTACTCCCACAATAAGATGATTTAATACCCCGGTTGATTCTTGAAATGAAGCAGCACATTAAACAGACAATATGTGGGTCAATGACGTATAAGGTTTTTAAACATGCCAGTTTTAAAATAGCAAAAATAAGAAGATATTTTGCAAAAGTTCAAACACTTTGGCCTTAAAAAATGTCGTGTTGCGACCATCATTTATCTCAAAATTATTACATTTTTTCAACATAGTTTTTTTTTTACAAATTGTCAGTAATATCAAGTAGATAGAAACACAGTGTGTGAGTTTTTGTACATAATGATCTCACATTTTAGCTCTATAATGTCACAGTCACTAAATTAAATGTAGTTAACTGACTATTCTTTTCTTTAAATTGCATAATACTGATAAAAATGTTTTAAAACTACCTTTCGCTTAAGCATATTGTATCAGGTATTAATGTTTCAGTTACAGAAATGAGATATTTTAGTTTGTAATTAATACAATTCATGTTATTATTGGTTGCGCCACATGATATTTTGACACTCTGAAGTTCAGAAAAATTACAAATAAGACCTGATTTTTGAAAAGTTGAAGTGACTACATGTATATCAGAGATACTACATATAGGAAGTATATTTTTGTGCATTTAACCCTTTTTTAGGCGTCATGTCATTGACCCATGTATGTGTCTTGCAATTAATAATAAGTTACATTATGTATTTTCAACAACATTAGCTAGAACATTATGGACACCTGGGGAATCTGATTGCAGCCCAATACAACATCTCTGTCATAAATTCTACTGTCACAAAGCTTTCACATGTCCAATATTTGTTAAAATTGTCTGATAGGTGATGGTTATTCTTTACATTGATTGTTGAAGTCTTGGCGTCAATTGTGTTATATGGAATGGTATTCCTAAAATTGATTTTTTTCATTTTCATACTTTATTTCATTCAGTTAATATTTAAAACATTCAATACAAACAAGGAAAATCTCAAACATGTGAATGAAAAGGAGCAGAAAGAAGAAAACTCCTCTGGAGTCCGCCCCTCTGTCATAATATATTAATCAACTAAACACATAATAAAAATACACAAGAGCTGCAGGCCAACATGCCTTTTTACAGATCAATATTTCTTATTTTCAAAAACAAAAGACCACCTTAATTCACATTCTTTCACAAAACAAACATAATAAGACTTTGATTAACATATTTCCCTGTATTTACTCAACATACTGGCTTTGATGCTTTTTTTGAAGATAAAATTTGATTTACCTTCTTTAGTTTCTTTGTTCAGATTGTTCCACAAACTTATTCCTCTCACTGTAACACAATACTCTTTCAGTTTAGTTCTGAATCTTGGCTTTTTAAATATTTAAATTCCTTTTAAATTCTAACAACTTTCTCTCTTTTTTTAAATCGGCTCTGGATGTTGACTGGTAAAATTTTCCTATGAGCTTTATACACAATCTGCAACATACTGAATTTCAACAACAATTTGGTTTGAAGGATCTCTATATTGACTTCTATACTGATAATTCGTATTGCTCTTTTTTGTCAAATGAAAATTGGAAGTTCGGCTTACCTCATGTCAATGAAGTGGTCAAATAACCAGCAACACCTTTCAATATAGCGCCCTCAAAGACATCATTATCACCACCCAGTGTGTCTTAAATAATAAATCTGTCGTACATATCTGATCATGGAAACAAAAACATAAGATTAGAAGCATTCTGAAAGCAGACTGTTGTATTGGATTGTCCAGGCGTTTATAATGTTATGGCTGGTTGAAGTATGTTTGTCAGTAAGATAGGGTTCCAGTCTATGTAAAAAAAAAAATTACAATAACTTTTCAAAAGTGATGCAGTGTCAAAATAGACAGCTGATTGCTGTTTTTTTCTGTGACCTTAATTCATATACAGATTCTCTCTGTTTGTGTCTTTCCATGTGCAGCATGAGTCGTTCAGAAAGCAGCAGGCGGACAAGATTGCTGGAGACTCTGAGGCCTATTTCCTCAAGCAGACAGGAGACAATTCCTGTGGCACCATCGCTCTGCTGCACGCTGTGGCCAACAACAAAAGCAAACTTACATTTGGTCAGTGCATATTTCATAAATGCTAGTACTTGGGTAGAATACATCTACATGTTCAGTATTACAAAGGATTTATTTGTAAATCGACATTAACCATTTCTTGAAGTATGAATTAGTAAGTAGTTACTTTCCAAAGTTTGCTCACCAGCTGTAAGTTTAGCTCATGAATTACTTTGATGGTTTCAGATTCTGTCTGATGCAGTGGTTATGCTAAAACACTCAAAATAAAGTACTTTTTCAAAACTCAAGTAACTTAAGATTTTTTTTATTGCAAAAAAAACATTTACTAATGCAGTGTTTTTTTTTTTGTTTTTTTTTTCAGATAATGGCTCCATCCTGAAAAAGTTCCTAGATGACACTGCAAACATGTCTGCAGATGACCGCGCCAAACATCTGGAGAAGAACCAGGTAAAAGCAACTTTTATGCTCTAAAAGCTGCTTTAAGTTTCTCAGTCAGTTTGAAATAAGAGAATGACATCAACAGACAGTTTCTTTTCTCATGTCAGTTGCATTTCGTCACCCAAAAGCTTATAATAAGAAGCAATATCTGAGGCATCAGCTTAATGACCAACATGGATGCTTTGTCTTTTCGCTACCAAACAAGGTTACTGTCTTGTGTAATTGCATATGCTTCAAAAATCAAAGAACCCTTGCATCTACTTTGTTTTGAATTACCCAAAAATACTCAATTTAAAATATTTTCTTACTCAGAAGTTTCAGTTACTGTTCCATAACATTCATACTATATTTTACACACTTGGGGGCGCCAGACACTTGCAAATCTGAGTCCCCTGTGAGGGCTCTAAAATAGCTGCTTTAGAGTGGATTAACTGTTAAAACAGAGTGGCCTGTGAGGAATGTGTCACCATGTCTAAAACACTCAAATCAATGTTTCACTGTCTCACTTTTAGTTTGTGTGACTCCAATGATAGTTCTCTCTCTCTCTCTCTCTCTCTCTCTCTCTCTCTCTCTCTCTCTCTCTCTCTCTCTCTCTCTCTCTGTACTCTCTGTACTCTCTGTACTCTCTGTACTCTCTGTATCTTAAGAGGAAAATGAATTGTAATGGTTTTCAGGAGCATCAAACCATCTCTGATTTTCTTTCTCTTTAGGCAATCTGTGATGCTCACAATGACGTTGCACAGCAGGGCCAGTGTAGGGTAAGACCACGAACCCTGTTACTATCTTCTACTATGACTTAATTTATGTACACTGTTATACTATGTAAATGTGGATTTGATGAACGTAACAAACACAACTAAATTAATTGTTCACTACAACAACTGCAATATTCACGAAATATTGAATCTTCAAATCTTAATTTTTACAGCCAGAAGCTGACAAGGTCAACTTCCACTTTATTGCCTTTGTCAATGTAAAGGGACAGCTGTTTGAATTTGGTAAGTCTACCATCTCATTACAGAGTGTATTATGTAGTGATTTTGCTTCGATGCTGTGGACTCCTCACTGTCTTTGTTGTTTGATTTTCAGATGGGAAAATGATTGGACCAGTGAAGCATGGAGCCACCAAAGATGACTCATTTTTAAAGGTAGGTAAATTCTTCAATATTTTGTGTCAGTACTGGATATCTGAATTATTTCTTGTGAGACTAGTCTCTTTATGAACTAAATTTATGATGAGTCATAGTATTAAACTGGAATAGGGAGTGGCAGTTCCCGAAGGTCTTGGCACAATCAATAAACGTGGCTAATGTTCGCTATCAAATCTCCACCAGCGTGAATACAAACTGAGGGCGGTGAGGAAGGTTGTTAAATTCAAAATATGTATCAATTTTAAAAAACCTTATCGTCATCATGGTTGCAGTTTAATCATTGCTGTTCACTGCAGGTCATGTTACTTGGATCTGCCTCGTCTCAAAGGGATTATTAGCTGATTTTCAGTCTCATCTCCATCTATCATGTTTAGTAACTATCAGATGGCTACAGCCGTTTATGTGGTCTCTGCATCCCTTGAATGCAGCTGCAATGTCTGTTATTTTGGGACCAGCTCCATTATTTTGCATACGTGGTAGTCACCAGCCTCTACCATAGTTTGTATTCCAAACCTGCAAAATGGGGTGAGATGCAGATGATTTGATACATAGATACAACAGTTTTACAGTGCTGAGGCCTCTTGGATATAAAGCTGTTAATCAAACTCAACTATGCAACCAATAAGTCCTGTTAGCACACAGGTTTATGAAGACACATCATGCCTGCTGCTGATTTAAGCTCCCTTGATCATTGTCGTACATTTGTAGATATTTACTGCTATATATGACATAAAAAGAACAACAACAAAACTGATGGGAAAACTGGTCTCATGTCATGTAGCACAGGAATGTGTGATCAGTGGGATGGTAAAATATATGAATTAACATAATTTACGAAGGATATAAATGATCTTTTTTCTGAAAAGATATAAAACTGAAGGTCATGTTTCAGTTCAACTCAGAACTGTGATTATATCAAAGTACCACTAGAGGGCTCTATGTGCATAAGTAACTCTATTACAACAACAAAGGCGATGATCTAAGGAACCTTATCCTAGTTGTTATGATAAATCTGGATTGATTTGAGTAAGTAAGAACAATGTTTAAATTTAGGAGAATCAGTCTAAGTAAAGAAACATCATGAAAAGCTTTAAATTAAGGTTTAATTCTGAGTGACATACCCCAGCCCTCCTGGGTAGGAATAAAATATTTGCCATTAAATGTTGACAAATAACCTTAGATGTGTTGAGTAGTTAAAAGACACGTTTCTTTCTTTAATTAATGAAACTCAAGTCATAGTGCATTGAAATATAAAGAGTAAAATCACTTTCTTTTTCCCTCCCTCTTCTCCTATCAAGGATGCAGCCAAAGTGTGCCGCGGATTCGTGGAGCGAGAGAAAGGCGAGGTCCGTTTCTCCGCCGTGGCTCTTTGTCAAAGTTAAATTTTCTGGAGGAGACCAAACCAAATTGTAAAAACCAAAATGTCTCGGAGCATTTACACGGCAAACACAATCAGTAAGCAACCATAATGACCTGTGAGAACACACATCTGCACACACTATGCACAATAAAGCACATGTTGTTTCCACACACTGTACCCTCATCTCATGAACAAAGCATTCTTTAGCACATGTACACACAGAAACAAACCCACCATCAAAGCCTTTTGTTCTGCTGACACTAACTGATAACAATGCCTGTCCAAACCTTTTATGTGACATCATTCAGCAGTGAAATTGTCAACACAAGGTCAGATCTCACTATGGCTTGTGTGCATGTGTGTGTATCGCATTCAGCTTTTTTTATTCCTCATTTTGGTATGCAGTCATTGACGCATTCGTTCCTTACTAAAAATGTCGCTTAAAACCTTCTGTGCCAATAAATAGGATCAGAACGATGAAGAGTAAAGGGCCCCTAAGAATGCTCTCAGTTGTTGTGCGGTTGAGTTTTTAAGGATCCAACATTCCTCAGAACAGCCCAAATTTATCTGTGGGAATAATTCGACCATTGTTTGAAACATGCACGCAACCTTTGGAGTGCTGTTTGCATCACTTTTTCTCTGTTCCTCTGAAAGAGTGAGGGTTTTTTGAGAAGTTCGCTCTCAAACTTTAACATGATGGTGTTAACTAAGCAGATTTTTCTGACCTTTATTTTATGATTGGCTGTAAGTTCACAATAGCCAAATACACTACAAATTGTCTGAGGTTGAATGATAACTCCAAAATGAGGGACCATAGAATTAAAGTGCTACTCTCTACTAGGTTGCCATTGAGCAGTGCAGGATAATTGTACTGTATGTTTACGCTGTGCACCAATTGTTTACCTTTCTGCACTTCTAAATTTGTTGCTGTGGTTCTACTGGTGATGCAGCTGTGGGAATTCAATAAAGCAACCATTTAACTTGCAAGTCTTCTTCCTTTTTTGTACTGGTAAAAAGGGAAAAAAAGAGTAATTTTGATTATACCGTGTTATCTGCAAAAGTAGATGAAGTCAAAATGACTTTACCTCAAAGGTCAATTTATCGATTTGTTTTTTTTTTGTTACTTTCAAGTGAAAGTGTCAAATATTCTCTGGTTTGGTTGCACATTTTTTAACAAACTGAAGAATATTTTTCAGCGTTTTATGTGTAACAGAGACCCGAATCTCCTGTAGTCCTGCTTTCAAACTGAGTAATCAATATTCTTATGTAGGATTTCCCTGGTGGGCAGGCAGTTTTGCTGACACCTAATCATTCTTCTGTCACATGAGGTGAAGAAGTGGTTAATGCCATTACACACTTAACACAGCTTGGCACTCATCCTCACTGCTCTTGGTTTCTATTATGCTATCAAGAGCTGATACAGGAGGAGGACAACTGAAGAGTTTTCCTGAGAATGTTGGTCTCTGTGGTTTCTGACACGCCCTCTTTTCTCGCACAATAGTGTACAATATATTGACTTATAAAAGACTTGTTATGAAAATGTGCTTTCTGATACTAATATTTCCCGCATCAACACTAAACATGACATTTGTAGAGTCAGGCGTATGCGCTGGGTTTCTCATCCACAAGTACAGAAATACCTGTAGCGATCCATATGTAAGGAAATACAGTACTCTTTTTTTCCCTGATAACCACTGCCAAACAGCGGCAGAGGTTTACTTCTCCTTTCATGTGCTTAACTAAAGTAACATTAAAAACAAAGGCATGACCCGCTGCTCAAAAAGGTCTTATTTGCATCCAAAGTGAATGAGGTACAACACTACTATGTACTCAACTCTTATCAACAGTATTGATTAGTTGCAACACAACTGAGGCCATTCTTTGGTCTGTGTACAAAATACTGTTTGTAAGAGTCTTTGGGACAGTGATCTCATTTAAGTGTCCCACTAAGTGCAAACTTTTGATAGATAAGGAATAATGCCTTTGGAAGATATCTTACAGGCTGTTTCACTAGAGTTACGATTTCAAGGCCATAAACCCCTTGGTTTCACACTTGGTGGGTAGGCCAACACAACACACACACACTTTGTATGTTATATCTTGCCGAAGCCTCCTGTTGTGTAGGTTGTGACCTTTAACTGATCCCATAAACAAAAGTATATTCACTGTCAGAAGGAACTGTTGGTTTGTGCCAATTTTAGCGCCCCCTGTTGATAAAGTAGCCATAGCTTGTCTTTGCCTTAACATACTTTTGAAGTGTCTTCTTACAAAAATGTTATCCTTATTGTTTATGAAAGTCAAACGGATGGTTTAACGCAGTGGTTCTTAACTGGTTGGTCGTGGACACATTCTGGATAGGTCACAAACAGCTGGTCAAAAAAGTAAATATTTAATGCGATATTTACTAGATATTTGATATTTTCTGTATATGCAACCGAAGTAGTTGTCATCCTCATGTTGTCCCCTTCATGTGCTCTGAAATGCACTTTACTCAATAAAAGCAAAGATTAGAGTCTTTAAAGGTTTTTTTAATATAAAAACTAAATTTGCTTTGTTTGAATTCTATAAAAGTGGGTCATTTAGCGTAATTACTTTTGAAGGAAATTGTAGAAACAGGGTTATGTCTTTAGCTGCCTGGCTGATACCGACCTCCTACACAGGTCTGAGGCATTAGAAACAACAACATAAAAGTTGTCAATCTTTTCACTAAAGGTTTTGTTTGGTTTCACATAGGGGTCTCAATTTTATTTCAGTCCATTTAATGGATATCAAGGACACTTTAAAGTTACAGTGAAAGACTTAATTTTGGCAAAGTAGTTGATTAACCAAAATTAAACTTCAATTGGATATAAACCTATGAGTTTGTCAGAATAAAAGTTGCCAATATAAAATACGCTGAACAAAATCCTTACAGATAAAATGTTAAAAATGAAGAGTATTGAGGGGTTGTTTTATGTCCTGGAAAATGTGTAAAGGGGCGGTGGTCTCTTTAAATTTTGCTTAAGGGAATTGTCAGTCAGATGACGAAGTAACTCAAACATTTTCTGATTTTATGGTAACCATTTTTAGCCCCTGAGGTAAATACAGACAGCCATGAACCAACTACTGCTCTGGTAAAAATTAACCAAATCTCCTGGTATGACCAGTTTACGCATGCGAACTGTGGAAATAAAGGGACATCCTTTGACATCCCCCAACCTCTGTTTCTCGCCCAACTCTCTTTCTCTCGCTCTCTCTCCTATCTCTTTCTATCTCTCTCGACCTCCCCCGCATAGATTCCTGCGTGCGCGTTCACGCTCCCTAAATTGCGCGGCAGCTGCGGTGGCTGAGGACAGCGGCGTCAGCCTTGCGCAGTTTCAGCGGCGTACAAGAATTGTTATTTTTAGCGCCTGGCTCGTGTTGCGGCGTCAGGGTCGCGAGGGGAGACTTTTTTTTCCTCCATCTATTTGCCACAGTTTGAGGAGGGCTCGTGGGGAGCTGGAGAAGGCAACGCAACCCTCTGAATGAGCGTGGAGTTGCGGGGTGATAGACCAAAAAACAGGCGAGGAAGATATAACGGGCTGACAGAGCGGGGAGGGGGAGCATCACCGCACGTCTTGTCACCGTATCACCACCGTCCCGCAGACTCTCTGGTCCTTGTTTAACGCCCGGTCCCGGAGATGGCTACCCCCGCAGCAGCAGCAGGTCAAGACGTCCCTCATGCTCAAACGCGGGACGCCTCGGAGCGGTTGGAGCCGAACCATCCCGAACCAGCCTGTCAGGAGGCACAGAAATGGATTGAGGTAAGTGACCGTCCAGGGAGAGAGAGAGAGGGGGAGAGTGAATGAGTGAGTGAGTGAGGCTCAGGGCCCTGCTGCTGCTGCTGTGGCACAGAAACGGGTCATACTGTCATTCAGCCACCACGGCTCTTGGTATAAATAAGTAGCTCTACAGCACCGGTGCACCGTCACCTGTTGTGGGCACGATGCAGGATCACATTACCCTGTGGGACAACGGCTGTGCAGTGTGGACAGTGTGGAAACTTTACACAGACGTGTCTCTGACTGGAACTTAACACCCACACCAGCCTTGTCTTGAAGCCTTATCTGCAACCATGTAAGAAAAAACACGACAAACGTGAGGTTAACCCTTGAAGTCCCACTTTGTTATCTGATTGATTGGAGGGCCCGTTTTCTACTCGCTCTTCCTGGAGGAGAAACGCCCCCTAATTTCAGGCGCGAGAGGACCCCGGTTGCCATGGTTATATGAAACCGGGCCAGTAGTCACGCACGAGATGCTGTACTGTACCAGCATTTGATCTCATCGGATAAGATTATCGTTTGCAGTTTTCTGCATCGCTTCCACCATCATCTGTCCGGCTATAAACGCCTCTCTCCATAAGCCTGAGTGGTGAATCACTATCCGCCCGCGGAGAGATGCTTTATGACCTATTTTTGTTCTGCCATCACGGTGCTTGTCCTGACTTTAGCTTAGCTACCTGCCAGCTACAATCTCAGATTTTGGGTTTAAAGGCTTGGACACACAACCAGATCATGTGGATAAGAAAGTTTGGGCTTCAGTTCTGTTGTTCAGTTGCATTCCCTTACTCCTTCCCATTTTGTCTAAAACACAAATGAGTTCATTAAAATGTAGCTGGGGAAATCATGGAAAGGTAGAACTCTGCAGAGAAACATTAAAAAAGTCTACTAACTGATGAGTCCCAAAATTAGATATAATAATGTGCTTTTATTGCATCCTTGTTGATAAATTGAAATCAATCAAGTCAAAATAAAACATCCACGCCAACCTGTTCTCATGATTATAGGCCCAAGGGTTTCCAACCTAAGTAAGGTTGCAAGTACAGTGAAAAAAATGGGGCAAATCAGTTTTATTTGAGCAAATTTAAAGACTTTTCCTTACTTCTAATTACAAAAAAATGTGCTTGATGTGAAAACCATTAAAGCCTTTTGGATTCATTTGCATAAATTCTTTGAAACACAGTTTTCATCCATCCATTTTGTAACTTTGGAGCCCAAAGCAAACAGTCTTTGTGTGGCTCTCCATATTCACTGGCCTTATGTATTGTTGAGCACATTATCATTTCCCTTTTTGTAGTTTGGATGGCAATGTTTTGTTTTCCTCCTATTTTATCCTTTGTTTCTGTGATGCTGTAGAAGCTTTGCCTCATTTTGGGCTGTTTCTGATAACTTTCTCATAGCCTATCCTATTGCCAGAAATTCCATCTGCAGTAGTTCTTAAAGGGATATTCTGGCATAAAATTAATTTAGGGTCAAACACACCACAACACAGAGTAAGACATCCCCTCAAGAGATGAATGTTACCGACCGCTTGCTTCTCTAGTTATACCAACTTTAGTAACCGCACGATAGCAATACACAGCAGTCTGAGGAGCCATAAACAAACCTCAACCAAAAAGCCACTTTATAGCCACAAATAATGCTCAGAACAGCACCTAACTTCATCAACAGTACATATAGGGTCCCAGCCACAGTACTAGCCACCAAACATCTTTTTAACTTTGCCTGATTTCTTTAGCAAAGAGACTAAACACAACTCACCTACCCTCTTCCAGCAGCCGCTTGTTTGTAGCGAGACCTCGGGCGAGTCCATTACGGACTGCTGCGGGGTGATGCAGCTCAAGGAGGAACATTTCTGATCATTTCTTCATGGAAATGCAATCAGACCGAGACACTAAGGCGGAAGAACTACTGCGTCTGCAGTGCAAAATGATTAATATGGTGATTATTACTTCAATAAAATGATAAAGATCATTTCTGATTCTTCAGTTACCTTTTTTGGGGTTTACATTTCCTTTGAATATAACCACAGTTGGGAAACTTTCTCAACATTGTGTTTGTTGCATTTTATAGGGCCCTTGCAGTTTGGGGGCCCAGCGCATACCATAGCCTCATGGTCAAGTCAGCCACTGTGTCTACCTGCCATTCTGTCCATCTGTCTGTCTGAGAGAAACAAATTGAACCGGTTCGCCTCGGGTGCAATCTCTCTTGTGTGATTACTGTCAGGCTGTTAAAGGCCACAGAAGTAGATCATTTGTCTCCCATCCACTCAGCTAGGATCTGTCCCACATACAGCTCCAGAACAATCAAAAAGATAAGCCTTTATTAAATATCTATTTCTGTGAGGAGAAATGACCTATTTCAGTGACTTTAGGGTTATAAATTCGCACTGATACTTTACCACCAAACATGCATGGTTATCTCTTCAATGAATGAGTTGCAGATTTGAAATATCTTAATACTTGTGCCATTCTTAATCAAAATGAAAAAAGACCAGAGAAGATTTTAAATGCAGATTACATATTCATATTTTAAGAATTATCTGTAAGGCTTTAATATGACTCACATCTTAGAGACATAGAGGACCTTTTTGTAACCTTTTAAGTATGAATGTTAAAGCTTCTCAGTTGAGAACAGGAGATGAATTTGTCATAATAAGTACCCTAAGTAGTGAGGGTAGAAAAAAGATATCGTTTGTTAGTTATATACAGGACAGCTTGAGAGTGACAGGAAATGTGGGACAAGAGAGAAATAACGTGCACCAAATCATGTCGGGACCTGAATGGATCCTTCAGTCAGTGTGATGACAGCCAAAGCCTCTGCATACGCGTTTTCTGCTTCACCAGCAAGAGCAAATCAGCATCTAATGTCATTTTTATGAAACTGCACGCTTTTCATTCCTTTTGTCACACTACATTTTAGCCCCTGTAGCATCTTCCTGCTGCTGCTGTGATGTAAAATAACACCACTGCACTTTTGAGCAACACATTTGGCTGTGAAAATTCATAGATGAGTCAACTGACATGTCGGAAGGAGTGTGCAATTTATGTGAAACAGAACTGAAGTATCGAGGAAGAACCTTGAGTTTGAGCTATCACCTATAAACTAAGCGTTCAGGTGCAGCCAATCAGATTGATGTCAGCGAGCAACTATATCATAAAAACCAGCTCAGGATTATTGGAGTGTGCTGATCAGCACAGCCCTTGACCACAGCTGACTGCAAACAAGCTAATACTGTGGAAGACTCAGGTCTAAGGAATACACTCAGGTTACCATATTTAGCCATATTTTAATGCATATAAAACAGACACTGCAACCAAACTGGAACTACTTGCAAATCCATTAATTTGATTACCAAATCAGAAGACTTGTGAGAAATGCATTGCAATGTAAATGTTGACTTAAACTGTTTTGGAATGCAAAGTCATGGCAATTTGAACTAGAGATTAAAAAAAGTGTCATCTATGTTTTTAAAAAATATATTTATATAAACAAAACATCAATGGATAAAAAGCCTGGGTCATAACTTTGAAAAATAGAAATAAAACAAACAACTTCTGTTCTTTCAGACTAGTTTTCTTCAGGATCACTACTTGCATCAATGAAATATTTGAGCTCATCTCAGGGTTGATCAGTAGAGTTGAACTAAAGTTCATGTTGTTTACAAAAGACCTCTTTTATTCAGCAGCGAGCACAAATAGTTAAGGTAATTCTGGCCTCCCACTGTTAATCTCTTTTGCAGGTCCAGGCTCTGTGTTACTCTTACTTTGTCGTCTTCCTGCCTCCTAATTCTCCAGTTATTTTCAGACCAGTCAGACTGACTCTATTCCTGGTGGTGTATTTACACCCTCTCACAGGTGGGGATGATTCAGGTTTAACCCTTGGCACCCTGACCCTGCGCTCCATGCAGCATTCCCTGTCTGTGTGTGTTTCTTTCTGTGGCTGTAAGAGTATGCAAAGTATATGCACACACACAGAGACACATGCCAATACTGCTCACACACTCCTCTGACACACCCCGATTGAGTGACACTGGTCACTATGGGAACATAACATGGACAGGCTCTCAGGTGTCGCTGTTTCCAGGGAGGGCAGTAGAGCAGTAGGCTATATACCACCACATGACCCAGGCAGGAAATTAGACAGCCACAAACAGGACCTTTCTATCTGTTTATAGACGAGACAAGGCAGGCTTAGACAGTCTCAAAGCCGGTGCACACAGTGGGAGGTGCACTAAACCTGTTGGATGTGACGTTGAGTAGGTTAAAACGGTACAAGCTCAGAGGAAATGAAGCTCACTTTAGTGAAAGCATTTAACCTCTGCTGTCACCTACATAAAGTCCATAACAAGGGTAAAGGTCTGCCACACAGGGAATAACCGAAGAATGCGTGTGACTGAAGTGTGTGTGTATGTGCCAGATGTCACAGCTGTCCTAGGCAGATTAACTCCAATAGTCCCAGACAGCCAGCTGTGTCTGCACAGGAGAGACAGAGTGAAAGAGTGGGGATTCATAGATTTTACATGCTTCATATACTGTCTGAAAGAATGTGAAATAATGATGGCACAATCTTGCTGTCTGTCATGCCTCAGGTATCTTCAAAGTTTTTGCATAAGAACCCGGTGCTGCACACAAAACAAATCATGTGACCTTTTCTGTAGAAGAATAGAGGGCTGCATCCAAGTAGTCAAAAGGTTTTGATAATAGTACCTGCTGTGTTGTGATTGTAAAAATTTTAGCATCAGGTAATGTTGGAATAATTTTAATGTTGCACTTTTTCACTTCTTACGGCGATAAAAGTAGCTGAAGATAATTTACTGCAAAAATCACACTAGACTGTGCTTTTTAAGTATACTAATCCAGAGTTAGATAATTAACCTTATTTTGTTGTGTTTGTGATTCAAATCGCGTGTGAACCAGATAAATCTGTGAGCTCATGTTTTGTTTTCCCCTGACAGATGTGTCTGGTCCCCCTCCTGTTCAGGCGCTTGTCAATCTGGACTGATTGAGGTTGAGGCAGTCACAGCAGCCTACTGACTGTAGAGCAGGTTTAATACAATAAATGTAAGCCATGAGGCATTTTTGTAAACAACCAAGATGGCTGCAGCTTAAGTGAAACACTGTGACAGAACCTCACATTACATCCAACTGATAAGTGCTGGCTACTCAATCTTGTTGTGCATTATGTTGAACTAGAAGGATATGAATCAAGTGTTGGATATAGCGAGCATATTGCGACCTGGCAGCCTGAGGGCTACATCACAGATTGGTTGTAGTGTCTGGAGGCATTTTGGTCTTTGTTTGCACTCATTTGCAAAAGGAAAATGACCATAGAGGTGCTGGATGAAGTCACCTTATGTATGCTAGTGTATGTTAGGGAATGCCAGGTTTGTTTCAACCTCTGGGAATGAGTTGCACAGGAGTTCAAAACAATATTTATACATCTATTTATACTGGTCAAATAGTCTCATTAAAAACACATTTGAATACTCTGTGTGAGAAATCAGTGTACCATCCATCTAGAACATCACATTTAATCATATTTTGACAAATCTGAAGATACTATTTACTGCAGTAATTAAAACATTTGTGTACTTCTACAAAATTTTGGTGTGATTGAAAGTTAAATTATAAACAATATAATAATAATACTAATATAATATATAATTTTGAAGATGTGGCATTGTCAAAGTGCTGAAATGACACAAAGGAAAGTCTTTAGTTCTTTGTGAAGACTAAATATTAACTGTCAACAACCCAAGTGTCTGATGTTGTCTAGTCTTGAGTCACTCAAGATATTAAATCTGATCAGGATTAAATTCCTCTTCAATCTGGATTATGTCTCCATCCCTCCCTCCTTCTCACGTCTTTCTCAGGGTTTTTTTTTTAATTTGCTCTTCCTCTCTCTCTATATCACATGACCATAAGAGTGCAGAGTGCCTACAGCACATGATAGCATTGTAACGAGGCAAATGCTTCTGTAACACTGGAAAACTAAAACAGCAGCAGACACTTTCAGTAATGTGCATCAAGCTAGTACTCATCAATATCAACTGACTTTACTGGAGGCACTGAGAGGGATTTATTATGTGTCTGTATAAGATTTGGAAATGTTGCTTCAAGGATTGTCACCAGGGGAGGAAAAAAGACTAATCTGGTGCAGTAAAAATATTTGTTTCCTAAAAAAGTAAATCTTAACTGATTACAGAATGTTCTCTTGCTGTTTCAAAAACATTTGGTTGATTATAGCAATAATGTGCAAATCACATATTTGTTTATGCTCTTTGCATAGTTAAAACAACATAAATCTTTAGCACTCTTACCTCATTCTCTAGGAATAACTGTCACCTCACAACAGAAAAAAAATGACTGCAAAGCTCCTTATTATCATCCTCCTTTAATCCTAGTCTGCAAAATCCTGGTGCCTTACTGCACAACAGCTCATAGGATGATTATTAGAGATTAGACCACTGACTTTACGCACAGCATATTTCTCCTCTCCGGTTTCTGACTTTTCAACCTTCTCATTCTTTATATATTTTGACAGTTGTTCAAATAAAAGTGATGTGTTCTTTGGCCTACTTCCCGAGCTTCCTCTCTGCCCCCTCCCCACACACACAGTGTCACCTCAGGGTTTAAATGGAGATCTGCTGCTGCCATTCACTCAGACTGAGCAGGGCAATCCACCATGAGGAGTGAGTGGCAGCCAGGGAGGCTCGAATTACTGTTGCTGGCGATGAAATACCCCCAAGGCCCTTGGCTTAGTTTTTCTAGCAGACAGTAATGTTCACTTAACGCACATGTCCTTCTGAGCATTAAACTAAACTAAAGCACATACTCTCACAGCCATCACTATGATGGCCATAGCTCAGTTTCAACATTTTATACATAACTGGTAGTTAACCACCTCCGCTGTGTGTCTGCGTCCTGGATCCCACACACACACATGCACTGCCTACACACAACACAGTCACCCTGCTCCCACTGAAAAGAGTGCTCTCTCCTTGACCAGTGAATTATGCATGGCCATGCTGTAAATCTTTCACAGTCCTGGAGACAAACCTTCATAAATGGGACATACGCCAGCATATGTGCACGTTCATGTGTGTGCACTTGTGCTAATGTGTCTGCATGTGTATGTGTGTGCGTGTGTGTGCGTGTGACAGAATGATGAAAGAGAAGAAAAAGGAAGAAATGCCAATGGGAAACATCTGGTCATCACTTATATAACCAAAAACAATAGGCTGTTTTCTTAGCTGCAGATGCACCTCATGTGTGTCATTGTGCGTTTGTGTGTGTCTGTATGTTTATTTTGTGTGTTCCCATCATGCATGTGTGCTACATGTGCATCAAAAAAGTACATAAACAACATACAAAATTTATAAATTTCTCTCAGAGGAACGATGTCTGAAGACAGAGGTCCAAATGTTACCTTGTTATGAGGCTGAATGCTTTAACAGTATTAGATTATTTACATGATTTCATTAGCGGTAGAGGCTAATTGCATACAAAAACACACTAATTAGCTCTAAGTAAATCAATGACACATATGAATGGATGTATACTGGTCTGTACAGCGTATGAAAAGGCCAGACAGAGAGAGTGTGTACGCCTGCTGTTGACAGTTTTGGTACTAACTGTAATCTGTGCTAATCTGGATTAGAATTCTAAACAGTTGAACCTCTCTGCTTTTCTATTCATCTTTGGTTGCTGGTTACACAACAGCTCCAGAATGCGCTGTGTTTCTGCGAGTGTGTTTGTGTTGGTGGTGTGGTGGTAGTGTGCCACCACTTTCGGCCTTCTGGTTCCCTCCTTCTCTGTTGCCTACAGAGGTTTAAACCGCACACTGTCGTCCAGGTTTAGGGATTAAGGTTGGATTTGTTGCTCTCTCAAACTATGGCTGTGTTTATCTGAATCAGGGGCAGATGCAAGGGCACATTTTTTAGAAAATGAGGACGCAGAGCAGTGTTACACTGGCCTGGCATCAATCTAATTATGTTTCTACTGAAGCACAATGTTGGGGGAGGGGAGGTGGGGGCAGCAGCAGGTTTCTCTGTCAGGGACACTGGAGAGCCAAATTTCAGCTCCAAGCTGTGTTGTACATGATATTTGTCTGCCAGTGACTCTAATGATCATATCATGGCTGTAACTTTGATTATTGCCATTATTTGTATTTTTTTTCTTCCTTCTCTTTGATACTACCAAATTTCACAAAAATAACATGAAATATGAAAAATAGTGCTGGATGATTAATTAAAGAAGAAACAGACAATTGCATATTGAAGAAGCAGGATCTAGATAACAACAAGTATTTTTGTAATAAATTTTAATAAAAGGTCACAGCAACATCTGGTGCACATCTTGTGTTCTTCATTGTAGACTTCAGATTTCTATAACTGCGTCTGATCAAATCCCAAAAGTTACTCAGTGTGTTATGATGATAAAGTGGGTTTTTATATGTTCCCTGAATCTTTCTAAAGTCCTTTATCTCCTTTTCATATCTGTTTCTTTTCTATGTAACATTGTTGATGCCCTGTGAAGCATAATTTTTTCATTAGGTTTGTCGTATTACATTATTGCATTATAATTAAAACAAACTTTTAAAGGTGTAGTGTGTGGTGATCAAACAATTAACGACATCCAGTCAGATTCTAAATTAAAACCGTCCACTTTTTGTGGCTTTTAAAGAACAAACAGCCCCTGTGGTATGTGTTCAGTATGATCTTCCATTTGTCAAGTTTCTCCTATCAAATACATCACCCAAAACAAATTTGTACCTGGAACAACAGCATTCATACTGAATTAAGGGTTAATGAGGATGTGGACAGTGGCACCGCGCTTTGTAACTGAAAACTACCTCCAATGTAGATCATTGTTGTTATTGCTGATACTTAATCTGCTAATTAAGAAGTAATTGATTTTAGTTCTTCCTCACCTAGACTTTGACACATGCCCATGAGAATATGAAAGGATAATGTGTGGGTTTATTGCTGTATTTTAAAGGGATATTCCGGCGTAAAATTAATTTAGGGTTAAACACCCTAACACTGAGTTATAGACACCCCCTCAAGAGATGAATGTTGCCGACCGCTTGCTTCTTTAGTTATACCAACTTTAGAAACGACCGCACGATAGCAATATACAGAGGTCTGAGGAGCCATAAACAAACCTCAACCAAAACACCACTCTATAGCCACAAATAATGCTCAGAACAGCACCTAACTTCATCAACAGTACATAAAGGGTCCCAGCCATCAAACATATTTTTAACTTTGCCTGATTTCTTTAGCAAAGAGACTAAACATGAATCACCTACTGTCTTCCAGCAGCCGCTTGTTTGTAGCGAGACCTCGGACCAGTCCATTACAGACTGCTGTGGGGTGACGCAGCTCAAGGAAGAACATTTGGTGGTGGCTAGTGCTGTGGCTAGGACCCTATTTGTACTGTTGATGAAGTTAGGTGCTGTTCTGAGCATTATTTGTGGCTATAGAGTGGTGTTTTGGTTGAGGTTTGCGCATGGCTACTCAGACTGCTGTGTATTGCTATCGTGGTAAAGTTGGTATAACTAGAGAAGTAAGTTGTCAGTAACATCCATTTCTCTCAACAGGGTGTCAAACTCGGTGTTGCGGTGTTCGACCCTAAATTAATTTTACGCTTTAAGTCATGAATCAAGTAAATCATTGAACATCCTCTGCTTCATTCTTCTTAATGTGAGAATCTGATTCTGTTTTGCTTTTATCATCATATGCTGCATCGAGTCCTTTTGAGCATCTGTCTCTCTCTGTCCTCCTGCTCCAGGCTGTCACAGGGAAAAGCTTTGGGGAGAGGGACTTCCGCAGTGGATTGGAGAACGGCATCCTGTTATGCGAGTAAGCCTGTGACATCCCTCCCACCCAGCTTTTGATGACAGAAGTGGCAACAGTGTACATAAACTCCTTTAAGAGTCAATAAAATGTCCTCTCTCCTCCTCCTCTCTGCAGGCTGCTGAGTGCAATCAAACCAGGGCTGGTCAAGAAGATCAACAGACTGCCCACCCCCATCGCAGGGCTGGTAAGGAGGCTCGCTCCTGTGTAGAGCAGCCTGTTTTTCAAAGTGATAAATTGACCGTCTGTGACCCCCTGCTGTCATTTTTAGGACAACCTGTCAGTCTTCCTGCGAGGCTGTGAGGAGTTGGGCCTGAGGGGCTCACAGCTGTTTGACCCCGGAGACTTGCAAGACACTTCAATACGAGCTAATCTCAGGGATTCCGACTGCAACCGCAAACTTAAAAATGTGAGGATCAATCGCTGTTTCTTTATTTTACTCACTTCTGTCCTTGTCTTGAGTATTTTTAGACACACAACAAACCCCTTTATTGGTGTTTCTTAGGTGTTGAACACAGTGTTCTGGCTGGGAAAGGCTGCCAGCGGCTGTGCCTCCTACAGCGGTCCAAATCTTAACCTCAAGGAGTTTGAAGGGCTTCTCGCTCAAATGAAGGTGGTGAGTGAAAACAGCAAAGAGGTTGGAGCAGGAAGGGGGAGGAGAGGGAGACAGAGAGAAAGACAGATTCTAGTACAGAGGAGATGCGGGGGATGGATTTGTTAGTTTCCTGTCTTTGTTGGGGTGCAGGGGAGACACGCGAGACTGAAGACAAACACGTTTTTGTTTTTGTTACAACAGAGCCACTCTTATTTCAGGGAGAGACAGAAGGGAAAAACAGGATATGAGATTAGCTCTGCACGTCCTAGCCACAAAGTTGAGAGTTTTTTATGCACGATAATGCAAAGACATTTCCCTTTCTATCCTAATAACCACAATATCCATATCCTAGGCTGTGGATTGTGTTTTGAGTGGGTTTCTTCATGCATCTCTTCCATTTTACACATTTTCTTCCCATTTTCACATGTGTTGCAGGAGAGCGAGGACGGAGGGGACAGTCCACAGAAGCGTAGCGTGAGAGACAGTGGTTACGATTGCTGGGACTCCGAAAGAAGCGAGTCTCTCTCACCACCACGACACACCCGCGACAACTCCTTGGACAGGTGAGGGACATCTGTCAGCACACACACAAACCCAAATATGTCCACGCACACACCAAGGAAACTTGAGATCACTGTTGACAAGTTCAGTACAACCGTCAGCATTTTATACGTACTCAAAATGTGACAGAAACGAATACCCATTAGATTAAAACACTACATTTATATTTTTGGTGTTTAAACATGATGAAAATATAAAAAGATTTTTTTGTTTTCCACAGTTTGGATTCCTTTGGCTCTCGCTCAAGGCACAGCCCTTCTCCTGATGTGGTGAATCGAGGCGCCGTTGATGGTTGGTTGACTTAAATGACTCTCAAAAGAGAAAAGTACAAAATTTGCAATATGCTTGTTAAGCCCTTATGCATATTCCCTTAAAGTTTTACCAAACTCCATTGACTGTTTTAAAGGCAGAAAAGAAAAGTGCATATAGTTGTTCTCATTTAACCAGGAGAAGTTCAAGCTTATCCCCTAAAATGTTGAGCTTAACCTTGAAACACCAACACAAAACTGCTGATCCATCAACAGTCTAACTGCTGATCTTCTACATGTTGGTGTTTCAATCTTGGTATGTCATGGCCAGTCAGGCGGGTGGTGGACGACAGCTGAACCTCTCAGCCACTGTGTATGTATGTGTGTGTGTGTGAATGTGTGAGTGTGTGTCCCAGATGCAGCAGCTGTTGCTCTAAGTGGCAATCATTAGTGATTTGGACCTGAGAAACACAGCCTGAGGTCAACATCCTGCCTTTCATATGTCAGTCTGTATGTGTGTGTGTGTAAGTGTGTGTGTGTGTGTGTAAGTGTGTGTGAAAAGGGGAGGATCACAGGCATCCTGTTTGTGTCTTTCATGTAGACTGTAAAATGGGAACCAAAGGGTGACAAGAAAAACACTATTTCAAGGTTGGGGAATAGATTGCATTTCTACACTCCCTGGAGGTTATGGAGAAAGTGTGCGTCCTCACCGTTCGATGTTTCTCACCCACCAAGAAAGAATGAAAGGGCGTATTGTCTGTCTTCTGTCTGCAGGACGTATTATCTACTTAAAATTAAACCCACCTAAAGAAGGAAAGGAAGAACTGATGAAACTGTCTGATCCAATAGTCTGTTGCAGTGAACTTTAAATAACTTTGCTCCACTGTGGATCCTACAGTATATTGAATCTGATCTAATTTTTCCCAGATTCTGTTTAATTTTGTCCAAGGTTCCATTGTTTCCGTTTTTTATTTTATTCAAACTCTTAAGGATATTGATAACGTCTTCAATATGCATTAAAAAGATAACAAACAAAACAAAATCTTGTTTTGTATTGTTTGCACAAAGGCAGGTTTTTTGAAGGGAGTCTTCTGTTTCTATTTCTGTCTGTTTTTGATGCTAGTTATTTTTTTTTTTTGCTTGTAGGTGGTTGTCCCATGTGTTCTTGTTGGTATAACCAACCATATGCTGAGAAATCTATAGAAAAATTCCTCTTCTGATATTGTTCTGCTCCAACTGTCACATATCTTCATTTTTAATGACTCATGTCCCAGTTCATGACACTATCTTCCCTTTCTAACAAATGGATAAAAACACACAAAACAAAAGCTAACATGGAGTTAGTCTGTCCTAACAATTGTGCATTGTAACATTTACATAAGTTATTATTCAAGGACCAATTAAAACTGCAATCTTGACATACTCTCTAACCACCTTTGCCCTTTTCTCATTAATGCTCCATTGCTCTTTGTTGCCCAGGGCGAGGCAGCGACTCAGAGGCTGATGCCCCAAACAGGAGGCCAGATGTGCGGAAAGATGACATGTCGGCCAGACGGACGGCCAGCAGTGAAGCGAGGAGCTCCATTCCCTTTAACCAGTTTCTTCCTAATAGAACGAACGCAACTTCCTACATCCAGATTCCACGACGGAAACAACATAACGAGGAGGGAGAGCAGCGAAGGTAATGACCAACACAAATGAGCAATATTAATTCACATTCAAACTATTAACAGTACACACATACTGCAATGAAAAGAAATGAGACAAAACAAAAACAAACAGAGAACAAAAGAAAAAGGATTATTCCAGTGGGACAACAAAGATTTCCTAATCCATAATCTTTTCCTGCCATTACACACCATTTCTTAGTCACAACCCCACCATGCCAGAGCAAGGTAAAAGAAATGGAGCCCACCATAAAATTCCCAAAACCGTCACATGGGCTCCTGAAAACACTGACGACAAAGAAGAGGAGGAGAAGGTGACACAAGAGGTGTTGGAACAGAGGAGACTGCAGAGGCTGCAGAAGGCGGGGATCAAAGTTCTGCCTGCTGCTGTTCGCTACAGCAGGTCAGGGCAGAGGGGCATGAAGGCTGCTGGTGATGACTGGTGTTGTTATGTTACTACCTCATGGTGCTCTGTTCACACTGGTGCTGTGGTCTGATTTGTGGTTTTGGTTGCAGAAGTGGTTGTTATGTTGAACTACCTCATGGCGCTCGATTCACACTGACGGTGTGGTTTGACCTTTGGCTTTGATTGCAGCAGAGGGCTTCTTAATGATGTTGGCTTCGAGTCTAACTGCTTGCATTTTTTCTGTATTGTTTGATTGCTAGAGGTTCATCTGGATAATATTGGTTACTGTACTTAAATTTTGCTGCACACTAATGTTTTTGCTCGTGACTTGCGATTAACTGCTGGGACGTTTTGACAGAATGCTTGCAGCTGTTTTTCACCATTCTGCACCAAAGTGATGTGCATATATTCACCTATCGTCAACCTAACTGATGGGACATTCATGGGATCTTAATTAACTGCGAAAAACCTTACTCCGCCATCCCATCCCCAGCCCTCCCACAATGGAGGAACATGACAGGAGGTCCCCATCCCCGAACATCATCCTCCGGTGTGAAAATGACTTTTTGAGCTCTCAGAAATCCGCATGGGACACGACCTCTGACGGGGAAGAGGAGGCACAAGTTCGTAAAGTTCCCGATGTTCGCAAAGACGACCTGGCATCAAGAAGAGCCAACCGTGGCCCTGCGACTCCAAAGGTGCATCAGTTTGTTCCTCCGCCTGTGTGTAGCAGCAAAGACTGGGAGCGCTTGGAGGGTATAAGACGAGCCTCGCAGCAAACTCTGCAGGAGACGGAGATCAGGTCAGCCAGCGTATGTCTGTGTGTTTCTGTTTTCTTCACCCCTTTTTCTCTAACTCACATATAGATATTTACCCCTCACTTTCCTGCTTTGGTGTTTGGATGCTGTGGTCAATTATGATTTGACGTGTGTGTGTGTGTGTGTGCTTCACTTTGACGCTGGATGTGTGATGACATGATTGGACAGTGAGAAGGAAGCAGTCCCTGACATCATTACCCGCAGAGACAACCCCTTCCTAAATCCTGCCTCTCGCCTCAAGGAAGAGGAGGATGAGGAGGAAGAGGCAGAAGAAGGAAAGGTTAATGTGATGCCCAATAAGCAGAAGGATGACCTGGCTCAAAGGCGGGCTCAGAGTAGACCCCTCCCCCACAGGGACGGACCAAAGAGCTTTGTTTCTGCCTCCATGAGCCAGGCAGATATGCAGAAGTGGGAGAGGCTCAAGCTTACTCAACCCAGGTGCCCAGCAGACACACTCTCTGTTTTAGCACACATGCAGTACAAAGCACTTAAATGCTGCTGTATGGAAAGTGTGTTTGGTCTGTTAATGACTGCACAGAGTGTGTGTATGTGTGTGTGTATGTGCTTTTAGGGTTTATTCCACTCTTATGCTGATCGTAGAGGGCAGAGGAGGCTCATCAGTCAGCCGGGCTTACCGGATAGCTTTTAAATTTACCAGCAGAGGAATAAAATCTACCAATAATTGATACCTAACATTGAATGCCAACCAATTCATATCGTTTTTGACCTTGACAAAGTATGCATTATGATTAATCCTTATCAGCTTCTTAAAAAGCTTGTCATTTCTTCATTATCATTTGATCATGTTAGATAAGAATGACTCTTAAAGGTGGGGTAGGCAGGATCTGAGGAAGTGCCAGTTTTATAGGAGAAATCTTGTATGCGAACACTACCCCTCTCGACCAGTTTTACCCTCAGCTCCTCCTCTCCCCTCCCTTTCTGCTCCAGCAAGCCCCGCCCACAAACAGAGGCTTGTCCTCGCTCGTATCATTTCAATTTAATCAGATATAATGCAGATAAATACTTCAGATAATTACAAACGAGGCCCAGTCAATGTGAAAGTGAAAAGCATTGGTGCTACTGTAGATGCCAACAGACGACCAGCAAACACAATATTTGCAGGACTTCTACAGCTAGGATAAAGTGACATAGTCCAGGACCCGAGGTCAACAGTTTAGCCGCGCTACAACACGCAGCAGGTCCCATTTGACAAGAAACACTTCTGTTACAGACACTTGTGGTTTACCTGTCCAGCAGAAAGGTTACAGGGTCTGTAAGATCCTGAAGCGTCCCCCATCGTTTTATGTTGACCCGGCTTTTTATCTCTTGTCCGGTCTACCTCCTTTTTAAGCGCCTGTTGTTCCGCCAGAGTCTCTAGTATTTACTTCGTTTTCCTGCTTGTGTCATCAGTCTTGGCCAAAGGAGGATTCAGACAATTTTCCGTACTTTCTGGTTGGTTTCTACTGTCCGATATTGTAGCACGCTAACTTTTGTTTGGGATCGTGAACGACACAGGGTAGCAGCGTCTGCCTCACAACCAATCAGGTCGGGGAGATGTAGAACAGCTTTGTTTACAGTCTGAAAGAGCGGGCCGCTCAAAAATGTTAAATGTTGACTACACAGACATAACAAAACATAGCGATATCGTGATATTACCAAATATCATCAATAACTACTAGGTACTGACTGATATTAAAAGCTTTTTTGTATATACACCACAAAATGGAATCCTGCCTACCCACCTTTAAGTCAGAACAGTTATTTTGCTCTCTGCATCCATTTAATGTTTAAACTGTTAAATGTTTGTCTTCACTCTGTTTGATGATATAAAAAAAACTCCAATTGATTAGTAATCCTTAGTGTTACTGGCTGGCAGCTGTTTTTTTTTAGCTAAGCTAATTGATGCCTGAATGTAGCTTCATATTTACTCCAGAGACAAAACAGTTGTATCAGTTTCCCCATCTTACCTCTTAGAAGACAAAAAAATCACTGTTATTTGATATGTAACTTGAAATCATTCATTAAAAACATTCCTGACTATCATTATTAGTTAAATATGCGATTTTGCTACTTTTGGGTGTAAATTCAACGTATTGTTCAGGAGGGAAATAATTGACACGCCTCTTTTTACTCAAGGAAATGATCATTGGCATGTCAAAAAGTTCCTTACAGGGCCTCTTAAAGTGTGACACATTTATATAGTCAGACCCCTCTTTTAACAGACATCTCTTGTGCTACACTGAATAAGCAATACGTACTCAACTTTAAACCTTCATCTCACTTCTTGGTGTCAGTCATTCTTCACTTTGTTTGTCTTCTATCTCTGGTATCCTTTTGTAAGCAGATGAACATCTCCTCAGATTTAGTCTCCCCATCTCTTCTCCTCTCTGTTACTCCCCATGTTCTCATCTGCTTGTTTATTCTCCTCACTATTGTGCACTTCGGTCCTCCTCAGTCTTCTTTGACAGGCATTGAAACAGAGCAGGGAACTGGCCGTTGTGTGTGAGAGGCGACTGTTGGCTGTAAGCACTGCCTCGGCTTTTGTTTTTCTCTCTCTGCGCTGATGTCATTAGATAGGATAAAGAGTTTTTTGTGTTCCCAGAAGAGCACAAGTTACCAGAAAACTTAAGCTACCTTGAGTGGATAGAAAGCGCAGTCATGTATGCTGTGAGTGTATGTGTGTGGATGGCATTTAAGCACACGATCCCATGCTTTGTCCTCTTCAGTCCATCCACATTTCCTGTCTGATTCATCATTTCCACCTCATCCTTCCTTTGTCTCTAGTTGTTCATGATTTCTTCCCCCTTGTCCTTTTCCTGGCTGTTGTGTGTGTGTGTGTGTGTGTGTGTGTGTGCGTATGGGTGCGTCTTCATCTGTGAGATTGTATTTACAGTGAGGCTAGCCCGGCCCCTGTGTGTCAGGCTTGTCTGGAGAAAAATTATGGAAGCCCTTTCAGCGGATCAGCAAAGGCTGGACGAGGTCACAGCAAAGTTGTGACCTTTGGGGGCGTGACTGAGATTGAGCAACCAATAGACACAGTAACGTCAAGTGAAGGGGAGGAGACAGAGTTGCTAAGACGACTCCTTTCCAAGGCAACTGTAGCCATGCCCACCATTGGCCTGGGCTCCCGGCTTTCAGAGCGGGAACGCAGGTATGAGGGCAAGGCCAAAAACAAGACAGTTTAGGTCTGAAACCAGAGTCTGTTGCTTTAGTATGGAATGCACTGAGGAATGGCAGTCTTGATGAAATAACAGGAATATTATTGTTTGACACGATGTTGAAAAGTAGCTGTTTGAGATTGAAAATATTTCACATTTAAGGATTGTTTGGATGTGTTCAGTAGTTTGGTTGCGCCTCTTTGCATTGAACTGATTTGCTTGTAGTTTTTAAGAGAAACAAATCTGAACGTGCATGCACATGCTGCTGTGCAGAGTTAGTGCATATATTGGCTTTGCTGATATAAGTACAAATGCATCAGTACTGGATACTGTTGACTGGCTGATTTTCTGAAAGACATGTTTTGTAACTAAGTATGAACCTGTTTTCATCATTATAAAGTAAATAGCAAAGAGTTTTTTGACTCTCAAAATATCTTGTTCAAGTTATAGCAACTAACTTGTGTATGTTTATGCTTTTTTTTTTTTAAATATGAAGAGCTGCACAATAATGCAGTAAAGATAATCGTGATTGTTTAGGTACATTCTGATACAGCGATTATTAACCATAATTTGAATGATCCTTTGAATGTTTACTTCAAAAACATAAACTATGTCCTGTGTCTTAATTATTATCTGGGCAGGACTTGGACAGAAAATCTGCCAAATGTTTTTTCAAGTAGCCCTTAAGCTTTATTTCTAAGAGGACTTTAATCTTGATGATGATATGGTGAAACACAGGACTTTCACTTGTAATAGAGTATTTCCACAGTAACATTCAATCACAGAGCAGTTACAGATGTTTTCTACAGTATTTTGCATATATATTTTAAACTGGAGACTCAGACTTTTTAAACTTTTCGATGCTGTCGTATTGGCTGCTCGCTAAGAAATTACTAGCTTGTTAATGTAGTAGCTACATTCTCTGTGCAACATCAACACCAAGATAGTCCTGCAATTTCTGTTGATTTGGTAGATCAAGGCGGGGTGGTAACAGCTGCTGTGTGAGAGGTGCAAACTGCAGTGTGTGCACGTGTCTGTGTGTGTGTGTGGAAAAGAGAACTATAGGGAAGCAAACTGAGGAGATTAATGTAGTTTGCTGGTCATCAAACAAGAGTTTCATTAGGGGAATAAATGAGTGCATAGTGAACATCATATGTAACTTAACATCAATCAAACAGGGTAATGCATCTCTTAAAATACTTTTCATCAACAACTACATGAAGTTTTCTTTGGACAGAGCATGCATTATTAATGTTGATCATTATCATGATTCATGTTTTTTGGGGTCATGGAGAAGCCATAATCATGGTCGCATTTTGATTCTCTATACTAACACATAATCTGAAAAACTTCCAGCCTGGAAAGGGGGGGAGTTTTCATGTTATCTGATGTGTCTAGTGCAACAACTAGCAACGATTAGAGACAAAATAATGACCTGCTTATAGTTCTGAAACACTATGGAGTTTAAATGAGTCCAAAACTGTATATGATTGCGGGCTCAGGCTGAGTCATATATTTCTTAAGTTTGTTTCTGTGAAAAAGACAGAAAACCTTTAAAACAGCTTTTTGTCGTGACTGTGACAGATGCTGTCATTACGATAAGCAGTTTGTAAAATTGAAAAAAACCTCCTTCTCTTTGAGGACAGCTCTAAATATGTTTACCTCTGATTTATGTTACAGAAGTGCTTGACTTGGCTCAAAATTTCATCGTAATAGGAGTAGCTGAGGTTTTTTTCTCTTTCCACTGTAGATTTGCATCAGATTTGCATGTTTTTTCTAACCTCTACTGATTTGTTGCTTTGGCATTTTCCCCTTTACAAGTTGCTCTCTGTCTGATTACCTGAGGCCTGCTTTACCTTTATGTTTAAGTCTGGAGTTTGAACAGGTTTGGGTCCAAGTTTTCCAATTTTTGCTGCTACACTTTGAGCTTTATGTGCTACTCTCACAGCCAGGTAGATGGAGCTGACGTCAATCAAACTAGCCCTCCCTCTGCTGCCCTCTCGCCCTTTACTCTTGAAACACCTCCCACTCCCGCTGAGGTGGACGCACGTCTGGCTATGTATGAACAGAGAGCAGAGGAGGAGGAGGAAGAAGAGGAGAGGATGCCTGATCTGCAGAAAGATGACATGATGGCGAGGAGGACAGGAGTTTTCCATAAACAAAACCCTGCTACAGTGACTTACAACCGATTCCTGCCTCTGCCCGCCTCTCAGCACTGCAAACAAGGCGAGGTCACTACTGATGCCGCTCCTCGGAACAGGAGGGAAGTTCAGGCAGAGAGGAGCAAGAAACTTAACCTCAGGTGGGCTGAGACTGGTGTGGAACTGTCTAACAGCATGAGGAGGCACTAACAAACTCAGTGTGGAAAAGAAATTCTCAAACTTGGCTTTTAGTTATTTCAACTATCGGAGTTTCTTTCATAGAGTGGAACCACAGCAACCCAAAGTTTCCATGGAAACACCTAAACCTCATCCTGAAAATACCGTGATCAGAGCAACATCGCACAGGGAACATGAATACGATGATGAGGACGAGTATGATGAAAGCGAGCCTGCGCCTGATCTGGAGAAAGATGACATGATGGCTCGAAGGACGGGGTTGATACAAAAAATGAGCGCAACCAGAGTGAATCAGTTCCTGCCTGTTCCTGGATCAGTGAAGTATACAATCTCCCCGGTGTCCGCAATGAAGCCGTTTAACAACAGCAGATCTAAACATCCAGAGAGGATGGCCAGTGAAAGGTATTTGCCGGGTTGGAATGATGACATTGCTGTGCTGGTCGACTAATAAAGCATTTTATTTTATTTTTTTACCTTTAGCCGAAAACTTGAGGTGTACTCTTTGCCGTTTGTGTGTGAAAGGACTGGTCGACTTTGATTTACTGTTGTGGTTGGATTGTTGGAGCTTGAGTTAACAAAGTTTGAGCCTGCTGTGACACATCTAACATGCGTTTGTTGTCGTCGATGTAGAGGCTCAACACTGGTTGTGTGTGTTTGGCATGAGCTTGTTTATTAGCTGAGAATGGACACCTAAATCTTTGTATTTGAAAGGGTAAATCACTGCTGAATTTCATGGTTGCTTAACAGCTGCTGCTCAGCTGTAGTATTTTAAATGTCTTTGGTTTGATCATCTAAATTCCAGAAAAAAAAAGATCTTAAACTTTTTATAAACCCCTGATGTGTTTCAAAGAGCTCTGTAGCCTGGTACTCATCACTGAGAACAGAATAGTATCTTTTAAAGGACTGCTCAATTCAATGTAGACCCTCTCATTATGCATTTATTACTGACATCTTTTTTTCACAACATATGATTGATCGTGTCGTGATGCCTGAGAGCAGATTCCTGGTATTTTGGATTCTTATTCGAAGTTCTGGGTAGTTACAGAGTGTCAGACCTGTTTGGTTCCAGCTGAACATTGACTCTACTTTTCCTGAACGCTCTACCAAATCACATATTTCTTTTAAATATACTCCCTAACTTAAGAAAATCATGCTGATTTATGTCGAAGTGTTGCTAAAATTACATAAACTTTGCTTTTTCTCCAGTAGATATGTAGCCAGAGAGACCAGAGACTTGTTTTTGATAAATTTGTTAGTTTCTTTTGAGTTTTTCATTGAGCAACAGGGGTACTTTCCTGGCTATAAAATGTTGCCTATCACAAAGAAAGAGTAAACAATAGTGATCCCAAACAGTCTTATTAGCCCAGCTATCTGTCTTTCACTAGTGTCGAGAACAACAACCAGAAATCATGTTGTGACAAAGATGTTGCTTGTGGGTGCAGAACACATTTTTTAACGTTTTCAGCAAAAGAACTATGATTTCATTCGTCAACTCTTTGTTCTCTGGAATTTGGATGATGAGACAACTGGGTGTTTTTTTAAAACTGACCACATGCTGGTGAAACATCCATAAAAGAGCAGATCGGCCGCAGTTTTCTGTCCTCTGTTTTTGCCCTGATTTGCCCTTCAAGCTGTATAAACTGGTAATCTTGGCCTTGTCACTGGATTTTAGCAGCATGGTTGCCGGGGCAGCAGAACCTCAAGCTCCTTCCTCCAAAGCCCCGACTCCACCAAAGCCTGCAAGGCTGAGAGAGAAGCAGAAGGAAGAGAGAAAGCAGGAGGGAACAGCCTTTAACACCACAGTCACAGAGGTGGTGGGTAACCTCTCTGCTCCCATACTCACCCCTCCACCAAGCCCTGCTGCTGCTGCTGCCAATAATTGTAAAGTGGAGGTAAAGATGGACAAGCGGGATGTGGAGGGGAGAGATGAGGCAAAGGTGGAAGAGAGAAAGGGAGAAGTGAAGGAAGAACCTCGAAAGAAACCCTCCTGGCTGGATGATGATGATCTGCCGCCCATGATGTGAGATGCCTGTCAAACTCTTGTCTGCATGCATCTTCGTCACTTCCCATTTCAGATTTAGCTCTTCCATTCACCAGTCCCAATGTTTATGAGACTTCAAATCTGCCAATGGGAGTGACTGAATGATTGACAGCATTATCTAGGAGATGCCTTCTCCTGGGATGTCAAGTTGTGACATTTGCATCAAAGCATAACATGCCGCTAACCATTTATTCTCTTGCTTGCTTTTTTTCCATTCACTCTGTTCTGTTACTGTTTTAGGATGAGCCGGCGAGTTGCTTTTATGTCTGAGGACAACGAGTAAGTCTATTTTGGCGCAAACCTGGATGAGTTTCTGCATGATACCAACTTATAAAACTCTGTGCATGTTACATTCGACATGCATACATACAGACATCATCAACGCTTTATGATTATACTCATGGCAGTCCATCATCAAACCCATACTCTGTACTAACGTCTTCAATTCTCATCTTTATTTTGCTGGAAATGTGATTCTCTTTCGTTTAATTTGAAGGGTTGTCATTGAAATACGCTCCCTCAATAAAGACTACTTTACTAACACTCTGATATTCGATGAATTTACGTGTTTGTCTCAGAGAATATTTTTGTTTTCTTTTGGTGAGTTTGTGAGAACACATGACATTTAAGTTGCTGTGCAGAGCAACACATACAGTACACAACCAATGATATACTTCCTCGGGAAAGAAAGGCAAATATATGAAATAGATTTAGTGTTGAGATGACTTTCACTTGTTGTGTATGCGTATGTCTTGCTTTGTGTTCATATCTCATGAGAAAATAGGTCATATGTGCGAGCAGACCATGTTTTGTTAAGCCATCTATTAATTTTGGAAAGAGTGCTGTTTTTTTTTCTTTCCCTCGCTGATCCTCTTCTGTTAGGATCATGTGTTGAGTTTTTACGTCACATACGTATATCTGAAATATGTTGGAAATGTTCGCTAACCTTGCATAAGTGAACAATATATCAGGCAGCTGATCGGAGATGCTGTCTGATAAAGTGATGCAGAAGTTTGTAAAAGAGTATTCTGTGTTTTTTTCTTTTTTCTGTTGTAGGAGTGTGAGCATGGGTGACATCCTCAATGAGGACGAAGTGGGACAGTTACCGCCGCTGAGCCAATCACGACACGAGCGCATGCATGAACAGTACAACAACTTCATGGAAGAGGACGATCACTGGAGAGACGTAAGGAACTTATGACATTTGAAGGAGTGAGATAGAGCGTTGAACCTGTAGTAAAGGGGAAAATATGATGTTAATGAGCTGTTCAAAAACAAAAAGATTATTATTGACTTAATTATTGACACCGTTTGACCTCTTTGAATCTATGGCAGGACTTGGCTCGATGGAAGAATCGCCGCCGCAGTGCGTCACAGGAGCTGATCAAGAAAGAGGAGGAAAGGAAGAGGATGGAGAAAAAGATGAGAGAGGAGGGGGGTGACAGCAACAAGAGGAAAAGTATAAAGACCTACAAGGAAATCGTGGAGGAGAAGTAAGGAGAAACTCGATCCTTCTGGAACATTATGAACTAAAAAGAAATTTTAAAAAACAAAAACAACAACTCCTGATGTTTTGTGTTTGTTTTTGTGTTTAGGGAGCGCAGAGAGGCGGAGTTGTGTGAAGCCTACAGGAGCGCAGCGACTCCAGAGGAGGCGGCCATGGTTTTACAGCGCTACGCTCTTCGTTTTACAATCAGTGATGCAACACTGGACAGTCTAAAGCTGCCCAGATCCACTTCAAAACCCAAACAGGACCCCAGTCTAGTGGAGCACAAGGAGCACAATACTGAAACATCAGAACCTCCGCAGCACAAACCAGAACCAGCTGGTATAACGGACCAGACCTGCACAACACCTGAGGAGCTGGAGTCAGACACAACCGCACAGCAAGAGACATCAGATTCTGTGTCCTCCAGCACTACAACACCCAGCAGTCCCCCCACCCCAGTGGCTAACTCAGAACCTGTGCCGCCTCTATCACTGCAACTCCACGAACCTCAAACAAAAGCTGCAGATTTTACAAACACACAACAGAAAGAAGCAACAAAGCAACAAACACAACACACTTCGCCTCAGACTGCACAGCCTCACACAACACAGCCTGCACACGCACTCCCCTCCCCTTTATCTGCCCCCTCAAGACCTGTCCCCCTGCTGGCAGCCAAACCCTATTGCCAGCCCAAGAGCACACAGGCCGGACACAGACCTGTGAAGGTGAGGATTCAGTTACAGTCTTTTAACCCAGTCTCATAAACCTCTCATAAAGCCCGACCGTGTGCTCCAAGTCTATGAGGTGGCTGTTGTATCGAGGAGATTTAAAACTTCTTATTTTTGCATCTTTTGGATCCACTTTTACCTGTCTGCTTGCACCTTGAAGATTTGCTGAACAGTTTGAAGTTTGAAGTTTGAAGTTTATTTCGATCTGGTCATATCCATTCAATATATACAGTAAATTACAAGAAAAGAAAACCGGACCGAAAAGGCATAGGCTGAAGCAAAAGCTTATTATCGCCTATCCTTCTTACTAAATCAAAATATTCAAAATATCTTATTTCACACGTTAGATAGAAAACAAAAACAAAACACAACAACAAAACAAAGAATAAAAATATGACTCAGAGGAAAGAAAAAAATTAATAAAAATAATAATAATCAAATTAAATCCAGAATATAAATTAATCCGTAACCTCAATCATTTTTTCTATAATTTTCGATCACCTTGCTTTTAAACAACGATTTGAATTTGTGAATAGTCTGACACGTTTTTAATTCATCGTCAACAGTATATTGATTTTGTGATACCAGTCATCTTTGGCCCCATGTACAAATGGTGCTTACATACTAAAGTGCACCTTACCACTGTTGATGTGCCGTAAATTACAAGCGCATATATTTAAGTTTACACAAATATTTATCAGCTTTTTCTTACCGTCACACATCTCCACCGTGTAGAGAAGAAAACCAAACTGTATCCTGACTAAGTTCTCAGGTGTTAAAATCGAAAGTACCATAAAAATGCTGAAAACAATGCCAGAGCATAGTGACGGTAGTTTTATCAACATACTACTGTGCAGTATTACTAAGTGTGACTTCTCATTTTAATAAAGATCACTGTTTAGTGCACAGAGTCTTCATCACCAGGACATATTTATTGTGTGAATGAGAAAAGAGCAGCAGCCCTCACACAATTATTTCACTTCTCATAATCAGCCAAACTAACTATATTAAAACCAACACATTAAAACTTGCAGTCATGGATCAAATATTGGCAAAAAAAGTACCCCATAGAGGAGAGATGTCTGTTAATTGAAAAGCACTCTGTTGAAATCTGAAAAAAGTCATTGCAGATGCTGCAAACATCAAAATTGATCCATGAATGAGGGACGCTCTGGCATTAATGAAAGACTGCACGAATGTGGCTGCAACATGGCGTCACTGGCTGGTTTTTATTTTATTTCTGGCCATCTGCTATAAGAAACAAACAAACATGTGCTCTCTGACCCTCCACTTTATTCACAAGCACATCAATTTCTCTGTCAGAAACTGTATTTTCTCTGCCTTCCTCCCTGTGATTCACCAAAAGAGCCTTTCAGCCGCATCATTTGGGCTCATTTGAATACATTTTCATTTATAAGGTGTTTTGCATTGACCATAGACGGACAAATGTGGGCTTATAGGGGGCAGAACATGAGGCTGAACCAAATGTGCGTATTCATAGTCGAAGCCTAAACTTTTTGTTGTTATCATCAAGTACGGAGTAAGAAAGGCCTGATGATTTTCTTCTTCTATCTTCATAACTCATGAAAACTGCAGTGATGAGCGATAGAGAATATGGATACATGATATCTCTGCAATCCTGACTCCTGTGTTTGTCATGTGTTTCACTCAGATGGACGGGTTGGTGCGAATGAACGGAGAGACGACAGAGGACATATCTACACCCACTACACCTACACCCACTGCAGCTTCCCCAAAAGAGATCAAAGAAGTTCCCCCCAAACACATCGAAAAAGAGGCTCCCTCTGAGCAGGCTGTGACCAATCAGGAGGCAGTGAAGCAGACGCCTGCTCCACAGATACCACTTCCACCGACACCACCTGCTCAGACATCCCCACAGCAGCAACCACCTCCTCAAACATCCCCACAGCAGCCACCACCTTCTCAGAAACCACTTTCCCAGTCGCCATCTCAGCAGACAGCATCTCCTCAAACTGAGAAGACAACCTCGTCCTCAGCCTCTGCCATCAGCTCTCTGATTGGAGGCCGAAACTGTATCATCACCACAACTATTGTGACAGAGCTCACACAGACTGTTGTGGAGCCGCTTCACCCGGACATCCAAAGCAATGGGCAGGTAATACTACGAGTCACATAAACCTTTACTACAAGAAATTCATACCCAGATCTATATGCATCACCTTCAACAAGTGGATCCCATCATTTTATGGGAGAGTGTTTGATGTTTGTTTTGTTACGATAGCTATAAAAACCAACCTGCAGGGAAGTTATCATTTGCATAGTGAACACTGGGAAGTTTTCATTTGATTTTACTGCATGGAAATACAAGTGACAGTGTTCAAGCTTTTCAAGAATTTGCCATCCTGGTTATACGACACCCACATAGCTGAGTCAGCTGTTTATTCTTCCCATCCATTAGCTGCATTAGTAAAAAACTGAACCCACGAGCCAAACTGAAAGCAACCAAGGAGGCTGCTAAAAATACGGTTGTAACTTTGGATATTGGACATTCATGTTTAAAGATATCAACCAAGTTATGAAAGAAACTTATGAAAGAAAAAAAACCTGCACAAAGAAAGACACACTTCAGCTGTTCCCTCTGTTAGGTTGTCTATGTAAAAGAACTCCCTCCTCTCCTCAGCTTGATTTAAATATCATATTTACATGAGCTAAGGCCAAAAGTAGCCTGAAGAAAAAAACACAGAAAGAAGACGACAAAACATCAGGAAATCGTGTTGTCGTTTTTTTTTTTACTCGTCTGCCATAATTGAAGTACGATGCGAATTGTGCCAAATGGACTACAACATTTGAAGATAGTTTTGTGCTCAGTTAATATTTCATGACGGTTTATAAATAGAGGGTTTTTTTAAGATAATGTTTTATTAATTCAGTTAAATAATTGACTTTCAGGTTAATGGTGCAACGGTGTATTCTGGGAGACCAGCAGAGGAAATAAAGACTCCGCAAGCTTCACCACCAAACAGCATGCAGGACTACTCTCCCACAGTCACAGGTATGTGGTTGTACTATGAAGGGGTACTGTTTATATACTCAGAACTTATTTTTCTACTGGAATATGTCATTGTTTTATGTGTTTCTTTCTCTACCACAGAGGGACTCGAGGAGAGCAGCATGTCTGTGAGTATCTCTGAGCAGCTCTGGCTTGTTCGTCTCTGTTTCTCCTTCATTCTTAAATTTGACCCTGTCCTGACCCTTCGTCTCCAGTAGTGGCTGTAGTCAGACTTGTCCTCTCACCTTTCCTCTCTTTCTGTCCTTTTGGTCTGTATACATGTGTGTTTGTGTGTGTGACTGTGGGTGGGGTCTGGGTAGATTGAAACCCCCATGTTGAACTTGGCTAAACGTGTAAATCACTGGGTCTGGGACCCCAATGAGGAGCGTAAACGCCTGGAAAGGTGGCAACAGGAGCAGGAGCGCCTCCTACAGGTACACTGGTGGAATGGTGTCTATGTGCATGGCTCCATTAGTACTGAGCAGAACACCAACGGAACGAGATGTTCTATGCGTGTTTATCTATATTTACAGTGTGTGTATGTGTGTGTGTGTTTTTGTGCTTCAGCATTTAACATGTACGATTTCTTCTGTAGGAGCAATATGAAAAAGAGCAGGAGAAGCTGAAGAAGGAGTGGGAGAAAGCACAGATAGAGGTGCAAGAGGAGGAGAGGAAACATAATGAAGAGGTCTGATCACACACATATGTTGACAAAATCGTTCAAGTATTACTGGTTGTATATATTTTACACTGAGTCTTTGTTGTGTGAGTAGGAGAGAAAGATACTAGAGGAGACCGTGACGCCACTTAATCCCACGGGTTTACTCAACCAGCAGCCAGACCACTCAGTGACGATTTCATTATCTCTGGAAAATGAGAAAAAAGAAAACAAAATTCCTGTCCAGCTTAATGGCCAAAGAATATCCACTGGCAACGAGGATCAGCATGCTTCCAAGCTGCACTTTTTCCAGGGTGAGATAAAAAAGAAATAAATTCTAGTGAACAGAAAGTTACATAAAGTCTCAGATAATCATGCGTCTATGTGTCCATGTCATGAAAGTATATTTTGTCATGTCTTTTTCTAGAATCTGCAAGTGATGGTGAACCTGCAAAGAAACAGGAGCTGTTAAAGACAGCCTCTCTGGACCGCAACCCCCAGCTAAACCAGCCCCACATCGTCAAAAGGTATTACAATTTTTAGGTTATTTCTTATGCTTTATTTTTATTCTGAGCATATGTGAGGCTGCATTGGAAAGGTTGTTGTTCCTGCCTTTATGCTTTTGTGATGAATATAACCAATTTTGACTAGATATGCAGGTGAAAATCAAAAAGTGAATGTGTTTTATTGAAAAACAAGTATGTTTGCTGATGCTTGTTTGAATAAAAAGCCTTTCTAGCACTATAAAGTTTAGGTTAAACGTTAAATGTCTCTCTCAGAAGTTAATGATTCTCACTAAATAATTAATTCATTCGTGAACCTTAATGTGTAAATATTTCAGACACCTGCAAGCAACATTGTTTATGATGAAATGGAGGGCAGCAGTTATGAGCTGTTATGTTATTTAAACCTGTAAGTCATGTGGCGTGCACAGTTAAAGCATGTGTTTGTGCCTGCCACACAATGTGTCAACCATATTCTCTTTTTAGTGTTAATGCCAGATTTTTAATGGAGAGCATATGGTGGGAAGTAAAGCCTGAAAGTTTTTGATGTCCACATGGCAACCATTTGAATTTTGGATTATTCTTTGACTTCTTAGTGAATCTCTCAAGCAATCTAGCAAAATATGTTTCTTTATTTCATATTGAACAAGCGTATGTTGTTTTTTTAATCCTTAACAGACTTTTTTATTCATAAATGTTATTATCTGAGTTCACTGAAATTTGTTACAAACATATTAAAGGTGTTTTTGACAAGCATTAGTTAGTACACTGTTGGTCATGTTTTTATATATATATATATTTTTGTTTAACCTCAGAGCAGAGTCACAAGACGCTGTAACAAACAAACAGAGCCCGGCCCCTTCAACACCTCAACCTCCCTCCCCCACCAGGTAATGATGCTCGCACACTCATATACAAAGACCAAACTGATAAATAGAGTGAGAAGCTTAATACTTAATTTCCTGCTGTTTGTGTTTATGCAGGTGTGTTAGTGGAAAGAGACTCTGTTCTGGCTGCTCTCAGCCACTGGGGAAAGGAGCTGCCATGATCATTGATACACTGGGACTGTTTTTCCACATACAGTGTTTCAAGGTAGCGTGTTTTTTTCCCAGTGCATTAGTCAAATAAACTTAATGTAACTCTGTATTAAATGTACAATGTTTCTTGTTTGTCCTTCACATTTAACGATTTGATGTCTTGTTTTGAAAATGTGCCTGTGAATAATGTTCATGTTTTTTCATTCACAGTGTGGGGTCTGTAAGGGGCAGCTGGGTGATGCCACGACAGGGACAGATGTGCGGATTAGAAATGGGCTGCTGAGCTGCCATGAGTGCTACATCGCATCTCGGGGTGAGAACACCTAGACACACCTGAACAAACAGACAATGACACACTCAGACATCCAGCTCGGTAACCCCCTACTAACTATCACAGTGTATTCACTAAAGTACTGTACTTATACCTAATACATAGCTCCTTTAGCATTTTCATATCAAACTGTTTCACATTTCATACAACTACAAAACATTCAGTGAGAATTCATTTACAATACTTTATACAAACCTACATTTATTTTATCTTTTTTGAATTTCTGTTAATGAATGTGTATATGACTGTTTTTAATTCGGTTTGTGTATTTTTTGTGTTCAGATTTTACTTGCAGTGCTGTAGAGCTCCCAATTTTCAAAAATAAAGGATAAATTAGACTTAACAGAGCAAGCTTTTTTTATTATTCCAATCATAGGCATGAGGAGGTGTGTTCTTTACCCTCCTGTCAGGTTTATCAAAGAGGTGGTATTATACTTTTTATCATATTTTGAAAACAAATGTTAATTTAAATGTTGGACATTCGTACCATACATGAGCAGAGTTTCAGATTAAGAGGTTAATGTGTGTTGAAGTAATCTCACCTTTACATCTAAAGCCTACTGTCTTAAACATGAATCTAAAGTAGGTACCTTGACTTATTTCACTTGTTTGTTTACAGGCAGAGGTCAGCCCACCACACTATGATAATCTGCATTTTAACCAGAACTGGAACAGGAGCCCTCACCAGCTGAAGAAGACGAAGTTCTGAAACTTGACTCACATTTTGGATATTCTGAAATGTTCTGGAAGACTCTGGGAATCTCTGTGGAGCTTTGGAAATGTTATTGTTTTCTTAAAATGCACCAACAGCTTTATGGAAATTATTAAGAGCGTAACTGGACTGCCATGGACAGAGACTCATTTAAAATCATATGCACATACAGTACAGTGTTTGTGCTTATTTACTGTACACATGTATACACTTCTTTCAATATGTGTAGCATGGATTTTATCAATTCATTGGTGTGTTTAAGCCTTTGCACATTCAAATTTAGCACAGTCAAGACTCCAAAACAAAGATCTGCTTAATATGTTATGCTAAAATATCAACACATCAGTCTGGAAACGTTTATCATGAACCCCTGCTTCTGCACTGATTATGTGACTTCACTCTCTGAGTGGGACAAAAAGTGGTTTAGGTTGGATAACCTGAAGTAGCTTGACCATTTTAATGCCTTACTCATCATCATCATATCCTCTCATTCATTTTAGGTTTTGTGTTTACAGTTCTGCATGAAAGAAGAACGTATATAAGTTATTGTGAGTCTTGCTCAGATTGTAAAGTGTGAGTTTGGTGTAAGTTATAACCTGTAACAGCTGAACTTCAACTTTCCTCCTGTTTGTTGTACATCATCATAATACTTTGGATTTTTTGGGCATCTGGCTGACTTACATAAGCTTTTTCTTGATTATACCTTCTACAGGAATGAGATTGCATGTTCTTAATTATTATTCTTGTTCTTTGGATTTTAAATATTTTCCCTTACAGGTGTTTTAGCCATTGTTAATTCTCATAGACTGACTGCGACTGAATCAGTGCCTTATGTAATGAATGCGAGGGCTAGAGTATGTGCAGGAGTATTTCGCACCCACACAGACCTCTGGGTCTCGGCACATTGTGTGAGTGTGTGTAGAGGAAATCCTGCATGTTTAGGGATGAATGCAGAGTGTGATTTTAACCTGAGCACAGTTCCATACCAGCAAAAACATTTAAAATGGATCAGCCTCCTCTTATCACCTGCTGTTCTTTCTTCTACATCTTTCCCTTGAGCTAAACCAATGACTAAGTGATTTGCTGCTTTCCTGTTAATTATTCCCCCATGCTACAACAGCTCAATGTCCTCCAATCTCTTTCTTGTTTGCCTCGATCACAAGTGTTGCCTCCCCAGAGTCTGAGCTGAACGTCTCTCTCCTTTGTGTGTCATTGCCTCTATCTAGACACCTGACAGTGGCTTCATCACTCTAAGGACTAGAGCGCTCAGTTCATTGTATTTTATAGCAAGTGTATGTTTATCAATAAAATATTTTAAAAATGGGATGCTTTCTGTTCATTTGTCCTCCATTTTCTTCACATAACCAGTGAAATGTGAACAGATTTTGCAAAGAAGGGGTATAATTTGTAGCAGTGTGGCATGCATTACTGGATACACCCTCTTCTAATACAGTGGCTAGTTAAGGAGAATTTTGCTACAACAGTAATGAGTTGAGGTATGTAAAATCTTCCTGCTGTAAAATTACACTGAGCCCTGAAATATACTGTGCCTTCTGTACCAGAATCATTTATATATAAAATGAAGTCAGCATATATTGTCTCCCAAAAATTCTGGAGTAAATTCTGAGCAGTGAAAGCCTAAAATAAACATGAATCCATGTACTCTGTTTTACCTTGTTTTCTTTTTTTATAACAAGTAACATCTTCAGGTGTTCTGTCAAAAGTGATCCAATTATCTTTACTTTTTTTATCTAGATCCCTATCATCTGCCATTTATGCAACAGCTGCTCTGTAAACACATATATAATGTTGACATGAAGTACAATACACAAAACCTTGTTTCAGCTGTTCTCTCAAGATTTTGACTGACTTATCTTGTCAAGTCAATGAACATACCAATTATCTTGAAGCAGACTTATTTTAGGGTGAAAGAATGTTTTTCTTCTAATGATAACAGCATTGTAACATTATTTTTTTGGCGTGGTTTTACCTAAATCCCTGTAAGGTTTAAGGTATATACCAGAGGATTTTCATAGACAATGTGATAATAGAAATTCTGTCACTGCTCATATTTGTAGGACAAAGTTTGTTTTTCACAGAGCCAATGTTTTGCAAATTCCTTCATGAGACATAATAAATATCCAAATTTTAGAAAGAAAGTTCAGGAAAGATAAATAAGCAGTCAAAAGGATCCTCACACAGGCTTGTGTGCCCCTAAATACGGGAAAACCGAGTAAATACTCAATTCAACGTCGCATGCCCATCTGGTACTTATGTACAAACACATTTGGTCACGAGCCACTCCAATGGACTGTATCTGCTGTGTTGTAAAACAAAATATATTTTAGAAGTTAAAAGTTGTTTTAACGCTGCTGAACTTAATTTTAACTGCTTCTTTTCAAGTCTTAGTAATAATAGCAAGTGGTGACCCTGATTTTATTGCCCTAGGAACCAAAGTGAAACCGAAAACGTCGGATGAATTAAACAGGGAACCCGGAAATATAATTTGCGGTTTGTTGCCCGCCCCTTTTCTATCATGTGAGCTGATGGGTTGTTTTCGTTTTAGTTCTGTCATTTCCTTCTCAAAAACGCCAAACATTCAAATACAATGGAACCAAAGGATGGGACGCTTTATGCAGTACGTACAAATAATCTGTTTATAATGTCGACAGTTTGTACGTTTACTGAAGTGAAGTTATTATCATGAAGCGTGTGGCTCGTTAGCTAGTTGGTAAGATGAACGACAGTGCTGCTGTCATGAAGACAGTTTCCTTGTACAGATAAGTAAGACTTTATCTGTCAGCAGGTCTCATACAAGGTCATAAAAGTTTTCATTTGTGAACGTTAATCCCGAAGTTGACAAATGGCTGAAACTGATTTATTTACAAGTGAGGTGTTGTTGCATATGCAGGCATGCTCCTTCAGCCTCTCTTTTTCTGTTTATAGGTGAATGACAAACTGTTTATTGATTAGTAAATTTGTATTTGTGCCTTAATGTCTTCTTTTTACAGTAGAGCAGAAAGCAAAAACGCCTCCTTGTTTTAGTGAATTTTGTTCAACTCAAACCTGCAGTGAGATCATGACTTTGCAGTCCAGTGATATTCAGTCTCATACAGTGACCTCTGTGTTTACATCTCATTTCTTTAAAAGCTCATAACTGCTGCCATCCCCAGAGCAGATGTTCAGGTCTAACCCTACCTTTACCTCTGCTTACCTCAGGTTAGGGCTGGGCGATATGGGAAAAAGTTTATCACAATATTTTTTTTCTTATATCAGTCGATATCGATATATTTCACGATACAAAATTGAAACTTACGGGCTTCTTGGAAGCATGTCCCTTGCAGTGCAATAAGCTGCTGCATCTGTGAGGTCTTTGTGTCTCTTCGATGTTTGTCGTAAGGCGTTTCACTAGAGAAAGAGGACTGAATGGTCGTCTGTTTCGGCTGCACAGGCGCCATAGGCTCCTTGCTCCACTTGGGGTTTGTAACCTTTTGCGTGCTCTGGCGTGTGGCACTGCTTCAGGTGGTGAAAAAGATTTGAGGTATTCCCAGTCTTTACAAGAACATGTACTCAACATAATTTGCAGTGCACATTACTCTGCTTCATGTCCGACCTCAAAAAAACCAAAATACCTCCACACCACCGACATTTTCAATGCAAAGTGGATCCGGAGCAACTCCTCTTTTCATTGGCTATGACGAGTAGAGTCTACCAAAACATGGCAGAATGCCGCCTATCGCAAAGCATAATGACTTAATTGCTTAACCGTTTTATCGCCCTACCCTACTTCAGGTTAAACCAGTTTATGATTCATATAGAGAGGCTCATTCAAAATAGTAATCTGTTGTTTCTTTCAGCCTGCAGGCCCCTCCGTAGACATAACACGGAGCCTTGATGAAGACTCGATGGTGGACGGACCTCTGATCTCTGCTGACGCTCTCCATTCTGCCATCAGGAGAGAGTTTCAGACTGTGCCCACAACCTACCATGCCGGCCTCCTCTCTTTACTGCATGTATGATCTGCACACACTCATATAGACTGTGGTTATTTAAACTGTAGCAATGATAAAAAGCAGATACTTGAATTTTAAATAGATTTATAAAACAGTTGTTGGAAATCAAATCAAACCAAAACATCATTTGGGTGAGATAAATCTTATTTGATATCGATGTTTATACGAGATTGACTGTCTTTATAATCACATCTATTGATTTTCAAAGTACTTCTACACATATGACTGCCTCACACCCTCTTATCTCTTTTTTTGTTTGTTCCAGGTTGTGTATGTAGTGTTGTCAGTGTGTCTAGCAGTGCTCTGTGCGTTGAAAGTTGGTCAAGAGGAAGTGTGTGCAAGTATTTTAGGTAAAGTGTCAGGGGACAGCGTCATTGTGTTTGGGAAGGTGGGTTTATGGGCACTGGTGCTGTTGTTCACCGCGTGTGTGCAACACCACCACAGCCGGACCAGAAGCAGAGGATACCTGCACTTCTACAGACAGATGCAGGGATTGAAACACCTGCCACTCACAGTACACTCTGCAGGTACAAACAGCTGCCCTGATTTTGTAAGGGGAATCCTTTGACTTGTCAAGTAGTGCTCTGTTTTTTCCACAGGGTGGCAGTAATGCTGTATATGTGTTTGTGTGCAGGGAACGTTCTGCTGCTAGTTGTCCTGGCTGCAAGATTGCCTGGAAATGTGCAGACCTACATGCTGGTCAGTGTCCTCGGGCTGGAACTCCTGGTGGGAGTGCCATGCCTAATCTATTACGCAGGTAAATCATGGTATTTATATTTCTTACGTCTGAGATTGCAGATCCACCTGATTGTAAGAGAGCAAAACATTTAGCTATGTACTTAGATGATTTTTTTTTTATCATAATATAAACCTTAATTCATGCACACAGACACTCACATATATAGTGACACATGCCTTCACCCTTCACAAAACAGACAACAGCTTACCTGCCAATCCACCTGGTCTGTAGCACCATTTTTTATTGTACCAAGAAAATAATAAGAACTAGAGAAAGAGTGGAACTAATAAGAAACATATAAACTATAGATTTATGACAGAAGTCAGATTTTTTTTAAGGGATAGAGAAGTCTTAAAGTACAATGATGTAGAAAATTTAGACAAAAAAGTGATAAATCTTAGCTTATGTGCTAAATGTAGCAAGGACTTAAATAAATGTAGTAACAGCAGAATTTGTCTTTAATACTTCTATTTCATCTGAGGGTTTGGGATTTTTTAATTTTTTTATCTTAGATTTTTTTTATATCTCAAGAAAAAGTAAGTGAAGTTCTGTGTTAAGATTATAGCCAACTTTTATTTTCATTTTTTTTTTTTTTTTGTATGTTGGAAAAAAAAAACACTTCTCTTTTGTTCACATTTTGTATTGGAGGAATTTACTCAGTTATTTGTGTCCCTCTGGAAAGGGCTGCCAGAACAGTACAGTGGAAAAACTCGAGTCTCTTTTAGATCACTTGATGATAGGCAAACTTACCAGATTAAGACTAATGAAATTTGTAAAATCAATGTTTTATGTACATGGGCGAGGATCTGTGAATTTCAGTTGTTTTTGTCATATTATCAGTAGTAGTATTAACAGAATGTGGGCCACAAAGACTTTTCCTCAATCAGGTTGCAGATAAAAGGAATAATATTTTCCTTGTGTTAAAGCAACAGTGCAGCATAGTTTCTGCTGCATCATGGGTGGCAGGTTTAGAAAATGAGAGAAGCGAGTTATTGTTGTCTGTAGAGAGCTTCACAATAATACAAAGGTCCATAATTGAAGTATACTCCTCAAATCAAATCTAGACTCCTACCACAGTCATCCTATTAACAGGCCGAGTTATATCAGCAGCAGTACATAGAGAGACACACCCTGTAGATTACATTACACAAACAGACACACACACACACACACACACTACCCCCACTCTCTATCTCAGCACATTCGCATCACAATACCTGCCCTGCCCTTTTCAGACTCGACAGCATGACAATCAACCATTCAACTCTCTGTCCTTTCTCCCTCTCTCCATCTCAGTGGCTCTCTCTCTCCCTTTCCATCCCTGTTCCTCTCTGCAGAGCAGTTTTTTTGTGCTTCTGAACACCATGCAATCTTTGTTGGATACCTATCAGTCAAATCCCTTTTGTCTCTTTTTCTCCATCATAGAAGTAAGGGACATGTTGGTTAAATTTAAATAATACTTAATCTGTGGGTAGAGGTCGCCATGTTGAAAACCACCAGGAAAAGTCAATCACTCTGATTTGACACTTCAAGATGCCCATTCTTCATCTCTTCAGTTAACCGAGTTTATTATTTTCTTGTTGTATATTGCAAATACATTTGATCTCTTTTCTCTGTGCTCACAGCTGTGCAACCAAAATTAAAAAAAAGAAAAAATAGAGAGAGATGACATAAGATGACTGAACTTAGGCAAAAACAAGAAGCAGGAAGCACTGTAGTGCAAAAACAGCCATTCATCTCATAAGCTTAGCTAAATATCAGGACCCAAGGAGGCATTTGTCATTTTAAATGTGGCATTAATGAAGGGAATCTTGGACATGTGTAAAAAAGTCACTGAATGACTCTGGTCATACTCTGTAAATTGAGTTCTATATTTTAGTTTACTCTTGTGTACCAAACAGCAGTTAAAGGAAAGGAAAAGGTGTGAGTATACTGTACGTATAAATATATAATGTAGATACTGCATTGAATGTTTCGCACAGACTTTCATCATCTCAAAAGGCATAACCCCATGGACTCAAAATACCCCTTAGACAAATTTGCACCACTTGATGGTCATATTTTCAGGCAATAAAGCTCAATGACTTCTCTGATCCTACTTCTATAGTCCTTATCTCACCCTGCACTTCACTGTGGTGGGCGGCAAAGAAATATCCAAAGAATGTATGAAAGACTTGACATGAAACTCAGTTGAACTTCCCTCCTGTTAAGTTATGATCACTTTTGACTTTTCCCCTATATTGACATCTGTTATTAAAGAAAAAACGTCTACTCTGTCCATACTGTGTGGCCACTGCCCAGTGATGAAAACTTGCAGAAATTCTGGTCTTTCTGTAAAACTAGCAGTGCTGCCAATAAACACTATCTTAATATTCAACTTCGATATCAAACTTTTTGAGTCATATCAGTTATTTTTTATCATGCCAGTACTGTCTTTGCAAGCGTGTTAGCATCTAAACATTAGCAGTGCAAAGCTATTCCAAAAATCTGGACACCTTGACAGAAAAAGTACTCGCTGTCTGGCCTCTAAAAGTTCACTTCCCTCACCACAACTGCAGGTAGATACTTGAAACTCTGTTGGCATGGATGTTTTGCTAGTTCTTTAAAATGGAAATAATATTCCAATCAAAATTACACCAAAATCTTTACTTTGTTCAGATTTCTTCTTTCTGTTCTGGCTTTGCTGCAGCAACAGGTCAGTTCTGTATTTATGGATATCAAAACATGAATGAAAAAAGTCTGCCTGAATTAGAGGAATCCTCATCATGTAGAGATAAATCTGCTCAACAGTAGATTTTGAATTTAAGGAAATCTTCACATTCAAAGTTTGGTTACTGACAGTGAAAAAAGAAGATATTCCCTTGACTTTGTGAATTGTAGTTGACTGCTGTATGTCTCTGTCTGTAAAGGAAAACTGCTGTTAGAGATGTTCTGTCAGAGGATATTGATAGAGAAGAATCTTTAATGAAAGGAAATCCATATTAAAGCTGTGTTTGGCAGCTGAAGGGCACAGATGAGGGCCCCAGATACCAGAGAGGCAGGAGAGAAGATAAGAGGCATTAGGATTTAGCTTAGCCAAAGGGTAGTCCTCGACCTACTCCACCCAAACACACACTTCTACACACACATTGTCCCTCTGTGTTTACAGTGAGGGTGATCCAGAGTGTCTGTGGGGGTATCTGTGATCGCCGACCGCATTCCTGTTCAGATCAGTGCGGTCAGGCATGATGCAAACCGAGGGACGCCTCACAGTACATACTCTTACGAAACACACGCACTCACTCGGAGTGACGCAGAGTCAAGGTGACACCAGAGAGAAAGAAAAACTTCTGATAGGTGACAGAGAATCCGAAAAATAAGGCCTGCAGCTATGAAGTCCATACAGGAAGGCCTCGTTCAACTTCTCTTTGAAGTGCATGCTCATTGTGAGTGTGTGTGTGCCCGTGTGTGTGTGTCTTTGAGGTTTGCTGTATGTTTCTGCCTCTCTCATTTTAACATGAATACACTCTCTTCTAGAGAGCTACATACACATCAAAGCCATGCCTTGGCCTTCAAAGGGGTTAACTTTCGAATACATCTCTCTCCTCTGTCGGGCCTGTAGTTAGTGTAAGCTGCAGGGCACACAGTTTGCACACACACTTACACACACTTACAGTGAGTCCCTACCGCACACAAACCCTAAAGCCTTGACTGGAGAGACCTAAAAGTGAAAAATGACGAGCTCAGCAAAGTTTTTTGAAGATTTTAGTTTATGATCAATTATTGGCAGCCAGTCTTATTAGTATAATTAAAGTTTAGATAAATGTAAGTGATATCACAGAAACACACTCAATTTTAAGTAAAAGCTCTGTATTAAAAATGGCACATTATTATTTAGTAGAAGTAGAAGTATTCAATACAGATGAATGTTTCATGTCAATAAAGTTTATGATACAATATTGGTGAATAGAGGGTTGAAAAAACTAGAATAAATCAGAAAAAATGTCCAGGATTGAATGTAGATGTTCCTAAAAGAAGGAAAATTAAAGTTTATTCATAAAGCACCTTTTATAAATGAAGAAAGTCAAAAGCTCTAGTCACACTGACTGAAAATTTCCCAGAATTACACACTAAACATATTCTGATTGACTCATATCTTCTTTCAAATAAAATCTCCAATACTGACAAGTGCTGAGGACTCTGAGCGTAGTGGTCTGGTAGATCAGCATAATAGAAAGCACTGTTTGATAGTCGCCTGTATTGACCATCACTGATTATTTTCTTGCTCAGGTTCTTCAGCTGCGTCCGCGGCAGAATCAAGAACATTATTCATTTTTCAGCGTATCATAAACTTCAATTCTCTTCTAACCTCTGTTATAGTCTTGCGCTACGACTAAAATGTGATCTGTCCCCTTTGTTTTCCTTTATCTTGCGTAACTACTGTCTCTGTATGCTTGCTGGGATCCATTTCCTCTCCGTTCTGTGATTTTACTTCATGCTGTGCGTACTTGAGGGATTTGTATGTGTTACCGTTAGCTGTTAGCACCTCTGCACCATCACTGTTATCACCTGGAAATGTGCATTTCTTCTGGGGTGATCTGAGCTCCTCAGATCTGAGCAGACTCAGTCTGAGCACTGTCTGTCCAACCCTGTGAGCATGTGAGAGGCTCTAACAGGAGTGTGTGAAATGTGTCACCTCCTGTACACGGCTCCCTTCATCCATGCATTTATCGGTCCATACTTACTCCCCGGTGTCTGTGTCCATTTTTGACCCCCTGCTGTAATACACACAACTCCACAGACTGAGAAGTCTGCCAGTTTGGGTTATTTAAAAGGAAAGGACATTTCTTAAAACTCAGAGCTATGCTTGGATTTAGATATTTATTTGTATTAATGCTTCATTTTAATCAAGTTATCAGTCGAGTGTCACAGAATGTCAGTTTGTTTTACAATGGCTGACTTTTGTGTGGAGGATTTCTGGGCTTTACTGACAAACTTTGAGTTTCCTTAGATGTACTAATAAAATAGTTGATCCTTCCCCTTAAAAAGTTGCAAGCACTTTCTTAATACTCCTCTGACTGAGTTCTCTTTGAGCACTTAGGAGTTTTAACACTAATTCATTAGGCTTTAAAGGTTTGTTAGGAATAAAAATAGAATCAATGCTGTGTTTATTACACACATTTTACTGACCTGTTTATATAAAAATATCATTTGAATTGGGGGGAGTATCAAATTGTGCCAAAACAAGACAAATATTGACAAAAATAATAATATAAACAAATTAACACAATCCAAAGTCCCAGAAGAAGTAAGAAATTCATTCCCTTATGTCAGAACAGTGAAAAAACACATGAATCTATCTAAAATGTAAGAAGATTTAGAAGAAGAAACAGAATTGTATTTACATGTAGTCTTACTCATTTGGGCAGTTTAATGTTTTAGACAGTCCAGACAAAATTCTACTTCAACAAAATGTTTGTTGTTAATCAGAACTAATGTATGGTAAAACTTGGCCATTCTTTTCAAACTTTGTTATCCCAGAATTCATCACATATTTTACTAGAATTACACTAATTACAGGTTTAAGCAGGTCCCAAAAAGTAATCTTGAATATGTTGCCCGCTGAAATGACCCGCTGTGAGAATTGCTTTGTCATCATTTACCGATTTTTACAAACTGAGTGAAACAGACTCGAATGTTGTGTTAAAACACCCGTTTTACACATCAAGTGGATGAATCAAAGATGGTAGAAGTAAAAGAAAAAAATAGAAATGCATTGGGTGCAAGATTAGTTCAGCAGTTCAGTCATGTGCTCCGTATTCAGTGGTTTTAGTCTGTGAAGCAGAAAGATTCCAACTTGCGGCATTTTTCCACGGCACTCCCCTTCCTTTCTCTCTCAGGTTTTTCTAGTCATGTAACTGTCCCTGATTTTAAAAAGGGCATACAAAATTAAATTTAATCAGATTAAGCCGTAAAGTGGTGCCCCTTTAGATGAAAATATTGAAATTGGTGATTGAAAATTGTTTATTTTTTTTTGCAGTGTGTAGAAGTTGCCATATACTGATTTCACTCACTTGATGAAATGTGCCTCATCATATTTCAGACAAACTTCATTTCTCTGATTCACTGGAATGTCTCTTTTTTTTACCCTCACATACTCGCTCACCATTTCTATATTTACACACACACACAAACAAACGCACACACGCTCACACCCACACACTCACACAGGTTTAGGGCCTCATTATGCAGGAATGTGCAGCATTTCTTTAGATTGTGTGTGAGTGTGGATGCAGAGATGCTGCACTGTAGCAAAGTAAAGATAGTGCTCTTTAGAACCTCCCTGACAATTTCCTCTGGCTAATGACACTCCAGTCTTATCAATACTCAGCCTGCTCCTCCCCCTGCCCTTCCTCACACACTTGCCCAGCAAACCCCACACACACACACACCTCCGCCTTATCTTGATCCTAACAGCACCCACATCTCCTATATTTTAGGCTCAGGCTCCTCATCTGGCTTCTGTAAGCCCCACAGCCACACCTTGCTGCCAACCCCACCCCCCTGTGTAAAGGTGTATGTTTAGGGTGAGAGAATTAGAGGTTTGAGTGCAGGATATGGCAGCCCATAAGAGCTAAGTGCAGGATATAACAGCCTGTGTGTGTTTAGGAGGGCGAGAGGAATGGAAAACAATAAAAAAAACAAATGTGTGCTGTTTCCCACCTGAGTGGTTAGGTTCGCAGGATCGCTCTCACTGCACTTTGACCTCTCTGTATTCTTCACGAGCAAGATAAAAGCCTGGTTTGATTTTTTGTCTTTGTGGTTGTAGTGAAGGTGATGCAGTTCAACAGAGAGCGAGCAGCGCCTGACGTCAGCCAAGAAGAGCATTCACGAAACTTCAGCGTCACCAGCATGCCGACTGAGACTGGCTTCAGGTACTCAGAGTTCACTGAATGATGCAAGTCCACGAAAGCCCATGATCATTGTACTTTCATATTGATCATAGTGATTGTACTGTATGATCAGAAAGTAATGAGAGATAAACACACTGCAGAAGCTTCATACAAACACATGCAAACAGAGTTGCAGTGCTGCATGCCCTGCTGGCTCACAGTGACTCTGTCTCACCTTGGCAATACCTCTGAGGTGATGCTTGTGAAAAGGTTGAATAACTTATTCACATAAATACTTCTTTAGGACATTCTTTGTGATACTAAACATTCTCCACACAGAACATCACATAAGGCTGCAGGACGACAGCCATAAATGCAAAGAGAAAATCACAAACACAGTTTCTTAGAAAAAAAACTGGTCCTTCTATTCTTTCATATCATTCGTAGTTTTTTCTTTTAGTGTGGGACAAAGGCGGAAAAAAAATCCTCATTATATCACAGAGTAAAGTAAATCTTTTGTCTCCTGTCAACAGCCTATGCAACAAAATCCAATCTAAAGTTCTTCACATACAGCCTATGAGGAAATAGGAGTCCGGATAAAACAAATAGTTTTTAGGATTTTTTTAAGCTAACTACACCGGCTTAGTGAAATAAAACAGTATTGTCTATTTCTTTTTTACACCATCAAACAAAAAGGTCCAGGAAAGGACAGCACATATGTGGTGCATCTGCAAATAGTGCAAAATAATTAGGCTGTTTAAAAGTAAAGCGCTGACGTCTGGGTCAGACTTTCTTGCAGTAAACTTTAACAGTGGTATAGTTGACCTTGTCTGCAGCAATTGATTGCCCAGATTCCATTTCATTTCTCCAGCTGGTTTCTCAACGACGAGGCTGAGCAGACAGGCTCCCTCAGTGGGGGTCACACCTACTCTTGAAAAATACCTCATACAATCCCAATCTAACAAAACAGAAAAAATTCAACTAACTCTTTAGGGACGAAGAATAAGAGAGGCTGACGTGGCATCACTTTTTGACTCCACATTAGTCTTAAAACCTTTACATTATGTATGTCTGAGTGTAATTTTTTCTACTCATCAAGTAGTTTTCGGGTCAGTGTCAAAAATGTTAAAAATGTGGTTTTTCCCAAAGATAAAGCTGGTGTCCTTGGCCCACTCACTATGCATTTCTAGCATACTATACAAAACAAACCCAACAAATACTCAAAAATTGTCCTTTTCTTAGAAAGTAATCAGTGATTAAACAAAAACTGCATATTGATATGATAGAGCTTAACTGATTCTTCTTGCTTCTACCTGTCAATAATAGAATCAGCCAGAGAGGTTGTGTGAGAAAATGTTTTCATGTTAACTTAAGAAACAAACACTTCATCCAGAGTAGCACTACTGAAGAGGTATGTGAGGGGAAACGCTGTGTAAAGCTGCATATCGTCTCTTGTGTCACAGGGAGTGCTCCAGTCTGGAGGAGGTGGTGGAGAAGCAAGCCGACCTGATTGAATACCTGAAGCAGCACAATACCTTGCTGAGCAAACGGCTTCTAAACCTCACCGCCCAGCACTGACCTCCTCCTCCTTTTCCTCCAACCTGTGATCCAGTGGTCACACAAGCCAAACACAAAGGAGAGGGCATCTTAGGGTATGAGAGGGGAGCTGAAGCTGGAAGAGACACTGGAATTAAGAGAAGAAAGTAAGAAAATCCCTGTGCACTCCAACACCTGTGCGCACACACTTGAAGATGGGATGGAGAGTTAATGCCGGAGGAGGTGAGCTGTAAGTGGAGGGCAGTTAAAGAGGGGAGGTAGAGGGAGGAGGAGGAGGAGGTGAAGGGTAGTCGTGGGTCACAGATCAGAGGTGAGGGTTTTTTTATCACTGCGTTACGACCCTCAGTGACCCACGTTTGCTGCTGTTTGTGTTACTGTGAGAGAAATGGGGGGACGATTGTTTTAGAGATCATCTGCACTAAAGGGGGACTGTAAGAAGAGAGTGTGAAGAGTTGTTCTTATCAGTCTCCAACAAGAATGAGATCGACTTATGCTGTAAAATGTCCGCAAGTGCTTTTTTAAGAATTTTCTCATGTGTGTAAGTTTCACTGGGTAGTGGTTTGTCTATTTTTTTTAATCATTGAGGTTGTGTATTTGTTTGTATGATTAAATAAACCTTGAATATTCCCATGTTTTGGTTTTGTCGTTCTTGTTTTAGTCTATTCCGGTTGATGGACACTGCAGTGAAACACAAGGAAGTGCAACAGTTTAGTGTTTGTTTAGTAGTGTAATGTAATAGCTTACTAGGAAAAAGCACAAACAATGGTAACAATGGCACTGTCAGCCTTAGCTTGGCGTGGACGTCTCCTCCCACCTCACCTTCTTTTTCTGTATTTGATTTGAACAGTCACGGGAACTACGTTAACGAAATATTGAGGTCGTCATTTGAGCCCTTGGTGTTTGCTCCCCATTGTGATTTCTTTCTACTACCATGTCTGTTAACTCCACAGGGGAGCACCACTTTTACGACGCCTTTCCCATGTGGTTTCAACTGCAAACTGTTTGATTTAAAGCCTGTAGGTGAAACATTTAAAGATGTTGGTACGAACTAGAAGCTTAAATGCTACATTGTGAAAGAAAGACAGAAAGAAACATTATCGTGATACATTTTTTATTAAAAGTGTTAAATGCAGTTCTATAAACATTTGAAGTGCATACATGCATTATAAACATTTGGTAGGAATGTTTCATGGTTACAGTCAGTAAGGATTTCCCAGCTCTTTGGTCTTTAGCTTTTGAGTCAATGGCAGATGTTGGTCCAGCTACTTTAACTCTTTCCTTATTCTCCTCCTCAGCTCTCAAGGAGGAAGAAGAGAAAGCGCTTGCTTGCAAATAGGACACGACCCTAGATGCATGGCCGCCAGGACTTCAAAACATTTCGTATGTTACATTTTGCTTGCAAAATCTTCCTTGCATCTCTTTTGCAGCTTAAAATGCACAGCAGTCACTTGGTAGCATTTTTATGGTGCCCCATAGTTTTGCATCTCTTCTCAAGTCATGGTTCTGTGACCCATCTGTTGGCTGCACGCTGCTCTTGCGTCATTCGCGTGTTTTCTCTTTTCTCAGGTCACCTCCATTCTTGTGCTTTAATCTGTAATGGAAAAACATTAATTAGTATCCTGCAAAAACAGATTAAGGAATTTTCCATGTACACAAGTCAAACTAAAGCTGGAATTCCCCCTCTCTCCCTCTCCCTGTGGCACCAAGGCTTTCTTCTCCATCGTTAGTGAGATTTATGTCCACACTCCTGTTCTGCGTGAATACACACCTCTGCCACTAATCACATACACCTTCTTAAGTGCCACCTGCGGGCCCTTCGACCTGGTTTTGTCAAACAGTCCTAACTTACAACCATGTTTTACACTGGCACACATGCAAGAGTTCACACGTCTCACCTTAGGGAAAGGGAACTCTGGAGTGCAGGGGTAGACAGCGTCTGTGTGGGCAATGGTGCCTGTGGTATTTTCTTCTCAGGCTCAGAAAATCTGAAAGAAAAAAAGGAGTTTTAGTTTCACTACAAACCAAAAAAACAACTTGAGTACATATGATGTGATGTTGACACTCAATGTTGACCGTATAAAGGCCTGTTCTTTTTGTTTGGACCTAATTTTCTAACAGCAGGGTGACCCCCACTAATAAAGTGGGACACACAGGCCTAACACATGATTATTTTTTAACCTCCCTAATAAATTCACTTTGACTCCTGCAGTTCACAGACTACCAGCCAAGCCCAGGAAGAGATAAACTGCCAGATGACTTTATGACTCCCTTTTCCTCACCCCCTCCTCCTCCCCTTCTCTCTGAAAGACCCAGCTCCCCACGCCTGAAGCAAGGCTTCTTTACACTTGGCACTGCGACTCCATGTCATGTTAATAAAGCTCGGGTATTTGCATGGCTTTTTAACACCAGGGTTGACAAAAGCACGCCGGAGTGCCTTCCAGCCGGGGACAATGGGACTCTTTGGGGTCACTGTGTGATCCCCGGCGGCGGTCCGCTCCTTCTTCCCTCCCATCTCTTCCCCATCTCAGCCCCTCTTCTTCATCACCATCATCTTCGCATGAACCGAATCACGACTTAAAACCTGAAGCATCTGTTTATCGACCGCTGTTTGTCTCCATCGCAAGGCCGAAAAGTATATTACAGAAACGAGCTTGGGACCCGTGCAAGAAGGGCACCTGTTGCGCCAGACAATATCGGAACTAAGTATCCGGTAGGAACTGAAAAACTGAATTAAAGAACGATTTTCTTTATCGTAGTGAAGTAGTCGCTGGTTTCCAAAGAGAAAAAGTTAAGTGCTAGCCTACCACATGCTGGTTTGCCTTTGCTAGTGCAACGTTCAAGTTAAGTGAATAAAAGAGAAAACTGGATATCTGTGATCAAAAACTCAAAAAGAAATGAGTGACACTGGGTTTTTTCAGATTGCTAAGGTAGAAATAAAGAAAACAAAACGCAGTTAGTATAAAATTATCTTTTTACTCGTTTATTTAATAAAAAAAATGCATCAGAATCAGAATGCCCTTTGTTGTCATTTTACCGGAGTACAACGAGATCGGACGTGTTAACCGGTTTATCGTGAGCCGAATCGCGTTCATCGGTTTTGTTACCGTTCGTCTTCAATTTTTAAAGTTGTAAAAGGTGCGAAAATATTCTGACTGGTGTACGATTTTTTTTACCGTAGTTGTTAAAACAGTAGACCCAGGCCAGTAGGTGAACCCGTGCTAGAACTGTTCCCTCTCTTAGTCTACCTCTCAGGACTGTACAACTCATGAACGCATCTTGTATCTCGCAGGTTTCTACATCTCGACCATGAAAATTGACAAGACTGTTATTTCAGCTAAGTGAGTTAGTACAATTGCATCATGGCGGCAAGAAAAAAAAGATATCAACTATATTTTAATTTGAAGTTTAACAATCCTGTCCTTCTAAATCATTAGCCAATGTATGGCCAAAGTACCAAGACATGCCGTTGATTTGTTTCTCAAGAAGTTTCACCTAAATTGCCTGCATTGATTGAAAACTCAGTTTGTTCAAACAGTGTTTGGTCATTTCAGGACACCTGTTGGCTTGCAGGTATGCCTAAATTATGGAGGTATCTATGGTCCTTTCTTACCTGGTCTTGCAGAGGAGATTTGTGCCACAACAGCGAGGAGCAGCAGGAGCACGTACAGCAGGTTGAAGATCTTCATGGCTTGGTTGGTTTTTGTTTTTTTCTATGGTCAGTTAATATTTTCCGGAGAGTCTTGGATCTGTGCTACCAGGTGATGCTCAGTGAGATCAACTTCTGTCCTCTTCTCCTCGCAGTCAAGAAAGTCTTCCAGCAGAGTCCCTGAAGTGAACACTGGAGTCCCCCTTTTCTCAAGAGAATCGGTATGTCCCAGAGGAATTTGTGTCCACAGTGTTTGTGTGTCCAGTGAGAGTGAGATTGTCTCTGTGTCTGAGAGCAAAGTGACAAAGGTGCTTTTCCCCCCATCTGCTTTATACAGCCTTTCGGTGGGAGGGGGGTGGGTATGGAGAGGGTGTAGCAGCTCCCACAGCAGCCCCCACCTCAACCCCTGACACACACACTTAAGCATAGCACATATTGACCCCACATGTAGAGGGTAATTCAAGTGACAGGAAGCCCCCTCCCTATACCCTCCAACTGCCCCTTGAACACACACTCCCCTGCAAGCTTAATTTTTATACGCATGCATATGTGCATATGTGTGTGCCTCTGTAAATGATTGAGACATTCAAAGCAAACAGATGAAGCAGCCAGAGTTGATATATCACTCGAAAGATTGGAGTGTAGATTTAAGAAGCTAGAGTTGAAAATAGCAGGTCCTTGGGGCCAGATCCACCCCCCACTTGTCCCCTACCTACCCCCGCACTACGGAGGACACACATCTGGGGTTTTTGGGTGGCGGGGTGGTATTGGAGGTGATGGAAAGGGGGCTGTTTGCACTGAGTATTTTGGGAGCAAGGGTCCCGACTGAATGAAACCAAGTGATGCACTGGACCCACAATGCTTGGAGAAGTCTGTCTGTCTGTGTCTGTCTGCCTGTCTGTCTGGGATGCTGTCTGCTGTCTCTCTGAGTGGGGGAGGCACTGTTAAGTGGTAGATCTGAACTTTTTACGAAAATAATCACTCATTAGCATGAAAGTTGTTTGTGGTTGTGCTTGTTTAGGCATGGTCAGTAGTCATTTCACTTTAAGACTCTATTTGGAACTTACTAAAGGTGTTTAAAATCATTCCATCAAAATTTAGACCCTCAACAACTATTTTGCTCAGTGTAATTTGTTGTATAATTGCTGCTGTTTGGACACCTGAGGAATTTAGTGTCTATTTTAATTCTTGATGTGAGTCATCGGCCCTTTATTGATGGAAATCCCATTTTAATGAGTATATTACATCACTGCCCCCATCCCACTTTCCAGGCTGTCAGCTGGTGGTACATCAGGGGATTTTCTTGCAGCAGGTAACCCAGCTCCCTTGGCATTAACTCTGCAGTTGCCGCTAGCTTTTGCAAAGTGTTGGGACTCATTAGCGTGTCTGCTTACAGCCGTCTCTGTGGACTGAGACTCCCCTTTCAGCACCCAGCTAATGAATTAACACATTAAGATGAAATGTCAGCCATTACATGTGAATGAGGATTAGAGAAGCAGCAGGACACTAATGGACCAGGGGGCTCAAAAATAGTCAGAGACTTTGAACAAGCATCTGGACTGCCAGCTCTCTTTAGCCCTCAAACTAGACAAAACAGGACAGAAGAAGTCTCTCAGTTTGTGTGTTGGTTTAACAGTGCGTCTATGTTTCAGTATCATTATGTCTTTGGAAATGTTGCTTTTATTGCTTTATGGTGTTTGCAAAAATGTTGCTTCAAATGACAGAGATTCCTCATGGATTTGACCATCATGTAAACACACACATTCTTGTACACACAGATTCATCCAGCTGCAAACACTAAGCTGAGGTATGTAGTTTGTTTCAGTGGCAAGCTGCACTTTGCATATCAGCAGCCATTGTCTTTTAAAAAACTTTTATTTTCCTTATTTGAATATGCTAATTTTGCCCCAATTGTCATTCAGTTCCACCTGGTTTCCGCTGAATCCAACTTCTGCTCCAGTTTCTCTCGGCGTCTCTCTCTGCGTTTCTGTCTGCCTTTCAAACAAGTGAATCTTACCGGATTCTTCCCACCAGGTTTCTTGTGTGACTGAGCAGAGCATGTTGTAATATTTGCTCTTCCTGGGGATTATATGTCTTAACAGGGATTACCCAGCCTGCTCAAACACTCCCCTACAGGAGACCCACACACATGCACAAACACACACAAACAGAGGGAGCTCTTCTGTTAACCTGCTCCCATACAGCATCTTGGTGAGGCTGCATTGTAAGTGCTCCACTCTTCTAAACCAAAATGTAGAAAAAGGATTGGTCCAGTTCTATGCATCAACTATCCCAAATTGTTTCAATTAAAAAAATGTCTAAAAAAAATCTGATATTTGATATGAGCCAATCACACTTTATATTGTTATTTTTCATTTGGGTCTGAGAGGGAAATATTTTTCATTATATAAAGAAGCAATCTTAAATACTGATTATTGACTGAAATTCCAGAACCAATTTTTGTCATTAGGATTTTGATATTGAAATGGGCATTTTACCAGTGGACTTAATGGAACTTCTTGAGCTTTTGGAGCTTAGATTTAAAAAACAAGGTTTAGCCGCTGGTGGCCTCTTCATCAACAGCTACAGTGAGCCCTCATGGTGGTCAAATCAGCTGTGTGTCAAGTTATGCAATACCCATATAGCCTCAACATCTTTAAAAGTATAGATTAATCAAAAAAAAAATCCCACCCTGTGTGTTGTGCTTTGGACCAGGTTTTGATTTATAGCTTTTGACTTCTTTCAAGTTACTGCACCCTTTCTGTTTGGTATGTGAAGTAGGTCTCCATTTTAATGCCCCAACTTGAGCTGGGACTATGTATCTCAGTGGGTGTGGTTTCTACTACAGGGGTGTATTGCCTACTGCCAATTATATGTGAGATTTTCTCCTCTTTAAACTTGCCTATTAATTGTTTGACATGAATGCTCAGAAGAAGGTTTAAGAAATTGCGTGCAGATTTCCATCGGAACTTTTTAATACTTCTGCACTCCAAATTTGTGTCAGGTGGGGCACTCATTTTTTTCTTAGGATGTCTTACTTCACTTTAGATGTCAAATGCCCAGCAAAAACTGAAACTGTTTACCAGTTACTCTAACATTCCAGCTGTGTGATGGCATTAAATCCTAACCTTAGGGAAATCAAACTAGAGGGTGATACAGTTGTTGAATGGTACTAGATTAGTGATATTAAGGTGGCTGTCCTAGTTAATGTGTTGAAAAGTGGTTGCAAGGGTGTCCTGGTAGCTTGGCTGGGAGAGCACACCCACCATATAACAGAGGCTGCCCCCGTTTTGGTTCACATCCTTGGCCCTTAGCTGTCTCTTCTCCCTACTTCTAGCCCAAGAGCTAATGAGCAACTGCTAGTGTACATTTTTGTTGTGCCTCAGGACAGAGTTAGACAGTAGACTTGTTGTTGTAATTGCTACTGTCATAGTAGCGAAGGTCTTCCTTGTTGCTGTGATCTTTACGACCAAAGAGAAAGCTTCAGCCTCTCCTCCCCTCCTGGATTTTCACTTTCTTCTTCTTCCTCCCCCATCATCTCCTGACCAGGACTCACAGATAAAAAAAAACTTCCTCCCTGATAAAGGCCGGTGTGGAGAAACAGTGAGTCATAAAACAGACTCTACTCTACTGCATTGTATACAGGTACACTTTTCAGCGACTTAACAAATACTCATAAACATACAGATAGGTTATAAACTAGAGGTGAGAAAAATGTGTATTGTTTTGGTCAGGTGTGGCTTCGATTTGAGTCTACAGAGTAGCTTTACTGTGCTTTCGGGTGAGCCGTTTTGGGTCTATGTAGCTGAAGAAGACAGCGGTAGGAGAGTGGAGCAGTATTATTTGTCTCTTGTCAAGATTTTGATTTTGTCATTACAGAACTGTGATTGCTCTGTTATTGTTTAAATAGTATTATTTAAGGACACATTTTCCCGTGAGTGTTCAGCTGGTCAAAAAATAAGAGATTGTAAAGGCTATAACATAAGCGTCATAGTAAAGTGTCACCGATATTTCTGCTTTTGGATATTTTATTACAGACAAACTGCCTCAATAGGACACACAACTCTGTAAAAGGCACAATTAGGAGTTTATGAGTCAGTATGTCTGGTCAGCTTTATAATGGGGATAAATCATGTAATGTATGGGATACATCCAGAACTGCTTAGACAGTCATTTTCCTTTCAGATACACTCACCGAGATGTAGAAAGAAGAAGGTGTTGTGATAGAGGAACAAGCCGTTGTGTTGTGTGCCACCAAGTCTGATTTTTTTGGGTGTAGACCAGTGTATGTGTGTGTGTTGATTGTGATCTGATGGGTCAGTTCGTTGGCTGTCGTTACCCTGATGGAGGTTCTGTTGTCATGCCATAAGGTCGTCAGTGTTAATGAGAGCCGCAGCCAGCCAAGGCTTAATGACTCTTAAGACCCTTTATCTGCAGTTGCCCAATACAGACCCCAATGGATGCATATACACATGAACAGCATTGAACAACCCAATACACACACGAACAGTATGGCCCATCAGCACACATCACAGATTACAAATAAGCCGGGCGTTTTTCTTCTTCTACAGGACTCGGTGAAGAAAGAGAGATAAAATCTCACGATGGTTGATTAACTTGGTCTTTATCCTGGAGCGGCTCCTCCCCTCCGCGTCGGCAACTAGACGGCTGACTGCATAGAAGTGACGGAGGGCTCAGGGGTCATAGTGCAAACTCAACAGGGAGCAGTCTCTAACACCCCCAGGATGTCACCCCATCAGGGCTACAGGGGCCAAAAGTCACTCGGTTTGTTAAATCCTAACCCAGACACAGCGGCTTCTTTGGACACACACGCCCAGCATCTTTGCGAAGACCTGATTTGTTGTTTTCTGAGTGCACACCACACCAGTAGAGACAAATTCACAATGGGCATACAAAAAGAAAAAAACAACAAGAGCTTGCTCACAGCTTTTGCTTCAATTCTTTCCGCCATTCTCTTGATCTGGGTGATCAGTTGTTTAGTCACTTTTGTACAGAACAATACACAGTCGACATAAAACCTGAAGTCTTTCTACTGAGCAGCAGGGACTGACTCCAGTGGTTGCAAAAAAGGAGCTGAGAAGTCAGGGAAATAATTCTTTTTCTGACTTGATTTTTACCTCCTCGAACATTTTCCTATTTGAAGTGCCATTTGTGAATTATGGTCCCATTTACTCTGAAAAGATACGAAAGCAGAATGACCTTTAGGAAGCTGGTAACGCATCAGTGGGAAAGGAAACTGCATTGTTAACCATTAAAGAGGAGAGTAAATACTGCACGTAAATTTTGGTCTCCTCCAGCTCAAAAGTAAAAGCTTGGCAATGCCTTTTCTGTTGCTCTTATTTTTGCAAAAATCATCACTTCACATCAGTTTCATGGACACCATGGTGGTCTCCTTGAAAAGTGTACAACTGAAAAGCTGCATAAAATAGAAATACTTAAATACCAGGAGCATTAGTTTGTATTGAGGAACTCTATTATAACTTAAGTTATATGTCTCAACTCTTGAAATGTTTTCTCATTTACACAGAACGCAAATCAAGAACTAACACTTCAGGCATTTGTACAAGATGGTCCAGTCTGCACAGAGGGGGAGTTCATTTTCACGAGGAAATAATTTATTATCATCTTATTATCAGGAAAATTGCACATTTATGCCAAAATGACATTATTCAATCAAACAAAAAAGATTTCATTCATTTTTAAGAATCGCACAGTACATAAAAAGCAAAGCAAAAGATGAAAGTCCTCTAACATGGTCTCTGTGCAGCGTGCTTCATGATCACTCTGTGCTTTCTGTCCAATCTTCTCGGCTTCTTTTCTTCACAGACACCTTCGTCTGAAAGAGAGCAGACACTCATCAGGAAAGCTGATAAAAGGAAGTTCGAGTGTGTCCCAATACAAAGAAGGATTGTGTACCTGGGTGTGATTCTTGTGGTCGGAAGAATACTGAAGCCAAGCTGAAGAGTGAGAAGATGAAGAAGGCGACGATGATGAAGGTCAGCTCAAAGCCAGTGAATGGCAGTTCCATCTACACACCTACCTAACACAAAGCACGCCATTATGTAACACCATCGCATTGAGAGAAAATGATGCATGACACAGAAACTGATGTAGTGAGGAATCATAAGCAGCTGTTATACAAGAGATACAGTTAGATAACTAAGAGGTATGACCCTGGTGAGTCCTACCAGATTTTACCACGACTGTAGTTCATGCTCACACCTAGTCTGTGCATCATTTACGTAACAGCCACAGGTTTATCTGCATATACAACCAGCATTAGTTTACAGGCTCCTGCATGTGGAATTATATGTCGTATGGTCATTGTCATATTATGGTCAAATCTCCATCCCTGCTTCACAATTATTCCCAACAAGTTTTTGTCTTAATCCTAAAAAAAGTCTTATCAGTAAACTACATTTGACATGTCCAGAAAGGTGTAATGGGACCTGACTTGCTGGAATTGCGTACAAAAAATCTGCCCATTGAGTAAGAAAAAAGTCAAGTTTCTTGTAATAAAAGAATAATTTCTTCACTCATGTAACCTAGGCAGGAAAATTCACAATGTACTCTTGAGGATGAATTCTCTTAAAATTCGGCATTTATCTGGACTAGTCAGGCAAATAGACATCAAATAGACATTTCTTCCTTAAAATGTGGTTAAAACTCTGGCTCAAATTTGAAGTTTGTACCCACCGAATCATTAGCTGGACTGCCTTCCCCAAACCAAACAGAAGCTTTAAAATTCTTTCTTGAAATGCAAGGATGAGGAGGCTTGAGATGTGGGCTGCAAATCGAAGGTTTTGAACTAGAACAGTATACCTGTCCTGTATGTAAGGACAGGTAGGACTTTAAATGTGTGTGAACATTATTAAAATGCCAAAATGAAAGTATTTGACAGTCTGCATGAGGACATGAGCAGATGACTTGACAGCCTGAGATGCAGCAGCTCCAGTCCTCCACCAGGGGGCCCTACAAACTTATCACATGCACCGTGTGTAATGGCTTACATCTGCAACTTGTGAGTTTATAGTTCCACGTGCACTTTGATTTGCTTGCTTTGCTGCGGTTGTAATGACCAACACGTGTCTCTTCTCACAACTGTCCCAAAAAAACATTTCAGATTTAGATTGTGTAATAGTGTGCTCTTGTATTTATGACAACTACGCGGTGATCAATCCATGCTATATCACCTGAGCAGCATTAGACCGTGTTTTAAGATACTATTTTTGTAGATAAAACAAAAGCAGAGAAAATTTTATGATAGTATGATAAAAAAAAATGTGTGTAACCCCAGAAAACGAAACTTTAATTTGTCCTGCGGTGACAGGGAAAAGCTCCTTATTACTTTAGCCAGTTGACACAGATGCCTCATAAAACTAAACTTTAACTCTTTATGTTCACCATCAAAAAGTCACAGTAGGTTATGTGTCCCTCATTGTTCAATAAGATCTACAGAGAAAACAAAGCTGTTCAGTGTGCATTACTTTATTATCACTTAAGTTGCACAACTAGTTTTCACATCAACAATGTAACACTTACTGACTCAGATGTCATGTGATTCACACTTCATCTCTCTGCTAAAGATCAGATCATCCACATAAGCTCCACCCACCTGTGACCTGACAAGACTGAATCAAACATCTTATTTTGACAGATCAGTGGTGATCTGTGTCTTATCTTTTGTTTTCGACCTACTTCTCATAGAGAGTCTCTCTAAAGCTTGACACGTTGTATTTCTTGTAGAGCAAATTAGACAGCATGACATGATCTGAAAAGATTTCTAGACTTACCCGAAGAAGAGCAAAGCAGCTATTTTTAGATCTGTTGAGCTGTAGATTGTTTCCTCACATAAACTCACCCTCAGTGAGGGCAGAAACCAGAGATGAGATACTGCAGTTTGTTGAAGCAGGCGTTTGTTTATTGTTTCTTTTTACAGTGTGCCCTCTTAGCCACTCCTCCTGCTTCATCCCGGAAGCAAATTCCACTGGATCCTTTAACTAAGCACACACACATACACCTGTTCAGAGATCACTCCTCAGACTTTGTTCTGGTAACAGATCACACCCCTAATTTGAGGCTCCTGCTGCCACGTCAACATTAGCAACAGAACAAGATGAACAAGGCTGCGATGGTCCTCTGTGGTTTCTGTTCTTAGTCATAAAACAGGATCTGAGGTCAAACGATCTGCTCCACTCTCTGAACTGCTGTCTTTGTGTCTGATGAATGAAAGATAAGAAAGGTCACTCACTTTGGTGGGTTATGGTGAAAAAAATTAAATAACTTGTTAGCTGTCTAAGTCTCATTAATAATAATAATAATAATAATAATAATAATAATAATGATAATAAAATAATACATTTTATTTATAGGTGCCTTTCAGGACACTCAGGGTCACCTTACAGAACAATTGAAATGAAAATACACATCAACACTTCAAAAAAGTTTTAAATCTGGACTCTGCAGCAGAACAACAATAATCAGTGTGAGTAGGGATGAGCAAAATTATGTCTTTTGAGACAAGATTTGAAAATGGACAATGAGTCAATGTTCCTTATGTCAGGGACACAAGTCTTTGTGTATTTAGAATAAACATGAATAAGCTAACACTCATCAGTGTAGTGCCGTTCACCGAAAAACATGAAATACAGCAAAAAAAGAAAAAAGTTTTAGTTAAAGCTAAAGTGGTTCTTTAAAGGAAGATTAATATTTTTTAATCCACTGTACTTATATAAATATACTTCATACTTAACACTTAACACTTCATACTGTATTTTCATAATTCATTCTACTTATAATTGATTTTACTCATCAAAGATTGTTTAAGTTTATTCACTAATGTTGCCAAACCAAAATCTTCAAGTGAACATACATTTGTCACACACTTTTCGCAGAGCAGATAGCATGAAAAGACACAACAGAGTGGATAATTCGCACAAAGTGATTTTTGAAATGACATCAGGATTAAAATTACATCCCAGATCTAAATTGATGGTCATGTTTTTTTAAGACTTTTAAAGGAAAGCTCAAAGATTATATGTTTCATGCCATAAATCTGCCACAAATATGTATGAAAGGATGGTCTGGTGAGCTGATCATTTTATATGATATTTAGTAAGCTGAAGATGTGGCACTGCTGGTTGTTACTGACCCGCCTGACCCTCTGCTTTTTTCCCCCTTTCTTTTTCAGGTTTCCTTTTCTTTCAAAGTTGACTCAGGAAAGATTTATTTGAGTACAACTAACATATTAATGACAGAAACTGGGTTACAGGGTTTTATTAAGAGGGGCAAAAGTGAATTTATTGGGCAGAGAGAAAGTAGTTTTCATTGATTGCATAATTCCTCTGTCATACCCTTAAATAAAATAAATGCCTTCATATACCAAACAGCGTTCATTCCGGAGCTGAATTATTAGACAGCTAGGTCAACCTTATTAACTGTAAACTGGATTAAATCACGTTTTTCTTACATGAACTTAAACAGTTTTTGGAGGTACACAAGAAAACACTGCCTTCAGTTGGTTTCCTATATGGGATTGTTTAGATATTATCTGTAGGTTCCCCAACAAAAAGAGTCAAGCATCTGTATCGTATGTGTGTGTGTGTGTGTGTGTGTGTGTGTGTGTGTGTGTGTGTGTGTGTGTGTGTGTGTGTGTTTGCAGTTGTACCATTTGAGAGCGGACAGTCCTCGATGAGTATCCCCGTGAGTGTGAAGAGGGCAAAAACCAAGAGAGAGAACATGATCGTCGATGCCTCGAGCTCTGCCAGAGAAAATGCCATCTACAGTCGCTGCCACACCTGTGAATGGCTCATCAGATTAAGTCACCATCAGAGGTAACACCTAAACTCTACAATACAAGGGAACAAAGTTGGCAATAAATACTTACCCCGCCTCTGTAAGTGGAGAATTTTGATGTTGACCAGCAGCTTCATTCACACACACACATGCTCACTTTTCTCTAGCTTTCTGTCTTTGTGCGTGTGCCTTTCTGTTGTGTAGCTGTCTCGGTCACACACTTGCAAGACCTGTGAAAAGCTAACTAACACATCCCCTCTCAAGTTCAAGTGAGATCATATTAACCCAAATTATTAATGGGCCCTGAGTGTGACTTTACCAGTGCAAATACACAGCCTGTAATGAATCTGTTTTTAACTTTTGAGAGTTGTGATTGCACTCAAGTGTTTTGTTTTAAATACTGTAAATGGTGTTTGTGTTTGAGATTATTATTGTTTATTACGTTTTAGAGGCAAGTTCAGGAACTGATACTTTGGGGCAATCAGGTTCAAGCAGTTTTCTCCTGTTTTTTAGACTGAGTGATATAGAGATCTTTGTTTGCAGTAAAACAAATCCACTTCAGCTCCCAAACTTCCCTTACCTTATCTTCAAATTATCCTCAGTACATTAACACCTTCCACCCACACTCACACCCATGGACCCACACGCAAACAAAGACACTCACTCCCCCTAACTTACCCACACATACACACACACACACACACAACCGCAAACAGTGTGAGATTATAAGATATATTGATCTATTAAGAGACATGGCCTGACACCAAGACATTACATGACATATATTCACTTAATGTTTCTAGATGCATGTAAAAAAGGACTGAAGTTTGGCATGGCAGGTACGAAAATTGAATAGAAGTTTTTGTTTTTTAAATCAAAACTGTATAAAGTAAGTAAAGTCTGACTTCCTTATTTTCAACAAGGTAACGATGCGATTAGTGTGTGTGTGTGTGTGTGTGTGTGTGTGTGTGTGTGTGTGTGTGTGTGTGTGTGTGAGTGTGTGTGTGTGTGCGCGTGGGGTTGGGCTGCCTGTGAATGAGTGCAACTTGATGTGTGAAAAAGGATGTAGCTGATGTCTGGGACTTTTTTTTTTACCTACTCTTTGCACTCATTTGTGAAATAAGGCTGCACCTGTTAACAAGGGGTGGAAAGTTCTCACTACAAGTTCACAGTTCATCATACGACCTGTAAGCTGTTAGAAAAGTATGATGTTTGTAGAAAAAGTGAAAAGTTTGATCATTGTAAAAAAATAAAAATAAAGAGTAAATCTAAACTTGTTAGCCTAACATGGGCTAAACCAGTGGTTCTCAATCCATCCCCCCCGCATGATTTGGATGTTTCCCTGCTTCAACACACCTGATTCAAATGATCAGCTCGTTATCAAACCATTAGAGAGCTTGATAACGAGCTGATCATTTGAATCAGGTGTGTTGGAGCAGGGAAACGTTCAAAACATGCAGGACGGGGTGGGGGGGACTGGATTGAGAACCACTGGGCTAAACCCTCCTTATATCTGAGCTTTTCTCTCCCAATGGGGCAGGATCCACTGGTGGTGAGAGGCCCTTCCTTGTACTTTTCACTCGCAGAATTAGTCCCTTGTCATATTTCACTACTCATGAAAAACTTTTACAGAAAAGCTTTTATTCTGTGGTCTTACATGAGGTTAACTTTGATTTCTTTTAACAATGAAAAACAGATTGTGAGGATGACTGACAAAAACTGACAAACTGCATGATAATAGCTTTAATTACAAACACTACTTCTTCAAAGATCTCTATCACAAGATATCTGTCAACATACTTACGGCTCATGCCAGGAAGACAAACTTATCCTTTAATCTTGCGAAAAACCTCTTTTAAGCTGCTAAAAAAATTCTGACTTGTTGCCAGCAAAGCAGAGCTGTGGAACCAGAATAACTCAAAGGGCCGTTTCCACATGTACAGTATTAATACAGTATTAGTAAAAACAGAGCAAAAGAGCAACAGCGTGGCAGGCTATAAAGCCTCATCACCAGAGTTTTAAAATGATCCCTCAGTGTTTACTGTTTTTGTGGAGTCTCCAGGAGCCCCGTTATCCAGGCCTCCCCTCACAGATACAAATAATTAACTGCAAAATAAAGAAATGAATAAATAAGAGAGGTTCTCTTTCAAAATAATTGTTCCTCAGACACTTGTAGAGGGCAGTATCAGTTCGTGAAGGACATGAGATAAGAAGAAGAGGAAGAACTTTATTGATCCCCAAAGGGAAATTCAATAATCTGTCATCTCACTTGTCATGTCTCTAAAAGTCATCTGCTATTTACACAAGAGTGATAAAGTCTGATGGCTGTGGATCTTCTGAATATTTCTGTCCACCACCATTGGCCCTTTGGTCCATCAAGGTGTTATGAAGTGGGTGAGCCATGTTCTGTAGAATAGCCTCCACCTTCCTCAGTGTAGATCTCTCCACCACATCCTCCACAGACGCCAGCTTGAATCCAACCACAATGCCAGCGTTTTTTCACCAGTTTGTCAAGACGTCTTCCATAATTGTGTTTGATGCTTCCTCCCCAGCAGACTGCAGCGTAGAACAGAACACTTGCCACCACAGACTGATAAAACATCTGCAGCATCTTAACACAGATGTCTATTGATTGGAGCATCTGCTAGCTTATGTAGAGATACTCAGTTGTTTTTTCTGTAAGGATTCAGACAGTGATCATGGTTACCCAACAACCTAATCAACGGACGACTACTTTAGACTTACCTTTCAGTAAAAGTGATCAGAGCAGCCTCCAACCTTGACTCAGCCTCAGTGGCAAAGTTCAATAAAAGGTGTGATATCCTTACATTCTGGTGGTGAAAGCCACCAAACATGATATCTTGGTATCATACATTTAATTCTTCATCTCTTCATCTCTCTTCTCCTTTATCCTGTAACTGTGATCTTTTTCTCTTTTTCTTATACTTTTCTTTAATACTGTTCTTCCCTAATACTGCACTACTCTCTTCTTTATTACACTTGTTCTTTTATCTTATTTATTTATTTATTTGTTTTTTGTACCCAGTGTGAACTGCTGCTAACAATTTTAATTTCCCATTGAGGGATGAATAAAGAAAAATCTAATCTATATCTAACAATCTACCAGTGACCCACTAATGACAATGCGATTGTATGCTTACATACCTGGGAAAATTGAAGCCAGATGTTCTTTGGCTGAATGGGGTTCTTGTCCTGAGCCTGGATAAATGTAGTCAGGAGCCCCAATAAAAATTAATTCTGATATTCTTCATTTGCAAAATCAAAATCAAATCAATCAAACTATAAATTCAACAATACTCATCTGTTTATTTTATTGCTATAGTTAGTTCTTATCCTGCTGATTAGTGCTGTAATTTTACATTTTTGAGGAAATAAAGTTTTAATTAGTTAACCTACCAAGATACTCTTTGGGACCCCTGTGTGAACCACGGTTAACACAGGCTGTTGAGTTATAACATGAAATATAATGGTAAATGACATCCAGTGTCATTGGTTGGATATGTAAGGGATATTTTGACTTCACTTTTGTGCAGTGAGAGGAGGTGGTGACATGTTCCCCATCTTTTTATGCAGTCCATGGTCAAAAAATATAAAAACTGAAGTAACAATCGCAGGAAAATTAAGAACTGAACAGTCAGACCAACAACTTTTGTCTCGTGATCTTTAACAGGGTTATCATAGAAATGACTCTCTTCAACTGTCTCCTAAAGAGATCTGCATTTCCTAAAGAGATTACACACTCACCTCCTAAACATGCACACGGACCTGCACAGACTTTGTTTTTTTTTTACCAAGATGTCAGTGTTTTTGATGTCTGAACTCTCCCTCAGTGCTCACTCAGACCACTCAGGTGCTTCCATTCCTTTGACATTGCCGGAGACTTTAAGTGGCTTGATATCTATGAAGTCATTTTCTCTCACTGAAGTCTCCCCCAAATACTTAGTGTGTGTGTGTGTTTGTGTGGGTGCTGCTGCTGTCCATGTGCACAGGTTGTGTAATCTTATTAGCAGCAGCACTGGTCAGAGGAGGAGATTGAGGTTAGTCTAAGCCCTAATCCTCATGGACCGTATGCTTATTATCGAGCAAGCACGATAAAATCATGGCTCCACCCCTCTGGGAAATACACACAAACACACACATGCATGCACACATACACAAAGAGATATTCCCTGCCTCCTTGTTTACTGCACAGCTCCACCATGTTAACTCTTCCTCTCTCTCTCTCAGCAGGGGGAGGAGATAGCGCACACTGTTGAGTAGTTTCCCAGTCGTCATGGCGACCTCACACCCCACCATCTCCAGAGCTGTCTCAGTGTTGCCACGGTGACCTGAACCCGTTCCATCCTCACTCTTCTTGGTGATCCGGATTGGACCGATAACGAAGAGGTGATCCAGGAGTGCCATCCCCTTTTGTTAAGAGCAGCTCGTGGATGGGACAGCGGATTACACAGACGGACTCTGATCGGTGGACGGAAAGGCACATTGCGTTAAGAATGCTGTGGGAGTAGTACCAGAGTGTTGCCTGGTTACAGCAACATGCCAATACAACAGATAACTGTGGTCCCGGCCAAGGAGACCGCCGGTACCGCCAAGAGCTCCTCTCGCTCCAAAGAAAAGGCAGAGGTGAGTTTCTGACCTCTTTAATTAGTTTTAAGGCCGGTCGTTATATCGACAGTGAAAATCTGCAGATTTGTGTTTCTGTTTGTTTGTTTTTGCATTTAATTGTCAAAACTGGTGTGAAGTTGGTCAGATTACGGAAAAAAAAAAGTCTGCAGTGATGATCTTTGTGTTGTTAAAGAGCAGTCACTGATGAGTCCAAGTGTCAGTCTTGACTACTGTGGGAGATTGTGCGTCAGCTTCCAGTATCAGCTGACAGTCTTTTCAACTCACTCACAAGTACAGTATGGATGCACTCAGCAGCCTTTTATCACTGTTCCCTCATTAGGGGTTAGATTGTGTTTGAACCACATCCTCCATTGAGCTGAGCAAACAAAACATCATCTAACATCTCATCATATAACTTCGTGGAACCTCTAAGCACCTTAAATCGCCTCATGTTACCTCACACGCCTTAAGCTATAAAGTGTTGTTCTTAGACAGCGGGGAGTATGTAAGGTAGCCAGAGTAAGGGATTTACAGCATGAAGACACCTGAGGTCATGATTGAAATACATGAACGGTTGCATTTCTATGAAAACTACTTTCTGTAGGTCAGAAAGTTTTGCGAGTGGTGATATGATGATTGGAAACTAAGCTTGAAATCCTGAATCAAACGTTATGCTGTTTTGTGTTGTACTTAACTTGGGTATGCGCTTTGTGTTTGTCTTCTTCATGCTTCTTTTTTTAACTCAGTTTAGTGTGAAACGGTTTCACTTCTTCATTTTTGGCTCCAAAGTGTTAAGTTAGTCATGTCTCTACTTTAAAACGCGAGTCAGAAAGTCTCTTTATGATCTGATTTACGGTAACTTCTCATCTGTCAGTTAACTGAATCTGGAAAGATAAGACCACTAAGGAAAAAAAATGAATCATATTCATTTTGATTCATCATGAGAAGGATTTGAGGTGTTTAGAATAATCAAACTTAAAGCTCCTAAAGAAGTCTTGGTCTATGTTGACTTTGGCGCCCCCTGTGGGTAAAGGGATACCTCTCATCTCGGCTGATTTGTCCCATACATGTGACAGAAGTGCTTTCTAACAGAAAAATATCTCTCTGCTTTATTATAACTCTTAAATGTATCACTCATGAGAAATCTTAGACATGGAAAGTATGAAAAAAAGGCAGTTTTGGTAGCATGGATTCATCCATTTGACAGACGTTTCACACATTACAAATAACTATATAGAAATAGTTATTTTACCACTGGTCTTTTTGCTGTTGTAGGTCATTAACAGAAATCAACAAATATTTGAGTATTTTTCATTACTATCTGAAAATTCCTCACAGTATATTTGAGTTAAAGCAAAAATCTGGAGATCATGATGTCCAACAGGTCTGTTTTAAGATCCTCAAAGCCCTCTGTACAACCTTTCACTTGGAACAACCTTTTCACCTCGCTTAATCCTAATTCAGGGATCTGACATCACAAGAGCAGGTGCCATGTTAGATTTTACTTCCAAATGTACATGTGCACAGCGGAAGTGTGAAGTTTCATCACAAAGCATTTTTGAGGACATTCAGAATTGTATTTGCTGCCCCACCAGGTCCAATTATAAGACTATAAAAATAATAAAACCTTGAGACTGACTACAGGCTGAGCGTCATACAAACTTTTCGTACAGCAGTCATGTTTTGGCAACATCACAGCTTATAATTCATTTTTAAGGCCTGTTGAGGGCACGGTAACACACAGCTATAAGTTACACATTGTTTTTTTTTTAATTGTTTTTTTCATTTATTAAATTTTAGTATTAAAATGCATTACAGAAGTTTAGTACTGATATTTATCATCTATCTGCATGTCTTCTCTTTCTAGGCAGAGTAGATCGCTCAGTGTTAGGCTGCAGGAAGTTCAACATAAATATAACTAGCAGAAACAACGGATAATTTTGATTGATGAAGTTTAAAAAATCTAAAATTAAAAGAATATTTCATCAAATTCATGAACCATGTCAACTATTGTAATTTACAGTACGATTTTTTCATTATGCTAGACCTGTAAGATCATAATTTGCAGGTTTATTCAGTTTACTAAACTTTTTGGGAATTGACTTCTGATTGACTCCAGGCATCTACTGGGTTTAATTAATATCTGTAAAATATACCAATCATAAAGGAGACTAACAGCTTACAGTTACACTTTATTTCTTAAACTGTTTAGAAATCAATGGAAATCAATGGACTAAAGGAATGCATTTTTAAACCATAAATGTTACAGCAGGCATTAAAAAACAAAACAGTATAGACTCTTTGATTATTACCTCCTTAAAAATAGTGATAGTATTGTTCGTAATAGTCATACATTTTATTTTATTAGACTTTATAATTATTCGATAAACAGATCACATTAGACTCCAGACAAATTAATTTTCCCTTGGAGATAAATAAAGTTCTTGTATTGTATTTATTGTATTGTATTGACTAAACTTACTATCAGAGATGTGCCCATTTAGCAAGCAAAAAGATTTTCACACTTGCCAGTTTGCACCGGAAATACTATTTGCTTAGACAAATCATGAATATTCTTATTACTGTGGACCTTAAATACTGGTTGTATGTCGGGTCTTAGTTGAAGCACAGCCACCCACCACTAGTTGAGGCTGTAGTTCTGGTTGATGGCTACAGCCATAATGCTGAAAAGCCCAACGACCTGTAAGTTGAAATACAAAAATGGCGAAGTTTTTTTAATACATATCTCAGCGTGATCTAAAAATGTTGTCCTACAAAATGTAGATAAAGATGTATGTAGGTGGAATCGGGTTTATAACCACTTGTCTGATGCAATGTGTATCCAGCACAGTCATGTATATGTTACCTACGGACTCTGTGATCCGGTGATAAGCTGTGTTCAGTGAATTGTACTACATTTAGAGTGATTCCTTACCTTTAGACTTGTTGGACACTTCAAATGATAAGAAAACCAGTTGTGTCATTTCATACTTTATAAGCATCTGAGAAAGCAATAGCAAAACCTGTTTTTGAAACTGTGATAACACATATTTCTCGGGACCAATCAGTGATGAACCACAAGACAGTGACTAAAACCAGACAGTGACATTGTGTCCAACGGTTGCTTGTCTAAATAGAGCTATAAGTGTTTTTATACCCTGAATGTGGCCGTAGGTGTCTTTTTTTATCCTGAGCCAGAACGCAGAAACAAAATATAGCCCTCAGTCCACGCTACATGACTTAATCCCCTCCCCAGAAACATGCACATGTATTCATGAGTCCCAGCAGACTGCTCTGTGCATCAGAGTGAGAGTATCGGCAGAGAGGCAGGTGCTCAGGTATGTGTCTGATATATCACTTTATTTTATTGACGTTATCTTTCTGTGGGAAGGAGTGGAAGGTTTTGTCTTGATCTCTTGATTTGTCTTCAATGTTCCTCTTTGGCTGTTGTACATTAGCGGTGGTACTGTGTTGCTGCTGAAACCTGTCCTCCTTATCATTCAACATATTTTGGATGTACTTCAGATTTTATGCTTGTATGTAAAGGCTGAGACAAAGATACACGAATACTTTTATGGTAGTATGAGTGAGCATTTCTGTTGGCTCTCTCAGTGTGGGCTAAGTCCATCCTCACGAACAGAAACTTTTATCATTATCAATGCACAACAGGTGGCTGTGTTGTAAATGTTATTGCTGTGATTAAACAGCGACCTAAACATTTGAGAGTTTTCCCAGTTTCCTGAACTGAGTGATGATGGTTTTGAGAGGTCTGTTTCTGTAGTTTACAAGCAAACGGGACATACTGTATACTCTATTTACTCTCCGTGTTTGTGTCAGGAGTGGTAACCGCTTGTTTCACTGATCTTAAGAAAAGAAAAAAAAGATTGCCATCATCTTAAGTGACTCTGTCATATCAAATCAAACCAAAGAACCAATGCCTCAAAACACCTTAAAATACAGCTTATTGACATGCATACTGAAATCTTCGCTTGGTTGGCTCTGGCTGTGCTGTGTTTGTGTGTTGTGAAAACAGAGCTGCATGTAACAGTGGGTAGAAACATCAGAGTCTATGCTGAGCAACTGAAGAGCACTCAAACACATTTCAACCTAATTTCTGACATTTTTAAAATGATCTTTCAGCCTCATGATAGAAGACTTGATATGTTATGAATTGGCTTTTAATTTGTTTGATGCTGAGAACAAACATAAGCGAGTATTCTGCTGAATATCCAAACATTGCAGACATGTGCCATAGGCTTCAGTACATGTGTTGACACCCAAGCAGGTCGCAGCGTGTTAGCTCTGACTCCACGAGGGACTACTGATTTAAACCTGGCCATTAGCAAATCCTTTGATCAGCTTAGATGATGCGGTCTTGCACTTGTCATTGACTTGCTTATTTATTTCGCTGATTTGCACAGAGTGTACCAACAGCTACTTTGGTGTGTGGGTTGGTACATTCAAGCTCTGCTGCTCTGCTTTTTGATGCTTTGGGGAAACTCAGTATAAAGAAGCCTCCCACACAAGATATTACTTACTTCAGATTTGAGCAAAATAAATTGTCTGTAAGATACTTAAAGACATGGCACTGTATTTATTATATTATTTACTAGACCATTAATGCATTTGAAATGTAAGCAGGCATTCTTTTTTAAAAAACTAGACCACAGAGCAGTGAAGTATTTAAATACATTTAAATGTTGTTGATGAATCCAATCAAAAGATCAAAACAACACATTCAACTTCTTATTACTTATAAAGTTCAACTATTTTATATTGTATTTATCTGCGCCATAAATCTCTGTTCTATTTAAAGTCAGCTACATTCTACTTTGGATGATACACTGCGTCACTTAGATGAACATGGGCACCTGTGGTTTATTTTTAGCTGATGCTTCAAACATCAACATCAACGTAGTTTACACTAGACCCTAATGTGATTTGAGCAGTGAGCACTAAAGCTTATAATGTTCAAATGTTAAAAAAAAAAAATTCTTGGCTTTTTAAAAAATTAAGGAAAAATTGGGGGTTGTTGTACAGTAGTATAACAACAGAGACAATTTATAAACATCAGTGTTGGTGTGACTGCAGCAGTAAAAAAAATCCCCACTGTGGGATAAATAAAGGTTTATCTTACCTTAATACAGGTGTTACACCAGTGAATGGACCATGTTTACATAGAGCCTTCTCTAGCCTTCTCACCACTCAGAGCACTCTTACATTACATGTCACATTCATCCATTCACATCCCAGTCACACACTGATGGCAGAGGCTGCTTTGTATAGAGAGTTTTGACTAATCCCATTCACACACTACTGGGCGCAGCCAGTAGGAGCAGGTGGGGTCAAGTGTCTCGCACAAGGACACTTTGGTATGTGGACAACCATGGGATCACACCTCCTACCTCTACCACTGAGCCACAGTCACCCCTGTACACCAGGGACCACCACTGCCCGGCGATTTACCAGTCAATCTACATTCCAACCCTCACCTATTTGGGTGGTGACTGAAAGAGTTTCCTCTGTAGAGTGGCGTGGCTCAGCCTGAGAGGTAGGGCCCGGAGTTTGTACGATTAGGGGGAGCACGGAGTCGAGATGTTACTCTTTTGCATTAAAACCAGCTGAGGTGGTGCAGTTAGCATGCTTCTGAGGCCCCTGCCTTTGAAGGGTCCTGGACACATCCAGCAGGGAGGCAAAGCTGGGGATTTTATATCCCATCTGGCGTGAGGACGCTTCAAAAAACCCCAGATGGAGCTGGAAGACAAGGCTGGGTAGAGAGACATTAAGGGAAACTCTTAGCCTGCTGCCTCCATGAGCTAGCCCAAAGAGAATGGATGGATGGATGGATGGATGGATGGATGGATGGATGAATGGATGGATGGATGGATGGATGGATGGATGGATGGATGGATGGATGGATGGATGGATGGACAAAGCCTCTCATGGATTCATTATGACATTCAGTTGTAAAGATCAACTGATGGTTAAGACGGTTAAGTCATATCTTTTGCTGAATTGGCTTCACAAATGGTGTACGAGCCAACATGTTCATTGGCAATAAAAACACATGATATGATCCAGCAACTAGGAAAAATAATGAGGAAGAAAGAAGAGCGAAAGAGGAAAACACACACTAAAACATACCCACCCAGCTCAAACTGTAGTACTGATGCTTTTTTATGATACCCGAAAGCAAACAGGACCGCTAGAAGGCTTTTATATACTTTTTTAAATGCCTGAAACTGGTGTGAGGGTGGGAGGTGTCACATAGCTAAGCAGATGAAGAACCAACCCTGTTTTTAAAAATTGTACATGAAATATTAACAGTTTTAAACTTTCAAGTTAAAAGTCAGCAGGCTGAGATTTCTAATCCTAAATCACTGCAGGCATGTAGACGACAAGAGAAGCAAAGACTGCTTTGTCTACAGGGGGCACAAAAATTCACAAAAAGTAGCCCAAACTGCAAGACTTTGAATCTTTAAAAACGATCTTGTACAAAGATTTATTTTCTTTCTTTTTATGTAGAAAATTTTCAACTACCCACTTGCTCTAGTACCAAACAGCTGACAAGTTTCCCAGCATGTTGAATCTTATTTGTGTGTCAGTGAGAGGGACTTGGGCCATAGGTCAACCAGAAACCAGCTGGTACTGATATCAGAGTCGGGATGTTTTTACCACTGTCTGGGACAAAAACACATTTAATCCCATGATGCACCTGGCTGCTAGTTTGGTTCTGGGATCCAAGCCAAGAGAACACAGAGACGTAGAAGTGCTTGTTTTTGATAAGGAGGAAGGATAAAGGTTTTCTGTCCTTAAGATTCTTTTTTAAGGTATGTATTATCGCTCGAATAACATTTCTTCAACAGCTTTCTGAACTCAGAACAGAGTGTATGTTAAGTCAACTTATTTTGTTTGGACACCTGCAGAGAGATTAAAACCTCATGCCCAAAATAACAGAGTAGAGATGCTTTAGATAGCTCATACAGCTGTAAGGTCAGCTGACACCTCTTTATTTCACTTCTTAAAACACACAGTATGTTCAGGTTAATTACTTAGCTAATTCCTCAGTTTTCTTTGTCTTAATATGTGTTTTTATGCTTTAAGATCATGTTTAATTGCATAAATTGTCATCTCCTCCATCCTCTACTGACCCAGTTTATAAAAAAGTGTTGAAATCCTGAAAAAGAAACCTTGACCATCTAATGCTCATGGTGGTTCACCAGTGTGTATTCACAAATATGTGTATTAAGATGATACATGTAGTGAATGAGGCGATAGATTTCTGATGTTAAACTGAAGTCCAACCAGCTGAGGTCTGATGATCAGCAAACTGTGAGAACTTCTGGAAAGCTACTGTTAGTTTGCTTTAAATAGAGACACATTGCAGAGCAGCATCTCGTTCACTCAGCAGGACGGCTGGCTAATAGGATTGTCTGGCTTTAGTTCAGGTCGTAATCAAATCACAAGGACACGTGTCCATGCAGGATTCCCTGAAACTGGACTTTAACCTATCAAAAAACAAACAGAGCCAACTGCCTCTGAATCCTGTAGAGTATGCTGGAGTGTTAAAGGCGGTTTAAATATATCAACTTATATTTTCTGGGCAACACAAGAATGAAGTTTCCTGTTGTTAGTTTCCTTTAAGCAAAAGGAATAACCCTGGAATAACAAAGTGATGGGCTGATACACAGAAAAGTAAACGTGTTGATGATTACAGTTAATGAGTTTTTAATTTTTGAGCAATAAAAAAAGGAAGTATTGCTGGTTATAGAGGAAAATCTATGTCTGTATCAGGAAAATCAAGGAAATCAGCATGTCACACCGCCTCAGGTCCGTACAGAATAAACTATGAATCTATTTACAGTCAAAAGGCGATCTAACATGAAGGTTAAACTACAAAAGAGTGTCACATTTAATGTTGTGTTTGGATGCCTGAGGTTCTGCGTTGATGTGAATGCTGTGAAATTCTGTTTCTAACAGTTAATGAATATCCACTTCTGTGCTCTGTGACTGAGAGGTTACTGGTTTCAACCTCCTAAAGCTACTCAGGTGCCATTTAAGCATCACATAATGATGTGTAATGATTTTCTATCTCTCTTTCTCCCTGCAGGGGAGGAAAGGCCCGGGGCGCTCAGGGAGCCGATCAAGCAACATCTCCAAGGTAACGGCTGATCGTCAGGGAGCTGATAACCAGGTCACAGTTCAGAGTGTGTGGGAGGATTTTTTTTGGCCAAGCGAGATCTGAAGGAAAAGAACGTGGAAATTCTTCGAATGTTGCTAATTAATTAAAACAAAATTTCACACAGCAGGTTACAATTTGAACTCCTCATATAATATTGTTTTTGAATTATGAATCAAACTACGCTGTGTGTAATTTCAGAGACAAAGGATATTAAGAGCAGAAGAAATGCTCTCAGCTCGTCATTTAAAATCTGAGTTAAATGTGTCCAGATAGTTTCAGCAGCAAAATGATGAACTTTAAGAGGCTGTTCTTTGTATAAATGATCGTTATAACTGGATTTAAGCTATTGAGACATTACTTAGAACTTGGAGCTGTGAAAAAACAAAGTTCTTGAAGCGAAAGACTGGGTTACCTTTCTCCAGAGCGAGTTGAGGCTGAAATGGAGGTAAAATGATGGTAAATGCTGGGCTTTTCAGGGGCTGCTGTATATCTATTTGGATATTATTTCAAACATAAAGCAGCTCCATAATGAGTTCAGGTCAGCCCTGTATGTTTGTCATCCTACAGTGATCTAATCCTACAAGACTTATGTAGCTTTCAGGTGATTAATTGACATTACTGAATGTGTAATACTATCTTTATTTCTGATGTTTTAAAAAAACTTGTGATGACATTGACAGATTGCTCTTCCCGTCTAGCCCCACAGGTGCTAAATTGAGTTTGTTTGTTGTTTCAGGGCAGCAACTCTACATCAGGATTAGCCACAGCCTCCAGATCATCAATCACCCCGTCACCTCAGGACATATGCAGGTAACACAGCTGGCTCTGTAAGAATTATCCAGAATTACAGTTAAAAGGGCAGCGAATGCATTCCCACATGTTTTTAGCATACCTGCACACCCGTCCTCCCCAAGCTTACTGTGTGACATTAAACATGCACAGTACAATGCATCCTCTGCAGTGAGTGGGAGACTGAATCAGAGCGGTCTGACTCACCCAGAGGGCACTGACAAAATTAAGATTGAAGCAGGAATCCAGTGGCCTTCACTGAGAGCGAATAATGAGAACAGTGGGAGCCTTCGGGTTATTATATCTGCAAGCTATTGAGCCGAGTCTCTGTGGTCTAAAGGGAAAAGGATGATGTGTTTGACCGCAGTGTTGACACAAGAACTGTACCGTATGTGAGTGCTTGGACCTTCATTTGCCACGCAACAAACTCATTTGTTTTCTAAAAAATGTGTTTCCTCACCATCACCCAAACATCATACGTCACTTTTTGGATGATTCATCTGTCCTACCAGCTTGGCTTTAAGACAGCAAAGAAACTATTACCCCACTGAGCATTTTTTGGTCTAAGAGCAGTCTAATAAACGTCTAAATGTAGCTTTGACGACTGGTCTAAAATCAGGTCACCACAGGTCTAAAGATGAACGTTTTTTTAGACGACCAAGTTTGGACCAAGTTTGGACCAAGTCTAAATCTGGGCTTTATCTATACTGCACTGTATATTGCTCAACAGCTATCATAATTATTTTGGTTAAGTACTTGGAGATCAGTTATCTAACTCATAGTTGCTTTTTGAAATAAATAGTTATCGAATAATGGGTTAAAGTGCAATGTCTAAATTCTGTCTAAAAATATACAGAATCTAGACGGTTGAAATTAGGTCTAAAAAAAAAACCTAGATGTCTAATAGCTGTCTATTGCTCAGTAGGACAGGAGTTTACAGGAGCATTAAACATCATCTTTTTCACATGTATCAGAATCAGTCATGCTGAGTTAAAAGTTTTTGTCTCTGTAAGTCAGCTTCCAACAACCTGCAAAGCTTTATCTCCTCCACATTTAGATTCTCTGATAAAAGTCTTCATACTGAAGTGTACAGAGTTACTCAGGAGTCAGATGATAACCTGGTAAATGTTAGCTTTTAGGGTTAGAGTCAGACAACGGTTGGAAAGTTTGTTTGGAAGTCAGGAAAGTCCAGTCAACACAGCTGATTTGAGTTCTTACTGACGTAGACTCTATGAACAGTGACACTCTCTGTAAACAACTGTCCTAAAAAGTCTCTGGAAGACGTGTGGACCAGGATGCAGAAACACAGATCCTGTCTGTGTTTAGATATGTGTTTTTTTTTTAAGCAAACTTAAACCACAATTGATGAATCAGTGTCATCACATTACTTTCATTTACACCTTTTGTTTGATTTTCATTCTCTCCATCCCCGTGCTTGCTTGTGTGTGTGTGCATGTGTGCTTGTATGTGTGTTCAGTTCTGGCCAGCAAACCTTGATAGAGGATGTTTCTGAATCACATGAGCAAAACGAAAACACAGTGATGACCATCGCCAGCACAAATCTGGGCTCATCAGCTCAGTCCCAGAAGAAGCAGGTGAAGCGCCGTCACCGCCGTAAGAGGAGCAGCTGCGCCGCCCTGGACTGCGTTGAGTCCATCGCCAAACAGGAGCAGAGCAGCGATGTCAGCTCTGAACGAAGTGAACGAGGGGAGAAAAGGGAGCGGCCCTCCAAGAGTCGGAGAGAGCTCCCATCCCGCCTGCGCTCCGCAAGACCTCCCCACTCGGACTCCAGCTCTGAGGAGGATTCGTGGCGTGAGGCCCGCAGCTGGAGCAAAGAGAAAGCCAGACGAGTGCGGCGCCGCAGCGGAAGCAGCCGAGAGAGGGAGAAGGAAGGATCAGAGAGGAGCAAAGGTGGAGATGACAAAGATATCATGGAGCTGCAGTCGGTGGGCTCAGATGAGGGGAAGGAGAACCAACCTCTGGTGGAGGACGGCGGAGGCCTCAAGAAGCGTCACGGCGGCAGGGCCACGCTGAAGACAGACGTGTCCTCCAGAGAACGCTCACAGAGCAGAGAAAAGGAGAAGAGCCACAAGCCACGCAACCGGAGAGGAAGCTCCTCACTGGCTGAGGACGGCGAAGAGCTCATCACCAAGAAATACCAGGAGAAGGGGTCAGGAAGTGGAGACATGTCAGCGCCAACGCCGCAGAAACACTGCGGTGTGAACGGGAGCACAGCGCGGTATTGCTCTGACGACTCTGAGATGGAGGTCTGCAGGTGAGAACTTTACTGACCAGAGAGGGAAACTTTTTCTGTGGTGGCTGCAACACACAATCAAAGAGTCTGCATCATTCATTCATTCATTCGTTAATCACCTGGTCTGACTGTGTGTGTTGTGTGTGTTTCTCTTTGTGCGTGTAGGATCTGCCACTGTGAGGGGGACGATGAGTGCCCTCTGATAATGCCTTGTCGCTGCACGGGGAGCCTGAGTTTCGTCCACCAGGCTTGTCTCAACCAGTGGATCAAATCCTCCGACACCCGCTGCTGTGAACTCTGCAAGTTTGACTTCATCATGGAGACAAAGCTCAAACCTTTACGCAAGGTAGACACACACCTCCTCCATCTCCTGAACCTCCCTCAGAGCTTTAGTCCTGAACATCATTTCTCTCTCCGTCTCTCTCTCTTCCTCTCAAACTAATATCTCCTCTCATCTCTCTTTACCTCGGCTCCTCTGTCCTTCAGTGGGAGAGGCTACACATGTCCAAGAGTGAGAGGAGGAAGATCTTCTGTTCAGTGTTGTTTCACCTGATAGCAATAGCATGTATGTTATGGTCGGTCTACATTCTTGTCAAGAGAACCGCAGAAGAGATCAGACTCGGGAAGAACGGTGAGTAGGGTCCTTGCTCCCTCTCTCACTCACCTGAGACATGCAGAGTGAAAACATGCATTTGCAGCTTTTATGATATTTGCAAACCTCAGCAATGATCAAAATAATTAGATATTTTTTTAAATCTAAGCAATAAATAGACATTTTCATTATAAGTGTTAAAACTGTATATGTAAGACACTTTTCCACGACTGTGAAATATTCATACAGTATGACACAGTTGTAAAGAAAATTATGTTTGACACTTTGTCACCGTTAAAATGAGCCGCTAGAGTGATCAAAAACTCTTCAAACTGTTCACCTGATGATCTCTGCACCTGTCTGCCTCTGGTGATGTGACAGTAAAGGTCCACATTATGAGTAGAGACAAGTTATGCTCACGTTGTCTATATTTATATTAAATTTTTTCAAACAATATGTGTGTGTTTAAGCTAATAAGTCTCCCATCCTCTAAGCTAACTGTGGTCTGTATCTCCAAATGTTTCACTGCACAGCGCAGACATTGACAATATTTTTGAGGGGAAAAATCAAAAAGATTTCACTAAGATAACAACATTTAGGTATTTTCCTCTGGATTCCTTGTCAGCGTGAGAAGCGTAAATGCTGTTAATGCTGCATTGTAGTTGAAATTGTTTACATTTAGATTCTTCCAGTTTCTAGCTAACGTCATCATAGCTAGCCAACATTACTGTTAGCTTGGTGTCTCTCTGGATGTATAATGTTACATGGTCAAATGCTACCACAGCTCATGTCTAACAGTAGATAGGTAGCTTCTTTTATATTACAAATGCATTTGATTATTCAACAGCAACAGTTAAACATCAGCCTGTATCTAAAATAAGTCATTTCCAGCTCGGTTTGGGTCAGAAGACACAGAAGACCAGACAAACAAACAGCCTCCTCCATCATTTAGTCGTTGTTTTTTTTATGGTTTAACCCACAGAAAATAATCCTTTAAGGTATGTTTTTCTCAGTTGGCAAGTCCTGCCAGGGAGTCCAAAGGACTGTTTGATTTCATGACTTTTAAGAGTCACAAGACTTCACTTGTGGTTATTGTACAGCTAGACATGAATAAGGATTATCTTGGAATTGACATCCCATGAAGATATTTGATAAAATCACATAATTCAGCCAAACTCAGAGCCATAAATCTGCCATGGACCACATTTTTTAGTCAGTTTTTTGCTTTAGATTTAGTTTTTTTTTTTTATAAAATATACTTGAGAGCAACACCCGGAATGACAATGGGGGTGTGCCAAAAGGGAAAAAAACACTATTACAGTTAAAAGCTGAAAATACAGTCATATGGATTTAAGAATAAATGTCCTCTTTTAGAAACAAAACCCAAAGACTAAAAAAGGTGGAAACCTTTAAAAAACAAATGTTTATGTTGGGGATCATCTCAAATGTTCAACTGTTTTAATTTTTTCAAGCTTCACTGACTAAATAAAACAATAAACTTTGGACACACACACAATGATTTATAACTCCCAGTAAACAGAACTTCATCTGCATTTTTATCCACATTTGAATACTTTGAAACTTTTCTCATGCTCCCTCACAGAAGTCAAATCAGACCCATCAGTGCTTCCCTTTGTTCCTCGATGGTTCTGTGTGTTGTGCTGTCATGTGTCATTCCCACACCGTAGGACCTAAAGTTAGGTCACAAAACAAACACCGATCAGCCATAACATGACCACAAGTTAAGTGAATTTTACTGACTTTATCTCCATATTGATGCCCGTTAGTGGGTGGGATATATTAAGCAGCAAGTAAACATTTAGTCCTCAAAGTTCATGTCCATGCTGATGACTGTCCACCTCTAAAAGTGCCAACAAAGGGCATGTGAGTATCAGAACTGGACCACAGAGCAATGGAAAAAGGCAGCCTTGTGCAGGTGTGTCCCTTACCTGGGGAACACATGGAACCAGGATGCACAATGGGAAGAAGGCAAGCCGGCAGAGGCAGTGTGATGCTTTGGGCAATGCTCTGCTGGGAAACCTTGGGTTCTTTCATCCATGTGAATGCTAATTTTACATGTACCATCTACCTAAGCATCATTGCAGTCCACGACTACCCTTTCATGAAAACGGGATTCCCTTATAGCTGTTGTCTCTTTCAGCAGGATAATGTGACCTGTCACAACACAAAAAAATGGTTGAGGAATGGTTTGAAGAGCACAAAATGAGTTCGAGGTGTTGACTTGGCCTCCAAATTTCCCATCTGTGGGTTGTGCTGGACAAACATGTTATGCCTGATCTGTGTTTGTTTAAATGTAGACGTTAAAGATTTATCCATATTAATTGAGAGGAATTACACTCGCTCTTGATTGCAGAGGAATTATGGAGAATTTCTCTTCTGAAGTACACTACGCCCGGGGGTAAGCACAGCTCTGCACACACCACCATCATGATCTGTTACACACCCTGCAAGTTGACTAAAGGTGGCTGTGTGTCTGTTTGTGTGTCCTCAGGTGTGCTGGAGTGGCCCTTCTGGACCAAGCTGATTGTGGTGGCCATCGGCTTCACAGGAGGCCTCATCTTTATGTACATCCAGTGTAAAGTTTATCTGCAGCTGTGGTGCCGCCTCAAGGCCTTCAATCGCATCATCACTGTGCAGAACTGCCCTGAGAAAGGCCTGCCGGGCCCTCAGACCCAGCCCAGCACCTTGACCAATGGCAGGCATGAAGTTGTGGAGGTTCCCGTCAGCACGGCGCCTGCTCCGGCTCCAGAGCCACAGATGGACTCGGACATGTCTGTGGAGGCTGCGGTGGCACCGGCACAAAACCCTGTCTGATTGACTCGACTGTCTCCACCTGCTCAGATAGAGTCCTGAATCACACCCTGCTCATCCTACAGCACCATCTGGTGTGAGCGCAATGTGATTCAGACTCACACAGTGTTTTAGTTTTGTTCATCTCAGCTCCTCTGATTACTGATCCAAAGACACAATGGATGGATGTAGAATTTTCCAGTGATCAAGGAAAAACTGAATGGCTGCAGTGAGGCACATCTCCGAAGAAACAAGGAGTGTTGCTGGCCAGGAAATGTAAAAAAAGGAGGTTGAAAATATGTAAAAGAAGAAGAAAATAAAGCCATCAGGAAAGGAGCTTTTATAAATTCTGTATTTATGTGGTAAATTAACATTAATTTTATTCTTATATGCACTTTCTCAGACTGCACTATTACAAGTAAAAAAAATACACCCTGTGGATGCTGTTGAAGGTCTCAGTATACTTCAAACTAACCCATAGTAAACATCCTGTAACCAAGTAGCTAAAAGCCACAAACTTCAGGAAAGTTTGTGGCTGATTTGTGCGAAGGGTGAGGCGAGTGATCGCACATACTGAGATAAACTTCCAGAGCCTCTCCTTGAAGGTGGTGGAGCTTGGAGGTTGTGAGTAATGAAGATAGAAGATCTCTAATTGATTACTGCTGAAATGGATTAGTGTGGAACCTGATGGGCTGTTAGTGATTGTTTCCTAACTTCTCGAGGTGTCTGCAGGTACAGACATGTTAGTTTAAAACCGGTCACATTTTTTGTTCTGTGTTGCAAATGTAAAAACTTTCTCTCTCTGAAAAACAGTCAAAGATTTGGCAATTTCGAAATGGAAATGTTGGTGTACACTTTCAGAAAGACTCTATTTAAAGGCATTTATTTCACTGCAGACATTAGATATGATAGATGAAGGGTGGTGAAGAAGAGTTTGACTGTGAACTAAACACATCTGAATTAAACAGTTGCCGGTTGTGACCTGAGGAGGGCGTATATGAACACAGGTTACCAAAGGTGGTCGACAATCCAACAAGCGCTTTTATTGAAAGCATACTGAGGCCTTCAGGACAATCAGGTTTTCAGACACCAAAGAGACAGATGTGATGAATAGAGAAACATTTATTTAAACAGTAACTTTAGCTCAGTATGAAATGGAAATGTTTTACTGCTTTGAAGAAGCAGAATTTGTTCACTGTCACTGGGAAACTTTGAGTATTTCTTAAAATAGCGACTCTCTAGCAGCCAGGATGTTCCTGGTGTTTTTTTGTCAGCTGGTGTCAGCTTCTCTGGTCCTGTCTGCAAGGTCCTGTCATTTATACACTGATGTAATTCAATCTTTTACTGTTGCCATCAGTTAATATAACATGTGTGAATGTTTGAACTGTCAAAGAGACGAATGTTGTTTACTGCTTTTCCACAGGTTTAAGCTGGTTTCAGGACCAATGTCATCAAGGAAATAATCTGTGCACCTTGTATCAACTGAAGTTGAGAGCACACAACAGATTTGTCGAAATCTCTTTTTCTATTTCTGGTTGGATAATATGGATTCAGGTTACATACAATGTGTATTTATTTGTGCAATAAACAGTGAATGTAGATCCCCTCACAGGATGGAGTGAAATCACTGAGCATCAAAAAGTCTGTTTCAGATTTAGTTTCTCATTGCTGACAGTTTGGCGCCACCTCCAGGACAGCCATGGAGTGGCAGCTTTTGTCTCTCATAATACACTACTACTGAGAAGTCTCTGCTGTAGGCTGGTTTCATGTTCAGCTCTACTGTGAAGCTACGACACAAAGCAGGCCTCAGTTTCAGTCTGACATCAGCACACTGTCATCCAGATCTCCTTTATCATCCAGGTCCTCATCATCATCCAGATCCTCTTCATCTAGATCTCCTTCATCATCTAGATCTCCTCCATCATCTTTAGTGTCCTTGTCTTTATCCTGTTTCTCTTTCTGTTCTGTCTTTGTGTCCAAATCTTGTTTAGAAAACTTTCGCAGTTTGATATTTGGAAGTTTCTTCAGATCACCTGTCCACTCCCTTTCAAAATAAAAGCATAGAAAACTGTTACGTGATGAGATGTCTCCTAAGCACATCTTGATGGTTAAAATCACAAGTCCAAGTCATGCTGGCGTCAGAATTTAGGCTTCCTGTAAGAGGAACTTTTACTGTTTCCTCTATTTGATAGTTCCACGTGGGTGGGTAAGCACAGCGGCTGCTCAAATTGCTGAACATGGATTCATTTAAACATTAATATGAAATTCAAGTCACAGATATTTGATGATTGCAGTTTGTGGAGCTAATTCTACTCTGCCTGATTGTAGACTCAGCGCCAGGAGTGGCAGATTAGTGCCATAAATGGCTTCAGGACAGATTTCATCTTAAACTTATGGATATTGTCGTTACGATGTTTGTCTATTGTCATCGTTATGATTAATGCTGTCTTGGGCCATAAAAGTTGTTTTAACTCCTATGTGAACTTCCAGATTGCATTGTGAAATGTCAGGGCCTGATTTCAGTTTCTGATTTGGGATCACTTATGAAAATGGCCCAAATCTGCTTCTAGTATTTATAGTGACATGTCAATTCATTAACAGATAACAGAAGTGGCTGAACTCATCTTACCTGAATGTTTTTAAATGTTTTGCATTGATGATATCCGGGATCTCTGAAAAAGGTTCAAACACAGAATAGTTGGGTCTTTCCCATCAATGCCTTTGTTCATGATTACAGCATGCTAGTATATGTATTTATATGAAGGACTCACCAAATCCGACGCCTTCATATTGTGCATTCTCTCGCTCAAATGTCTGTTTGATGACAGCCTCTCTGGCACCGTGGAGACGACCTTGCCGACCTTTGATCCCGTTCATCAGCTCAATCTGCTCAAGTTCAGAGTCAAACCTATGGAGGTACCTGTGTGCACACATGAAACACATGTTGTTTTGGTAAACATTTGCTTTTTTGTGCCAAAAACACTGATTAAACTTGAGAATAGTAAGGGGCAAAAAAGTAGCATAACTGGACCTTTCACCTTTCAATGATGTTACAGGCGTCTTTTTTGCTGTACAAAGTCTTTTCTGGATCCAACTGTCCTTGAAACCACAACAGTTTCTCACCTGTGAATCAAAGACAGAAAAGAGATTGAAAAAAGAGCGAGTTTATCCTCATATTCAGCGACAGAGTGGTGTGAAATCTGAGCATACAATACTAAGTGCTGCCCACTTTTAGCACTACTAGACAAGGGAAGTTCTACAAGTACAGACCGTTAACAAGCATTACAGTACATATGTTTAATCATATTGCACGATAATTCCCCAAATAAAAACATTAATTGAATAAATAGTCAAAATAATTAATGTTGTTGTATTTTTTAGTTTAAGTAACACCTTCAAAAACATGAGTTTGGCAGTGCTTTGATCAACAAAACGTATCATAACAGAGCAAGAAACCAAAACTCAAAATATATCAGAGAACAAGTTAATCAGAATGACACAATATAAACCAATACTGAAATCCAACCAGGAAAATATCTACAACAGCACAGGGAGCCTACAGTTGAGGAACTCAAAACAACAATGGAAATGAGCAACATATTGGGCCGACATTGTAGGAACTCATAGTAACCCACGCAACACAATAAAATAACAACAGCAACAAAGTTTCTTGTTGCCACAGACTCCCTTACACAAAGTTGCTAAAGCAGTAACAGTTGTTGTTAGTCCATTTCAAAGTCAAGATATGTACTATAGGATAACTTATTCTCAACGTGGAACAAAATTAATTTAAAATATCTAATATAGTGTCGCTTCTCATTGATACACCGGGTCCAGATGTACTGATAGATAAACTTACCGATACCGCTCAGACGTGTTGCCTTGTCATTTTTCTGCCTGAAGCAAAAAAAATAGAAAATAAGATAAAATGAAAGGTTCAAATAGTTTGTAATTCATCAAATTCTATTTTCCGAAACACTTCACACATCTCCCCAATATTCTAGAAATGCTGTAGGGGAGAGTGGGGTAAGATGAACCGTTTTTCATATTTCAGATCACTACATCAAGGCAATCATAGTTTTGTCTCTAACTTGTGTATCTGCATATATTTCAAGATGTTGTGCATCCCTGCAAACCAACAGAATGAGTGTAAACATAACTGTCTTGATAATACAGCATGCCAAAAAAAGTGGTCTCCTATGGTTAACTTACCCTCCACCCCAGCCCTCCCTCACCTTCTCTCTCCCTAAATAACCGTCACTTCTTCATATTCAGGTGTATTTTTATCTATTATACGCTATTCAACTGGTACAATAATTACTCTTTTTATTATTATTGCATATAACTGCTAAAAAGCTGTTTTGTAAAAAGTCATTTTAACATGAGAATGTCTTTAAGTGATTCACAACATTCACAGCTGTATTTTTTTGAAAAGAAAAAGAAACACATTTCAATAATCTGAACTGAAACTCTGATCCTCTCATCAGACTCCTTTACTCTCAACTTACTCCTGGCCAAATGGCTAAACTTCCCCCAGAACTACTATGATGACTTTATTAGTCCTCTAAGCTAAAATGGTGGACTTTTATGTTGGTTTTTGACCTCATGTTGTAGCGCATAGATACCACAACTGATGTATAAAACAAATGTAAATGATCTTTTTTGGTCTGAACACAATTCTAATAAAACTTATGACAGACTAAATTCACTTTCAAGAGTGAAAAAAATGTTTTTTTGGAAATAAATGTCTAACCTCTACCCCCATGTGCTTCTAACCTTCACAGGCTCCATGAATTGATGCCCATCTCCTCAATATTTGGTCACATGTTCAATTTCTTTTACCATTTCCAAGCAACAGGGGGTGGATCAACTTACCCTTTGGCTCAGCTTACCCCACTCTCCCCTATCTATTTCTATCCACCACGCACACACTTGTTAGTATGTCACCACCTCACAGATCAGACTACATGTTATCTGCAGCACCTTTGTTTCCCTTTTCACACACCTCTCTTTCTTCTTCAGTCTTATTTCTTCTCGGGCGAGGTAAGCAGCTTTCCTGCTGAACGGGTGAACAACCTTCTCTGCTGCTTTTCCCTTCGGAGCCTTCGGCTAAAACACGTCAACGAAGAAAACACAACAATCAGATTAACTAAAACACACTGGGAATTTAAATAACACACCTAAAAAAACTAGATTTTCTACGACAAACCACTGGGCTTACCATTTTCACACCAACACGCGTGTGTGCTCTATGTTGACATGTGTACCGGAAACAGACTGTTCCGTCACCGATTTGGTCCCGTGTGCACTGCGGAAGTTAAAACAGTTCCGATATTTAAAATGGAGAAGTCCGAGGAGTCGATAAAACCATGGACTGTATGTTGTATTGACACCATTTAAAGTGGTGGGGGGAAAAACACAGAATAATGTTACTTCGTTTGTTTGTTTTTGCTTTTGCTTACAAATGTAAGCAAAAGCATAGACTTTAAATTCATGTTGTGTTGTTACATGAAGTTAAAGTTAAGAAACTATTTTAAACAACTTCACATCTTACAAATTCATATAAAACACTTTTTACAACCTGAGCTATTTTTTTCATGAAAAGATAAGCAGCCAGATGTCTCACCAGAATATAAAAATAGAAATACATGAAAACCTGACAAAACTAGTTGAATATGATCAATTTCACATCATGATACTGACTGTAGAAATTGGAACTGATTCAGTGGGACCAGTTGAGACCAGTCACTGTCCTCCAGCACCCTTAGGCTTTGCTTGGTTCATGTGCAAAAAAGCATCAGGTATGAAGCAGGGGAACAAGCCCTGCTTTGCCTCAAATACCATTACTTTATGATCACAAGTAACCTGCTTTACAAATTTGCAGATTTTTTAATTTCCTTAGATACTTCTTCTTCTGATGTGTTTATCATTGGTTTTACCTATGATGACTCAAACTTTAGTTGCTCAGGTAACTTCTTAAAGATGCACTCTGTGGCAACACGATGGAACTGAACAAACCTGCTTTATTTTATGGGGATATTTCTTGGAGGACAGTCAAATCCTCAGATAAGAACACTTAAAACTTTTCGGCATCAGTTTTACCTGGCAGTGTGCCCTTTTTGCATAGCAGGAATGTGAATAAATCTTCTTGTAGAGTTTCCAATGTAAGAAGGTGAAAATAATGTCTTATCTGCCATAAACATGTGAAGTGTTATTTGTGTTTTCATCTTCCAGTAGTATTTGTAAGATCTTTGGTCGACTTAGACCTTCTTTTAAATGTACATCTAAAGAGCTGTACTAGCAATGCTAACGCAATGGAGTATAATGGTGAACACTGTTAGCATCAATGCTGATAATATGTAGCTCCTAGCATATTTGTGACATAGAGCTGCAAACATTACTTTCTCCAGGCTAAGTCTCATTGGCAATCTTGTTGTTTTTACCCTTTCAGCAAACTTTTTTTTCACACAAGTATCTCAAAAAACTCCCCCTATCCATCGTCTTTACTGTTTTTCCCTTTCAGGGTTGGGTTAGGACTGGACCCTGTCCCAGCTGTGATATGGCAAGAGGTGGGGTGCACCCTGGGTAGGTCCCCTGCCTAACTCTGGGCTGACATATAGAGAAAGTAAACCAAAATGTGCACTCCCATTCATCCATTCATTAATTCATAAAAGCACTTGCTAAATATCACAAGCACATATGTGCCACTGAGGAGCTCACAGCACTTGACATCCTGGGCTACTTAACCTTTAACCTGACATAAAAATCCCAAATGTCTGCAAAATTCATGACCATCGATGACCAGACAGTGGCATTATTTGAACTATTGTTTGAAAGCTGGTGAGACATGCATGTATACCAGAGGGATAACTCTCTTCATGTTATTCCCGATTTAAGCTCAGCGCTGGTGTTTTTATCTCACGTTTGTCAAAATTTTGTTTAATATTTAGAATTTCAGAAAACTTTAAAATATTTAATGAAATTCCCATTATTTCTACACTTCATGTTCAGAGATTATTAGGAGGTGTAAGCATGCTAAATCAATAAAATGTACTTGTGATGATACCTGCTAAACATCATCATTATGTCGGTGCTGTTACCTACATAGTGATGCTGTTTAGCGAGTAGGTGCTCTGAAGGGTTTTGTTCTCACAGAGTACAAATCATTATGGGTCACACTTCCTTAAATATGATGTTGATATTTAATGCAAGAGTTTCCTAATCTTGCTTCAGTCCCTGAGAACAGACTCCAGGATGGAGAGAAAACAGTAACAGTTGTGTTTTTATGATGTTTGTGGCCTTTGTGTTGAAACCTTTCTTCTCCACTGTGACTCTGACATTGGATAAAAGAGAGTAGTGTCCTTTCACAGTAAGCCGACAGAGTCCCACCATAGATAATCACAAAAGCATGATCTTCTTGTTCATAATCACGTCAGACCGTCATGATACTGCCCAAGGTGCATCAGAAGACAGATGCAAACCACTTTAAAGCGTTAGAGTTTTTCCAAGCTGCTGTCTGACCTTGTTTTGTTTTTGAGATACCTGAGCAGCTGTCCAACTCTGAGCTCCTGCAAATTGTTTTTGCTTCTCTTTTAAAGTTTGTTCAGCTTTTCCCCCCCTCACTCTGAAGGCCTGCATACCTAACCGGCAGGAATGTGATTGTACTGCAGCCGGGGAGCCGTCAGACTTGTGGTGACAAGCACACAACTTGATTGCATCACATCCGAGTGAGTTATCTGAGTGAGTCTGAGGGTGTGTGAGTGAGTTTTTTTTTTTTTTCTTTTTTCTTCCATTTCACTTGTTTAGTCAGATCAGGAAGTGTGATGCTGTGACAGAAGAGGAGGAGGAAGCGGGCACACAATGGCACTATGTTTGCTCCTCGGCCTTGTAACATGAGAGGCCCCCAGCTGAAGACCCTACTGTTTCTGCTGTTTCTGCTGCTGACCGCTCTGACACAGACAGGTAAGACATGAAGATTAGTTTCTTCACTCTTTCAACAGCGCTTTCACCTTTCCTGTCTCCTCCCTGATTTCTCTCTCGGTATTTTTCTATTGACTGTTAGTGTAACTTCTCTCCTGGGAGTAAAGACTGCTTTTATGAGCACTACAGACCATAAACCTTAATTTTTGTGAAAGAATAAAATCAATAATAGTGGAAAGAGCCTCAAGGTTAAAGTTACATAACTTGTGGGCACCAAATTCCTCTCTTTTGAGTTTGGACTTTTATCATCTCATTAAACTTTTCAACTTAACAATTCCATTTCACACAATAAATCCTGCTGATGGTTTAAAATGTGTTCTTGGTTTTCTAATCTGGTTTCACGCTATTTTAAGATTCTACTCAACACACCATTTCCTGTCAGTACGATCAAAAGCTTTTACTTTGAAACACTTAAATAGTCATCTAAAGCCACATTATTTTATTTGCTTTGCACTTTATAAAAAGCACAGTGGAAGATTACTGACGACCAAATTAACAATTTTGCTTTTAACACTTTTAATTTATCGTTTGATGTGATTTCTGCAGTGTGTTGCCGTTCTTTTAAGTCAAACTCAGCCAGGGCTTCCCTGAAAGGGAGATTTTGTATCTCAGTGGAAACATTCATTTATCTGTAAAAAATTATTCAAAGGAAACAAAAGCTCTTTAGTGGATTTCCTCTTTTAAAGCCTCAAAATCTTTATCTTCTCTTGGGCAACAAAACAACATGACAAAGCCATGTCGGGAACAAATTGCTCAACATGTTTTAAAATCTCCGCCTACTCAGACTCAATTTCGCAAGAATTCATTTTTAATTCTTATAGCAACCGCTACAAATCATGTACACAGGTGTTTTTAAGTTACTATGTAACCTCACTGTGACAGTTATTCAACCCCACTGCTGATCTTATTATAGACAGGCCTGTGGAGATAACACTCTGGTTTCAGTTATGGTTTTCACGGTGGTGCTGCACATGTTTTCTGTAAAGTTTCACTGCATGCTCTTTAGTGACAAGACAGTGTGTTGACACATGAAGTAATGCACGGTTTTCAATTGCAGCGTTGTGTCAGGAAGAAGATGGTGTTGAGCCAGACGTAACTGAGACAGAGGAGGAGACCACTGACCTAGAAGCAGCCGTTGAAGATGAAATAGTGACCCCAGGTAAGATGTGAAAAAACACCAGGAATAATAATGCAGCCAAAAGTAGATGGATGGTGGTAATTTTTCACTGAACATAAAATGTGAATGGCTTTATATTTGTTCTTTCTAAGAATATATTAAAATTACTATGGATACAACTCCTTCAGTGACAGGCTGTTATCAGTGTCGTCCCACACTGACAGATTGAGGAGGTCATTTGTCCCCCAGGCCATTCGGCTCTTCAACTGCTCCCTCTGAGGGGCCCTGTCTACAACATATCCCATCCATGAACAATCAATCAGCATCTGCATTTTTTGCACTACTGCATCCATTTGCACTGTTTACTGTGCCTTCGTAATGCTGCACTACTGCCCTATGGTCATGTTTATACACTGTTTTTATTTATTCTTTATTTAGTGTAAATATTGTTACAGTATTTGTATTTGTAGAATGTGTACTGTGTTTAAGTGGTGCTGCCTCTGTTTTTTTTAATGAACATCTGGAACGATTTAAGTATCTGTCTATCTGTCTGTCTATCTATCTATCTATCTATCTATCTATCTAGATGATGATCATCGCACACTCTACATTCTGTTTATTTCTTGTTCTCTCTTGAGCAAGAGAGAATAATAAGATCAGCAGCATACATGTGGTGTGCCCACCTTTGACTGATTTATTGTTAATATCTTTCAATAAGTGATACTTACCATAAAAGTGGGCTTTTTTACTCAGAATAAGCACAGTACTTGAGATATACTTGATTGCTGCCCTTTATTATTATCTTGCTATTTTCTGTTGTTGTATTCTTTGCTTTTCCCACATTTCAGAGGAAATACTGAATCCCTTACTTCAGTACTTCTGTTTCAAACTCACCACACCCTGTGATTACTTCATTTTCTGTTCATAAATTCTTGAGATATCTTGACTGGATTAATTCAACTTCGGGGGAGTATAGTAGGTTTACATCGATAACGGTTATGTTTTTTTTTTTTGCCATCCCCTGATATTGAATCCAGTTTTGTACTCCTAATCTCTGTACTTACATTCTCCAAGGGACTTCATTGTTCTGCATTTAAATTAAACTGTGTTTCAGTCATGATAGAAGAGGAAATGTGGAAAAAAATCTGGGATAAAGCGAGCGAAATTACAGCCTGTAATTGGACGATAGTGTCACAACTCAAAATATTACACAGAACTCATGTGGCTTTATACCATCTCTATATATATTGAAAATATGTTTGTCCCTTGTATGTAAAACAGAGGTTGGCAATCCCACTCACTGTCTCTGGTCTTACATGACTATACCAAAATACTGGAGTGATGTCAGGCGTCGCTGCCTTGTGTCTTCCTTGTGGCTTTATAAGTGTTTTAATAAGAAAAAAAACTATGAAGTTTTGACACTTGAAGACAGTAGAAACATTTTTACTCATTAGATTTTCGATAGAGCCCTGTCATTCACTGGGTAGCATTAGATAATAATGGACTATATACTCTTGGACTTGTTGACGTCTCCAAAATAAGTGTTTTCAAAAGGTTATGGAAACTATTTCTTCAGTGTTTATGTTTACATATCTACAATAATGGAAAGAGTATTTTCTTTAAAGTTATATATTTGCCTTTATCAGACAGTGCAGCTGAAGAGAGACATGAAATGTGGGGAGCAGAGAGTGGGGGGAAAAGATGCAACAAAGGGTTGAGGCCAGAAATAGAACTAGCAACTGCTGCAACAAGGACTATAGCCTCTATATGTGAAGCAATTAGACAGCCAGGCCATCAGTGGCCCAGAAGAGCATTTTTAATAGAAATAAGAATAAGTTGGTCAGCCCTAGTCATAGCAGAGTACAGGTATAGATGTATATTTTAGGGAACCTCTATTTTAGGGAAACAAGAGAGTTCTGTTTTCTTCCTGTTACGGCACTTAACCTATCTGGTCTTTAAGCAACATGATGTCCACAGACTTTTGGCAATGTTTACATCGACAACTCATGACTCTTCATACTTCAGATTTAGCCCACGTGTCCTACTCTCCCTCTGTTTGTAGAACCAGAAGTGACGGATCCTGACGCCACCTCCGCACCTACTCAGCAGGTCCCTGAAGACACAGGTCAGTCCACAACAACTTCTATCCTACCATTGGTCATGTCCTACCAAAACACCTCTGAATGCAGCAACTGAAGAAGAAATGTTTCACACATAATGTGCTGTACATGTTCTTTTCTGTGACATATAAAAAAGGTTGTCCATGGGCAAAAATTACCAAAACATTTCAGTAAAATTTTCTTTATATCCTTTATTGTTAATTTCATTTGGAAATACCACAGAAGAAGACAGCAGCTCTGGAGATAGCGCCATCCTTCCGGACAATGGAGGTATGTGAGACTAATCTTATCTAAATCTGGTAAATATAAAAGTAATTTAACATTTATTTTACTTTGAATCATAAATATTCTGCTGTATAACTTTTTTATACGATTAAGCCTCCTTTTAAATGAGAACTATTTTGCAGAATCAACACCGGACCCTGGCATTATATACTCAACCTCTTCTCCAGATGTGGATGAAGGTTTAGGTCCCATCATCATCCTGATTCCTGTGGTTCTGGTGGTTGTCATCATCGGCATGATAGTGTGTGGTATTCTCATCAACCGCAGGTGGAACAACAAAGCCAGAGATCAGGGTATGTCTGTCAGAAGTAGGCGATCTATAAAGGGTCAGCTCATCTGAACATTTTACTAAAATTACAATGTTCTTCTGCCATAGAGTTGAGAAAAGAGGATCCTTATTTGGATGGGTCAAGTACAGAGAAAGTGCCGATGTAAGTATTGACGTTTACACATGATTGTTTTGTTGCTTATGTCAAATGCGGTTAACTTTGGTTGAATTTAAGTTTTAATGAAATTTGATATTTGTTGCTTTCTGCGATCTCCACTGGGTTTATGCTGCATGTATGAGAGTCCTGTTGAAGTCAAATAGTGGCATTTTGGGAACCCTCTTTGTATGCTGTTTTTTTTCTAGTTAATAAGTTTATCAGATGGCTTGTGCAGTCCTTACTTCAACCAATTATACAGTTTAAAAACACTTTTTTTTTAAAAACTTTCAATCAGATGAAATTATCAGGGCTCTAAAGATGTCCCTTATACTTTTGCCGATGCTTTTCTCAACATTGAAATGCAGTTGAAAGGAAACCAGTTAACTAGACCCACGCCAGAGGTAAGTTAAATGTAGTAGGAAGTCCAGTAGAGTAGAAGTTGTAGTTTACATGTAAGCTCAGTTAGTTCATTATTTGGTTCGTCAGCTAATGAGTCACTTAACTTGCGAGCTATTGGATGGCAGACAAAAAAAAATGGAAAAATACAAACAAAAAAACTTTTAAGTGAACGCAACTGCTGGATGCACAAAAATCACGTAACATTTTGTACACTCCAGGCCAATGTTTGAGGAAGATGTTCCTTCAGTGTTGGAGCTGGAGATGGAAGAATTGGACCAATGGATGAAAAAGGATGGTAGGTATATTTCCATGTTATATTTCAACATTGGCTGTATCATATGGTTGGTCAATACTTATCATTACTGAGGGGCTGTTGCATGTTTTGATAACAGCTTTATTTTCAAACTATTCAACAAATGTAAAATAAAGAAAGGATAATTGAAAGGCTGCTCAGCAAGTTTGATGATGTAAAAATATATCAAGTGATGTAGATATGTCTGAATCTACTGTAAGTATTTATCATCTAATTTACTGTTTTGAGTGTGTTTCTAATTACACTATTTTCTCTGATTGGTCTGTTCAAGACATACTTCAGACACGGTCCATTTGTACTGATAAAGTACATTTAAAAACAACAGAAGTTGTCCAAAGTGATTTTCAGACATTCATAAAAACATAAAACCCACTGAAACACTGCCCTCTTTTACTGCATGTCATACCCCACACTCCCTCTTAGTGTCGGTCTCTATCCACTATCTGAGCCTCCCGAAACAGACATTAAATCAACTTCCTAAAAACAGATCTCTCATGTTGAGCCAAAAGTCTAGGAACAGAAGTGTATTTCATTCAAAAACAGGCTCCAACAAATGTGAAGGAAGAGCAACCTGGAGAGTCACCCATGCTTCAGGTTTGCCCTTTGAAAAAGGAGACAATTTAAGTGTATGATAAAGTGTGGGAGCTTCTCCAGCAGAGGTCACTCTTACTCAGGTTTTTAGAAACAGTGAGCGAACAAAGACAGGCAGAGTTCTGTGACACTGTCCTGTTAGATGTCAAATTTTCCAGAGTATGTTTCCCTTTTTTTGTACTTTATTACTTGTGAAAATCACTTTTGATACAGAAATAATTGTTTTTTTCTGACTTTCTTTAAGGTGCAAATGCAGAGGAGTCTAAACTAGCATGAGTCGATTTTATGGTAAGTAAACTTTACACTTCTTACGTAAATGTCTTGTTTATGAGGAAACTGAGTTTATTGACCTCCATGTGTTGTGATCACAGAGCTTTTGAGTTACCTTTTGGAAATGAATACCTCAGATAGTTACACTCTGAAACACGTCTTTTTACTTAAAAACAAAAATGCATGAATAAGGTGCATGTGTATTTCTGTTTTACTCTTATAAATACTTCTCTCCTAATCTTCAGACTTGACTACTTCTTTGAAAATATGAATAATGAAACAAAGAAGTTGCAGCATGAGTATTTATTGATTTATTCATTAAGAGCTGCAGGTATGTTTATGACTTTCTTAACTTAAATGCACCCAAAACAAAAATGCAGCTTCAATTTTTCACAGTGATTTACATTTTTACACCAGGGTCTCTTTGTTTGGTGAGCCAGCTGCTCCCAGTATCACAGTGATTCAAGACCTCTTACCCTCTCATCATTACACATGTTACTGTTTGAAAGCACAAACACTTCAAACATCTGTTAGCGATTACAACAGGCATGCATGGAAGTGTGGTGCAACTTTGCCCAAGGATAGTCTCCTTACTGAAAGAGCTGGGAAGATGAGGTCAAGGTCCACTCAGTGAACTGTTGACCAATGTCATGTACACACTGCTTTTTCTCAGGATTTTATTTCCAAAGCTGGCCAAGGGTTAGAGGGAACTTTCATTCAACACAGAGGCTCTCTGTACACATCAGGTTACACAAGAGAGCTCCGCATAGAAGTAAATGTAATGTTACGTCTGCTGTGGTTGCGCAATGTGATGCCATCTACTGCAACAGTGGCGAAATTCCACAGCAAATTAAGCACAACAATGGATCAGACTGAAAGAGAAATCAAACAAACACTGGTGTAAAAGTGGCATAAATTGTAAGATAAGTCCTGCTGTCAAAAGAAAAGTGTCAAGCTAAGGTAGTCCAAAAAAACAAACACATCAAACAATGAACACAGTTGTCCATAATTCTATGACGAACAAACTTGGTGACAACGCAGGATAGTTTGTTGAAAATCAACCACATTGTTTACATTTCTCTCAGGCAATGCAAGCAACACAACAACCTCCACATCAACACATTACAAGTGCTGTGAGCATGTTGACTGATGGTTGATTATTTACCCATCCTGCAGGAAAAGAGCTAAATTAGCATCATTCTGGTATCATGTTTCTGATCACAAAAATAAGCCCAAGTTAAAAACTGCTCAGTTTGTGTGTCCACAGATTCTTCATCTACATGCTCCACCATCCTCACTATCTAACTGCTTCACTATAAGCTGTGTGTTGATTAGTAGTAGTGTGTGTTTATGCAGAAGGGTGTCAAGAATTCAATGATTGGGTCGGCCTCATCATGACCACCCCAGAGAGAATTTAAAATAAGAAAACTTTTTGATTTAGTCGCGAGAGTCTTAATCTAAAGGCTTGTAAGGCACGTATGTAATAATTTTAATCTGCATGGTGTAACTGGTTACTTTTGGTGTTTTCCTGATATCTTGTGTATTTATTTTTCTAATGTATATAAGTACTACACTAAAGGAACCCCAAAATGCATTTCAATTGCTAGATTTAGTAGAGTTAGATCAACACAGCAGCTTCTAATTCTCGTCTTAGTGCTCTTATGTCCCATCATTGCCGTAGCTCATCTGTAAATGTAGTCCTCTGATAGCATCAAGGTTAGAGATAGCTTATGGTTACTTAAAAAACTGTTTAAATGGAGCTTGTGTTCGAAAATACTCACCGGTAATGTCCACGCTTTTTCTGCAAATACATAGCCCTACTATGACATTAAAGCCCCTTTTAAATCTAGAAATAATTAGAAAGAAATAGGATCTAAAATTGATGACCTTACCCAGGCGACACATTGAAAGTCAGTTTATGACACCTCTGGTCACAAGATGGTGTTGTTCATGCAGTTTGATGAAGGTAGACTGAGGAGACGCTCATAAAAACCTCCAAACTTTGATCTTTTAAGATGTAACATTGCAGATCGCTGATCATAAAAGTAATCATTTGTATGTTTGCATTTCTGGACATTAGATTTAAATCCTCATTGGCCATTTTTACAAGTTCTTATTCTACTGAAGACGCTGAAATTCCAGATGGACCACTGCGACTTTAGGGCAAATTCCCTACATAGATTTCTCTCATCTTTTAGTTTTTCAGAGTGGGCCATGCCCCCTTGGCCACACCTCTGTTAACACCCCTGCGTACAAGATGATTTGGGCAAAACTTTGTTTCCTTTCATGTTTCAGGTCAAGCGCTTTTCTGCTGATCTTACATTGATCACAGGTGAAAGGGATTGGCTGTGTCATGGTCCACAGTGATCAAAACCCCTTTTTTGTTGGACTGATGGCTGGAGAGGACAGAAATAATGATCAGAAGAAACTAGACACAACAGGCAGTAACTGTATTCTAAAATGACTAGACATGCACTGTGAGAGAAAGACCAACCCAAGCATGTTACTTCCTCTATATTGACATTGTTAAAACACCAACTAACAGTAAATTTTGTGAGACACTCGGCATAAAGAGCTTCTCTTGTCTGAACTCTTTCTAACATTTTGAGAATTTCTCCCTCTCTGCACATTCAACTCAAAATTTGCATTAAGTTTTAAAAAATTTGAGTCGGGTGCAATATTTTTCCAGACTTTCAATCGGGTTTATAGATAGAAGGGCTGAGACAACCTTGTTGATTTTAATGCACATTAGCGCATCAATACAATTTGGTACAAATGTGTGAGGCTTTAATTGCCATAATCACATTATTTCCAAATGTTGACTGCTTCTGTACCACACAACTCCTCATAATAAACCTAATTGAGTCAAAGCTCCTGTGAAGAGAATTTAAATGGATATGAATCATACTCAGTTAAACAATGAGGCCTCTTTGTGGCCTAAATAAGCAAACAATCGTAATTCCAACTGCTGCTGTGAGGGGGTTGTCAGACAAACAAATGCCCTCCGAGGTTAAAGAAAACCTCTGTAATTTTCCACAGCACATATATTCATGATGAACAAGTGTTAAAAGACTTAACACTCATGCAGGAGTAGATCAGGGGTATCACTTTGACCACAGGGGGCACTATAATTGGCAGATTCAGACAGTCTCTAACAGGAGCTTTCAGTGGTTCAGCCTGCATGTTGATGCTCTATGACAGGAGGGGAGAGATTTTTACATACCCGTTGTTATTTCATGTAAAGAGTAAACACAAGCAGGAAATCTATGCAAACTGGCTGAATAATAAGTAAAGTTCAACACAACTCTCTACTGTGATTACAAAGTCTGTCATTACACTGAGGATTACAGACGCTTGATCTCCGTGTGTGTGCGCGTGCATGTGTGAGTGTGTGTGTGTGACTCTAATGTTGTCACCTCTCTCTTTTGTGACTCTTTTACTACAGGTCAACAAAGGACACTTCCCTGGTATGCAAGGACACGCAGCCAACAATGTTTTGCTGCCAATTCAGAGTGTTTGACCTTCTAGCAACATTTGTGACCAGGGGAACTAATTTAACTGCCAGGAAACAACATCATGACTCTTAAAGGACACTTACAATGGAAACAAACCTGCAAGAGTCGGACTTCGGCTTGTTAGAAAGTAGCTCTGAGTAGTCGGTGTTTTGCTTTCAGGTGTTGTTTCTGCCATGTTTTGCCTGTTTTTGATTGTATTGTTGAATTGTTGAGCAGTTGTGTGAGGAAAAATGCACAGCTTTTTTTCTCTTGAATAATCAGCCTTAACGAACAGTGTTTAGTTTAGACATAAAATCTTTAGTGTAGCAGTAACCAAACATTCCTCTTCTGCAGACTCGCAGCGTTAAAAGAGTTTGTGGTTGTCTTTAAGAGCGTTGGGCTGTACCGTACCCCACCCCTGCACGTGCAGATATGACTGCTCATAGTTCCTGCTGCTGGTTCCCCTTCAGCTCTTCATTGTTGTATCACACTGTGAGACTCCCTACAGCTGCAGGTCTTCATGGGGAAATATCCTGTTGCAGATGGCAGGCATGCATGACAGAGAAGGCCACTCCTTTATATATCTGCACACAGCTTGTTGTGAAACTTTTTTATTCTGAAACTGAAATCTCAGAGTGAAATCAATTGGATTCTATCTCTGTGTCTTTTTTGATAAATTATTGCATGTTGCTGAACCAGCTTTTTTTTGTAAAAGCTGCTGCTGATATGATTATCATCTCAGCATAGATAATAACTCTCTGACTGAATGCTTCTGCATCCTTGAATGTTTTTTCTACAGTTTGGGCTTTTTTAATTGTTGTATCAAAGCAGTTGTGACTCTGATCTCATTGTGAGTGCAACCTCCTAAATGTGTCAGTCAGTATTTTGCAGTTCCTTGCACTGTAAATATAAGAAAATTATCAACCAAGAGGTAATATTGTCAAGAAATGCCCTCTGTAAATATTTCATACGAGGCTTTAATATTGTTTATTTGCTTATGAAGCTTTGAATAAAATTACAACGGACAAAACCTTTTGAATGGCTTCGATTTATATATTAACTATCAGTGCCGCAGACTTAAAGGGATATTCAGGCGTAAAATTAATTTAGGGTCAAACACACCAAACACCGAGTTAGAAATCAGGTCATTTTAAAACACTTTTTAACATTTTCTTTGACCATGATTCTCAGTGTGTGATAGCAACTTAATGATAATGCTAGAAGAAATCAGACAGGATACTTGGTTAGGAAGAATGACTCGTAAATGTACTGGTCAAAATCAGCAAAGGGGTAAGTGGTATCGCTTCATCCGAAGAGGGTGCCTAAATCAACAAAAACCAAAGCAGAGCACCTTCATCTTCCCCCATTGTGAGGTGTGAAGCCAGACCACAGCCTCGAGTGCTGCATACATTTTGCACTGGTGGAGCCAAGACATGCACAGAAGCAAATTGGCTGGTGGAGCTGCAGGGTTTAGCATCGCACCCTTTCTGCCAACAAAACCACATATTTAATCTGCTGTAAAAAAGCAAAGATCCCTCAGGTGGGGGTCATGACTGACAATAGCTCCCCCAAAAAGATCTACGGTAGCAGTGTTGGGGTCAGATGTGATATTTTTTCTTTGGTTGTCCATCGTCATGTCAAATTTTTACTCAGAGGTTATGATAAAAACTCTGGCAAAACTCAACAGCAGCTTCTAAAGTGTCTGGTATGTATTTTTGGCGTGGTACACTTTCTGAGTCAGACTTAATGTCTGTTGATGGGCCCTCTTCTGTATTTAAGTGATGTTTTTCTGATGGGATTCAGACCAGAGAACCGGAGGAGCAGGGGTTGAACAATCTGTGCAAACTAATGAATACAAATGAGAAATAAGTCTTGTGCTCCATTTTCTACTTTTTTCCTCCTTTCCCATTAACTTTCCAGACTGCTGCTCTGTCCGTCACCGTGCAGTGTCTGCATCATCACCGCTGTCTGGCTGCTCACACATGCTGACTAAACATTGACATTTCCATAATCCAGCAACTATCACCTGAGGAAATTCTGTTTAGACAGGGAAAATCAGCTCTGCTTTGTTTTGGACAGAAAGACCCTTTGCTGTGATTGTAAACAGATTATTTATCAAGAGATTCAACACTTCATCAAAAAACTCTTTGAAATTCTTGACCACTGGAATAATATCAACCCCACTGGTGATTTTTTTAATATTTATTTTTTGAAAGCTGACCAAAATAATCACTTTTCAGCAAACTTTGAGTTAGGTGTAAGTTTTACAGTTGCTGTGTGAGACTTTGATTTCAGAGTAGATCATATTTTACTTCTATTGATACATTCTCTTCTTATTCCCTTTCTGACACTATTTTATCTGACATATCTTTAGATATATACCACCTTATCGTTTACGTTCATGAGTTTAATTTTTTTGAGTTTTTATATTGTTTTGAAGAGAGCGTTTGTTTTTATAAAGTACTTGCCAATAGTGAGTGTATAACCCACAGGGGGATTTGATCATTTTGGCCCAGCGCTGAGTGGAAAGTTCCTGAATATTTTTGCGCCATCTTTTCTCAGGATTGAACTCCTAAGATATCTGTACCCTAAATTCATAGCTAGCAGTGTAGAGAGGTTTGTTACTACAAGTTAAAAATGGTCAAATGGCTTATATTTTTTTTCTCCAACATTTCAGATAAAAATACGGAAAATGTCTGAATTCTTTCACTGGGTGTTCAGGCAGTGTCCCTTGCTGACACCATTGTTCACTCTGAGCCAAATTCAGGCTGAACTGGTTCACATGTAAATAAAGCGGCAATCCTTCTTGCCAAACACCACTGTGGATTGTGTTGAAATCCAAACCTGATGCACCAGACCTTTTCTGGCAGACTAAGGATCACCAACTCTGCTTCCACTAGATTTTTTTAAAATAAAACACTATGATCCTGATCATATGCCTGTTTTGTCACAGTGAACAGAAATGTAATGCAACCCCCCAGAAGAAGCATTCACAGCATCATGTTCCCAGTGATCCATCCCTCTGAATTTACCCATCTTTGCAGACTGAATCACTGTCTACCCAGCAGGCAGTGTTTCTGCTTGTCACACTCCATCAGCTCCATTTCACAGCCGCTCCAACAGCTCTGTTTGTTTGCCTTCAAGAGCTGTGATGTTTCAGAGAATCATCAGTCTGTCGCAATCTTCACACACTCTTTCTTGGGCAATCTTTGTGTGGAAAACTTGACATACACCAGGGAATCCATGAGTGTGTGATAGAAAGATTGTGTGTCAATAAAGGAGACTTACCAAACATGAGCTTTTGGGCTGTGATGAGCAATCTTAAGCGTGTGAAACTTTCCACTGCCTCTTATGAAAGACTGTTTCATGCACCACTGGGGTAAAATGTTACAATGTTGTCTCGGCAAGCAGGGCTTTGGTTTCTAGTGACGGAACCAAGGTCATGTCATGTATTTTCAGGGTATTTGAGGCATTTTGTTTTAGCAAATTGTAATGGATGTTGGAAAGGGTGGGTGAGTGGGTGTTTAGCTTACTCTGTCATGATTCTGATTGACATAACCCCCCCTATAATCACCATACATTATCTCACCTATTACCTGACCTTCTAACTAAAGAACTTACTAAAGTCAAAAACAAGTTTAATGTAAAATATTTCTTTACAGATGATTTGATTGATTAAAAAATAATTTATGAACAGCTAAAAATAGTCCCTCTGATTCCATGAATGGTAACACTTACATTGCAAACAGTTTCCTTGAGGTTTGAACCAATATTAAACTAAATATTTCAATTAAAAGTCAAGTCAAAACATGAACCTGTCTATTTTAATACGTTAATTCAAACTGAAAATTCAAAATCAACAGAAATTATGCAAATGTCACATCTTTTAAGATTGTTTTAAGTTAAGAGCTCACAATGTTAATGATTGCAGGACATAATCTAGCTCCAATTTTTCCAAAACAGAGGGTGACAGTAGCTCACATGTGTATGGAAGAGCAACTTCGCTTTATTTAATGACTCTAAATACCAGCCAGGGTATTTAGCCATGGTCCAACACTGAGTTAGAATCCCCCTCAAGAGATGAATTTTTCCAACCGCTTGCTTCTCTAGTTACACCAACTTCAGCAAAGACCGCACAATAGCAATACACAGCGGTCTATGTCTCCACGCGCAAACCGCAACCAAAAAGCCACTCTATAGGCACAAATAATGCTCAGAACAGCACCTAACTTCATCAACAGTACATATAGGGTCCCAACCATAGGACTAGCCACTAAACATCTTTTTAACTTTGCCTGGTTCCTTTGGCAAAGAGACTAAACACAACTCACCCACTCTCTTCCAGCAGCCTATACTGTTGATGAAGTGAGGTTCGGTTAGGTTGAAGTTAGACACATAGACCGCTGTGTAATGCTACCCTGCGGTCTGTGCTGAAGTTGGTGTAACTAGAGAAGGAAGCAGTCTGGGAAATTCATCTCTCGGGGGGGGGGGGGGGGGGGTGTCTAACTCGATGTTACGATGTGTTTGACCATGGCTTAAATTTACGCCGGAATATCCCTTTAAATATGAGAGTCATGTGGATTAATCTGATATGACATACGTATGTGATCAGGTTGTCCTTTTAGCATCAATTTTGCAATTGGGAATTCATTACCATCATTATGAGATTTTGACTGGACAGAATCAAGTACTTGACACAGCAGGGCGATTTGTCAGAAAGACAGTTAAATTTACCTTTCAAAGTGATGAAGCACATGAAGTCTTTTTCAAACTGTGAGTCCAACTTGTAGAGATTCTGGATAACCTAATTAATGTCTGTTTTTTTAATATATATCAGAATATCTTGTGCCTACAAAGCTACAGTCAGGAAATGTTAGTTCTGTGCATTTTTGCACTCATGTGGATGAAGCCATCTTTATTGGTTTTATCTTGTATGCGTGTACTTAGTGTTTCTTGAGGTAAGCTAACTTCTTGAGATGATATGTATTGGCAAGTCAGAGACAAATTTTTGGCCTTCTGATGATAAAATATATTGTTCATGACAAGGATATAAAAATCCCTCTGCAAATGTGACTCATGACATCTGCAGAAAACTTCTCTGCATGTTTTACCAGTCTGTGGTTGCCGGTGTCCTTTTTTACACTGTGGTGTGCTGGGGGAGGGCTGCACATCAAAGAGGGACACATCCAGGCTGAAAACTAATCAGACGAGCTGGCTCTGTGGTTGGCCAAGCTGGATTCTCTGGTGACGGTGGCAGAGAAGAGGACTATTGACAAACTACTGGACATTACGGGGGATGCCAGTCACCCTCTGCACACCACTATCATCAACCTGAGGAGCCTGTTCAGTGACAGACTGCTCCTTCCCAAGTGCAGGACCAACAGACTGAAAACTCCTTTGTCCCTCATACCATCAGACTTTACAACTTCTCTCTGGGGAGGAGGAGGGGTAACAGGAGGACAGAGGATGGGAAGGAGTAGCAGCAGTAGTAGTAGCTGAACTAATAGTAATGTGCAAATGTCCATACTTTTTATATGTAAATACTAAATTTATCTAAAATTTTATTTTATCTTTATGTCTCTTCTGTACATAATGACGCTGTTGTAATCCAAATTTTCTTGGGGTAACCTTCCAAAAAATCTATCTAATCTGAACCAATCTGAGGCCTTTGTTACATTGTACCATATATTAATATGAACATGTTTTTTAAATATAATTTAGTTTCGGTGTGAATTCAAGGACACTTTTCTCTGGGTGTGTAAAATTCCTTCAAAAGAAACGTTCCAAGAAGGAGTATTGCTTCATTTGAAGGTCAGGAAGGCCTAGAAAGAAAATAAAAACAACCGAAACAAATCAGATATCTTGAAGAAATAGTGTAAGAGACTAAGAGAGTATCTGTGTGTGTGTTTTTGTTTGTGTGAAATATTAAGATAGGCCAAAGTGATTTCTATAATCCATGGCAACAAATGCATTCATAGTCAAAGATCATTGCAGTGTTTAGTTTGACTGACAAAAAAACAAACAGCGCAG